CAAAGTACACTATTTGAATCCTTGTCCACTGCTGAATCTCATGATGTCATTTTACGACCGTCAAATAAAAGCTGAAGCCGCCATTTTGGCCATCCAACACGGAGCTCCAGTCCGTTCGTCAGCCCTCGAATGGCAAATCAGTCGCTCGTACGTCAACCAACGAATCTCTGGCACCCCAACGCGGAATGAGACCAGCGCTCTCCAACAGGCTCTCTCACCGTATCTCGAACATAAGCTAGCAAGCTGGGCCCTGGGGCAAGCACGGCTAGGGTATTCTCTGGCGGTCTCTAAGTTCCGTCTCATGGCCCAGCGGATGCTCCATGCCACCGGGGATGCTCGAGAATTAAGGAAAAATTGGGCATCCAAGTTCCTGTCTCGAAACCCGGAAGTCAAGATAATGAAGTCTCGTGTTATCGACTACAACCGAGTGAATGGTGCTACAGCGGCAAATATCAACATTTTTTTCGATCGGTGTGACGCCCCTGACGTGGTTAACCTCATGCCAGCACGCTGGTACAACGTCGACGAAATGGGAATCGCCCAGGGGGTTGGGGACTCCCATTGGGTGGTCTCCGAGGCCTCCGGCAACGTGGCTATGAAGAAAGGGGTCAAGAAGGGTGAATAGATAACTGCCCTAGAGTGTGTGAGCGGATCTGGTGAGACCTTGCCGCTGCTGGTGATTCTTAAGGGGGTTAACGTACAAGCCCAGTGGTTTAGCAACCAAAATGAGGGCAAATTCACCGACTGGAGGTTTATTACGTCGCCCAATGGATGGACCTTGAATCACATTGTGTTAGAATGGCTTCAACGTATCTTTATTCCTCACATTCGGGAGGTCCACGGCAACACATGGGTGGTTTTGGTGTGTGATAGCCACGACTCCCACACGAATGACGAGTTCCTAGCCACCTGCTTGAGAAACAAAGTATGGTTGATCTTTTATGAACCTCACTGTTCCCATGTAGTCCAGGTGTTAGATGTGGGAGTCTTCAATTTGGTAAAGAAGAGGTTGAAGACCTTACTCCAGGAGACGCCCAGCGGCCGTCTGGGACTCAGGCCATCTAAGGAGAAGGTTTTGGAGTGCTATGAGCAGGCCCGGAAGGACACAATGACGCTCCTTAACATCAGAATTGCCTGGAAAAAGACTGGGATTGTTCCTCACAACAGAGCGGAGGCATTGAAATCGAAATATGTGATTCTGGAGGACAAGGGGGTGGCCAGGGCACGCCAGAGGGACCCTAAGGCTTCCGAGCGAGCCACAACACCAGATTTTCTTGAGATGGTAGCTAAAACCATTGTTACAACACCCTCTGGAAGCCGGGCTTTGCGGGAGAGTGCTCGAAAGCTCGAAAGAAAGGACCCTTCCTTTGGGGGGCCCTCTGAGCGCTTGTTGGTGCAGAAGGCTGGCAAGGCCATGGATGTTCAGGCTGCTATTATTGCAAATCTACGGGCCAAATGTGAGCTGCTTGAGGCTCAAGTGGCTAAAAAGGCTAATACCACTCGAAAAGCAGTCAAACCAATACCAGGGGAATGATTCGTCACAATGGCTAACGTAAGGGAGGCCAAAATAGAGCTGAGGAACAGGAGGGTCTATAGGGACTCCGCTGCAGGCGAAGAGGTCCCATAAGAGGTCCCTGGTGAAAATTTAGGGTCGGAATCGGATTCTGGGAGCTGTATTATGGTTAGAACACCACGACCTTAGTGTATTTAGCAACTGTGGTGGTTGTAGATGGCTTCATCTGAATGAGAGTGGTGTGGTGTGGAGTGGTCCGTGGGGGGGTGGTCCGCAGGGGGGGGTGAGATGTTACTTGGCTTTGCTCACTGGCCTGCCATCTATCAAACCAACAGGATTGGCAACGCATCCAGCATTGAACGCTGCTTCTCAAATCCTGTGGCGATTTCGTATGGCCTGGGTGTCTCCAGTTGAAGGTAACGAGCTGGCATCTAACCCTTTTTGTGCTCGCCGGGAGCATGATGCTCTGACCTGGCCCTCCACAGGCTCTCTAATAGTAGCATTCAGCTTCTTGAGGCGGTCCTTCTTCTCCTGTGCAGTGGCAGACATTACAAACATCTTGCAGCCATATGCTCGTAGGTGTGTATGCATTGGTCTACAGTCAGGGGTAACTAGTCTGTCTCGGAATGACAGATATTGGAAGAACATCTCATATGGGGTCTTCCAGTTGTGGTGCCAGGATGGTGTTCGGTTGTGGAGATACACTGCTGCAGTATAGATGTGACGCGAGAGATATGTTGGAAGCTTGGCTCCGCTGCACATGGCAAGAGCTTTTGCTTTGATTATACCTCCCGAGCGTTCAGCGCCTCCATTTTGGTCTTGGGTATAAGGTGTAGAGGGCTCGATTCGGATGTGATTGTCTTTGATGAAGTCCTCAATGTCCTTTGACTTGGTGAACTCATTGTCTGCTTCTATGGCCTCAATATTGATCTGGAACTGTATTTTCAGTATACTGACAATGCTTTGGAGGGCGCCAATTATGTGTTCTGTAGTGCTCCTTTTCAGGAAATATGCCCACACGTATCCAGAGTATCTGCAAGTGACAAACATAATACTCCAGTAGCCATCAGAGTCCTTCTTGTGACGGCCTGCACAGACCTTCCCACATGACAAGTGGATACTTCCTAATAGGGGAAGTATCTGACCAGAGGATCTCCTTAAAGGGGCAACCTCTTACTGTACCTATCTCTCTCTCTCTTCCTTTCCTCTCTAGTCTTGATATCCTTGTCAATAGAGTAATAGCTGCTTGCTGCAGGCCATGTCCCAGCTCCCCAGTATGCTCGCTGTGACAAGAGAGTCCTCGGAAGGCGATTCCTCTGATTCTTTGGTCTCCAGGTTCTGCACTTCGCGCAAAAGTCGTTGTCTCTCCGCCCGCTGGTCAATCAGCACTTGTGCAGCCTCCGTATGCTCGATCTGCTCCTGAATAACGTCTCCTATTCTCTATAGCCGTTAATTAGGCTCTTTTTAGGGGCCTTACGGCGCTTTTTAGGCTATAGATGCTCGATCTTGTCGTCTTTTGCCTTGTTTTGCAGCTTCAGGATGGCTAACTCAACCACCATCTCATTGTATAACTTTGCGACCGCGCGCACTGCTGCTCATTGCTCAGGGGTCTCTATGACTATTGACAATATCAGGGCTATATCCTGCCCTGATGTAAGGGCTTCCAGGGCATCAGGGGTGGTTGCAGAGTTCATTATAGCAGCAGCTATTGCTTGTATCTCTGCTGCCTTTACCACATGCTCGTTTGCCAGTGTCTTGTTCCTATCTATGGGCCAAAGGCCAGCAGCACGCCATCCCGAACGCACGATAACAGGAGTAGCTTTGTCACGGGCTTTGGCCAGGCAAGAAAGAAACTTAATCTTGCCAATAGGGGCCGAATCATTCAATTGACCGAGCTGATTAATGAGGCAGCGATAGGCGACCTTCACTACAAAGAAAACGGTCAGATCCAGGGGCTGGAAGATGTGAGACTACCCCTATTAGCGGAATAACTACTAATTAAAGATATAACCTACCGTATAGGTAGGAAAAAAGCTTAGATAGAAATTGTTTATATAGCACGGATACATAAAATCATCTGAGCAGTGGCTGCCATGGCCGTTGAGCACCAACAGGTGGAACTCATCCGGGCCTTCAGGGGCAGTATCTGGCAGATAGATCTGGGGGATTATTTAGTATATAATTAACGTTAAAAATAAGAAAAAAATTACCTTCTTAAGCCATTCGAGCGCAATTGCGTTTAAGGACCAGCCATTAGTAGAGTAAGTCACTATCCAGTCTGCCACCCCAGGATGCTCGAGAATAAGCTGCTCTTTGAACCACTGCGTCTGTATCGACTTCGCCTTAAAGATAGCCAGCGGCCGGAGCTTTTTCCCAGTGGCGGTGATCAATTCTATCACGGTAGTCCACGTGCGGTCATTGTTAGACTTGACGTTGGCCCCTTTTTAGCTAGAACTGCCTATTACAAGGCCATCAGACCTTTAACCTCCTGGTTAGCCGTCTGAAAAACACTTGGATTGGACATACATACTGCCGGCCCTGTATGATGCCGTACTTATCGACATTTGCGTGGTTCTCGGGCTTGATGAAGTCAAAATCTGTGTAGCGGTCATGATAGCCATAGATGTTGTCGGGAATGGCAGCATTGATATATTTGTAGTCAAGTTTTCTGCCTATTTTGGTCTTTATCCCTGGGTTCTGGCGGATGAAATTTCGCATGTAATGGCCCCCAAGATGAGGCGGTTTTCCCTGGGATTGTAGGATCTTCTGGATGATGTACCTCATATTGGCGTGAGTAGGGGCATGGCCGGCCTTTTCTTGGTATAGAATCCATAAAATCACTTTCTTTTCTTAAGTAGGGCTTATTTTTTGTTTGTGAGTATGTCCTTTACGCTGGGTGCCAGTTGTAGGCATCATGGAATCTTTAACTTTGCGAGAAAGGGTGGTTTTTGGTACTCCATAGCGCTGGGCAGCCTTCCGGAGGGACAGATCGTCACTGTTCACGGCGGCTATCGCCTCAGCAAGGTCTTCTTCGGTGTATAAAGGCGCCATTTCAACGTATTGAAGCTTATAATGCTTGCAAAAAAAAAAAAAGGAAAAAAAGAACCACAGAACTTCTGCCTGGTTGGAGGGGATAGGGGGCACAGGTCCCATTACCCCTCAGATTAGGGCCGGACGTGCTAACTTCCGACCCCCGCCACGGGACATCCGCTGTAGGACACCTAATAAAATCCACATTGGAAGAAACACCAAGAAAAGGCAATTCAGACGATATATTTATGATATCTACAGCTTCAATCCCGATAGAGATGTGGGTGGGTGCAAATGTTGTGTTTTGGGGGGGAACTGTCCCATCTGCATGCCCCCGCCGTTATATAAGCTAGATCTGGCCAACGGCCATCCGCAACCCCCTTTTCTTTCTCAGAGCTTCTAGTGCGTCTAGTGTTTGACGCAACACAGTACCTCCCACACAGCTTCACCTGGCAATATGACAGCCAACGCCTCCAAGCCAATTCGCGTGTGGATCACTCGTAGGTGACCCCTAAAGTGAGACTCATGGGGCTCCAGTGCTGACTGTCGTTGTCAGCCCCTGGTCCCAACTCGTGGAAGGTATGTCAAGAGTTACTTGGCATCCGTGTCAACATAACCTTTTGCTGACATCCTTTCAAGACCATCTTCCTCCGGGAGGAGCTCGGGCTGAACTACGAGATCAAGGCGTTCCGCTTTGACGACGTCAAGAAGAAGCCATTCATCGATATCAACCCCAACGGTCGCGTGCCGGCGATCGAGGATCCCAACACGGATCTCACTTTGTGGGAGTCGGGTGCCATCTCTCAATACCTCATCGAGGAGTACGACCTCGACAAGAGATTGGCGTACACCTCCTTGAAGGAGAAGAACTTGTGCAACCAATGGCTACACTTCCAGATGAGCGGCCAAGGCCCCTACTACGGCGTGTGCAGCTGGTTTCAGCACCTGCATCCGGAGAAGATCCCGTCGGCCATTGAGCGATACGCCGATCAGATCAAGCGCGTGCTCTCTGTCCTAGAGAGTGTGCTGGTAGCCAAACCGGCGGATGCCCAATGGCTGGTCGGCGACAAGATGACCTATGCTAATATGGCCTTTGTGCCATGGAACTTCCGCCTCAGCGAGGTTCTGGTGCAGTCATGGGACGAAGTGTGGGAGGGCACGCCACATGTTCGTGCTTGGCATGAGCGGATGATCGAGCTGCCTTCGTGGAAGCGGTCCATGGAGCACCGCGCCCGCTGCATGGACGAGCAGGGTCTTCAGTGGAATGGTGCCCCCAAGGGCATCGAGACTTTCACTGACTATGAAGTCAAGATAGCCGCTGGCGAGGACACCACGGCGAAGGAGTGAGCGTACGCGGCATAACTTACTAGCTTGGATTATGTTGCAGCAGTCAAAGGTTTTCTGTGTCCAGGTAGCAAGGTTGTAATCCTATCGAGTACTCGTAACGATCGTCTCAATGCGAAACAATTGCCAATCATGCATAAGTTGCATAGCCGAGTCTACTTGTTCATAATAGATCGTGCAGTGTTTACTGAGTTCATAATCCGGGTCTATCAATGAATAACAACGAAATAATGCATTGTTCGCCGATGAGAAACATCGTGACAGTGTCACGAAGAAGGGTATTGGTCTTCTGTTCAGAACTTGGTGATCACATGTACATACGAAGCCCAGATGGACGCAGAATATCTAATCACATCCCAGCTACAAGTCCTTATCCTCACGGCTTCCTCCCAATGACCGTCCACCGCACCGTAGTCACATAGGCCCCATTCTTTGTCTCGTCAACCGGGCAAGATTCGTTGAGAGCAAGTTCTTTTATCAATCTGCCCCTGATAGATAGCTGTTCTTAAAGGACCAGATGGATGACCCCAAAGTCATACCACCGCAACAACGGGGATGGGCTCGTGAGCGGGACTGACTGTACTTATTATCTTGATACCTCCACAACCCTGTGATGCAGAGGCTCTGGGAGGCGTGGTTTGCACTACTGAGGAGCGATCCCCCACGTTAAATACAATCATCATCATCACTTCGTCTCGTCAACCGAGCGCGGAAGCAGGTGCGCCAGCTCCTTCGCCATCCGCTCGTTCTGCGTCTTGCGAGCAATGAGCTCATGTATCATGAGGCTGCACTCATGCAGCATGAAGGCCAGATGGGACGGGGCATCGCAGACATCCGTCTCCACGTCAACGAAGCCGCTGTCGGAGAAGAGGTCCGGCAGGTCTTTTTGCCAGGTCGGGTTCAGCCGCGGGTCCTGGACCGCCATGAGCTTCATCATCTCGCTCAGGTTCTCGGTCTTGCATTCTGGCTTTGTCTTGTCGATGCGGATGGATGAGTAGTCGGGCTCTCCCCATTGCAGGTAGCCTCCGGGCTCTGGGACCCAGATCGGGTGGTTAGCTCAAGTGTTACTATCGGAACTGTACAGGGGTAACCCACTGAGCAGCTTGAAGAGCCTCTCCACGACGCGAGGCACTTCTTCATTCAGCAGGACGAAGGAGAAAAAGCAGACGTGCACGACGTCGAAGACGTTGACAAGGTCTTCGGGGACGTCATTCTTGACGTTCCAGTGTCGGAAACTCACATTGGAGGGCAATGTCTCAGGGGGCGGAGCCGCATCAAACGAGATGTCGAACCCCTCCAGCTGGGCCGACTTGGACAGTTTGGTTCCAACATCGAAGAGCCAGATCCTTGAGTCAAGGATCAGTCAAGGACTTTCCACGATATAGGATAGGGGTGCTCTGCTGACCCTGTGCCTGTCCCGACGTCTGCCACCCGTAGGTCCGGACTCCCGGTGGGGATCTTGGGATGGATGAGATATCCGAAGATTTTGGCCCATAGGGTGTGCATCAAATTGATGCTATGGTGGGAGCGTCGTCAGTGCCGATTTTATATGCCTTTTGGACACTGTACAGTAGGAGCCCATGGAGTTTGAACGTACCGGTTATTGTCGAGAAAGTCCCGGGTGAAGACGTATTCAGCTTTGGTAGACATTGCTAGGTCGTTGAGGGAAACACTTTTTGATAGCCTGCTTGGAACGGAACTAGGGTCGGAAGGGGGGCGATTGTTAGAATTTCGTCCGCAGAACGACGTGGAGGATGAAGCGGAGGAAGAGTCGGCACTTCAACGCAGAACAGAACGTGTAACACCCAGCTAACACTCGGCTGGCTGGCTGGCTCCTCACATACAAGCAAGGATGTGCCGCCGACCCTGAACTCTAGCCTGCGGTAGAACGACACTTCCCCTCCAGCGCAGCCTCAAATCTTATTGGTTCAATCTTGACTGTTGGTCCGTTGGCTGTTGGCTGTTGGCTGTTGGTACCTTGGTACGTCGGTTGATCATTGGTTGGCTGGTTGAGCGCCAGCATGGTTTACAGGGGGTCTTTTGGTTGTTTGGATGCGGCAAAGAACGGCTGGGATAATTCAGTGGCAGGTCTTCCTACCGAAAGTATCATGGGTGGTTCGAGTAAGTTGCTTGCAAAGTTACGCTGGATCCTTCAACACCCCTGGCCTGAATACGCACCCCGGCATGAGCCATTGTTTGATTTGAAAGTGTGGGTATTGAGTATACCCGAGTGCTTATTCTGGGCACGATCAATCCCTACCCTGCATCATTATTACCTTGTTTGGAGGTGCACGAGACCACTGCACGAGAAGAGTGCTGGCGATATGCTTGTGTGTAAGGCCTGTAGGGAAATACTGAAGCTTGTTACAAACCAACAAAGACATACAGGGGAAGAGGCCCGATGACAGGCCCAACGGAAGAGACAGGGACGGAAGAGAACCAGGAAGACACACGGACCACGGACCAAGAGCAAGGATCACGTGACCTATGTATCACGTGACGGATATGTTGGATCATACATATCCAACATATCCGGATATGCTGGATCATACATATCCAACATATCCACCTCATCGGTGAGGGAGAGACTGGATATATAAGGATAAACATTTCCTAGCTAGACAAATAAACAGTCTCTATCTCAGTGATCAATCTAAGCATCTTAGCCAACCCTAAGGTGGGAGAAATCTCCTGATGACTCGACTATTCAGTGATGCCCTGGATCAGACCAAGCCCCAGCATCTGAGTGTCTTCTAATTGACAGAAGCCTCTATCGTCCTTTGTGTTGACTTACCTCAGAACATAAACCCTATAGAACCCTTTAGCCTTATAGGTTAGACGGCTCGTCACAAAGCTCTGAGGGGTGCGGTGTGTTTGATATGGAGGCGATGCATTGCAACAATCCCGAGTAGATGACTAAAAGAAAAAGCTTGTCAAGGCGAGGTTTGTAACATGCTGTCTTTTCGGTTTCTATGTCTTCTAGCTATCTCCTTTCTAATCATAACTCATGCCCGTTCTATTCATATCGCTTCATACAATTTCATATCATCATGCTGTCATTAGTAATTCCATACCCAGTCATTCTTCCCTTTCTCCACACGTTGAGCACAACTGCCAACCAAAGCTCACCTGTTCGAATCAACCGGTCGAAGGGCTCCCCATAGTACCATAGCTCGGTCCTCCCTTCTTCAAGAGCCTCTGAGAAGCGCAAGGAAACCTCCTAGCCTTCCGGGCCGGTACGCGAGCGCGTTTCCTGCCCGGCGCCGTCACTCCAGCGCCGCCCTCGAGATCCTCGTCTTCCGCGTAAGCCCGGCCCTTCCCCTTGACCAAGCGACCCAGTCGCGCCACAAGGCCATATACGAGATACGCCGCGACCAAGAGACACAGAGCACCCATAGCCAGGTACGACATCGGCGTGCCGCCCAGTCCGTACAGCGTGTCGAGGATTCCGATCAGGGACATGAGGAGTGTCATGCCACTGGCGAAGCCGTATACAGCACGACGACGCTGTGGTCTGATTCTGTCGTCTACTATCATCGATGCGAGGAAGTAGACGAAGACTAGTAGCGGCACGTAGATGACGGCCCATGCTGCAGTGAGGAGCAGGGCGTCGGCGGGAGAGACGGATTCTCGTGTCCGGGGCATTGTCATCAACAGGACTACATGTACCAATGCTGAGAAGGCCGATACGGGCAGTGCGAGCGCGAGCCACGGTCGGTTGATGTAGAAGCAGTATTCGGGCCCCGAATAGGAGTCCTTCAACGTCTTCAACATGTCGTCCACCTCTTTCCCGACGTCGACTTCGCCAGTCACTGTTGATACCTGCGTCTGTGACGTTGGGGAAAGCGTCGGGTCGCCCTCGCCGAACCGATCCAAGCTCGCATGGTCGTCGTTTGTCTTCCGCTGGTCATCGTGCTCTGAAAGTTGCTCGTAACCTCGGCGTTTCCACTTGAGCCTCGAGAATGAGCACATAGCGCGGAACTGCACCCTTCGATCGAACCACAAGCCGCAGAGATAGTCGGCGAACGCTCTGAAGGGCATTGCGCAGAACATAAGGGCAGCGATGTGCTCCAAGGTCCACAGCTCACTGGCAGTGGAGGGCCCCATGTTGTGAATGTCAACAAACCTGAGCGTAACCCAGACGGTCAGTGCCAATATGCAGAAGACCTAATCCATTAGTCAGTCATACTTCTGTGCGAGTCGAAGATACCTTGTAGGGGCAAAATTTACCTCGGCGCCAATGGAACTCAAGAGGTCGGCATACATTCGCAGGACAAGCCAGAAAGCAAGGAAGGGGCGGACGACCAGCAACCTCGTCCGCTGCTCACAGCGAACACAGGCGATGTGCTCCCCTATCGCCGGTTCTTCCATCAAGCCCCGGTAGTTCCTGTACCATCGAGAGACGAGGCCGCCGGGGATTTCGTACAGCTTCAGCAGGCCAAAGACCAGTCCAACGAGCAGCAAAGCGACGATGACGTAGACCCCAGGGAAGAGCGCCGCGCCAATGCCGTGTTGGATTCCCAGCTTGGAGTTCCCGTTGGCGAAGTAACATATAGCACTCCTCCCCAGGATATCTTCCATTTTCTCGGGCTTCTGCGCGAGCGCCATTTTCATGCGAGCAGTGGGCACCATGGAGGCGGCAAGGACGCAGATGAAGCATATTAGGAGCATCAGCCTCCACGCACGCTGATTGGGCCGCCTGGCGTAATAGTCGCGCAGGTATACGAGGGCCGCAAGCTGCGTGATGAGCGAGAACCAGCTGTGAAGATTGTCAGTGGCATATTGCAGGCGTCGCGACTTGGCTAGGTACTCACGCCAGTCCGATGAGGAGCCACCAGTGATACGCCGACAGCCCGCTGAATAAGGATGCGTAGCCGTAGATGAGCACAGCTAGTCCCATGCCCAGCTGGACGTCGCCCATGGTCAGGATGTACTACCGCCAAGTCAGCATGAAGTGACCATTTGGAGTTGGGGGAATGGGCTGCCGTCGACTTACCTGATCGCATGCCACCCGCAGAGCACTCTCATGCAGCGGGCCATTTGGCGAGCCCAACTTGAGACCCAGGACAGCGCGGAACCGCCACAAGAAAATCGCGTCGACTGGGTTCGGCGGTATCGACGACGGCCTGACTGCCAGCGGGTTGTGGAAGAACAGGTACTGGACCAACAGACCCATGACTGCCACGCCGGCACTGCCGACGACGACGATGAGCGGCTACAAGCACCGTTGATCAGAGATGTTCCAACGACACGCCCTCGAATGAAGAGATAACGTACCACGACGCCCGCCAGGTCCGGCTGCTGCAGCATCCCGACAGACCGCGACGGTCCATCGCACTCCCACATGGCGTCCATATGACCTACCTTACCTTACCTTACCTTACGCCAAGTCACTCACCCAGCGACTCCAGACATCGAAAGAAGAAAGGAAAACAAGAGAACCCATGCTCGAGGGTTATAACAGAAAAGGTCTTCCCTCGCTGGCACCCGCAGAGCGCGACGTGTCAAGCGGTGAGACGGCGAGACCGTCGAATAGTTTGGTTCAGGTGGTCCACCCGACGATCTGCGACCCGCACGATTGCTGGCGCGGGCCGCAACATGCCCACGGCACCGCGCCGGTTGTCCTGCGGTAATATCCTACCTAATTGCCGTGAAGAGCATAGAGTTGCTAATTTTGTGCATTGGATGCCATGGTGCTGAATATCCTATGTACACTCGAGTGAGGTCTTGGAGGTGAGGTGGGCTTGTTGCCAAATGAAGGACTCTTTTTACCTTTGACCGACTAGCGCCTGAATCGCGAATACACCTTCCTCTAGCCATTTCGGGCCCATTTCAAGCCCCTGAGAATCCCCTGAAGACGTCGTTGAAGATGGGGTAAAAAAGCCATGCAAGGCTTCCCTCAGAAGAGACATGATTCTCAACTACTCCTCCGTGTCGCCGCTATCTTCCGTCACCATCGCAAAAGTATTTCCAATTCATCAAGATTGATAGCCCATTCCACATCCTCAAAGCCCGCGCGCGTCTTAATCTCGACCTGAACATCATCATCCGGCTCCATGACAACAGAAGTGACATTAGTATTCACGGTAGTCGGCATCCTCCCGCCGCCCTCTACCGACTTCATATCAAACCTCACAATAAAGACCGCAACGACGGCGAGGACCTCATTGGTCGCAAAGTGCCGCCCGGGACACAGCGTCTTGCCGCCCCCGAAGGCGCGGAAGCAGACATCGCGAGGGCGGTTCTGCTTCTCCTCGGGGAGGAACCGGCGGGGCTCGAAGTCCTCGATGTTGGGGCCTCAGAGGCTGGCGTCCTGGTGGATGATGCGGCTCGGCATCTGCAACATGGCGCCCTTCTTCAGCAGCCACTGGTCGAGGTAAGTGTCTTCCATCACCTCGCGCACGGTTGTGCCCATGGAGCGGTGGCGGAGTACCTCCTGGTACGAGGAGAGCAGAAGGGAAGCTCTCCTTGAGGACGTTAATATCGAGGGCCCTGACGGTGGTACCGGTCTCGGTGGTGGTGGTGGTGGTGCAGGCGTCGACCTCCTTCCTGACATCATCAAGGAGACCTGGGTGAGAATAGAGTATAAGCAGAGTCCAGAAGGCTGCGGGCGCCGTGTTTACCAGGATTGCAATGGAGCCTCCAACCTCATAGCGGGCGATATCTTCCAGCGGGACGTTATCCATCTCTGCCTGGTATCGTTTCTGAGCGAGAGTCGATGCCTCATTACTCCCCGGCTCGATGATATGTTTCGAAAGCATTCGCAACCTTGGCTCGAGCCGCAACGGCCTTCCGAGCGGTGATGCCAGGAAGGAAACCCACCAGTATCGACATGAGGCCGCTTTCGAATTCCCTAAGCCCGAACGTGATTAGATCAGACTTAGTCGTCGCCCGGAACCCTGGTTGTAGGTCTCACTCACCAGAATGCATCGGCAATAGCCTTATCGTCGTATGGATTCATCGGTCCGTATACGGACCTGGTCGTAGCCGTTGTTATGGCATCCCTCAGCCAGGCGTACATGCCAACCTTGCGGGACCCCCCTTTACCCGGCTGTAGCTGATCGAGCGATTTTGCAATCTCTTTGATCATCACGCGGTTCATGTCGTCCAGCTCCAAACCGGGCTTGAGGGCGGCCCTCATTGCGGCGTAAGAGTCCATCGACAGACCGAAATCTCCCTCATCGCCATTGACATTCTTGGCCAGGATTGCCTGGGCCTCGAGACTGGCTCCATAGACCTTGGACGCGAATTTGGCTGCGATAGGTGGGAATGCGAGGACCCTGTGTTGCTTCTGCACTGTCTGGATGAGGTCCGGCTGCGTTATCACGTACATCTTCTGCCCCGGAAGGGCCATCGTAAAGATGGGGGAAGCCGTTTGCTGGCTGCGATAAGGGTTGAGTAAAGCTCTTCTTATTCACGTGAGTAGCAAGGTGCGATGGCATACCTGAGCTCGACATAATAGTTGAACTTGCTCCGTGATGGCCCAATCATGTGGCCGACGATGGGAATCGACTGCCGGGCCAGGGGAGGCTCACGAGAATCATGACCGAACAATCTGCGTACGGCGAAGTAGGTGAAAGTGAGAATACCGGTGAACGTGACAAGCAGAATGGGGTTGCTGATAGTAGAGGACATGATGGTGACAGCGAAATGGACAGGCCAAGGGGAGTGTTCAAGCGAGTCCAGAATATAGCGCTCGCCATGTGGTAGGCAGTCCTTTGTAAGAATACTTCCAATGCAGTTACCAATTTCTGCTAAGCGCGCGAGAGGCCGGCAGCCTGGCCCCTGTGAAGCGGGAGTACTGTGTAACCAACAGAATGCAGATGGCAGCTGTGCCTCAACCCCCAGCCAGTGATGTTCCAGTACCACGGTTTGGCCCTTGGCGGATGCAAGGGACAGCCTCCTGCCATCCTGCCATCCTGCCACCTCCTAGAGGCTCAAGCCCCTATTCACGAATCTCCCTTCTTCGCCTTCGCAGCCATACTCTTCGTAGCCGCCTCGACAGCCCCCTCCACCGCGTCGTCATTGAAGCCTGTCCTGAACTCCTCCAGATACGCCGGCACCTTCTCAACCCGATTATACGGGCTCGGCATCGGCTCCCCCATGGCGTAATGCACGGGCACGACCCCGGTCCACTACAATAACAACAAGAAGAGTCAGCAATCGTCTTTTCATCACACACTTAGGAAGCCAGTTCATGAAGATGGCACTCACCACCCGATCCAGCAGCGCACCATCCTCCATATCCGCCCTGTCATCAGACGGCATACCCGTTCGGACCTTCGCACTCCCCGCCGCAATGCTCACCCTCAGCACGCTCGTACTCTGCATCTCGGCACCATTAGGCGGGACGCGCGTGCCGGCCCAGCGACCGCGCACGATGCCCTCCGTGATCAGCTGCATGGCGTACAGCTTCTCGGCGACGTCGGTCACGGGCACGGCTTGGCCGAACAGCGTCGCCGACCGGTAGTTGTAGCTGTGGCTGTTGGGCGTGAGCGAGAGCACGAGGCCGTCGACGTGGCTGGCGCCGATGGTGATGGGGAGGCCGTTTGCCTCTGCTGATCCGTTGTCGTCGGCCTTGCGCGCTAGGTTCATGAGACGCGATGACACGTAGCCGTGTAGGTACAGTTCCAGCACGTCGCCCGTGTCGGCGCTGGGGCGCGCGAACGAGCCCATCTGTCCGATCATGGGCAGCATGGTTGGGAACGGCGAGTCGGGCGCCGCGAAGGAGACGTGGAGGATTGGGCACGTATTGACGATCTGGTGGATCGTCTCTAGCGCATATGAGGCTTGGGGTCGATGGTCAGTCGGGGAGTACTGGCTGGTGTGTAGAGAGTTCGTGGGGGGCTGGTTCTCACCTCGCGTGTCATAGCGGTTGACCTTACTGTAGGGCTGCGTGGGGTATTTAAGCGTGGTTGACGGCATATTGAAGGGGAGCTCCTTGTCACTTCCTGCTCGTATCGGCGATGCTATCTTGAGTTTCTTTACTGATGAGTGAGTATTGGCATACTATCTGGACTGCAGCAGTTGGTTTGCGTTGAAGGAAAGCTCAGGGGGCTCAATCTGTGGACAAGATGATGGACGATATAGTCAGAGCAAACGAGTCGTTGAAGGGCTCCTTTTATTATCAAATGAAGCACCGGTAATAGGTAACTTATCGTGAACCCCTGAGTCACGATCGCATACTCCTACGATGTCTCTACCAAAACCCATTTTCGCTCCCGGGGCCCCTCGTAGACAGACGTCCCCGAATGCAAGACCAACTAGCGATGCGTACCCAAGCTTCAAATCGAGAACGCATGATTGGCTGCCTCCTATGCGGATAGCCATCCGACGGTGGGGAAGTGTCTGGAGAAAGCAAGAACTATACTGTACTTGGAATGTCCTTCCGCGGAACTTTAAGTCTTCGGGAGCTGGTCTCGTGGCTGGCAACTCGATGCTGTGGATGTGCATTGTGAAGATGTTCGGGATCTGATAGGGAGTCATCGGCCCCAGAGATCGCTCAGCAGCGACAGCAGCGCCACAGTGGCTCAACCCCGTCAACCCATCCCCTGATCCGCCCATCCCCAAACGCTCCAGCCACAACCTCAAGCTCCACCAAAAAACATATCCGAACCACCAACTCCAGAACCTCGGAATCGAAGCACAGCTCTTCTCGAGCGCAGCTTAGCCCACCATTGACAACGACAACCACCACCGGCGCCCAACATGGCGAAGAAAGGTACCTTACCTATTTGACCTCCATCCCCCGTCACTGTCCCCACAGAGACGCAAGAAGCAAAACAGCTGACCAGCCGCCCCCCAACAGTAAAGTCCCGCGTGATCTCTGTGCGCCTGCTCTCGATGGCCATGACCGGCTTCTTCTACCAGTTCGCGCGCCCGCGGACGTCGCGGCCCATGAGCATGCTGAAATACGATCCCGTCGGTACGTGTCCCGTCTCCCGTCTCTCCTCCGCGCCCGCGCCTGTACATCCGATCACCCGCTTTGCGCCCTTCGAACACCGCCGCCTCAAACATGGGAAGTCCTGAAGGAAACGTCTCGGTCGCAACCGCACGCAACTACCCAGTCTTCCGCCGCCCCCTGTCTATGGCTTGAGGTCGGTGCTTGGGGTAGCAGCACAAGATGTGGCAGACGCCAGCGGAACTCTTTGGGACATCTTCGTGGCCGCCTAAACCTTGGAGCTCTTGTGGCTGACGTATATCTTTGCCTCTAGTACGGAAGAAGGTTCTGTTCCTCGAGCAGAAGCGGAAAGGGAAATAGGCCTACCCTCAAGCGTGTGTACGATACGATCTGAGCCACGAAACCGCGAGATCCCCCTGGACTACGCCCAGGTTCCCCGGATATGCCCGGTGCGCGGTTGATGGCCCTTCAGACAATGTCCAATGTTTTTACTTCCTCCAGGGGAGGATAGACCAGCAACCCTATATATTTGGTCCTGCGTGTGTGTATATACTTGTACTACTTTCAAGAGTTGGAAGCTGCATCAGGGGTGGAGTGAGTACCAAGAAAGGGTGTATTATTATAAATCTGGTGCCCTCGGCTCTTTTACATACAGCAAACTTTCATCCGATCCATCACTTGCAAATTCCTTCCGCCAGCTACCGCCATTATCCGTGGAGTAGAGTCCGTTTTCCCCGCTCTAGAGTTGCGAATGACTCACATACTTCGGCCCTGTATATGAATGATGGTTCCATATTCTTCGTTTGTCGTCGAGATACAGGCCACGCAAGGCTGTGATTCAATCTGGTCTGTTTCAATATTTCTCTCCGTGCTTAGTGCGAGCTTTTCATTGTCTGATGTGAGCAAAGTAACAAATTCCCGAGAAGGGTTCAGCAAATGTCGAGAGAAATGCCGTCGTGGGTCGAAAAATTAGCTGGATTTCACCCTAGAGTGACAACTGGTCGCATCGAGCGTAGTCCAGCATAGCTACTTCTAGCTTGCTCAGGTAGGCTTGGAGTGTTATACATCGGCCCTGATCTCTTTGCATCCTCTATACTTCGATGCATGTCTTGGCTGGCTGTTAATCTCATGCTTTAACCGGCATCGTTCGTACCGTCGTTGTCGATTGAAGATATGCTTATGGTTCTCGGGTTCCGTATGTGATGATGGAAGACGGCTTTCTCTTCAGAGGACCACCACGCATGGGCTGCGGTTGCGAATGCGATAGCTGAGGCTTCTTCTCCCTTTCGACAGGTTCGGGGAAGTACACAGACATGGAGCGAGATAGTTTGGGCCTCTGGTTTTCCGGTCGAAGCCGCTTAGCACGACGATCGACACTGCTCATAACTTCATTGCGAGAATTTAGACCGGCTTCTGGACTCGTATACTCTATCGGAGCCTCAGGCCGTGTGCTAGTGCTGCGCTTGCGAGTCTGCGATGGTTTCGTGGGTTCAGGCAGCTCGGCGTCTTGGTCCTGACCTCCCTCGATCGACCCGGCCACGGGGCGGTTATAAGAGCTGTGGCTGACTGGAGGCACCTTTGAGCCACATTTTGCTACTCTTCGCTTATTCGGTACGGGTGTCTCCTTTTGGATGGGAGTGTGCACAGAAGCGTCGCCTTTCTCCATGGATTCCAGTTCTTTCGATGCGCTCCGGGTAACTCTCTTGATGATGCCCCGTGGAGCAGCAATTTGACGCCTGGTAGTCTTCTCCTGCTCCACAGACATAGGTGAGATCAAAGCATCGTCAGCGTCGGTAATTGGGGATTTGATTACAACTCGTCGGTGGTATGCGAGTTGATCTATAGCATCTTGTTGGGATGCGCTTTTCTTGACGCCATCAGCGTTGCTCGTCGATGCAGCGGCTTGGCTGCCGTCAATGGCTGTGCGGTGATGAGTCAGCCGGCCTCCATAGTGCTCAGAAGTGGCTGTCAATTTCTTCTGAATGTCAAGGAACTCCATCATCTGTTTGTTCACCTCGGCCGATTTGGGTTGCTCGCTGGTAAGCCTTCGTACGACCTGGTCGAGCTGTCCAAGTTGATGTCTATCATCCGCCCAGTCCTCAAGCCCCTTTTGAAGGGCTTGTTTCGAAGCCTCAGACGTTTGTATTTCCGGTGTGAACGTTTTCACCAGTTTCAGCAGCATGGCCATCTCGTCTTGCATACCTCTGAAGGTTTCCTCCATGTTGGTCACGTCCTTCGCTGCCTCCTGTGCCCCCAGGAGATCCTGTTGAAGCTGGACGCAAGTCGTTTCAGCATCCTGTAGGCGTTTCTGCAGCTCCTCTTGTTCTCCTTGGGCTTTCTGTGCCTCTTTTGCCACAGCCTCGGTAACTGCCTGCTTCCCTTGTTGAATACTGGTATTGATTGCCTGCTTGTGCTTCTCGCAATCGCTGCGTATCTGGTCTTCTTTGTCTTGTAGTTTGCGGCTCTGGACCTTGACTTCCTCCTGCGCAGCTGTCAGTTTCTCATCTGATTGGGTCATGGCTAGCTCTTTCTCGCTGAGTCCCTGCCTGAGATAGACCATCTGGGTTTTGAGACTCTCGGCTTGTTGTTGTGCCTCGTTATTGGCATTCGCGGCGTTCTTGAGGGCCTCAACTTCTCGTTTAAGCTGTTCTTCGGCTGCTTTTCGAGCGTTGGCTTCGTTTTGCATCTGGTTGATTTGGTCTTTGAGCTGATTGATCTTCTGCGCTTGTTCTTCCTTGACCCGATTAGTATTGCGAAACTTTTCCTCCCACTCTGAAGCCTGTTCCTGGTTGCGGATTCTTTCGCAGAGGTCTTGACAACTAGTGCGGATTGACTCAATGTTCTTGCTCAAGATTCGATCGCTCTCAGAAGGTGACTGGTTGGCTGAAATAGCATCATGTACGCCTGTGATCATGCTTGCCACCAGTTAGTGAGTGTCTTATTCAAGAGAGCCATCTTACCTACGCTTCGATGGCCTCTGTCTGAATGGTCTTGAGACTCTCGACCAACGTGTTTGGATCAAGAGCAGCGGATCTTGCCTCTTCTAGTGCCTTGAGGATCGTTTCAATCCTGGTTCAGGTCAGTCATCGTATTTTTCCTGTTGTCAAGAGCCACGTATGTGTCTGGGCTCCCTACTTTTCGTTCTGCTGTTGTACGCAGAATTGTGTGCTCTCAGCCTGGGATCGGTCTCGCTCCGTATCTTCCGTCAGCTGCTTGTTTCGCTCGCCCAGAGAGTGAACCGCTTCGGCATTCAGATTGTTGATCTGTGACAACTGCTCGCGAAGGTCTTTAGCATGTTCTTTCTCGCGGCCGACTTCGTTCTCGCGTTCTGTCAGCTGAACCTTGAGCGTCGTGATAGTCTTGTTCACTAGATTGGATCAGCTTCTCGCTCCGGACAGTCTTACCATAGTACTTACACTGCTCGAACTCATTCTGGGACTCGCTCACGACAGCGGCAACCTTCTGCTCCATCTCGGCTCTAGTTGACTCGGAGACCCGGATGGCTTCTCCCATGGCCTCCTGACGGATCTTCTCATCGGCTTTGATTGCTTCGATTGCCTTTTGACACTTTCCCATGCAAGTTTCGTAGAGGTCCTGCTGTTCCTTGGTAGCTTTGTTCAAGTGATCACGACAACTTTGTAGGTTCTCTTCGAGTCTCTTGATCTTAGCCGACGAATTAGCTAGACGCTCCTGCTGGTATTGATACGAAGCTTCGGCTTCTTCGTTCTCGTTCAGTAAACCAGCGATTGCTTGATCTCGTTCCTTGATTTGTTCAGTAAAACATTCGATCTCCTCCTCCCGCGCAGTAACTTGGTTCGACAACGATTCAATCTTCTTAGCCCAGTTATCTCTAAGCTCGATGTCATAGAGAGCACTGATGTTCCATGCTTTAGCCATATCGCTGCGACGTCTGTTACTTCCTTCCAAGGTGTGGCTTGACGGCTTCCGATGAGACTTCCTCGGCGGTGCGCGCGAAACTCCTATATTCGAAGCTCGGGAACGCGACCGAACGGATGCCGCTGATGCAACTGATGCCGCGCGTTCCTCGACCGGTTTAACCATGGGTAGAGGTCGAGTCGTGACTTGAGGTGCGCGAGGTCGATTCATGACCTGGATTGCGTACTCAGCAGCGCGGGACCGTTTCGTTGGATTGCCCTGGGCAGCACGGGACCGTCTCGTTGGAGTGCCCTGGGCATGGAAAGCAAGATCACCTGGAGGGGCGTGACGGCCTTGACGTTCATGGCGGTCTTGACGTTCGTGGTGGTCTTGACATTCCTGGCGGTCTTGACTTTCGTGGTGGTCTTGACGTTCGTTGTGGACTTGACGTTCGTTGTGGACTTGACGTTCGTGGTGATGTGATCGCTTCTGGGGTTCCGCCGGAAATTCGTGGGGTGGAGCAACCTGAGCCGCCACAGACTTGTTGGTTGCCCTTCCCGAAGTATTCGTTGAGGCCCTCGCCGTCGCAAGGCCACGACGTCTTGGAGAAGCCTGAGACAGAGCTACCCGCTGGATATCCGCGATGTTCTTTGGGAGCTTAGGTGGGTTGTGGAAGGCTGGAGCCGGGATGGCCTTTCGACTTCGGCTCATTCTTTTCGCAGGACTGCCTGCATCCTGAAATGGGAAATCCGGCGAATTTGGAACAGTGTCTGCCGGCATCGCATTCACCTCTTCGTCTTCATGGAAGCTGTGCTCCGATCGTGGCTGATCACCAATAACGGTTGGTTCGTTGTGTCTGCTAGTGCTCGCGTGTGCAACGGGACCGACAGTCGGCTTCGCCCTGTCCTGGGATACATCTGCTCCGGCAAACGTACCGCTGGGGTCTGGCATATCGGTCACGACTTGGTCTTGCTGTGCTTGTGATTGCCGTATTGAGATGGCAGGAGGGCACCGAGCTGGGTCTTTTTGCCGAGAAGCTGGAGCAGTCAACATGGGGTGTGGTGTCGGGGGCTTGCTATAGTTGAAACCAACTGCAAGCTCCTCTGCTGTTTGAAAGTTATCTTTGCGCGTGATTAACTTGACAGTGCTATGTTGTGCTGGCTGTGGCATCTCGGTCGGTTGAGAGAATGAAGGTTCATCGTCATAGTCATCGGGGAATCCGATGGTATCCGTATCTTGGGACTCCATCATGGTATCATCAAAACTGGTCTCAGTGAACTGTGACTCTAGCATCTGCGACTCTGGAATCTGCGACTCTGGAATCTGCGACTCTGGAATCTGCGACTCTGGGATAAGTGACTCTCGGATCTGTGACTCTCGGATCTGTGACTCCGGGGCCGTTCTGAGTTGTGAAGATGTGTGGTGCGTGGGTCTGCCTGGAGGCGGACCCATCGTAGACTTTTGGGGCGACATGATGTTGATCGTGGAGAGATCACGGCCAAGGTGTACTCAAGGGAACCAAGGGGTAAACATCGAGTCACGAGGCTGATTTAGGTGAACGGGCCCGTCAACTGGGGCCGGTGATAGAAGCCGACGGGGATGGTTCGTACTCGGCAACCAGCCTCTGAGGTGTATTTGGTGCTGTCTCCTTGCCGAGAACAGAAGTCGATTTGTTAGACTAAACGGCGATGCACCATCACATGCAGGTCTGCATTACGATGATGATTGAAGTCTCCTACGAGTGAGCCACAGGGACACCAGGCCGACAAGCTGTGGTGGTGTCGGATCTGGGTAAGAGGCAGGGCGTGAAGAGTGGCAAAGTAAAGGGAGCGGAGGGCAGAGAAAAATGCACTGCTGCCTGGAGTGGCACTTGGCCGCTTTGGTGTTCGGACTCATGGGCGTTATGGAACTCGCGACTTCCCCGGGCGGTGTTGCTGGCGTGCCTTCCGTGAAAGTTCCAACTCAGGGGTAACTTAGTGGATCAGCTCGGAGCGCGCCCCTTTCAGATGCCCCAGCATGCGTGAAGCACACCACATAAGTGTTGAAGTATACCCTGTTTATAGCTTCTGTACTTCTCACGGCAGAAAGAGCCAGTAATCGTCATACCAACTTACCTGCGACTGTGATATGCGTGGTGTAACTCTGCTTCCTGCGCACTGATATAAAGATCCGTAGATAGGGGCAGGCACTCACAAGAACTGGCTCCCGCATTTCGACCTCTCTCCAGCGGCTATTTCAACGAAAGACGTGGTTAATCAGTTGCCAGAGCCGACGGGTAAATGTGAGATGCAGTTTGCCAGCTCAAGCGGTGTTGAGAGTCCTGCACCACGTGCAAAAGTCGTGTCCCTTCAGACTGTCATTGCTGTCAAAGCCGAACGGCGCTCAATCAACCACCCACTCTGGAACGGTGCTGTATTTGAGTTATACTACAATGGTTACAGGAATGCCTCAGCTCGCATCCTTTTCCAGGTGCCCATCTAATGTCTTCTGGAGACTGAGAGCTAAGCACATACGCCGGAGTCTGTATTGTGCACGAACTCTCCATCGCAGTCATGGGTTCGAACTCGCCTCCGAAGGTGAGGAGTGCTCCCGGTGCACGAGATCAGTGCGAAAGCGAACCACACCATGTTCTAAACGACGATTAATTTCGATTCTATTTTGGGACGTCCCTCGCCTGATGAGACACCTGCCTGCAAGTCTATAAGCGCCGGTAGTCGGCGCCAGAGCCTGCTGCGACTGCGACCAGTTCAAGGCGGCGGCGACACATCAAATCCTCTACACGCAGCCAGGCGGCTTAGAACGGAGGTGAGCTTGATCAACCGACCTTGGCTAAATGATCAAGGCCGAATATACAGATGACGTTCATGCAGACCAAAGTGCTTGCCCTCGCTGTCAGCTTGGTGGCCGAGGGCTGCGAACCTCTACCTAGTGCCGTTAAACCAGGTACGATGCGAATCAAGAAGGCGTATAGGTACGAAGACGCGTGAAAACCGACATAGTAAGAATAGGCAGGAGCAGGAAATACAGTGAGATAAACTGTAAGAAAGAGTATGACCATTACCATTGACACATCAGCCCAAAACTCAAAAACTGGAAAATAAAAATAAAATGCCAAAAAAGCTCAGCAAGGCAGTTCGAACCCGAGCCTCTCTGGTGAGTTGGCAAACCGTGCACGGGTTTTAGCTTACCAAACATCTCCTCAAAGCCACGGGCGGGCCCTCAACGTCACCTACGACAAACATATTTTTTTACAAAGGCTGGGACCTTATTGCACATACATATGTCTTGGGGACCAAAACTGCATCGGTCTTTACCACGGGATGGGAGAGAATACTTTTCGGTGCCAGAAATATTTTCGACGCCAAACCTCCTCAACAACCCTACGCCCCTTAGAACTTGAGTATTTCGAGTGGGCGAGCATTCCCTTCCTGATACGAAATCCGCACATGCAATCGTACATATAATTCAGATAGTAGCTGGTAACCCAGTCAACAGACCATAGCACGACAAGGCACAAGCCCAGCGGGCACCGTTCCCATCACGGTGCTACACCACCGGCTCGCCCCCGATCCGGGCCAGAATTAGGTCCCCGTCTCTGTATCATGCTGTACGCAGGCCGGAAAGGCGGCCCGCACGTATTTCGTGGCCCAGAAATAGTCCTCCTCCTGTCCGACTGTACAGCGGCCGTCGTACCATGTAACGCTCACTTACCCGCCCTACATCCCAGATGTAAGATGAGAATAAAGAATACAGTTGGGAATTCACTACCATAACACCCAAGATGCAGCAGACATATGTAAGTACCGAAGCACGTCAGCACGAACTGCATGCGGCTGCCAGCAACAAATAGCCACGGCAACTCACCCGTCCGGCGCACGTGACGTTGCACCGCCCGTCGTCAGACCATGCCTACGCCTCGCAGGCGGCAGGTGAGACGAGCCAGCGATGCAGGTCAATCAGATCAGGTCCAGACGTCGGGCCTGAGAAGGGCACAGCGCCACACGATGCGCAGGGCCCAGGGATCGCCTCCGGCGTCGGGTGTCTGCGTCAATACCGATATCAAAGACTGACTGCCGGAGTGAAGGGGATGAATGGATGCGGAAGATATCGCAAGACCTGTTTATAGCTGCTATACCATTCCCTTGTCCTGAGTGTTGCGTTCGTGGGTAGGTAGCAAGTCTGCGCTCGCTCCCGGTGATCAGTCTACTTTGAGAGGTATGATTTGGCTAGCGAGGTCGACATTTTTCGACAGGATCGTGTCCCGTGCTAAACAGACCGATCGTCGGCGAAGCAGAAGACGCCGAAATGGTGCAACTGGTAGATACATACCTATAGCTCACACACATAAGATACCTATGCAGTCGACGAGAATCCGACGGGAATGCCACCTGGACCGCCTGCATCTGAGGATTGGAAGTGACGAGAAATATCAACGCGGGCGACAGATGTGACAAGACGACATCTAAAAGGGTCTGGTCCATTCAGGAAGTCGCCCATGGACCCCGAGCTGCAGGTCCCCGGTCCCGCGACCGCTGATTGGGGCATCCCGGTAGAAGCGCCCTGGGGTTAAGCGCTTCGGAGACGTCGCTCACCCAATGGCAGATCGGAAGGAGTCGGAATAAGGCAGCCTCTATTACTTCTATTGCTTGGTTTCAGAGGCCCTGTCCGCACCGGTCCAATGAGGACCGCGGTATACAGACAGGGGCTGCGAGATCTCAACTACCAGACGTGCATGAGGCACGAGGATCCCCAAGTGCCGTACGCTGGGCCAGCAACGCCCATGCACAACTTGTCACATCATGGGGATGGCCGTCACCACTGCACCACACGTCCGCTCCAAGCGCCCCCGACTTCTACTCTTTCCCCGCCGTCGAGTGACTTCTCATAAGTCAGCGGCGGGCGCTCTCAGATGTCGTGGTACCATTTCCAGTTCTTTCCTTTTCTTCATTCCCTGAATCCCCAGGCCGGGATTTAGATCGACTCGAGCGAGATTAGCCCACCAGCCGCCGTGCCACGCGCAGCCCAGAGTGCCGGTTATCACTCTCGTTACACCCTTCATCCACCCGTGCAATTCACCATGGCGACTGCTACTACTACCGATTTCCCACTGGCAACGGCCGACCCCTACAGCGACGGTGGTGATGGCGGTTCTGGTTCGGCCAACGCAGGCGGGGGTGTCGACGACGCAGCTGGTGCTGCTGGTTCAAGTCCCGGTGCTGTGCAGATTTCACATGGTGCCACAGTCGCTATCATCGTTGTAGTTGCCGTTGTTGGTGTGCTTGGGAGTATGTATACCCGATCGAAAAGGGCACTCCACCTGACCTGAACACTGACTTGAACCAGTCTCGATGGCGGTTCTGTTCTACCTGGCCAAGAAGAGGGAGTGGAAGGTTAGAGAGAGCATCCGGCGGTCGGCTAGGAAAGTCGTCACGGCGCTCACACCCCGTCGCTCCGAGTTTCCAAAGTCAGTCAAAAAATCTACGGGTAGATCATCCCGAGGTCGTGTTCGCCTCGACGACGTACCGCCAACACCAAGGCTTCGGCCCGAGGATATCGAGAAGGGGATCGCCATGTCAAACATCCGACCAGGTCCTGAAGGCAGGGCAAAGAAATGGACGAGGAAGTAGGTCGATTTCATGGGTCATCTTCATCTGAGGCTAAGAATTCGGGAGTCAGCGTCTGCTGCTGTCGTTGAGAGGGGTATCGGAGCATTTATGCGCAGGCGTTTCGAGATGGAACCACGTTGTCCTGGGAAGTGTATCAACAGATGGTTAAATTGTTCGTGTAGATGATTTGGGTATCAAAGTCGCCTGAAGGTATTCGTACTCGCACTCCGCCTCGAATCAGTGCGCTTGTACTTTGTTGCCGGCTCCGCCACTTCTTCCTCCTTCTTCTTCCTTCTGGACTCTGGCATGAATGTGACTTGTCTCTCTCCAGTCACCTTACCACTTCTAGCTTTGTTTTCCCGGCCTGGCTTTTGAGCTCTGGAACCCAACGCTGTATCTCGAGCGCGTCCATCACCACCACGATTCGAGGAGCTGACACGCATGACCACCTCATCTTTCGCCTTCTTGCGACGTATGTCTGCAGCATCGCTGTCTTCCTCGCTACTCGAGTCACTGTCGCTTTTATCTGAGAAGTGAGCCGTTGCAGTAAGATCTCTGCCGGTTTCAGGATCAACCTTTGTGCTTGGGTTGAGAACCTGGAACTCGCGAGTCGTCTCATCGACTTTGAACGCTGGGTCTTCCCAGAGTCGACTGAAACGCGAGTCACCGAGAATCCCAGCATTCTCATCAACCACCGCCCTCTTCTCTTGCTTCTTGAGTAGTCTGTCAGCAAGCTTCTGGTTGACCTTGACTTTCTTGTTGCCGCGGATCCGGCTAGCGCGGTCCTTCTCGACCTTCTCCTTGATGCGTTTGGCACGATCTTCCTCGTGTTGCCACGGGTTGGCGATCAGCCGAGCTTGTTCGTATAGTTTCGAATCTACGAAATATCCATGCACTAGAAGATCCGAAGTCAGCAACCCTCATTCTACATGCATCACCGTGTTGTACTTACTATAAGGCCGCAACAGGTTCGTCTTGCCAACCAAGTGGTCCATGCTGAGAGACCTCAATTCAGGTAAGGTCAAGAATTTGTAGTTGTCGTAATTGTCGGTGCTGACTTCGTTCGCCATCTCTTCGGTAACGGAGTCGAGGAACGAGCACCATCGCGGTGCGCTTCCCAGCTGTGGTATGAAGAACGAATGCATCGGCTGTCCCTCGTTCGCAGCTGTACACATGCAGCAGTTAGTGACTTGTCCATAGGGCAGGTAGTATCGGTGATGGGTGCCCTCTAAAGTACGTACTAAGGAGCATGCCAGTATTCTTGACCCATTCCACGTGGTGGATATTCACAAGAGGTTCGACAGCCGTCCAAGGTGACCCATCAAGCTCATCCCAGATTTTGATTATCTTCTTGTCGCTCGACATGACCTTACGCTCCTGGGAAGAAGTAGTCATATGCGTGAGGTTCTTTATGGGAAACCCTTGTCCATGGTCCTTCGCTACCAACGGCCGGGGACTTCTTAGATCGAACAGTTTGATCAAACCAGTAGACGTTCCTGTTGCAATGGATAGGCCAGACGGATTGAAATCAAGAGCCGTAACCTCTCCTTCTTGGCCGCCCAAGACGGCGATTCGAGCTTTGGATCGTGGATCCCAGAACTGTTCCTTCAGTTAGTGAAATTCCAGTAGCGGTTCGCTACGGTACAGAGCAGAGATAGATTCTGTCTAGTCGAGCCAGTCGTGCACCCAATACTTGCTGACAATGAACCGATGAGTTTCCAGACTGACCTCAATAGAGCCAACAGACGTCCCAAAGGCTAGCAGGTTGTGGGTATTTTCCGCAATTGCGGCTGTATTGACACTGGGAGCATATATGCTTCCCTGCAGACCGGCCTCGACACCCTCATCGTGCCCTACGTCGACTTGGTAGGACTTGAGAAACCGCCCAAGCTCGAGATTCATACGGAAAACTTCGCCATGTCCATCGGAGTCTAGTCCAACTGCCGGAACTAGTGCTTCGGTCGAAATTCGGTCGTAAATGAGATCTCTGCCATAACGTGGTAGTCTTAGGGCCTGATGAAGTCCTCCAGGTGTCTTGTTCACGTCAGTATGCTGTCCGGAGAATGCACTCCAGCATTGGACCCTCAACGCTCTGACTCACATGGAATTCCACCCGTCTATCGCTCTGCAAATGTAACGATTTCGAATAGTCTGTCGCAAGCAGGCGGAACGTGACGTTCAGGCTGGTCGTGTGGCGCGCGAACGATAGAGACAGGTGAGGCAGGTAATGGACATGGATCTGGGGCTTGTCTGCGAAAGGTCAGCTCGGCCACAAGCTGGGGAGAGACACATGTGCGAGGTAGTGGATTTACTAACATGTACCCGTCGACATGATCCATTCACTATCTTCCGAGACTCTCACACACTGGGAGGCTTCCTCGAATTCGAAGTCTTGAAGCAACTCAATTCGGTTCTGGTACTCGGCGTCGGCTTTGAGACTTCTCTTTCGTTGACGGGCGAGCCTTGATCCCACCAGGTCAGCGATAGTCAAGCAACGAGCTTGGGATCCCCAAATGGGATTTGTACACACCAGTCGGGCAGCGGCCGTGCGGTATCTGCGCCGGCCACGGTATACACCGGCACATCCCCTTGGTTGGTGACCTTCATGATGGCGTCGTTGTCGCTGTGGTGCTATTGTCGCATTCTTCCCAAGCTGGAAAGAAAGCTGGAAGAAAGCTCACCATAGAAAACCTGGAGGGGCGACCTTGAAAATTTAGCGGGTCTCTATCGATAAGCAGCGCCAAGAAAGACTGAAAGAGCAGGAACCGTTCCGCCCCTGGCGGGCCGCTACCCTCCATGGTCCAATCACGGCCCCGGCCCATACCATGAGAAAGCTCTCAAGCTTACCTGAAGGTCCAGGTCCCTGGCTGGAACGTATCTGGCTCCACGCTATGATTGGCGGCTGTGCCGGTGGATACCAGGCCGACAGTGGACAGTGGACAGTGGAGGGGCGGCTGGCCAGGGTTCAACATCCATCCAAGAGTCCAAGACATCTCAAGACTCCAGCTTCGAGGCTTATTGATTATTACTGCCGGAGTGTAGACCCTTCCTTCACCTTAATCCTCCCATCTTTATCATCTTTATCATCACTGGTGGGCTGCGCGTGTCCTCCAACGCCTTGCTTGCATACCTTAGATTTCACATGTATGCCGTCCGCGCCCACGTTGTCCAACTAGAACTACCTTGTGTAGAATACCAGCATCATACATCCTTCGATCGCAACATCCCTAGTGTCCCTTGCTGACCTAATACATACCTACCCGCCGCATAGTCGTTCCGCCTCGCTCCCGCCGTCGCTGATCCTCAACAGAGATGGAGTCTAGCAGGCGCTGGAGACGTAAGAGTTCGAAAACGATAACCCACTTCGGCACTCGCCGTAATACTTCTATTGCCTCTTGGTAGTCGCCGGCGAATCATACCATCGACCGAGGCAGCCCACTGTGGCCGTGTGCTGGGGAAGCCTTTCAGACTGACACGCCGAGACGACTTACGATATGGACACTGGTGACTACGAAACTAATGCATTAGTAATTGTGCGTGTTGTCGTCCTCCTATAGCCACCAACTGTGCTCATCGCTGACCCGTCCTCAACGCAGAATAACATATCGTCTGTCGCTTTTGCCTTCTATGAACCTGTTCCTCCGACCTCGACGAGTCTCGGATCCAGTGCGACCGAGATCGAGAATGTTTTACGAAAAGATGGACACCTTACTTATGTTGATCATGCCCGGCACGGCTTGTGGTGTTTTCGGTTGTTGCAAAAGGGCAAGATCCAGGGGCATCAACCACCCACGCAAGGCTTTGCGAGGACGGCGGAGGGCGGTGGTCACACTATGTGCTTGAATGAGGAGGGCGCCTTCGAGCCAGCTGCGCTTGTCAAGAACAGACCGCATGGCCTAGGTGGCGCAAATACACCAAGCAGCTCGTCCTCCAGTGCTTCGTCTGCTCTCGACCCGGCCTTCAAGAGTGCCCAATCGGCTTTCGCCCCGTCATTCCCCCATGCAGCCGCAGACCAAGAATCGAAGGCATGCGCGCCGACAGACTTAAGGCCGAGTCCTACGGCATCCATCAAAGACGTCCACGAGTGTCTTGTCTTGGCTGCCTTCTCAACAATATTTGCAGTCTTCTGCGCGAGAACTGGCGCCGTGCCCTTAAGTTCTCGTACGCTGCTCCTAACTCGGCCTACGCAGACTGAATGCAGCGCTTTCCCAGCCGTCCTTGCTTCCCTTCGCGTCTACCTCACGACAACGGGAAGTCTAGTTGTTACCTTGAGTCATTCGTATGCTGAGAATCTGGTGAACTTATCCGAGACTCTTACCAGTCACTTGCCGCCCCTCGGTGTCACTGTTTTGGCAGCCCCGTTTGGTGTGTTTGCTACCTGCCAGCCCATCACCATGACCGAGACGACAACCACAGAAGGTAGCCTTGGACAGTCGCCTGACACTCAAGTTCTGAGAATACGGACAGAGAGAGATGACGGCCCCTGGCGGACCATCAGTTCAAAGCTTCTGCAGTCCCGTCATATCCCATACTCCTTTGGTGGACCGCAGAAGTGGATTGGCCTACATCGCATCCGCCGTAAGCTTTCCGAGCAGAGTGTCGACGGAAAGGGGACGCCCATGGTTGGAAACGTTTCCAGTTTATCCTGGCCTGCCAACCTTTGCTTCTGCAAAATGTTCTCTAAGCTGGCTATCAATGCTGCGACGGAAAATGTCCAACAGCCCCAGACAGATCCATGCTTTGACCCTCTCAAAATTGCCAAAAATTGGTTCTTGAATGCAACTGAGCGAGACGAGGCTCTGGCGAGCAAGCAGAGGGAAAGGAATGCTGCTGCGGCCGCTGCAGCCGCGGTGGCACACGAGAATGCAGTCCCAGATGGCCAGGCTCAGATTGCAACGGGGCTATCCCCTCTAGCCCTGCGCCGATCTAGCCATAACAACGGACCACCACCGAGCGGCATGTACCCGACACCCCCAGACGCGGTCCAGGGCATAGTAGGGGTGACTCCGTCCATGGATGGCAACATGTCGAGCCCCGGGTACCATGCGACTACTATGGCGATGGTCGATGTTGGCAATACAACGCTTGTGCCAGCAGAGCAGTATGGCGAAAACTGGGATAATGCCGAAGTCAAACGAGAGCATGCCGGCAGCTCGTTCGAATCCGAGAATCTCTTCGGTGAGCTAGGTCCCGATATGTTCGGAGACAATGATATCACTGAGGCGGATTTCAGTTTCTTTGACGAAGATCCCGGTGGTCTAGATCTGGGCTCGCTTAATATACCGGACATGCCAACCGCAGGCACTAGTATCTCCCTCGAGGCTGGCTTTGGTGTAGGACAAGACTCCCGCATTAAACCCGATCCCCACTTTATGCCGTTAACAGGCGCTCCGGCTTCGCCGGTTTTCACGAAACCTGAACTCCGACATGCCCGAAGCTCACTACCGGATGATGGCCGGCGGCAGACTGTGCCAGAGACGACACAAGCGGTGGGGTTGGGGGCGAAAAGACCTGCAAGTCCGTTCAACCCCGACACAGTCTACAAGAGAATCCGAGCATCTCTTGACAATCACAGGGCAATCCAGCAGAACTCGCAAATATACGCCTCTCAGCCAGGAAGCATCTTTGACAAGGTTGATTTCGGGCCAGGCTTGTCGATGGTCAACAGCAAATATGAAGGGAGTGGGCGGTTTGATTACTCCATGGATCGATCCAAGGCAACCAAACCTTCCAATCCGAACGCGCCACCGACGACGAATTACCTCAAGCGTCATGGAAAAGGCCAGAAGGGTCTCAAAGAGCTACCGAGTATGGTCGGGGGACTGTTCAGCCGTGTATATGGCAATCAAGACTCGGCCTCAAATCGCCACAGCCCTCTGGCATTCGACGAACCCCACTCGGATGCTGACGAAGTAAGTCTCGTCTCTGACCAAGACGATTCCACCTACGACAGTGATGAGCCTATGTCCCCCGTCAAGTCATCAAGCATGCGACGATGTCGTGACAATGATGACGGTGAATCCCTTGCCACGTCATTTAGGGGACTTGAGACCATGGATATGACATTGCCTTATTTGACCCTCGGCCTGCCCCGATCTTCAAAGTCCGAGATCGAACTACCACTCGTGAAGTACTTTGCGGATCCAGAACCGCCCTGGATTCAATACTCTCTGCCTGATGATCAGCTCATCATGGTAGCACAGATTCTCACCGACCAGTTCGCAGCTAGCACATTTTCGGCAAGCATATCGGCTCAGATGTTTCCCCAATCCAAAGTAGACCGGCGGCGACAGCTGTCGAGTGTAGCTCGCCATTCGATGCAGGAACTCCGGGCAACTCTCCCTTCCTGCTTCGGTTCAGCCGTAGAGTGTCAGTTTCGGCCGTTCATCGAAGTTCAGGATGTACCTCTCCTCGGTCAGCCAACACGAATGCAACCAAGGCCACCTGGTGTTGATCAAATGAGACCCAGTAATCTCTTCCAGATACCCTCACCCCACTTCGAGATGCGACGATACGAATCGAGGCTGTCCGTACTGCCGTCAGCTGTGTCTTTCTGGGAAAGCCTGGGTCTTAGCCCTTCGCAGGGAAACAAGGATATCAATGCTATCTGCATCTTCCCAGACTACGAGGGCATGGCCGATGATATGCTAGTGTTCACAGATAGGATGCGTAGCACCTATGAGTCTTTGAAGCTAGGTTCGTTCAATCGGCTGCCTACGACGACAACGTCAGACAATGGCCTCTTCACGTTCGACGTCGAAAAAGACGTGGTGTCTTTTGGAAAGTCGGCTTCCTTCCTGGGCCCGTCACTCCAGAGTTGCGCTTCGAAAGTATGCAAGGTAGTGTCAGCGAGTATGGCTGAACACACGAACTTTGTCATCTTCTTCGTCTATTCGCCTGACGTTGCTGGCTCGATCGTGGAGTGCTGCGCGGTCTTCAACGAAATCTTTGAAGGCTACAAACGATTCTTGGCTAACAGGAACCTGCCGCTCATCAATGATTTAGCGCTGCAGCTAATACCACAAGACTTCGTGGCCTCTTCGACCTCAGTTGCTATGCCACCGCCGATGGAATTTGCCAGGCTAGCACTGGAAACATATGACAGATGCAACCAATCTGGCGGTGGTATGCCATCCCCAGCCATCGTGCTCGAACAGCCTCCTCCACGTATGATTGACTTCAAACTATCGGCGAATCCCTCGGCATCTCTTCTGTACGAGAACACGTGCCTTCACGTTGCCTACGCGCAAAGTATAGACGACAGGTGGGTTACTGCTGCATGGACGAACAATCGAGGCAGCCAGCAAATGACGGCCTCGTACTGCCTCGGGAGAAAGGGCAAATCCATCGTCACCCCACTGGCGGATGTCGCGGCAGAGATCTGGGCCACCACTCGTGATCTCATCTCAGCCTGGAAAGTCCACTGGCGCATCATAATCGCAAAGTGCGGTGCCATGGATCCGCATGAGATCGAGCTCTGGTCCACCCTGGCGCAGTCGGAGTCGAAACCGTCGGTCAACTTGACACTCGTTGCCGTCGACACCGACCCCTCTTTGCAACTTGTACCGCCGATTGCCAAGGTGCCCAACAATGCTTCTGGTGTATTCTATACCACGCCGGTCTCGACACCTCAGAACTCGATGGTCTCGCCAGAGCATACCGGCAACCCGTCAACCCCAATGCGAGACAACGCCGCCACCAGTACTCCAGGGGGGGACAATAACGCAACAGACTCTGATGCCGATGCCACACTGACGGATCTCACCGACCAAACATGGGGCGCTGTACTCTCGCACCGATTGAACAACTCGACGTCGCTGACGGAGCTCAATCCGGCCCTTACCAGCGGGTACCTGGTCAAGCGCGGAGGAGCACGGATCGACGACCCTCCCGTCGTCATGGAGGTCAACATCGTGCACAGCGAGGGCAACCCCCGGGCGTATGAGGCGCTTCTGCGGGAAATGCTTACATATTACAGGGGCCTGGGGACTCTAGCCCGGGCACGGGGTATGGTGGATAAGGAGGCAGATGTCCGGCCGTGGCACGTCGCCGCGGCGGAGAAGGGCGTTAGGGCTTTGTATATGTTGATGTGATGATGCCGGCGAGCTCATCGTGTTGTTTGTTTATAATCATGAGAGCTTGGGAATTCATCATAGCGTGTTGGGGTCAATGCATAACATGCCACTTTTGATGTTATCACGGTAGCGCTCTAGGTGGCAGAGAATTCCGACCAATATACCCAAATGGCTCAACCGAATTGCACTTGAAAACTGCCGATCTTGGAGGGGCTTTAGGTTAATGATGTGGATGTGCTTCAGGAGAAGAAGCTGTGCAATGATGTGGGAAACGGATGTGTGATAGCCGGGAAGCTGGCACGCTCGTTTGTCGAGTGAGGCCGCCCTATGTTTGCTCTATAGACTGTAGTAACGGAAACAGTCTAATAGCACGCCCTGAAGTATAGATGGTATCTTGCCCTGGCATGCCAGCACACTTAAGGCAGTAAGGGGGGTGGGTTTTGAGCTCCGTCCGAAGAGAAGACCATGAAGACTTAGCAAGCGCTTTTGTAAGGTCTTTGATAAGGCACCAGCTGGGAAAGATTATTCGCAATGGCTCGGTCAGGGTGCTTGTCGCGGGGGCGAAGCATATGCTGACCAACAGGGTCAGTCTGTTATGCTGGGCCTTTGTGAAGAACATACATGTCGAACCAACATAACCGCAGACAGTGAGGTTACACAAGGAGGAACGCCTCCCGCGGTCCTGCAAGTGCGCACCGCTCACGTCGGGCTATGGAGCCACCCTTAACATGCGGTTCCTACTTGATGGCCTGGCCTCGCTCATGCTGTCAGTCAGCCCATCGATACCTCCTTAGGCCCCAGCACCAGCGTCTTGCTACTTGCGCCAGAGAGGTCTTCATCGACAACAGCACCATCACCATCACCTTCGAAATGGCTTCGCCAACTAAGCCCACAGTTATCCTGCTCCAGGGGACCTTCCAACCCCCGGAGGTCTACCACAGTTTTGCTCGACTCATCTCGTCGCGCGGTTTCCCCGTCGTGCAGCCCGCCTATCCCTCCCTGACAGGCCAAGACCAGCCGGATTTCATCAACAAGACCTTAGCCGACGACGTACAAGTCGTAGAGGACGTTGTCAAGAAGCTAGTGGACGATGAAGGCAAGGCGGTCCTGGTTGTTATGCATTCCTACGGCGGTCTAGTCGGCGCCGAGGCCGTCCCAGAAGACCTCAATCTCAAACACCGTCAGGCCAAAGGCGGCCAGCTGCTGCCGGGCGGCGTGGCATACCTATTCTACTTTTCAGCCTTCGTCCTGCCCATGGGCCAGTCCATCGCGACGGCCATGGGCGACCATCCCGACCACGACCATTATGATGGGCGTTTCAGCATGCGCGATCCGCTGGCGACTTTGTACACCGACATGCCGGCCGACGAGGCCGCATACTGGGCCCGGAGGACGATCCCGCAAAGCAACGCCGTCAAGGACACGGCGATGAGACGGTGCGCTTACGCCTATGTGCCTTCGACGTACGTTGTGTGCACAGGGGACAAGGCTGTCCCACCACCAGTGCAGAAGATGTTTGCACAGCTGGCGGGGGCTGTGGTCAGGGAAATTGACACTGGCCATTCGGCTATGTTGAGCAAGCTTGATGAGGTGATGGCCCTCCTCGAGGAGGCGGCTGCGGCTATGTGATTGCTTGGGGCTGGCAGCAGACAGACGGGATCTGAAATGTGAGATGGATGTGGAACTTACTTCAACAGCCACCGATAGCAGGTATTGCCGGTATTCAGTACTACATGTTCTTAATACCACTGTACCCGTTGTGCTTGATCATCTTTATCGTGAATGGAGCATGACTGGCTTCCTCAAAGGCTATCTGCGTGTTATCCTGATCCCGTCGCTGCGCGTTTCGAGTGATCCGAAGGATCTGATCATCGTAAACGAAAAGACTCTAGTTGTGAAGTTCGTCGGGGACAAATTTCGGATAAACAGGTCCAAAGCAGCTGAAGTATGGGGTTTACAAGGAATACGACATAGCCATAAAGTAGTCATGCCCTCGTTCTGAATGTCAACGATAACGCTATGCGGAGTCTATTATATAACCAACTGGTAGGGTAAAATATGGTAGTGACAGGTAGTGTCCAAATCCGTCTATGATCCAAGTAGTCCCGTCACGTCTACTATCGTGGTTCCCCGATATCTAGGCAGACCAAACCGAAACGGCCAGGCCCAAGTAGCCTTCTTCTCTTTCCTGTCTTAAGGTCGTATCTTCTTTGTTATCTCTCCCCCAATCACTCGGCCAAGAAGCCCGGGAACAGATACTGCACTTTCTTCAGCGCCTCGGGGCTGCGGCCCTCGGGCTTGGTGCAGAACATGACGGCGCCCTTGCTGGCGCCCTCCCAGTGCTTTGCCGTGACGAGGTCGGAGCTCTCGGCGCGGCACAGCTCGTCCAGCACGGCGCCGACCAGGCGCCGCGCGTTGGCGCTGTTGCTCTCCATGTACTTCATCACCATGCTGACGTCGACGTCCTCGGTCGTGTGCCAGCAGTCGTAGTCGGTCGCCATGCAGATGACCTGGAAGGCCATCTCGGCCTCGCGCGCCAGCTTGGCCTCGGGCAGCAGCGACATGCTGATCACGGACCCGCCCCACGACCGGTATAGGTTCGACTCGGCGCGCGTCGAGAACTGGGGACCTTCTATACGAGGGGACGGAATGTATTAGCGGGAGTTTTAGAACCAAAGATAGGTGCATTAAGGGGTGGAAAGGGGCTTGCTTACCCATGCAGATAGCAGTCCCCTTGCGGTGCAGCACGACGCCGTCGCCCTGCATGCTCTGCGCGCACTTCCGCACGACCTGGGCGATCTTGTCATCATAGGGGTCGCCAAACGGGACGTGGCCCACAAGGCCACCCTCGAAGAAGGTGAAGGGCCGGATGCCCTTGGTGCGGTCGATCACTTGATCGGGAACGACGAAGTCCATGGGCTTGATTTCCTCCTGCAGCGAGCCGACGGCAGAAAAGCTGACGACGCAGCGCACGCCGATATGGCGCAGGGCGGCGATGTTGGCGCGCGCGGGGATCTCGTGGGGCGCGAACTCGTGGTGGGCGCCGTGCCGCGCCAGGAAGGCCACCGGCACGCCGCCGTGCTCGAGGATCAGGATCGGCGCCGAGGGGTACCCCCACGGCGTCGAGGGGTTCACGCGCGCGATGGGCTTGTAGCCGTCGATCTTGTAGAGCCCCGTGCCACCTATCACGGCGATGTGGACCGGGCCTGGGGGTTGGGGAGTTCTGCGTTAGTTGTGGGTTCTAGAAGCCAGACATGAAGCTATCGCGAACAGCTGTGCATGGTGGGGTGGAGGGGTAGGTTGGGTTGTGGTACTTACGGTCGAAGGTATCCGGCAGGTCCGCCATGATCAGGGACACAGAGTGGTGCGCTGAGAGACACTGGGCTCTTCAACTGTTCCTCTGTCCTGTCGTCTTGCACGCGAGTCGAGGAGTCGAAGAGTGATGAGGAGTGACTGTGTTGTTGGAGTCCCGTCTTCTTTTCGACGTTCGTCGCACTCGCCGGAAAAAGTCTCTCCAACAAGCCGCATCAAACCGTACCTGAGCTAGAAGGTGCCCCTCCATAGTGGGCCTTCCTAGCACGGTTCTTCTTTGTGGCTGATGATGTGGCTGTTTTCCTCTCCTCCACTCCACTCCTATCCTGCCAAAATCAAACCTCCATCCTCAACTACCTAGGTACCAAAGGTCGTGGCCCATACCCTTATCACGTTTGCAACAGTATAGTACCAATCTCGCCGCTTGAAGTCAAGCTTTCTGCGTCATCGCACCTCCACTTGCTCCAGTTGACGCAGAAGTCCCTTGGGAATCGGGAGGGGCCATGTGAAGAGCCATGAGTGTTCCTCTGCCGGGCCGGGACTTTGCTGATGTGGTCGCTCTGTCTCAATGCAAATCGCTCCCTCCTGGCCGTCCATGAGCTCGACCGAGACCGCTCCGGCTCAGAGCTGCCAAGATGCCTGCCGCGATGTTGAGGGTAAGCCTCCATCATCATCTCCCATACCAGAAGACTCCGATTGCCAGTAGGCTATCCGGAGCTGACTCACTACACCAACAACCTCGTATTGAAGCAGGCTCCAGACATTGCATAGTACCGTCATGCGGCGGAATAGACTATTGAAAACTAAACAGGACATCTAGATGCGACTAAGTCATGTCTGCCTGCAACTTAGTGACCGAAGATGTAACGTCAGGTTGTTCTTCCATCTGGGGTGACCGAGAGATCATGACACTGCGCCGCAGGCCATGCTGGAAGCCGTATTCTATCCGACGTCGATGCTGCATATGCGGCCTTGTACAATCTCGACTGGTGAACGGAAAAGCCCTACAAGGCGTTCATGAGACCGAAAACGGTGTGAGAAGGGCCGAGGTCAGCAGAAAGGCCAATGAGGTTGAGGCCAGGGTCGCATCAGGCGGCACGGAGAAGGATTCTGTCTAAAGACTTTCAAGGTGATGGAGCCTAATCAGGTATCGCGTTGCATACTACCTTTCGCTTACCTAGGCAGCACAACCCCAGATCGATGTTCGTTGCCGTCCGCCTGCATTTCAGCCGCACATACCTCGCATACATAGGATACGCATAGCAAGTGGATGAATCATCCCACATCCAATCTCGTGATCCGCGCAACGAGTTGCTGTGCCGCGGGGTCCATATCGATGGCTCTTCCCAAACTCACCGCTGCCTGGAATGACGGGAGAATTGGGCCGAATGCAAGGGTGAGGCCATCACAAGCAAGGGGGAATTGCTTTTCTTGGCGGAGTCTGCCTATTCGCGATGCCTGTCCCGCGATCAATGCCCACGCGGAGAAGACGGGGAAATTGCAGCGCTCGGAACGTCCAAGGCCTGGGAACGGAGCAGAATTCTCTATATAAGAGAGCTTGCTCGACCTCGTATGCCATCATGAGGTCGACAACCACCAGCATCATTTGTTCCACTCCTCTTCAGATACTTACCCTCGCTCACCTATCACTACGGTCTACATAATACGAGACCTCTGCTCTAATAACTTAATATCACCTCCAATCCGCCACCATGTTCACCAACGTGTTGCTCTCCGTCGCAGCTCTCGCTAGCCAGGCTCTCGCTGCTCCCACCCTCGAGCAGGCTTCGCAGCTTATTACTCGTCAGGGCTATGTTTCAACCTGTAAGAACTCCCCTACTTCGAAACTGCCCAAAGCAAGAAGCATTCCACGCAAGAGCTCTTGGAAGCCTGCACTTTCTTGACCATATCAATATGCATTTGGGACGTGTATAGAGGCTAACTTAATCCAAGGCACGTCGACCTACAATGTCTTGTCGGGCGATGCCTGTTTCGTCATCATAGACAAGTTCCACAGCCAGTTTTCGCTCGCCGACTTGTAAGTCTACCACATGAGATGGTACAACCCGAAATAGGAGAGCCTTGCTAACGTCAGAATAGTTATTCGTGGAACCCCGAGGTCGACGTGAGTCTCGTCCATCCCATCCACACAACACACAACTCAACAGGAGTCCCGTGACCCATAAGAAACCGCTCTCCCCACTCTCCTCAACCCTGCCCTCTCCTGCTCTAGGATCGCCAACTGACCTCATCTAGTCGAACTGCAGCAACCTCTTCCCAGGCGAGACCGTCTGCGTGGGCGTGAATGGCACGGCCACGCCTCTTCCGGCCTGCCCGTCTCCCGTGAAGCCGGGCCTCGTCACGGACTGCGACGACTGCTACACGGTCGTCGACGGCGACACCTGTGGTGCCATCGCGACCACCAACGACATCACACTCGCCGAGTTTTACTCCTGGAACCCGGATCTCGACAACGAGTGCCTTACGCTCGAGGTCGACTACAACTACTGTGTTGGCGTTTCCGCTTAAGGTTTGGTTGATGGATAGGGGCCGGGGGTGGTCCGGGTGTATTGGGGTGTTGAGGAGGGAGTATGGGGAAGGGGCTGAGCGAGGAGGTGGATCGCGATGATGTGGACTGACTCTGGACACGGAGGAGGAACGACAGAGATGAAGCAAACTCACCTGGTCCTGTAATACCAACAATCAGGGCCACCCTAATGAACGAACCACCTGGATTTCCATGTGCTTCGTCGGTAGTTGGTTGCTTAAAGTGTGTGTTCTTGTTGGAGGACCTGACTGTTTCGAGATCCGCTTATTCCATGGTGGTTACACACTCGACAGCAAAGAAGAAAGAAATATGTTCTGCGCGATGCTGTCCCAACAAGGAAGACACATGATGCCATACCGATGTACAACTCCAAATGCATCCCGTGGCTACATGTTGGACGACTGTCGCACATCACATGATCGCATGCGTACTCATCCGGGGCTTGTTGGCTACCTAGTTGCTCACCAACATCAGCTGGACTACCGTCACGAGTGGGTATGTACTCCCAACCAACACGTTCACGACACAAAGGATAGTTCTTTCATGCCGAATTGTCGGTGTTCCATCTGGCGTATGGCAAGAACTTTCGGTCCCAACACGTGCACATCACAAAGGATAGTTGTTGCATGCCGAATTGTTGGTGCTTCATTTGGCGTAGGGTAAGAACTGTCGGTTCCAACAGAACGCTTGCACCTTGGAACCCTGACAGGAAGGACTCAGTATAAGTATGGCCACCGCATCCAGTCGAGACGAATAGTAAAGTGCACATCCACCTACCTTAAAGCTTCTCTAGGGGTTTCCTGGCTTCAGAATTGTATTGGCTCCATCTATTACACCCCTTATCAGACCTTTCAGGCATTCGTGGTTCATTATGGACGGTCCCAACGAAAGGCCCGATGCCAAAGTACAATTTACGACCGCCGCATACCCGGAGGCTATCAGAAAACTCGGCACCCGCGCAGGCTTCATTGAACTATGGCGCGAAGTTGTCCGCGTGATCGCTACCGATAAATATGCTCCCACAATCAAAATAGAGGAGGATACGGCAGGCCTCAGGGCACTATGGCAGGCAGCGACCGATGGGCTCGTTATCGATTCATATATCACGGACTCGATCGGTGACGAGGAGAACAAGACGGCAAGAAGTTCATGGCCTTGCATCCAAGTCGCATTCCACAACGAGTCGATGACGGAGAAAAAAGCGAGATCTGTGATCGGAAGGTTGAGATATGATGCATTTGTGACACTCAGAAGAAAGTGCGATGATGCTCAAAAATATGACGGTCGAGTAGTCGTCCCCTTCCCTAGTTACTTCCGGTTGTATGCCAAACTGCCAAACAAGGACCGGTTTTTCATCCGAGAGTTCGCCGGTGAAAAGTTCCTGGAAGCTTGGGGTACGATAGACTTCTGGGATTTTGAGAAAGCAATTCGTGACGACGAGGAAACCGAGGCAGCGGTGGCGACAGCAGGCAAGGAGTAACATATGGGGGAGTTCTGGGTGCGTGTAGTGCCACAGCACTAGACAGTCCCGCAGGACCGACCCCTATACAAACCGGATCATGGCTTCTAACTAGCTTCATAGTTTCTTTCCTTCTTCACGTACAACAATCAAAGGTCATTCTGGAGTCACCAGCAGTCGAACTGTGACATGTAGCTGCCCATGCGTCGGTAATGGCGGAGAGAGGTGTGCAGTTGGTGCACACGTACATCATGGTGTGTAACCAACACGCCGCTCCAACGAGTAACGCAAGGGGTGGTCGTTTTGGGCAATGGGGGCTGAGATCTTCCCATGACCCTTCATTCATTCCCCTTCTATCCCCACCTCAGTACTCTGTCTCCAGCTGTCTGTTCACCCACTCTCAATTTATACCATCCCCGCTCGACCAGGCTCACGATGGCTTCAACAACGGGATGGGACCACATAATTGTCGGTGGTGGCCTCGCCGGCACCGTCCTCGCCAGCCGACTTATCGAAGCCAGTCCCAAACTCCGCGTTCTTGTTCTGGAGGCAGGCCCCGATGTCAGCCATCGCAAAGACATCCTCTATTTCCAATCCTTCAACTTCATCGGCGGAGAGTTCGACTGGAACTACAAGTCTGTGCCCCAGAAAGCGTAACACAGCCGGCAAGTTGACATTTGGTGCCGGCCGCGCGCTTGGGGGTGGCTCTGTAGTTAACGTCTGTAAGTTTTCACCTCTGTGCCTTCGGTCTTCAACTTGGTTCGTCCCCAACTGATTACGAGCCGTGGTTGCATTCCAGGCCTCTGGACGCGCGGATCAAACTCCGACTACAACGACTGGGCCACCATGGTAGGCGATCAGCGCTGGTCTTACGATAGCCAGCTTCCCTATTTCCAGCGGACTGAAGCTTGGTACAAAACCCCAAAATTCCGAGGCCCATGGCAGGGCTGGAAAGCTTCATATCGAATCTCCCATCTCGACGGGACGGGATTATCCTCTTGCTGGCCCGGTGAAGCAGTCATGGGCAGCCCTCGGTGTCGAAGCACTGCGAGGGCTTGATATGAATGCAGGGCAGAACCTTGGCCTTGGGGAACTGAATGAAAACCGCCACAACGGGGCCCGCCAGATCTCTAGTACCGTATACCCCCTTGCGGGAGTCACTGTCGTTACGAACGTGCTTGTTGGATCGATCCTCATTGACGAAGCAGATAACGTTACTCCTCGGGCCACTGGAGTCCGCCTGGCCAATGGTGACGATTATCACGGAACAGAAGTCAGCATCTCCACTGGGGCATACCGAACGCCCCAGCTCCTTATGCTTTCCGGGATTGGCCCACGTGACGTCCTCGATCAGCACGGCATCGAGACAAAGGTGGAAGCACCAGAAGTCGGCAAGAACTTCAATGACCACGTGCTGCTGTGGCTGAACTGGCGCCTACGGAATCCTGCCAACGGCGATGCCCTTGGCTCCAGCCACCCCAGATGGGGAGAAGCCCGATTCGGGACGGGGATGCCAGCCAGCTACGTCGTTTCCACAGACGTCCCAAAAGACGGGCTCAGAACAGCGATCGATCGGGATGGGAACGCGGATCGCGACCGGTATCTTCTTGAAAAGCCGCATGCCCTGATGAGAACATCGTCGTGGTACGTACCTTATAAAAACATCCCGTCACAGGATCCTGAGACTTGCTTTCGAGAACAGGCTTTGTTGTTCCCCTTCCTTCTTCATCTAGAAATTTGCCATGCGGGTTTAGAGACAGGATGTTAACGTAGACGCAGTACTTCGGTGTGCCGCCGCAGAAGCCCGACGGCACGCATATCTCGACTGCTCTCATGGGCATGAAGCCGACGTCGCGAGACACCATCACTATTGCATCCAAGGACCCTGCCGACCTTCCGGTAATCGACCCCAATTACTTGACTCTTTAGCACGGAAGTCGATAAGTACGTACGGCGCGTATCCCTACGCAAGATAGCCTCACTCATGACTGGCGATACGCCCTTGGGCCTCCACCTGGTGGTATCTGAAACGCCACCAGGTGGTGATACTACACCGTTGACCGTCGATGCTTCAGACGAGTACCTGGATGAGATAGTGGAGACACGAGCCACCTCCATTTTCCACGGCTCCGGCAGTTGTGCCATGGGCAGCGTAGTGGACTCGGAGCTGAGGGTAAAGGGTGTTCAAAACCTGAGAATCGTCGACGCTTCGGTGTTCCCCGTGTCTATCGGCCGGCACCTTCAGGCTGCTACGTATGCTCTAGCAGAGCAGGCAGCCGACATCATCTCGAAGGATAAGACCATCCCGAGCCGGGGTGGTTGACAACGGGAAAGGTTAGTCGGTGCCAGGGTACTTACGGTCCTTTCATTGAGGCAGATGCTGGGATTAAGCACATGTACAAGTCTCTGGGGAACAGTGCAGACAGTACCCCTAGTGTCATGCATTTCAATCTTCCATCTTTTCGCGATATAGTCGACAGTGTACATGAGGCGCATGCCGAGGACATGCGTGAAGACCAGGTTGCAGGTGACGGTTCCATGACGTTAGGGGATAGGAGAGTGATGCTGTAGCCTAAAGGTCCCGGCATCCGAGCTTTCAGGTCCTAAAATCGTACTCGGTGATGTTGGTTGACACGTCTTGGCGAGGGGGGACACATCCTTGATATCTCGATGCTCCGAGGAGAGCACTTGCAAAGTGGGGTTTGGTAAGCAATCTGGCATGATTGCACTGTAGCTGCGTGTGGGGGTACAGTGACGCACTCGGGAAAGACTATGAGGGCCTATGGTCTGATAACAGGCCGTCTCTCAACATTTGCATGTTGCAGCACCAGCCCCTTAGTCAGGCTGCACCAGGCATCCGTCCTCCAGATATAAACCTCCCATTCCTCATCGATCATCTGTTCCATGACATCGTCCCTCAGCCAAAAAGTGATCGTCCTCGTGTCCATCTTCCAGTCAAATGTCGTCATGACACGTACCGCTTCTTGCCTGATCTTCTTCGCGTTATCGGACGTGTCTCCTTCTTCGTCATCCAGCAGGAGGGATCGAGAACCTTCAGGTCCCTGCGCAGGTCTCCCGAATGCATTCTGGTTCCAGAACATTGGCATAAAATGAGTGACGTGCAGACCGAAGCCATGGACTTCGGGAAACTTGATAGAATACTCCGTAACGCTCTCGTACGCGGGGAGTCCGCCATAGAGCAGACCAAACGGTAAGAGCTCGCGCCAAAGAGTAACAAGCGTGCTGAATTCGGCCGCCCACGGCTTCACCGACATGGTACGCGATGGATGAATTTTGTCCACTTGGGCTTTGTCGAGTACGAAGTTACGCGGCGCTCGGGCCGTGGTCGTGATCTCGCCCTCGCAAAGACTACCGATCAGTGCCGAGAGCCAGTGGGCAGGATAACCCAGATCCGCTACGTGAGAGATGAGTCTCAAGAAGACAGTCAGGTTGAGTGGCGCGTAGACCATCGTGAAGGATGTGAAGGGCCGCAGGTGCGGGAGACATATCTTCAGGAAGTGGGCATACATCCACTTGAAGAACGCTGGCCGGGACATGAGCTTCTCCAGACCGCTTCGTTCGACTGGGGACTTCTCCCAGAGATAGTAGGGTATCAGGGGGTACAGGCCAGGGCCGGTGGTGGCGAGGTTCATCTCGGGAGTCTCCTTCGACAGCCGCACTCCGAAGTGTGTGTGGATGAGTTCCCGATCGTACATGAGAAGGTATTCAGACAAAAACTGGTCCAAGGACTTCCATTCAGGAGGGTTCCTTAGTACGCAGGACAGCAGCCCTGTACCTGATCCCGACTCGAGCAAGGGCGCTCCGTAGAGGAAGGACGTGAGGGGTCCACCAACGTAATCGCTTCTGAGGTCAACCTTCCCTAGCTAGTGGCGGTATAATTCATGGTTGACTTACGGGACGTTGCTCATGTGTATGACATGATACTTGCGAGGCCATCGACTAGCCTCCGCAGAGTTCGTGGCTGACGACCCCCTAGCAGTCTCAAATGCGTCGTACCGTATCCGTTCCATGTAATCCGCCATCTCGCCCAGGCCGATCTCAATCATGATCTGCTTTTTGAGTGACGCAACACTCAAAGTAGTGAATTCGAAGAAGTAACCAATATAGTCCATAATGCATTTCTTGCTTCGGCCATCTGGTGAGGGCAGAGGCATCGATTTGAACTGGTCCGAGAGCGTGGCGGCAACGTCAGTGGGGTCAAAGCCCATGTCTGGGGTCCGCTTCGTGTCTTCTCGTTTCGTTTCCCAGTCTACGTCGACAAGGGTGACATTCGGTTTCCAGTTCTCATCGAGGTAGTGGCTGATGGCTTCCTTGCTTCCATCCTTCTTTTGGCGGTAGTCCTTCAGCAACTCAAGCAACTCTGGCTCGTTCTTCTTAAGATCCTCAGGCGTCGGCAAGATGACGGAGAAGATCTTGAACAGCTGATGGTCTTCCTGACATTCAGGGAAGCGCTGATCGAGTTTCCCGAATATAGACTGCTGGTTGCTGCTTTGAGTGCGGTTATCCTTGGAGACCAGCTTGCGTATCCGTTTGGTCGAATACCAGTCTTCTGGCTCCCGTTGCCAAGTGCGTAGCACCTTGCAAACTTCCGGCATGTGTTGGGGCGGAATATGTGCCCAGGTCATCGGCTGCTTGTTTTGTTCCAACAACTTGACCAGGTTCTCACTGACATTCTCGAACATTTTCCATACGAAAGGCGAGAGCACCTGGGTGCAGAACAGGAAACTCAGGGTAGTAACCGTTCCCTCCACTCGCTTCCCTGATTGAACGGCTTTGTCAATCAAAGAGAAAGGAAATGAGATCCCTGGCAATGATTGCTGGCTTGTGATCCAGAATGGTGAAGTGCAGCTGCTTTGATTTGACCTGGCTCATGAACAGCGTGAAGACGGTCTGGAACAAGCTTCGAGCATCGCCGACACCGCAAAACATGAAGGAGAGGAGTTTGTCATTCTTGGCAGATTCCATTGAGCGTTTCGCCGTACTGAGACTCGACAGTATCGTGCCCAACAGCGAAATAATCCGGGTCGTCCTGCCTGTTCCAGGTCAGCAGAAGCCGTCCTGACAATGCTGATCAACTTACATCTGCGGTTTTTAGCGTGGCAGTCTCAGGGTCGTAGCCCTTAAACTACCAAGTCCGATGGATTGTGCGCTGAAATCGGCCAGGCTCTTGAGAGCACCTTGCAGCATGTCCTTGTCCCCGCCAGGCTGGACGTGGGATAGAACCTTGGCCGCTGGCTCGATGCTGCTCAGGTGAATGTAGGCTTTGGCCATGCGGAGTCGGAGCTTCTGCACTCGAGGGTCGCCCCCCTGAGCCTCAGACAAGCAGTCAACAGCCTTCTCAGCGAATGCAATGCATTCCGAGTAATTGCCAGCCTCGAAACAGGCAGCAGACAGATTGGACAATGGCGAGGGATCTGAAGGATCAAGTTGAGATGCCTCCGTATACGCTCTGATGGCTATGCGCGACATCAATAACCCCTATCTAAAGGCATACGCTCGAAGGGGCAAGCCCATACCTTGGCTCAGAAGACCCTTGCGGTAGAGTTCGTTGCCGCGCTCGCGGGCCCGGACGGCCGTTTCACTGGCTGATGGGTCCATGGCTTGATCAGACTGTACGCAAATTGACCGGTGGAACGATGGGAGAGGGTACGTATTGAGGACGGTGAACTATGAAGCTAAGGTTGGTCTTGTGTGAAAGTACAACACAGGAAGAACACTCAGGTTTTTTTACCTTCGTTCGGTCGCAGTCTAGCGGCCAGGCTTGCTTCTTTCACAGACCCACAAGGCAGGCCTGTCCCAACATACCGATCGAGATAGTCTACGGCTCATGTTTCTTGGAGTAGACAACTCAAGAACAAGTCACTATTCTTTGTCAAAATATGGACAGACGGTGCCCGGGGGCAGAGGAGCGGCTCATCATCATCATCACGAACAACGAGCCCCAGATCCGCCAGCAGGGCTTGGATTCCATGTGGCTTTGTGCCACGATAGGCTTTGAGTAGAATAAACGAAAAGTAACCAAGCGGCACTGGCGGACATGGTCCTACCTCTGGTACAACAGTCGGGCATCGATGGTCCATGGTGTTGTGCTTGAGGTTGACGCTGGTCGTTGAGTGAAGACTGTAGTATGACGCCCCCGGCCCCCCGCGTACGGCATGAGCCACAGCAGTATATGCATATATGCCACACAGGGCCTTGACCTCTCAAAAGATGCTATTCGCTAATCGGGTCTTTGCGCCACCGCATTGCTTTACCAATTTTCACCACACCGAACGAGAGCCGCAGTCACCGAACTTCCAGGTGCTCAGTCATTATCGATCTGTATTTCGGTAGGAGGCCAATAGTGACACACTTCTCATCTCGACCTGCGACGCGGACTTCGGGTCATACACCGGGATACTTCGCGAACGTTCCGGCATCACTTTGCCCCGCCATCGTTAGGGCTTTGCTTCCGACTTCGTCCTGGTCCGTGGTGGGGACATCCATGGATGGTCCGGCTTGACAGCCTTGATATGACCCCCTCGCCAACCGTACAGCCGTACCGCATGTACCGGATTCGATCCTCGCACCACGTGTAGACGAGAACTGCGCCGCGGTCAATCACGGCCATGGCTATGGCGTCGCCTGCGAAGCTGGACTCGGATCCAGCGCATGTATGGAAGCAGGACTCCATTGAGGAGCGAATCTTCGCCGCCGCGCTGGTGTGTCTCGAGGGTCACTACATGCAGTCGCCCGTCATGGGACCTCAGTCCATCACCAAAGTCATGAGCATCATCTCAAAAACCCTCGAGAAGACACACACCTTCAAGGATGTGAGGTGAGGCCAGATGAAGCTGAACTGTATGTGCTCTGGGGCTAGTCGTACTAATGTCAGCCGCAGAGAAGTACTATCTAAGAACCTGAGGGTCTGGATATGGCTGCGGAGGGCCATCTCCGCAGCCATATGTGATCTCAATGAGAAGTCGCTGGGGGTGCGATCAGAACCGCATGTGCCAACCAAGTTCATCGATATCACCACTCCAGAAGTCACCGCTCTGATCATCAAGAACTATGCGCCCCTCAAAGAAGCATTGCAGATGCTCAACAAGCTCATGCACATTGCACGGAACTTGCTCGTCATCACCAACCCCGAGGTGCCGCAGGACTTGTCAGCAGCCATTAGATTCGATCACGAGGTCTACGAAGCAATATGTCTCTGTGTCAATGTCACCAGCAAGGGCATCGATGGCGAAATGCCAGAAGATGATGCCTCGAGGGTGAAACTCAACGAGATCACCGAGCTCTGTAAGTAATAAACCATAACACGTGCATAGTCGTCTAACCATTACAGACAAGAAGGTCCTGGTGACTTCCCTGCAGCAAGCCCACAACTGGATCGCCAAAAACGACCGGAATAAGACGATGTTCTGGTACAAGGTGTTGATCGAGTCCCCAGACGTTGAAACCTGTCATGATACAGTCACTCGGCATGAAGGTGTCCTAGAATGCGTGGGTCCCAGGTTTAAGTCGCTGCGAGACGAGATATCCAACTGGCTCAAGTTGAATTCGAAGATGTGCCTTACTGCGACAAAGATATGTAAGGAGTATTTCATGGCTAAAGTCAATGCTCAAGAAGACGCGACGAACAACCCATGGTTATCCTACTATGACAACAACCTCGCCTGGAATTGGGACCCCCTACATAGCGTCGAGCGTCACGGAACACACAACTTCAGACACAAATACCCGGATGATTGGCATCCAGATGACGACGTCAAGTTCACCCAGGACAAAAACTACCGCCGTGTATCCCATGAACTTGATGAATGGTGGGATGCCGCACGCTGCCCGAACCGGACCAACCCAGGCAATAGGATATACCCGATCGACTTTGTTCCTGGTCGGATTAAGGAGTGTGAAGCAAACCTCATGCAACGCTATGCCGCAGCCGAACCCCCAGATGATCCAGGCGAACCAGGCGATCCAGGCGAACCAGGTGATCCGGGCGATCCAGGTGATCCAGGTGATCCAGGTGATCCAGGTGACCCGGTCGATGCGGTCGAGCAGGGCATGGACGAAGGCCACAACCACGAATGGCAAAACCTAGCACCACAGGCGACTCCGAATTTCGCGCCAGAATATGACGAGTACGAAGAGGAAGCCGACGACGACGACTCCTACGGGGAGGGGCCAATGACTGGTCTACTCACCGAAGTACCCAACATCCTGGATCCTAAGCAGATCGAGGCGTTGCATATGATTGTCAAGTCCTGCATTCTAGATTCAGCAGGATCAGGCGGAAGCATATGGGGTGAGAACCTACAGCAGACGCGATGCCGTATTTTCCTTGCTACGGATTGTGGCAAGAATCTCTTCAGGGAGATGCTTGTTTTCATCGCAGTATGGGAGAAGGACGAGCAGTCTCTCATTTTCCAGATCAGCAGCCAGATTGTCCAGGCTATTCACGATAGCGCCCTCATAGAATACGCCTGGAACGCGATCCGGAGCCCGAAGGACATCATCTCACCAGCGCAGACCGTCCTACTTCGTCTCATCACCTACCTCTCCCGCACGGCCTTCTTCCCGTCTAAGAACTACAAACCCATCCCTGACCCGGTCGAGACCGAGGATTGGGATGAGCTCCTGTTGGATGAAGTCCATCGCCTCAGGTCGATGCTCAACTTCTTCTGTGGCATCTTCCGCAGCCGCATCGTACCGGAATGTGTCGCCTTGATGCAAATCCAGGGCGAGGTCCGCAAGAACCGACTAGACCCGGCGGATTTCCCGGTAGACAATTGGGACCTCGAACGGGCGAAGGATGGCCTGGTCCAGTACCTCGATTTCCTCTACACCATCGCCGATATCCATCCTCTCCGTCAACACCTCATCGAGTACGAGACCGTCTACGAACTACTCAAGCTCCTCGAGGGCCTCGACGTCGGCGTCGAAAAGGCTCCCTTCGCAGGCGCCCGCCGCAACAACGTCCCCCCGACACCCTCCACCTCAACATCGACCCCGCAAACCTCCTCTTCATCCCACCCCCCTCCACCGCCGCCTCCGCCTCCTCCCCTCTCCGACCCGCCCCACGAGTTCCCCTGGTCCGGCATCAAAGGTCAGGTCCTCTCGATCCTGGCCGCCCTCCTGCAGCCGCCGCCGGGCCAGTCCTCGCCCGGCAACCCGACGGTGCAGATGCAGATCGTGCAGCACAACGGCATCGTGGCGCTGCTCAACTGTTGCTTGTACGACGACAACAACCGCTTCTGCCGCGAGCGCACGCAGCTGTGCCTCAAGTGGCTGATGGACGGCTCGCCCGACGCCTCGGCCTTCCTGCAGAACCTGGTCAACGCGAACCAGGGGCCCGCGACGCGCCCGCCCGCCGGCGCCGGGAGCGTCACGCAGACGGTGCGCGTCGACGGCGTGCCCGGTGAGGTCAAGGTCCAGGTGCGGAGCTCAAGCGCGCCGGCTGGCGAGGTGGGCGAGGTCGGTGGCAGCAGCAGTAACAGCGGTGGTGGTTTAAGCGCGGGTGCCGGTCCCAGTACCAGTACCAGTACCAATGCCAGTGCCGGAGCTGGGAGTCTGAGTCTTCGGACGAGGTTAGAGGAGAACAAGAGCCGGAGCGAGGAGCTGGTCAATGACCTCCTGGCTCTGACGATCGTGGACGAGGCGGGGCGGCTGGCGGACGCGCGGGACGATGACGAGACCGAGGATGACGAGTTTATGTGAACGGGTCGCTGCCCAGGTAGGAATCCCCGTGGGGCTGTTAATGTTCGGCATGATGGTACGGGATTTACGTTGCACTGGATTTTTCATGAAAAAGGCGTTCCATAGGTCGTGTTCAGGTTAGAGTAAATGTAAAGAGAGATCAACACAGATTGTAATTCACTGAAATGGCCCTATCTATAAGGAGAAGCGCGTTTTGTAAAAGGCGAACCAAATCCCTAAACTGTCTATCACTCAACCGCCTTCGAAGCTCTTATGAACACAATCATCATGCACGTCCTGATGTATACCCAGCTATGCCCTTCAGCCCTTCATCAATAAGAAGATCCTAAGCTGCCCTGCGCTACCATCCCCAACCCAACATCGATAATTCCATGGTAACAAAGCTCGATAAGTAAGGTAGGTACAGTAGTGTATACCGCCACCTTGGCCCGATCATCCTAATGCAAGACACATGAGAGACATCTCCTAGAGTCCGACGACCACGTGTCATTACTCAGACTCCATCTACACAAGCGTTTAAGGGACGCAGTTGACTACATTTACAGTTAAGATAGTTGAAAACCCGAAACTGCTTCATCGCATTGAGAGCTGGGCGATGGACGGAATGCGCAGCTTTGGAGACAATAACAATATCGACTTTCTACAGCACACTACTCGTCCATGTTTCTTTCAACATAAGTAGACCTGTGGTAATACCTGGGCTACAGCTAAACTTCCATCTGCTAAGACATCTGACCATTACCATCGACCTATGTAGCAATACCCGCCTGGTTTTCAAGCATGTTGGTATATCCGCACGATATATAGCTCAACCGTCAGCACAGCAACTGGATGAACATTTTGGAAATGTTCTCTCCTTCACAACACCAACTTCCCACCAGCTGTTGTCTTCGATCCGGCCCAGTCTGACGTACGGAGTGTTCAGATTCGACACGAAAGTTCATTGTTCCGCGGAATCCATCTCATCGTCAGTGGGAGAACTTCCAGGGTTTGAGCCTCGAACCAACTCTACCACCCGCAACTTCTTCATGAGGGTCTTGAACATCGCGGGATCTCGTACGGCCATGCTGATCACTATTTCAAGTTCGATCGTCTTCATGCTTGTGGCATCTTCAGGGTCTAGTCGCTTCTTGATCAGCTCTTCCACATTTAATCGGGCTGCCATCTTCCCATCGATCTGTGAGATGAAGTCTTTTTTTCCTTTGATGACAGCATCAGTAGCTTTTGCATTAGGAATTTGATGATGTGCATTGTCAGGGCAACTCGTTGGCTTGGGCGTTGTCTGAGTTGCATTGGAGACTGCGTCAGCCATGTATCTGGGCTGAACTGGAGTGTTTCCATCTTGAGGCAGCTTCGACGCATCAATCCGGTCATCTTGATGCTCCTCACTGATGGTTGATTTCTGGAGTGCTCGCGTCTGAGCTCGCGTCCGAGACAACGCTTGAGCACGCAGAGGAGTCTCAGTGGGTCCTATGTCATCACCAGCGTCTGACTCGTGACCCGTCACCTTGTTGTTGGTCTCTTCCGATGGGTTGTCTTGGCTTCGATGTACGTCGACGGCAGACTCTTTGGCTGGTTTGGTCTTGTTGACTAGAATTATTCTAACTGGCTTGGTTACAGGTGGTGTCTCGACATTTTGCGAAGAGCCTCCGGCTGCTGTGCGCAAAGAAGTTTCGTCAGCTGCTCTAGTCTTTTTGGCTGGAGCCTGTCCTGTGGGCTTCGCTGCATCTTCAGTAAGGACCCAGCTTCGCTTTCGGCCTCGGTTGGCCTTGAGATCCGGTTTGTCAGATGGGAGTTGGCCGAGTGAAACTGGTTTTTGGAATTGCTTCTCTGGCGTGTTGTCAGGGGCTGCTGATGTCTTATTAGACCCGCGTTTGGCGACTGAACGGCCAGGTCGGGAGGTTTCCCCTGTGGGTCGGGAAATATGTGCTGGTGCGGTCAACGCTTCCTCTTGTTTCTGGGAACCATCTTGTTCCTTTCGACGTCCCAAAAATGGAAGTTCTCGTTTAGGGACGAAATCAGTAAGATCACGACTTTCAGGGAAAGTGGCGGATTCTGATCCTTGTGCGGGACCTCGATCAGAGAGGTTGAGAGGTCGTTTTGGGGCAGGGTCAGTGGGAGCACTCTGGGGGTTACTGGTTGGTCTTGTGCATTGGGAAATGTCGACTTCATCCCCGGCCGCGGGCTGCAGGTTCAGACGAGTGGGAGCGGACTCTGGGCGATTTGAAAAGGGGTTACCTGAGTGCGAGACTTTTAAGCGTAGTTGGTGGGGATCGCCTGAGGCTGGACTTTGTGTCTTGAGATTTTGCGATGACAGGTAGTTTGAGCCTTGATTGACAGGACTAGTTGTCGAAAATTGTGCTCGTAAAGGGATGGCTCGTTCTTGGTAAGTTGGTGGCTGCCCTGTGAAGAACTGTCGTGGCGGGAGGTATCCATGCGCAGCTGTAACATTTGGGCGAACCACTTGCGAAAGTTGACCTCCATATAGGCCACGATACTGTTGCTGAGGAGGTTGGAGGTTTGACACCGGTCCTGGTGTAGGTTGGCGTGGATTGGAGAGCTGCTCCGGAAACCTGAAGTAGTTGGGATCCCTACGGTAAGGAGCTTGGGACGGCTGGGATGATCGCGACGACTGGGTCGACTGAGATGGCCATGACTGATATGATTGGGGAGATTGGTACGACTGATTGGAAGCACCGGATGATTGGGAATATGGAGGACGCAATGGATGCGATGGACCGGGTGGACGAGGCGATGCCGAGGCCTTCATGGTGCTATGAATCGTATGTAATACACCAAGCGATACTGGGAAAGGGCAGTTATGTTACCACGAGAATACAGAATGAAGACTGAAGTAAAGATAGAAGAGACAGAAGAGACAGAGAGATAGACGTTGAAGATATTGCGTCGAGATGATTTGCTGTCCGTGGTGGCTGATGGTCGAGGTTCACGACGTACAAGATGGATCCACGGATGGCTGCCCGTGGTGGTTGACGGCAGAGAAGGGAAAAAGTGAGAAGGAGAATTGAACTGGTTGTGCCTCCATCTTATCAGGATAGCAGAAGTTTCATAGTGATAATGATAGTGATAGACATGCACCTTCCACATGAGCACCTTCCTTCCATTGCTGCCTAGGTACATGTACTTGCGTTCTGTACAAAACGTTGGTGTTAGCCGCATGACACTCCTCATTAGTAGCATGTCTTCAATGCGGCCTACGCTTGATTATTAGCTTCGATGTTATGCAACAAAGAAGTAATTGTGGCTGTTCCAATGTGGCGCGCAAGCTAATGCTATGCACGGACCTACTTTTCCCCAACCAACACACCCTGACTCCCAGCCCCAGATTGGTTTTCGCGCTTCGATTCTGCCGCCGTACCTGAGCTTTGCGATGCAACGCCGTTCTTCGAGCTAGGAGGGCATCACCACACCACCACAACCTCCATTTCACATCCAAACATCTGCCAACTCCACCCACGCTCCAATCGCATGCGCATGCAACGCCACCGTCCTAGACCGCAAGTCACCAGCTGGCGACCTCGACCCTGCCCTGGCTGACGCGATCCCAACCGTCAGGTCAAGGTGCGGCCTCACACGCTCGCCCTTGCTGCGCATGCGCCTGTGTTTCCAGCGCATTGTTCCCACACGCCGCGGCCACCCTGCACGACGCGACCGAATAACTTTCCGCTCTACCTAGTTCAAGATGGCGCCCGCACGCGGCCCAGGCAACACCGAGGTCTACGTCCACGAGATTGAGCGCACCACCGAATATGCCGACTTCATCCAGAAACTGATCGCCTTCCACGAGAAGCGCGGCACCCCGTTCGAGCCCGAGCCTCGTCTTCCCACCATGCACGGCCACGTGCATGTCGACCTGTACCGGCTATACAAGGCCGTCATTGAGAAGGGCGGCTATGATGAACTAAATAAGGTCCAGAAGGCATGGGGCCTCCTTGCTGGCGAGTTGGGAATGCATTACGTCGACAGTAAGGGTATGGGGCAGCTTTCATTTCAGCTGAAGCAGGACTTCTACCGCTACCTTTGCGCATTCTGGATCCAGGACCAGTACGGCAAGGAACCTCCGCCGCGAGAGATCCTCGAGCAGCAGTCATGCGCCAGCAAGCATGGCCCGGTCTTGACTCGTACCGTCGAGAACTTCAAGGCATCTGCTAGGCGTTCAGGTGAGGAGACGCCTACCAAAGAAGACCGGCAGCCCGATAGTACGCCGGCCTCGGGAAACAGAGCTTCGGGTCGACTCCGTGAAGCTCCTCCACAACGAGTCCCTTTCCAACCCGAGACGGGACCAAGCCGCCAGACCAGACATGCCTCCTCGCAGCATGGCACACCGACCTCCAACGCCTCGCATAATACCCACGGCGCTCAGCACAACCATCTGCTGCCTCAACATCATAACCCCAACAGCCCCATCCACATCATACAGGCGCAGCAAAATGCTCTGCGGGGCGTATCGAGCTCCTATACTCCCGCGAACTCAGAGACTGCCTCGCGGTTAGGGGAGAGTTTCGATCCACGGCCCCTGATTACCGTTCCTCTCCGTCCGGTGAACACGCCCGGAAACAATCCGGAAGAGTTCAGTAAACGACAGCGTCAACTGCGAATGCAAGCTGCCGGCTTAGCATCTGCCCGACCTGTCATGCCTGGTGGTAAGCATTCGTGAACCCCCTGTGACATTTCTCAGATGCTGACTTGACTAGCTGGATTTGACGGACCAAACATATACACACGGTGCCTCCAGTCCCTTCGTTCTGGTATCCCTGCCGAGCAAAGTTTTGCTCTGAACCACCTGGTCAAGATCTCATACGAGCGAGGCGACAAGTACAAATTCGAGTCGTTCCTTGGCTTGGCCGAAGGCCTCATCGAGAAGGGCCTAGAGATTGGCAGTCTATTTCATGATGTTGATTGGCAGGTGGCCTATTTTGGCGAGCAAGACAGCTCCAACATAGCCGTACTTGATGGACTCAACGGGACGGATGATATCCTTGAGCGCATTGCAAAGCTTCCACGCAAGTCAGTCCTTGACTACATGCAGCCTGCTGAGTTCTCAGACCGCCTTCTACGAATAACGGAATCAATCCTGACCATTCGAAACATGGTCATGTTGGTAGAGAACGCCATCTACATGGCTGAGGTCTATCCTTTGAAGGATCTTCTCTGTATTGTTTTGCATCTGCCAAACCTGGAAATGCTTGTTGAGGTCAAGCATTTCGCCCTGGACATCGCCGAGCAGCTTACGCCTTGGCTGATGATGGATTCTACTGACCCATTGTACCAGACGCTGCTGAATCAGCTGGGTTCTTCAGATCGCGGCACCATACTGACATCTATGCGTGCCATTAGCCGTATATCGATGAATCTGGACGCGACCAACAAGCTGCAAAATGTCCCGGCTGTGGTATTGCAGAATATTATGAACTGGCTCCTACTCAACGACGAAGAGCTAATGGACGCCTGCCTGGATTTCCTCTATCAGTACACCGCTGTTGTCGCGAATGTCGAAAGCTTGCTGAAAGCGGTCGATATGGAGCATGTTGTACCCCATCTCGTCAGACTGCTCGCTCACGGCGCCAAGCGGGTCAAAGAAGACAAGATTCTGGAGCCGGAGCGGAAGGCACCATGCTCTGAGGAGGTGGCCAGCTTACCGCAGGACCTGCAGGAGCAGCTGACCAATACTGACGAGCCAACGAGATGCTTCCGCTGGCTACAAAGCCTTTTCGAGGAAGACTCTGAATCTCATATCACACAAATAGCTATATGGCAAGCATATCAAGGGTCGTTTGGCGCATTAGCGGGAGGTGTTCGGAATACTCTGAGCGCGGCAGATTTTATCAGGAATGTCAGCCACGTGTTCGTGAATGCTCGGGCGCAGATCATCCGGGGGCCTGGTGAAGGTCAACGCTTTATCATCGAAGGGATTCGGGCGCGGAAATCACCGGTAGACTACGAAACCAAGGAGGAATACATGCGGTGTCAGTGGCAGGTTGTCAAGGGACCTTTCTCCAAGAGATGCAACCATTTCTACCTCGGTGGTGAGAAGATGTGGCGTCACATCTTGGCAGCACACCTGCGAGTTACGTTCAGCGATGATGGAGAGGTGGAGGACAAAGAGATCACGACCTTTTGCGACTGGCTGGGCTGCGTCAAGTACCCGAAGCCGACCCGGATGAAGTTGTCGGAGCTCACCCGTCACATCAAGACCCACGTCCCTGCCGCGCCGAAGCGTTCTCTGACGGATGGATCAGAGCCCCTGGCAAAGCGGCAGAAGAGGTCCTACGTGACGCCAGCCAAGGCAATGACTCTAGCTTGGGAGCAGACAATCATCACCCGAGATGAGCGGAACCCCAAGCTTGAGCAGGCCGCCGGTATCCCACTTAGTGCCGTGCTAGTGCTCCGCAACATCGCGCGCAACGTGGTGAAGACGGAGGCCGAAGAGGAGCTTCTCAAGCAGCACGAGATGGGAGGCGAAGGTGGCGGATGGAACGAGAAGCTATTCCGCCCGGTTATGGTCCGTCTGTTCGAGGTCATGACCGAGAACAAGGCTTTGGTAAGTCGCAGCCGCCACTACCTATATGAAGAAGTTGTGTGACTGATCTGACGTGAACAGGCCGGCTACATTACGTCGCTTCTGCAACTGGTTCAAGACGACTGAGGTTCTGAAGCGAATCTGTATGCGTTGCATTGCTGTCTCATTTCCCCTCGCGGCTATCCTGGCTCGCCACAAAGGTCGAGTTGCCAGGACTCAGCGGTCTCGCTTTCTTATTAGGAATACCCTGGCGTTTCAGGAGAGAAAACCGGCGATGGCATAGCAGGAAACAGGGCGAGCGAGATGACTGGGGGAATGGGATTCTGTGCCTTTTCCTCCGGCCTAGACGAGGAGGGATGGCAACTCGGGTTGCTTGTGCTTTTTCAGCCAATGTTCTTTGTGTGCTCAGTACTTGCTCCCCATGCGTACAACAAGAATCGCATGGGCTAGCCCAAGCGCAGTACTCCCCTTGCGTGCTCGTCGTACCAGCAGGCATTCCGGGGCGTTGGATGGGTGGTCGTTGTCGCACCGACTTGTGCTTCTCTAGCTGCCAGGCGTTGGATGCTATTACGAGTGCCATGTATGACTATGATCAATAGCTTCTTGTACTTTCGTAATAGATATTGGTCAATGTAGGCAGGGAATACCAACATTGAGTTCATAATTCAGTGACTACCTACTTACTATGAGTACTGTGCTTAAAGGGCTAAGCATGATAGATGAACACATGAGACGAACAGGAAGGGAGTCGTTAAGAGTCATATTGTTATTTTTGGTTTATTGTACCTGCGGGTGGTTGCTTTCCCTTGAGGGCTTCTTTGCTACAAGAGGCCCTCCGATTAAGACCTAGCCATCAGTATCGTTCCGATGATCCGTCCGAAGTTCGGACTTCCCCCTTTTTTCGGCCCTTTCGTACACATTTCCTAACTACAGACACGCATTACCACTGATTAGCCGCCAATGACGGCGGGTTCTCAATAACCCCAAGCCGTACACGAGACTTCTAGTCTCGTCGTCCGGCTTGTCCTTCGCGCACGGCCTCGAGAATCAGGTCCTTGGCCGTCTCGCAGCCTTCTTTGGAGCCATTGACCTCGATAGCCTCATCCCGGGCTTGAGCTCTTGGTACGTTGATCTTGCATCCGCTCTGCTTGCGGATCGAGTTCACCTTTGAGCCGCCCTGGCCAATGACGTGACGATAAGTGAAAGGATCTGGGAGGATGAGGTATCCCGTGGCATTGTTCTTCTGTACCTGCTCGAGTGCCGCGGCAATGGCTTTCTTGGCCTTCTCGATGCCCTCCTCGTTACCCTTGAGCACCCAGGGGATATCGCCTTCCTCTGACGAAGCAGTGTCCACGATTGTCCATGAGTGCGCATCAGCTGCTGTGTCCTCGTCATCAGTGATCAGGGGTAGAGCGCCGTTGTTGGCCCTCGTGTTCGAGGGCTGCGATTTGGCAGGGATGGGCTGGCCAGCATGGTCTACTGTGACCTTGTGATCGTTGCGTAGCCTGCGGAAGAACTGGCCGTTCTCCGAAATTGCGTTATGGTATTTCCGGGGAATTTGGAGGGTTTCGCCTCGCGACTCCTTGATCATTGACGAAATGTGCTCCTTGGCCTTCTCAACGTCGGCAGGCAGGCCAGCCAGTTTGACACCGGTCGAGCCACTTCCTTGGCGGGGGATATCGATGGAGACGTTGAACTGCGACTCGAGCTGGCGCTTTGCCTCGCCTCCTCGGCCGATGAGTGATCGATGCTTCTCGACGGGTACCTCGACAGTCTCATTGACCTGGCTTTCTCGTTGCGACACCATGGCTTGAATGCTAGCAATGATCTTGTCAACAACATCTTGCCGACCCTCGACCTGAATAGAGTTGCCACCGGCATCCTGCTTCGGGAACTGGACAGTCCGGGCTTGGAGCCTTCGATCTTCTGGTCCACCAGCTTTAATGACGATGTCACGAAGGGTTGAGCCTGACAGGGAGTTAGCGGATGGATCGGACAGCTCATTTTCCACAGGAATACGTACCACCGGGTCCGATCAAGTTCTTGTGCCACTTCCTCTCCACATCGACAGTTCTAGAAACGGTATCGTCAAAGACTGCTCGCTTCTCCTCAATGATCTTCTTCGCAGCGGCAACTTGCGACTTGGTGCCCTTGATCTGGATCTCCACCATACTATCTGGAGCCTCGTTGCGCTCGTTGGGAATGTCGATCTTTGCACCGGATGCTTGTCGGAGCTCATCCATAGCGGATCCGCCCGCGCCGATCAAAGATGGGAGCTGCTTCTGTTGAACCGTCACGGTGCCAGTGAAAGAGTTGTCCTTGAGGTACTGGAAGAGAGAGAAGATTTCATCCCGGGCTTCATCTGCGCCCTTCTTTGGGCCCCGAATCGTGACTTCGTCGGGGGCTTGTTGACGCCGTGGCTTACCAGCTTCGCTGCCACCTTCAGCAACTGACTCGTCATCCTTTCCAGGCTTTGCGGTCTTCGGGAAGTTAATGTGAACACCGTAACGGTTTTGCAGACGGAGGATCTGAGCTCCCTGAGCTCCGATAAGCTCCCTGTGATACTTGGGTTCAATTTTCAGCGAGTGGCTGGTCTCATCAGCCCATTGCCGACCAAGCGAGATGATGTGCGATTTGGCTCTCTCGGTCTTAGCCTTGGGGCCCTTCAGCTCGACCTCGCCATTCTGTACTTGGATGTCCACATCGAACTTCTCGCGCAGCTCGTTGATATGGCTACCACCCTTGCCAATCAGGTGGTTTGCATGCTTTTGGGGGAACTCGAACTTGAGAATGAAGCCACGCTCCTTTTCATCCTCTTTCTCCTGCTCCACAAACGCCGCGGCTTTCTGCGAAAGAGATGCAACGTTGGAGCTTGGCCCGCGCATGGTGACTGTGGTGCCCTTAACATTAACACGGACAGGAATATGGCCGGCGGCGCGGATGGTCGCATCCTGTTCTTTCTTGATGAACTTCCGAAGCTTATCTTGAAATCTAAACCCATGTTAGCACTTTAATAGATCCGTAGTCAACGCTCATGATACGTACTTGACTGGCACTTCCAAGGTTGCCGTGTCGATCTGCTCCTGCTTGTTGAGAAGCTCAACAATATGCTTCCGAGCATCCGCAAGTCCTCGCTGGAATGACTGAAGCTCCGTGGCATTGGGAGCATTTTGCGGGATCTGATACGACTCCCCAGGAGTTTCCGGGCCCTCGTATACCAACAGTACGGGAAGATCGCGCTCCGTGGCATCTGGCACTATGAGAAGAACACCGAAATCTTCCTGAACCTTGGGCCTGATATCACTTCGAAGGTAGGAGTGGAAGAAAGGATCGACCGGGACCGTCGACAAGCGAGAAGGTGGGTGGCTGTTCACAATGGAGGTCATCTCTTTCTGGGCTCTGAGAGCATTCTTGCCCTCTCGCGCATACAGTTCCCACGGACTGACGATGCCTTCCGAAAAGGGGGTGTTGATGTGGATCTTGTACAGTTTCTCGAGTCGCTCGATCTCCTTCCTCTGACGGAGGTAACGAGAAAGGTCCCGCGAGTAGCCCGGAGCTGTTCCAGCCGCATGGCGGTGGTGCTTGGCCACGTCGAAGACTGAAGTGTGTACCTGTGTAGCCAGGTCCATAGCTTTCTCTAGACCAGTAGCGACATCGTCAGCAGGACCAATGACTGTCACGGTGTCGACGCCCGATTCATTGGGCAGAACCACAACGCAGTTGGTGTCGGCGAAGAACTCATCCGAAGGGATACCCCGATCTCCGATGATGAATTGGTGAGCTCCGTGGCGGATATCAACCTGGTCCATATGTAGTTGGTTCTGTAGTTCCTGAACTCGACTCTCGATCGCCGCCCTGGCGGCTTGAACAGCCGCGCGGTCACCAGCCAGCTGAATGTGGTTGTCATTGGCAGCCGCGGCGAAAGACGGTCTCTGCCCTGCTGTCGGCATTTGGGGCACTTGCTGGGACCATGGTAGATGGGACGGGACCCGAATCTGGACGCCGTGGTCCGACTCCATTGCGTTGGCAAGGCTGTTGTTGGGACCAGCAATGAATGGGTAGAATTCGGCGGGAATAGACCTCAGTTTCGTGTTGATGCTGGCGGAACGCTCTCCAGCAATCTTGTTGATAGCATCACGAGCTAGGGCGGCAGAGAGTGCATTGCCTTCGACAATGACGTTGATAGTGGCGTCGTCGTCATCGTCTGGGTTGGCTACGCCTTCGTCCACCTTGGGCAGTTGAATCCTTGCACCAGATTTTTCCTGGATGGCCTTGATCGTAGATCCTTGCTTTCCGATTATATGAGCTCTCGCGGATGCCGGGATGGGGACCTTGACTGAAGTCTGTATAGAACAACGGTGTTAGCAAGTTTACTGCTCCCAAAGAAGTGGCGCAATTCTCAAGCGGCCACATACCTTGATACCAATCTGTTGGACTAGATCCCTGAGAGCTTGTTGCGCCTTGTCCTGGGGACCCGTTGCTTCAAACTTGAGGTGACCATTAGGAGCCGGAACCATAGAGATCACTGCCCGAGACTTGCGGTTGATGTCCTTGACGATGTCTGGAATCGGGCGCTTCAGCTGGTTACGAGGCAGGATGTATTGTGACTCCAGCAATACGGTCTCAACATTGCGACCCGGTATCGACATGGGCGGAGGGATCGCTGAAGGGGTCGAGACGCCAGACGCAGGTGTCCAAGCACGAGGAGTACCATTGGTACCATTGGCTGACCACGAGGTCGGCCCGTTAGCATTGCCGTTGGCACCACCCTTTGCGCCACCCCAGATAGGAGCGGTATGGTTCTTGGTGGCAGCGGTAGTCTTCGGGACACCAAGTTCGGGGAAGGCCTCGTGGGACTGGGTGTCGAGCGAGGCGGCGGGTTTCGCTGGCTGCTTCCCGGCTGCTTTGGCGGACATGTTCTGGCCCCAGGTAGAGTCTGCCGGGGCGTCGGCGGTAGAGGCAGCGGTAGAGGCCGGCTTCAACTCCTCATCAGGGACTTCCTCGACGGTGGGCTGAAGGGGGTTCTGGGCGTGCTGCTCGAGCAGGCGGGCAGCGGCGGAACCTTCCTCGGAGGCCATTTTCGTAGATATGTGGCCGGCAGGGCAATCGATTAACCAGGGCGAAACCGTTGGTAGCAATGGCGCGTGGCACCTGATAAAGAAAACGTCGGAGCTGTCACCTTGGTCGTTAGCTGACAGATTATATTGCCGGGTAGGGTGGGCGGAGGTGATTGGCGCACGAAAGACCCGGTGTAACTGGAGCTGAAATGACACTCACCAGTCTATATAGGCACGGTGAAACGGCGGTGGCACACAAGAGAAGACTCAACAATCAAGTTGAATGCTTGCTACTTGCTACTTGCTGGTTGCTGGTCGTGGGATACGGGGGGTCGGCTCGCACGTGGACGAGTAGTACCAAAACTGTGGGAGTGAACCGTGGAGGGATGGGCGGTAGATGGGAATAGAGCTTGAGCTGCAGGACCAGCTAGAACATGTTGCACGACCGCTCTGATGCTTGGGAGGGATCGTGAGGTAGGTTGGCGGTTGGCGGTGGTGGGACCAGGCTGTAAGGATACGATGGCGGAGTCGGCCCAGAGGTGTAGGTGATGCGGATAGGGAGAGCTTCCGGTCACGATGCTGAGACCAGGTGTAAGTTGCTACATGTAGAGTTATAAATTATTGAAAGGGTGAGGTGGAAGTTTCTCTCACCCACTGTCCACACAACCCTGCAGGCCTGGAGCTGGGACAGTGGGACTACTAGGCCCCACTATCTCTTGGCCATTGAGCCATTCAAAATCCATTATTCTGCCGAAGCCCATTCACTCGTTCCCATTCGCTCCCTTGGTGGGCCAAGAAGGCTCAAGCCTCAAGGTTCCAGCTGGCTCCGATGGCCAACCTGCTAGCCAGCCCTCCCCGCCCCGCTTCCCCGCCACTGTCTTGCACATAGCGAGCATATTGTACATAACGAGCATAACAATGGAGGCGGACCCCAATACGACGGGGGGGCATGGCTCCGGACGGCATCAGTGCTGGTGCAATAGGCATAGGGCCATTTGATGCCGACCGAGTAGCATCTACAGTACCTACAAGTTGATTGTCCTGGCCAGGTCAGCGAGCATAATGTAGGTCGAATTTCCATTCGTTGCCTACATGAATAATGGACCTGATGCGTTCCTCCATTGTGAAGTCACCAGTCGCCAGGTGGCTCAGAGGAGGCCCCTGAATGAGTATGGGAAGTGCTGGAAGCTTCTCGCTCAGATCCCCAGCTCGGCATCGGGGCGCTTTGCGGATGGATGGTGAAGCATGTCAAAGGGCATCGAGACGGTGGAAAGCTCTGGGGGGTTCGGCGAGACCCTCTTGATGAAGTCATGCGGATTGCTCATTTCGACAACAAGCTCATGACTCTTTCAATCGAGAGAGTCGTCGCCTGCGTGGTCCTCTCAATATGTCGAAGCTTCGTCGCAAGCTTTCGGGGCATAGCTGGCACACGTTCCTCGACGTAGGTGGTACGAGCACAAGGACACACCAAAATAGCTGACCTTATATAGAAGAGGGCAGATATCCCGGGTGCAGGACTCGCGAATGCAGCCAGGCGGCGCCAGGCTGAACTCACGAAACGACGACAAGATTGGCATTACACCACCACCCCATAGCTCACTCCATTACCGCACACGGCCGGATCCAGAGCGGGCGGGGAGGCAGGCAGAGCCTCGGGGCATGTCTCCCTCACGTCAACGGGGAACTAGTCGAGGATAGAGTGAAGCTGTCATGCAGGCAGATCTGCGCGTGTACATATAGCCAGCCTCGAGCCTATCAGTAACCGTCACGAATGTGTCGCGAATGCAGAGTGCCGGCCAGGTACGTGTGCGTGTGTCTCGATCGTATTGATCTGTCCCGGGGGAGGGTTGCAACACATAGCCGTGGACAATTCGCGTCTGCAGCCCATAGTCCCACCCGGATATTGCTTGGCAGGCTGGGCTGGACAGGACAGGAACAATCTTCTTGGGCTATATGCGGTGTCAGGGGAGGGGGGTGCGAACTGTGAAGTCACACGCGTATACGCGCCTAAGTGAGGAGATCCGTTCTTTGAACTACACTGCCGTCCCGTGATGAAGACCTGATGGTGACTATAAAGCTTCAGTAAGCAATTGACACGGTGCCAATATTTGAAATCGTCCACCGTGGGTGATGAGTTGGTGGTAGGTTTTCCCATCAATTGGACACGCCTTCGAGGGGATCGTGTCCCACAGAGCGTGTGACGGTTACGCGCGTCTGCTACGTCGCGAAGCAACAAAAGCAAAGATAGATGTCTGAGAATTTCTGCCAGGAGAGAACCAGTATTTTACTGTTATTAAGCACCCGGTCTCTATTAAGGGTCAGGTCCAGCCTGGTTCAGTAGATGGGCCCCGCTATGGAAACCAGAGTCAGTAGGAGTGACGATCCTCTACGATAGACTCGACAAATTCTTGAGAAAAGTAACAACTTCCCCCAAGCGAGTGTGACAGGAAAAGAAACCTCAGGATTATCGGAGATGAATACCCCTCTCAGCTTCGAGTGGCTCTGTAAGAATGAGATAGGTAACATCGTCTTCATTCTCTCTTAATATCATGGCATATCAGTGGGGGCAAATGTTATAGACTTACTAAGGTGGTTTCTGGTTGCGTGGGTGCTTGCGAAGTGAAGCGATCCGGCAGTGCATCAGAAGAAGGCAGTGAGGGCATCGAAAGCTTGAGATACATCGTCGTGGGACTTGAGCTGAGGCCGAGGTGGTAAAGACCTCCCATGTTGTTCATATGAAGCCAATCCACTTGACTAAGTTCCTACTTGACTTTCAACAGCAGTGAGGCTGAATAATAACTTTCCAATGCAGCAACAGGGGTGGTTCGTAGCTTATATCAGAGTCTCCTGATGTCGAATTAGGAGTATCGAATAAGAGAAGTGGGGGCATATGTGATCTGACCTCGTGTTGCTGTCTATTGTGAAACTGCTACAATACTGTTAGACGCTAAATATCAGTAACTTTATAATTATAACCTCCGATCGTAAAATCATAACCTCCAAATCAGCCAATCACGGCGCTTGCATCCACCATCAGACCCACTAATCATCCCATCATTACTACCATTACTACCACCACCACTATCATCACCATTACGCGCGCACAAAGGACACATTTACAGATGGGGGGCTCGCACCCCCCCCAAAACCCCCGGCTAACCCTAACAATTACCCTAGCCACTAACCCTAACCTAACCGTGTCGTTACCCGGAAATCACGGTTGGTACCTTTGGTTTGGTGCGAAACGCACGCAAACTGAAGTACTTGCGATGTGGTGGGCGGTGCGCAGCCAATTGAACTGTCAGGATGGCTTCTAAATGCGGTTAGGAGGGTATGGTTCAAGGGATCGGAGGTTATAATTATAAAGTTACTGGCTAAATATCAATGTGAGTGGTCAACTGCAAGAATGCATGTGAATATGTTACTATGAATTGCCGCGCGGAGAGAGGTGTTCTTGAGTTCAGACGCTGTGACTATCAGTGAATGAAGTGCAATAGGTGAAGTGGTGGCCCTGCCCACACCAACCACCACCGGTCATGATTGATGTGAACAGGGACATTCCGAAGCAAAACGTTTGATACAGGCACTTCGTACTTCAGGCTCGGGACGTGACGAAAGCACTGACAGAAACTGAAACATTGGAACACGAGGTTCATCAGAGCAACGGAGAAGACCCCACACTGCCCACATCCAAGCTCAAGCAGCCGAGTGGCCGCCATCATGACTTCCGGGGCTCCGGGACCAACGTCACTGTGGTAGAACAAACGAATCCCCGGGCCGTGCCTGGCCTTAGGCAGGACGAAAGGAGACTGCTGAGAGGCTTTCCATGGTCTCGTTGTTCTTCATTTTGATAGAAATGAGGTTGGTCACACCAAATCGACTCCCGGTGGTGAGAGCACAGCCCGAGTGAGCAGACGACCGACATACAATGATTAAGTTATGGCCTACCCGACTCGAAGCTCTAGGTTCATCAGACACCACCTACCACGAGACAACTTTGGATGCTTCTACATTTCCTACATTTAATAATAGTGTCGGTTCCATCAGATCTACAGCATGCTCGACACGACTCCCGAGTTATTTCCTGCATACATGACTCCTGGTTGCACACCCGGACCACGAGACAGTCCCCCCTATACGATGACGCGATTAGCTCTGACAAGCCTGCAACTACATGTTACCCTGCAGGCTGCTACTGTGAGGTACTCTGTGCAGACGGCACTCATTAGAACACACACATAGCATACCCGCAGCCGTCGTTAAGTCTTCCCGAGTCCTCGGCGGCAGTCCTTATCCACGTGACATTTGGACTCTAGAGCGACGCTATCCCCAAAGTCCATCTGGAGGAACCATACCTCATTGAATCTCCGAGTGTTTGACCAGCGCGGCTCCCGGTGAGAAGAGCTTACGCTAACAGGTCCCCGACCCGAGCTTGTTCTCGCCGTGTCATCAGTCAAGAGGTTGTCGGCGATTAGAGGTGGAAAGCTATCAGAGAGGCGGGCTGGCTGCAGATAGGGACACCCTGTGGCGCGGCAGACACCCGGCAAATCTGCCAATCAGCCCACCTTACCCGCCAGCTGTCCGCCTTTTGTCAGGGACCACCCCGTCTGGCCGTCTGCCGCTGTTCGTACACCCGCAGACCCGGTACGTACCGTCCGCTGTTAAGGCCCAAGCCAGCCCAACCCACCAGTGACCACCACCACAACCCACCATGCATCCCACCTCATCATACCTTATTACCGGCATCGTACCGGTGTCGTGCCTGTTGGAATTGGCCTGATCGATCGGACGCACGAGCAAACAAACATTCAGAGGTTGCATCAGAGTCGTAAAGATAATCAAACTACCTTGTCCGGTCAGAGGGACCAGTCCTGACCAGACTGGTCCGACTGGAAACCCGATCACATCCAATCTTGTCTTCTTTCTTTTCTTCACTGATCAATCTACTGTTCACATCACCTGCAGGGCGTCTTGCAGCGCTTATTATCCTCCCCCTTCTCTCGAGACACGCCCCTCCAATACCTACCCGACATTGCACCTATTCCACCTATTCGAGCCGAAAAACCTGCACACCCTGAGACCCTCCAGTCTTTTCTGGATCCGCCCGCTAGCCAGCGCCAGCGCCAGCGTCAAGCCCGGTCCCAGTCCAGCAAGTCCAGCAAGTCCAGCAAGTCCAGCAAGTCCAGCAAGTCCAGCAAGTACATCCAACTACAGGCGCATGTTTCATCCATCAGCGCAGTCAGTACCTACCTACCTACTACCCAGCAGAACCGCAGAACCGCCCGCCCGTAGTTTTTCTTTTCCGGTTACCTATTAGGATTGCAAAGTGCACGCCTACCACCCACCGTCCAACTATCGGGGCAGCCCATTCCAGCCCCCTCTGCCTTTAGTGGTAGAACCATGGACAGCCACAATCCGAACTCCTCCCAGAGCCAGAGCCAGAGCCAGCGACGCAGACTCACAAAGAAACCGCCCTCGAACCATCATCACGGCCACAGCTACTCAGTCAACGCCGATGGTAGTCGCTTGGATGCCCAGTCCATCCAGAGCAAACGGAGCTCCACGAGTCTGAGGCGAGCTCCCAGCGCTCCACCCCAGAGGTCGGCCACCGCTGCCAGCAATAGCAACATCTCCAACTCCAACGCGTCAAACAACTCATCGCCCCGTCATCCTCCCTCCAATTTCAACAACAACACCCTGCCGTCGCCTCCGCTGCAGGCTAGCGAGTTCCTGCCCTCGACCTTCTCACCATCGCACCAGCTCGCCGCCCAGCCTATCCAGCCCTCATTATCCCCGACCCAGACATTCCCCACTGGCACTGGCACTGGCACTGGCATTGGTCTGGGCTACTCGACGTCAACGAGAAACCAGCGTTTGTCCGACTCGCATTCACCGCTGCCGCTGCGACAGCTCAGCTCCAAGGCATCCGAAGACCTCATTGGCGCGCCATTCGACGGCAACACCATCCTGCGTCACTTCGACAAGGCTGCGACATCTCCCGTCCATCAATCGCCTCGCAGACTCAGTCGTCCCATACTGGCCCCGCTGTCCAAGACCACCCGCGACCTTCGCACTATGAACCCCCATCTGCGTCATTCCGCCAGCTTCTCTGCCGCCGACTCCAGGATGTCCGAAAAGTCCCACGGCACGCGTGTCAACGACAGCCAGATGATCTCCCCGAAACGGTATTCCGACGAGAGCAAAGGGCCAAAGGGACCTGGTATCCTGAGGAAGAAGTCGGGCTTCTCTGGTCTCATGAGCACATTGGTAGGGTCTCAAAAGAAACCTGTCATTTCAGCACCAGAGAACCCAGTTCACGTCACGCATGTCGGCTACGATAGTTCTACAGGCCAGTTTACGGTTCGTCCCAGCCCCGCCATCATGGTATAGTCGATTGAGCGTTGCTGCGGTGCTGATACGTAGTCAGGGTCTCCCGAAAGAATGGCAGCGTCTTATCAACGAGAGTGGCATCCCGGAGACTGCGCAAAGGGAGAACCCGCAGATGATCGCGGATATCGTCACATTCTACAAGGAAACCACCGAGAAGCAACCCGAGGACCAGGTCCTTGAGAAGTTTCACGATGCGAGAGCTCACGAGCTACGCACCCCCACAGGAGGAATGGCCACATCCCCCGGCATGTATGCGCCAAACAACTTTGCCGGTATGTCACCTATGATCAGTCCACCAGCAAGTCCGAGATTTCCAATCGTGAATAATCAAGGCACCTTCGAGAACCCCCGCGCTCCACCGCCGGTACCGATGCCTGGAAAGAGCCTAGCGATGCAGTCGGTCCGGGAATATCCCAACATGCAGCCCAACCGACCAGCCCCGAGACCTCCCGTTTCCCTGCAAACGCGGATCGGACCCCAGTCGCCCTACCCGACGAAGGACTCGGGCATTGGCATGTCACAGCCTAGCGAAGATCTGCCACCACTCGCCTATGCCGCGCCACCCAAGGACGGTGTCCCCATGCTTCCCGAGGAGCATAGATCGCGGTCGAACTCGCGAGTGAACGGATCCCAGCCGCCAACCCCTCACACTCCTCACACGCCTGGCGGCCAAGCCTCCCCAGCGGTCCAGGCAGCCTATCAACAGGAACTAATGCAACAACAGCAGAAACAGGCCATAGCACAGGCTCAGGCTTCTTTGAAAGGACAGCCAAGTCGATCGCAAAGTACCAGACAGCCCGCGCCCCAGTCAGCATCCACTGGTTCGCAGCAACAGGTTGGTCATCCTTCGGAAACAAATGGAGGCAGCGGTGCCGGTCATCCTTCACGCCACGGACCAGGCTCGCAGGCTCGACCTCGGAACCGACAACGGCAAAGCAACAGCATAGATGTTACCGCCCAATTGAAGCGCATCTGTTCGGAAGGTGATCCTCGAGACATCTACAGGGGGTTCAACAAGATCGGCCAAGGTGCATCTGGAGGTGTCTACACAGGCCACGAAAGAGGCACAAATCGTCTGGTGGCCATCAAGCAGATGAACCTAGAGCAGCAGCCCAAGAAGGATCTGATTATTAACGAAATCTTGGTCATGAAGGAAAGCTTGCACCCGAACATTGTCAACTTCATTGACAGCTATCTTGCCGGTGGCGAGCTATGGGTCATCATGGAGTTTATGGAAGGAGGTAGCCTGACGGATGTTGTTACCTTCAACATCATGACAGAAGGACAGATAGCCTCGGTTTGCCGCGAGACCCTGAAAGGTCTTCAGCATCTGCACTCCAAGGGTGTCATCCACCGAGACATCAAGTCGGACAACATCCTGCTATCGTTAGAGGGCTGCATCAAGCTCAGTAAGCCTCTTCCACTCCCTACTCCCAGCCCAGGAGCCAAACAACTGATGCACTTGCCACAGCCGATTTCGGCTTCTGCGCCCAGATTAATGAGGCACACAACAAGCGCACAACAATGGTGGGGACGCCGTATTGGATGGCACCAGAAGTGGTCACTAGGAAAGAATACGGCAGAAAAGTCGATATTTGGTCACTAGGTATCATGGCGATCGAGATGATAGAAGGAGAGCCGCCTTATCTGACCGAGTCACCTCTCCGGGCCTTGTGGCTTATCGCTACCAACGGTACGCCCCAGATCAAGGATGAGCAGAGTCTGAGTCCCCTGTTCCGGGACTTTCTGTACTTCGCCTTGAAGGTGGATCCAGAGAAGAGAGCAAGCGCACACGATCTACTTCGGGTAAGCCTTCCCACTTCCCACCTACATGAATCAGGCAGCAGACTGGTGGGGCTAACACGATCTAGCACGATTTCATGAAGGTATGCGTCGACTTGGGATCCCTATCTCCCCTCGTCCGCGCTGCTAGGGAAGCTCGGCAACAGGAGAAAGCACGCAAAGGCCAGTGAAGCACTCAGCAGCCATGCGTGGCGAGAGCAGTGAAACAATCACATGTCAGAGGAGCCAGGCCTCCGGGGACTTGAATACTGGCATATTTGGGCATATAAGGGGAGTTCAACCAGTTCACTTCCGATAGAGCTATGCCCTTACAAGGCTGTTTCCCGTATGGCCATCTTACGAGCGAGTGCAGGGGCCGTCCGAGACGCAAGCAGGATTTGAATGTGGCATTCTATCTATCAGAGGCTCAGGTTCGGGTTGGAGGTAGCCGTCAAGATCGTTTGTACATAGCGACCACGATACCACCTTGGAACGATCTCCATTGGAAGAGCTTAGACATTCAGTTTATACGCCCGGGTGGCTCTGTTGTCTGACAGCCCAGCGTTGAATTGCGTTGCGTTCATCATCCCCACTGCAGGGGAGAAAGGAAATTTTCTTCTCCAATCGAAATGGACGATTGTCTTTGTCATTGTGCATTCCTCGTGACTTTCGTGTGATGGGTGGGCATTGGATTGAGTACCAGTCATCAGGTGTAAGCTTGAAGGTAGGTAAGGTATATGGACTTACATAAGGTATTTAGCCCTGTCATGTATGCCCCTAAGATGACAACGGACCAGGCGAGACCTTGTGTTGGTGCATCATGATGTCTCTTGTCAGAAGCATGTATTCCTTTACAATCAAAAGGGGGGAGCTAAGCTTCCTGCATAGTAGTAATTCGGGAGAGGTTTAATTCGGCGTTTGAGGAATCCCATGATTGCGGGCCGGGGTGTTTATCCCGTCAAGAAGGATGGCATGCAGAAGGAGAAGTGCGAGGGGAGAACTGGGTGGGTGTATGGTTGGCTGTTGGTGCTTGCCGTTGGTGCTTGCATGTAGTGCTCGGTGCTTGGTCTGGTGGTTGATGTCTGCTATTGCTTGTCCAGTATTCAGTTGCTAGGTAAGGCTCAACTTCTCAGTGAACGACCGGCTGAATGCTTGGTCGACTCATCGTATCCTCCAATCTTCCGCATCATGCTTTGGTAGACTCTCGACGGACTGTCGCTGAAACCTGCTTTCATGTGAAGGTGTGGAGGGCAGCAGCAGCGGCTGTGGGTAGATAGATAGGCAGGTACTTTGACCATGGTCAGTCTGGGTACTGACTGGCCTGGGGAAGGGGTCTCGATCTGGATGTTTCTTCTTGGGAGGGAGTGGATGTTCCTCGGGTGGGCTATTGCTTTAAAGATGTTGATGTGGCGGGGTGGGGATGGGTTTGGTTTCTCGTTGTTTGTTTATCTCCTGAGGTTTGGGATTACGATACTGAGTTGGTTGGTTGGCTGGTATGTTGATAGCTGGGGGTCTGTCAACTATGGTGAAGCTAGATAGATACCTTGGGGAGCGATGCCAGCTGGAGTCGGGTTGTTATACTGCCCTGTTCGTTTGAGGCAGGTTTGGTTATGTTGATATTAGGAGCAGAGGGGGGAGGTCGCCCAGGTAAGGAGGATCTGGCAGTCCGGTTAGTAGAGTACTATCACCTTAAGCTGTCTATGTTGCCTGTTGTAAGGTCTATAGCCCCCTTTCTATTGTTTGTTCTGCACCACATGTATTCTTTCATTACTCAAGGTAACGGCGTTGTGGCAGCAAAGAGCACAAGGGTACTTTCTTGTTAGCTTCCCGTTTCTTCATGCCTAATGTACTTGGAAATTGGTAGAGTATATGTCATACGGGGATGTAAGTTGTCAAACGGTGGGTGTACCTACCTATGCAAACAGCCCATCGTCATGATCCTCACCTCTGTTCACATTGGCATTTAGTGCCTCAGGCGTTGTTACATGTAGTGTCTCGTAGGACAACACGCATAATGTATGCACATGATCATTCTAGGTGCCACACTATGACAAGTCACAATTCACAATAGTCACACACAAAGAAACCATCATTGCTCATCCAGTCGTCCTGTATTCAGATCTACCTAGGATGAGCGTACCATGTCCGGACCTCTGAGGAATTGCTTCCCAGTCCACACATACTCTCCAGATCTAGCTCTAGCTCTATGATGGTATCATCCCCATGGCACGACGAGAGGCTGCTGTGAGCTCTTGTGTGTCATGGTGCATCTATGGTGTAGTGTAAAGGAAAGGAATCGTGCGTGTAGGTAGCCAGTGCAGATACCCAAGGAAAGTGACGTCCGGTCAAAGAATCCTGCGTAGACCGCCCAAGGGATGAGCGCGTTGAGACTTGTTCGAAGACGTGATGGTCATCGAAAGTCGAGCCGTGTGCAGGGTATTCAAGCATAGCGACCGAAGAAGACATTTTCCATGGGAATGGTATACCGCCTGTGGCTGGAAGGATTTGCAGTGAGTGCAAATGTGAATCTTCCAGTGATCAGAGGGTGCGACCCCCGCATCCGACAGACAGTGTAAGGTGCATGTCGAGTGTCCAAGCTGGCACTGCCACGTCGTGTTCCGGCTAAAAGCGAAAGCGAAGAGCCGCACACTGCGTGTACGACAGGGGGGTGGGCAAGATCAACGTCTCTAAGATGTCTCAGTTGAGAGACAGCGAAGAGTCTTTTAGCGACGGGCTTAGTACCTTAGTACAAAGTGTAACCACCGTCGATGGCGACGTTGGCACCGGTCATGAAGCCACTGGCGTCGCTGGCGAGGAAGACGCAGAGACCGTTCAGGTCGTCTACGCTGCCAAGACGGTTCTGGGGAGTGAGCGAGCGCCAGATCTTCTTCTGCGCGTCGAGGGCCGGGACGCGGTTGAGGGCGGTGTCCATGTAACCAGGCGAGATGCAGTTGACACGGATGTTGTACTTGGCCCACTCCGCAGCGAGCGACTTGCCGAACTGGATGACGCCAGCCTTGGAGGCGTTGTAGCAGGACTGCTCCTGGGGGTAGTTGACGATGCTGCCGCTCATGCTGGCGACAAGGACGATGGAACCGGGCTTGCCGGCCTTCATCATGGCGCGACCGACAGCCTGGCTCATGAGGAAGGAACCCGTCAGGTTGATGTCGACCAGACGTCGGAACATGGCAGGGTCGTAGGACTCGGCCTTGATGTTAGAGTCGGCAATACCGGCGCTGTTGATGAGAACGTCCGGCGCCCCGTAGGTCTCGACGCAGGCGTCCACAGCAGCGTTGATGGCGTCGCCATCGCGGACGTCAACCTTGAAAAAGGAGACGGGCAGACCAGTCTTCTGGTGTAACTCGGCGGCAGATTCGTCGCCAAGCTCCTGGTTGACGTCGAAGATAACGAGGGCCTTTGCACCGGCCTCAGCGCACGCTCGGGCCATGTGGTTACCGAGACCTCGGGCTCCTCTGTCGGGAAAGTGTTAGCAGCCTGGAGTTGCGGTCGGGTCCGGGTCATGGGCGGTTGTAGCGGTCGCAATTGTCCGTCAAGACTTACCCAGTGATGACAACAACCTTGTCCATGATGCTCATCTTCTGCATCATAGGGGGCATGCTTCGGTGCACGCTCTTGGTCAGGGGGATGACGTCGGCATCCTCGGGCGTGGAAAACGGTTGAGGCTTCGCGTCCTGGCGGTTAACCGGGATGCTGAAGTGATCGCTCGTTGATCCCGCAGCACCGTTTGAGTCGGCACTATAGACGGAAACGGGAACCTCGGTCTCATGCACGACGTCGTTCTTGTTGCATCGAATGGCTGACTTGGTGAAGGTTCGGTTGGCGGCGGGGAGGGCACGCGAGATGGGAGCGGCAGAGGTGCGCGTGCTGCGGGAGAGCAAAGGAGCAGCAGCTCTGGTGACTCGGAGGGCAGTTCGTCCAGACATGGTGGATGTTGTAGGATTAGATGGAGGAATAGACGAGGATGGCAAGGTGTGCGTGCGACGAGGTGTTCGAGATGTAGGGATGGGAGGATGGGAAGATGGGAGAGTTGTGGTGTTTGCAAAATTCTTCTGAAGCCTTGAATTTATGGGCGGGAGCCGAGATCGGTCGAAGCTCGGGCAAGGGTCGCGAAGAATGGGCGAGGGTCACCGCACAATGGGGATCGAACAATGGCACACGACCGCTCTAGCACGGGGTCGTATTGTGTGTGTGAATGGTGAGGACGGACGAGATAAAACTGGAAGAGACAATGGGAACCAGGCGACGGTCAAAAGATGTTTGCCCACGCCCTTTTCTACCTGCTCAAACTTCTCCCTATCTCCAGAAAATAGTGGAGGCGTTCACTCTCTCTAATATCATTACTGTTACGCTGTTTCTAGGGCTGTCAGGGCTGCAGGGTCCGCTTCATGTCTGTTTCTGACACTGTTGATGGATGGATCTGAGAGAGCACATAGCTCCTCGCCCACCCCGAATGCCGAACACACACATCATGCACCCATTGTGAAGCTGTCACAACAGGCGACCGACCGAGCATTGGGCATGGGCGATGACTCGCCTGTCTGCCTGTCACTGTATCACTGTATCACTGTACAGGCGAGAAAGGGGCCACACATGGCGACATCTTGTACCTTGGAAACAGGCTGTCTGCAAGCTTCTCTCATGCAAGAGCACCACCTGCATATCGCTATCAAGGTGGCGGACGCAGCGGAGCGACGTATGCAGATTTTCAGGGTAGCTATCAGCCCCTGGGCCCCTGTCCCTGTCCCTTGTCCATCCACTAGAGCCCACTTACACCCACCTGCTTATGCCGAATCAGGCAATGAGTGGAAGACCCCTGGGCCCTTCTACCGTTCTACGGTCCACCCACTCGGCCCACGCCAAGAGGAAGCTCGGGATGCCTCAGCCGGCATCCAGGCATCTCGGGCGGCCTTGGCTGTTGGCCCTTCACCTTGGGCTGCTTGGGTCCCTGCAACTGACAAATGCGAAACCAGCTTGTGTGGTACCAGACAGCCCAGATAGGGGTCCAGCGCAGAGTTTGACGTAGGGTCTAGAAGGAAATAGTCCAGCATTTCCAGGCGAGAAGAATAAATCGAAACAGTGACTCTGTTGTTAGCCTCAGGCTAGCTATGAGGTGGTATCTACCTACTCAGTACTGGTGGCCGCGTGGGAGTCGGTGATACCTAGCAAAAACTAATAGTGAGTGGTTTTGATATTCGCAGTTCAAGCCGAGACGCCCATTGACTTACAAGCAACCACAGAGTATGGGGTGATGCTCGTCCCTTGTAGTTCACAGAGAACCAAAGACGTAGAAAAAAAAAAGGTCGTTAGTAGAAGTTTGCGTAAAGAGGAGAGACGGCTCGAATTACCTATTTGAGGACTGCCACGCTGCTCCCCGGCAGGGAGGTCACGATGTATATTTTCTCATGGGGTCATATGGGCTGGTTTGAGATGAGCCTCCTCTCCGGGTTCCAACGAAGTCGTACAGCACACCGCCGATTGCTACTTTTATGTAGGCCGGTAGGGAAGCTGGAGTCGAGGGTTCGAGGGTTCCGGGGCCCCAGTACGGGGTCTGACCAGCAACGCGGAGATTGTCCCAAGTTTGGGGTTTGCCTCCACTCGGTGAGCATCGTGAGATTCGTTTGTTGGGGACACAGGCGAGATTAGAAGGGACCCTCAAAAACCCCCAATCTAGACAAACCTTATTTCCTTGGTTCCCGGCCTGCTAGCGAGGACAAATAGTAATAAGATTAAGACACGTGACGGTGTTTGGCAACCTGTCAAAACGTCGCACGAAACATCGTGGTCATGCCATCCATTGGTTTGGCTAGTGAAGGTAGTTTTTGTATCTACCTAGGTAGTACAACGATCTTCCTGGACAACAGGAGCTTCTAATGGAGCACCGTCACGCAGGAGATTCTCTTGGCCGCATTAGATCGGCATACAAAAAAAGTGCTGATGTGAGCAACAAGGGCGTGGTTGGCTGCTCCAATATGCGGCTCTGCTTACGGTGCAGTGTCTCGCAGATTCGCTTCAGATCTACCCTGCACAAAATGACAATAAGAGCGCCACACCCGCCCTTCCCTGTCTGGTAATCGCGCCTCGCTCGGGTGCGTCTTGCTACCGTTGCTGCTGCATGACACAGTCTGCTGATCAGACACGACGCACACGAATCGCGCAGTTCTACGCGAGCCAACGAGCGCATACAGTAGCTTCCAAGCATAGACCAAAATCACTGCAGCCGCTTCCGCCGAGAACAAAGTTGCAGTTTGCATATGCCGGCAGCGTGGGAGACCGTCAGACAGCTGGAGCCCATTTCCTGGCTAAAAAATCATATTCGGTGTGGAACTTGTGCTGGCGACGGCGAGGTGAGCTGGGTGGGTCCATCGTGGGGGAAGTTTGCAGACCAGGTCGATCATTTTGGGACGTCTCGGTCTGGCGTCAGTCAAGCGGTGTGGGAGCGGTTTCCACCTGCATCTCATCAGCCGTCGCAGTGGCAGAGTGGCCTCCCACCAGCACCGATAATGTCATACATACTGGCCATCCAGTCACCCAAGTCGCTGGCTTGCTCATCATGCGGGCTGCAGCAATGACAAGCCAGAGAAAGGGCCTCGAGCAAACACCCTATGTCATGATAACACAGAGGCTCACATGCAACGTTGGTGAGTCTTGAGAGGCGATGGATCCATCTGTTGCAGCGGTCAACCTGCGGGCTCGCTGACAGTTAACGTCAAGTGACGTTGACGCCGGCCCCTGGTGGATAGGTTACTGCACTCCCGTGAGGCCCATTCCACAAGCAGTTGGTTCCTTGCCATCAAATGAAATACGATGGGAACCTCTTTTCTACCTCGCAGCGCGAATGCGTCAATGCTCTGCTCGCGTTAACGAGTATTGCCCCCGTGAGAAATGATTGGGGGCATGCTTTCGAACCTTATGACTGGGTAAGAGACAAGTCGCTGTCGGCTCCAAACTGCTGTCGCGAAGTGAGACTTTACCTTCAATGTTGCCATGTTTGCCTCGTCTTATCAGACAGCAAACGGCGCCATGGTCTACAGCTTCTGAACGAATTGGTAGTCCACGTGGCCGAGTAATTGGAATGCTCTCTCATCTCGGTCCACCTTTTCGAGCTAGATAACATCGCTAGGGGGTTCTGTGATCAGGAAAGCGCCGCTGTGAGGGAAGACCGCCTGGAGGCCAACGGGAGCGAAGACAAGATTACCCGCTCGTCACGCACCAGACGTGGGGCACTTGCCTTTGCCGAGAGAGTCTTCGCGGCTCGCAGGAAGGAAAGCGGCAGAAGCTGATACGAAGCAAGCAGTAGACACTGCCTTTGCCATCCTGGATTCCATCGAGACCAACGTGCAAGTTCGGGAACAAGGTGGATGGGCAGCTGGAGAACGAGAGCATGGGGGTCTCCGGACTGCACCATCGGTATTGCCCGGTATCAGTGTTCCCACAACAGACAAAGCTGCGTCGGATGAGGAAAACAAGCCAAGAGTACGGTGAAGAGGAGACGAGCAATATCAGATCAAACGCCACAGGCCACGAGGACGGAGCCGTGTTAGATGCGTAGGAGAAGGCCGATACGGAATGGGAAGAGAAGGTGAGCGACATCAGATCAGACGCTAACATTACAGACCTCGAAGAGCAGCTTTTGTCGTGCCTTGTCGACCCTAGTGAGTAGAATCCTGTGCTCCGCCTGTGGCTTCACTTGCCGCCGAATAATACCAACACTGACGTGCTCGCAAACCGCTACAGTCAACTTAAGTTTTGACGAGGTGGTTCTTGATCAAGTACTGTTGGCAGGCATCAAGCCGCTCGTCAAGCTGTCCAAGCTCAGACCCGAAGCCGGTTCGGAACTACTGGTCTCCCATATCACAACCACAGGGGCCTTACTCTACGGCCCCCAAGGATCTGGCAAAACCCTTCTTGCCAGAGCCATTCCGAAAAGTACTGGATCGAACATGTTGGCCATCAACCCTGCCGTCATCCGAAACAAATGGCTCGGAGAATCAGAGACGCCAGTCCAAGCGACTTTCTCCCTGGCTAGGGAGGCCTTCCCATGCATTGTTTTCATAGGCGAGGTTGATGTCTTCTTCTACCGTCGAGGAGATGATGACTACCCCTGGCAGCGCTCAATACTCACACAGTTTCTGCATGAAATGGACGGACTGACACATGACGAAAATGCCTCTTTGGTCTCGGCGGCCACCAACAGCAGGCCCATGGATCTTACCAGCGCCTTCTTGCGGCGACTGCCCAAGAAGATTCCCTAGGGGCTGCCAGATGGCTCGGCGCGAGCAGGCATCCTTCGCATGTTCCTCAAGGAAAATGTCCTGGAGGGTGTCGACATCGACCGTCTCGCCGCCATGGCCGAGGGCTTCTCTAGGTTTTCGACCTGGAAAATATACGCGGCCAAGCCGGCAGCTTTCCATTACAGTCCACCAGTTCCGCGGGTTGAAGGCGATAGAGCCACGGGACGGGACCTATGCTTTCCACCGTCTCTTCCCGGGCGACGTGGGGAACGCGCTCTGTCCGGCCCTGGCTACGCTAAAGAGGTACGCGACGTTTACGTCGGATGGCGATGGTCTGCGTGAGGGTGCGGAGGCCGTGGATATTGATTTGGTTTAGGATAAATCGCTCGGAGCGAGAAACATGATAGACCATGTGTCTTGAACCACTGGACGGAGCGGCTCCTCTTGGGCGTAGAAGTGGCTCACCAAGTATCATATTACTTGTATAGCAGGTCAGAGACCCTGCTAAGGTATATGCTGAGGGAGACGAGCTCCGGCGGCAGGGCAAGCTACGCTATCAGCGTACTGCTGCGTGTTGTGAATCCAGTGTGAAACGCGACGATAGCTACTCCGAAGTGCAAAGCTGGATGTCGCTTACGCGCATCAAACTGGTGAACACATGGTCTTACGCTGGGTGCACCACACTCTCAAGGATCGAACAGTATGCTCGGAGCACGGCACATCGCCATGAGTTGAACCGTCAAGATCCCGGCCGAGAGGCGATCACAGAGGAGAACTCCCACGAGAGGATTCGTGTACTCTCTATATCACTCTACGGCCTGCGCCTCGAGCTGCTTGTTACCTCTCAAGATTGTTTTGCGAGTTGAATCCGTCCTTACCAAAGATAACCAGGCGTTTTCCACCAGCTGAATGGGGGCTGAGATGCTTGAGTAATATTCTGGCATTTGGTACTTCTACAGAAGTCGAAGACAACCTCCTTCTCTGGCTGCTTATAGGAGCTTCACGTAGAGTCTAACAAACAAGGAGCATCCGCATCGGACGTATTTATGGCTCATAGGTCCTGCACATATAGCGTATGAAATATTTCCATATACAGACTAAAACTTCGTAGCCACGTCTAAATCTTCACGCCCTCGAGAATAGGTTTCGCCTCTTCGCTCTTCCACCAGCTGACGCCGTCCTCGCCAGGGTACGAGAACTTGTCCATGCTATCCGGCTTCATCTCGACGCTGTACCCGGGGCTCATGGGCGTCTGGTAGTAGCCGTCCTTGACGGCCGAGGGGTGCAGGAAGTGCTCGTGCAGGTGGTCGACGTACTCCAGCACCGACAGCTTCCCGCTGACGACGACGTAGTCGATGGTGCTGAGGTGCTGGGTGTACTCGGGCAGGCCGACGCCGCCCGAGTGCGGCACGATGGGGACGCCGAACTTCTTGGCCATAAGCAGGACAGCCAGGACCTCGTTGACGCCGCCCAGGCGGCACGCGTCGATCTGGCAGACGTCGATGGCGCCGGCCATCAACAGCTGCTTGAAGACGACGCGGTTCTGGCACATCTCGCCCGTGGCGACGCCGATGCCGTGCGGCCGCAGCGCGTCGCGCACCGCCTTGTGGCCGAGGATGTCGTCGGGCGACGTCGGCTCTTCGATGAACCACGGCTTGAAGTCGGCAAGCTCCTTCATGTACTCGATGGCCTCGGGCACGCTCCAGATCTGGTTAGCGTCGACCATGAGCACGTTGCCGCGGTCGTAGCCGATGACGTCGCGCGCGATGGCCAGGCGCTTGCGGTCCGCGTCGACGCTGGTGCCGACCTTGAGCTTGAAGTACTTGTACCCGTGGCTCAGCGTCTCCTGCAGCAGGCCCTTCATCTTGTCCTCGCCGTAGCCGAGCCAGCCGGCGCTCGTCGTGTAGGCCGGCACGGCGCGGCTGTCGAGCGCCTCCTGGAAGCGCGCCGCCTTGCCCTGCGCACTCTCCTTGAGCATGGCCACCGCCTCGTCGGGCGTGATGGCGTCGGTGATGTACCGGAAGTCGATGCAGCGCACGAACTCCTCGGGCGTCATCTCGGCCACGATCTGCCACACGGGCTTGCCTAGGGTTTTAGCCCACAGGTCCCAGATGGCGTTGACGAGGGCGCCCAGCGCGAGGTGGATGACGCCCTTCTCCGGGCCGATCCAGCGCAGCTGCGAGTCGCCGACGAGGTAGCGCCACGTCTTGCCCCAGTCCTCGACGAGCGAGGAGAGGGTGCGCCCCTTGATCCGGTCGCCGAGGTGGTTGATGGCTGCGCAGACGATGTCGTTGCCGCGGCCGATGGTGAAAGTCTACGCGGAGTCAGCCGGTTGTCTCACACGGGATGCTGAGCGTGAGAGATCACCATTCCGTGACCCGAGTATTCCGAGTCAGTCTCCAGGATGCAGTAAGCCGAGGAGTAGTCGCCGGCGGCGTTCATGGCATCCGAGCCCGTCTTGTCCAGGGATGTGGGAAACCGCACATCCCGAGTCCGCCAGCCGGTGATGGTGACTTCGGGCATCTTGAGATGTTCCTGAACTTGCTCGCTTGAATAATGATAGCGACGGTCGTCAAAGGGGGAATAGAAGAAGAGACAAGATAGTATAGCAATTAGTCAAGAGCAGACATCAATATACAGCCAAATGGAGTGGAATTTTCACAGAGACCTACGTCCATCCCGAGGTCCCTTCGGGATGGATGTCCTCCTTATTGCCTCCATGCCGACATCGTCACCGTGGGGTTGTTGGAGGGGTTCAACTCCTGTGGGGCCATACTATAATCGCGCCGAGCCAGCGCGAACAGCAAACCGGGGCCGCTGATTGATGGAGAAATAGGGAGAAAGCCCCGGCCTCTAGGACAACAACAACGACAACATCCTTGGAGCGCAGTCGATATTCTCAGACTCTCAGTTCGACCGAGCCCACGCGCGACTACCCGTTATCAGGTACGAGACTACAGTGATTGCCCGAGGAATTCTCTGCGTGGCTTTCCGAGGTGCTACGTCGGGTGAGAATTCGTAAGTTCAGCTCAGGCGTGTGGCCATACGATCGCTCTTCTGCGGTATAGCTGACGAAGAACTCCGAGTCCTAATAGCATCATTGGGGTACTTCACGGCCACCGAAGACATGGAAGGGGCCAGCCAACAACGGGATTTGGTTACTGGTAGGTTATGAAGCCAGTTCACGCAAAAGGCTTTGCGGCTCCTTGCCCATACCGGTACTCTTTCTACCAAGCACGGGGCCAGTAAAGCCATAGGTACCTGACTGTACCGAAAGCTTTGGATATTACGGTTCTTTGGCAGAACCGCTTTTCTGGAGTCCTCCGCTCACGTACTGTGCTGCTGGCTGCCCCAGATTGATCACCGGCAGATCAGTCTGGGAAACCCAATCAAATCACGAGACCTGCCAGCAGAGCGGCTCTGCCAAGAAACCCGCAATATCCAAAAGCCTTCGGTACACATTCGTGTCCTCTCCACTCATAAATCTCAACGAACTAAGGGGTATATTCTCTATCATTTCAATCACCACCCGCCACTTTACTACCCTTGGAGCTCCGCTGGAGGCCTCACCGCAGGCAATTCACTGTGCATGTTTGCATTCGGAGAGGGCATGTGCAGATGGTCCGCAGGGAGTTCACTTTTGGGAATCACGCCCTGGGGATTCGGCACCTCAAGTTCATGCCGGGCGGACGGATCCTGCCTTACCGACGACGCATAACAAGCCTGGCCTTCTGACCCCTTGGGGCCGGCATGGTCCAGATAATCCTGGTTCCGCTCCTGCCTCCTTTTCCGCCTCTTCGATATCAGCATCCACGCCACCACCCCGATGAGTATCGCAGCGCCGAGAACCGCGCCGACTGCAATCCCAGCTATAGCACCCGTGCTCAGCCCGCCGGCCGCCGTAGAGGACTCCGGTGCCGAGTCGGTCTGCGACGGGAACGCCGTGGAGGACGAGGTCGTCGGGGCGTTACCGCTACCGAACAGCACGGCCTCGTCCGAGGGCTGCCAGCGCACCTGGATGCCGTAGGCGTTGACGATGGGCGAGGACAGGATGGCGTTGCCGTCCGAGTCGACCGACACAGACGGATCTGAGAGCTGGGAGGCCGGGATGATGCTCGTTTGGGCCTCCGACACGATGATGTTTTTGAGCTGCGCGATGCAGCCAGCCCGCGGTATCGCGCCCCAGGGGCTCGCTTCCGTCTCGGTGTTGCAGGCGAAGGAGGAAAAGCTAATGATTTTATTTGCGAGTAAGCGACCGATCCAATGTCATCAAGCCTCCGTCGAGTACACGTCTGGATTGAGGAGGGGCGGGCTCACGTTGGACAGCATGTCACCGTCGTCTCCGTCACGCTCCCGAACGAGTACGTGTTCTTATCTGAGCACGCATACGAGTAGCCCGAGGGACATACGCCCGGCGAGTAGAAACTCGAGCGTGACGGAAACGTCACGTTGGGAAAACAGGATGCCCGAAGGGGCCCTGGCCCGGCGGTCAGGCACTCGATTGTTTCGCCGTTTGAGGTAATGGAGTCCAAGTACGCGTTCTTCGGGCCGGCGCAGTCGCCGGGAATCTAGTAGGAGGTAGTGAGAGGGCCGAGATTCGTCGCCATCGTCGAACTCTGACGCCTGATTGATTCGATTTATCGACGACGGTGACACGGCATGAGCAGAATGGCGATGGCCTTTGAGGCTTCGCGAAGATATGGACGCGGCGATTTACGGCACTGCTTTGATGGTGAATATGGATCGAGAAGTAGATGGGCAAGAAAGCGAAAACCCTCCCGTCAGCGGCAGGTCTTGATATCAAGCATGGGAACATCTCATCAGATCATCAGATCATCACCTTGTTCCGCACATCGGACCAATGCATATGCGGCGCGTTCCCGCGCGAAGGAATGTTTCCAATCGAGTTCACCCTGAGCCACACCTGCAGTCAGCTGACTCCGTCCCATGTTGCCGCCGCCACGTCGCGTTCAGCTGAACCGTTGTGCATGGTTCACCATTAAGCCATCGGAGCGAAGTGAGCATGACCCTCCGTGTACAACCCTATGTATAGGTTTCATGGGGCAATCACACCCTGTAGGGCTGAGTCCATGCACGGAATATCCCGGATCATGACTTTGCTCTGCACATCCACCGGTGAGTCGGAAAGAAATACCACCGCCCCTTACCAACGCCAAAACACGATGTCACTCCTTAACGCGCCATGCTGCAATCGTCGCATACACAGTAGGTCATAAAGAAGGCCGACCCGTCTGCCTGTCGCAGTCTATCTGACTCGCTCAACTTCAATCGTCAAGATGGTCTAAACCGCCACTCTCATCAACCCCGCCCTCGCTGTCACGGCCCTCGCTGCTCCCCTGACCGAGCGCCAACTCAGGATCCAGCCTGGTGGGAGCGGCAGGTCGAGGCTGGCACGCCGGTTGCACCCGCGCCGGCTTCAGCTACGACTTCCAACGTCACCATTCCCACCATCTAGGGCCAGATCGCCGGCGTCAAGGCCTACTGCGTCAACTAAGAGAACCTGATCGACGGCAAGTTCGTCAGCAGCTTTTCCAACTGCTAGAATCCTTGAGGGCGTCAAGAACGCGGTCCAAACCGAGTTCCTCCCCCGGGAGGAAGATCAGAGCACTTCGCCCAAGGAGTTCATTTTGACCTTTACCGAAGCGGGCGACGAGGAACGGTGAGTTGTTCTGCCATACGCGCTTGGGGGCTTGGGTTGTTTTCGAGTAGAACAATGTTGACGTCCCCCATGTACTTTCACGGCCTACAATACCACTGTCGTTGCGCCGCTGATGAAATTCCTTGTGGCGCCGCCTGAAGTCACCGCTATTGCCTAGTGGCAACTTGCGGCTAACTGCAAGGACGACCGTGGTAGACCGCATTCAGGAGGTTGTACCTAAAACGCTAGTTGTGGTACGTTGCCAAGGAGTACATGAGCCAGTCGGGTGATCTATCACCAGTGCTCCCCTTTCTATAATCCTGTCGGGCCACTGACCTTAGCATCACGAGCCGTGAGGACAGAACACCCACTCATTTCTGCTCGAAGCTGTTGTGCCAGTACAAGACCTCCTGTACATGATAGAAGACCTTTCTCGCTCCTTTCCATTTTCGGGTTGACCCATTGAGACTGAAGTCAATCAAGGCAGTGCACGGTGCAATCGGGGCATGTTTAGCCCCGGCACATTGGGACATCTGATGATAGGATATATGGGGGGTGGGATAGTATCCGGTGTTCTTCCAGTTAGCCAGCGATGGCGTGGTCTATATACATCAATCCCATCCACCACATTCACGCCATACGGTGTCTTGTGGCCCACAGCAAGGTGGACGTAAGACTGACATGCCAAAATCAATGAATAAACGCTGGTCAAATGGGCCCCTCGTAAGATTTCCTGCCCTGCACAAAATACCAGACAACGGCGAACAACACCACCGCCCCAAATGTAAGCACATTGAAGTTCATGGTCTCGGGAACCACCGGCTGTGCCGGAGGGCAGAAGGACCAGAACCACAACAGTAGCAAATACAGGCATGCGAATATGTTGTTCAGCACACCAAGTATTTTTGGAACGCGCCATGACCCCCAGTGCAGGTTATCCGGACCGACTCTTGATATTCGAATGATGTACGGCTTGATACCACGTGCTTGCATACGTCGCCAGAGGAAGAGGGAACAGCTAAGCAGATAGGATGAGTAGAGTCCTGCAATGCTCAGGCTGACAATGTGGCTAAAAGCAACGCTAGAGCCGAGAACGATGAGAGAAAGGAGAACCGAAATGATCGTTGTACATGCGATAGTATAAACAGGAATGGCCGTGCGGCGTTCGAGCTAAGCAGTGAGTCGGTTAGAATGCAACGGCAAGGGCGTAGGGCAATAGGTTAGCAATGGGAAGCAGCATACTCTAATGAAGGTCTTCCAGAAGGGGATGCCTCGGTCTCTGGCGAACAATCAGAGCATTCTGGACGAAGATGTCATGGCTCCTACGGTGCTGCATGTGCCGAGGACCACAACAATCAGGCCCATAACGGCGGCTCCCCCTGATGAGCCTACGCCGGTTTGGAAAACGAACAGGAATGGATAACCCAGTGCTTCTTCCGATTCTAGCGCAGCTCCTACATCGCCAAGGCAGAACAGGTATGCGATTAACATGGAGAATTCTAGGATGCCGTTGAGGACGATGCTGATGACAATAGCTCGAGGTACGATGGTGGATGCGCCCTTGATCTCTTCGGCCATCTGCGAAAGTATGCGTGGTTAGTGAGCCGTCAAGGAACGCAAGGGTGGAAAGACTCACATGGACAGCCGAATCAGCACCTTGAGAGAACTCAGCTATGTCAAACACTGGGTTTAATGATGCGGATTGACTTACCAATGAGCGAGAATACCGAGGCCGGAAGGCCTACCATGAATGACAAGCCTTGAGTAGGCCACTCGCCTTCATTGACGAAGATAGTAAAGAGGGAAGCATCGCCATGGGGGGCGAGGCAAACAAGCGGAATAAGAATAGCAAAGAACCCCAGGATATGCAGTATTAGAATGAGGCGCTCAAAGTGCGCCAGAGTTTTACTCGCGACTGTGTTGATGAAAACAGCGAAGCCTAGTATTGCCCAGAAGAAGAGCATGGTTTGCCATGGTTGAGGGGCGTAATCTGACTTCAACAAAATGATAACACTTTGCAAAAGGCTGCCAATGAGGTAAGCAGCAGAAGCGGTTACTGCTTGCCAGCCAGCAATGGTCATCCAGCCTAGAGTGTGGTCAGAGACTTGGCCGCAGTTCTATCTGGGGTTCATACCGGTAAGGTAGCTCAAAAACCGCCTCGAAGCTCTGGGTGCCAGCATCGCCACCCAACTACAAATGACTGTCAACGCCAGCGTTGCATCGCCATACCCATGAAGAACCACCTACTGATATTGCCCCACTGCAGTCGGTGCCCTGTTGAAGATCGTTTAGCCGTTTGTATCAACCAGGAGTCATGTACCATTTACATTGAGGCCATCTCCGATAATACCGTGAAAGTCGACAGAGTGCCGACCCAAACGATCAAGTATCCCCAAATGACACCCGCAGGCCCACCACTATTGTCATTAGGCGTACAAGATCAGACTTAGGAGCGGCAGTGCTCACTTGACAAGGCTTTGAGTAGATACTCTGTGACACATTAGCTTGCGGCCCGCAATCGCTATACGAGAGACTGAATACTTACATAAGTATTCCCTCCCAAGTAATCAGAACTGTGCACGAGAAACCCAAAATCGACATGAAGCCAAAATTGCGCTACCGAAGACAATCTGTCAGCCATGATGCGTCTCTTGGATGCCATGCGTCGGCTTACCTTCAACACCGATCTCTTCCCCAGCCTCAAAAGGTCTCTCTCGTCTCTGGAGTAGGCTGAATCATCGGCGTCCAGAGAAGAATCGGCCGCTGTAGCCGTTTTCAAATGGCTGTGGAGCTCCATGTTCGTGATATGGGCAGAGGTTGCCAGTGTTGCTCTGCGTCTACTGTTCCCAAAGCTGCTGGCAATCGCAAGAGAAGACGGAAGAACGGTCAGGCAGAGGGGACCGCGGATGAGAAACTCAGGGCTGCGTATCCTGCCAGCCTGCCAGGCTCAGTTGGGGTAGCGGACCCCTATTGTACTGTTCATGGCTCCTTGCATGCGACTGTGCGGCTCTGCGGCTCAGGGTCAAACCTTGTCGCATCGATGCAGCCAGCCATTTTCTTGCAACGTCGGGCTGGCGTGTGCAACCTTTTAATACTCCGGGATTAAAACTTACTTTTACGATTTTAAACCTTCTGCTTTAGTTTTGAAAGTGTTCTCTATGTTATAACGTGCTTTATTAAATATTTTAAAGAAACCCTTTTGTAAATAATCGAGATGGGCCTGTTCCAATTTTTGCCTCGTGGCGCGGATATTGATAGCTGGTAGACATTAGCAGCTATTAACACTAAGGGACCCTCTGTCTGCTGACTCACGTTTAAGAAGGTAATCCCAAGCTGGATCCACGTCTTCGGGGTGCCTTGAAAACTTTGGGTCTTCGCCGAAGTCGAAAGGTCTTCTATAACGTCATAGCAGATATCAAGCCCTGGAGATGGCGGACACTTCCGGTAAAGATGCCTGATTTCTTGTTTTATTGTCAAGGCCTGGGTTGGACTGTTGGTATGCAACAGCAATTTGCCACTGCTGGTGAACCACATGACACGTCCGTGTCTTCGGCATCGACGTCACGATGGCACGCATGGGAGCGAGACAGATGATCAATGGATTTGCACATGATGCACCCCGCAGCAGCAGTTGCAAATGCAACGGTGTTCGTATCTTTGTGGCTAGTGATGAAGTCTATCAGCTTTTTTCCAACATTTACTTTCACGGCGAGAACTCAGAGGTGGGTGATATTACTACCTTGCTGCATTTTAGGTTGTGTCAACACGCCGCTCAGTTGAGTACTAACCATCACAGCCTGCCTCAACATCACTTGCAAAGAGCGGTGGGAGATCTCCACGGAAAACGCAGGGTTTAACCTACCTCAGACGACAGTGACGTCTGGATCACACGATAGCCACCTCCTGAAATTGACTTTGGCGCGGCAGTTGTGATACTGTCGATAGCGGGGCGACTTATCTCTTTTAGAGGGAAGAAAAATGCCCTAGGGACATACAGGACAAGCGGGCCAGGAAGATAGAAGGCTCACGACTCAAAAGCTGCTGCGGGAGATCTCCAGAGTGAAGTGAACACTGGGGAGAACACTGGGGAGATTACCTACAACGGAGTGAAGGAGAGGATCATGACCAATTCCCGATGTCTTAATGTATTGATAGGTTCAGAATAAAGAGCTACCTAGCCCTAATACCCCAAGCTACCATCTCATCTGGGTACTTGTAACTTGACAAATAGACTCCTTGCCTCACCCTATCTAGTATCTCAGATCTCATGATGTAGGCGGTAGACGAACCAGATACGCGACAAGGATCCCCTTCACCGGCGCCGGAATCGGGCCCCTTCTAATGGGCTCGTGCTGCTTGAAGTCGTAATGCGCCATCACCGCCCACTCGTCGCCCGGGGCCGTCAGCCTCAAGCCGATACACGCGCTCATATTCGAGATGTGTATCTTGCCACTCCCCCCGATAGACCCCGGCGTCTGCCCGTAGCCGGGCACGATACTGCAGGCCACCTCCCCATTCTTCAGCACCTGCAGGTCCACCGCGCCGTCGTCGACGTGGCCGCCAACACCGCCAACCACCGCGGGGAACGGCATCACGAAGCCCGGGCTCATCTCGAGCGGGAACGCGTCCACGCCTCGGGGCGGCGGGATCCGGAAGTCGTTGCACAGCCCGGACGCGTCGAGCATGAGCGACGTCATCTGCTCCCAGTCGGCGAAGTTCTTGGGCAGGAACTCGTACTCGACGGTCACGAAGGCGGATTGCGGATTCGGGTTCAGGTTGATGAGCTCGGCGATGAGGCCGACTTTTGCGTTCGAGTAGTAGTAGCCGCTTTTCCGGGAGCTGGTATGGATTAGCACGGACGTAACACATTTTAGGGGCGCATATATATATATGCGTGGGTTGCTGTTGTTGACTCACCCATTGCCTCCAGCAAGATTCACCGCGAATCTCTCATCGCCAGATTGGAAGAAATGCTCGAAGATCGCGGGGCAGGTCGTCGCGTTGCGGTCGTGGGAGTACAGCTCGGCGTGGTCGAGAACCATGCCGTCGTTCCAATCTGCTCGGGTACCGTCCGTGTAATCCAGGCCGGCCGTCCACTCGTAGATCATGCAGTCGTCTCAGGGCTTACGGGCGGCCTGGATGGTGTAGTTGCGCACGCCCCAGTTGTCAAAATGGCTAGGGACATGGAATGGTCCGTACTTGATCTTGACGCGTTATGAGCCGAGATCCTGGGAGTACTTTGGCTCCAATATGACAACGTCGGAGGTTCCGCAGTCGGCTTCAAGTTCACGTCAGCTTTGGTCATAACGTTCGTCATTGGGTCTTACGCCAGATCTCCATGGACTGTTGAGAGCTGTCAGTGGCAGCGGCAGCAACATCACGGCTGGCGATAACGGGGGAGGCCAGCGTGAAGCCGATGGTGGTGAGGGACACCGCCAAGGTGGTGACGATGCGCTTGGTGAACATCACGATGGTTATCGGGTCTGCGAGCAATGATTGTGATGAAGGGTATTTGTCCACAGAAGCCTGTCAGTCGGAGCGGAAAGGGGTGCTTCGTCGGTGGCACATGCGCGTGTGGGTAAAGACGAAGGATAGGGATGGGTGATACGGTGAAGTGCCTCGCTTGAAATATTCGGCTTCGGCTTAATTTATCCCGATCTCAACAATGGAAGTGCAAAAGGACACCGCCAAAATGAATGATGAATGGCAGATAACGGATGAATGGCAGATAATGTACCCCTAAAAGCATCCAACGCCACATTGTGTGTTTGCTTCAATAGAAAATCAGATCTTAGATCCGTAACAGGTCAACAGCAGGTCAATGCTCAGATTCCTCGCATGATATCAATTATATAGCCATCTGAATCACGGTATCTCGACAGTCTTTCGCTCACCGCCGAGGTCAGAATGTCCAGCTTTGTGATAGGGAACGGAGCAACCAGGTGTGCATCTCACCCTCGCTCGATGAGATTACGTTAGTGAATAGCTGTCTTCCTACAGATATTTACCTGCAATGGCCAAACTGTATGTCGTCCGCCAGGTACATTCAATAGACCAATGCTCTTGACCAATTTTCAACACCAATACCTCTCCAGACGAATGGCGTAACTGAAGCTCGTGGGCCAATTAAACCCTCTACCCTCTGTTTAAGAGCTTCGTCCAGCGTCTGATCCTTCACATCTACACCCTCCTCGGCCCCCGTTTCCATTCCCCGTTGCGTAGCACGCCCCGTCGAGCTCCATCATTCCCATGGACCTTGTCCCTATTACCACCACCAAGAACACCCCACAGCTTCAATTGGGAGCTCGGCCAAACCATTTTGAAGAGCGATGGAAGCGTCTGCCCCTACCAAGTAACCCGCCCAAGCAGGCAACCTAACTAGTAGAAATCCCAACTTAACATTCCCATTGCTTGCTATATACAGGTTACCAGTGGTAAAAGAAAACCCAAAGCGAAAGTCCAAAGCGAAATCCCAGTCCGAGAATCCAAAGCGAAAACTCATGCGAAACCCCAAAACGACTACTCAACGCGCTCAACGCGAAATCCAATCCGAAAACCAAAAGCGACAACCCAATGCGAGACTACCAGTCTGGGACACCCACTTTCATCTCAACCCCAACAGAGTTAATGACCATCAATACTGGCTTACATGCGAACTGGCCAGCCACCGAACCCCAAAAACATCACCCGGCACCCGGATTCGCAACCACGAAGAGCGAGAAGACGCACTCTAGCAAGTAAAGCCCATATCGCCCTCTCGGTCGCCGTTCTCGAATCCGTTCCTAGGGCCATTGCCCACATTGCAGGCGTGGGCGCCGCCGTCGCCGTCATCGCAGGTCCAGCAGTCGGAGGCGTAGCAGGCCTTCAGCGGGTCGCTGTCGACGGCGCCGACCTGGAAGACGACCTGGTTGGGCAGCTTGGACGCGAGCGATATGAAGCCGCTGTCGTCGACCTCGGTCTTGCCCGTGTGCCTATGTCATCACAACATAAAGTCAGTTTCTTACTTTAGCGTGGGGTATCAAATGGGGTTTTGCGGAAGCCGAGCACTCCTTGGGAACAGACGCGCCCGTGGTAGGACAGGTCCAAGTAGGGGATACTGCTGCCGCAGACGTTACCCGGGAAGGGGAATGAGTGGCTCCGGATATCTACGTACCCGATCTGGTCGCCGGCCCCGTCGAAGATCTGTGCCTCGAGCTGATACTTGGCGCCCGTGCCAAACTCGTTCTTCTGGTACTGGACCACGTGGGCTGTGCCTAATGGTTGCACGAGTATTTCAGTACGCGAACGCCCTGTTGTTGAGAAGAGAATTGGGAATTTGGGGTGTGGAGGTAGGGAAGGGGGTGGGGGAGGCAACTCACATCACCCGGGTGTGAAACCGGGCTTATCGGCGTCATCCATGATCAGGGAAATGCCGAAAGCGCTGGTGCTGGCGCGGGCGAGCTTGGGGATCCCGATTTCGTAGATAATGTCCTTGGGGCCTATTTCTTTCTTCTTTAAGACCAGGTTCCCCGTCTCCTTGTCGCCCTGCTTGGCCAGGATATCCTCGAAGTTCACTTCTTCCCAGTTGTCCAGCTGGGCGAATTGGATGACTGGGTGGTGCAGACTGCCAGGCAAGATCGTCAGTTCCAAGCTTTCTCTCTGAGACGACACCTGTCAGCGTTGGGTGGCTCACCCATCCTCCGTGACCCCATTCTGCCCCCCGGCTTGGGTGTACGTAATAGAGCAGTCGCCGATTTCGTCGTGGGTGAAGTACTGACGACCGCCTAGGTAGCAGACATTCCAAGCGCCCATGTCATCGCCCTGCTGATCCGTTTCCTCGCATCTGCAGGTCCAGGTAGTCAGCCTTTATCGATACTTTCTTGATGTTGACTCAAGATAATAGGCTTAGAATCACTGACTGGACGTAAGTCCTGCAATTACCCCCTTCGGAAGTGATGGTCTCGATGACACACTTGTCCGGGACATCGGGGTCATACTAAATTGCCAAGTTTATTATTAGTAAGTCTGTCAATCTTTTCAGAATCTTTGAAACAAGGGCGTACCGCGTTTCTATCTTTCAGAGTCCTTCACTGCGTCGTAGATCTTATAGATCCCGGCAGTGCCAACTTCTTGCCTTTTGGCTATGCTTTGGATCACCTGGGGTACTGCGATGGCATTTACAGATTCTCCGAATGTGAGTGCAGCCACTGCTAGAGCGCTAAACCAGATTGACTGACGCATGTTTGCGATAGCTGGGAGGTTTGGCTAGGAAACACAATGTTGGAAAGACGAGCTTGGGAGAGGCTTGTTGGAAAGACGAGCTTGGAAGGAAGAGGCTTGGTGTATGTATATCGAGTGATCGTTGACGTAGATGAACTGCTGATGCGAATAGGGAGAGTAACATCCCAGGGGAAATGGCTCGAACTTATAGACATCGAGTCTTGGGCCGTCGAGGTCGACACGACCAGACAGCACCGGGAAGTCATAGCCTCCCTCATCTTCATGGCATCTATTTTTGTCTCTGCAGCTGAATGTTCAAGTGCATCATATGAGACCTTTTCTTTCATTGAATCATATGGACTGACTTCACCACCAACACCATTGACTTCATGACCTCCATTGAGCTGCTCATGCCGGGATTCCTGCTTCACTGGCAGCAACTCGAGACTCTCCTACCTTGGCCGATAAATCATCCACCCTCAGCTGTGTTGCACGACCATATGATGTCGGAGCTCAGGATCTGCATGTCCAGCTCCTTGGACAGGTTCTGGCCACCCGGTGCGTCATGTTGGGCTGCGTCCACAGCACCACGTTGCCGTCGTCCTCGTCCTGCTCGATGTCCTCGGCGCCCACGTCGAGCTCCTGCATCAGGATCTCACTTGATGCCTCAATTAGACATCACCGGGGGGAAATCTAGGGCAAGTCGGAGAAGGGTAGCCCAACTGCCCGACTGCTCTGTCTCGAATGACATGATGAGTTAGGGCTGTGTATAGTCGGATCATGGATGTTATGGTGCCAAGAAGCACAGCCCAGCAACCCGCCAGCCACGTAGATGCTGTTGCTGCAGGTACTCTTGGCAATGAAGTTTGGAGCACGACAGCATGCAAGATGCCGTCATACGCTCCCTCGTAGGGCAAGCCACCTGGTCACTGGAGCGATCATAAGTCGTGTCAAATGTACTCCGTACAGCTTACTCCCCTGGCATGGAGTCGGGCTGTTACATTCTCTGTCACCGCATCATGAAGGCGGCGTGATCTTTTCCCGAAGAGTACCTCCTAAAGCTTTCCTAGACATGACCGGCTCGGTCTACCGGTAACCGCTACGGGCTAGATGGACAGAAGGACCGGTTGGGAGACAAACTTATATTGGAAGAAAAGGGCGTAAGCGTCGGAGATCTAGCTGTGCTGTCGCGTAGCCTGGAAAGGGCTGTTGGACGTGTATAGCCAGAATCTTGCTGCTAGGTTCTAGATATAAATCAGGCCTGCTTACGCCTTTTCGAAAACTAGATTTCATAATCTTTATCCGATTTAAACATAGGTTTATCAAAGTACCTTCTTTATATAACTGGCTAATCTCGTAGTATTTTAGTCTTTAAACTGCGAGTTTCGGTGTGAAAATAGGGGAGTACAGAGATTTATGTGGGGTCAGTGCATTTCTGTCCATCTCGTCCATCTAGTCGATTAACAGTCTTCGTCAATTGACAGCATAATAATCTAGCTATTGATATAGCTGTTCAACTGCCACACCTGACGGTGCCTTGCTACCGTGATACTTACAACTGCACCCAACGTACAGCCATTCCAAGGTATCTCTGTCCCTCTGGTCCATTCGGTCTGGTCGATTTGGTCAGGTCTGGTCTGGTTCATGTGATCTGGCCCATGTGATCTGATCCATCTTGTCTGTTCTATCTCAGATCTGATCCAATCCATCTAATCTAATCCATCTGATCCGATCCCCCTGGTCTGGGCATCTAGTCCATTAATTGCATGGCTGCGCGACGTTGATACCGGCAATTAGGTAGGATTCCTACTATTAGTAGGTATGTGTGTCTAGATATGGTGTGCTAAAGGGCTTCTCCCCCAAGGTTCTCTTTGCCTCCTACTAATATAAAACACTTGACAATTTCACTGTATAATAGATATTCCTGGGAGTAAACTGCGAAGCCCTGAAGAAACCAGAATTTCAATCCCATACACAGAGACAGTTCCGCTCCCCCCAATCAATCAAAGCCAGGCACGCTGAGCAGCTCGTACGTAGCATGTCATGGTCCGGAGCACAGCAGCAGCCCATTGCAATGTCCAGCTCTGTCTGCCCTGGGAGACCCGGCAGAAGCCGGATCACGATGAAAAACAAGCTCCAAGGAGGCCGTACTTCCAAGTACCCATGACCAGAGGGGAAGGTTCCCGTTGTATACTTACATATCTTATCGTCTTCTCCCACGTAAACCGCCGCTCAAGACATCGCGCGGGCGAAAGGTACAACAAGCCATGCGCTCAGGTCAGTCAGTGAGTCGCCCAAGCCAGCTCAAAGTACCGAGCCGTCACTACGACAAGAGCTGAAACCGAGCCCCATCAACTCCCACTTAACGATTATCCAAAGCAGCACACGACACAGCCTCTTCATCCCTCTAAGTCGGGTCCGTATCAAGAGGCCGGACATGACATGGAGGATCAACAGCTTGAGGTAAAGAGCGAGGAGGACCTAGAGCAAAAGTTGAGTCTAAGAGCAAGGAAAAGAGATTCAGGGGCTGCGCTACGATGGGGGCAGGGCTGGTGGAGGCACATTGGGTGTCACTCCTATGCCTCTGTACTGCAAGTACCACATAGATCAAAAGCATTTGTCCGTCTGCGATTCGCACCATCGTTACTTGAATCTATCGGACCTAATTGTCTAAATCAGTCAGGGAGTCGGCGAGCAAAATGACGGTGAGTGGCTGTTGCCAGACGTGGAACTGGCCAACACTCGCGATGCGAAAGCTGTTCATCTCTCGTGCTGGTTGAACTGTCTCGCCATATTCATCCTAATCTCTTGCCGTATTCATTTGAGGAATTCCTCATTCGCGGTGCCACGAGCTCAGACGTAAGAGGCCGGAGCTATCGTCGATTCAAGCCCCCACACAAGTTGGACATCTTGAACTATAACCAACAAAACGGCCCGAGTTGTTACGTCCCCGGAGGTGGTGGGTGCGCTCGCAACCAACGCCACGATTTCCGCCCGCAAGGACACTCGCTAGGGGAGAGGTACCAGTGTTGACTGCAATGTTGGTAGTCCCTGTTGGTTGGGACTCCCACTGTTGGTGAGGCAGAAGTTCTTTGGAGGCAGAAAGTTCTTTGTCCTCTGCGGATGACCGACCCCCAACAGCAACGACAACCTCAAGAAATAAATCTGCAGGGTCGACCATTCCTGCATGCACCATTTTCTGTTCTGTTCTCGCAAATTCTAAGCAATTCAATCTGATTACCCATATCACGCAAGCCATACGGATCATCGCCCGCCTTCGTACCATCAACACCATGGCCGACCACCATGACAGCAACGGAGCGGACTGGATTCCTGAATCGCTCGACCCGTCCATGTTCTTCAAAGCCGACATCATAAGTTCCGAAACGAGCATCGTGGGCTTCTGGCGACACCCAAACCATCGTAGTGGCAACAAGGAAGGTCTCTGGCGCAGGACAGGAGATAAGGAGGCTCATCGCGACAACGTGCCACGCGTCGAAAACCGTGACGTGTTCAGGAGCAAAGTAGAGGAGCTGAGGAATGAGTGGATTTGGGGGGAGGGTGATAGCAGTATGGCACATGGCTTCCGCTTCGAGTCTCAGACGTACTGGGTGGAACTTATTCCCGACGGAATGTAGAGACGACTTGTGAGTCCCTGTACATTCTACGATCGTGGTGATCAGTACCAATACTGACATGCCCCCTTTTACAGCAAGGGTTGAGATCCGGAGAGTTATATCAGAAGGGGTCCAGTGGTCATCGGGTTGGCTGTTGGGCAGAGGCGTTTCGAACGATGGCCGTGTAGAGTTATATGACAAATAGAAAAGAAAAAGAAAAAGTGAAAGGGACATCTGCACCTGGAGCCACGCAATGCTGCTTCTCGTCTATTGATTGCCACATTCGATGAGGGTATACCAACACTGATCGTAGGACAGGCATGTGTCTGTCATATCCTGACTGGTGAAGAAGACGAGGGAGGGGTATGAACAATGTGAGACTGGGGCATCTGCATCTCATGGTCCAGAATGGTGCTGAGCCTAAGTATTAACGTTCCGTAGTGACGCGTTGACCCTTCGCGCGGTATATCTGAGTGCGGTGCCCGACGTGATGAAAATAGAAACAAAAGTTCGAACGCCTTTTCGCTTGCTTAGATAGTCATGTAACGTCGTCAACGCAACCCGATGACGCTCATCTCAAGCGTCCAAACTCTTCTGATCCACACCTTGAGAGTTCCATCCACTCCGTCGACGTTGTTCAGGTCGACACCTTCCCACCAGCAACGCCGGGCAGGCTTCCGCCAGAATAGAAGCAGCTTCTGCGCCATACCCACCGCGTTGTTCCCCAGGTCGTTGCCGCGTATGTCACTCCGCAGCCGAGCGAGAGCCAGACTGCAGACGACCGCCTTGTTCGGCTCACCAGCGCGATGTCCCCATTTGTCGTCGTGATTGAACCCACTAAGTCGGTTGTCAGCACTGCAAATCTGCTAAACCAGATATCACATCTGACTTGGGCGAGCTGCTTACCCGGCTGTGAGCATCTCAATAAGATGCGCCTCCGTGGTTCCAGGCTCATCACTGCGTTTCAAACCCGAGAAAATCCCATCTTGTTGAAGTAGCGCACGGGCTGCCGCACGTTTGACCTCGATCATTTCTGCTTGATTGATGTCCGGCCGAGGAGGAATGGCGTAAAAGTCCAGATCCTCCCGCAAGACAATGATGCCAGCACGTTTGCTTCCGTCTTCGCCCCTACCTCCAAGCGAATCAATGGGGACAACTCCTCCGTCAGGGGAGGCATTTGGTGATGATTCATTGGGTATAGATTGGGCCACATTGCGGAAGAATTCCAGCATGTATTGGAGGGATGCAGGGTCATACTGGGATGTGAGGTCAGTGAAATGTATATTGATATTGGAGAGGAGATTGCGTGTGGTGGAGATACGAGGCAGAGAGGCGGTGGAAGCACTGGCTGCCACCGAGCGAGCAAGGCTCTCTGTAGCTGGCGTGACTTGGGTGATAGGGTTGCGATCACGGGTACTGACATCAACTTGCACTGCATCACCATCGGCAAAGCCACCCATGTGGCCTTCGGGAAAGAGTCCATTGGGGAACAACGAGAGGAGAACAAACTCAGGCAGCGTCAGCAGCTCGTCTCTGGAAAGAACGAAGCGCGTGCCCCTGCGTACACAACCCAATCAGTAATTGTACCTTGATACCCTATAGACGCTGTGCCTTACCTAAGGTCCATGGCGATCGTTTCGTCGGCACCGACATCTACGCGATCGTGATTAGTCTCGGAAAGCCCAGGCGCGCACCTGTCAGGCTCTTACCTCCAATGGAGTTGATAGGAGGGCCTCCCTGCTGGACTTGAGTAATAATACTCGATGCACCGCCGGCAGCCGCCATTAGATAGCTGAAGGAGAGAAGCGGGCTATAACCTTCAGAATAAGCCGGTGGTGGCTCGCTGGGATCGTCGGCTTTCTGACCCGAAGACTCGCCCTTGACGTCCTGTGGAAGTAGGCGCTTGGTTTCAGCGTGGGTCTGTTGGAATGAAGTGGATGGCTCGAGATAGCTTTCGGAGGAGCTCGAAGCTAAAGGCGCATACGCTGGGGCAGCAGTAGCAGAGGATGCTCCGGCTTCACAGACAACGCTCGCAGCAGCTGGCGGGAGCTTGAAGTGATGATCGGCGAGATTTGCAGCCGAAGAATCAGCGTAGAGGCCCGAGAAAGGAGGTGGTGCCGGTCTAGATGCAGTGGCAAGAGAGAATGATGTCGAGGCAGACGCCTCGGAGGTCGAGTAAGGGTATTGGGGAGGAGGTAAGCGAGCGCGATTGAGGTCGTCTATGTCGTCGGCCTCGGCGTCGCTAGTGCTGGAGCTCTGGCGGTCTCGGTCAATGCTCAGGCTCCCGTGTTCAGTGTCGGTCGGTGGGGTCGGTGGGAGTCCAGCGGACGCGGACTGTCCGTGACTATCCTCCTGCGAGACGGACAACGTGGCGGCGGGATGGAGGGTGGTGTTGGCGGTTCACGATTACACACGGCGGTTGCGCGACTGGCTGATTAGTCGCAGCTGGATGCGGACTGATAGGCTTTCAATGAGTGAACATTGGACAGAACAACACTTCGAAAAGGTGCCAAGTTGGCTGTGGGAATCTGGACAAAAGATTGTTGGAGCCAACGACTGGAACAGGCAATGCTTGCAGTCAGCGATGCGGATGTTGGTGAAGTTGGACTGTCAGACAGTATTATGTAGGTATTATGGGAAATGCATCCGGGCATCTCTCCTGGTCATGGTTTCCACAATTCAACAAGCACGCCCCCTGGATGGCGGGGTGGTCACTGCGTTGCTGCGCTACTACTGGTTGGCCAGCCGCCCAGCACTCTTACTTTACCAATACCTTACTTCCATCAACTTCAAGATGGGCTCTCTTCCAAGATCTGGAGGGTCACCACATGGATCTACAGGTACATGCAACCACAAATTCTGACCATGACGAGTTTCTTTACTTGATGTAGAACCATGTGGTACTTTGATTGGGATCATTAGATCTTCCTTTGCTATCAATATTTGCAAATTCCCATACATACTGCTTACAGGCACCACTTTTGAAGGCCATGACAAACGCAGATAGACAACGAATACCACAAAAGCTTTGGCTTTGGCTGACTCGATGCTCGTGTTTCTTTCTGGCTTTTTATTAGAGGCAACCATTGTCACATGCCATGATATTGTTGCATCCTTCTCCCGCCCAGAATTCAAGTCCAGTATCAACCGTCTGCACTGTAGGATATCACATTCATCTCGTAACTTTTGATCACAATCCACAAGAAAATGCTGCATGTTCTCCTCTATTCGGCTAACCCGCCGACTATAGACCGCCCATGGTCCTAAACGCCAGGCTTTTCAGAACTCTGTATTCCGTTGTCCGCCCCCTGCCAACCCACCCGACTCTAGGCCGAACAGGATCACCTATTCCTCCATTGTCTTGACACATTCCCACTCGCCTCGCAGGTTCTCCTTCCATAATGAGACCTTGTTGTCGCCGCCACTAACGGCCAACACGTTCCCGCTCAGACTCCAGCTGACCCGCCAGACCACCGCATCGAAGTTCAGCACCTTGCACGACCACTGTCCCTGGCTTGCGTTGTCGCTCGTCCAGATGCGCACCGTCTTGTCTTGCGAGGCTGATGCAATGTAGCTCTTCTGCAGCACCGTGGGGCTCCACGCCACGTCGCGCACCCAGTCCGTGTGGCCTGTCAGGGGTTCCCGCTCTTGCTTGTAGTTCTGGGTCGCCGGGTCGTAGGTCCAAAGCTTCAACACGTTATCGCAGCCGCCCGTCACGAAGCGACGCTGTCCAAGAGCGCCGGATCCTGTAGGTGCTGATGAGACGATGCTACCAGGTGTAGTGGCCGGGGCCCACGAGACCGAGTTGACACCGAGGCCGTGGGCGGGGAACAGAACGTTGGAGAAGTTGTTGTCCTTGAACTCGAGAACAGATACAGAGCCATCGGAGGAGGCGCAGGCAAGGAGACAGCCCGATTCGTGCGGTGACCACGAGACCATGTTGACAGAGGCTTTGTGGAGGGCGAAGTCGAAGATTTTTTGCCATTGGTTGGATTGCTCGCGCCAGATGAAGACCTTGCCATCGTAGCCTGCCGAAGCGAGGATATTGCCGTATTTGGGATGCGCCCAGGAGACACACCATACTGCTCCCTCGTGACTATAGCCATGGCCGTCAGCAATGAGACCTACAGCAAAGCAGAAGAGCCCGTACCCTTTTAATGTCTCGGTCAACCGTTGTGATTCGCCCTCAATCTCGAAGATCTTAATGGTCTTGTCCGAAGAACACGTCGCAAGGCGTCGTCCGTAGTAGTCGAGGACCGCATCGTGCTAGGAAGTATTAGTGGTGATTCCAGTCCTGCCATGCGCCTGGCTGAGCTGGATGCTCAGCAGTCCTCCATGGTCGAGATCCGTGGATAGGATCTATCGGGCCTTGGTATCGAAGTCGGGTGGGCACGTACAATCATGTCATCATGGCCGGAATTCGATATGACCTGCGCCTGTGATGAAGGTTAGCTACCACTTTCCAAGACGTGGCTTGTGTTATGGAATATTGCTCGGGAAGATGTACCATTTTGGAAGAGAGATGAATCACAGCAGCTCTAGACTGTGTGATATCGAGATGGAGTGTTGCGGTTGGGTAGATATGCAAACTTCAAGCTGGAAGGTTGTTGTCGCGTTGGCCTCTACTTGTCCCTTTCGAGAGCCCCCAGTTGACCGGTCTTGACTCTGGAGCCTCCCGCAATTCCAGAGCTCCACCTCCACCACAACAAACCAGACGTCACTCAACGCTGCCAGCTGGCCACCACAGCGGCATCTGCGTTGCGCACGGACCAGTGTCCTTAGCGTTTGAATCCGAAGATCTGCCTTAGCGCTGCGCACGGGCCTCCAACAGGGTACGTCTGCAGGCGAGATCGGCGGTTGAACGCAGCATGCCGGGTACTTGTGGCTGTGGGCCTTTACCGGTGCCGAGGCTGAGGTTTAACGGCCCTTTGATGTCCTTGTGATGCTGAAGTCGACCATGAACTCCCTGTATCGTGAGTCCAACCATCATCCACAGACATATCCTCAGCGGCCTGGGAAGCGTAATGTCGCTACCAAACATGCCTAGCCCTATTGTTTGGTATAAGTCAAATTCCATTCTGCCAAAGTAGGGCTTCTTCCTCTTTCAACCTTCACAAACTTCCCACTCGCCATCCTTCGGACGCGTGCCAGTCTGCTGCATCTCACGGCGAACACATCACTTCCCTTCTCGCCGGCCTTCTCTTTGATTGCCTGCACTCGTCTACCAGCAGCCATCCCAAGCTTGCACCGCTTTCTGCCACTGCACACCCAACGTCACCATCCGACCTCGGTATCGCCACACAACTGAGATCCGGCGTGCAACGAGGATTCGCCTCTGCAAAACTACCTTCACACTGAGCATCACTCCCCTCTACTGAACTACACCGAACCACCAAGAACTACCAGTCACGATGGCCGATGATGCTTGCGGTTCCTCTTCCAACCCTTTCAAGGGCTTGTCCCAGAAGGTGAACCAAGACCGAGCAATTCAGCAGGACCGCGTCACCTCCAGTGTTCAGCATGGACAGGTTAGTGATCCATTGTATGCCCATTGTCATTTGCACCGATACTAACACTTGAAAAAGTCCTTCCGATCAGCCGCGGCTCAGCCGGTCGCTGCCGGTCAGTTTGCAAGCTTTCAAGGTGCCGCCACCCCGCTGCCGGAGTTCAGTCCCGCGCCCCAGTTCAGTTCTGCTAGAAACGGAACTCATCCAACCTATGGTGCTCGCCTCCGGGCCGACCCCCCCTTTTGGAATCAAGATGGGGTTATTCAGCCGGTTATACCTCAGCAGTTTGGAGGACAGCAGCATTCGGCAGTTCCTCATGGAGGATGGGTTCAGGAATTCCAGGGCTTGAACTTGGGCGGCACTGCCGGTCCCAATGTCTTCCAACATGGTTGGCGTAGCCAGTTCATCGGACCACCGGCCTTTGCGCCCATCTCGTTCCAAACCCCGGCGGCCGTTCATCCCCAGGCGCGACACCAATATGGCATTACACCTGGTGTTCAGCAGCGTAAGCAGTTCCCAGTCTTTGTTCCTGCGTCTGATTAACTCCCCATCTCTAGTTGCCTATGACCCTCTCGCCGGTGTCAATCAGTCGGCAAGCAATGCCGAGTTCGACAAAGCCATGAACCAGTGGATGGAGCAAAACGGCTCCTCCCAGAAGAAGGATGCATCGGAGCAAGACACGGTCCCCAACTTTAAGGATGAATGGAACCGGTCCACCCAGAAGGAGGGTGAAAGACTCGTGAACCTGTGGCAAGCGGATGTCGAGCGCAAGGAACAGAAGAAGAAGGGCCAGTCCGACGACGCCCATCAACTCATGGACCCGTCCGTCGATACCCATCGATTTATCGACCTGACCGAAGCCCCGAAGATGGGCAATTCTGACACCGCACTCGCGCATGCCGCCCAACAGCTCGTGGACTCGGTCTCGGACAATGAAAGCGAGAAGTTTAAGAACTCTGCCTTCCTTCGCGTCATGCGACGGATCGCATCTCAAGAGCTTGCTGTACAAGATAATGACCTGGTCGAGACAGCGAGTGCGGGTGGCAGCCAGGTTCGTGCACCCGATATCATCAGTTCATCGTCACTTCGCTAATCCGGATTCACTAGAAGCCGCCCACTGTCAAGGAGGAAGCCAACGAGTAAACCTCCGGCATGTCACAGCATGGTTGGTTGGCCTTCAACATGTCGCCATGACGGACACCCCGATCGACAAATACCTAGTCGGCGCCGACAAGGGCAACTATGCACCACAGTATGTGTAGCAGAGCCCTGAGATGAACATCAGGTCGCTTGTTCATCATGTTCCGAACTCCGTATGCACACACAATGACGAGCATGATGCTCCTATCGCAGAAAACACTTAGCCATGTAACTTAGCTTCATACCCAGTAACAAACTCCCAATGTCGAGGAGATGACACTTCAGATAGATGAATCAACATCTGTCAACCTACCAACCTTCTGACAAACGGCTGATATGAAAATCCGCATAAGCACCTGGAATAAGCATTTACGCCCGTGGTCAACGACTGGAATAACCACCTCATCGCTGCTTATTCCGTTGCAAGGAGTTCATAAGTGAATACGTCAAGAATGCCTAGGCAGGTAATGTCCATCCTAAGGTAGTGTTGGGTATCTCTTTCCAGACCTGCTCTGGTCTTGAGGCCGAGTCGGTTTGATCTGAACCATCTCAAAACCTCTATCGTCCTTGCCGGAACCAGAGCAGGAATCTAAAGTGATCGCTCCTCCGATAAGTCGGTTCTCGTTCGACTGACTGCTGATATTTGACTCCGTCAAAGGGGCCGCTGCAGAACGACAAGCTCCCATCTTCCTCGAGCAGCAAAGGGCCAGGGGGAAAATGGCAGTGGATACGCAGCACAGGTACTACCAGCTTCCAGGAGCTTTAGTCAATTATCGTCTCTGAAGCACGTCCTTCGAATGTAGGTACTCATTTGCCAGATTTAAGTCTTGGTTGGGCTGGGCTGCCCTTGAATATACGCTGAACCAGGTGATTGATGATGGTCACACCTGCTCGAGAATCCTCTGTGTATTTCTCTAGTTCCTTCTACCTAAGGCGGACCAGGCTTTTCAACATCATTATTTTATCGTAGATACAGCTGAGTGATGTTCGAATCCCCTTGCACATGGAGCTCATATGTGTTCAGCGCGTACTGCTGGCTCGCCTCAGCAGGGAACACGGCTTCATGACGTTACTCGAGCACCCTTTCCTTGCTTTGATATCCTTCCGTCCTTACCTTTATCATCTGAGTTCCAATAGTGGAAAACGTACTATGGCGAGGAGAGGAGACGACATGGACGTCGTACGGAGAGAGGTACTAGTCGACCATAGAGGCAGCTACATATACAGATACACACCTAAGGTAAGCATCTCCGAGACCACGTCATCAATACAATGCATCAATCTCTCAACATCTAAATGCTCGTCTCCTATAAAACCCTCGTCGTTAGTATCATCATCACCAAGCCCCCGATCTAGCTACCAAGGGCACCAGATATACGGAAGTGCCCGTGTCTGCGTACCTGAAGATATCCAAACCCAGGTAGGACTTCACCACCTTAGACTGACTACTTTAAGTACCTCGACCATCTCCAGTTCGAAGCTGAAGACCCTACCTGCCACTTCAAACACCCGACGAGAGAGCCACCGTCCATCCTCTACCGTCCACCGTTCATCGCCTCCCACGCCCAAGCACATACCTACCTACCCATCAAGGACAGTCCCCTGTGCCCAACCCCCAACCCCCAACCCCCAATATCCCCATCCGCAGCCATGCCATACCACCCAAACTCCTCCTTTCCCAGCCGCCGAAACGTCAGAATCATACAAGGCAAAAATATTATGCCCGTGTAACTATCTGGAACATTCACTGCAGCGATGGGTACCGTACAGCTCCCAACTGTTTACCCTACGCAGTATGTATGTACTTCCACAAGCAGAAAGAGGGAGCTTGTTTTGTTGATGTGTCCAAGTCTAACATGCGTGCTGTCAGTTTGGTCCTTGGCTTGGTCAAACAGTCGCTGGGCCAAACATGTTCCAAATGCGACGGAACAATGGGAATCTGCTACACCAAGCTGATATAGATATGTCTGAAGGGAACGTTGCTGTAGTACATATAAATATGGCGACGGCAACGTTGCGTAGTATACAATGTTACGTGCAAAGTGTTGACAGGTCAACCATAAAACGTTGCCCGCTGCCAAAGCACTACGGAGGACGAACGATCATACAGTTACTCAAACATACGTGCACAGAGAGATCATAAGGCATTCCCAGAAGGTCATTTCATATAATACTAGACAGATAGCATCAACCATGGAAGTGGGATACTGAAAATGAGAAATAGGAAACCTGACCGACACTCGGTCTTTTCTTGCGCCGGGCATCATACGGCCGACAGCGAGAAAGCTAAGAACGACACGAGAAAATCACGACAAAGAACAATCCCCGGCAGGTGGCGTCATTGTCTAACTGCGCCGATAGCGTCAGACTCGTACCACTGCCTCCTTGGAATGAGGCGGCAAGGCCACCCAAGGCCTGCCCCTCCAGTTCATATCCATGCAATACACATCCATAAGAATACCAAGCCGGTCAGCTTGAGGCTCCAGTTCGGCTCAGGGCTATCCGTTTCCAATGATCACGATCCTCCGTGAGTTTGACGATTTCCTCCTCAAGCTCCTCCATCTTCTGAGCTTTACGCTCTCGAGACTTGCGGGCCGCAAGGGTGTTACGCGCCCGCTTCATCGCGACAGTGTCTTGGGGATCGTCGACAACGATGGGAGGAAGAGGCTTGTCACGCCGCCGTGAGTTCACACCAGAGACAGATGAGTGTCGACCATGACCACCGGTGGGTGGCGAGTTGCCAGACTTGCGACGACGCTGAGACGTGGTCTCGATTACCTCAAGCTCCTCCTCCAATTCGCCAGGAGACTTGTCATCGTCTGCTACTTGTGGGTGTTCAGTGCTGGTAGACTCTGGAAACAGAGAGTACCAGGCGCCCGTGTCGCCCTCAAAGTCACCACCGTTGTAGTTGGGAGACACTTCATAGTTGTCGAAGTCGGGGGACTCGCCGTACGTCGAGGGTGTCGTCAGGGTGGTGAGCGCCGAGGAATTGGGTGCGGAGGCAAAAGGCTCACGGAGGAACAAGTCCTGGGGCGAGATGGTGGCCATGTTGGCGATCGAGCTCGAAGCAGAGCTGATGTTCGCATCGTAGTTGCCGAGACCTGGAGACGAGTAGGCCGAGGTCGAGGCTCCACCCCCGAAGGGTGTGAAATCCTCAATATTCCTCAGCGCGTCTGACTTGTGTGAGTTTAAATGCTCGTCGGAATCGGAGCCAAATGATTTACCTTGAAGATCCATCTTGCCCGCGGTCTGTTGACCACCGATGCCCTGTGCGAAGAGTGGTACAGGGGGCCGAGCAGAACGATTCTGCTGGTTCACTGCAGCAGTGGATGATGGAGCTGAGAACGATGCGTAAAACTGTTGGTGTTGGGTTTGCGCAGGAGAGTTTAACCGGTTGGTGTAAGCCGAAGGAGAGATCTGGCGCCCTTGTGCCTGGATAATCTGTTGGACCCGTTGATTCTGTAGCGCGGCTGGCGATGTTGAAGAATCGTGTACTTGATGAGACGAGTTCCGACGGGTGTTGTTTAGAGATCCAAATGATGCTGCTGCTACTGAGGCAGGCGAGGAGGCAGTGCGGTTAGCGGTCGCTCTCGTAGGCTGGGGTGTGTCGAACAAGACGAAGTCCTGCTGCGGCGGGTGCTGGAAGTTGTGCTGTTGCGCGGATGATGCCGGCAGGCTCGATGAACTGGAGGGAAGCCATGGTGACTGAGTTGAATCCGTGGTGAAGACTGTGAAGTCCTGGGGGGAAATGGTGGCGGTGGTGAGAGAACTGTCGCAGGAGCTGGGAAAGGCTTCGTTGTAGTTCAGATCAACCGGTGAGGGAAGAGCCGAGGGGAAGGGTTGAGTGGGGAGAAAGCTGGTGTTCTGTGGTGACTGAATTTTGGCTGTTGGCTACGGGAGCGGGAGTCACGGGGTCGAGTTGCTTAGCGCATCGTGATGGATGCGTGACGGTGGTTTCTTATGTATGTGGTACGGATGTTGGTGGGAGAAGAAAAAAAAGAGAGGGAGAGGAGAAGCATGGGTCGTGTGGGAGACGCGAGGCTTTAGTATTTTTTCCAGGCAGCAATTTTGCTGCGCACCCAGTTCTTGGGAAGGGTGGGCTAGAGCCTAGCGGGGCTGGCGGGAAAGCGAACTTTTTGGGGGGTCCGCAGTGGTGAATTTGGCTGCGCAGGGGGTCGTCAGGGGCTGTCAGGTTGCGCCCTAGCCACTAACAATACTTGATTGCGGCCATTCCACCCCAAACTCATCGCAATCTGCCCTTTGAAACGGTTAGGCGAGGACTTCCATGTTTCTCACCCAGGCCTGCTGCTTCTGCTGCGGTTGCTCCTCCAAAGAGTATGTATGACTCACACGCCTTTCCTTGGCCAGGGGAAACGCAGCATCCCTGACGGTCTCTTAGTAGTATTCCTGCAGGTGCAGTCCACTGCGGCACAATCCAACTTCGCACTGCCTCCTCCCACCACTTCAGGAGAATACAGACACAGTAGAGAATGGACATGCGGTACTTTGCGAAGAACGCGGTGTTGGTGGTCAGATATTCAATGTTCTCCACGATCAGCAGCGACTTGATCGAGAAACGTGCAAGTCAAGATGAAGATTGCCTACTACATATCGCCATACCTTGAGGTTCCGGACTTGAAGGTTGACGATCCCCGTTATCACCGGCTGCGACCCATGAATGCGATTTCCAAAATGCACCGCACAGTACATGCGGATTTCTCGTTTCATTTCGCATAGCCAAGCGCGCTAGTCCCCCTGTGTCTAAGGCTGAGGGCTCGTGATAGCGTTGCATGTCAGTTGATTGGTCTGATCTCTCGGCCAGCTGGATTAGGAAGTCTGCAGTAAATGCAAAATATCCATTCCCTGACATGTGCATCAAATGCGCCTTTGCATTCCCGTTCATAGGTATTGAAGCAACATGCCCGCCAAACATTGACCATATCCTCCCGACACTCAAGCAAAGCCAGGGACAGATGAGAGCGTTTGACAATCCATCATTCATTAATACCTGGCATCTGGTCATTCATAAGGTATGTGTGCTATTAACCGGGGATGCTCTCTGAGATACCTAGGTAGATGGAGATTGAAAGCGGCCGTGCACATGCAAATGGTCCGGCCTTCCCAACGAACGCCGTTGTTTTTAAAGACACCCACAGACACATGCTCCGCCTTCAAGCTCACACAGTGCTTCGGTACGGTCCATCTGGAAGTGAGAGATCCATATCTGGCTTCATCGAGACGATTGTTGCGAGCAGCACTGGCAGACCAGATCGACCACGCTGCAGATGGGAGACGCACGCAAGTCTGTCGTAAGCCTCTTCGTGGAAGCCTACGAGTTCGAGGTGTCGGCGCATGCACAATACTGTATTGCTTGCTGCCTTCTGCGCAAGGCCAAGGCAGTCACCCACGCAATTGCGAAGTTCGAGCTGGCGCTTGCTGTCGCATGCAGATGGATCGAAGACAACCCCACACGAGGACAAATCTCCCCCGCGTCCACCCTCGTCTTCTGATATCTGTCCTGGATCAGGAAGGACTCCGGCATGCAAGGTCGAGTCCGACAACGAGGAATCCGATCAATCAGATCGACCAATTCCTCCACCATGCCGGAATGGAATTGAGTTTGTGACTCACAGTCTCACACGCAGTCGCCATGTCCTGCCCCGGCTGCATCTCACCTTGGCAGCCCCGGTCTGTAGACTGTGTGCCTATCCTGCATTCTGGTGCAGTGGTGCCGAGATGCGCCAGCCTGCAGCCAGTAGCTCACGGCTCCTCTGGCCGTGAGATGTGATTCGTCCGCGGCCTACGAGTATGTGGATATCAGATATCATTCCGTGCATCAGGTTGACAAGGCGAAGGGCGCAGGCTGCTGCTTCCGGCGGCCGTACTTTGCCGTGATAACCTGCAGCAGTATCGTTAGCACACGATTCAGCAGGGCCGGGAACCGGATTACCGGCTTCAAAGGCACACAGAGCTGCAAGGTACAGTATACACAACCAAATACTTCCTCTCTAGGTGAGTATGCAGCCATCAACATCAAGACGGCTAGCTTACTGCATCCTAGACAAGAATCAGGGAAGCAACCGAGGAGGATCTAGCCTGTCGCGAGATACGAGTCGCCCAATTTCCGCCATTTCATTCACCTAGGCTGGAGGCGCAATCTACAAGGCCACGTCGCCTTTCGAATTCTAGCGAGAGTCCATGGCGTTGAGCCGCAGGCTCTCAATTGGGTTCATGGACCGGGGAGCTCGAAAGGCGCCCCGAAGCTGACGCCTAATGCAGATTCAACAGCCTTCGCTCTCGTCGTGTTACGCGGTCCTTACGTTGCCTTCCAACCTACATCTCCATTGGAAATAGGCACCCATCAACATCTGGTTTACGCACTCGTAATCATATGCAGGCCGAAGCAGATCAGCAGTGTGGCCGAGACCAACATGATCATCTGGATGTCCAGTGCAGGTACTTTCGTACATGGATATGTAAGCAAGAGATCTGTAGTTGGGGGCCCAAAATACCCGCACTTCCCGATTCTTGACCGCCGGTGGGGTCCGCACTTCTGCCCGCGTATCGACTCCAGCCTGCCGGCGCAACGTCTTTCCAAACGGCGAGGCCCGGAGGTGTGTGGTTGCAGTCGCGAGTCTAAGCCACAACGCCTGCTTATGTCTTCCAGAAACCTATCATGCTGGCGAGGCCTGCATCTCGCTACCGGCTCTCATGCTTGAAGGGTTAGCACTGATGATTGGACTGGCTAGTAACCAGCTTGACGGATGGATACGAGCAGCTCAAGTACCTGGGAGCACACAGCCTCGATACTATATCCGGCATGCATTATATGCCTATCTGTTCATCTCAACTGTTCGTGTTCACGGCATAGCGACTTATCGCATCACCCCCAGCGCCTGGCTTTCCCGTGTGCTAGATGCCTACGAAGCCCAGACTGAGGCCAAGGTTCGAGTATATTCGAGAATTGTAGGTCTTCTCTGCAAGGCTACCACCCCGTAGTCACGGTCTACGTGAGGCGACTGAGCAGGCCAGTCCCGAGGCCCGCGGCTTACTGATCGGAAGCACGCAACACCACAGTCCATACCAGAGCTACGGGTTGCATTCTATCATTCTGGTCGGCAATAAGCATCGTCAGTCGGAGTAGAATTCCTCGCACTTAGAGATACCCAGGGCGGCATGCCGGCAGTACTTGTCGGGTACCTGGACTAGTAGCATAACATGAACATACACTCACAGTATGTTGCAATCAGTGTATGAGTCCGGTGAATGCCGATCTAGCCATCCCAGAAGTGCTCGTCCACCGTTCGACGACTGCGAGATTCTGTCCAGCAGCTTGAACAGCATTACCGGTGCACGAGGGCTTTTGATGCACGCTCCTCCATGTTTGTATACAGGGAGGTTGATATTGATTAACATGGACATGAGATGGTGAGCGGCTGGCACTACATAATTACTGCACGCTTGAAGTCCCTGGCTTCAGCGACTACTCCAGGGATTGATGGATGGACAGACAGGCTACCGAGCCGCTGCTCATTCGACTGCAACTTACCTTCTCACCCGCCAGGGCGAAAACGCCTGTATGTCCTCACTGCTCAGGGTAATCTCCTCGTGGTGGCGAGTATCACAGCAGATAAGTACTGGAGCTTGAATAAAAATTGGCTGGTACCGTCTCGTGATGTTCCGTTCGAAGCAATGTGAATGTTAAATGAAGCCACCGGCGGTGGATACGGTTCTCTGACCAGCGACTGGCCAGCCTGCACGAGACGTCACTAGGTATGTCTCATCATGCTTCACGACATTCATCATGCTTCGTATCATTCACCTTGGTCGTCGTCCTCCGAGAGGGTAGTAATCTGCGCGTACACTGCAGACGAGCATTGAACAGAATATATCTGCCGAGTCGTGTCCTCGGACTACATCCACAGTCCAAATCACGAGGCACGTAGTCTAGAGTGCAACGGAGGTAGCTTTTAGTAGACGTAGGCAATTCATTAACGGTCCAGTGGGCAGGCAGGTCACACCCTTCGTCGGCAAAACACCAGGCGCGAATCCAACAACCACCGTAGCCTTGCCGGAACCTACTGCTTACCTAGCCTCGAGGTAGACAGAAGGGGAGGGAGCCGTTGACAGCAGACCCGCGGTTCACTCGTACCTGCAGGTTCCTCGTGAACTTCGTTAGCCTACTTGTCCACTAGGCTGTAGTTCTCTAGATCCCAGTTTTGTTCCGTTTTGGCCTCTCTACCATACTGTCGATAGGCGATGGAGAATCTGGGACAAGCATAAGCCTACGCCAGGAGGCCCTCGAAATGGCCATTTCTCGTCAAAGTGATCATCTGGGTACCGCATCCGTATGGTGTGGGTGGTGGACGGAAGTGTACATCCCTGGCGTGAAGATTCGCTGCCCTATGAAGCAGCGTGGTGGTAGCTATTCCAGTAAATTTACGCCTTGGACACCACCCAAGCAGATCGTCACGCAGGCCAAGGTGCCAACTGCATTTAGGTAAATACGAAAGGATGTTGAGGTTAGGCGAAGTGTAGCTCGACAGAAAGGGAGAGGAAAAACAGCAGTAAGCAAAGGACAGGCAAAGAGAGAAAAGGTCAAAATCAAGAATGAGAACGCCCAGACACGAAGCGAAACAAGTACGGGGAGACACCAAGACCTAATAATAAGAGAAGAAAAAAAATACATAAACCACAAAAAAAGCTCAGCAGGCCCATTCGAACCATAGACCCCATGCGCCGCACCCAGCACCCACCAAGCCTTGACTACTGTCTATGACAGTCTGCTTACCTAGTTGTGTGCCGCCCGCAGCGCTTGTAGTCCCTGGTCAGAACAGCTCCCACCTACGTGAAACGACCCCCTAGGGGCTGTTTGTTCTATGGGAGAGAATGTGTTGTACTGCGTTATATGGGTCGTATGCGTTTGTTTTTCTGCAGCCGCCCGCCCGCCAGGCATCCTTGGTGTTTTTCCACTGCTTTGCTTTTTTTCCTTTCCCCACCCCTTCTGCACAGCTGCAGCCTGCCCCATGCATGGGAAAGTTGCAAGTGGTCGAGATTTGATATACTTGGTGCGGATGAGGTGTATGATAGTTGATGATAGTTCAACAGGATAGTCAACTGAAGGGTGATCGTATGGGCGAGGTCCGGGCGAGGTAGCAAGGGAATAAATTGTCGAAGTGTAAAGCAATCACACCTACGAGACGTGAGTCTTGCAGACTGCAAGCGAGCAACAACAATCGCTTCAGACGTTTATCACTCAGCCGAATATGAACATGTGGCAAAATCAGATGACAGTGACATTCACAATATTGCGAAGGGAGGGGTCATCATGACCAACCAAGGCTCGTATGTCATTCAATATACTTAGTCATGCCCCATATACTGTCGTTCCTCAAGATTCCGCCTGTAGACACAGAACATCCGTCTAGTGCTGCTGCACAACACCAGAAGCGTCGCCCTGTGCCGCGATCCGCTTCTTGTACTGCTGCACATCGCCAGGGAACTTCCAGACCGTGCCGTTCTCACACACCCACAAGCTCTTGCACACCGTCTGCAACATGGTGACGTCGTGGGACACCATCAGCACACCGCCCTGGAACTGGTTGAGGGCATCTGACAGGGCGTCCATGGCCTCGATATCGAGGTGATTGGACGGTTCGTCGAGCACGAGGATGTGGGGCTGCGTAAGCGCCAGGCATGCGAAGGCGACGCGCGACTTCTGACCTCCGGAGAGTACCTCCATCTTCTGCAGGCCCGTCGTGCCCGTGATACCGAAGGAGCCCAACTGCCGCCGGTATTCCTCGTCGGGGCTGCCCGGGTAGTTCTTGGACATGAAGCTGACGGCGCTCATGGTCAGGTCGAGGGCGTCGACGTGATGCTGGGCGAAGAAGCCGATGCGGAGACGGGAGTTCTGGGAGATGAGTCCTGTCGTGGCAGACAATTTGCCAATGAGAAGCTTGAGAATGGTCGTCTTACCAGCACCGTTGGGTCCGACGATGCCGATTCGGGAGTCTAGCTGAACGTCAAGATCGACATCCTTGAGCAGTATGTTGTCAGGGGTGTATCCGAATGTGACACCCGACATCTGCACAATGGGGGGCGATAGCTTCTCCACGTCGGGGAACCTGAACTTCACGCTATACTCGGCCTCTGGTGGCTCCAGGATCGGCATGCGTTCCAACTTCTTGATCCGTGACTGTGCTTCGGCAGCCTTGCCAGCATTGTAACGAAACTTGTCGATGAACTGCTGCAGATGAGCACGCTGGGCCGCATTGTTCTCGTACTCTCTCCTTGCCGTCTTCTTTCGCTCTTCTCTGGTGGCATAGAACGACTCGAAATTGGCTCCTCTGTAGTAGTCAAGGCGTTCGGAGTGTTGGTGTATGATGTCTGTGGCAACTTCGTTCAAGAAGGCTCTGTCGTGACTGACTACCAGGACGGTGCTTGGGTAGCCAATGAGATAGTTGGATAAGAAGGCAATGGAAGGGACGTCCAACATGTTGGACGGTTCGTCGAGCAGTAGTAGATCAGGTTCACAAAACAAGGCTCTTGCAAGGGCCAGACGCATACGCCAACCACCAGAGAATGTTTTGGTGGCGAATTGTTGCCGCTCTGTAGAGAAGCCGAGACCAGCGAGGATACTAGCCGCTCTGGGCTCGGCCTTGTCTGACTCCATCTCTGCCAGCTTGCCTTGGATTTCACCTAGCTTCTGGTCCATGGCTTCTCTATCGCGGTCAAGTCTGGCAGCATCGGCAGATGTATCTGCCAGGGACGATCGCTGAGCTTCGATGTCGGCAAGGCGTGCAGTAATTTGCTACAACACCCGTTAGTAGGTGCCCAGTCTCACTTTGTAGGCGGCAGGGGAACATACCGCGTTGTCCTTGAGCAACACCTTCCGCCAGACATCTGCATCCAACACGGCTTGCAGAGCAGACGTGTCATCACCGGCGAGCTGCACTGTGTCAATAAGACCCTTCTATGATGTATCTCAAAGGGAGAACTTACTTCTTGTTCGACGTGCAAAATGGAAATATGTGTTGGAATAGGCAGCTCACGCCTCGAAAGCGCTCTGAGTAAGGTAGATTTACCAACACCGTTGTGACCAACCAAACCATAGCGATGTCCGTACGCGAGGGTCAAGTCGGTATCGGTCAGGATCCTCGTTCCGCCAATACCGACGTCGGCGTTCTCGATCTTGATATCCTTTGTCTTACCAGCACCACCGCCGCCGCCGAGCTGCAGCGGGTTGACGGCCATGTAGAACTCCTCGTAGCTCTGAGCGTCCTCGGGCAGCTCGAGCAGGCGCGAGGCCTCGTACTGGACGGTCTTGAACTCCTTCTTGCTCTGCTTGGCGGCGATCTTGCGCTCGGCCTTCTCGAGTTTCTTGCGGTCGACCTTGGACTCGACCTTGCGCATGTTGGCGGACTCGAGGTCGACGTTGCCGGTGGCCACGGCCAGCGTCGACGACATGTTGCGCTGGGAGCCGACCTGGTAGGCGTGGTCGAGGCGGCGCACGGCGGCGGGCCCGCGCCGCTCCCCGTTGGTGCCGTTGGCCTCCTCGTACTTCTCAACCCATTTCGAGACCAGGGAGCGGATCTTGTCCTGCTCCGGGCCACCTGCGTTGCCGGACGCTGAGATCAGCAGTTCGGTGATGGCGGTAGCGGCCTCGGAGAGCGGTGACAGTGCACTCGAATCCTCATCGCCGCCCCAGGCAGTGGAGGCGTGCCTGAGATAGCCGACCGAGTACTCGGACAGGATCGGGTCTATGTCCGGGATGGCGGCTCTGATGTCGGCGTCCATTGTGACGGGAGCCGGAGATTGCAGGTCGGGGTTGGGAGGTCTGATACCGATATCACAGCAGCTACCGTTGAGCTTACCTAGTGCCCTCAGACGATCTGATGCTCGCTCAATCTAGCAACAGCGGACGTTTGCACATATGCCCCTGAATCTTGCAGGCTGCTCGTACTGAGGTGGGTCGTACCTGCGTGTGTTTAATGAGATGGCTTTCCTGGCGAGTGAGCTGCGTTCGTCAAGATGGCCTCACTTTCAGAGCTGCAGAAGCCTGAAGGATCGCAAAATGTCGTTGATCCCAAAAATGGGGCCGCCACTGTGGGCCGGCTCATTCTCGGGTCTCAGGCTGCGCTCTGAAAGGCCGATCCCCGGAACCCTGGATAGGACCCTGACAACCCCGAGGTTCTGAGATTCTGACATGGACATAATAACCTATTTGTTTATGTAACATATGTTTTGTACAACATCTCTAGTAAGAGACGTACTGGTTCATTTCTTCGTCGATCATCGGTTCAGCCTGATGGACTAGATGAGGCCAAAGTTCCAAGCCGGTGTCCCCAGCAGCATGAGGTCCCAAAAGAGAAGCCTGTCTTTATGCTCTGCGATCTCCAGCGATGAGATAAGCCGCAGAGCACAAGATGGGAATATTTCTTGGCTGCCCCTAGCATAAACCAAGGGTCAGGCAGGATGCGATCGCCTCAGCTCCAGAACCGAAAGAAGGATCGACCAGGTCGCATTCCGCCATCTCAGCAGTCAGCACCATCTCGTTACCAGTTGGGTAGCAACTAGCAACAAAGACTTGCCTGCTTGCGTGCTTTCGGGGTGTTTTTGGAGGCGCGTGGGAATCACGCGACAGGCTTGCCTCAAGTGAATGTTTTATTTATTTTTAATTTCTTCTTCGCCTGCGGAGGTCATTCCAGCCCGGTCGTATGGAGTGCCGATCGCAACGCGCATCATCCCAGCCTTGATTCCTTCCAAGCAAGCAAAACGCGTCGACTCGGGCGCTGATTCGTCGCCGTGGTGGCGTCTGTGGTGTCGTCGTGCGGCCAATGGGCGGGCGAAGCAGCGTCGCCCGTCGTTCCACCCCGATTACCGTAATGGGAAGCTGGTTTGGAACTTTGGGGATGTTTCGTTTTCGCTCACCTATCGCTGACATGACAGAGCATCTATTGCAGCCGACGATCCCCATGGAACCAGTTCCCATCAGCCTGGATATCCCGGCCATGCGGAGCCTACTTGCTGATGCGGCCACCGCCTGGACCGCCACCAACAGCACCACCACTTCATTGACCGGTCACAAGACTTCAGACAAATCAAGGTCGAAACCGGCAAGTATGTAAGGTAGGTAGGTAGCCTACTGCTTTTCTGCACACCCACCACCCACCCTCTCGCTCGCTCGGTCAGCGTATATGAAAGATCTTATACCCAGATGCCAAAGGCCCAACAGCTTCTCCGAGCCTGTAGGCTGTCACACGTTCCTTCTCTGGTTGCCTGGGGGTATATTCCAGACCGATCTGCTTCTGCGGGGGCTACATTTCGCCTCTCGAAGGCACCGGAATCCATTTATATCGAACGTCATGAGGAATGTTCGATCTGCGCGGTTGGCTCAGGAGCATGCTCCAATGCCCCGTATAACGAGCTTGATTTGTGGACGACCAACAAGGTTCAATGAAGGCTGAGGCCGGTTGGTGTTGGTAAAGGCGAAGCATACCTACTAGCACAGCCAATTGCAAGTTGCTTGAGCCGTCTTCGACTTTGTTCAATGTCCCGTCTAGCTACCAATAACAACGAACTCTGCCGAGAAGGGCCAGTCCCATACCGGCTGGATCTATTGTCCAGCATCTACATGTAGGAAGGTCAGATTCCGGGGTCCAGCCCGGTCCAGCCCCGAGCAGTGAGTGAGTGGGCGTCCTGGATATCACGCACGCCGCAATCACGGGGAAGAGCAGGTTTCAGGTCGAACGTGCATAAGCAGGATGATGTGATATGTTTCTCCTCACCGGGCTCGAAGCGAGGTGTGCAAAGCAAACTGCTGCAACTCATTATTAAACCGATTATCCAAACATTGACGAGTCCTGCAGCAGCGGCCGCCGGGGTGCGTGCCGCGTCTGGTTGCAGTGACATAACGAGACAGCAGCGGGCTGTACTCGGCCGTAAGGACAGTGTGAGGCAACATACCACATACAACACACATACATAACTGGGCGTTAGCCGGGCTGCCGGGAACGAGAAGACACAAGAGGGTCAGAGCGGCTCAGAGCAAAGCAGCCTGTCTCGCAGCTGGTTCGCTGGCGCTGGCTTGTAGATTGTAAACCCTGATGCAGCATTCAAAAGTCGTCTCCTCGGCCGCGCGCTCGCGTCGCCCAACACGAGACTTTTGCTGGGTTTTCCTTGTCTTAAAGGACGTTTGATAAGTCATTAGTTCGTCAGCTTATTTCTTATTCTTTGTCCCAGGGACCTCCCCTCCGCCGGGGCTCCGGCCTCTGCTGCCGTGCTGGAAAGGGGAGAGAGGTTCTGTCACATTCGGTGTGGTGAATGTGGTGTCGCTAAGAAAGCCGGTTGGTCCAGCTGGGCAATGAGTTGGCATAGCGATGGTATCCTGATTCCTCTAGGCCAGAATCAAGCGTTGTCGGTAGCCTCGTAGCATAGCGCTGGCGACTGGTCTGCAATCATCGCCGACTGTTTCCCCTCCGGCAACTGTACGACTACGAACAACACGGACAGCGAGAGAAACGGTCCGGCTCCAAGAACCAACCGTGGACCGTTGAATACTCTCCACTTGGAGACGTAGAAATCTTGATTCAAGATGCGTACTTACCGACGGGCTGGCTAGCACCTATTTGCTCCAAATTCCAATTCCTCTACTCTGTCGTGCTGGTTGTGCTTGTGCATACCTTATAATTCGACGTGCCGTCGTCACGCACAGACGTGCGTACTCTCTCGGCTCCCGGGCTCCGCGAGGGCTTCTTTCTTCCACATTACCTTCGCTTGACCGTTGGCTCCAGCGACCTCATCATCAATACAGCACTACTCCTGTGACTACAACACGGAAACACGGAGTCTCGCGAGTCACGCCGTCAACCGTTGACGGGGGCGCCTAGCCCGACCCCCTAGTTTTTAACTTGCCAACGTCGAGTCGCGCAGCCGCCGTCGACGCTGGCGGCAGATCATCGCTCAGCCGTTCAACCCGAGATGCCCTCGGCGATACGTAATCATGTGTGCCGGCGAGGCCGGAGCAGGTTCAGACGAGAGGTAGGCTTGAATCCGTCTCTTGCCAGGCACGCTAGGTTCATACCAAACAGCCGGGTCTCCGTCACGACGTGAGGGGGTGTTGGTGACGTGAGGCACACCAGGAATTCGAAATACATCCGTGTATGTGTAGCTGTACCGGTAGCACGGCTGGCAGGGCTGGCCAGACGCCTGAGCTCATCTGGCTGACACAGGTCTCATGCAAGCTCAAGCCACATCAACTCCAACAACCTCCCGTATAATAGGAGGCGAAATGCCCTTGACGGAGCAGCGGAGCTACCCATGCTAACATGCTAGAAGAGGGGGGCATCTGAGGGGTATGATGCAGGACTAGCTAGCTACGCGTGGCTATTTTAGTCACCAGCTAGGAGATGTTGTTGTTTTGGTGTTTTGGACGGGTTGACGGGGGATTGTTTTTTTATGTGTCGTCTGTCTCCACATGTCTCCCAGCTCCGGTGGGGTGATTCTTTGGCTCCGATATGAAACCGCTTGCCTGGCTAGCATCGATGATCCCAGTCAGATCTGTGAGATCTCGGATCTCATAGGCTGGCCGGTCGTCGCCGGCCACGTTCACCAAGGGCCGTGTTCGTTGTAGCTTGGTACTGGACGGTGCTTGCTGAGACTGGTCTCACTACTCAGGCAGGACTCAGGAGACAGAAGATACCAAAGAGGCGAGAGTGTCGACGTTGTTGCTGAAGAAATTGCGATATCCATCACCAATGTCTTCATCCGTGGCGGTGTGGTTTCTCCGCAGGTGAGGATTCTTGCCCCGGCCAGCCTCGACGCCTCTGGTAAATTGTAACGCTGCAAAGCCGGGCGAGGGTACTTCTCCAGTCACCGACCTCAGATGGAGACAGCGCAGAGGAAAAGCGGGCTCTCAAGTCGCAGATGGAGGTCTCGGATCATGGCAGCTCGGCAAGCTACCTCGACCATATTATAGCAATCAATCGACGTAGCCACTGGCGAAGGTGTAGACATGAGGCAGTCTTGTGCATGTCGACAATGCAACGCGGCGCCCCGAGAGCAACAATGAGCAACAGAGCCTTGTTGTTTACGCCATCTGGTACCTCGGCGTCTCCTAGAGACAAACTACCCTCTTAGCCTGGAAAATGTCCCTAGTTCGGTACCGTCGTGAAGGATCCAGGTTTCTTCCCTGGAATAGGGAATGTGGATAACAAGAGAAACCTGGGCGGCTTTCCATTCCGACTAGCTCGCTCGGGGCCAAAATGGGTGAAGGCGGCAGAACGGAAGCCGCATTATCACATATTACACGGGGACGGTAGGACACACGAGAGGCACCTCCAAGACGTCTGATGGGATATCATGTTTGCGGTAGATGTGGTTAGGGGTAATGGGTTGCACAACCTGTCTGTAGCCTTTCAGCACAGCTTGACCTGACGATCAGGCCAAGCTACAACAGGCGAGGCAGCGAGTCATGATTCGTCGACAGCGCACGACGGCGCAAGTCATTGGCCGGCATGTCATCTGGATCCAGCAGCTGAGGCGGCAAACAACCAGGCGCCGTGCGTACAGGGGAAGCTGTGTACAGGCACAGCATTGGCAACGAGCCAAGCAGAATGCTGTATCTGTATAACACGGCACTACGCCGCCATGCGGCAGAGGATGAACAAGACATACAATTGTTCGAGTTGGTTCTGTTGCTCATTAATACTTTATCTCATGGTAGGCCAGCGGCAGGTCGTCATGCCGCCTGGAGCGGTGAGACTTCAGATGCTTCTCATAATTGATGCTGGCGAGGCAGCACGAGATCTTGAAATCCGCCCCAGACGGCGCGAGGCAAACATTGAGGAGATGCTTGATGAGATTGAAATTGTAAGGCTGTACGATTGTGAACCGCGGGCGGGAGATGCCGGTGCTAAGGAACAAGCTGCCGTGTTATATATGAGCGTGATGAGGTATCATAGGGTGACGGATGGATCGGTGAGGTGTTTGTTCCCGGATGAAAGTGAAGTGAGGTGACAAGAGGCGCGGCTAACGACCCGGCTGGCCGTTCCGGTATCCCCATGTCTATATCTTCAGAACTATACAATGTTGATTTGCCGGTAAGCAGAGGCCTGGTCTCGCCATGTAGACGTTGCACAGAGCCTTGAGCCTCCTTGGATAGGAGAAGGAGGGCGCCTGTGCACCAGTCCACCAGGATGAGGATGTGGGCATGTGAGGCGGAAATCGCTTCTTCTCGACAGGTACCGCATCCGGGGAAACAAACACTCGAATCTAGGTACCTATAATGCACATATATATGCTCGGTTCCTAGAGACAATAGTCAGGAAAATCAAGAAACAGATGCAGTAGTATGGGTTACTAGTGACAAATGCATTAGCCGGATAGACGAGAAGGCCGCTCTGCAACTTGTACAACATGTACAAAGGATTTGGTCTGCCATGCCACGTCAAGCCTCAGGATCGTGAATCGTGGATCGTCATAACGTTTGGTCAGGGCTAACGAGGAATCTCTATGGTCCCGGGCAGCTGATGAGTCTGTAATGAAGAAATTCGATGGATCCCCAGCCAGCACATGATGGGCATCTCATTTGATCACGAACTGAGTCTGGGAAAGAGAGTTGGTGCAAGGCATCTCGGCTGACAGCCAACATGTTAAGGGCTCAGGATGCTTCCAGGGGAACCCCGGGCGTGAATATGTAATAGTTGGAGTCGTGTGCTGCGGGCGTCGTCGTCGCCGTCCTGAGAAGTTGGCCCAGAGCCAATGAACGACGACTGTAGGTCTCGGGGCGGGATGGCGCTAGGTCACATCGATGCATCCATCCCAAGCCTCAAAAGGCCGTGGAGGAAAGGCGCGTCTCTGGATGTTGGACAACAGAAGGATGGATGGGAGGCGGGGAGGCTGGCGGCGTGGAGTAGCCTACACATCTCGTGGTGTGCAATGTAATCAACTCGACCAGCTTATGAATAGCATTGTCGAAGCACTCTTTCCCTAGACCGGCAGCTCCTATGGACGAGGTTCACGTGACAGGTAAAGCTAACAGGAGAACAAGCAGAAGATTGGTAGAGAGCGGGCAACATCGAACAAGCATGAACGGAAGTCGCAACTGGAGTTAAATTCATGATGGTCAGGACTTCCAACACTGCACCTGCATTTCGAGGCTCTGAATCTCCCCGAGTTGCGCTAGCAGACCGCCCGCAATGTCCGCAATGCACACTGAGGGCAACTCCAGACATTACAGGGCATCTTACAGGGCATTGGATCTTGGCACGGGCGCTCTTCGTTCTTCGCCGTAATTGCGCTGGGGGGGGGGCGGCAAGTGGGCGGTACCTGCAATTCCCTGCAATCTCGCGATCTATCGCTGTCAATCTCATGGAAGCAACAGGTACCGTTGCCAACTTGCAGGTACCAGTCCCCGCCCAGTTGCAGCCCGTGCCGCATGTGGTCTCCAGCTCCGTCAACATCTCGGCCTGTTTTTGACCGTCGAGATCCAATCCTCGTCCAGCAATCTTTTAATGTTTTTTTTCTATTCTTTTTTTATTGTTGACCCGTAATAGTTATGCTATGTACGATGCTATTATGTACAGGCGCATAGCTCCGTCCGGGGTGTGTATGTTCTGTTTCCGCTTCTGCTTCTGCGTCAGCTGGTAGACCTCACCAAATTTGAGACTTCCAAGTCCTTGTCTTGTGCCTTCGGTTTTTTTCTCACCTCCCGCTTCAGGTTTCTGCTGCTTCTGTCTTGGTGACCTGGCCGTGGACAGTGGACAGCTTCCCGCCTTGCTGACCTCAACCGTTCGGAAGGACTGCCCGAGAAAGGGTCCAGGTTCAAGTCAGTGGCTGGCTGCCCAGGTGCTTCTTTCTTGTGTCTTCATGTTGTGCTTGTGCCGGAGAGTGTAGACATCGTCACGCCGGGCCGCTGCTGTCACGACCGCCGACCAGACAACCAGCTCTCCGCACCACACGCAGCAACACACAAGCAACACAGAGCAACACGCACCGATAACTCCAAAAATAATAATATACCACACCACCACGGCCACCACCACCACCACCACCACCACGGTCCACCACCAACTACCACGACCGGTACCCGCAGATTTACTGGCATTCCTCGGAACCAACCCGCCCAACTAATACGAGATTGCAATGTCTTGACAGGACTCAGGATTCTGCACAATCAATGTCAATGTCAATGGTCATGACAACACCACAGAGAGCTGACTTCACTTCCTTCCGCCTCTCGACAGAAGGCTCTCCTCTCTCCTCCTGCGCCTGAGCCCCGGGCATTCGAGATGCAGTCCGTACCTAGTGTAAGTTGAAACGCCCGTCCCCATCTGTCCGCCTACGATGCACAGTGCCCGAGACCATGCCGAGCTGGCTTGGAAGTGGTTTCTGGCGTATGGGAAGCTATAGATACAATACAACAGCAAAATCACATTCACATTGGCTTCCACTTCACCCCGTTCCTGTTCTGTGCTCGAGTTCTTTTTATGGTGGTCCAGGGGTCTGCGCTCCTCAGGCATTGACATTTACTAAACCTGATTCAGCTTATTGGTGCCGGTACTGCTGTCGCCGCGGCGGCAACGGGCCTCGTATTTGGCCAACTTGCCGATGGTCAACTCCCACCCCCGAGCCCGGCTTCCAGCAAACGGAAATCCATCGTCGAGCAAGATTCCTCCAGGCCGCTTTCCTCCCGACCCGGAACGAGGAGCTCTGCAGCACCCGGCCCTACGTACGACCAAATCGTGCAGCACGCTGCCCAACAACTCCCACCCTCGAGCACCGCAACACTCCAACCGCGAATCCCTCGACGGGCCTCCCACGCTCAGATAACTCCCACCAAGTCTGCGACTGCACGATATTCGTACGTCAGACAAGCCGATTTCCTTCCTACAGCCACAATCGCCGAGGACTCGCGGGATTCTTTCTCATCGAACGGCTCGTGGATGCGAAGGCTGTCTATACGCCCGCTATCCCAGCACGAGAGCTTGCGATCTAGCATTGGACCCGACTCGCCCTCCATCTTCTCATTCGGCTCTGCCACGCCGATCCTGCCCCAAGCTGGAGATTCACCACCTCAGCTGCCGCGGAATAAACTTGTCAAGCGGACCTCGACGAATAATGGGGACGTGGGCTTTCTAGCACGGCGAGGATCAAGGACACCCATGACATTGAGGAGGCCAGCAACCAGCCACCAGCGGTCAGCTACGTTGCATCAAAAACTCATCGACGAAGATTTGGCACCGCTGCCGAAAGGCTCATTTGATCAGCAGCTTCGGCCTCGGGCTCGAACAGTGGCGAGTCATCCACCAGGCCTTGCTCTAGGTACCAGTGGGAGCGAAACCCCTGCGTGGAAGTCGTTTTGGCATTCCAGGGTATCCCGAGGTGCAGTCAAGCCTGCCAAGGCGTCCCCTCTGAGAAGCAGTGACAGCAGTGCTCAGCCAAGTTCGAAGCGGATCTGTGTGGAACAGCAGAACAATCGGGGCGTCTATTTAGTGACTCCAAACTCCGTCATAATGAATCCTTCTCTGCAGGTACCTGTACCTCAGGAGTCACCCCAAGACATCGAGTCGGAAAGGCGCATGGACACCGAAGACAGCCCACAAACTTCCGAGAAGTCTCAGGCCACGCCCGAGGAAACTCCCTCCAAGCTACCTAGGCGGTCTATCTCGATGCATTTCAGCTCACCTACGAACTGGATCTCCAAGACTGGAAGCATTCGGCGGCGCAAACGTGGTGACACGGCAGACGGTAATAAGCGGCACGTTTCTGCACCGCTCACGAAGACTAACGTGTCGACCCCAGTTGGCAACAGGAATGGTGCAGCAGGAACTGACACAGGTGCGGAGGTCAGCCATGCCGAATCTGAACTTGCTGCCATATTCCACCCTCCGGAACTCAGGCGGAACGTTTCGTCCCCATTGCCACCCATATCTCGACTTTCTGACTTTGATATTGACCTAAACCGTCTCGCCGCATCGGCTTCTCCCCCCCTTGATCGCCCAAACGAGGCGACACTGAACAGTACGCCAAGCTTGAGAGTTAACTCGTATGCGTCACAGACCCGGACACTGGAGCGTGCTTCTACAGTCGGCAGCTCTGAGTATCACCGTGGGTTTACTTCTGGTGACGACGACGATACGACCGACACGCCATTTGACTCGTTCCGGACCATAGCATCAGGTCACCGGAGGGCCCTTGACAGTCCGCTAGAGTCCATGTTCGACGAGTCTCCGCCCAGCACTGCGGGCAATAATAGTAAGCCGAAACGCTTATCGATTCAGGAGATACTCGGGCCCTCATTTGATGGTGGCAATAAGATTATGGAAGAGGATGAAGGGGTCCCAACTCCTGTACGCGGAGGTTACGAAGATGCCGAGACGCATTTCCGTGTTGGCGGTACCGACGACGAGATCGAGTCTATACATCATCCCACACTACCCGACCTTACCTTGGATAGAGACTATGGCCGTTTATCACTGGATGACGATGACGACCTCGACTGGGCCAGAGAAGACGATGTCGAGATATATAACCACCTATCTCCCCCAAGCTCGATGAACTCTCGCCGAGGTAGTCCGAACCTGCGAACAGCCTTGGGCAGCGGTGTCAAGAAGAGGTCGGATGTACGATTTGACTCTTCCAGCGAACGACCACGAAGCACCGTCTTTGACTGGGCCGAACCCGCAGTGCATGACAAGCATGACAACGACGACCTTGCCCCGCGGCCAAAGACAGTCCATGGCAAACACGAACTAGAGGCGAGAGGTGGACGCTCGGCTAGCCGGAAAGGCCCTACAGCGACTCACGTCCGAAGTCAGAGTGTACCCATTGTGCCCGATCAGCTGGAAATTGCAAAGTCGGTTCCCAAATTCGGAACGTGGGGACTGGGTCAGAAAAATATCAGTGAGGATTGGGATGATGATTTCGATTTCGAGGAAGAGGGAGATCTCGGATCGACTGTCGGAAAGGTGGACGAAAACCGGTTCTCCATGCTTGTGCCCGCGTCCATTCAAGCAACGCAACCGACAGTCAAGGCTCATTCTGGACAGATCCGGGAATTGTCGCTGCTCGTTAACGACCTAAAGCGCCTCTGCCGCTTGGGGCGCGAGATGGAGATGCTTGATGGCCCGTCAGTGAAGTTGTGGCGTGAAGCACAAGGCATCATCGCCTTGGCCTCGCCTGACGATGACGTGTCAGAAAACGACGATGCCAAGGAGGCAGACAGCGGCTTAGACCTAGACTTCGTGGACGCTCGGTTCATCGACCAAGGTTTTGATGGTGCTTCTCTAGACGATTCTAACAGCATGAAGGCTGGGGAAAACCACCGGAACTCAGTTGTCCGAGGTCGCCACTTGGGCCGCCGTCGGTCTGTGTTCTCCCCCGAGGACGATATCTTCGGGACGTGGGATCAAGCCGACGAGGAAGTGGCGCATGCTCGTCCTCAGACTCCAGAGAATCGAAACGGCAGTATTGCCAGGTCTGTGATGGAAGCAATGCAACTAAGACGCACCAGATCGATGGTGAATCACGACGATCCTTCCAATGGGAAGCTGAACTTCGACACGAACAGTCTGAAGGAGCTGGTCAAACGAGCGAGCGATCTGCGTGACGGCCTGTCCGATTTGGTCCGCAAGGCAGACCACATCACGCAAAGTCCGGCGAGAACTCCCAAACACACAAGGTCGAATGGGAGTCCTGCCTTTACTCGCGTGTTCGACGATCCGGCATCTAGTCCAACTAGACGAATTCCGCATAGTCACAGCAGCAACTCTGTTCTGAGCGGCACCTCCGTGGGTGCCTCGCCGTCTAATGGACTTAATCAGCGCATGCAGATGATGACCGTCAGTTAGGGGTCGACCGCCCGAGAGCCGGATCCGCACACCTCCCATCTCCCCCTCGGGGCTTCTCCCGTTCTCACGGCACACTGCGAAGCATGCTGAAGTCGAGAGGTGTATCTGTAAAGATATCTGTTTAAATTGCATAGCGCATGGTCGGTTTCCAGATTTCCTTCCGTGCCGCATATGCGCCCCGGAAAGCACGCACTTCTGTCTAGACATGTAAAGAACCACCCCACAGATCGAGGTACCTTAATAGGGCGTCAATCTCGGATGAAGGCTCGGCCTCAATCCGATATTTTACGGTTTGGGTTGCTTCAGGCGCGTCCTGGATACACCACGATGTCGATCATCCGATGTCCCGGAATCCCTTCGAGTGTCCTCGAGGACAGCAACCGTTATACCTCATAGATTCACGGAAGATAACGACTACGAATAATGACTCTTTCATCTCCACGTTCAGGCATACATGACTCGATGCTTTGTGCCCATCGAAGAGCACAACAACGCATAGAACGAACTCTCTACATAGAGGAGGGTTGTAGCCGAACAGCACATACACCCAAGGATGTGATCAATGTTTTCGGAAGTGCTTGGTGCCCTTACCGAGTTTGGCCTCATGCGACCCGCATTCCCGTGGTGGTATTGAGATAAGAACTACGAGAAAATCAGGATGGATGCATGGTTTCTCTCCTTTGTTACGAGACGGCACTACTACGATACAGCTGCATACAACCGTCCAGCAGACGTTGATGCGATCGCAAACTTGTTTTTGATTTCTTCCTGTCTTGGTTTGTCCCTTCTGACAGGTGCATGGCATGGCATGGCGAGGCAGGGAAACGGCACACGGCTCAATGACATGAATGCATTTGTACAGGTAGACATTGGACGGCCAGAGTCTCATGTTAGGTTAAGTTCTTCTCCCTGGGCCTGGCTAGGTCAAAATAAAATCTTGCCCTGACCCTCTGTTTGGTCGGGGCTTTTGTTCGAGTACAACATATCAGTTCCTGTCTTATTCTCGTGTGATGGTATGTGATCTACGGGCTGTACGATTCATCCTAAGAGGTTAGTGATTCCCTCGAGCGAGCAGAAGGGCAAGACGAGGTCACGCATTGGAGTCTTCGATTTCATCCGTCCATCCACATCTTCAGAGAATTGACTCACTCTAGGCAAAGTTTTCTAGACAGCCACACTGCAAAGCTTATACCCCAGCCCCCTTGTTCCTTACCCCAACGGCACAGGATATATATACGAGTTTAGCAGATCAATTCGGTAGCCGGGTTGGTACGGCCTAGCGGAGTATTCTTGCAAAGTATTCTTAAAGGTATCCTTGGGCACAGCGGTTCGACTCCCCTAGCGGCTGGGATTTCTTCTTTTTTTCTTTCTGGCACTCACCACCCCTTGGGTGAACGAATAAACCCCTTTCTCTTATCTTTTCGTACTAGCTATACTGGTCTGGGTGTGTTGGCATATGCTTAGTTTGGCCTAGAATCCTGGGTGGGATCGTACTGCCTTCGGAAGCTTGGATGGAGTATATTGATTTGTGTCCTGAACCTCTCGTGGGGACTCGTCAGATATGGATGGGCTAGCAAGCACCTCTCCACGGGTGTTATTCGACTTTTTATAGCGAGCAGCTTTGCCTGACAACATTTCTCCTCGGAAGCCATGGACTGGTATGTACAGTCACCGCGTGGAATTTTACGCACAGGGAGGTGTGTACACAGGGTACCTCTAGCTGAGTGGCCCAGTGAAGGTGGTAGTATATCTTGATGGTTTGTTCCCTGGGTGGATCTTTGTCCTCTATGCCGCAAAGCTGGTCGGTCATCTGGCGACCACGATGGCAGCATGACTCTTGTAGACATGCGGTACATAATTCTATGGTAGTACCCAGTGCAACTTAAGGTAGGTTGAATACCTAGGCTGTACTATCTATCTACTTCGCAGACCACTCTAGCGCCGCCCTCCTTGAACTCGAAGGACTCCCACACAGGGCGTCAACAGCCACATCTGCCTCGCCCCTATCTCCCTGCAGTCTCCTATCTCCCTGCAGTCTCCTATCTCCCTGCATCGCACACGCCCATCTCAAACAACATTGCCCCCCCCTCTCTCAAGAAAAGCCCCCAATCAAAAGACTCAAGACGAAGCCTTAGTTAGCCTTCCCCTTCCCCTTCCCCAAAGAATCAACAAACGACTAGAAATCAGCCCCCTTGAAGAAACGTGACGAGTACTTCAAGAACAAGTCCCCCGTCCTGAACACCGAAAACGGCCGCAGCATGATCTTCCGGCCATCGGCGCTGTCCCGGAGGTTCTCACCGTCCTTGCGGTCCCCCCACTGCTGGTCCGAAGGGAATCTGTCTTCGTAGGTGCTTGCGTAGCGCGCGGCTTGGTCCGCATCGCATAGCTCGAGGGATGTGCAGAACTCTACGGCTGTCTTGCCGTTCCTGTGGCGGCCTTCTTTCATCAGGGCGCCCGTCAGCTGCACGCTGCGTGTACGTTAACATCTTGTATTTCAAACCCGCACGCCTATTTTCTAGATGAAGAAGGAAAGGGAACAACAAAGCTTGTTCTCGAAAGCAAGCCTCAGGGTCTTGTGATCGGATGTTTTTATACGTACCACACGATGCATACGTCCCAGGCCGCCTGATTGTTATCCTCGGACCCGGACGCGTCGGCCACGTCGGGGAACCAGTCTATCCCGCGCAGGTCGGCCATCTCGAACTCCTCTGGCTCGGGGAGGTCTTTTGCGCGCGCGGCTAGACTGTTCCGCCCGTGGTTGTGGTCGTGGTCGTGGTTGTCGACCGCACGGACTGCGGCACCGTGGGTCGTTCGCGGTGCGGCGGCGGCGGCGGCGGCGGTCGGGGCTAGGGCTAGGCTGGAAATGCCGGCAAAGACTGCGAGGAGGGCGTGGTTGTGCATGGCTCCGGGGCGCGTTTCTCACGGGGTTTTGGGGTGTGTGAAGTATGGATATCTGTGCGAAAGGGTTTCCTGCTGAAGATCCTGTACGTTGTACTCGTGCTTCCTCTTCTTCTTCTTCTTCTCAACGCGAGACATTGCCTCTACTTATAACTTCGTCTCCGGGACGGACACCTTGGCCACAGGCTGGCTCACACATGACGAAACCGGCGGCCAACTGCCCCCCGTGGCGGACTCGAGGACCTTGATAGAGGGGTTCGGTCACCGTTGAGTATGGCCTGGGGAAGATCTGAAAAAACACTCGGTGATGTTTTGGTTCAGGCTTCGTGGTCGTCTTGGTGTTGACTTGAGGGCCTTGAGGACCTTGAGGACCACGATGGAGGCTCCGGTGGCAGCGCGGTATTCCCGACCGTCCGACTCCTGTCCGACTCCTGTCCGACTTCTGTCTGGCTCTCGCCCGGCTCGTCGGGCGTCTGCCGGCCTGAGACCCTTGAGGGAGGACCTTGATGGCCATTCTTGTGGACGATTCTTCAAAAAGACCACCGGCCAACTCCTAGCCCATCTTGGTAAATCCTTCGCTTACCGGAGGCGGAACAGTCGATGGTTTCTTTTCTTCTCACCACAACGGATGCTGTTATTAATAGAAGTGGCAATTTAAGCACATCAGTAAGGGACACCAACCCCACGCCACGTAGGTGGATATGACAGAAACACGTGCCGCAGCGCAGAGGCGAGAGAGTTTCAGAGGTGCGTGCATATTGGCTATTCTCGTCAAGCTACAATAGTGACTTAGTCTCGAGATGTCGCCGACAGTACGCTAAGATAACACCCCCTCCAGCGGTCCGAGTACCACGACGAATGAGCATGACCTCCTTGGGACGGTTGATCACACCGATCCTGGCTCAACAAGTGCAAGATCAGTTGCCTGGCGGTCTTCCAAGAGAGCAAACATGGTGGTCGGTATAAATTTCGGCATATTATTACGGGGTTGAGAACGTCGTGGCCAGGTGCGTGCCCAAGCAAATTCCAGTCTATAAAACCAAAGGATCCAGACCTCCGGGGTCCTATTTTCTGAGAACCTGCCAGAGACTCGATCCGTGTATCGGGTCTTGTTCCAATACTCAAGTATTTCTTCTGGTGTGTTGCTTGTATCCTTCTCACGCTCAAGGAATTTGCTGATATTCAGAGCTGTGTCGTCAGAAATAGGTTGATCCGGCAGCACGATCTTGTTGAAGCCAAACAACTCTGACACAACCGTAGGGCTCCATTCCCTGTCGACCATGGTAAAATCATCGCCCGTTTCGACGTAGATCGCCTTGAGGTTACGGAAACCTGCCTCCCAGATCAGCTCTTGGAACGCCTTGTCGGCGTCGGCCTTGAGGCTGCTTCCCGGGATCACTATGGTCTCGACAACTTTGGGAAGATCTCCCAGGTCGCCTTCGTTGGTCCAAACGACTACGTCCCGGTCGGCCTGAAACCACGTCCACTGCGCGTGACGCCCATGGCGCACCTTCCACAAGGCACCATGCCGAGTCGCTACGGCCTTCGACTCGCTGCAAGCATGGGCGACGCTGGGGGGCCGCTGCGTTACATGGCCGAAGGCACAGAAGTCGGTGGCCATAAAGTATCTCTGCGGGATCGCGAAGTCCCAGATGCGGCAGCGAAGCTTGTGTGGCAGGTTACCGAACTTAGGGAACTTCCGAGAGGGCTCTCGAGCGCACATGTGGCCCAGATTGCGATTCCGTGTTCCCAACCGGGTGAGCCGCGCCTGCAATAGGTGGTGCCTATTGGAATCATCTTTGATGAGGTCATCTGTGTTCCGCAGAATCAGCTTGAGCATATTTCGGTTGCTCACCTGGTCTATTTGCATCCCCACTGTGTCATCGCTCATGGAGGAATCCTCCGTATCGGAACTGTCACTCGCCTGTTTGGGAGCACAGTCAGTATTGCTCCGGTCAGATTCTCTGTGGTGTCTCCTTACGTCCATTGCAGCGGTGTCCACAAGGCTTCGGTACGAATAAGGTACTGTTGTCAAAGATCAAGGCCACGAAACCAAGTGACCCAAACTAACAGATGTAGGGGTGCTGGCGGACGCCGGTTACAAGACGCTCGTCCGCGGGTTGCTGATGCCAATCGAGGGGGTTTTGCCTGTAACGTAGATGCTCTTGCTAGATGCAGTACATCTGAAATTTCGAGAAGATATGAAAAGGTATCGGCTGTAACGCATGCTCTCAAAACTTCAGTGTATGATGGACGCTAGAAGTGGAGTTGGGTCATGAACGCTCAAGGTACAGTAATGGGTCACTGAAAGCCTAGAATATATTGATGTGCTAGTAGGATGGATCTTAAGCGGACTAGATATTGCCTGGTATGGTAGACTGTTCATTGAAGATGGAGGTTGGAGTGACAAGACAACAACATGAAGAGATTTTCGAGGTGAGTCGTTGATCCAGGGATAGATCTAAGGAGGCAGTTATGATAGTGGATATGCACTAATCAGGGATTAATATTAAGCCCGGTTTTAATGAAATTATTCATTCAACGGCTTGCCAGGTGTGGGCTGGGGAAATCGTGTGCCTTGTGGTAGCGGTTTCCAGAATAAGGACCAGGTCACGAATGGTGGCTATTGGTCTGTATTCTGGAAGTTGCTTGATTGAAAGAAGGGATGGGTCCCCATCTCAGAAGTAGCTATCATCCCAGTTGGGTACAAATCAGGTACAAACGGGTACCCGTTGGGCTCCAAGGTACCTTGTATCCTGGTCCGTGACCCATCCGTCATTGTGGCTAGAAAATGGGTTGAGGAGCCACAATCGCATGGTCAGTGCGCACCCGGCGGCAGCTGTCGAAAAAGAGGGGAGGCCCCCTGTCAACAACGAGTATTGGGGCAACCCTTTCCCTTCTAAGTTTTGGGCCGTGAACCTCCAAGCCGAATTACCCAGGCGCCCCTGCAGCCCGGCAGCTTCCCGGGCCTGATCTTCTCTCCCTCCAAAACCACAATTCAACACCCACTCCATCACCGCCAACACACCGCTCCTCTTCTCTTCCACTCCCTTTTGCAACCACCGCTCGCCCTCACCCTCACTCGTGTTCGATACACAGTAACCACCAAACGCCACCATGCGTGAGATCGTGAGTCCTCCCCCGTCCATCCCGTCCATCCCGTCTCTGTTTACTCCCTGGGCGCGTCGGAGGAGCCAGAACCCCTGATATCTGCCCCTCCACGCACACAAAATAGCAACGAGAGAGCTCGCAGCCGACACCAGCACTTTTAGCCAACACACCAGAAACCTTTTGGAACCAATGCTGACCGTGTCTTTTTTTCAATTCTAGGTTCACCTCCAGACCGGCCAATGCGTAAGTCTCTCCTCGACCGCCGACTCGAGCTCTGGGAATATTGCGGGGCTCACACGATTTCACAGGGTAACCAAATTGGTGCTGCCTTCTGGTGTGTACTTACGGCATGAACGACGACACCTCGGGCATCAATGTTGACTGGTGCATTTCAGGCAAACTATCTCTGGCGAGCACGGCCTCGACAGCAATGGAGTGTACGTATCGAGGGTCTACACTCCCCTAAGGATCCGAATTGGGACTGACCGCCTTGGAACAGCTATAACGGAACCTCCGAGCTCCAGCTCGAGCGCATGAGCGTCTACTTCAACGAGGTATGTAACTCCCCAATTGGCTGTGTCTGATCTGGCCGGGCATAGCTGACACAATTTCAATGGCAGGCTTCCGGCAACAAGTATGTTCCTCGCGCTGTCCTCGTCGATCTCGAGCCCGGTACCATGGACGCCGTCCGTGCCGGTCCCTTCGGTCAACTCTTCCGACCCGACAACTTCGTTTTCGGTCAATCCGGTGCCGGAAACAACTGGGCCAAGGGTCACTACACTGAGGGTGCTGAGCTTGTTGACCAGGTTCTGGACGTCGTTCGCCGGGAGGCTGAGGGCTGCGACTGCCTCCAGGGTTTCCAAATCACCCACTCGCTCGGTGGTGGTACCGGTGCCGGTATGGGTACATTGCTGATCTCTAAGATCCGTGAGGAGTTCCCCGACCGCATGATGGCCACCTTCTCCGTCGTTCCCTCCCCTAAGGTCTCCGACACCGTCGTCGAGCCCTACAACGCTACCCTCTCGGTCCACCAGCTGGTCGAGAACTCGGACGAGACTTTCTGCATTGACAACGAGGCTCTGTACGATATCTGCATGCGCACTCTCAAGCTGTCCAACCCTTCGTACGGCGACCTGAACCACCTGGTCTCTGCTGTCATGTCTGGTGTCACCACTTGCCTGCGATTCCCTGGCCAGCTCAACTCCGACCTGCGCAAGCTGGCCGTGAACATGGTTCCCTTCCCTCGTCTCCACTTCTTCATGGTTGGCTTTGCTCCTCTGACCAGCCGAGGTGCTCACTCTTTCCGTGCTGTCACTGTTCCCGAGTTGACCCAGCAGATGTTCGACCCCAAGAACATGATGGCTGCCTCGGACTTCCGCAACGGTCGCTACCTCACATGCTCTGCCATCTTGTAAGACGCTCCGACCCTTTGGTGGTTATGTCAAAGCTAACGTTTTCTCCAGCCGTGGTAAGGTCTCCATGAAGGAGGTCGAGGACCAGATGCGCAACGTTCAGAACAAGAACTCTTCCTACTTCGTCGAGTGGATTCCGAACAACGTTCAGACCGCTCTTTGCTCGATCCCCCCTCGCGGCCTGAAGATGTCCTCTACCTTCGTTGGCAACTCGACTGCCATCCAGGAGCTCTTCAAGCGCGTTGGTGAGCAGTTCACTGCCATGTTCCGACGAAAGGCCTTCTTGCATTGGTACACTGGTGAGGGTATGGACGAGATGGAGTTCACCGAAGCCGAGTCCAACATGAACGACCTGGTCTCTGAATACCAGCAATACCAGGACGCTGGTGTTGACGAGGAAGAGGAGGGAGAATACGAGGAGGAGCTTCCCATGGAGGAGGAGTAAATGCTGGCGCCTGATACCCAATACCCCCCACTTGGAAGAACGACACCCTTCAGTTTGTTGGTGTTACGGTGGATGGATCTTCGGAATGTCATACCTCAGGCCTTTTGCCCTACCCGTACAATTCTCGGCTACCTTTCAACACCCCGGCCTTCAAGGACTGCTGTCTACTGGACACGGCTCATCGTGGTCAACTAAACGGGCTGGGGGTCTGTTAAATATACCTCTTCGGTGTCTGGTCTGGAGAAAAGGGAGATACATTATTGATTGCCTAATAGTGACAAGAAAAATGAATTGACTTTCTTGTACAAACATCGATTCCTTGTGCCCTGCAGTATGAGTGTGATGCACCCGCTTCTGTCCATTGCACTGCTCCACATCTTTGAGTATTTCGTGGCTTCCATGCGGGAACTCTATCACAATGTGATCTCTCCGCCGCGCGGCGCTGCAAGCAATCCCCGGTTACTGTACGCGTCCCGCACGGGATGTCAATCTCGAGGGGCTAATTGGCCAGTTTTTAGAGGTGGTAACCCAAGATAGTAGATGGTCAGGTGTACCACCACTACCAGGACACCGCAACCTCTTCACCCGCTCAGATGCATATTGATACGCCACGTGTCATCACACTCTTCTGGGTGGAGGTAGATGGACTGATGACAAGGAGCAGCGGTAGTCGAGTCGTGTCTTCTACATGGCGGTTGGCAGGTAACAAATAGGCCAGCAGATACCGATGATCAGAGGGGATTGAAGGCCTCGGGAGCTGGGTGATGGGTGATGGGTAGATGCGTTCTCGACGACATCCTGAGAGAAAATGCGGTGGGGTGGTCATAGGCGGGAAATACGGCATGTTGATACACTGACCCTCCAAAAGTCTCCGAGCATCCACCACGCTAGTTTCAAAACGCGTCTACGCGCTCGCGACCCCCTTCCTTCTTCACCTTTTATTTACTCAACACCAAAACGATGGATTTACAAAAGGTTGGTACAATTCTGACCGCAAATCGCGGGCCAAACCAGGAATTTATTTCTGAAGCTCGTGCAGCTATTGTGGCTGCCAGGGCGGCAGGCGCAAGGCGCGACGATGTCGCAAGCGCGTTCCATCTGGATCGGCCTCAAACCGTGACCGACATTATCAACACTGCTAGAGAGCATAACACCACAGTCTCTTGACCTCGAGAGAGAGCCATAAGGACTCTAAATAAGCGCGAAAAAGCTCAGTTAATTAAAACGGCACAAAAGTACCCCAAGGCTACCCACAAAGAGCTCAAGAAAGAGAGCAGGGTCCTCAGCTCTCATACCACTATCAAGCACGTTCTTCGCACTCATGGGCTTCGCAAGTGGAAGGCGGCGAAGCGGATCGAGCTTACGGAAGATGATGCACGAGAGAGGTTCGCTTTTTACAATAAATACGACTCCCCGGAGGCTCTGAAGGAACTGATGCGAACGCTCTTCTCAGACGAAGTCACGGTCCAGAATTCATCCGATAATCCGGGCGATTGGGTCATCCGCCTCTCTTCTGAACGTTACAGGCAGGATCTCGTGAACCCTCGGAGCCATGGGAGACCCTGTATCTCCATTATGTGTTGGGCCTTGATCTGGTTACGCAGCGGAGAAGGTGGCCTAGGCAAAATCATCTTCTGCGAGCCCGATGAGGATGCTCCTCGCGGAGGAGTATCTTCAGCTTCATATCAAGACGTCCTTAAGGAAGGGCTCCTTCCGTTCTATGAGGCTGGGGAACCTTTTATGCAAGATAACGCTCGTATCCATCGATTTGGAGGCACTCCAGAGTGGCTAGAGGAACACGGCATCTGGACGATCGACTGGCCTGCTCACAGCCCTGATTTAAACCCGATCGAGCACGTTTGGGCACTTCTAAAGAAGCAGATACGGAGAATCGAGCCTGGTTTCACTGATTTGAAGGCTAATATTGCCCACGAGGCATATGCCAGACAGTTAATCGAAAGGGCGTGGTCAGAGATCGATCCTGAGGATGTACGCGTTCTTGTCGAATCTCTCGGCAACCGAATCGCCGCAGTGAAAAGAGCAGGTGGTTGGTACACACACTATTGAATGGCTTATACAATGCAGTTTTTTTCATATTATTACAGTGAGAGATGGGTGCGTGGTGAATGCTGAAAGTTGGAGGGTGTAGGCGTGTAGGGCTGCTCGAAAAGTGGGCTCGGAGACTTCTGGTCGGGGAGCGTACCTAGGAGAGCAAGGTAACGATGGAGGCCGTCAGGACCTGAGGGGAAAGGGCCTCGTGGACTCGAGAGTGTGACGTATTTCTTTTGAGTTCAGAGATCAGGATAGGCATGAATTTTTGTTCTCCAGATGGTAATTAGACAAGACTGTGAAATTTGGTATAGTTAATTGCATTGAATCCGATCATCATATCCTCATATTACTCTACCAACCGACGCCCACGAGGTAATCACGACAAATCGAACAAGCAGGTACATACTCCGATCTCTCACCAAGCCAAGTCATATACAAAACCCGCCCTACCACTCTTACCACCCCCCTACCAATCCGGCGCACTCCCACACCCGCCCCCAGCCAAAACCTCCACCGGCCTCCGCATCGGCAAGTCCACCATAGGCTTCACACCCGGCTTCTTCGCCCGGCGGCCCTTAAACCCAATCTTGCGATCGAGCTCGTCGAACTGTCTGTCTGTGTTGTCTTCGCTCTTGACCTTCCACCTTGCGGTGCCGAGCGCGGCGTCGAGCTCGTCGACGGGCGGCAGCCTGAGATAAACCAGCCCGTCAGCGCGCTCCTCGGCCGCGAACGTGGCGATGGACAGGGCGTCGTCGTTGCGGCATGCGCCGTCGGCTAGGTCGAAGTTGCGCTTGTGGAACGGACACGAGACCCAGGGCGCCTTAGCGTCGCCGCAGGGTTCCTTCGGGTTCGTGGCGGGCTCGGCGGAGGAGGGCACGTCGGTGCCGATGTAGCCGTCCGAGAGCGCAAAGGTGCGCTTGTGCGGACACATCTGCTGCGTGGCGTAGTACTTGCCGCGGACGCGCCACAGCGCGAGCTGCGTGTCGCCGCGCTTGATGCTCGCGCTGACGCCGTTGGGTGTGCTGTCGGCGTCGGCGAAGTAGCTGGCCTCCATGACGGGCTGCCAGGTCGTGCTGGTCCAGCGGTCCCTGAGGCCCTTGAAGTCCTCGGCTGCGGAATCCTTGGGCCAGAACGCGGGCCGCGTCTGCCCGCGGTCTTCTTCCGGCTCCACCGTCTCCACCGTGTCGGCCGTGTTGGCGAACTGCTTGAACTTGGCTGCGATGTCGGGGTTCTTGATCGCCTCGGCCCACTCGTCGAAGAAGGAGTCGACGAGCTCTTGCATCTGGGCTTCGAGCGAGGCGCAGATGCCCAGCTTGTCCTCCAGGATCACTTCCTGCAGGTATTTCAGTCCGCCTGGTAGGTTCTCGATCCATCGTGCTGTGCGTTGCAGCTTGTCGGCTGTGCGGATGTAGAACATGAGATAGCGGTCGAGGATGGGGATGACCTCAGACGGTGGAACGTCTTTGGCGAGGAGCTCCGAGTGTTTCGGCTTGGCACCGCCGTTACCTGCGACGAAGACATTGAAGCCCTTCTCTGTAGCGATAAGTCCAAAGCTGTGATGCTGTCAGTACCGTTCTCTGGTTATGATTCTAGAAAGGATGAGACGTACTCCTTGTTCTGAGCTTCAGCACACTCGCGCACACAGCCACTGACACCACCCTTGATCTTGTGCGGGCTCCGAATGCTCTTATACCGCTCTTCAATACGCACAGCCATGCCGACACTGTCCCCAACGCCGTAGCGGCACCACGTGGTCCCGACACAGCTCTTGACGGTACGTAACGACTTGGCGTATGCATGTCCACTCTCCATGCCGCCCTCGACCAGTCTTCTCCAGATATCGAGCAAGTCTTGCTTCTTGGCTCCGAACATGTCGATGCGCTGACCACCTGTGATCTTCGTGTATAAATTGTACTTCTTCGCAACTTCGCCAATGACGACCAACTTGTCCGGTGTGATCTCACCAGCAGAGACGCGGGGTATGACGGAGAATGTGCCATTCCGTTGTATGTTGCCCAAGAACTTATCGTTGGTCTCCTGGAGGCCGTGGGTGGATTTGGTCATGACGTGCTTGTTCCATAACGACGCGAAGATGCTGGCCACATTGGGCTTGCAGGCTTCACAGCCTTCAGACTCTTTATCGTTGCCGGCTTCTCTCATGAGGTCTGTCATGGTCCTCAGATTCTTCACCATGGCGATGTTGTACAGGTCGGCTCGAGAGTAGTTGAAGTGGGCGCATAAGTAGTTGGTGACTTCGGCGCCCATATCGGTCATCGTCTTGGTGAAGATGCTGGTCACGAGCGGCATGCAGCCACCACAGCCAGTGCCGGCCTTGGTGCACGCCTTGACATCGCCGACGGTCTTGCAAGTGCCATCTTTGACCGTGTTGACAACGTCGCCCTTGCTGACGTTGTGGCAAGAACAGATCTGGACATCATCGTTGAGGTCATCTGCTTCGTCACCGCCGTCTTTCTTTGCGCCGAGGATGAGTTGTGCTGGAGGGATATCAAGCTCTTTCTGATTCCTGACCATGGGTACCAGCTTAATGTAATCGCTCGTGTCACCAATCATCATACCGCCAAGTAGATACTTGCCATCGGTGGTGAAGAGGTATTTCTTGTACACTTGCGCGAAGGGGTCCTTATATGTCAACGCTTTGACTGGAGGCGGTGGAAGGCCGTTAACGACGGTTTTGACAACACTCTGATCTTCTCTCTTCTTCCGCGCCGCCTTGGCCGGTAACGAGCTGGGTCCGTCTCTGTCGGCAAAGAAGTCTCCGAAACTGGCCACGTCGACGCCTAACAGCTTTAGCTTCGTGCTGAGATCCGGTCGCTTGAATGCTCTCGGCTGATGGAGCTTGGCTTGAGTGAGGTTGAAGGACAGGACATCGGCCATTTCGATGCCGGGAGCGATAAGACCGAACGTCTGGTTTTCCCAGCTCGCACACTCTCCAATGGCGTAGGTATCGGGGATGTTCGTGCTGAGGTCGTTGTTCACCAGGATACCGCCGCCTCGATCCGCACAGTCGATGCCGGCGTTTCTCGCCAAGCTATCTCGTGGCCGGACACCAATGGCGAAGCAGATGGTGGAACAATCCATCTCCTCGCCATCCTCGAAGACAACACCTGTCACGTTGTTGCCCTCGTCTGCTTTTATCTTGCCAACTCTCTTGCTGAGCAGAATGTCGACTCCTAGGTCGGTGACCTTTTCAACGACGAGGCCGCCAGCATCGGCATCGAGCTGCCGGCTCAGTACCCATCGGTTTCTTTCGATCAACTTGATTTTGTCATAACACTCCAGGTCCATCATCGCATTCGCGGCTTCAAGACCAAGTAAGCCACCGCCGACGACGGCGCCGACGGTGCCCTTGTGGGCTTCTCCGAAGGTGATGAGCTTCTGCAAGTCGTCGATTGTGCGGTAGACAAACACCCCATTCGCATCATAGCCGGGGGTATGCCGTGGAAGAACAGCATCGGACCCGGTTGCCAGGACGAGGATGTCGTATGAGACAACATCACCGTTGCCGCAGCTAACGGTCTTGTTCGCAGAGTCGATGCTTGTGACTAAGGTGTTGAGGTGGTAGCCTAGTTGGCTTTCCGGAGCATGTAATGCGTACTGTGTTTCGCTATTAACGTTTATGGAGAACCTGAATCCCCGAACGAACTTACCCATTCTTTAGGGTTGAGATAGAGGTTCTCGACTTTTCGGTGGTTGAAGAAGCTCGTCAGTCCCACGCGGTTGTATGCAAGGTGGGGCTCATCGCCAATAACCACGATATCATATTCGCGGGCTCTGGCGTCCAGCTTCAACAATTTCTCGCTGGGTGGCAATTAGAGACTGGGAAAAACTTGATTGCTTGCTGGAAATCGTAGTTGGCTTACATGAAGGCAATGCCGACCATCCCCAGGCCGACAACGACGACCTTTTTTCTCGTGCCGACAGCCATGGTATGGAGAGTCACATAAACGAGTCAGTTACGTAAGAAAGCCGTGCCGGCGACGTGAAACTGTGCTGCGTTCGACTGCGCAAAGCGGTTTGAAGGATGACGAAGATCGCCAGCAGGAGAGGAGAGCGAAGCGACACAGAGAGAGAAAAGAAGCAGACAGAACGAAAAGCAGAAATCAGCGCTCAGGGAAGCAAAGCAATCGACATCGACGACACTTGTTTAATGTTGACAATGGTTTGCCTTGTAATACCATCGACGTCTCTGGAGATACGCATCTCCGGCATGGGAAGCAAGCTCTGGAGGTGCTACCGTATCTGCCAATTGATACGCGAGGGAATGGCCGACTACAGCTGCGAATGGGAGGCTGTCATTGGACTGACAACGTGGAGATGGTTCGGAAACAGATACCGGGCGACCTCATTGGCGGCGCTTGGCCTTGGGCCCCATTGACCTTGGGGTGTGATACTGCATCTCCGATGTTGTGCTAGTACCTGTTCTGATATCTTGCAGCATTGGAATTGGCAGATGTTGTTTGGTGTCTTGATTCGAAGTTGTAGATATTGGGTCCTCGCGGGGTCGATCTTGATAAGGGGTTCTCGATGGTGATTTCGGCCAATCAGCGTGGTTTTGTTCCGCGACGGAGATCGTGCTAGCCTGGGCCGCGGAGATGTATTCCATCCCTTGTTTACGGCATATAACCGCCATATGCAATAGTCCCATTCGACACTGCATTCGCGATGTACTCGTCCGACAGACCTCAGGATAGGAGCAATAATTGTAGGCGTTTCTTACTGCACTCATGTCGAACGTCTGACATCGTGAGCCAACGCGGCTCCTTTCGAACGATTCTATTCCCGTCGGTTAGAGGTTGAGTAGCATTCTCGACTGGAATACCAACTCCCAGCGGGTTTTGAGGGTTGGAGAGGGGATGGAAGAGGCTGAGAATGGGAAAGCCTACTTATTAACAACCCGCGATGAGCTGTTGGGCACTCCCACGTCAAACAGAGGTATAGACTACCTCAGGTATGTCCGATGTGGTAGAAGCAGTCAAAGCCCTTCACTGCGAGCTGAAGTCCCGGCAGGCACGCGGGCAGAGCAGTGTCGAAGATCGACGTCAAAACCCGGTCTCCCAATGAGATTTGCTGGATAAGAGGTCATCTCGAGACGTGTGATTGGTCATGTTGGAATTAAAAGGCTGTAGATCCATCAATCAAGATTGGCACAGACACGTGTTTGTATCGAAGTCGTGCCGGCAGCTTGGTAACGATGCTTTTGGGAGATTGGACGGGATTCCTGAATCTATCGTGTGCCGCGTCCCGCAGCAGGGTGGTTTGTCCTCGCCTCAGCCGCTCTGCGTCAGGTCGGAGGGTTCTGTCCTTTGCACGTGGCCTATGGAGTTGCCTTCCTCTGTACAACGAGGCGTTTAGGCCATCCAAAAGACCCGAGATGGTGGTGGAACGTGGAAGCGAGGCTGTCCTGACAGGCTGAGGGCTGGTCTGTGTTCCCTTCAATTTCCAGCCGTGTGTGATCTGCGCCGAGTTCCAGGCCCCCCGCCGGCCCCTGGTGGCTCATGACAGAAGAGGAAATCTTCTAGAAGTGATGCGACGCGGCCAAGCCCGTCCAGCAGGGAAGGGTGTTCTTCGCTACGGCGCCAATGTGCGGGAGAGAAGTCTTCTGGAAGCATGTGTTATCGTCGTAATGAGATGGGGCTAACACCAAATGAATGCCAAGTACTTCCTACAGATGCGCATTGCGTAGGGCTGGTGGCTGGATCGCATTCCTGCGGGTGTGCTTTGTGGGTGAGCCTCGAAAGCGTCGTCCAACAAGTCCCTGCGTTCCCCAATCACCCAATGTACGGCCACTAGGCCCAATATCCAGATACCCTATTGCCTACACTTGCCTTTTCGGGGCAACAGTCGTTTGCCCCTTTACCATGGTTTTGTGGCGGCATGTAACAGATCATTGCTGCTCTTGTACCTACCGTAGTTGGTGTTGTGGAAAGAAACGGAGCATGCCGTTCTGCAATGCTTACTACTAACTAGCTCGAAATAGTGAAATTGGCGAGAGGCGAAACCAACGACCAATGTGTGGAAACCTGGGGAAGCAAGGATGTCGCTTCGCTGTCACCGTCAACTGTCCAGAGATGGTGGAAACGACGACCAGTTGGAGTTTGAGCGATGGATACGCTGTGATGCTCGTGGAGGCGGTGTATGCCAGCACGGAGACGCAGATGCAGACGTAGACGCAGAATGGTGTCTACGGTGTCTCGGCTGAGCCGGTCCAGAGATAGCTCAGAGTTTGGTTGGTGTCTATTGGTGCAGCCCCTGAGCAACAAAGCCATGTTGTTCGAGCTGATTGACAGGCGGTTTGCGGCGTAACGGCTAATCAAGGCTGACGGAACAGTATCATGTAATAAGGGTATTTTTAGTATTTGGACGACGCAAAATGACGTTTCCCATCTCTTGGCCAGGGCGATCCGGCACGGCCGAGGGCATTATTGAAATGGTGCGGAAATCAGGTCCTGATACTCGATAGTGGCGACCCAGCCGTTAAATCTTCTGAGCCGGGGCATTCGCTAATCAAGACTGCCACGACTCGACTCATGATCAGGGCTTGACCGCGGCTTCCTATTTGCCCAAGACCCTACCAGCCACGCCAGCCTACTTGGCCGGCCGGCCCAGGGGTGCGACAAGTCTGGTTGGAGTTGCCGATTGGGCGGTCCAGGCCACGTTCCAATACCGGCATCCGTGCGTTTGTTCACCGGGGCCTGGGGATGACTGATCAGTGATCAGTCGGGTACGGAGTATTGGCGTGAGGCACGGCTGCAGCGTGGAATGGCGAAGTCTCGTCCTCCCGAGAAAGGCAGGGTCTGCCTAGGGAGATGGAGGCTAGCCGCGTGGAAGCTTGTCACCCATTTCACCGGATTCCGGAAGCGAACGGTGGTTCAGTATGGTGTTTTTGATGAAGTCAAGAACTGGAAGGGGGGATACGAACACCCATGCAGGTTTTACCTGTGACACGGGCTGTCCTTCCAGTTGCCAACCTTAATAAGTTACGTTTCAAAAGCTGCAGCCTGCAGCCCTTTTGACAGTATGTACATTGGGCAGGTGCCTTTCACACTTTTCGATATAAGGTAACAATGACATACATAGTCCGGTACCACTGCATGGGAGGTAGGTAGCTGGATAGACATGGCACGACTGATTGCGCCCAAGTCGCCAAAAAGGTCTTCCATCACGAGCCGTGTAAGTCAGAATGACAGGATCAGCTGTGCGACGTGTATCTGATATTGCCCTTCGTACCTTGGTTTAATACTGAGATGGGGGACCCCTATGGAGAAGTCCTACGTAATAATTCGAGGGGCCGATCTGCTTACCAGAACTAGTAGTAGATCCACTGCTCTCATCTATCTTGCAACTTGCAAGGCGGCCCTCGTAGATAAGAGGCATCGCGGCCCGTCAATTCGTACTCTCTATTGTGTGTCTAATAGCCCCTGAAAGGCTTGAAAAAGCTGAGAGCAGGCCAATGAACAGCGACGAGTTATGGTGAATAAAAAGGGGTGACTAACTGCAAAAGGAGCTAAGTATCATTGGACGGCGGTAGCATCTCGACCTCGTGGCGTGGGCTGCGGGCTGCGTGGCAGGAGGCCGGGCAGCCACGAGGTGTGCTACCTAACGTTACCTACCTTAACCTACAGATGCCCAGGATGGTGGTACCTTGCCACGCTTGCCCAATGTTCTCCAGGACGGTCAATCAAGAGACCAATCTGCGCTGTGTTGCTGCCCATCTGGTCTGTTTTTTCTTTCTTGGTCCGTTGCTCGACAGCGGTCAAATCGCACAGTCCGACAGTCTGATACAGGGCTCTCATCGAGAGTGAGGAGCTGATGATGAGATTCGAGAAGGAGAGAATTGAAGAAAGTCACTCGACTCCGCGTTGCCGATCCTCTATCAGCCAGACCCAGATGGAACCAGAAGGACCCACCACCACATCCCAGTTCCGAACTAGCCTCTAACCTAAGGTAGCTACCTCACGGTGCCAACCGACCTCTTGAGCATACTGTACAGTCTGGGTCGGCCAATGCACACCTTACCGCTCGGTTCCATCCCCCGCAGCTCATATCAATATCAGCAGCATCAGCCAAGCCCGTGAACGAGGCTTTTCTATACTGTGCTGGGTGTCTGTGTCTCCACGTCCAAACCTCGACTCTTCAATGCTCTGAGTCCTCGTGCCTCACCTCGAGCCCCGTTTCTGTCAATGTTTCGCTTTCCCCAGTAGTGAGCAACACACGCCAGCGCCAGACGAGATAAGCGCAAGCCCGAATTGGTGAATTGCCAGAGTGCCAAGTGGGTATCAAAGGGGACGACTCGACTCCGTCTCCTCTTCTGGCCTCGCCTGTCACCTGCGATCAACCCTTCCTCCGGTCCAACTGCACCTCCTACTGCACCTGCATCGCCATCGCCAGTCCATGTCCGGCATCTGTCGTCACTGCGCTGTCCCGAAACCTCCATCCAGACTCTCCCGTCCGAGGACGAACGACAGGTAGCAATGGGCAACAGCCAGGGCAAGCCTACTAACTTCAACGACGAAGGTACGTTTCCGACTCGACCATTTCCCTGTACAGCACTCCAACACTCCAGCACTCCAGCACCCCTGAGCATCTCCAACAACCTCAAATCTCGCCGACGCCGGTGGCTAACCTTCCTCTTCGACTACGTCTAGTGAACCTCAATCACTTCCGCTTATTACGGGTCGTCGGTCGAGGTGCCTTTGGCAAAGTTCGAATCGTAGAGAGGAAAGACACAGGCCTGTCCTTCGCCCTCAAATACATCCGCAAAGATGAAGGTTCGTTGCATCCTGCCTCCTGCCTCCTTCTCCAATCGATATCAGCCATCAATTGCAGCTGTATACTGATCTGGCGACCGGTTGCGTAGTCGTGCGGTCTGAAAGCGTTCGGAATATCATACGGGAACGACGCATGCTCGAGCATGTGAACCACCCCTTCATCTGCAACTTGCGATATAGTTTCCAAGATATCGAGTACATGTATGCCGCCCCGAACCCACTGCTCCCTTTGACGAGGCGGCTGGTCTAATATGCGCAACTCCACTAGGTACTTGGTTGTCGACCTGATGAGCGGAGGCGACCTGCGGTTTCACATATCGAGAAAGACCTTTACCGAAGACGCTGTGCGCTTTTGGATTTCCGAATTGGGCTGTGCCCTGAGATACATCCACGGTCAAGGCATCATACATCGGGACGTAAAGCCGGACAATGTCCTGTTGGATGCTGATGGCCACGTCCACTTGACAGATTTCGTGAGTTGCAGTCTCCGCGCCGCCCATACGCCATTGCAGGGCTAACTCGTGCCGCCCAGAATGTCGCGTCGGATGTCATACCGGGCAAGGTCCTGACGAGCAAGTCCGGGACACTGGCCTATCTTGCCCCCGAAGTCTATGCTGGCAAGGGGTACGACGTGAAGGCCGATTGGTGGTCACTAGGAGTGCTATTCTACGAATGCATATATAACAAGGTAAGCCGCCGCATCGATCCAGGCTGCAGAGACAACATGCTAAACTTGGGACCAGCGACCGTTCGAGGGCAATTCGGAATCGACACTTACGAACGTTATCCTCGCCGCACGCCCGAAGTACCCCGTCACACAACCGCCTGTCTCATCCCCGTGCCGGTTCGCGATAGAGCATGCCTTGAATCCGAATCCTAATCAGAGGCTGGGATGTACTTGGGAGAGCTTCATCCACGACCCGTTCTTCGAACCTCTGAATTTTGACGATTTAGAGAAGAAGCAGATTGAACCTGTGTTTGTGCCCTCTTCCGAAAAGACCAACTTTGATGCTACATACGATCTCGAGGAGCTTTTGCTGGAAGAGGCACCGCTGGAGGCCCGAGCTCGAAGACAGAAGCCGAGAGAGAGGTTAAAGGACGATGCGACCGACAAGGAGATTCGGGAGGAAGAGCTTTACCGTAGCATCGAGCGAGACTTTCAGCCATTTAACTACACCGCGGCTACCTACGAGAAGTCAGTGACGTTCCTGAAAGACTGTCCCAGATTGCTAACATGTGTTTATCAGGTTAATTGCATTGCAGAAAACCGAAAACGGTGACGAAGATTCACTGGTTGGTCAAGTAAGCAACGAACCTCAGGCCATAACCACGAACGAAGTAAGCATGGCTCCAACGACGAACGGGTCCACGCAACGTCCGCAGGCGGTGCATGGGACGTCTACAGACGGGGTGTATCCGCAAAGTGGAAGCCAGGGAAAAAAGAACGGCCCGCGGCAGGTTCAAAGGCTTGCATCGTATTACCAATCAGACACGCGGAACCCGACATCATCGGGTATGCAGGTCAAGTCACCGACTGGTGGCATGTCTGTAACACTGGACGACACAAGCAGCTGGTCCGATTTGGCTCGGCGAGATGCCACGTTGCCGGCCGACGCCAATACGGTGAACGACGACAAAGCGGGTGGTTCCAGTGGCAGCAGCGTCTTTGGCCTTTTCGGGCGGAAGAGGAGAGGCCACAGCCCAAAACCGAAAGAGAGAGGAGTCTTGGGGAAAGAAGGGGCACGACAAGTCATTAGTTGAGTGGCTGCGTAATTCCTGAGTGGGTGTTACTTGGCACAGGGGGAGTTTTGGTGTTGCCTTGGAGCTGATTCAAAACAATTTCAAGGGCTCACATGGTCGATATACTCAGACTTCGCCATAGACGCAGGAATCATATGACAAGCTGTCAGCCAGAAAGGTACGATCTCTCATACATGCGCTTCCCTTGGCCGCTCCGAATAGCTTTGGCACAGACGAGTCCAGCTTTCCGCCCAGGACGGCTCTGCCTGTGAGCAAGGGACCAGAATTCCAGCGTGGGCGCTAGCAATACAAACGCGTGGTCGCTATCTCCTTTGCAAGAAGCAAGGCAGCACAACTATCTGGTCTCGAAATCAGACCATATGCCGTTGGAGCGCATGGGACGTGGGGTGCTTGGAAGCCCTCTCCATAGGGATTGAAGTGTGAAGCGATGGAACAGGCTCAAGAGGACGGGCCCCTTTAAGTTCTGGTTGCTGTCAGCCATAATCACAGGCTCGGGTATTCAGTTCGGATGGACACCGGGTTGAGAGAACGGTGGCGTCGGTGAATCGCACAGTGATGATGGCGATGCAGCAAGCGCCGGGCCCCTACGATTTCCATCGCATGGTGATAGGCATATGCCATACGGGCATCGGCTATGCTGGGACTGGTCGGGGGAAAGACACGGGACACCACAGTCGATATAGGAAGCGCTCCGCCACGCGGCTGGTTGGTGCTTTTTAGAGAGCTTGAATTCAAATGTTTCAAAGCAGCAGCAGCAGCCGTCCTGTTTGATTGGGAGTTCTTGTAAAGACCGTATCTACTTGAGGATTGTTTCTGATTGGCAGCGTTGCTCTGTGATGATTCTGGACATGGCTCGATGCCGGCACCTCCCGTGTAACTTCCTACGTGCTGCTCAGGAACCTGAGTTCACCCTTGGAGATTGGAGTTCATCTTTGAGGTACTGTACAATCACACGATAAGTCACTTACGAGCAGTATAGAGTGCACAGAGCTTGACTCCCATCACGGCTGGGCTGCTACCGTCCCATCTCAAGATCGCTATCTGCGCAAAGGTACTACTGCCTTACCGGTTAAGGCTTTACTCTCCCGTTTCCTATGGGAACCATTTCTGCAGTTTGATGGGACTTACGGGAATATCTCTCGTCATTATTCGTCTTAGTACGTTCAATTATGTTCGCACCTGGCACACATGCCTCAAAAGGAAGGAAGTGACTACCGTATACTGCATACCCACCTGCAGGTAAGGTAGTTGCCACACATCGACGCAGTACAGATACTAGGTTGAAACACGGACCTTTATCCCGCTTTGCTTCCAGCGTCACCTCAAATCACCAACATTGAAACCCCCCACTGTGAAAACGCGGAACGGTTGCTTTCACGTCTACGCGCCGCTTTTTCATCGTCCGTCACTTGTCGTTTTCGTCCACGCGATGGGAGCTCACTGGCTACCTACCGTATGCATGGCTGTCAGCTGACCTGCAGCACTGCAGCACTGCCGCATGACGGTCTCTTCCTTCACGTCTGTCCTTCGTGCCCCGCAGCCCGCCAATACACCGACTATGTGCCTCCGCCTCGGGTCTACAGACCTACGACGTCTAGCCCGACGATCCCTTGACCTTCTGCTTGGTCATCGAGTTCGACTTGCAGTACACCCTCCCAAGCGGTTGAAGTAATCCGCATGGTCACCGGAAGACCGTTATGAACAGTCATCCCATCGCTGCTCATTCCGCCGCAAGTGATCATGTCAACCTTATGCTTCGCACCCGGCCGTGCCTGGTATCGCAGAACCAAGGCCGCAAAATATGAGTACAGGCCGCTGGAACGGCCGACCGATGTCCGCCTCGTCACTATCCTACCAGGCAATTTTGGCGACTCTATTCGGATTGAGATCGCGCACGCACCCCTCGATGCTGCCGCTCGCGAAGAACCGAAGCGTCTGTCAATAAAGGAGATACAAGAGACTCTGCCAAAGAAGTGGGACGCCTATGAGGCCCTTGAGGGGCGTGTTCTTTTCGAAGATGGCAATTCATGCACTACCTGGGATCATCTAGATCCAGATCTCAGCTGCGATGCCTACGATCCCGTGACTACTGACAACCATGGAGACTCTGTTCCTGCTTATGAGGCCCTGTCATACACATGGGGTTCTCCAGAGAAGATGGACACAGCCATGGTGGAGAACATAGCGAAGCGACGCGACTCCTTCTCTGGACCACTCGGTATCGCTACAGGTGTCTCTCGAGCACCAAGTCTAAACATCACCCGCAATCTTTCAGAAGCCTTGAGGCACCTGCGGAAGCCCGATCAGCGTCGAACATTGTGGATCGATGCCATTTCCATTAACCAGAATGATTTCCAAGAGCGAAGCGACCAGGTAGCACGCATGGGCCTGGTGTACTCTCTCGCGAGCAGAGTCGTAGCTTGGCTTGGGCCGAGCTTTCGAGACACCCGACTCGCCTTCTCAGTACTAGACACCATTGGTAGGCAGGCAGAGGTAACGCGAGATGGCTGGATTTTGCCCTCCCCTGGCTGTGATCATCCGGATTGGAACAGGCAAGATCTGATTTTGCCTTACGGTGCGGATGCTTGGGATGCATGCGATCGACTCTTTTCGTGCGGGTGGTTTAGCAGATTGTGGATTGTGCAGGAAATACATCTAGGGAGCGTAAAATCTGTGGTTAAGTGTGGGAGCGAGGAAATACTGTGGTATTTATTCCGCCGCGCGATTCTGTGCATCTATGTCAAAGACGAATGCGCTTCTGCGAAGCTGCAGAATCGCCTTGAGACAATGGTTACCTTGTGTGGGTACGTGCATGGGTTAGGCATTCATGAGATGTTGTTTGATTTCCACACCCGCGCGTGTGCCGATGATAGGGACAAGGTCTATGGTCTCATGAACCTGGCTCACCCAGCCGTCAGCAAGCGAATACGCGTTGACTATTCGCGGTCACCTCTGGAGGCGTTTCAGCAAATCATCCTAGCAGCTCTGGAGCAGGAGAAGCGACTTGCACAGCTCCCTTTGAGTGGGCTGCGACATTCAGCACCGCGATGGCCAAGCTGGGTTTCCGACTGGTCGCAAACGGTGCCTCTCACTGTCCCTACTAATCTTGGCTTCTATGCCAGCGGAGTCTCCGCTGCTCGGGCTAGGCATATCCCACCGGCGAAGCTGGAGGTCACTGGGCGATACTTCGTGACAATGTCATCGGTGATTGGTCGTGTGAGCGGAGGCCTGTCGGACATCGTCCGGCTGTTGAAAGATATGGGAGTTGAACGGCTGAAATGTTCGCGCTATCTCACGGGCGAGACGCAGTGGAACGCATACCTGCAAACACTTACCTTGAACCGCACGGATAACAGACTTGCGCATCAGGAATATCCGACATTGCACGCTCTGAGTGAGGAAGTGACCCGGATGGCTTATGCTCCCGAGTCCAAGCTAGAGACGACGCTGCCGGGTTATTATGTAGACCTGGTCGAGAACTGGTCGAAAGGGAGCCTCCTCTTCGCCACGTATAGTGGCCATATAGGCATCATCGACGGCGCGGGGCAGCCAGGTAAGCTCAAGAAGCTTGCGCGCGGTTTTGTGAGGCATAAAGTAACACAGGAACTATTCTAGGGGACGAAGTCTTCGTCGTGCTCGGATGCAATATACCCATGCGTCTCAGACCGTGTCGGACCGGCGAATACGCCGTCGTGGGAGACTGCTACGTACACGGCATTATGGATGGCGAGGCCTTATTGGGCGCTGTTTCGTCGCATTGGAGTTTTCGCGTCGTACAAGAGCCGGACGGGGAGATCAGGGCTTATTATCGGAATACCGACACTGGAGTTAAGACGACGGATGACCCGCGTCTGGCGGGTATTCCGTTGCCGCCGGAATGGGAGCCAATGAAGCGGGAGTGGACGCGTGCAGATCCTGTTGGTTGCAGGTGGTTCCGGAATACACAGACCGGAAAGATCGTTAACTCGGATCCGAGACTCTTCCCGGAGACGTTAATTGACCGAGGGGTTGAGCTCAGGACTATTACGCTTTTATAGTTATTTTTTATATGTTCCATAAATGTCCTGGGGTCAGGGCGACGGCGTTGATGGTGAGATATCAATCTAGGAGCTGGCGTCAGACCTGCACATAGAGAAATACTCACCGTCCCGACGAAGGAGTGATCAACGAAAACTCCGCCTATATCTCGTCAGCGGTCTACGGAGCCGTCTGAAACTGGGTTGGTAACCGTCCTTGAGTTGTGGTTAACCCGCATATGTTAAGACAACTCACCTTGGGATCATTTAAACGTCGCCCCTTTTCCACCAGGCCTCCTTAACACCGCCATGCTTCTGGACCTGAATGGCGGTCCATGCCATCTGGGACAAGGTTAAAGGATTGAATGGGCAGGTAACGCAGGTATCAAGCCTTAACCTTTTTAATTGGTTTATAGAGTTTGTGAGCCATGGCAGGAGTTTTCATTGCTGTGTGGCTTGAACATTGTTCATACAACTAAGCGTAAATGAGCTCGACGTTTCTCCGACAGACCCTCCTGGCACATAAGGGTTCGTATCGCCTTGCCCAGAGGCCCATTCTACAATTTCTCGTTGCAGAAATACCCCCCAAAAATACTCAGAACGCACAGAACGCTCAAAGCAACGAGACGATATCTACACAGGAGCCCAGTATACTCTGCCCAGTTCATCCCATCCACTCACATACACACCCTACTCCCACACACAAGCAAACGAAACCCAACCGCAAACATGGACGTGCTCAATTCCATCCTCACCCACCCCCACGGCACGGCGTTCATACTCCTGCAAGCCGTCCTCGCCGTCGCCCTCGTTACCAGCTGGGCGCGCTGCTCCCTGCGCGGCCTCAAGGCCATCATCATCTGCATCAACATCGCGCTCTTCGCGTACCTCGCGCACGCCATCAGCGCCGTCTACGCCGTCATGCCGCGGCCGGCCCCGCCGTTCGTCCTCTTCAGCCTGCGGCACGGCATGGAGGCGTACGTCAGCATCCACGCCCTGCGCCACGGCGGCCTCTGGGGTTTTGTTATACGCGCCGCGGTCCTCGCCGCGATCCACAAGGCGGCGCGCATTCTGTATGTTGGGCGCGGCTTGATGGAGCTCTGGTTCCCGTTCATTGCGGCGTTGGCGTTTGCGGCCTTAAGGTGCGCGCCGGGGAGTGCGGTTGCTGACTGCTGCGTCGTCTACCTTGTTTACCTGGCTGCAGGGCTGCCGCGGATTTCAAGAATGTGGACAGGTGGGTGTTGTAGGAGGGGGATCTCTAACCGGCGGTTGGCTATACGACGGCGCGTACTCGGATAGAGTCACGGTAGGGGGGTTCGTTGGGCTAGGTACTTTCATCTTGATAGGGTACAGCGTGAGGCACGATTTCAAGTTTTGCGTTCTTTGAAAGTCTCAAACGGCATGGTTAGGGGGAAGAGGGGGGAACTTGGGGCGGATAATGCCAGCTATGAAGCGATCATGTCTGCAATCATTAATGGGGGATGGGCGATCGACCAGGTTTCGAGCATGTCTGTCAGAACTTCCAGGGGTCGGTCAAACAGGTTATGGCAAACTGGCCTTCTGCGAGTCTGTTAGGATCTTGACATGCTCTTGCTGAACAGGCAGAGAGTCTTCAACGCATCAAGATCGGAGTGCTGAGATATTATACCAGACAACAAGTTGAAACGCCATGCAGAATCAGTAAATTATTATAACAGCGTTACTATCGCAGCGACATCAGTAATCAGAGCAGTGATTGCGGTGATGAGAATATACCAACGGAAATGGTGACCTGAACGTCTCAGAAGGGGCACGCCTGGGCACTACGCGTTGTCAATAACAGGCGCCGAAAGGCACTGTATTACAGTGAGCGGTCCTTGCGCCACACATGGCTGGACCCACACCTTCGATTCAAGCATCTCATCCATCAGCCTTACCTATGAAGCCAGCAACTTAGCTCCCGTTTCTTTGCGATCACCATTCTCCAACAGACGACATTCCACTCCCCTCGGGACTTCCACGACATCAAGTCGCCCCTACTGTAGATGGCCCACCGCCTCGACAGCGCCCCATGTCCTACAAACGAACCCGCGCAGACTTCGAAGCCGACCTCCAAGCCCAGCAATCGCCCTACGTCCTCTTCGGCACACCCCTGCCACCTCTCGACCCCGAGGTTCGCGATGACGGTTCCTACGTGCCCGTGTGGAAGCAGGAGGTGAGGGATGAGCGGGGACGGAAACGGCTACATGGCGCATTCACCGGAGGTTTCAGCGCCGGCTACTTCAACACCGTCGGATCCAAGGAAGGATGGACACCCTCGACCTTTGTGTCCTCCCGGACGAACCGCCACAAGCAGGATGACGCCAAGAACGAGAAGCAGCGCATTGAGGACTTCATGGATGAGGAAGACCTGGTGGACGCTGCTGAGGCCGAGAAATTACAAACAGCGCAGGGATTCGCTGGACTGGGCTCTACCGAGGACGATGGTTTGCGCCGGCGCGGACTCGCCGACCTCTTCCGCAGCCAGGGGGAGACCATGGGCGTGAAGCTTCTGAGGAGGATGGGCTGGAAGGACGGACAAGGGATTGGACCGAAAGTTCGTCGGAAAGCTCGACTCGACGTCGGCGGGACAGCGGCTGCGACCAAAGATGGAAGCGAGACGCACCTCTTCGCGCCCGAGAACGTCTCGTTGATTGCCTTTGTTCGGAAGCTGGATCGCAAGGGATTAGGATATGAAGGCGAGTCGCGGTTGGCATCGATAGGCCCCAGTGCCAAGACGGAAGCTGGTGAGAGCTCCGACGAGGAAACGAGGGATGAGCCTTTACGACGGCCAGGCGCACAGAAGAAAAAGAACAAATTCGCAAAGGGAGGGATTGGTATGGGCATACTGAACGACAACGGGTCCGACGATGAGGATCCTTACGAGATCGGTCCGAAGATATCTTACAACCGGATAATAGGTGGCGACAAGAAGAAGAAGAAAGCGAGCACGACGCCAGTCAATCCGGCTCTACGTTCGGCTCCGGTCTTCATATCGCGCAAGAACGCGCTCGCAAAGGCAGGCAAGAACTTGAAGAAGTGTCATGATGGTCGGCTGCCCCTGGATGGGTTCGTTTTTGGCACAGAGATCGACACTTTGACATCTGCGATCAACTTGACTGGCAAATATCCCCCACCGGAGATACCACCAGATTGGAAGTCTAGTAAACAGCGCAAGGCCGAGGCGGAAAACTCGAACTACGTATCGACAGCAGACGCAGCGAAAGCGTCGAGTCTTGATCCCAAGTCACGAGCTGCCCTCCTCGGCGAAGCCCAATTACCGGGGAAATCTGTCTTCGATTTCCTCTCACCAGAGGCTAGAGAACGGCTTGCCAGTGCTACGGGAAAGAGTAACCTCCCGCCAGCTATGAGCGAGATCCCGGCAGAGTATGCCTTGACCGACGCAGAGCGCCAACAAGAGCTGATCCGCCAGCTACCAGAGCTGGACAAGCACACAGCCATAGCAGCCATAACGCGAGGAGCGGGCGGCGCAGCCCCCTACGCCGACAACGAGGGTAAGCGCGGCCGTTATCGTGCCTACCTCGAATACGCCGCTGGCTTCAACAAAGCACTGCCCACGAAACCATCGAACCTAACAAACGAAGCCTGGGTACGCGAGCTGCACGAGTTCCATAGCTGCGCCCGGATCTTCAAGCCCATGACTGGCATGATGGCGTCACGGTTTACAACGTCGTCTTCATCTGCCAATAAGCTGGCGAACGGCTCGTCCGGCACAGCAGCGGACCAGGAGCTTCTGTCTAAACCGACACCCAATCCGAAGGACCCAGCTGAAGAGGCTGCCAAGTTGGGCATGTACGGTGCCATGACGCGATCGGTGGCCGACTTCTACCCTACGCGACTCCTATGCAAACGCTTCAATGTCCGCCCGCCGGCTCATGTCCAGCCAGATCCGGAGGCGGAGTCCAAGGGCCCGCCCAAGTCTACCTCTACACCGGCGCCGGCCCAGTACGCACCCTCTACAGGCTTCGCGGAGGGCGCGATGACGCTGGATGAGTTGATGAAGCAGGCGCAGGAGTCGAGTACCAGCACTACGCAGACGGGAAGCGAGCCTACGAAGGACGCAGGACCGACGGGGCAACCGGCGAAAGCCGAGGTGAACGCCGATGTCAATGAGGCCTTGGAGGGCAAACGGGCGCAGGACGACGTGCTCAAGGCTATCTTTGGCGATTGCAGTGATGATGAGGAATGAGGTAGAGTACGATAGATATTATATACCCCTGGTTAGATTACAGAGAGCGCACTTTGCAAGCTGACGCACAGAAGGAAATGTGTAATCACGACCTCCTCAGGATCGTCCCCGCAGTCGTCATACCATGTTTCGCTTAAACAAGGCATGTCGGTGCCTAAAAGGTTTCAACAGTGATTCTCGGCTTCTTGCTCATCATACTTGAATTCGTTCATCGTACGATCACATCTCGGTCATCGAGCATCAGCGTGTAACCATTCTAAACCGATTCGGGGATCACATTTACGACTGGATAATATTTAGCCAGCCTCACAATCCTCCCCCAAAAGCGAGAATGGCGCAAGAACCAGCCCCCCGCTTCCACCTCGTAGCGACCACGCGGACCATCTGGATATTCTTCAGCATATCCGCCCTGCTCTCCGGCCACACGTACATCGGGGCCCTGTACGACGCGCCCCTCGTGTGCGCCGCGTTCGCCGTCTCCTGGGCCGCCGTCGCCTGGAACATCATCTGCGTCAGCGCCGTCACGCTGCATCCGTACCTGCAGCGGCTCGCGGGCGGCCTGCCTTTCCCGGTCAAGGTCACCATACGAAACCACACCATCGTATCGTACGGCGACTCTGACGAAGTTGGCGACGGCATACTCGCGCCGCTGACGGGCACGCTGTTCGTCCTGCTTGTGGACGTCGTCCTGGCGACGCTGATTCTGGTGTTTGCGCTCTTCGCCCGAGACGCAAGGGTCGAGTGCCGCCGGGAGGAGTGGCGCTGCGTTGGAGGTGGGGATGGGGGGTACGAGAGGGTTGAGAAGATGACGCTGAATGTGTGGTGGATTATGGTTTTGTTTGAGTATGCGTTGGCTTTGATCCAGGCGTTTCAGGCTTTCGCGCTTTGGTATAAGTCGAGATACTTGGACCAGAGGGGCAATATCAGCTTGGCGTAGTGCGGTTTGCCATTTGCGATGACTGATGGCGGGCATCTATCGAATCTGCTATGGGTGAGCGGCAGCAGGTTGACCTGGTATTAGGAGTAGGGGTGGGAAACTGAGAGATAGCCTTGAGCACTGGGGATGTCTGGAGTACTGGCATAGAGGTACCACTCCAGCGGAGGTTTATAAAACTATTGGTGATGGTCGCTTAAGGGAACGAAGCCCGCGCGTGATGAATATTTTAGCGCATACTGAAGATTGGGTTGGCCTTTCTTGATAGAAAGGGATTATCCCTCGTGACTCTTGTGAATAGCCAGAGTATGAACCAGTCCGGTGCATGGTCCACCATGATCCGAAGTTGCCGCATCGGTTCCGCTGTTGCCCGTCAATATTCTACTTCACATGCTAAGTTACAGTGGTGGTTTTGAATGAATAGAACTGAGATATGTTAACACGCTTCGAGGGCTGGCAAGTATCCGTGTTAATGATCGCTCAATCTTGTAGATCATTATGAGAAAAATCACGTTGACGACTGGTCGCATAGTTATCTCGGACGAAACATATTTGCATGCATTATCCGTGTTATTAATACTCTATATTCGCATACTAATAATATTCGAGTATGGCCTACCGGCACAGTGTCAGCAGTCATCTCTTCGGGTAAGGCTAGCCACAGTATCCCATACCTCGCTTGCCTCGGTCAGAGCACCTTCCGCATACTGACCTGCCAGGTTCGTTCGGCGCGTCTACCGTGTCTTCGGGGTACTTGAGGGCGTGGTGCTCAGAGCCACGGGAGCAGAGACATCGACACGGATCTTCCTTGGCTTGTGGCGTTGCAGTGCTGTCCACGGCAGGCGAATTGGTGCTGATGACATCGCCGTTGACTTGACCCGATGATAGGTGAGGATGTCCTGGGACAATTATATCGCCAAATGTGTTAAAGAATAGCATTTCGGCCTTCGGTTCAAGATTGGCTGTATGGGTGGGTTTGGGTCTGGATTTGCAGTTTCTGGTGCCTTGATAGCGCCAGCGAATTGGGATCTCAAGGCTAGAGATGGTTGACAAGTGATGGTGGATGATAGAGGAAAGCGATTGTGAATGAGCTGGTAGAATTTCTTATATTAATATTGATCAGCGATTAAAATTCGCCACTGGGAAGCCTTGCAAGACGGTTGTTCGGGAACGACTCCATTGTGTTGGAAACAAGAACCTTGTTCCGTGGGATGCCTACCTCAAAACACCCACGAAACCCACAAAGCAGTAAGCAAGGGAACTGATGATGGTCTTCTCTTCGAACAATGCTTCTGTGTATGTTTCAACAGTACTCCCCTTGGCTCCTGGACCATTCTAACGTAGGCTTGTGTAACACGTGAGGTGTACTGAGCTTCTAACGACACAATGTTCTTTGAGCGGGAACGAGTCCCAGGACAGCCGAGCAGGAAGGGTCGCCATATTTGAGTCTAAAAGGGCCTGCATGGCAGCCAGTGTGCGCTTCTAGGCACTGGACTATAAACGTATGGTCATCTTAGATGATACCTCGCCGTGCGTCCTTTGCCATGTGACCTTTATGACCTGTGCTGATTACTTGCACTGGCCAATTTATCAGCAAAGATCGTACCGAGTCGCCTCACGGCCTGTCCTCACAGCTGCTGAGGATCGGGGCGGAACTTACGAGAGGGAGAGTGTCCGAAAAGCAAGTTACCTAACGGGCCTGCGCAGATCACTGAGATCAGTCTCACGAATCGGGGTGCGCCGGTAGCTACCTCTTTCGTATCATGTCACCAGAAACAGAGAGAGGCTGTAGTCAGAGGAGGACAGGGAACGAAACCTTGTAGCTAACTCTCTTGTTGTCCTCTGGCTGCGAGACGTAGCCATGATCTGGTGAACTCCTGTTGAGCTCTGCTCGGGATGAGGCAGATGCTCATCACAAGCCACGAAAGCGAGTGGTCAAAGATTAATACGTGCATTAGAGATCAACTACCCAAGCACCTCAAAGACTCCCCACTGAACCTTCTCGTGTTCTATCTAGCACCAACAAAACCATAACCCAATATATGAACAACGGTACGAGAACCGGCTCCTTGCTCGGCATCGTCGTCTCCAAATTCCAGACGACGTCTAGCACTACGGCCCACCCGTCCGTCCCGTTACCGGTGAATGGCGTGGTCGCGTTCCTGTTTATCCAACCAGACCGAAGATGGCCTCGCCGGGGCCAGTGTATTTGCACCAGAACGGGAATGGACCGGCACCGTCAAACTCGGAGCTGAGTTTGCAGTCTTTGCAATGGGTGCACAACCTGGTCCAGCGACCCGAGTCTTTGCATGCCCAAACCGTATCTCCTTTGCAATTAAACACACCGGGCGTGCACCTCGGGTCATCATCGTCATCCTCGGCATCCTCGGCTTCGGCAGCAGGCTCGAGCTCCTCGTAGTCCAGGTATTGGTCGTCCATGCATTGCGCAATGCCTTCAGACATGACGCACTCGTTGCAGCGACCCAATCGGCGCCAGTGCCTGTAAATATTGCAATACTCTGCCAGATGGGTTAGGAGGGTAGATTTTTAGGGAGCGGAGGGACTCTAGATTTCTAGATTTACCGATATGATATTCGCCACACTATGAGGATGAGTCAGCTACCTATTGAACACGCACGTCTCAAAGATATGGTGGAACATTCGGATGTGGCTGTTTCATTTCGGTTGAAGAGCTTGATAGTAAGAACGTCGTGACGAGCCTCGGAAGTCACGGGACAAGGGGAGAGTTGGGGAGGAGAGACGACGTCATGTGCGCCTGGAGCCACGGAAGAGGCGGCTATACCCTGGGCTGGGACGCTTGTCTTCGATGCGGATGTGCAGGCTACAAGTACAGAACGATAGACACGACGCTGGGTTGTCACTCACTCTAGAGCGGCAGGGTACGCAGCGCTGCTTGAACACGTCCTCGGTGTCGGCCACGGAGACTGCATGTGTCTCATTCGAGATTGCGACCACGCTTGCGGCAAGCTCGTTCGTGGTGTGCAGAGGGTTGCCCAACGCAGTGGGGAGAACGATGCTCAGGGCGAGCACGAAGCGAGAGAGACGTGCCATTATGTGTGGTGGATAGTGGCAAGGGGTTCGTTGTGTCTGGATGGTTCGACGTGAGTGGGTGATGAGAAGAAATGAGGTGGAAAGCAAGGTGTTGAAGGAAGGCTTCTCCGGCAGTACAGCCGATTATAGGCCCGGGTATATACATATGAACGAAGTCTTGTTGTCACAAGTGCGAGGCGACCCTTGCGCATCCTGCGCCATGAACGGAACTATCATGGTGGCTTCACATGCCTGACCACTCGGGTGAATTGATTCGGTATATCTGATCGAAAAACACTCCCCCTCGCAGAAATGATAACAATCACAAGGAAGACATGTGCTCGCGTTGCCAGGGGGTTTGTTTTCTGCCATCGTGGACCCCAACGCGCTTGTCTGGCGCGGCGAGGATTTAAGTTCAGAGTGAGTGCACACCAACTGGCGGGCGGCAAAGCTGGTATCGTCTCTAGACTTTATGATCACCTGTTTTCAGCTGTATGCAGGATCTGGGTGTCAATCGCTTGATTCAGACTGTGTCCATGGAGCTACGGGCAAAGATGTCATTCCAAGGCTGGGCAGAGGCTGGTCCTGCGATATGAGACTCGGCTTCGAAACCCCTTGCGTGTCTGCACATGAGGAACTGGAGGAAGCTCGATTGCTCAAGGGCAAAATAACCTTCTTATTGGTAGAAGGCCGATCATGATTGATAATATTTCAAATTGACGATTCTGTCCGCTGCCGCCCAATGGTTGTGGGACTAGTGTAGCGAACTCACATACTGCAAACTGAACCAGCGAATGCGGAGGAGACTACTCGGGCAAACCCTCCCTGATGTGCCACGTATTGAACACTCCTACGTCTCTCTCATTCTTTGAGGCAACTCATTTCAACTTCAAGCTTCCTTCTGCGCGATGCAAATCCACCCAACCATCTCGATGGTAGCCGTCGCCTTCTCCTGCTCCGACAACTGCCTAGTAACCTCCCCTCGCCACTGTCCCTTCTCCCCCTCACTCCAGCCTTCCCAGATACTTGCCGTCCACAGGGGCGATCTCATCGCCTCCACGGCGTTCTGAAAGATGCTCTGCGGTCGGCGCGTCTTCCAGGTGGTGACCACGGCATGGCCGCCGGGTTTAAGTACCCGATGAATCTCAGCCACGACAGCTGCGGTGTCCTTGAGCGCGAAGATTCCCAGGCTCATGACGACGGCGTCGAACTCGCCGTCACCAAAGCGCGAGAGGTCCGCCGAGTCTTGCACGTACGCATCGGCTGTGCTCCACCCTAACATGGCGATGTTCTGGTTGTATTGGTCGATCATAGGGGGCAACAGGTCTATGCCTGTCACCCGCGGAGGCGGCGAGAGAGGAAGTCCCGGGACAGAGACATCGTGTGGAGTTGGGGAAAGTAGGAGCTTCGTCACAATGCCGGGCCCACAGGCCGAGTCGAGGATGCGGGTTGACGATGTGTATGTCGAAAAGGGTAGGTAGGATAACGCAGCAGCGGCGAGACGTGTGCTAGTACCTCCCACTAGCTTTTCGTATGTCGCACCGCGTGAGAAGTGGTTGTTGGAAGCCATACTGTAGCTGCTGGTATGTGTTTGTCGAGAAGCGGATGTCTCGCGAAATCTTGTGTTGTAGATGTGTTGGTAATAAGCGAATCGCTTCCTAAAGACACTTCAATAGGCAGAGATTGTCCGAGAGTTCATCTCTTATATCTGACATGAATCGCCGCTTGCTCGTATGCGCAACTTCAAGCCTTATATAGCCCGCCTCGGAGACATTTCGTGTCAGGGGAAGTTCCCCGAAAGTGACCGAGTTGGAGTCGCGCCGGAGACTTTCCATTGGACCAAGACAGGGGCTCTCGACCTGATCGTTCCTCGGCGAGTGTGACTATTTCCTTCAAAGATGTGGTGCGGAGTCAAGACTGTATCACTCTGGTTCAGGAAAAAAAGCACCCACAATCTCGAGACTGCGAATTATTCCACGCACCCTGAGTCGTAAACTCCTCGAGTCCGACTCGTCCACACGTCGCCAACTCCCCATCACTGCCCCATCACCAATAAGGCGGCAATATATTCCCTTTGCTGTTATCCGAGATTTCTGTATGGGACACGCAGTAGCTGCATATCTCTTGATCCTCCCCCTTGATGAGTTCCCCTCTGACGGTTCCCGTCGAGCATGCGCCGACAGCAAGCTTCTTCTTCTTGGCCTCGTCGCACATGGTGGTGACCATATGTACTCGCTGGGTAATGAGGTGCTCGCCGTATTTGCACCAGGGCACCCGAGGGTTCTGAGTGCACATCGTTATGGTTGCCAACGTGACGTGCGGGGGGAGGGAGGTGTCAGTCGTAGCTCAGAGGTCGCGTTTGGTCATGTACGACTTGTTGTCTTAAGCGGCTTGCCTGCTTGCTTGCTAGGTTATGTTATCAATCGGGGTTTTGTGCAGCGGCCAAATATGCAGCATAATAACCTAGTACGTATCAAAGGTGCGGCTTATGTCTCCTACTCAAGACGTTGGCATTTGGCGTGGAGCAAATAACACCCTGGCTCTACATATTATTAGGGTCGCCATGCACAAGAAGAGATCAGGTAGCTGCTCCCCACTCTGCGCATTCATGCGTCGACTGCCTGAGTGTCGACCGGGGGCGCTTTTGCGATGTGCGATGTCCTCCACGCTGTGTTGTACGGCACGCAAGCCACCGTGGCGTTAGGGAGGTGGCAGTGCAATGAACAAGAGGCATTAGGAGAATCAACACTGAATACACGATTATCAACCATATGAACCATCTACGCACTAATTGGCGCGCTACCAATTCTACTGCATAGCTTGGATTCGACGGTAAACCTATTTCGCGCGTTCCAGTCTTGCGATACATCTCGGTCTGATTGTTTGAATCTCGCACTTCATGCACCTTTGTCACAACCGGCCTCCTTTACCCAAGTCACCCAATCTTCTTGAACAGCACCATCTTCGTAGGGTCAGCAAGAACATTGACCTCAAACATGAAGTTCTTCGGCCGACCGACAACGCCTTCCTCAAACTTGATGTCGTAGTGTGTCAATATGTACGCCAGAATGATCTTGATCTGGTTGCTAGCGAAGAAACGGCCAGGGCACGCATCGTTACCGAAGCCGAACTGCATGCTGTCGTAGCTGGGGCTGGCGAACTGGAACTTGTTGGCGTCTTCTGGCTTGCTGCGTAGCTTGTAGAAGCGGAATCCGTCAAAGGCGTAGGGGTCGCCCCAGACGGCTGGTGCCTCCTCGAGCATGTTCGTGTTGCTGCGTGTACGTTAACACCATGCCTTGAACCCCGTACAGGCAATGTCTGGTTGAAGAAGGAAAGGGGATAGCAAAGCTTATCCTTGAAACCAAGGCTCAGGGTCTTGTGCTGGGATATTTCTGTACGTACCACTGTAAGATTGTGCCTGCTGGGAAATGGCTGCCGTCGGAGAGGTCGATAGGTATCATTGCCTTCCTCTGGAAGGTGGCTGCATCCGGCATCAGTCAGTTTGAACAGTCGTCAATTCGGATATCTTCTTTATGACAGATTTCCCTGAGCAAGAAGCAATCCGACGACATGAAGGGAAGGATTAGGGAGAGGCAACTTGGATAGGGCCGCGAGAACTTACCCACTGACGGCGGACTGTGACGCTGTGTTTCTTTCATGAAGCTGTCCAGCTTCTTCATCTGCGTGAGATGTTGTTTCTGGAGTATCCCGTTGCTGTCCCTCGTCACTTCCAATATCTCCTCTCTCAGAGGCTGAACATACTCCGGTCTTGCTGCCAGGTCGTACAGCGTGTGGATGATAGCCAGCCTAGTTGTGTGTATCGCTGCAGTCGCCGTCAGCACCTGCAAGTTGGCTAGCTCCTTGCTGTCAAAAGACTTGTCGCCAGTATTTCGAGCCCGCTCGATCATCCATTCAATCATGTCGTTCTGTGGCACGACATCCGAATCACCGGCTTTCGCTGCTCGTCTCTCCAGCTCCGGTAGAAACAATGCGAGGGCGTGTCGGTGGTCGCCGCGTATGCGCCGCATCTCGGGCACGAACCATTGGGCGACTGGCCGCAAGTATGGGTGCCATTGCTTCAACTTTTCGCCTCCGTTCATGGCGTCCATGGCAAAGCTCGTACTGCAGTCCAACCACTCTTCGTTTCGACACATCGGGTAACCCACGAAGATTCGAGCTGAGGCTTGTGCCACAACTCTTAGGAGCTTGTCATGGAGATCGATAGGTGTCCATTCTGTTATGAGTATCAGTACAATCCCCTCAGTATTTGGACACATTGCTACGTTACCATTGCACGATGGAAATTGGGTCTGGAAGCAGTGGGCGACCTCTTGCTCCACGTCGCCAACGAAGGTCCCAAGGTTGCGATTCAGATCTATCTTGATGGCACCCAGCATAATATCACTTTCGTGGTCGATGGTGGTGTAATTGCCGATATGACGCTGCGATCTGTCAACTTGCTGCCGAACAACATGCGCGGGCGGAAAACTCACGTCCGCCAGGGCCTTCATCCCACTCGCCTCATGGCGGGTGTACTTCTTCAAGTCATGGGCATATTTCCTCGGTAGGAAGACTCTGGGACCGTCAGGTGTCACGACCTGAAAGATTGAGTTCTTGAACTGTCGCAGTTCGATGTCAGCTAGTCGCGTATGAGCACGGCCAGAGGGGGCTTGCCTTTTCGTAGCCCTCACGGAGCACCACGTCTGCTTCTTGGACATAGCGAGATTCGGTGCCCACAGTCGGCAGGTTGAATGACTTCGGTCCCCGTCTCGAGATCACAACAATCATGACTATTAGTGATGCTATGGCCGTCGACACCACCCATGGCGCCGGCATATGCAAAGAGTCCATGGCCTCAGTGTGCATCACGATTCAGCGTCTGGCTCGATCACCCTCTGTGATTTTTCTGGCAAGTGATAGTGTGCACTTGCATACATGGAATGAGCTGGTGAGCAGGAGCGGTGCTGCTTGACGGCGGAAGGAATGCGCGAGTTCCCCCGATCCTATGAGTGGCGGTTCGTCAGCATCAAACCACTTAGATACTAAGTTATTCGAGATTGATAAGTCAGGCTCATTCATTCACTACTGCAGCTTGCCCAGGGGTGTCGTCGTCATCCCTGTCCATGTAGTAATGCCGCATCTTCTAAGCAAACAGGAAAGGGATGCTTTGACTACCTGTTTGACAAGCCATAATCTTACCGCAAAGTATTATTGTTGTTTGGTAGGATCGAGTGCATAAGCAGGGCCCAATAACCATAGGGCTATGCGATCCCACGTCCCACTAGATGATGCGACGTCGGGGTTGATGGTCATCGCATGCACCGATATGCACCGGCTACCTTGCAGTCATCGGGCCCGAGATCACATCAGGCCCATCCTCGTGTGAAGTGACTGGTTTGCTATCTGACACGACACTCGGTGACGGAGCGCACATCAGAGTGGAACAGAAATTAGCCTATCATGTATACCAGGGGGCCTTCCGCCAACCATCCAGCGTCGATAGAGGTGCAGTCAGCTTGCAGTAGGTAGTGACGGCCAAAGTTTGCATGCAGCTCCGTATAAGGGCCAGTAGGTACGACAAGAAACATTGTAACATCGGCTACGTCCACTGTCCAGTGATCCCATATTGTCATCTAGTGGGCTGCACGATCCTTCGACTCAGCATGTGCATGTGCAAACTGCAATGTGATTGTTTGGCAGGCACTGGTCGTACAATCATGACAGAGGAAGGTATGGAAGTCAGCGTTCACGGCGCCGAGTTCGGCAGGCAACTAACTATATGGCAGGTCCGTCCTCTTGCGCTGTCAGTACCTACCTAAGCATTCAAGCAACCACGTCGACAGCCCACCTAGTTGAGACATCGCCAACTGGATTCATGCAGAAATGGCACCCTCAGCAGTCGAAGTCGCCCCTCTGCCCGGAATCACCTCCCCGGAGGTCGACAAGGTCGGAGTGCCTCCCGGGTTGAAGCTGATAGCCCCCGAGAAGCTCGATCTCCGCACCGATGAAGAAATCGCAACATGGCTTCAGCTTCGACATCCCGTTTCTTCAGAGAAGAACGTCTGGGCCTTCTGGCACTCCGGATATACCCAGATGACCCCTTGGGTCCAGCGAAACATCATCAACTGGGTTCGAAGACTCGGACCAGACTGGACTGTACACCTTCTCGACAGAGTGCCAGGATCTGAAACGAACGTCAGCCACTTCGTTGAGAGTTCATTCTTCCCTGATGCCTTCAACAACAATACGATGGACGGCCCGCACGTCGGACCGCACTCGGGCGATCTGGTACGACTGCCGCTTATCTGGAAGTACGGCGGCATTTGGATGGATGCCGGCTCTTTCCTATTTCGGCATGTGGACGACATTTGCTGGAAGCAGATCGAGGACCCGGAATCGCCATATGAGATGTCCGGGTTCGTCATCGAGATGCGGCCAGGCGTCAACTGCATGCTTAATGGATTCATTGCGGCCAAGCGCGGTAACCCTTTCATCAAGCGCTGGCATGTATGTGATCTCAGCAGTCATTGATCCCCTTATGCCTGCTTCTCATCATGTTGTTGACAAGGAGAAACCGCTGACTCGATCTCGATAGGACATCTACGTCGCTCTTTGGGAAGGCGTCACGAACTCCGAAGGGTTCCACAAGCACCCTCTCCTGAGACATCTACCATTGCTCTCCCCTCCCCTCGACAAGCTGAACTGCCCGGACCTCAACCTCATGATGGAGGCCTTCAGCGACTACCTTGCCCACTTCATGTGCTTCGAGCGTTTACGCAAGCTCATCGACCCTACGGACGGCTTCAATGGTGTAGAGTACTATTCATACTCGATGCTTCTGTTCCCGGCCCTACAGGAGACCTACTATTTTCAACAGGTGACAGGCTGGTCAGGCACGCGCCAGTTCGAGCTTCTCACCACCCAACACACGGGAGAGGGTGTGGTCAAGGACGACAAGTGGGAGGCAGCGGAATCTTTCGTGAACGACGCGCTTGCCAATACGTCCACGATGAAGCTGTCACATGGCCCAGCGGGGGCCTTGGACTCCTTCCTCGCGGATTTGTGGGACTCCAAGGAACATCAGGACAAGGATAACGTGGAGGGGACGTTCGCTGCGTATCTACGATATGGAAGTGTGCATTTCGACCAGACGCGGAAGATGCTGCCGATGCAGATAGAGTGGCCTGACGAGGAGGTCCTGGATGTTGCTGTCCTGGAGCCGAAGGGAGGTGTACAAGGATAGGGGCATCTACTCGCCAGTCACACATGCGTTGAATTCCCTACTTTGAGCTATCGTGGTCGCGTACGAGAATAACGATGTCTTCACCGAATTGAAGTCTATCTGGCATTGGTGTACTTTCCGCGTTCCTCTGATTTCTCGTGTCCCGAACTAGTATCAGTATGGAAGTCTGTGAATCCTACAAACAACCATTGTTAATATTCCCTTGTTGCCTTATTTGTCCGTCTACACTACCTAACGAAGACCCCTCGTCCTTTACAATGTGTTTACCACGGTTATTGCTCCAATCAGCGAGGCATTAAGCCGAAAAGAGGGGTATACGGTACCGGCAGGCAAGGGCACATAGGGTCAACGAGATGCCCATATTCAGGAAGAAGGCAAGATTTCAATTTTATTCCGATCTACCCCTTACTATACGACACATAGACAACCGTTTCACTCACTCTGTGACCCCAAGCCTTGACAGAAATTCATTCGTAGGAGAGATTCAGCAGGACCTCCCGCTTCTCGTTGACCTGAGTGCTCATGAAGTATCTCTCACAGTAGTAGCTCCAGTATGCCGTTCCCGTAGCTAATCTCTGGCAGCCGCGCACGTACTCGCGGATGTTGGCATTCAGAGCCTCATCGTCTTTGCTCCAGGGCAGTCTTTCCTCAGCAGCGATGCAAATCGCGTAACGTTCGCGGATGAGATACAGTACTTGGTCGATTGCGGCCTGCAGCGACATGTTGTACGTGTTCATGAAGAGAAGACACAAGTTCTCGAGCTGGGAGACGCGCTAGAAACGGTGTTAGTCTTTAACGGGAGGGACTGCAGATATGGACCAGTCATAGCGGCAGAAGACTCACGAATTCCTTCTGGAGGGACAGGACCTCATTCAGCAGGATGGTCAGCTTGGTGCATTCCGCAACAATGACCTCCATGGCCTCGTGCCGGCGGACGTATTCAGGCAGCTCGAACTCCATGGCAAACTCGTTCTGGGTGATGCTGGGGATCACGCCCACGTCGTCGGATCGGATCTTGAAGTGGTACCAGGGGTTCGGGAGGCAATCCGCCTGGCGGACGCCCTGCTGTCGTTGGACGCCGTTCACGTAGTCGTGAAGCTCCTCTCGCAGGCGTTCGGTAGCCACGGGGCCCAGGCCGGCACGGAGGTCCCGGAGAATGGGGTAGAACATTTCGACAGTGCCTCGAGAGTTGGGAGGGGGCGTGTAGTTGGGACTGGGACCTAGACAGTCGTCTATGCATCGATTGGTTTCCTCGCAGCAGAGGGCCGTTCCAGCGTCGTCTTCCGTGAGCTCGCCACCGGTGTCGATTGCTGTAATAAGGTCAATGCAATGCCGTCGCCTTCTGATTCTGCTGCAGCTTACCGTCGTCCCAGAAGAAGATCTGTGAACCATGTTAGTCGCCTGTAATTCCAGAAATACCGGAACACTTACCCAGTAGAGAAACTGGGTCAGGATAAGCATCTTATCCTTCTGGCAGTGTGGGTAGTAGACAGCTGCCAGGAGAGTGTAATTTCCCCGTGCTCGATGCTTCGCCTTCTTCTTCTCATCGACGTTGACGCTTTGGGACCTTAGCACCTAGAACAGCCAGATGTTATATGGGGGTCTCACGTTTTCAGCCATTGGTCAATCTGCTCGTTGATCTCATCAATATCAGGCTGGACGTCACTCGCCCACGCTGGCATGAGAGATAGGATATCCGGCACGAGGATCTTCTGGTTCAATGCCCTCTTGATGAGGTTGTCCTTCTCCGTACTGGATTCAGGGGTGGATTCAGGGGCGGAAACCCAAAGGCGATCAATGTCGGGTGCCATTGTGAAAATCTGTCTGAGGGTAGTGTTCTGGACTTCACGTAGCGTACATTTCACGAGGTTTATAGGCAAGAAACCCACGGCTTTCTTATAAGTTAACGGTAGATAGAAAAGCCACAGTGCATTCATCGATCCTCTATCGCCCTTCAGGAAAGGTCGAGGAGTCCAGGACACGGATTGGCGGTATGACAAGGGTAGGCTATCACAATCATCTCGGGACCGAAGTTCTCTATTGTTGCCATTGGTCACAATGGGATAGTTTGCTCGGGGGGGGAATGCACCTCGGTGTCTTACTGTCGACTCCGTAAGGCACATATGGGAAACAGGATCCTGATTCCGTGCCGATACGACAGCACGCCTTGGGGGCCAAAGGACTGGTGGCTCCGGACGGAACGTTGGACTTGCGGCGGTGTGCATAAGCGGCCGCGTGCTTGCCGAGTAGTATCTCGAACATCACATCACGTAAGCTGTGCAGCACACTCCTCTTCCTTCGACGCAGGACGCTATTGAACGCGTATGCTATTGATTCATGAGGCAATCCTTGAGCAGAGCCAGATAATATATCGCGTATCCTATAGGTCCGCGAGGCGCACAGCATCATCTGCTTCTTATCGATGGTCCGCTGTGGGAAGGTGGTATCAGATGAGGGTCCACCTAGACGCGCGTGTGAGAGATGTTTGCTCCTGGAGTAGAGCCGATAAGATATTGGGATCGCAGATACGAAGGAGTGATCCTTCATGCCGAGCGCACGATGTGATATATCATAAGAGCTGTGAGACTGTGACGGGTGGGCCTTCCCGAGGAGACTCAAGACGGGAGCAAGCTGGGATCTAGTTGGTCGAGACCCGGAACAAGGGTAATCTGGTGGGACGAAACCCCGGATCTCGGTGCTGGGGCGCCGATCCTTTGACAAGTTTGGTTGGACCACTCGTCTATAGGATTCCCGTATTGTGAAGTGCTCGAAGTCTAGATTCACGATCTGATCTGCAGGACTAAAAAACCGACGTTACATTTCAGTGAATGATGTCGTCACCTGGTGTTTTATCTAGCACTGGGTGCCTTCTATAGGTGCTCCTCTAGGCTGACTACATATCGCGTAAGAACCCGTGCAAGCCTAGCCATTCTAACCCTTGGGAGCCCTTGAAGACGATATCTCGTATAGACTAGCGTGAGTGTACTGGGGGATATGCGCCGGCATAGGTAGAGATACCTGGAGTGTCGTTGCCCTATCACAGCTGTAAGCCTTATTGGCTATGTCTGCCTGAGTGATCATGCGCGGGGGAACGGAAGGATGACAATCAGCAGTCAGTACGAACGTCTCGCCACACACATGACCGTCCTACGGCCTGCCCTGAAGGAATGACGGTTATGATGTACTCTGACAGCTTGGCACATAGCATTCGTACCACCCAATCAGATGGCCTTCTAGCTAGCTCGACCATATGTACTCCGTGATCTGTGAACAGCTCTTTATCTGCTTAAGTCATCATGACTCAGACGTTTTCTTGTTTTGCTGCAAAGTACCGATCATGTATTGTCAGCTTACATATTCAAGCTTACCGCAGGAGACCGGCAGTGGCTATGTGTCATTACCAGCAGCATACGAGTATGGTATTAGTCCAGAGCATGAGGAGCATGCAGGTCTGATCCTTCCAAGAACGCCACTGCTCAGACTTGCGGTCTACGCGACAACCACTTACGGGCATAGAAGAGAGTGGATATGTGGATACGGATGAAGCATGGTAGGTTGGGAACGAGAGCGCCCCTAGGGCTGGCTGGCGGCGGAATAAGGTCATGCCGTGACGTTGGCGTTCGGACCCCCTATTCCGCAGCGAGAAGTACACGGCCCTCGTGTGTATAACTAGGGCTACGACCTTGGCACTTAGCTAGTCTTAGAAGACCCAGAGAAACAACAATTACCAATACCCCTTTTTGCCTCCTTGATATCCATATTTTCTCCTTTTCCTCATCTGAGTAGACGAAATGCGCCTTGGTTGCCCCTTTTCGTGAGGGACGGTAGACGAGCGAAGAAACAGTGGGAAACAGCAACTCCGTGGTGATTTGCTGTTGTTGATTGCAAGTTGCCAAGATGCAAAGTTGTGTGTGCATGGCTGCAGGTGTGCTAAGTGTGTCTCAGTGCCCCTACCACCTGACCCACCGGAAGCCTATCAAGATCGGATCTCGATCCCCGGCGCTTATGGTTTTGTCTATTGTAAGCTCCCTTTGATGGCACCTGAGGGTGACCGCCAGATCAGGAAACACTGCATGAGCCAGACGCATTGATATGCACGGGATAAACCCAGAGTGCCAATCATACACCCAACACGTGGAGAGGAAGGTAAGACTCCAACAGGTCTTTTAGACAGCGTATGTGAAGTCTTGGGACGTTTGCAGCAGGAACGCGCCGGAGCCAACCAAGGGAGCAAGCGAGTAACTCTTTGTTGCGGCTGAGCGAAGAAGTCTTCTGTGATTGACCCGAAAGCATATGGAAGACTACCCACGCTCCTACGGCACGACTCTCCATACGCAGACACTGGAGAAGGAGACGATTCATTTTATCATTGAGCTCTACAGCAACACCAAACCCAAATTCCCTCAAATACAACAAAAAGCAGAGCTGCCGTGCTGTACGCAAAGTCTGGAGAAGAAAACGTGATCCTCCACATCAAGTGAATTACGCGGATGACCCGACAATTTCAAGATTCAGATCTCTAGGGAACCAAAACCGTCTCGGCCCGTACGGGGCGTGACGTAGCAAGCCTGTAGTTATACTTTGAAGTATTTACCTCAACCCCAGCCTGCAATCTACTGCTCCTGGTCCACGGCAACCGGATCGGGAATGCAAAAACTTTGGTAGCAACCCTAAACACATTTCCCATCGTCTTAGTATGCAAACAGGGTAGCTGGAGTATCAATACCGGATTTCATGTCACGTTTGCGGCATACAGTCACGCCGCATAAGTCTCCGTCCGAGAACCTCAAGGGTTCTCTTCCCAACAGGACATAAACAGTATAATAAGAACCCTAGAATAAGCAACTATATTGTGATAATCCAAGTTTTATGCCTTATCCAGTGTGATTATCTCGCAGATAAACAAATTTCCCTGATTATTCAAGACCCCGATTATGTGGTATGCAGAGACTCATGAGGGTTGAGTGTACATCCGAAAGGGCATCAACCTAGGGCATAGCGTCATGCGACCCATGGAATGCCGTAGCTTATGAACGTACTTGAGCCTCTAATTACAGAAGAAACATATCATTAAAGGTTGGTTCATGTCGCAAGGTTGTGGTTCAGGGCTCCCTGGCTGGCTCCATTCCTCCATTCAGGGGTTAAGACAAAGTCTGACCACCTGGCCCACCAGCTTCACTGCTCCATATATAAGAGGTCTGAGCGGCCTTCTGGCCAGATCGCACCTGGAAACTACATCACTTTTCGCCGCTTGACCTTCTGCAGCAGCCAAAGTATCCGAGGACCTCTGGTACTACAGCTCGAGACTCAAGCAGATCCACTGACTTCATAGCACACGGATGTAGCCCGAAAAGCGGAGGATAATATCATAGCTGTGGAGGGAGCAGCCCGTTCGGCGCCATTCAAATACATTGTTGCACTTGGAACGCACTTCGTTCCCCAAGCCGTTATGCAATTTCTTATCCGAACCCAGACCTAATACTGATACAGCTTGAAGGCATACCCTTCCACGTTAACGAGACTTATATCCATGCAGTCGGGGACCTCAAACAGCTTCAAAGTTCTGATACCACCTTCTCGGTAACCTTTCCATCCGCCTGCACAATGACCTTGTCAACCTTGAGCGACGCCTTGACAGGGTTAGGCTGGTCGTAGACCCATTCCAGTTGCTCAAGCGTACGGCCCTGACTCTCAACTCCAAACATGTACCACTGGGAAAAGAAGATTAGCAAGCTGGCAGGCTACCATGAAAGGTTTCTTGACGTTTGACTCGAGACGAAGGGAAAGGGGCTTTGGGTCTGACTTACAGCGGCGGTCTCTACCAAATCCCAGCCAACGAATACATAAATGTACTTGTAGCCTATGTTCTGAAGAGCGATGGGGCCGGCGAACTGGTTGATGAAACCAACAGCATTCACGAGGAATCCGCTTGCAGCAAGACCCTTGGCTCGCATTGTCGTCTCTAGGGCCTCGGTGGGAATGACTCCTTGCAGGGGCGTATAGGTGAAAGAAAATACTATGTTGAACAAAAAGTACGAGGCGAGAGCTCCTTTGGCATAGGAGGTCTGGACGTGCTCTCCCTGCCCGGCCAGGGCGGCGGAAAGGCCGGAGTTGACAGCAAGAGCACATGCGCAGGCTGGTAAGCATAGATTGTTAGCCGGTTCGGTAATCAGGGATGGGGTAAAGTGAAGACGCACCGAACGTTCCAAAGACGAGGACTTTCCGGCGAGGCATCCGGTCAGTAAAGGCAACCGCGGACAAAGCTCCCACAGCCGACAGGAACGAGTTCAGGAGATTGTATCCCAACTGCGCCGGTACGCTGGTGACTCCAATGTTCTTGAAGATCGTGGTATTGAAGTAACCCAGTCCGTTACCTGAAAACTGCCCGAAGATTGAAATCATGAGCACTTGAGCCATCCTCCAGCGGCCGTTGTGGGTCAAGGCCAAGGGTCGGTAGTCCCACGGTCTCTTATCGATGCCGTCGGTGCGGATGTTCTCCCTCATCTCCTCGATCTCCAGCAGCACGAGTCGAGAGTTGCGATCTCCGTTGCCGTGATACTTGGCTAAAAAGTCCATGGCCTTTCCGTCGTGGCCGTTTGCGATCAGGAACCTGGGGGACTCTGGGATGAAAAACACTGCGAACATCACGAAGATACAGGCGGCGCCCTGAACGATCAGGGGGATTCTCCAGGACCAGTTGCTGTCGATGTTGTTGCAGCCGAAGACGACGGCGGCCGCTGGGATCGATCCTCCGAACCATCCGCAATTGTAGAAACCTGTATCGGTCTCGTCAGTCACCTTGTAAAATGTCGTATGGATACCTTTGCTCTATACTCACCAGTAGCCCGGCCACGCCAGTGTGGAGGGCTGATCTCTACTGCGTAAGCGGGGGCCCCGACAGTCATTATACTGATGCCCAAGCCGAGTATGAATCTGCCGACGACGAACTGTGGTATTGTGCTGCTCGTTGAGATGATGACGACGCCGACGATAATGACTACTGCTCCCCAGAACATGGCAATCCTACGACCCCATCTGTCTGATAGCATCGCAGCGAAGGGGGATCCAACCATGGCGCCCTTAGATAGTGTCAGTTATCAAGTCTTCCTGGGAGAACAAAAGTTCCCGAAAAAACGGTAAGAAATCTGCGACAACAGATCTGGAGACTCACGACAGTGTACAGACTAAACATTAGAGATACCGTAGGACCCGTTGTCCCACACTTGAAGGTGTCTTGGAAGTGAGGCATGGCGACCACACCTGTCAATAAGGACCCTAATGGCAACATGCCCGTTAGCATTCCCGGCTTCGACTCCGGTCTCAATCTGAGGTTCTTATGACGCACCATCGTATCCATTTGCACATGCACAGAGGAAGGCCGTGAATATAGCGACTAAGTCGTTGTCAGAAACTCGTTCAGCCGTGTAGTGTTTTGGCGGCAGGGGGGTAATCACAGTAGAGGTGCAACGATGTCTTGCTCCACGGATGAATCTTCGTCTCTTGAAGGGCAGCGAATAGTTCGGCCTATCAGAATGATGTTAGCGCTGAGGGACGATGGGGTCTTCCGGTCAGTGAATCATACGTTATGAACCTCCTTGGCTTTGGCACCAGCTTTGTTTGCGGTCACTCCCGAGCCCTCGCTGACAGCGATATGCTCGTGCGTGACCATGACACCGCCATCGCCATTCTTAAGGTCGTCCATCTTGTCGAGCTTCCGAGAGATGTTCGAAAGTGTTGGAGAATGGGTTTCCTAGAGACTCGAAAACAGTATTTGCGTCGTATGAAGGATACGCTCTTGCCACGCCTTTATCAACTCTCAGCGAGTCTCCAACATTCCCCCAATTTCCCCCCATTTCCCCAGACCAGGTTCCGAAAGGGGAGACGGGCCGTAAGCATCCGCAGCCTAAATGGGAGTCGTACGTCTTACAAGCCAGGGGGGCATGGGCGCTTTTGATTCGAGGCCCACGCTCGGCAACGGCTGACACGCGTCGCGAGTAGACAATCTAGATTCTGATGGCCTCGGGTGACACCCTTGATCGGCCCGGGCTGTGTACGACCAACAGAATCCAGGGCCAGATCTTTTCCCCAACTATCTCGGGGGGAGACCCTCTTCCCCATGGGGAGTTCCCTGAATGATCGCTTTCCCGGGCCTTTGTGCCGGAGCCCCAGCAAGGGGGCGCTTTTCCTGGGTCGGGCCAGGCCCTTCATGCTTCGCTAAGGATGTCTGGCCGTCCAGTGAAGTGATAGAACGGATGAACGGGTGAGATGGAATCCGGAATCAGCTACTCCGCCGTCGGGATAGAGTGGTCTGATTGGCCACGCCCTGGTGGTTTCGTTCAAGAGTGCAGGAATCTGATCTTCGCTACCAAGCATTGCAGTTTCTCGTTCTTAATCTGAGTATATCAGATCATCAGCTGGGCCGCGTGCTGGCTGCGAACCTTTGCCTGCGAACTGTTCTCTGGCCCAACAGAGGACCAGCTGATCCAAGCTGGTGCCGCTCGCCCGGGTAGGTACCCTTTTCTTGCTATCTCTCCCTTGCGGCGCAGCGCCGTGGCGGACCCGACTTTGATTGGTAGCATGATCCCTGGATTATTGATCAAGGTTACAAGTGGCCAAGGCAGTCTTTCAAGCGGTCCATCTTGCCACATGGTCAACTGTATCATTCGGAACAGAGGGATCACAGCGCGCTTGTTGGTACAGGGAAGGGACTCAAACCCGACCAACTGAGTGACCACTAGAACTTGCTTTTGGCAGTAGCAGTACCTAGTAACTAAGAGGTATTGGGACTTAAGGAATAGGTACCGGCTTTTCTAAGAAATTTCTCTATTGCGTGCTCTTACCACTTGTTCGCCAAGCCAGACAATTTACACCTAAATATTTATCGTGGTAACCATAGATCTGCGTAAGTGCAGGCTTCCCCAGATTTTAAAGCCAATGAGGATGGTAGAAGTCTGACTTGGCGAACAGGTCGCAGGAGCACGCCGTAGAGGAGTTGTTCAGAAAAGACCGTACTCAAGTGGTCTTTGAGGCGGTAGCTAAGTTACTAAAGACCAACTCCGAACACCATCTCACCGGGGGGTGTCTCCGCCACCGTGGCCAGAGGATTTCTGGTGTATGCCTCAGCCCGCTGGGAAGACTTCTGCTTCCTTCGTCAAGTCGATGGGTCGCTTGAGAGTCCGTCCCACGCGTTGCGATACGGCGGCATCGTTGTCGGCAGACGCACCCCTCAATGCCAACGTGACCTCCTCGAACGTGCTATTGATGGTGTCTCCTCTCAGGTCGCCGTCACTCTCTCGAATCCAGACGACGCGCCGTATCCAAGGGACTGCTATCATCCAGCCGGCTGCCAATGCAGCGGCGACGGGGTCAATCATCGTGTGCCACGCCCAGTGCTCGTAACCTGTGTCCCTAGATCCCTGTATCCCTACCGGAGATGCTACCACGTGAGCAGTCAGGTCCAGGGACTGGGGTGGGAGATGGTGGCTCGATTGGATAGATCCCTCCATGGGCCTGGAGCTGGGATCCGACACTACATATTATCCTTTGATCCGCCAGGGAAAACCCCTTTCGTCCCTTCCAGCTGCAGCCAGCTGCATCCGCACCTGACAAGCACCAGTTCCCTCACAATCAACAAGAATACCGGCGTTAGTAGTCAATCACTTACTTAGATTTATGATTGATATCGTCTTATATTTACACGTAGGATAAGAATACGACTCAGAAAAGGCCGGTATATTGTAGGTATACCCTGGCTGGGTTCGTAAGATGGCTATGTATGTATCTTTCTTTTATGCCTAAGCCTCCATCGCCAACAGCACACGAAGATCCCTGTCGGTATGCACGACCTGAAACCTAATTCTCCCGAGGAACCCCATCAGCTACTTGCGTGCCAGTGTAGCCTTGAGATCCCCAAAAGAAAGCTCCAGGCTATGAAGAAGTGGTGAATCAAATGCACCCGAATAGGCAGTGGTTTGGTGACTATGCCAGTCATCTTTATGCCAGGCGATTATGCCACTTTCCCTGTCAACCACACGTACGGCATCCTTCCAGCATGACTAAGGAGCAGACTACCAATCGTCGTCGATCAAAGCCTTACCAGGGGCTCTGCGCTCTTTCTTGACGGCCGTCTTCTTCATGGGTGGCAAGGGAGCGACTTTGCCGTGTTGTGCAGGATAGTGAGCAAAGCGGCATTTGTCGGCGGCCTTCCGGCATCGACGGTCATTGGCCCAGAAAGCGCAGATGAGAGGATACTTGTGGCCGCCGGGTATGGCTTCGTGGTACCACGGGCAGATGCCTTTGGCCTGCTCTCTGCACTTGAAGCCAGGCGTCGCCCACCAGGGGCAGATGATTTCTACACAGACAATATCAGCCAGTCTTCTCTCTTAAGACTTCTCTTGGGAGCGTGGCGTCTTTTGCAAGAGTGGCATTTCAAATGCATCTCGATGATGAGGCTGAGATCTTGGTGACATACTCATCTGATTTTCGGACTGGGCTCTGGACGCATGGAAGGGTTTCGATGGCTGCTGCTGCTGCTTCTGCTGGTGCTGGTGTTGGTGCTGGTGTTGGTGCTGGGGCTGTTGTTGGGGCCGTTGTTGGTGTTGGTTCTGGTGCTGGGGCTGGGGCTGGGGCTGCTGGTACTGCTGCATAGGCTCAAATGGGAAATCCAGAAGGCTGTTGAGCTTTGTCTTGGCAGGTTCAAGGTGTGGTTGTGCGGCTAGATTGACAGTGCTGGGACTAAAATCAGTAGATATCCATCAGTCAGTCTGGGTTGTAAAACTCACCGGTGTCCAAGATCAACTTCTTTGGCCGGAAGAAAGTCGGTGGGCTCGTCAAAGGAGAGTAGATCCTCGTCGGCGTTGACTAGTCGCATGATCTGCTCGTGGGTGCCGCTGGAGATCCGCGCTGCACCTAGAAGGATGCCCAGACCCTATAGTTGGCCATCTCATTAGTATGGGATGCGGATTTGCCAACAACGACGACATACCATATGGACCTGGGTCATGCCCTTGCTGATAATGGACTCGCGGTTGTTGTCCATGTTTGGCAAGTGTGAATGGCAAGTTGTGTGAAGAAGGTTTGTGAGTCAGGATGTAATGCCGATGATGTTGAGTGTCTCGAATGGCTGCAGCCTGGGTACAAGTTATGGAGTTGGCAGGATTGAAGGCCAAGGTTCACCGATGTAGTAGTTCCTGCGGGAAATAGATCAATGGGTGATAGTCTCGTCCCACTGTAGGAACCTCAATGGCAACTTGACAATGAATGGGAACCAGGTGTGATGGTAGCTCAAGGTGTCAATGTCACTCGTTGCAAATTGGATGGGCGAGGAAGTATTCATCCCTTTGTTCGTAGCTATTTGCAAACGCCGAAATGCCCTGGCAAGCTTGGGCGCCTGAGGAACTCCAGCTGTGCGTCACCTGCCAGCAGTAGGTATCCAATTCCAGTACCTCAATTTCATATCTTCGGGAGTCTGCCTGAGCATGGGAGGAAAGTCGAGACTGTGCTGCAGTCTTGCCGAGGCCAGGTACAATCTGCGTAAGTGCGCCGCGCGACGCACGTATCTCATAATGGAACTCATCAACCGCTTTCGTTGAAGTCTGAAGTAGGGTCGGATATATATTCGATGTTCCCGATGGCGTCCTGGTTCGATATGTCGATGCGATTACACGTGCGGCTGGTCTTGAACCATAGCGGTATGCGTGGGCGCAGTAGAAGGTTTTGCATGGACTTCATGGCCCAGCGCGTCCAGACTGCGTTCTAGGTACACATATGGCCTGGAAGAGGAACGACGGGATGAGCGAGCTCATTCTTGGTGGGAGGTGAGACTCTCATAATCAACGCAGCAAGCATCGCGATTGTTGCTAGCCAGCTTGGTGCGAGCTGTGGTGATGAGGGTGTAAAACATCTCAGCCTAGTCGTCGTTGCAACGATTCTGATCAAGCGAGATTGATACTAGACCAAGACAGCCGCATCATGACATCTGTCTGAAAATCTGACGAAGGCAGATGGGCGTTCTGCTCTGGGGGCGAGTCGTCGGATTGTTCGAACTCGTCACTATTCGCAAGTCTCGCCAACTTGGCAGTCAGAGCCCGACGACAGTGGCATGCCTTCTCTTTTCATCGAGCAGTGTTTTCACCGCCGAGAATTTTTGATAGGGGCAACAACCGGGCCACATCCGAAACATTTCTGAAGGTTCTCCGCGAATATCGACCATTTGATGGTATGGTGACAGGCGAGTCATTGCGACGCAACCATTCACCCTGAACAGGTCAATGATGCGTATCCTTTAACGTTAGTCGAAGCTTCGAGAGGCATTGTCGGGGACTGCCAGTAATATGATATAGTTCCCTCCGCCCCCAGCTTCTTAATGGTATGAGCCCAATCTGTGGTGCGGGATAGGTATGGTCGACAGTGGCCGCCACCGAGTCCTTGCCGATCTTAGTGTCCCTGACCGTACGCACCGATTAAGGGGCCGACATGTTGGTGGCAATCATATCCACCTTGCCCTTCTGCACCTGTACTTTCTCTGCATTCGCCAAGCTCCATGTCAGGGGTCGATGGTCTTGACAGCCATTTCGGAAGTCTCGAGGAGGTTCAGGCGAGGTTGCGTCATTGATAGCTCGACCTGGTGCTCAGAATGAACGGGGTTCTTTCCTTAGCTGCAGTCCCCCTATACAAGAATAGCTCTCCCGGCCCTTTGGAGCTTTATGAGCGACTGGTCTTAAGGCCTTGTTATGACAGGGCCCGGGCAAAGTCCAGATTAATTAGGGTCTTATTACAATTATTATTAGAAATATCGTGATATCATTATAATAATTATTGCCGCTATTGTTTATTAGGTCAGTCATATCTAACTAATGGAATATTGATATATAATTCTGGATCATACAGGTAATAATAAAAGGGAATTAATGTCCTTAAAGGTAGACTCGGGATCCACGGGGACAGTCCCACGTATTTGGGAGGAGGCCTCGTTTACTGATACCTCTTAGTTCTCACGCAGGACTCGCTGGATGGACTGATCTATTAATTAACCTCCAGTGAGTCCCGGAGAACTTGCCATATCCGTGTCGGTTTGCTCCCTTTGTGATTAGGCCAGAACGGCGCAACAAATATGCTGAGCTGGCCCAGGTCATAGCCAGCTCTGACGTCAACGGGAGAGAACACCTCTACGTGTCTCTCGATGTATGAGATGGATGGAAGCACTGTTCACTCGAGTGATCCAGACAGGGCTCGGCGTCAAGGGAAGGGTCGTTGACCAGTCCTCGACATCCCGAGCTTGTTAAAGCATATCGCAGATGTTGTGATGACAGCCAGATGATCTTGGCATTGTCCCAGACACGACATTGGAGTCAATGGACTATCGAAGTGTTGTATCAACACAATATCTCCAACAGCGATCGAGCGCGGCACTGCACGCAACAGCATACGGCCGCCTTGAGATCCTGAAGTACATGACAAAAGCTGGCACGGAACGTTATCCGCCAAACTTCGCCACCAGTGCATTCTTGAGGTTGCGCCGTTCTGGCCTAATCACAAAAGGAGCAAACCGACACGGATATGGCAAGTTCTCCGGGACTCACTGGAGGTTAACTAATAGATCAGTCCATCCAGCGAGTCCTGCATGAGAACTAAGAGATATCAGCAAACAAGGCCTCCTCCCAAATACGTGAGACCGTCCCTGTGGATCCCGAGTCTACCTTTAAGGACACTAACTCCCCTTTATTATTACCTATATGATCCAGAATTATATATCAATATTCCATTAATTAGATATGACTAACCTGACGGATAATAATAGCGATAATTGTCATAATAATGTCATAATATTTCTAATAATAATTATAATAAGACCCTGATTAATCTGGACTTTGCCCGGGCCCTGTCATAACAAGGCCCTAAGACCAGTCGCTCATAAAGTTCCAAAGGGCCGGGAGAGCTATTCTTGTATAGGAGGACTGCAGCTAAGGAAAGAACCCCGTTCATATCGAGCTATCAGTGACGCAACCTCGCCTGAACCTCCTCGAGACTTCCGAAATGGCTGTCAAGACTATCGACCCCTGACATGGAGCTTGGCGAATGCAGAGAAAGTACAGGTGCAGAAGCGCAAGGTGCGGCAAAATTCCCGTTGGGCTGAATTCCGCCCTTCTTGGCTTGTAGTCTGTTTAGAAAGGGCCCTGTATGTCTGAACAGCTGCTTTGCAGTCATCATTCCACCAAGCAGTGGGCCTAGATTGTCGGGGCTTTTTGCCCACTATTCTGATACAGCCTTGGATCATGTTGATCAAGCTCTGTGTAAAGGCATCCACCTGGCCAGGGGATACACCCAGCTGGGGGAGCTCATGAATCCTGGTTTGGACATTATCTGCCAGCTCTTGTAGTTTATCGTCCGGTACTATTCAATAATTGGCCTTAGGGATTCAGTCCGGATCTCCCTGAATTGGAATGACTATTTGTAGTGTCTCATGATCTGAGGTGCACTGAAGTGCATCATTGACTAAGGCTTCAGCCATGGGGACATCCGAGAACACCAGATCTAGTACATCTCTGTCATCATGTGTTGGGACATCTGGTTCAGAAATCAGATCCAGTCCGTGGTCTGCCATAGTCTGTATAAGTATAACACCACCATGATATCCTGGATTGCTCGAGGTCCAGGATATATCGCTAGCATTAAAATCTCCAGCTATAACGCAGCCAAAAGGTGGAGCCCATACTTCCAGAATGTCATCCACTTCCTGTGGGTTGTTATATGGCCAGTAGACACTGGCAAATGTAATGCCTTGTACTTTGACCCAGGTGATGTCTCGTGTAGCATAGGGCCAAAGTTGATCCGCTTAAAGGTGTTTTCTCATATAGATGAGAGATCTGGGCCGTGTACTGTCGCTGTCCCAGGAATTCACTGGGGAGTATATATCATAATTGGGGTGTGTCTTTACTCCCATTTTCCTGCCTGGTGGTATGCCAACCCAGGGCTCTTGCATCAGAATGATGTCTGTTTGTTCTCCTTTGTAGTCAGCCAGGTTGATGGCTAACTCTGTAGGGCCTGCACTCTTTTGTCCTCCTGCTGTATTCATAGAATGGATGGCTAGATGCTCGTGTCGATGTGTTTTGTTTGATGTATCTAGCATTGACTGACGACAATGGTGTCGGCATCTTTGGGATGAGCTATATCTATTGTGTTGATTTGTATTGTGGTGTCTTTGTTATTATTGCTAGGTGTTGACCCAGCTTGGTTTCTGCCTGTTTCATTGAAGGCCTTGGATCTGGCTCTTTCTCCGGCCAGCCTTATTTCCTGGATTTGCTCCCATGTGTGCTTATGGATGATACCTTTCACGACCTTGGGGTGTGCAGGGCATTTGTCGAAGTCGGCAGCATGAGGTCCTTTGCAGTTGACACACTTTGGGATTGGTTTTTTACAATCCCCCTGGTGTACTGTGCTGGCGCAACGTGCACATACTTGCTTTTCATATTGGTAGTTCCTACCATGGTATCTGAAGCAGCTCGCATACTGGTGAACCTTGGGGGAGTATTGAATGTGCCTTGAGATCATTGAGCAAGCAAAAAGCGTGAATGGTTTCTTTGCTGCACGGGGCAGAGAGATCACCCATGTGGTCTCCGGATCAGAATCAACTGTGTTCCTTGAGAGTATGCACCTTAAAGGTCTGTCACCTGTTTGGGCTTCAACTTCATCAGCGACAGTAATGTCGGTAATATCGATTGTCAACCCTTCCGTACTGATGACCTTTCTTGGGTATCCATTGACCTTGTAGTGATGTCAGACCGTGTGGATCTCGATCTTTTTTGCCTTAAGAATGTCGGTGATTTCTTCTTAGAAGGCCAGGAGCTTAGCCTGAGTTGGCTTGTCCCTTAGATGTAAGGTAAATCCGGAGGGGCACCGGGTCACTCCTCTAAGCTCTTAAGGGTGGAGCTTAAGTCTTCTGTTCAGTATAGATTTTATTCTGTAAGGCTTTAGGTGGCTATTATCCATGCGGACAAAGACCCAGAGATCATCCTGGTTCTTCTTCAGTTGGTTGGCAGTGATGAGGGCGCCAGGCTGTGTTTTCTTCATGGTAGTATTGACTGTCCGTGGATGCTGTCGCTGGCTAGAGGGGACAGCTTGGGCAAAGGTCATAGTGGGCTTTACCATCCCTATTCCCCCAAGAATGGTCTTCCTTTTGGGCGGATCTCGGGTTTCTAGCCACTTGTTCAGACATTTAGAAAAGAAAGTGCTGAACTCCTTGGCATGAGAGTATAGTTCGGTTCCAGCTTTCTCAAGTGTTTTATCAACTGTTGCAGCACACTCTTGAAACATTATTATCCTGGTTTTATAGAGGTGCTTGTCTTTAGCTAGTATTATGGCAACTTGGTCCTGGCACTCTGAGGAGGAGGCCTTATTCCCTATATCGCGTGTAATGGCTTGATTTATAGAGATTTTGTTTAATTGAGGTCGTTTCATTCCAGTGGTGCTGTTGTCATTGATATTTCGAGATTTTCTTTTCAGAGGGGAAATAACAGTGAAGTCAGCCTCAGATACCTGTGACAGGCTGCTGCTGATGTCGTCAAGCAGCGCCTGGCGGAGCCTGCTCGGAGTTGCCGGACCGTATGTCTTTCTAGGGGCCGGGGATTTAAGCACGCCACCGGTGGTCGTCTTTGGGACGGTCACAGGCGTGTTTAGGGGCCCGTCGTGGAAGGGTGCCATCTAGCTTGTGAGAAAAATTCTCTTGTGCCTTGACAGAGATAGTCAGTTACTGAGAGAAGTACCTGCTTTAGTGCAAATATCAAGGTTGCACCCTAACAACGGGGCGCCAAGAAGAATAGTTGTTTTTGTTTGGTTTATGCCCATCGTGGGTGCCCAAGGGTTGATCGGCTGCCTGTGACCCCACGAAATGCGCTGGACGCAACTGAATCCTGATGCATAAATACATAAATGGGACGTAATGAGGATTCGTGGGTACAGCATGGTAGCTCTGCTTTTTGTTGTCTTTTAGGGTATTTGGGTTTAGCTCTGCCCTTCCAGTCGAAGAGCTTATAAAATAAAAAAATTAATTGCGCCATGGGTGGAACCGGGTAGATGAATGGACAGGACTTACTTAAAATATTATCTCCAACAGGCCAAAGGATTATACAATGCTGCTAAAATAGTAACCGGTGGTGTTTGTTTGGGACCGAAGCGCTGCGGGCTTGTAAGATTGCCCTGGAATCGGACGCTGAACTCTGCCCCATTACTAGAGGATTCACGTGGCGTGGTGGAATCCTCTTGAGAACGCTCTAGTACATGGAACTCATCAACATCTTACCTTTCGTGGGATAACTATCACTTCTCTGCGCTTGACCATATTTCATCAATTGCGTGCTCCCAGATTTGACAATAACTATTGTAATCACGACCGGCATTCTATGAGACACATCGCAACACAATTAGAGGATTCAAGCAAACACTATGTCGCTTGGCAAGGTTCAAATCCAAGCAAATCCTAGCAAGCCCTTCCTTCCTATTTTTGCGAACAAATTCCAACTCCTGGTCGATAACAAGGGTCCAGAGTAGAAGATAGCAGTGTACTAAATACCCCCATTTATACGTGAAAGTATATACACGATTAAGATATGACGAGATATACATATAATATATTTATAAACTCAATATTATCATTCTCGTCCCCTACTTCGAGGCCTGTACATCATGTAGTAATGTAGCTGTTGGTATTCATATATCTACATAGTTGGGGTGGTGGAGGGCGTTAATATTTACGATACTCGACACCTAACGGTGTGCCTCGTGATGCTATCAGGAGTTCCGGCCGTTCGAGAGACGATTCCTTCGAAGCAGAATCGCTTGGAGTTATGGTAGCAGGCATACTGTGCCGCATGCGGGCAGGCGGTCACGCATTGAGTAGCAATGTTGTGGTTGGGGTTCCGTTTAGATCCAAGCTGTTAGAGGCAGTGTAGTTGTATGAGGCGGAAAGCGCGAAGTGGCGAGTCACATACAATAGACTACCACAACACTGCAAATAGAGAAGTCTATGCGCATTAGTGTGCCTATGTGTGTTTTCAGCCACAATGTGACCTTCCAAGACGCGCAGAGCTGATTGGCGGTGTGAAGAGTAAACGCGACGGGTATCAGAGAAGATGTGCTCTTGTTGAAGCCTTCATGAACGAATGACTATAAGCTTCATCTCCAGCCGCACCCTCCGCCTTTCACCAGTTGTAAGGAGTAGCCGCTGTCTGTAAAGGACATGGTTTTAATTTCTCATGCTATTCTACAAAGCCCCGGAGAGTTCTGATTCGACGCTGATTGTGACAGGCAATAGTTGCGCACAACTTACAAGACCCAATGTCGAGTCGTGTAGTGGATGTCCAAGGGAGAAAGGGCAATCCTCCTTGGGGCAGGGCAATGAAGGTGAATCCTCTTGGGCCTTGACATTAAATGGGCAGTCGTACATACAACACCCTCCACGTCATTCTGAAGTATTTACCCATGAATCGTTCCACTTGGAGTTTCTCCCTCTCGCTGTATCATCTTTACCGCCGCAACAACGGGGATGGGCCCGTGAGCGGGACTGACTGTACTTATTATCTTGAGACCTCCACAACCCTGCGATGCAGAGGCTCTGGGAGGCGTGGTTTGCACTACTGAGGAGCTACCCCCCACGTTAAAAACAAAACAAACAAACAAACAAACAAACTGTATCATCTCTTAAGGAATCACTGTTCTTTAGGTCTACAACCTAAGACGTATAATCAGGAATGAAGCCAGTAGAACAGGTTATGAATGAATTACGGAAGAAGAGGGGGAACACCAATAGGTTTGTTGCAGACCCCGACAAAACTGAGATCATACACTTCTCAAGGAAAAAGAACTCAGACAACCCTCCAGTCCGCCACGGGATAATGAATAAAATAGCCAAGGTTTCCATACGATGGCTAGGTGTCTTTCTGGATAGAAAACTAAACTTCAAAGATCATGTTTCTCACTGGGCCAAGAAAGCTAGTAAGGTAGCAAATCACCTTTAAGGACTATGCAACACAGTTAAAAGACTTCTAGTAAGTCGACCAGGAGGGCTGTGAAAGCTTGTGTTATTCCTATTCTTACACACGGCCTGGAGGCCTGGTACCCGGGAATCAAAAAATTTGGGAGCTTAGGTGGGACATCAGCATGTCGCATTAAGGGGCTTCTTGGAACAATAGATGCTGTACTATAAACGGCGATCAGGGCTATCTTGCCAGTCTGGAAAACACACCCTGGACATATCCTACACTTTGAATTACAGATTCCTCTAGCAGGAGTTCTTGCAGAGTCAATAAGACGACGTCATGGCCTCTGACTAGGACGAATAGACTAGAGACACCCTCTTATTGGCAGGCTCCAAATACAAGCTCGCAAAGAACCAACAAGGCTATAAAGGAATTTCCAGCTAGTCCCTGACTTCCAGAGACCAATACTCACCAAACCATCATAGAAAAAGCCCCCAATCCGAAAAGACAAAGACAAAAAGACAGAGCTCTTCAAGCAATGGCTACGGGAGAGAAATATGAACACTGACCTTGTCATCTACTCAGATGGATCACAATTGGACGACAAAGGCACAACCTGCACTGGATGGGGTTATACCATCAGGAAAGGCGGTATTACACAAGAAGTATACTAGGGAAAAGGCAGACTTCTTTAAACAGAAATAATAAATGCTAAAGTCCATAGTGCTCTCTAAGGTTTCATAGTAATCAGGGCAATTGGACGCGGAAAATAGCTATATATCTGTATGGACAACACGTCAGTAGTAGATGGGCTTAATAGGACTCCACCTGAGACATCACAGAACATTTTTCTATGATTCCAAGAACGTGCCACGGCACACACTCCTGGAGTGACCATCAAGTGGATTCCTAGACACAGAGATATTGATAGTAACGAAGCTACTGACACACTAGCAAAAGAGGGTGCCATGCTAGAAATAGACGTAATAAACCTTCCTATAATCTCTTGGGTTAAAAGAGATCTCAAAAAGAAAGGCAAGAAAGAATTCGATCAATGGTAAAAAGACCAGTTAGAACTTAGGTATCAAGAAGTATACTCACATACAATAACTGAAAGGGGCCTTATATCTTTTGAAAGGAGTACTCTACACAGATTTCTAACGGCCAGATCTGGACATGGCGACTTTGCTAGATATCACGAATGTTTTGGGTATACAGACTCGAATAATCACTGCAACTATGGTGAGGAAAAAACACCACAATACATTTTCTTTTGTAATGGGTTGGGAAAAACCGACTGCTGCACAAGTACTCACCTAGAACAGCCTGTTTACAATACTTGGGGGAGAAGAGCGCGGAATAGGCAAGATTTGTTGAGAAGAGCAAGTTCTTTTTATCAATCTGCCACCGATAGATAGCTGTTCTTAAAGGACCAGATGGATGACCCCAAAGTCATACCGCCGCAACAACGGGGATGGGCTCGTGAGCGAGACTGACTGTACTTATTACCTTGATACCTCCACAACCCTGCGATGCAGAGGCTCTGGGAGGCGTGATTTGCACTACTGAGGAGCAATCCCCCACGTTCAATTCAAAACAAAACAAAACAAAACAAAACAAAACAAAACAAAACAAAACAAAACTTTGGGCACCCAACTTCTTCTTTCCCATCACAGACAGCTGTCTATGATCAGCTTCTCTTTTTCACACGACGTCTCGTGAGTCTCTTCACCAAACCAAGTGCATATTCTCCGTGATCCTTGCAGAGCAACGAGTTGGTCTATATCCGCCTAGAGGCCTGCTAGGTTCACCTATGTAGCAGGCCAGCCCAAATGGATGTGCAAGGTCAAAACCAGTCTCGACCAACTTGCCATAAAGAGCTATCACGGTGGAGCATCAGCTCACTTGCGCAGTTGCAGAAGCTGCAGAAGCATTTGCCAAACCCTCTGCAACGCTTCCCACCAAAGCGCGAACGTGCCAGTGTTAATGGTATTGCCTGGCAGACTGGACACCAAACTTCACGAAGCTGCTGTTGATCAAATTCGGATATCCGAACCAGCCTTTGCGGACCGGATCCCACCCCTGTCGCAATCCCCGCAGTAGACTTCCGAGAATGAGATGGGCCCTTTGCAACCCGACCGAGCCGTGAAAACGATGAGCCTCACGTAGAAAGACTCCGGCTCGGGCACGTTGTCGTTATCGAGCCACATGTTCTATCATCTTGGTGATAACATTGAACACGCCATGGTCTCGCATGGTGTACCCGGCCAGACTGATATCGTCGACATCCCCCGTTGTATTGGTAATGTCTCCATCTGATATGACCAAGACGAACAGAACAAGGTCCCATCTCATGATGGATGGGTTTCTTTCGCCTTTCATGAGGTGGATGGTGGAGTGACCTCGGAGCTCTGGCTGGGTCTGCTCCCGGGTACCGCAAAATCCTTTATTACCGGTACTTCTCGCCATGGGGAGCCTGATCATGCACTAGAGCCTAGACTGATAGGCAGTGGTTTCCTCCCGGCTAGCCACCCAGAAGCTGTGATGCACGGGACGAGTCCGGATTGAGTCGGCACTCGGCAGTATGGGATGCACGTTTCTAGATTTCTAATCTCTTATCGTATTCTCTATGCAGATAGGCTGATAGGTTTCGAGCCCCCCGGTTCAGCGCGAGTAACTTCGCGCACGACAGGGAACGAGATGCAAGTGGTTGCGAAGTCGTAGAGGAGAGGTCATCGCTGAACAATAAACATTGAACCTCGGCAAATGGAGTTTTAGTGAACGTGCCAGGATTGGGTTCCCGTCCCTAGCGTGCAGACAAGTACCGTGAACCGCTAGCCGCATCTGTCTGGGTTTGTGCCTTTTGGTAGCTTTCCCAGATGCTGACAAATCACAAGTCCTGTTTTAATCTATCAGTGGTCTGGGTGGTGCTTGATTAAAAGATCGGATGGAAAGGATTCCATCCGAGATGTATCTAAATACCTAAATTACAGTGGCGAGGTACCTGGGGCAACAAAGGGTTGCCAGGCAGCCTTCATCAGGTAACCTCCAACATATCTGGTGGGGTTACCAGAATACTCCATATGGGTCCATGCACTGGATCCACAGGTTGATAAGAGATAACCTTGATAAGAAGCTTGTTTGTTGCACGTAACATTGGAAGTTGGAACCTGTCTGCACAGAAAATAGTCAAAACACGGTACTCTTATTTCTTATTATTAACCATCAGGGACGGTCATACGGCTTGCGTGCTTCCTCATCTTGTGGGGAGATGATCCACCTGCAGGTGCGGAAAAGGATCGGCAGTACGACCGCAGCCTGCCACGTGCCTGCCTCCTATTCTATACCCGAAGCGGACTCACGCCGGAGCAAAGGATAACCCCTTTCAGTACAGCGAGCCGCAATTGTCCACTTATGATAATACAGCAAGGCGGGATGCGGCGAAGATAACAAAACAAAACGGAGCATTTTGTTCTCGTTTGTGACTGCCGGTCACCAGGTCACGCCGGTATCTCGCCGGTAATCGAAGAAGGATTTGTCCCCTGTCTCTTCCGTCCTTGTCTATCCCCGCAAGACCCTCATCGTGCAATGCTCTCGATGTCGAGTTGGTGATCCCAATGCTACGCCATCACCAGGCGTCTGGGTCGTCGGCCATGCTGTCGATGTGTGGATGACCACGAAATTGACAATCGCAACGCCCTCGGACCCTCCCTTGAGCCCACGGTCAAGTCGCCTCCTGTTTAGCCTCTTGGCGGCACTTAAAACATGTAGCCTCCCACCGATCCTCTCTTCTTGGTTGCTGTACCCCAAGCTCACACTTCCCTACCCTAGTCACTCCTTCATACGTCGTTGGGGTTTTCAAGATGCGTTACACGTATCGATCGTCACTCATTTCTTTACTGGCCGTTGGCCCCCTCGCATGGGCCGCTCCTACGCCCGGTCTTCTTGGGACAATCGCTGATAGCATCCTGAACCCCTTAACTGACGCCGTTAAAAGGTGAGTCGGTCGATGTTTCCGCGGCATTGCTCTTTAAGATCTGAGGACAAGACGACTGATAGTATTTTAGCGTGCTAGAGGGTGACGGTTTTGTTCAAGGCGTTCTGGGCGCTCTCGGCGGTGTACTTGGTGAAGAGGCCGAGTATGACTACGTCGTCGTCGGTGGCGGCACCGCCGGTAACGCCATCGGCTACCGACTGGCCGACGCTGGCTACACTGTCGCAATCCTCGAGGCCGGACTCTACTACGAGATCGCGAAGCCGGTCCTTGGCACGACGCCAGCCACCGATATCATCGGCATCGGGGCCAGCATGCTTGACCAGATACCGACAGTCGACTGGGGGTTCCACACGACACCACAGACGGGTGCCAACAACCGCGAGGTGCACTACGCCCGGGGAAAGTGCCTCGGAGGCTCGTCGGCCCTCAACTTCATGATCCACCACCGAGGCTCTACGGCCTCGTATCAAATGTGGGCTGACGAGGTCGGCGACGACAGCTACACCCTGGACAACCTGATGCCGTACTTCCAGAAATCCGTCACCTTCACACCACCGAATGACGACATCCGCCGCGCCAACGTGTCAACTCAGTATGATGCCTCGGCGTTCGGCAACACCGGCGGCCCAGTAGATGTCGGCTATACGAACTGGGTATCCGCCTTTTCAACCTGGATGGAGAAGGGCATGGAGGCTATCGGCATGAATCGCACCACAGGCTTCAGCTCGGGCGACCTGTTGGGTTTCCATTACTTGCAGTCGACCATGAGCAGTAGCGATCAGACCCGCAGCAGCAGCGCCGAGTACATCTACCGAGCCAACGAGACCGGATCGGATAATTTGAAGGTTTACACCCAAACCCTGGTCGAGAAGATACTCTTCGATGAATCCAAGAAGGCCACAGGCGTCCTGGTCAACTCGCTCGGCATCGAATACACGATACAAGCCAAGAAAGAAGTCATCTTGTCCGCTGGCGCGTTCCAGTCCCCCCAGCTCCTGATGGTCTCGGGCATCGGGCCAAGCGAGACCCTGCAGCAATTTGATATCGACGTCATCTCCGAGCTGAGCGGCGTAGGCCAGAACATGTGGGACCACATCATGTTCGGCCCAGCGTACGAAGTCGAAGTCGACACGCTGGACCGCGTGCTTCACGACCCCGCCGACCTGGCCGACGCACTTGCTTCGTACGTGCTCAACCAGACAGGGCCGCTGACCTCGCCCGTCGTCGACTTCCTTGGGTGGGAGAAGCTGCCGCGGAAGTACCGCGACACGTGGTCAGCCGAGACCATCAAGGCCATGGCGCAGTTCCCCGATGACTGGCCTGAGGTTGAGCACCTTAGTGTGAACGCTTACACTGGTAACTTCAGGTTCCCGGCCCTCCAGCAGCCGCTCAACGGCAACCAGTACGCGACGATCATGGGCGCCATGGTGGCCCCGATCTCGCGAGGCAACGTGACCATCACGAGCGCCACGACCGCCGTGCTGCCCGAGGTCAATCCCAACTGGCTGTCGGCCAAGGCCGACCAGGAGGTCGCCGTCAGCTGGTGGCGGCGCATGCGAGAGGTCTGGAACACGGACGTGGTTCAGGAGATCGTCATCGGCGAGGAGTACTGGCCCGACCTCGGCGTCGAGACCGACGAGCAGATCCTCGAAGTCATCCGGGACTCGCTCATGACGGTGTGGCACGCGGCGGGGACTTGCAAGATGGGCAAGGAGGGCGAAGCCGATGCCGTCATCGACAGCGAGGCCAGAGTTTTCGGCGTCAGCGGCCTCCGCGTCGTCGATGCGAGCAGCTTCCCTCTACTGCCTCCTGGCCACCCGCAGAGCACCGTCTACGCGCTGGCGGAGAAGATCGCCGCCGATATAATCAAGGGCGCTGCCTAGATTTCTGCTTGGATTCGCTGGCTCTGCCCGAGTGGCCGCATACTCGTTAGTGCTCTAATTTGACCCATTCTTGCGGTCGGGAAGAACGGGTGCAGGTGTCAAGTTTCATAATCGATAGTCGTTCTATAGCTACAGTGCAACGGCATTCCTAAGCTGTCCCTTTAATTTTAATCTAATAACATTTCTTGCCCAGTGCCCAGATGCTTGTAAGAGGCGACGTCCATGGGGATTTCGTAGTCAATCGGGAGACCACGACTCGCGAGTTCCCAAGTAATTGGGTTCTTGTATCGAATTGCTTGGTCATGGTATCGCTTCTGGTAAGAATCATATCTGTGTAGGACTCGTCTGTCTGGAAGGCTCTTAACTTCCATAAAACAGTCGACTTGTTCGGACAAAGCCGGAGCTCTATGTCTCGGCTCCTCGCAACCCGCATTGCAAGTGAGGCCTGATTCGGGTGTTTGTCTATGAGATTGGTGCTTTCCAGCAGCTCGCGGCGGCATCTGGACTCGAAAGTTCGTGAATAGCGCCCTGAAGTATAAGATCCAGGGAGATTCCCTCTAGTCTGAGCTGCATGTATCATCAGAGACCTTGAAAAACATCTTTAAAATATCTTTCACCATGACGATACACAATCTCGACTTATCTTCTATCAGGGCACTCTTAGCAGCAGTGTCCCCTACTCTCAACCTTCAGCCACCATCAGGGATACCCTCCGCTAGCGACGCCCATGATCCGCAGGGAACGTTATCAATCCAAGCTGTCACGCGTTGGGATCGATTCAACCATGAAGACATCACTGCAGCCATGGACAGCCTACTCTCAATGCCAATCGGCACGCAGTCGTTCCCGTTCTATGTGGCAGAACGACATATCCGTGGATCTATCTCCTTAGCATTCGACTCGTGGCACTGCGAAATCATCAACCTGATGATTCACCATCTTCTATCCTACGTCGAAGGAGCTGAAATTGACATGGACGGCTTCCTCTTCGGCAACAGAACTTCCACCATTCGACGTGCAACCAGAGATGGAGACAACGCGCGAGGGAAATTGAAGGACGAATGGGAACAACCTGATTGGTCCATTACGACGCATCAGGGGTTTCTAGTCGCCGGCCACGAGGTGAAGGTGTGCCGTTGGAGCTCGGAGTTGCTAGATAATGTCCCAGACGCGAGAGCCTTGGAGCCACTTGCGCAGCTTGGTCATCTGTGCTGGCACGCTCGGACCCGATAAGGTTTTCTCCTCACTGCTACTGAGCTGGTGGCGGTACGTTTCCACAGCGTCGATGAAAGCGGTGGTGCAGCACTGGGAGTGAAGTGGCAATCCGTCCCCTTCAAGAACGGCGGCGGCGGCAAGCTCACAGTATGCCTTGCCCTCCTAACATTAATAATGATGGGCTTGGACCAAGACCACCGGATTATTGATACAGATGAGGACATACAGGAGGAAGAACTTGGTGGGTGCCTGACGAATACTTCCAACCAGTTCCTGATGTTATGACGTGCCAGGGACTTAGAATGGACGAAGACTGAGGCACGCGGGCTATGATGGGTTTATAGACTGAAATAATGCATCAAACAGGCGGGATATAGAAACATGAGATCAAAAGATATCACGTTCCAATCAAACACATCAAGTTCGTTAATCTGGTATGAGTAGTCATCCAAGCGTCGCATCACTGGTCGAGTCCCCTTATCGTCGGTCACATCACTGCCAGTGCCATCCTCCTACGCATCACCGCTATGATAATGCTGAACTATGAGTCAACGATTCAAGGTCTGGCATTCCTGGTCGAAACGTTGAGGGATAGTAGTGAACCTTTCTTGGTATTCAGCGGCTTTGAGGTTGTGGTATCGTAATGAACTTCGTTCGTTTCTTGTCTCAAGTGCACCCACAATACACAGTTGGCTTTGTTCGAAGCTAACCCTGACATACCTGCCATCGCTTCATCTATGTTTCAGCCCAATACCAATACCAAGTCACACATCTCATGCGCCTATAAATGCGCTACGCAAACCCACAGAAACCGAGCAAGCTCTAGAGACGTCTCGAACACCAGGTAATACCATTCATTTCGCATCTACGAGGTGGCTCGACTTGAAAATATGATCAACCTCGACATGCCAACACTCGGAGCTCTGTTCGGACGTAAAGCTCCATGGCTTAATTCGAAGAGCCGAATGGGAATGTACGATGACTACACCGAGCCAGACGTCTATTTGCAGGCAGACCAAATATTCCGATGGGAGGAGTTCACATTTAGACGTTGCTCCCGCGCCCTGAACCCCATTATGACGGCCAAACCCGGTCCAATATCCCTATACTTCCCCGATCGGCGCCACATAGGGACAGTGGACTCCTTTTTCGACGCATGGCAGTGCGAGATCATGAACCAGCTGGCAGTGCAAATGGCACCTAGCCTCCAAAGTGTCCTACCCGCCTTTGAGTGTTCCATGCAGAATTTCCGCTTTGGTCACATGATATCAGAACTCTACCTCGAAAACAGGACGATCGAAGTGCCGGACTGGGGCATGAAGAACGATCAAAACTGGTTCGTCGTGGGTTGTACCATCGACGACTACATGTGGTCAACCAACCAGCCGAGAGTTCGTCGTGGTACGTTTCCACCTTACATCCTTTGGGGCCAGCCCCCGCGGAATAGGTGCAAGGGAAGGCGGTGACGCGGCGGATGAAGAAGAATCAGAGCTGCAGCCCCGACTGGGGGCGCGTTGGCAGTCGGTCCCGTTCCACAGCCATGGCCAGGACAGACTGACGGGGACTTTCGCCTTGTTTGTGCTCTTCTTGGGCAGCTTGAGCCATGAGGATCGCCATATCTGTGATCTAGAGACGACAGAGGCGGATAACTTGTGGGATCGGTTGCGCGCTCTCACAGAGATGATTGCTTGAGATGGTTACCGGAATGTACAATCATGGGTTCTGTAGATATTTCGAAGCTGACAATATTCATCATTCACTCTATACCATGTCTTTCTCTGTAACGACGGCAGTCTTGACACCAGTATATAAATGACAGTCGGGCACATCAAATCGTACCCGTGATAGCACAGAACAGTTGTTGTTGTAACCTTTAACGCCAGGGGGCCTGCCGCATAGCGGCGGCCCTGGGCCTCCAAAAGGGCGCGCGGGAGTGCTAGGCTAGGTCCTATACTATATATATACATACAGCTGCCCAGCTAGCAGGTCTCGTCCGTAGACAGCCACTGTATTTAAACAGCGGTTCCCATCGTGTCCCCCCTCCTCCGGGTAAGGGATGGGGCCGAAGTCATTCCTAATGCTCAGTTTCATAGCATATCCCCAAATTCAAATAGCTCGATTTGTGCTGTAAGGTAAATTCTGCAAAGTTGATGCTCCTACTTTACATGGAAGTACATCACAAAGGAAAAAGATCTAAAGTAGATCCCCTAGACACCGCCCAATCAAAAAGAAAACCTATTATTCTTAGTAATAAGGGCAGATACCACTATAGAATTTTGTGGTCACGAGTAATTCATGGTAACCTGTAGGAGTGTCCATAATGTCACGCAAGTAGCGCTGTCGTTCCGGTCTAGTAGGTCGCCGGGAGGGGCGTAGGAGCCACTTCTTGAACTGCTTGATGGATTTCCGGCAGTGGACGATGTGCTCCGGGGCTTTTGCTCTCCCACAAGAGCATTCACGGATGGCGTCTGGGTGCCCAAATTTGTCGTGATACCAGGCAAAGTCACTGTGCCCTGTACGGGTGGCGAGATAGTGATGTAATGCTGGCCTTGTAAGTACCTGTAGCTCTTCGTGACAGTATAGGTAATAACCAAGGTTCCAGTCCTTATAACGAGACGATAGTGTTATTTGTGTCTTGTCCCACCATTTCTCACCAGCCGTAGCTCCCTTTATTCGCGCCATAGACTTGATGCTATAAGCTGTTGGCGTACAGTCACTATCGATGTCAGGCAGCTTGGAGCCAGCCTTGGCCAGCCTGTCTGTAAGCTCGTTGTCTTTTACGTCATAATGGCCAGGACGCCATTTAACAGTAATGTCCCAGATTTCTGCCGCAGCGTGGAACTTTAGGTAGGCCCACTGACAGGACACCGCGGCGTTGCCGCGGAGCTCCCAGATCGCTCCTGTGTTATCCACGCATACCCAGATCCGGCGCTGGCTCAGCTCCGGAGGGGCCTTGGTCACGTACTGGAGCCCTTTCCAGGCTCCTAACATCTCACCCCCCCCTGCGGACCACCCCCCCACGGACCACTCCACACCACACCACTCTCATTCAGATGAAGCCATCTACAACCACCACAGTTACTAAATACACTAAGGTCGTGGTGTTCTAACCATAATACAGCTCCCAGAATCTGATTCTGACCCTAAATCTTCACCAGGGACCTCTTATGGGACCTCTTTGCCTGCAGCGGAGTCCCTATAGACCCTCCTGTTCCTCAGCTCCATTTTGGCCTCCCTTATGTTAGCCATTGTGACGAATCGTTCCCCTGGTGTTGGTTTGACTGCTTTTTGAGTGGTATTAGCCTTTTTAGCCACTTGAGCCTCAAGCAGCTCACATTTGGCCCGTAGATTTGCAATGGTAGCAGCCTGAACATCCATGGCCTTGCCAGCCTTCCGCACCAACAAGCGCTCAGAGGGCCCCCCAAAGGAAGGGTCCTTTCTTTCGAGCTTTTGAGCACTCTCCTGCAAAGCCCGGCTTCCAGAGGGTGTTGTGATAATGGTTTTAGTTACCATCTCGAGAAAATCTGGTGTTGTGGCTTGCTCGGAAGCCTTAGGGTCCTTCTGGCGTGCACTGGCCACCCCCTTGTCCTCCAGAATCACATATTTCGATTTTAATGCCTCTGCTCGGTTACAAGGAACAATCCCAGTCTTTTTCTAGGCAATTCTGATGTTGAGGAGCGTCATTGTGTCCTTCTGGGCCTGCTCGTAGCACTCCAAAACCTCCTCCTTAGATGGCCTGAGTCCAAGACGGCCGCTGGGCGTCTCCTGGAGTAAGGTCTTTAACCTCTTCTTCACCAAATTGAAGACTCCCACATCTAATACCTGGACTATATAGGAGCAGTGAGGTTCATAAAAGATCAATCATACGACACTCTTACCAAAAACAACTATTTTTCTTGGCGCCCCGCTGTTAGGGCGCAACCTCTATATCTGCACTAAAACAGGCATTTATTTCAGTACCTGACTATCCTTGCCAAGGCGCAGAAAATTTTTCTCACAAGCTGGATGGCACCCCTTCACGATAGGCCCCCAAATACGCCAGTGGCCGTCCCAAAGACGACTACTGGCGGCGTGCTCAAATCCCCGGTCCCTAAAAGAACATATGGCCCGGCAACCCCAAGCAAGCTCCGCCAGGCACTGCTCGACGACATCAACAGCAGCCCGTCACAAGTCTCTGAGGCTGACTTCACCATTGTTTCCCCTCTGAAAGGAAAATCCCGAAATATTAATACTAGCAGCATCATTGATATGGAAGTACCTCAATCAAACGAAATCTCTACAGACCAAGCCATTGGAGGCGATACAGGGAACAAGGTCTCTTCCTCAAAGTGCCAGGACCAAGTAGCCAAAATACTGGCTAAAGACAAGCATCTCTATGAAGCCAGGATGACAATGTTTCAAGAGTGTGCTGCAGCAGTCGATAAGACACTGGAAAAAGCTGGAACCGAACTATACTCTCATGCCAAGGAGTTCAGCGCTTTCTTCTCCAAATGCCTGAACGAGTGGCTGGAAACCCGAGATCTGCCCAAAAGAAAGACCACTCCTGGCGGGATAGGGATAGGGAAGCCCACCATGACCTTCGCCCAAGCTGTCTCCTCTGGCCAACGACAGCATCCATGGACAGTCAACACTACCATGAAGAAAACACAGCCTGGCGCCCTCATCACTGCCAACCAACTGAAGAAGAAGCAGGATGATCTCCGGGTCTTTGTCCGCATGGATAATAGCCACCTAGAGCCTTATGGAATCAAGTCTACACTGAACAGAAGACTTAAGCTCCACCCTCAGGAGCTTAGAGAAGTGACACGATGTCCTTCTGGTTTTACCTTACACCCAAGGGACAAGCCAACTCAGGCTAAGCTTCTGGCTTTCCAAGAAGAAATTGCCGACATTCTCAAGGCACAAAAGATTGAGACCCACACAGTCTGGCATCATTACAAGGTCAATGGATGCCCAAGAAAGGTCATCAGTGCAGAAGGGTTCACAATCGATATTACTGACACTGTTGTTGCCGATGAAGTTGAAGCCCAAACAGGCGACAGACCTCTGAGGTGCATACTCTCAAAGAACACGATTGATTCTGATCCAGAAACTACATGGATAATCTCTCTGCCCAGTGCAGCAAGGAAACCATTCACGCTTTTTGCCCACTCAATGACCTCAAGGCATATTCAACACACCCCCAAGGTTCACCAGTGTGCAAGCTGCTTCAGATACCATGGTAGGAATTACCGATGCGAAAAGCAAGTATGTGCACACTGCGCCAACACAGTACACCAGGGAGAGTGCGAAAAACCAATCCCAAAGTGTGTCAACTGCAAAGGACCTCATGCTGCCAACTTCGACAAATGCCCTGCCCGCCCCAAGGTTGTGAAAGGTACCATCCATAAGCACACATGGGAGCAAATCCAGGAAATAAGGCTAGCCGGAGAAAGAGCCAGATCCAAGGCCTTCAACGAAGCAGGCAGAAACCAAGCTGGGTCAACACCTAGCAATAATAACAAAGACACCACAATGCAAATCGACACAACAGATACAACTCATCCCAGAGATGCCGATACCATTGTTGTCAGTCAATGTTAGGTACATCAAACGAAACACATCGACACGGGCATCTAGTCATCCATTCTGTGAATACAGCAGGGGGACAAAAGAGTGCAGGCCCTACAGAGTTAGCCATCAATCTGGCTGACTATAAAGGAGAACAAGCAGACATCATTCTGATGCAAGAGCCCTGGGTTGGCATACCACCAGGCAGGAGAATGGGAGTAAAGACACACCCCAATTACGATATATACTCCCCAGTGGATTCCTGGGACAGCGACAGTACACGGCCCAGATCTCTCATCTATGTGAGAAAATACCTTTAAGCGGATCAACTTCGGCCCTATGCTACACGAGACATCACCTGGGTCAAGGTACAAGGCATTACATTTGCCAGTGTCTACCGGCCATGTGACAACCCACAGGAAGTGGATGACATTCTGGAAGTATGGACTCCACCTTTTGGCTGCGTTATAGCTGGAGATTTCAATGCTGGCGACACATCCTGGGACTCAAGCAATCCAGGATATCATGGTGGTACTATACTTGCACAAACTATGGCAGACCACGGACTGGATCTGATTTCTGAACCAGATGTCCCGACACATGATGACGGAAATGTACTAGATCTGGTGTTCTCTGATGTCCCCATGGCTGAAGCCTCAGTCAATGATGCACTTCAGTGCACCTTAGATCATGAGACATTACGAATAGTCATTCCAATCCAGGGAGATCTGGACCGAGTACCCAAGGCCAATCATTGGATAGTACCGGACGATAAACTACAGGAGCTGGCAGATAATGTCCAAACCAGGATTCATGAACTCCCCCGGCTGGGTGTATCCCCTGGCCAGGTGGACACCTTTACACAAAGCCTGATCAACATGATCCAAGGCTGTATCAGGACAGTGGGCAAGAGGCCCCGTCAATCTAGGCCCACTGCTTGGTGGAATGATGACTGCAAAGCAGCTGTTCAGACATACAGGGCCCTTTCCAAACAGACTACAAGCCAAGAAGGACGGAATTCAGCCCGACGGGAATTTCGCGGCGTGGTTCGGAAAGCTAGGAGAGAGTACTGGCAGACTCTAATCAATTCAGCAACTGAGCCAAAGGACCTATACAGAATCGTCTCTTGGCACAAGTTATCAGCAGGATTGCGTTCCCCTCCAATCATCATAGGAGACCAAATATTCGAGTCACAAGAGAGCAAGGCAAATGCATTACGCTCAGCCACGCTTGAACGAAGTACCTCAGACAACGATATCATCGACCCCTGGTCCGCTCAGATCGTACAACCCAAGCCACACATCCCCCTTGAATACCACGTCGGACTGGAAGAGGCTGAAGGGTGCACTTTAGGAACCAAGAGCAACTCCCCGGGAGTAGATACCCTCACAGTACGGATTCTGAAAGCTTGCTGGCCAGTCATTGGTGAACATATCAGAGCCCTTTTCCAGACCTGCCTACTGATTGGACACCACCCTAAACCATTCAAAGTAGCTGAGGTGGTGATGATCCCAAAACCAGGAAAGAAAGACTACTCCAATCCCAGGGCCTACAGACCAATATCGCTACTGTCATGTCTTGGCAAGGGCCTAGAACGACTCATTGCGAAAAGAATTACCTGGTTTGTTGTCAAACTTGGAATTCTAGCCCCACAACATTTTGGAGCTCTACCAAAGCGCTCTGCCACTGACCTGGTAGCTGCACTCATACACGATATTGAGCAGGCCCTTGACCAAGGCCTCGTTGCAACGGTAGTCACATCAGATGTGAAAGGGGCCTTTGATGCTGCCCTAATGGGACGGCTGGTGGTTCGCATGAGAGAACAGGGCTGGCCAGGCTTTCTCATAAGATGGGTCCAGTCGTTCATGTCCGAGCGGTCCGCAAGAGTTCGGTTTGAAGGTACTGTGACCGATATAAAAGCTCTCACTTGTGGGCTCCCACAAGGCTCACCAGTCTCTCCAATCCTCTACATGCTGTATACAGAGCCAATCTGTGCCCGACTTGGCATGAAAAGAAGACGCTTTGGATATGCAGATGATCTAGTAACACTCTGCATTGGAAAGAACCTTAAAGAAACAGCTGCAGAGGCTTCTGAAAACCTTTATTTGCTCAACCAATGGGGACATAACAATGCTATTGAATTTGATCCCGACAAAACCGAGATCATGCACTTCTCACGGAAAAAGAACTCAGACAATCCCCCAGTTTGCCACGGAACAATGAACAAAACAGCTAAGCATTCCATGCGATGGCTAGGTGTCCTTCTGGATAGGAAACTAAACTTCAAAGACCATGTTTCTCACTGGGCCAAGAAAGCTAGTAGGGTAGCAAATCACCTTCGAGGACTATGCAACACAGTCAAAGGACTTCCAGTAAAGTCAACCAAGAGGGCTGTGAAAGCTTGTGTTATTCCTATTCTCACACATGGCCTGGAGGCCTGGTACCCAGGAATCGAGAAAACTGGGAGCTTAGGTGAGACATCAGCATGTCGCATTAAGGGGCTTCTTGGAACAATAGATGCCGTACTACGAACGGCGATCAGGGCTATCTTGCCAGTCTGGAAAACACACCCTGGACATATCTTACACTTTGAATCGCAGATTCCCCCAGCAGGAGTTCTTGCAGAGTCAATAAGACGACGTCACGGCCTCCGACTAGGACGAATAGATCAGAGACACCCTCTGGTTGGCAGGCTCCAAATACAAGCTCGCAAGGATCCAACAAGGCTACAAAGAAGCTTCCAGCTAGTCCCTGACTTCCAGAGACCAATACTTACCAGGCCATCATGGAAGAAGCGCCCAATCCGCAAAGACAAAGACAAAGAAACAGAGCTCTTCAAGCAATGGTTACAAGAGAGAAACGTGAACACTGACCTTGTCATCTACTCAGATGGATCACAGTTGGATGACCAAGGCACAATCCGCACTGGATGGGGTTATACCATCAGGAAAGGCGGCACTACACAAGAAGTATACCGGGGAAGGGGCAGACTTCTACAAGCAGAAGTAGTAGATGCTGAAGTCCATGGTGCTCTCCAAGGTCTTGCAGCAGCCAGGGCAATTGGACACGGAAAACAGCTATATGTCTGCCTGGACAACACGTCAGTGGTAGATGGGCTCAATGGGACTCCACCCGAGACATCACAAAACATTTTTCTACGATTTCAAGAACTTGCCACAGCACACACTCCTGGAGTGACCGTCAAATGGATTCCTGGACACAGAGATATTGATGGCAACGAAGCTGCCGACACACTAGCAAAAGAGGGTGCCATGCTGGAAACAGACACAACAAATCTTCCTATAATCTCTTGGGTCAAGAGAGATCTCAAAAGACAGGGCAAGAAAGAGTTCAACCAATGGTGGAAAGACCAATCAGAATCTAGATATCAAGAAGTATACTCACATGCAGTAACTGAAAGAGACCTTATATCTTTTAAGAGGAGTACTTTACACAGACTTCTAGCGGCCAGATCTGGACATGGCGACTTTGCCAGATACCATGAACGCTTTGGGCACACAGATTCAAATGATCACTGCAGCTGTGGTGAGAAGAAAACACCACAACACATTTTCTTTTGTAAGAGGCTGGGGAAAAATCGGCTACTGCCTAGGCATTCGCCTAGGGCAGCTTGTTTACAATACTTAGGGGAGAGGAGCACAGAATGGGCAAAATTCGTGGAGAAGAGCAAGTTCTTTTTAACAATCTGCCCCCGATAGATAGCCTTCCTTGAAGGACCAGATGGATGACCCCAAGGTCATACCGCCGCAACAACGGGGATGGGCCCGTGAGCGGGACTGACTGTACTTATTATCTTGAGACCTCCACAACCCTGCGATGCAGAGGCTCTGGGAGGCGTGGTTTGCACTACTGAGGAGCTACCCCCACGTTAAATACAAAACAAACAAACAAACAAAAGATCAATCATACTTTGTTTCTTAAGCAGGTGGCTAGGAACTCGTCATTCGTGTGGGAGTTGTGGCCATCACACACCAAAACCACCCATGTGTTGCTGTGGACCTCCTAAATATGAGGAATAAAGATACGTTGAAGCCATTCTAACGTAATGGGATTCGAGGTCCATCCATTGGGCGACGTAATAAACCTCCAGTCAGTGAATTTGCCCTCGTTTTGGTTGCTAAACCACTGGGCTTGTACATTAACCCCTTTAAGAATCACCAGCGGCGGCAAGGTCTCACCAGATCCGCTCACACACTCTAGAGCAGTTATCTATTCATTTTTTTCAACCCCTTTCTTCATAGCCACGTTGCCGGAGGCCTCGGAGACCACCCAATGGGAGTCCCCAACCCCCTGGGTGATTCCCATTTCGTCGACGTTGTACCAGCGTGCTGGCATGAGGTTAATCACGTCAGGGGCGTCACACTGATCGAAAAAAATATTGATATTTGCCGCTGTAGCACCATTCACTTGGTTGTAGTCAATAACACGAGACTTTATTATCTTGACTTTGGGGTTTCAAGACAGGAACTTGGATGCCCAATTTTTCCCTAATTCTCGAGCATCCCCGGTGGCATGGAGCATCCGCTGGGTCATGAGACGGAACTTAGAGACCGCCGGAGAATATCCTAGCCGTGCTTGCCCCAGGGCCGAGCTTGCCAGCTTATGTTCGAGATACGGTGAGAGAGCCTGTTGAAGAGCGCTGGTCTCATTCCGCGTTGGGGTGCCAGAGATTCGTCGGTTGACGTACGAGCGACTGATTTGCCATTCGAGGGCTGACAAGCGGACTGGAGCTCCGCGTTGGATGGCCAAAATGGCGGCTTCAGCTTTTATTTGACGGTCGTAAAATGATATCATGAGATTCAGTAGTGGATAAGGATTCAAATAGTGTGCTTTGTGGAAAAAAAGATGTAAAAGTGATGGTGTAGATGGTGGATCACCATAATCCTGGTGGTTGGTGAATTACGCGTTTGTGGGTCAGAACGCGCTGGTCCGCGGGGGGGTGGTCCGCAGGGGGGGTGGGAGATGTAAGTGCTGGGAAAATGTCCGAATCCCGAATGCCATGATAAGAGCGCGGCAGATTGTGAACGGGATGGAGCGCCTGGCGAGGGGTATGATTGAGAAGTTTAGAAGTGACAGTCATTAGATAGCTCGGGGTAGATATTGTCATTGTGATGCATCATGTTGTCTCTTTGTTCAAGAAAATTGCCGTCTTTGTCCCGGAGGCTCATCCAACAGAACTATGAAACAGTGTCCCTTGTTTCTTCATTTTCCTCACAGTTGTTGCCAATGCGTTATAAATCCAAGATTCCTGACGAACCTCCGGCACTGCTTCTCAAGTCAGACAATCGCTTACCCTTCCACTAAAATTACTCTTCGTTCTGACCATGTCGATTTCTAATGCTGCCGGTTATGCAGAAGCCCATTACCACCGGTGTTTGGAGCATCTCATCTTCCTATACGTTTCCAACGAGCGGAAGTTTCTGAAGTTCGGTCTCGATCCCACACGTGCTCGCACGAAGTACGAGGAATTCTGTACATATTACGACCAAGAACGAGCACATATAGAAGCCACGGAACCCACGGATACAGAAGCCATATAATTCAGGCGGCTGAATGAGTGGTTGAAATCACACGTCAAAAACGCCGAGTTCGCATGCGACGTTGAGAAGTCGATGACCCAAATTGTACGTTGCATATCCTCCTCTCGTTAGAAACGAACCTTCATGACAGTTTCGCTAATCTTCGCCTAGGACGACTACATCAAGACTCGCCGACCGCCAAGCAGTGAAGGCGGTATTGCTCAAACCGCCAGACCTTTCGCGCTCCACAACTGGAATGGGGATAGCTACATTGTGCCTTTTGACGAGCAGGTCACAGCGCTGCGGTTGCTACATTGGAATATCGCCACCAGCTGGCACCCCAAGGACATCAACTTCCTGGCTAGCCAGAACGTCGAGGAGAAAAACTGGTACCACGACTGGTCGCGCCTGGAGCCGGTCAGTGGTACCTGGGCCGAGTATCAAGAGAGCCATAGTAACTCACCACTCACTGACCTCGAAGACCCAGATCGAGTAGCGAAGCCGTGGGTCTTGGTCGAGGAGGTGGCCTCTTCGATCAGCGATCCCGGCCCGGACATACTGGGACTGCACGAAGCTGACCCTGATAAGACGCACTGGATGCATACAGACCACGTGAAGAGATTCATGATAGCGTTGGTCGACGGGATCATGAACAGCGGAACTTGGCGTTCGCTTGGTCTCTCCCCGGGCACTTCGGCAGACTTGCAGGTCATCTTTGCCTTGAAAGTTTGGGAAATTTTGAAATACAGAGGCATGCCATCGAATACTCTGATGGACACGCTATGGAACTACCGCTAGACACTGACCCCGATCTGAAAATCCGAGACTGATCACCCAGGCGCTCCTGTTCATCAATGAATAAACAGATGCATCGTGAGTCAGCCCCTCTCCCTCAACACCGACCCCCTTCACCCAAGTGACACCATGTAAAGATTTCTGATAAAGTGCCCAGCTGTGATCCGTGATGCTTGATCAACGCCCGCCTGTCCTGATTCCGCGGACAGACGAGGACCTTGCAAGCTGCACGTCCAGCCGCGAGCGGCGAGGGCAACGACACGTTATGCCGTGCATTCGCACTTCCAAAGAACCGTGCCCTTCGCGCATCGCCCACCCCATTGGGTAAGCTCGTCGCATGACTTGTAGCAGCTGTCCTGCGACACGTAATGGGACCTGCAGGCTCCGCATTTGCACTCATAGTCGCCCTTTCTCCCTTTGCACGTGCCTCCTATACCCCCTTTGTTAAACAGCGTGTATTATGGTTCATCTGGTTGATAACGTGTATTCTGGTGATTCTTATTAGAGTGTGTGTTTCTGAAGGATCTGCTGTCGTAAGCTGCAGGGCCCGAAATTGCCCTAGAGGCCCTGTTGGTGCACTGCCACTTCCCTGAACGCCACTGTGGCTTGCGTGCCATTTGACACCCTTCGCACTCTCTTTGGCAGTTGCTAAGCGCAATATTGGTGTCCTCGTCGTCGCTGTCATGGTACGTAGCGCCGCACACATCCCCACGCTTGAATATTTCGCTGGCCGCGGTAATACTGTTGCTGCTGTCCGTGGGGGTTGATGAGGCGACAAGCACGAAGGAGAGCCCGAGGAGTAGAAGCTGTGGGACGGAACGGAGGTGCATCTTGATCTGGTTGGACCTTTTGCGGCTTTGGTCTCGTTTGATGGCGACGTTTTGTAGGCGGCGGTGTATTCTTGCGGACGATGCGTTAACGAAGATGAAATGTGACGTGCCAGGACGCGAAAACGTTCAGTTTTATAACCCGGGCCCTTTCCTAAACGTCGAGTCTAAGGCAGGCAAAGTGCAAGTGCTAGAGGTCGCATCATTAGTTCTAACAGCATGTGCATGTAATCCTTCTTTACTATCTTTAGCCATCAGGATCTGTCTGCCAGAAGCACTCCACATTACGATGTCATTCGCAGCGTAGCTAGCACAGTCCTGGTAACAGTATCATCTGATACAGGTAGCAAGTATGGTAATGGTTAGCGGTTCCAGGACATGGGTCTGAATTCAATATGATGCCTGTAACTCCCATGTTAAAGACATGCCTGATAATAGAAACGTTATGATGAAAAAGTTCCATGAGAAAGTTCCTAATGTATCGTGTAAAGTTGCTGTAGCAAGCATCCTACTTCGCAGGGGATAATGGATGACGTAAGTAATGAGCTCGTGGAGGTCGACAGAGTGCTTGGGGACCACGCCGAGTGATAAGTTACTAACTACCTACTGATCGCGGACCGGAGACCTTGATGGGACGCCATTATGGCTCTCGCTCAGGATAAAGACCGCGGCCGCGATCGAGAACCCTCGCTGCACTTTCTCACAAGCGTCCCCTTTTTTATGTAGAAGCACTGTAACGACGTGCCTGGATTTTGCATAGCGACTTGCAGTTGCCCTGATACGCGATTGCACTTCTCATTTGGTCGTCGGCCACATGTTCACGAGGTACTTCCAGTCGTTCGGGACGGAGAGCAGGGCTAATGGTGAGCTCGAGCTCCTTATCTGCATGCACCCTTTGGCATTCAACGTCCCTGTCAACCCGAACATGTTGCCGATCGAAAAGTCATCCGGTTGTCCTGCTTCTGGAGACCGGCTTCAACGGCATTGGGTGCTTTGTGGTGTTCAGAGTCTTCAAGTTATAGCCTTAGCTGTTCGAAGTCCTTCAATCACAAGTTAAGCAAATACTGCGCTGTGGGGGAGATGATATAGTCATGTCAGCTGAGGATGCTTTATAGGGCGAAATAGATTTGTAAAATGGACTAGTATATAAGACGGTGGTCTGTCGCGACCTGGGCGCGCCGGGCTGTGCGATCGATGCCGGTCCAGTGTACGCCCCGAACAGACCCAAGCCCATTCGCTGACCGCACTGGTCATCATCGGACATGATCATCGTGTAGGGAACAGACGCTGGAGTCTAATGTCTTATGCACCCGTGATCTGCTTTCCTGTTGATGTCTAGAAGAAGTCGTGAGATACCTTATGAACGCCATCCAAGTCGCGATATGCAAATGCAAGTGTTGAGTATAAGTCATTAGCCACAATAACACTTCACTAGTCACGACCCGCTGATTCCCGATGCCATAGTGTGGCGTCCAGCCCGCCAGCGCACGGTGTCCAGAAAGAAAAAAACCAAAAGTGAAAAAAAAGTTAAAGCGACATGTTTCTTTTTCAGCAACGCATCAGGAATTGAGCCCAATGCGGGGGTCGAACCCGCAGCCTTGAGATTAACTATCTGTTAAGAGTCTCACGCTCTACCGATTGAGCTAACCGGGCGGATGTTTGATGGAAATCACCGCCGTTATGGTTGTATCTATAGCCGAGCGGGTGAGGTGAAGATTTTTCACACATGGCCCACTCACCGCTGGTGCAGAGTCTGAGTGTGGTCGGTAACTCCGTGTTTGCAGCAAGTATCCGCAGGAAGGTCGCAGGACCATGGACCCATTCAGAGGTTTGTGCCCCATCGATGTACATCGAGAGACGGCGTCCCTCTGGTTGGAACTCTACCACACGTCTAGACTGAGCTAAAGACTGCTTCACTATCGCAACTTCGCAAGGAGAAGGGAGTGCTCGAAGGCCGTTGTGATATCATATATACCTACGCGATTGTTCCTACATCTGGAAGATTGCTCGTGTTGCCATCATTTTAAGTAAGAGTGCCGTAGTCACCGTTCGGCGTCGCAACTGTTCTGTGCTTGGGATGGCAACAATGCCGGACACAAAAGACATCCGGTCCAAACAAAGTCTAGACGACTACACAGCCAAACTTACCGAAGTGATACGGTCGGCGCTTCTAGCGGTGGGCAAACCGGCTTCTAACGGGGGACACACAGCCCCCTGGTGGACTGACGAATGCAAAGCTGCCTACGACGTCTACAGAGCGTTTGAGGCCATTAGGTGCCCGGGGCAGCAGGAATTCACGGAAAAGCACCGTCATTTCCTTGCAGTGGTACATAAGGCGAAACAGGAATACTGGAAAAAGATCATCAACTCGGCCAATACCGACAAAGCTCTATACAAGGTTATCGCCTGGTACAAGCTAGGTCCATGGCTCAAGGCCCTGCCGCTCAAGGTGGGTGATCGAGTAATAGAATCTATTGAAGAAAAGGCAGAAGTGCTGCAAGAAGAGATCCTGGGCCGCTTCTTGAGCGCAGACGACCTGGACTACCATTCCCTGGAAGGCTGGCAAGAATCGGAGGCAAAGCTCTACTGGGAGACGTCGGCTATATTAGAGGAAGTTGAGCAGTATACAATAGGGGTATCTAGCACATCCCCTGGTGTAGACGGCATCACGGTACGCCTGCTCAAGGCATGCTGGGAGCATATCAAGAACGCTATACACGCGGTCTTTGAGAAGTGCCTCTAACTGCACCATTACCCTGTAACCTGGCAGGATGCAGATATATCAATGATACCTAAGGTAGAGAAAAAGGACTGCTCTTCGACGCGGTCTTGGAGACCAATCGCACTTCTCTTTTGCCTGGGCAAGGGCCTGGAACGGATGTTAGCCAAGAGGATGGCCTGGACAGCGCTTTCATAAGGACTGTTCAGCTCACAGCACGGCAGCGCTCTCCCAAAAAGAGCATGCATGGACCTGGTGGCCTCTTTTACCCACGACGTGGAGGCTGCACTGGCCAGGGGTCTCAAGGTCTCGATGGCTACACTTGATGTACAGGGTGCGTTTGACGCCCTGTTGATGAGGCGTCTACTACTACGGATAAGAAAACAGGGCTGGCCGATAGACTGCCTAGAACTGGTGCAGTCTTTCCTAAAGAAATAGCGCGCCAAGGTACGCCAAGAACGAACATCTACAGACTTTGGGGAAGTGCACTGCGGCACTCCCCAGGGCTCACCATGGTCACTGGTACTCTACATGCTATACCTGGCTGAGGTACTACATCAGGATCCAGACCTATGCTTTGGGTATGCTGACGACATAGCGCTCTATATGGTGTCCAAGTCGTTGCAACGCAACCTGGATCTCTTAGCCGACGACCTCAAGCAGGTCTTACAGTAAAGAGATAAAAACAAGGTGTTCTTTGCCCCTGAGAAGTGTGAGCTATTTCATATTACTAGGGGCCAAAAAACTACCAACCCTCCTATAATAATAGGTGAAAGGCTTACTATCTACCTAATACAAGAGCCGCAAGGCAGCGAGAAAAAGCCAGCACTGCGGTGACTAGGGGTGTGGTTTGACCGGAAGTTTACCCTGAAGAGACATATTACTGAATATGTGTACAAGACAATGCAACTTTGCAAGCACATACACAACCTAGCTAACACAAAAAACGGACCATCAGCGTCCGGGCTACAAAAGGCTGTGATTACCTGTGTCATCTTAATAGCGCTATACGGTATAGAGGCATGGTACGGCGGGCAGAAAAAGCCCATAAACAACGTTTCCTTAGCAGGAAAGTCAGAGATTAGTGCCCGTGTGGGAGGGCACATTGCCATGATACAGCGAGCCCTCACCATGGCAACGCGTGCAGTGCTCCCTGTATGGCGCACTACCCCCACCTACACGGTCTACAGAGACACCGGATTCCCAACGGCAGAGACAGCTCTGGACCAGGCCCTGTGGCGCTTTACGTACAGGCTTCGAACTGTGGATAAGCTACACCCTCTTACGAGGCGGATCGACCTACCGGCCATCACATGGGGCCGGGGTGCGGGCGGGTTTAAACGACCTAAGACCAAAGTCCAGGTGGTAGCACGCATGCTACCCCCAGTGTAACGGCCCTTATTAGTGCCACCAAGATTCATGAGAGGCTGCAAGGCCGATCTAATAAGGGGTCAAACCAAAGAACAGGCGGCAGAGTCCTTTAAAGCATAGTTTTAAACACTGTCCCCAGAGGATGTGGTGGTGTTCTCAGACGGATCAAAGGACAGAATATGCATAGGATACGGCTATGTGGTATACCAAGGCGGGCAACTCCTTGCCTTAAATAAGGGCCGCCTCTACCCGTGCTCCATTGTATTCGATGCAGAAGTAGTAACATCTCCCACCCCCCTGCGGACCACCCCCCCGCGGACCAGCGCGTTCTGACCCACAAACGCGTAATTCACCAACCACCAGGATTATGGTGATCCACCATCTACACCATCACTTTTACATCTTTTTTTCCACAAAGCACACTATTTGAATCCTTATCCACTACTGAATCTCATGATATCATTTTACGACCGTCAAATAAAAGCTGAAGCCGCCATTTTGGCCATCCAACGCGGAGCTCCAGTCCGCTTGTCAGCCCTCGAATGGCAAATCAGTCGCTCGTACGTCAACCGACGAATCTCTGGCACCCCAACGCGGAATGAGACCAGCGCTCTTCAACAGGCTCTCTCACCGTATCTCGAACATAAGCTGGCAAGCTCGGCCCTGGGGCAAGCACGGCTAGGATATTCTCCGGCGGTCTCTAAGTTCCGTCTCATGACCCAGCGGATGCTCCATGCCACCGGGGATGCTCGAGAATTAGGGAAAAATTGGGCATCCAAGTTCCTGTCTTGAAACCCCAAAGTCAAGATAATAAAGTCTCGTGTTATTGACTACAACCAAGTGAATGGTGCTACAGCGGCAAATATCAATATTTTTTTCGATCAGTGTGACGCCCCTGACGTGATTAACCTCATGCCAGCACGCTGGTACAACGTCGACGAAATGGGAATCACCCAGGGGGTTGGGGACTCCCATTGGGTGGTCTCCGAGGCCTCCGGCAACGTGGCTATGAAGAAAGGGGTTGAAAAAAATGAATAGATAACTGCTCTAGAGTGTGTGAGAGGATCTGGTGAGACCTTGCCGCCGCTGGTGATTCTTAAAGGGGTTAATGTACAAGCCCAGTGGTTTAGCAACCAAAATGAGGGCAAATTCACTGACTGGAGGTTTATTACGTCGCCCAATGGATGGACCTCGAATCCCATTACGTTAGAATGGCTTCAACGTATCTTTATTCCTCATATTTAGGAGGTCCATAGCAACACATGGGTGGTTTTGGTGTGTGATGGCCACAACTCCTACACGAATGACGAGTTCCTAGCCACCTGCTTAAGAAACAAAGTATGATTGATCTTTTATGAACCTCACTGCTCCTATGTAGTCCAGGTATTAGATATGGGAGTCTTTAATTTGGTGAAGAAGAGGTTAAAGACCTTACTCCAGGAGACGCCCAGCGGCCGTCTTGGACTCAGGCCATCTAAGGAGGAGGTTTTGGAGTGCTACGAGCAGGCCCAGAAGGACACAATGACGCTCCTCAACATCAGAATTGCCTAAAAAAAGACTGGGATTGTTCCTTGTAACCGAGCAGAGGCATTAAAATCGAAATATGTGATTCTGGAGGACAAGGGGGTGGCCAGTGCACGCCAGAAGGACCCTAAGGCTTCCGAGCAAGCCACAACACCAGATTTTCTCGAGATGGTAACTAAAACCATTGTCACAACACCCTCTGGAAGCCGGGCTTTGCAGGAGAGTGCTCAAAAGCTCGAAAGAAAGGACCCTTCCTTTGGGGGGCCCTCTGAGCGCTTGTTGGTGCGGAAGGCTGGCAAGGCCATGGATGTTCAGGCTGCTACCATTGCAAATCTACGGGCCAAATGTGAGCTGCTTGAGGCTCAAGTGGCTAAAAAGACTAATACCACTCAAAAAGCAGTCAAACCAACACCAGGGGAACGATTCGTCACAATGGCTAACATAAGGGAGGCCAAAATGGAGCTGAGGAACAGGAGGGTCTATAGGGACTCCGCTGCAGGCAAAGAGGTCCCATAAGAGGTCCCTGGTGAAGATTTAGGGTCAGAATCAGATTCTGGGAGCTGTATTATGGTTAGAACACCACGACCTTAGTGTATTTAGTAACTGTGGTGGTTGTAGATGGCTTCATCTGAATGAGAGTGGTGTGGTGTGGAGTGGTCCGTGGGGGGGTGGTCCGCAGGGGGGGGTGAGATGTTTCAGCTGTTATTATCAGAATGGTAATCAGTCAGGCATACCTCCCCTGGGGAGGCAGCGACGATGTGTGCCTGTTGGACTAAGGAGGCATAGTTCGAGGTAGCTCATATCCATGTCAGATGATTCATCCCAAAGGTCTCGTGTGAAGTTGCGAACTCCGTCCATGAGCGCTGTAGCGGAGCGAGACGGTGAGATGGCCGGATGGGTGAAGTGAGTCAAGTTCTGTAAGATATCGTCTGAGGTCACATGGCATCTCCTGTGACATATCGAGGCTTTATGTGAGATGATAGGTCGGTGTGGTGATAGGGGCTGATAGAGACCTCGGAGTAGTGGCAACCTGAATAGATGTAGGTCAATGGAGTTGGACCAACGGTGATCACCACACGCGCTTGAGGCAGCTCTTTGACGTACTTATGCATATAAGCGGGTATATGTGTTCAAGCAGCACAGCATCCTGCTTACCTAATGCACATGTCTATCAAATCCCCCACACATCGCTGAGTCTCGTGCCGTTCTCATTCCCGGTTCCACCCACTTGACCTTACAGCTCGCGATAATAGGAACAGAAAGACTACATGTTGCGTGTTGGCATGCTGGGAGATGTAGTCGATCTCGATGACAAAGCACTCGGCCGTTCGAAACACGGCCGACGGCCTGTTTCAGATGCACGAATCACCCGGCTCCAGTTTACCCACCTCGAACTCGAATTTGAGTTGATGGCCATGCACATCCATCATTTGAACTCCGAAAGATGACCACTCAGGCCATCGACGAGAACAAATTGCAGTCGCTTTCATCAGCTTGCCATTGTATCGCTTATCATTCTCTGTCAAAAGACGCCGCGTGACGCCATGACAGACGGGACCGTCGTTGCGCAGCTTCCACTTCTGTCTCGCATATACCATGGCGCTTCCATAGCCGCAGTCCAGGGCTTTATGGCTTCAATGCGAATCTACGAGCAGTGGCACTCGTGGTATTATGCGACCGATCTCAATCCGCCGAGCATCGTGAAGACCTACGAGTGTCGACCCAGTTTGCCTATCAGGTACGTCAATCCACGCGAGGCAGGCACTGGAACCCCCTGACAAGGCATTGCGAATTAGAACCTTCTTCCCGGAATCCTACGATCAGACCGCTCCGCAGACTCTGCCCATGCTCTTCAGCATCCATGGCGGGGGCTTCTGCATCGGGGACCCCCAAGATGACGACGCGTGGAACGTGAGCTTCGCCAACGCCCACGACATCCTCGTAGTCGCCCTCAACTACCGCAAGGCGCCGTTCTACCCCTTCCCGACCGCTATACACGACCTCGAAGCCCTAATGCTAGCCGTATACGACGACGAAAGCCTACCCATAAACAAAAGCCGCATTGCAGTCGGAGGCTTCTCGGCCGGTGGAAACCTGACGCTCAGCGTGTGCCAACTACCCTCGATACGCGAGAAGGTCAAGCCAACCGCCGCGCTGTCTATCTACTCCGTCGTAGACCAGAGCATACCGTCGGAAGAAAAGGTCAAAATGCGCTACTACAAGCCGAACCTCGGCCCCGGGCTGCGGTCCAGCCCAACAGATTTCCTCGCGCGCTTCGCCCCGACGTTCACATGGAGCTATGTTCCCGTGGGGGAGGACCTCCAGAATCCTCTCGTATCCCCCTCCTTTGCGCCGCCCGAGACGCTGCCGCTGTATATATTCATCCTCGCCGCTGAGCTGGACCAGCTGGCACCCGAGGCGTGGCGGATGGCGAGCAAGTGGGCAGGGCGGCCGGTACCCCCGCTTACTGAGAAGGTCGGGCAGGAGCAGCCAGCAAGCGAGAAAGGGGGCCTCGTACTCGACGATGAGAGGTTCGTATTCGAGCACATTGGCGGGGATGGCAAGAGCAGCGTGCGCTGGCTGTTGGTACCCGATCAACTCCACGGTTTCGACCATCTTCCGCCGCACGTTCACGGCAGCGAGGAAGCGTTCCAAGACGCTCAGTTGAAGACAAAGAAATATCAGGAACTATTAGGAGATTGGCTGCATAAGGTAGTCTGGAAAGCTTAGGGTACACCGGTGTCCTCGTTACCCAAACACCAAAACGTAACCACGTCTCAAGTACCCACGTGGTGGCGCTGCCGTCACATCCCTTTGTCTGATGCTATTGCAGAGATTCCAGACCAAGGGGCGCTTTGCCAGCCCGCCTCCGTATGATCATAATCTTGAGACTTGTGCTCCCCGACACGTGGGCAACACTTATGGACGTGAACTGCACAGGTGAAGCCATTGGCTTGAACAGCCGTGGCGATATCATCAAGTGTTCATGTATGGGGTTTTCCTTTCATGCTCGGTGTAGAGTGGAAGCCCAGGATTGGCATCTAAGAAAATGGTTTGCTTCTCGGCATCTCGAGATCGACTAGTGGTCATCTGCTTGTCAAACTGGACGATGTCCTCTTGGTCAAAGAAGTAGAAGCTCACGTCTGGTAGCTCCCAATGCACTTTGCTTCATGGTCAAGCTGAGGAGTTCGAAGATTAGGACGACCCCACGGCAAAGGCTCTGGCACAACACCTCAGAGTGTATGAAGGTACGAACTAGTTCGTGGTAATGGGAATGTTAACTTATGGGTCGGAGATAAGGGGCAGCCAGGGCTAATTTCCCGCTTGACCATAGCGGAGCGAAATTTGAACATCCCCGAGTGTATTCCCCGGGAGGCTCGGGATGCGTCTGCACGGAAAATACGGTAACACATATACCTCCACCACTCGGCCATCTTTCTTGCCCACCTCGTCTAAGCAGCGCGAGGAGTTCTTGATCCATACCAAATCTATTTATCTAACCTAGCCGCCGCCAGTCGGTGGTTTGACTGGCATTGGTGCGTGTATTAGTGCTCAAAGTCGCTCTATCGACCGCCCCGGGTTCGAACCCGTCCGTGGTGACGTAGTCCGTGTAGTCTTAGTCGAATCCGCACTCTTGACACCATGATAAAGTTTGCGTGGACGACTGTGATAGTGATGTTATCTGGTTCTTGGCAACTTTGGTACATTAACCCCCTACCACAGTCCAGTGGTTGAGACGACAGCAGCGATGCCATTCCACATCCCCGGCGTCGCTCACTTTCCAGGTGGCCTCCAAAGCGATGGCCACACGAACAAAGTCCCGAATGCACAGGCACCCAAGGCCCGCCAACCCGGATCCTTCCGCGACAATGTCTTCTTCCCAACAAAGTCCTTGCCTGCATATACAGGCCCATACCCAGTCGGCACCATGGAGATAGAGGTCCCGGCCAAGAACCCCCGGACCTTCTCGGGTATCAAACGGAATGGCAAACACCTGCTGCAACTGGAGACCGTGCTCATGACGGTCTACTACCCGGCCGCGAATCGCCGTGACCCAGGAGGGAACCAGCCACCACAGTCGAACGGTGGCAAAGTTTCTCGGGAGCTCTGGCTCGGGAGACCGAGAATCAACATGGCCAAAGGTTATGGGAGGTTCGCTGGAGTGGGGAGTTTGGCTGTACCTCTCTTTCTCCCAGCGATGTTTACCAAATTGCCTGCTTACCGGAATGCGCCGTTAGCGGACTACTGGGCCCCTGAAGTCGACACCAAGACCGAAGGCGTGCATGTCAAGGCTAAGCAAGGTGACAAGCCGGAGGGAGCACCTGACGAGCCGGTGTTCCCGCTTATCCTGTTCAGCCACGGGTTGGGAGGAACCAGAACCATGTACAGCTCAATCTGCGGCGAGTTCGCCTCTTACGGTTTCATAGTCTGCGCGGTCGAGCACAGAGATGGTAGCGGGCCGAGGAGTTACGTCAATCATACGAAACCTCCTCCAGACCATATAAGCGGTAGTATGACGGATAGGGAGCAGACGTCGAAGACGACTGACGGTGGTGGCGTCGAACATACTAAGGAGCAGAGGAAAAAGGGCTACGACATGATTGACTACGTCTTTCCCAAAGACAATCCTTGGGATACATCTCCTAATGACAAAAAGGGTGTCGACCACGAGTTGCGAAACGCACAGATCGATTTACGTTTAGCAGAGCTGGAAGAAGCCTACTTCATCATGCAAGAAATCCACCGCGGCGAAGGTTCTTACGTCGCCGAACGCAATCTCCGCAAGAAAGGCTACAAAGGAAGTCCATCCCGTGGTCTTGGTGGCGTAGACTGGAATCGATGGAAAGGTCGGTTTCATCTAGACAACGTCACGGCTTGCGGGCACTCCTTCGGCGCGGCGACTGTGACGGAGATGCTCAGGCACGGCGACAGGTTTAGCTCTATCTCTCAAGGAATCATCTACGATATCTGGGGCGCTGGAACCAGGCCTTCGGCTCCGGAGGAAGAACCGGAACATCGGATCCACAGCCCTCTCCTCGCGGTCAACAGTGAGGCGTTCACATACTGGCCATCCAACTTCGAGCTCGTGGATAGTCTGATCAAGGAAGCGCAAGCCGGCCCAGACGAGAGTCCTTCCTGGCTCATCACTTTGAGAGGCACAGTTCATGTCTCGCAATCCGACTTCTCACTGCTGTACCCACACGTCTGCTCGCTCGTCCTCAAAATGGTCGCGAACCCACAGCGCGCTCTCGACTTGAACATCAACGCCAGTCTAGAATTCCTCTCCCACGTCCTCCCTGCAGAGCTCGCGCAAGTAAACCGTGCCTACCGCAACGAAGGACTCCTCGAAACAGACCCGAGCCCTCTCGACCGGATTCCCTCCACGCAGCTTCACAGGCCGAACGACAAGTGGATGGCGGCGAGGTTGCAGATCAAGCATGAGTGGATCTGGCGGATCTCTCCCAGTCTCTGGAAGACAGTGCATGGGCGATATACGAAGAAACATGGAAAGGAGCCGGAGACGTTCCAGGAGATCTGGTTGCATGCCAAGCCGACGCCGGAGAGTATTGCGAAGCACCTCGAGAACACCGAGGGCCGGTCGAACGAGAGGAAAAAGAAGTTTGAAGGGGCGCTGCCGATCACGGCAGATGCGGCGGACCACGAGAGGGGTGAGAGGGTCGTTATGAGTCCGAATGGGGTGACATCAGGGCCGTGCTGGGGAGGTGGGCAAGGATTACAAAAGATGAGTGGCTGACGCGGGTTGCTGGAACCAATGTTCTGGCGAGCGGCCGGCCTGGAGGTCTGGTTTGGAGGCATAGGGCTTGTCTGAAAAGTCTGTATCGACCTCTTTATCGCTGTTGCGACTTGCCTTGCACGAAATTGCAGACGCGGCGCTGCACACGATTACGAGAGACGATGCCTTGCCCACTCCACACCCAGCGACGCCGGCGCCGATACAGCGCAACGAAGCGGCGATGGGGGCGAGTGCAGACACCAACGCCCGACATGCTGATCTTTCCGGCTCCCGGTGGTGTGCACGACTTTCCCTGGCCACTGGACACAGCCCTTGCCCGGCAGTCAACAGGCCCGTCCGGAAGGTCTCGCAGACTCCGATGATACCCTTCTAGCCAGCCGCCATACGTCTTCGCAGAGTTGTCACCAGCTGGGCCCCTTGTCAGCTCGACGGGCTCACAGCACACACATTGTATCATTATTTACGTGTAAGGCAGAGATGACGGGCCCTTGGAAGACGTTCTACAATGGCGAACTTAAGCAAACGGAGAAGGTATACACTCTACTATAGGATAGAGTGAAGGATTGAGACGGATGGGATGGTTGCCTGGAAGGATGACCGGCTTAATATTAATCACTAATATGTTTACCGAAGGCTCACCATCGTTGCCTGGAATTCATCATCCACGCCACCCTATGGTCTACGGTTCAATGCCGTATCAGAAGGCGACGGCTCGTAGTCATGTAGTTCCTTAAATGTCTTGCACTGGTCCAGGCATTGGATCTTGCTTGTCTTTGCATCATGCATGTGCCAGCGGCTCCTTGGGCCATACAGTTCTTCCCTCTCTATTATTCAACTTGAGCTCCTGCTTTCAAACCCAGACAGGATGCTCCTGTCTCCGATCAAGCGCCTAAGCGTCTCTGCTTTACTTGCTGTGAGCCATGCCAACCCTTTCTCGGATAATCGCGAAAGGGTTACCATTGGCTATAGAGTTTGCAGCGAGGTATGTTTCCGGCTTGAAATCAGAGTACCCTCCGAGTGGCGTATTCCAAAGCCACGAAGACTGACTTCTTGCTGGACAGGCCGAGGCTCGGGCGACGATCGCAGCTGGCCACCCGACGTATGGTTGGTGGAATAACAAACCTCATCATGTTCTGTCGGTCGGATGGGGCACGTACTCGGCGCTTAATCCCGATGATTGGAAGGCGCTTTACAACGAATGGCAAGTCTTTCCCATAGTTACCTGCTCTTTCATTACTGTATCTAGTTGCACGAAGATGCTAACCCTCGTAATGGGTTACATAGGTTTTGCGTAGTGCAAGCCGACAAGGAAGAGTGGGATAAGGCTCCCAAAGCCAAGATACCCGAGTTTGACGGCAAGAAGTAATTGGAATACCACACAAGTCCGAAACCAATTGTGAGTCAGAGTCGCTGAATCACCAGATTGACGAGCCTTGATCAATCTTTTCGTGAGCCTGGTTTTTAGACGATTAACTTATTGATCTGGGAACTTCACAGGACAACTATATACACAGTCTCGACTCAGACTGGAATTACGAGAACACGATTCGTCTATCACTTTTAGACATGGGTAAGACTCAACACCACAGAATCCTGACTAGATTTGATCCGGGGGCACACTGCTGACGTAAATCATTCCAGAGGACGAAGACGAGCCCGCGCTGGCTCAAATCGTACTGCCAATCGAAGTGCTCCGGGCCAACACGTTGCACCTCACGGCTGTGTGTTTCGGTCACGGGGTCAAGGTAGAGGGCCTGGAGATCATCAAGATGTCCAGCTTCGAGAATGCGAAGGGTGAACTTGGTGACGGGGGCGGGAAATGGAACCCAGATGACTACTAGGTTAGGCGTTATCGGGGTCCTTGTTCGGCTCATTCATTGAGAATATATATGTAATTGAGTACATACCTGTCATCACGGTGCTAAATTGGGCTACGGGAAAACAGGCGGTTCTTTACGTATGTTTGCGAGTACTTTACGTGACTACTTGGCTACAGCCTCTGCCGCAATGCCACAGACCGATAGGACGGAGGTGATATGAACAGCGTGCACAAGTACATACCCCTATGGTGACCAGGCAATGTGGAGCGGCAGTATACCAATGTCGGTTCACCTTGAGGCCAGACGGGAATTCGATGAGGAGCGCCAACTCGTTGTCACATCAAACAGGCCCCGTGGAACTAAGCGCTGTCACGTCAAAGTCACTCGCGACGGCTATCATACTCGAAGGCGAGGCGAGGCGAGGCGAGGCGAGACGGTGCGCCGTGACCACAGCCTGGCCTTTAAAGGTATGTAGTCGCTAAGTCATGAACGGAGAGGTAAACCAACTACTCTGTTATAACCATCAAACGTACATCACTGTCAAACAGGTTCAATCCAGCAAATCATACACCAGTGTCCACGCACATTCAATATCTCTTAGCTATGCGCTCGTCCAGCCACATGGCAGCCAGGTCGCTCCCCTCGCCATAGAGCCCACCACACCCAGCGTTAACCCCTACATCGTACACCTGCACCCTCCGATTAGCCTCTTCGTCGAGGCCGTCGAAGCTGTCGTCCCACTTCAGCCGCTCCTTCATCTCGATCTTGTTGATGCTCCTCTGCATCAGCCTCGCCAGCTCCTCCGCCTGGGCGCCGAAGCTGTTGCCGAGAAACTCCTTCTTGCGCCTCTGGCGTCGCCGCAGAAGCGACGGCGGCAGCGGGGGCGGCGTGTCGTGCAGCAGCAGCATCTCGGGGATCTTGAGGGTCGATTGTCGCGGCGGGAAGCCGAGGGGGCTCCTCCGCGGGGGCTTGAACGTGTTGGTCGACGACGTCCCGAGCATCGCGCCTTCAAGCAGAGCCGAGGATGTCGATGATGCCGATTCGGGCGGTATGGCCGAGGCGTCGAAAGACGGGGGTACTAGCAGTCCCGGGGTGTGGAAGAAGAGACAGGGGCTCGCGAACGGGTCGAAGAGGTTGTCGGGCTTCTTGAACAGCTCTTCGGCCTGGTGCTTCAGATCCTGGAAGCTGGGATCCCCCGGCTGTGCCAGGATCTCCTCGAGGACGTTGATCGACCGCAGGTTTGGCAGCTTGTTGATGGGGTGGTCGGGCAGAAACATGGTCCAGTTGTATATCCCATTGTAGGCAATACACCCGCGGACGCCCATCCGCTCGTGGGGGTGCGTCTCTGTGAGAGCCAGCGAGGTGGCCAACGAGGCGCCGAGGTGGGAGCCGTACACGTATATGTCCCGACGAGTGTATGTGGGAGGCGTGAGGTTCTGGGTGATCCAGCTGTACGCCTTGAGCGTATCGTGGATAGGAGCGGGCCAGCCCGGGTGGAAGAAGTCATTGCTTCCACCATCTTCATCCAACCCAGTGGAGGCGTTTTCCTTCTCCTCGGGAGACGCTCCCGTCCAGCGGTAGTGTATCACCGCCGTCGCATAGCCCTGACAGAACTTGGGTAACTGCGTTATACCGCCTGTAGACACGTATGGGGGTAGATACACCAGCAGCGGCTCTGAGGACGAGATCTTGGCAATATTATGTAGACTGTGCACGAATCAGACGAGAGTCCCAAGTGGGTGATCTTGTATAGTTGATTGCTTACTCGACGAGGACGTGACCGGACGAGCCGCAGCGGACACTGACCCGTTCTACATCATGGAAAGCGGAGGCGATAGTGCTTAAGCATCTTGACCTCGGCGAGCGAGAGTACGCATATCTCGATGTCCTTAGTGGGAGCCATCTTCTCATCTTTCCCCATCGATTGTCTCGACCATCAGACCTCCAGCTGTGAGGTATTTGTGTACTCCACCAGACGGGCAGACAGACAGACAGACAGACAGACGCGTGACCAGCTTTGAAGGAATTGGAGAAAGTGGCGCTTGACGCGTCGGCGGCGTCGGCCGATGAATTGGGGAAGCCGGGCGTTCCAGGGCGAGGGGCTAACGGCGGCAGGTTCCAACTTCCAGGGGCTCTAGCGGGGTATCTTGCATGCGGTAGGGCATGCGGAGAGCGCTAATCGCCGTTGCATTCCAGGGGAATCAGTGCACTCTTCCAGTCCAAGCGACGTCATCCACGTCCGATGGATGATCAGCCTGGAACCCGCCGGTGGAGACACGGTGGAGACACGGCGCCTGACCTGCCAAGCCTGCCAACTTCGATTCTTGATCACCAGGCCGGATCGCTGCTGCCGATAGACGGTTCTTTTCGTGGGCTGTCCAACTCAACTTCCTGCCCTGAGATGCAGACGGGAGTCTCTGGTAAATAAACAACTTCACAGTTCCACGTTGCTTCTTCTGCCTGTACATTGACGACATCGCGACTCAGTCCAACACGCATGCTATTGTTTACTTCCAACGGTTCTACACATCGTACACTCATCACACACATCCCTTGCAGAGGACACCGACCAACATAGTGTTTCTGTATCTACCCAGTCGCTGTTCGTGGGCAGGTACCCGATGATGATGATACCCTCTTAAGGTAGCGACCGAAACCTCTCCAAGCCTGACCTGAAGACACCTTCAAGATGGACGATGCCGATGTCCACGAAAACATGGGCGAGGACGCAACGGCAGTCGATGAACGCCATGACCGTGAGAAGAACGACGGCGATGTCGTCCCGAGCGATCAAACCCACCTGGATCCGAGGTACGTGGCCCATTCTGCCTCGACACACGAGGATAATGACACTCAAAAAAGATACGCCGAAGCCGCTGGTGGTTTACCTCGGCCGCGTTTCCCATGATAGCGGGCACGCTGGGCCCGGTCGCTTCAGCATTCAGTATCTGTGCTCTCGTCAAGAACTGGCGGCAACACATCAATCCCGGGTCCGACGTCACTAAGGCTGTCTTCATACCCGATCCGCCATGGCTGTACGCAGTCAACGGTGTTCAACTTTTCATTGCGATCATGGCGAACGTATTCCTCCTGCTCAACATGACCAAGAGAGTCCGCTTCGTCATTGCCCAGCCCATCACCATTGTCGGGTGGTACATCTCAGCCATATTGCTTGTGGCACTGTGCGCGACAGCGGGCGGGCCTCTGATTGTCCAGCCCGAGATTGAATACGTCTGGTCGCAGGCCTTCTACTATGGCCTTTTTGCCGCCATCCTCTACTTCATTGTCGCGTCCTTGATGGTCGTCAACGTCTGGGGCGCCCTGAAGGGACACTATGCCAAAGATTTCGAGTTAACCACAAGCCAGCGGACTCTGATGCTGCAGACTATACTCTTTCTCGGCTACCTCCTCCTGGGCGCTTTGGTGTTTAGCCACATTGAAGGGTGGAGCTACCTGGACGCCGTCTACTGGGCCGATGTGACACTGTTCACCATTGGTTTTGGCGACTTCTCACCGTCGACTGAAGTCGGCCGTGGCCTTCTTATACCATATACATTGATTGGGATCATAAGCCTCGGTCTGGTCATTGGCTCTATCAGGAGCCTGATGCTGGACAAAGGAAAACACAGACTGGACGCGAGAATGCTGGAGAAGAAAAGGCGGCAAATGATTCGCAAAATCACGCGCAGCGGCAAAGGGAAGCTGTTGGAGCCCATCAATGACGACAGTTTCGATTATTACCCCGAGTCGAAAGGACCCGAGCTACCACATACGGAGTTTGAGCGTCGCCAGAAGGAGTTCAACTTGATGCGAAAGATACAAAACAAAGCTTCTCGAACGAGAAGATGGTCGGCAATGGCCATATCGACAACGACTTGGGCCGTGTTATGGCTCGTTGGCTCCAAGATATTTCAGGTGTGTGAGGAACCATATCAGGGCTGGAGTTACTTTGATGGCGTGTATTTCTCCTTCACCGCTTTGACTACCCTTGGAAATGGCGACCTCACGCCAGTCTCAAACCAAGGCAAAGCCTTCTTCGTCTTTTGGTCGCTTCTGGCATTGCCTACCCAGACGGTCCTTATCTCGAACGCCGGAGACACCATCGTCAAGGTGATCAGGGACGGTACGCTGCGTCTCGGAAGTGTCACCATTCTACCTGGAGAGTCAGGTTTCAAGAAGGACACAAAGCAGTTGCTTGCGAAATTATCTTTTGGTGTGCTGTTTGCCGAGGAGAGGATCGAAGAGTCCCCACCGGGGTTCTTCGGCTTCGCTCAACGACACGAGGACACGGAAGAGGAGGAGGATGGGGAGGAAAGCAGCGATAGCCACACCAACAAAGGCGCCGGAAACCGCAGGCCGAAGCCAAAGCCAGATGACCCGGCTAAACGAGGTAGAGCCCCGTCGAAGCCGAAGCAATCGGATGAGGGCAAAGACCTCGAAGCTGCGCGGCCCAAGCGGGAGACATCGACTGCCAGAAAGGACGTGCCTACTGAGTTGCCCAAAACGCGGTCTGAATACCACCTTGTACTCATCGACGAGATCAGACGTGTGACTAGGCATCTAGAGCACTCGCCGCCGAGGAAATACACCTACAAGGAGTGGTCAGTAACTAATGCTCTTGCTGCTCTGCCAAAACAGCCATTTCCTCCCCTCCTTGTTCGCGGAGCCCGCTCAGCAGGTTATCTGTCCTGTAATATCAATGACTGATTGCTCTTCGCAGGGCTTGGTATCTCCGACTCATAGACGAGGACGAGAGCAGCGCCGAGACGCACCGCAAACCGGTCAAGGTGCCGCGCGGCAAGGACGAGCACCCCGCCGTGATAGGCGACACCCCCAACCAGGACGGAGGCGCCGACGCCGACGTCAGTGTACCTATGGGCAACCTGCCGCAATCCGAGCACGGCGAAAAGGGAAAGGGCGACCCCAGGCAGCAGAAACTGCAGTGGTCGTGGGTCGGACACCGCAGCCCTCTGATGGACACGCGCGAGGAGGCCGAGTGGATCCTCGAGAAGCTCGAGGCGAAGCTCTGCGAGGAGCTGCGGGCCGTCGTCAAGGAGCAGGCTGGCCGGGATAGCCTGAAGAAGGTGTCGGAGGAGGAGCGGCGCAATGAGCAGAAGGGGCTGGGGCCGACGCCTATGCAGTAGTGGCTGTGATTGGCGGCGACGGCTGTCCTTGCTTGGAGTACGCTGCCTGGAGATACATGGTGTTAAGTTGGGCATTTCCATCGTCTCTCATTGTTTATACGGGAGGCTTTCATAGGATACCCTCGGGCATTTTCACTTTTGGTGTGTGGCATCATCATATGGGAAGTTTTGGGAAGGTTTGATATAGAGAGCACGGCATCATCATGGGCAGCAGCAGAATTTGGGGCTAATGGAAAGGAGTGACTGAGTCTTGTTTATTTATCAAAGGAGAGAAAGTCAGATACTAATACAACGAAAATGCGTGTACCAGCAAGCCGTGGTCTCAAGTAGAGGAAGAGAAGGAGTGTGCTGGCTAGTGGAGCTGCTGTGCGTCCACTGCCGATGAACTAGCGAGGAAGCGCTCGGCTTCGTGTGTCATGCAAGTGCGCATGATGTTTTTTGTCCCCCCGACCACATTGTTTTGTGTGTAGGTTCTTCTTTCGCCCCATGAAATCGGACCTCCATGTGGAGGATAAATATCCTCATTTCTCATACCAACCCGAAAATCCTCCAGCTCAATGAATAGATGGCCTCCGCCGTCGTTGGCGACACATCTTAGACAAGGGTACGTGCAAAAAAACAAACAGAAGAAAGCTTGTATAAGAAATTTTTTGTGGTTGTGGGTAGGTATTGTGGCGATGTCCATCACACATGCTCGGGTATATCAACTCCTTCCGTCCATTTGGTACTATTCAGAGGTCAAGGTCAGCAGGCGTCACCAGAAGGGTAAGCAGACATCCAAGCTTCACTGGGGAGATCAACATACGCGGGCTGGAGCTGCTCCTTGGAATAGTGCAAATCTCCATATCTATCGGTATATGAAAATGGGCACATGTCCCCACGAGTGCAGTGTTCACGAGGACAATGATGGGAGAGGTAGCAACCATAGTCGACACACCAAGGACCGGCCGGACAAAGACTTGTTCGAGCCTTGTAGCGATGAATGGCAAGCTCAGCGCTGGTCAACTCTACGTCATGAGTCTTGTCGCATTTATTTGCCCACTGGCAGCTGCCCTTGAGATAATGGTCATTGCAAAAGACGGACGGCTTGATAGTCTGAAACTTGGCCTGGTAAGACGTCTGCGCCTGGGTTCTTGGCGGATGCGAGATTTGCGTATCGACCCGATGTTGGTCATCGTTGTAAAATATAGCTTTGGATTGCTTCTTGGGCTTCGAGGTCTTGACGGTGACGTTCCGGTGGTCCACGGCTCCGCCTGCCGTTGCGTAACTGATCGAGGTACCTCCATTGCCGGAGCTGATGACACTCGGTGTACGCGCAGGCCCCTGAGGTTGAGGCGTCGGCTGAGATGCAGGTTGAGGCGAAAGTTGAGGTTGGCGACCAACGGTAGAGTTGGTCTGACCCGGTGAGGCAGGAGTAGGCATCATGGTCTTCATTACTGGCGTTGCCTGTTCAGGATAGATAGGCGAAAAGCCAGGAGGAGGCTTCTGTACAAAATGAATGGGTCGTGCGATCGGACCAGGCGTTGACTGCGGAGGCGAGTAGCTCCTGATGGGCATGGTCTGGACCACACGCTTTGTCTCGTTGTTCAACGGTTCTGATCTGAAAACCTCGTCGAAACGTAGAATGGGGAACTGAAGGGATCTGAAGCCCGACTCGGCAGGGGTTGTCTCTATCAGTACTATATTATCCGCAATGCCAGCATAATCTCGGAGATCGTGGAGGTAGCCATTATCGTGGCAGCATCCAGCCAGGAAGATCTTCTTGCACTGAATGTTGTTTTGGTAGTGACTAAGCATTCCTACATAGAGGTCAGCAGACTATTGGAGACTAGCTGGAGGAGGACAGTCCGCTCGACGGGCTGGATCTGTGGAACCCACGTCTCATCTTAGCATCAGCATTCTCTTTGCCTTTACCGACGTTGATGAAGTCAAAGTCGGCACGGGTGTTGGTGAATTTCTCGGCAAACAAGCGCATGTCGTCATCATAGTCGATGACATGGGACATGCGCAGCGACTTGGACAAGTCGTTCAGATTAGCATAGACTCGGACGAGGATGGGAATGTCATCGTGACCGAGGCTCGTTCCTCTAAAATTGTCTCGGACAGCCTGCTTGAGTTTCAACGCGGCCTTCTCAGCGCCACCAATGGTGTCGCGAAGGTATTCTTCTCTAAACTTGGCACCGTCGCCATCGATCAGCACGACGACAAATGAGCCTTTGCTCTGTTGGTAGGTCAGCTAGGCTTGTCTCCTGTGTTTGGAAGGCTGGGTCCAGCATACAACTTTCTGGCGCTGTCTTTGGAGCTCATTGTCCAGATTGATGGACTGGGCCTGGTATGAAGCCCGAGATTTCTTCTGATCTTCGAGGTCAAGCTCCAAGTCAGATATCCTCTGTTGATCTGCCTCGATTCTTTGCAGAATAGTCTGGCGTTGCCTAGTCAGTATAGAATCCCGTATATTCATGTGGGTTGATGGGTCCAGTCGCGTGAGTGGTGTGGCTAGCCGCCCAGGCCATGGTCACGACGGCCATGATCAATGATCATGACTGCCATGGAATGGGTAATGAACTGACTTACTCGCATGAAGGCCTGTCGTTCACTGTCCAGTGAGAAATAAGCGTTAAGTCGATCGTTGGCCTCTAGGGAAAGACCATTCATGTTGGGCTCCTGCCCGTTTAACATGTTGGATATGCCCGGCATTTTGCAATTGGAGGTGCGAAGGCACCCTGTTATCCTGACTGGATCTTGCTTGCCGCGCAACCTGGTCTCGTCTCTCGACTCTCGAAATGCCGCCTAACCGAGTGTGATATGCGAGACTGTGCTGTTCAATCGTTGAGCGGTGCCGGCTTCCGGGATGGATTGACGCGAAACCCTGGATGATGGGAGTGATGGTGGGGTTCAGGTTCAGGTTCAGGCTCAGGACTCGTACTATCAAAGGCTGAGAGTCTGAGACGAGACGGGAATGGTGTGCCAGCTGGAGGCCTTCCTTTTATCTCCAATGCGCTCGCTTCAGGGCCCTAGGTGATCAGTTGCTGTTGCATGAGAATTGAGCAAGTGACTGAGGGCGCTGCAAACGCGTAGGGATACCTTGGTAGTGGCAAAGATGGTGATGTGCCGCCGGGCAGCTGGCTGCTGACTGCCTGGTGTTTGTGCCTTTTCGGCAGTGGGACCAGGAGCGAGGTCACGTGACCCGCAATGCCCCAGCTCATCTAGACTATCGGCATGTTTGCTGCACTGTGCCGCTGGCCTGCACAAGGACCCATCGATTCAGCTCCTTCCTCAGGCTTCATCTGCCTGGTCTAGTCATCCACACCTTCAAGCTTGCATATGGTTCTAATACAAAGGAAATTCTCATCACCCCGCTGGAAGTGTCGAGGTGAACCCCTAAAACCAGCAATTGGCATTGGCCCTTATGCAGTTCTATCACTATGAACTCGACGGGGTTTGAACTGTTGACTACATCTGGGCTCAACTACAGATCAGACACTTTGGCGACAACCATTCATATTGTCGCGACCATTGTTCATGTCGATAGCTACTAGATTTGTCTTATCAACAGAAGGTAGCTCAGTATCTAGCTACTATCATGCTACAACATAAGGGACAAGTGTCCAGATGAAGCTTCCATCATACTATGGTCCATACATCTTCTTGTCACATCTATGCCGCGCATGAGATTTCTTGGTGGTAAGGTAGCTAGAAAGGTCAGAATGCGAAAGCTCTTTCGAGGTTCTTCGGGGTTCAAATGGATTAGCGTCCGGCAGTGTACTTTACCCTAGCCCTTCATAGCTTTGATGCAGAAACATCATCCTTTTGCGCTTGTGTATCTTCGTAGGCTTTCTTCGACCTCTCTATCTGCTCCCAGTTGGTTTCCTCGATACTGAGGACGGTATAGGTCCATCCAATCGCAGCTTTTGGATCCCTCATCGGCTTGCACAGGCACCAGCAGAGCCTCGGACCTCTGCTCGTGTCCAAGAAGGCCGAACTATGCCGATCGAGTTGGCTGTTAATGTGCCAGTCGCTGAGGATACCTGCTGGATAAGGTTGCTGGTCTTTGAACAGGTCGACAAATTGGAAGTGTTGTTTCCGCGCGAGGGTCTCGCGATTCGAATAAGTCACGCGCGCGAATAACTCAAACAACATGTCCTGTTGATCACCGAAACGCACCGTCTGATTGAACATCATACCTATCCGGAAACAGGTTCGTACCACAGTGTTTGGTGACATTTCACGCACAGCCGACCTATTATGAACTTTCTCGAGGCCAGACGTTCGGGTGCAAGAAGCACGAAACTTCGAGTTTTCTGGAGGAAAAGGTAGCTCCATGGTGTTCGCCGCATAAGTAGCTCGCGGTGCAGTTTGGGCTCCCATTTCTCGGGCGGCAACAAGCGACGGGTCTTTAGGAAGTGAGCTGATCACGGTAAAAACTGCATGCCAATCGACGTTCTCGTCAAGCAGGTCTTCCTCCTGTGTAGAAGCGCCCCTTTGGTTCGCTGCTGCAGCTGATGACTGCGTCGAATTGCCATCGCACTTCCCCCATGGCTGGGGCGAGGAGTACTGCAGGTTTGAGTCGTACTCCACGGCCGATCGCGAATCGTGGTCCCATGCTTGAGCGACGCTGGAGGGCGGGATATGTTGCTCCTGTACAGATTTCTGTGCCGTCTCTAGGAGTGAGGCAATATCTTCGTCCGCCAAGTCGTCGTCAAGGAAATACTCGTCGTCCTGTGCAGAGGCTCCAACCGGGCTACCAACCTCGACTGCGCGTTTCACTAGCCCACCATCGCAGTGTGCATGCTCGACAGGCAGATCCGTGTCTGGAATAATCAGTCCCAAGAGCGACTCGAAGCGCTCTTGATCGCTTGAGTGGTCGTAATCGAACGACCGAGATTCCTCGACACTGACAGACTCATGGGCACCCTGATCTGCACCAAATCTTGGCAGCTGCTCTTCCATGTGGTAGCTATCCACTCCCTCAGTGCTCCCTATCACCTCGGATCGCTCAGCTTTGGAGTGGCCGTAGGAACCGTGCTGCTCCTTGGTAGGGTAAGGAGTCAATTGCTGAATAGTGGTAGGCGGTAGTATGTGTTGGGATTCTCTCAATTGACCTTGATGCTTCTGGGGTGAAGGACCATGGGAGTTGTCGGGCAGTTTGGCAGGTGCGAATCGTTCAACGGCAGAGCTTAATTTGGTCACCCTGAGTGTCTGGAAGGGGCTTAGAGTTGGCGTGGCTGGTAAACGCATCTGACGCTTAGATGGAGCTCCATCATTGTCACCTGGAGCCTTGTCCCTTGGGCGTTTCGAGGCCGAGATTCGAGTGCCAGCTGACTCCCCGTGCTGAGAAATGGTATGTGTCTCTTCGCGGTTGGGATACACAGCGCTGACTTGACTGGAGGGGGTTTCAAGGCGGTCAAAATTCAAGGGTCCATGCTGGTTTATCGGAGTGAAGCTGCTACCAGGAGACGATGAATCCAGGGGTACTATGTCGCTATATTTGGTTTAGTAGATTGCCTTTGCTGCTGGCCGGTAGGATCACCTTTCGGTCTCCCGAATGCGCTCCCCTTGGAGATTCTCCCGGCAGGATGGCGGATTGTGAGTTTCCATCACGCGGGTGAGTCAATCCTTAGGTCGACACAAAGATACGACCACTGCTCAAGTATTGATGACAAAAGGAAAGCGCAACGAACAAATGGAAGGCGGAAGTTGTTTCATTACTTGGAGGAATGAACGAAGGTACGAGAACGAGAAGAACCGAGTAAGCGGTGGAACACTTGGTCGTGAATGACTTACGACGTGAACCCTAGAAGTGCAGGTGTTGACGAGGACGATGGATACACCAGTGTACTTACATGACCGGAGGGAGGTGAATAGATTTGCTGCCATGTTGTGGGAGATTTGGCACTTCAGATGCTGGAGCTTGGGAGGGAAAGAAGGATGAGTTGCATGGTGACTGCCGGTGAATTGATATCTGTTTAGCGGGACTTCGCACCAGTCAATTCAATATATGTGGGGCTTGTATTGCATCAACAGACATGTGAAGCATCCGAGGTTGGGCACAAGCCGGGCCCCACTCGGCGACGCGGCATGAGCCAGGTCACAGCACTGAGGGGCGCCAGCTGACCTCGTAATGTCCACATGAGATATGGACCTTCTTCAACTCTCCAGGCTTGCCGCCGGACACAGGCAATCCTGCTGTTCTGAGGAGGCTGTTTCGAAACCGTAACATTGCTTGTGCAGGCCATCGAGTGACGATATCGTCGTGTTGATATTCCCTCAACGCCTGCCAAAACCACCTGCACTCGTCACACTAGCACAGTTCCTCGTTCGTCGCACCGACAAACAACATTGCAGTCAACAACTCCGCGGCGTACAGTACCGTATCTTATCGGGAGCGCGCCGCGTCATATCGACTCACCTTGAGGACTCATTGCGCGCAGAGCCCGTACCTCAACCAAGTGTCCCGTCTTACAGTCTAATCTGAACAAATCACACATCTTCCCCGGTCTCTTATCACCATCTGCGGCTTTATAGGGTGAACTCTGAGCTTCCACATCTACGGCGACTGTCTACAGACAGCTTTACGTCACGGCCCCGGCCCGGCCCTTCCTCCGACATGTTTTCTCAGGTAGGCCAAGATCCATCATGAATCCCGGGGACCGGCATGCAGGTGGCTTGAAGAGCCACGCGTCTGTCACTGGCAGGAGTTGTTCGTGTACCATGCGGGAGTCAATACCCTTGCTGTTCCATACTGCCTACCTAGCTCCTCAGTCCTTGCCCTCATGGCGAACAGGGAAACAAGGGGAAAGGTTCTAGTCGGTCAAGTCCAATCAAGGCTTACTCTGTAACAGAAGAAACCATACTCGGCTGTCACCGTCACCGTCGAACGCCTCACCAGCGAGCAGTACGAGGAAGATGACTTGAGCGGTATCCCAGACCTTGTTGAGGTCATTAAGTTGCAAGCCTCTGGCCCTGCGGAAGCTGCTCGCGCGTTGAGAAAGAAGTTGAAGTATGGAAACGTTCACCGGCAAATCAGAGCACTAGTTCTCCTGGATGGCTTGATCCAGAATGCAGGGCCTCGCTTCCAGCGAACCTTCATCGATGAGCCGTTGCTTGAGCGCCTCAGGGTATGCGGCACTTCAGACCTATCAGATGCAGATGTCAAGAAGAAGTGCTCTGAGCTCTTCCGAAGTTGGGCCGCCGAGTACAATTCTACTCCAGGCCTTGAACGCATTTCCGTGCTGTACAAGGTAAGCAGCTCTGCAATAGGATGGGGTTTTCAGGGGTAACAAGTACAGGAACTGCCACGACGCAAACAAGTCGTTACTCAGGCGAAGTCTAAGGTCCTTCGTGAGACTGAGCAGGACCCCTTCCGTGACTCCGAGGACGAAGCAGAGCGTCCCCCAGCATCGCCGCCGGCTGCACAGGCTTCATCATCTCGACCACCACCAGTGAGCTATCCGCAGCCCGCGCAAACGGTCCAGTCCTTCAGCCACGTCAAGTCCCCCTCGACTTCTGGCTCGTTCTTCTCTAGTTCGTCAAAGGGTAAGAAGAAGAAGGACAAGGATAAGCAGAAGAAGAAATCTAGGCCCTTCAAGCTGGAAGCCGAGAAGGATGCTATGAAGGTCTCGATAGCTGAATCGTCCATCGCCGCTACCAATCTGAGTAACGCACTGCAAAGCATCAATCGCGAGCGGGAGAGGATTTCCGAGAATGCTGCCGCTGTACAGCAATTCGAGATTTGCAAGAAGCTCAGAAGGAAGGTCCTGCGCTACGTATGTCTATCGAGTAACGCAGTCCTCGGATGTGTAGCTAATGATGACAGATCTACCACGTCGAAGATGAGCAGTGGCTGGGAAGTCTTCTTCATGCCAACGACGAACTCGTCATGGCACTGATGACATATGAGCAACTCGATCGGTCTATCGATGCTGATAGTGATTCTGAAGATGAGATGGCAGAGCAAGCCCACCTATACAGAAGTGCGTTGCTCTGGCAAATTTGTATAATACGCAACGCATGCTAACCATCGACAGTGGCCACCGAGAAGAACAAGCAGCCTATGTCACCAACAGGCTCAGCCAGTCCCACGGGCTCCGTGCCCAATATGGCCGGGCTCAACATCAACCCGAGCCCACCGGCTCGCCCGATGCCCCCTCCTCGACCATCTGCCTTGTCCAAACCAGGCATGCCTTCCCGTCCAGTCCCTCAGCCCGCTCAGGATGATGACGATGATGACTCTATCGTTGATGAGGACGAGAACGACCCCTTTGCCGACCGCAATGCCCTTGCGACACCGAGAGTGGAAAGGGGCGAGCCTAAGTGGTGAGCCTCCTCCTGCTTCGGCGCCCGGTACGTTGGTCGACCAAAGAGCGCTTGAGTTTGATGATCCTGATCGTAGGTATGCTTTGAGAGTGATGAGAGGCATCATAGAAATACCTTCTTAGTTAATATCTTAATTAAATTGACCGATGCCGTCTCAGCATTTCCTATCCTTCCTTTGAAGCTAATTGAAGTTCGTCAACTCGCTGTGCGGGCGATACTTCAGTTACGGACAGTCGTGGTTATCAAGATAGGTTATCAACATGTGCAACCTATAATATGAGACATGATGGATCTGCCTGCGTGATCTTTCCATCTCGGGCGTCTTCACTGCCGCATCCCCGACGAGCCCAGTCCCTGAGTCTTCCGTCCGTCAAAATGCTGAGCCCCCAAGCTCCACAATTGCTTCGGCTCTTGGAGATTAAGGATGAGAGCAGTGGGCCTCAAGTAGTTCCCTGGCCTTGATCATTGCTTGTAGTTCACCCCCATATATGGATTCGTCATTGACCGTTCCTAACCCTATCCATCTACGGATCTACTCGATCGGAGAAAGGTCCAGGAAGCCAGGCTGGTCGCATCCATTCAACCGCCCATGGACGCGCTTGAGACACCTTTGGGAGACGACTTTGAATTTTATCGCTGTTTTTGGCTCATGCGTATACGTCTGATCGTCCAGGCTATACTTTTGTTTCCGAGCATCCCTTACGACAGCCTAGGGTTCGGGGCTTACCGGGCTACGTCAATCCGGACGAGGGTGGCAGGTCTTTCTCTAACATGTTCTTGCGGGAGACCACTTCGTGATGCCCTCGCGAGCTTTGATGGTCAAGTCAGGTTCATACCTCGCTCTACCTGTGGTCCTCGCGCTGAACTGGAAGCAATATTCTATGTTTCATGAACTGTATGGACTCTGAAGAGCCATGCAGCACGTCCAACTCCACGTCCATCTCCACCCTAGCAGTTTGCAGGTTTGCCTGAGTGCTTCTGGGCGAGGGGTGTGTTCGCAGTTCTGCCATGTTTACCTGACTATCAAGCAGAGATCAGAAACCGTCAGCCCGGCCGAAGCGTCTTACTTGGTCCAAGATCACAGGATAGTCATGCTGGTATTCAACTACTAGATATCATCTATATGCCTAGGGTGGTTCGCACTCCCGTACATGCTCATTCGCTGCCGGCAGTCTCTGAGAGTATGGCGTATGACACTGATTTCTCTAGATACGTCGAGCAGACTGAGTTAACGAGGCACTCATGATATAAGCCCATTCCATTGAACAGATTGAGTCAGCAAGGCACTCATGATATAACCTCTTTTCGTCGTGATGTTATCATTCGTTATATATATGCTTTTACTTGATTGAGCTGCGTCTACCCCTTTACCTGGGGTTAGGCGAAAGCAACCGAAGTACTCTGATCTCATGTTATAGCATAAGTAACCTCAATCACTCGCAAGACTTGGTTACTCATATAGACTATAGTCCTACCCACTGTCTACATACAATTGGCTTCTGCTGAAATGACTACCAGACGATATGAGAGGTAGAGGAAACAGAGGTAAGATATGAATAGCCCCAGTCAAAGCCACAGACTGACCAGCAGCACACGAAGTATTTCCAGACAGTTGGAATGAATGTATGCGGCTCGCACTCACAGAGGCCACATGGGTCAGTTCACACTAGGCTGGCGGACAGGTGCTGGATCGAAGGCCAGGTAATCAATCACGGCAGCTCAGAGAACGATGTCCTAGATCTGTCGGATCATCATCATCGCCAAGTGGAAACCATCAACGGATGTACAGCCCGAAATCGACCCAGCATGCGTCTTTTTCGGATGACCCGCACGGCCAGAAACCACCGCGTATACCTATGGCCCGAGTACAATCACCAGTGTTCAACGAACCACGCTGGGGCCGATCTGACGATCCTGCCATCAAAGAGGCCCATGCTGTGACATTATGCTGGAAGCGGTACCGTGCTCAGATGCCCCGAGAGCAGTCGTAGCCGAGCATACATATCACCAACAAGCACATGTCTCTCTTCCCAGCCCGCGCTTCTGGTGGAGGGGGGTACTGAGACCATTACCGAGTAAAGCCCATTGTCCCGAAAGATCGGTGAAGGCGCAGCAACGGCACGTTGTGCAGGGCTGAGCTGTTCGCACATGCTGTTTCAGGCGTGCGCGCGTGATGGTGCTCCATGTGGGGGACGGCGCGCACAGCAGCGCCTTGCTGAAAGGCTGATCTGCTATATGCGTATGTGTATGTGTGTATGTGTGTGTGTGGTGTGGTGGTCGGTCGGTCCACCTGCCTATAACGAGAGGGTGTGGTGGTGATGTCTCAAAGAGCGACACCCCCAGATGCGTTCACCGTCCATCCTTTATCCTACAGTACTACCTCGTCGTGCTAATATATAGAGACCATGTGGTCTGGGGGGGCTACCCTGCTTTCCGAGAACAGCACTGCACTGCACATGCCAGCCCGTGCACAAGCATATATGTAGGTAGATAGGTATCTATCTAATGTACACGTACACGTACGCACGTGGGGTCCTAGGCCCCAGGCAGCCCGGGAGACGGGCTATCAGATGAAGCCGCAGCGAAGATCGCGACCAAAAGCTGGGGAAAGCGGGACGACCATCCTACGCAGATCGCCGCGTACAGGGCACGTGGTGCTTGCTGCTGCTGCTATTGCTGCTCAGACCTCCAGGCCGTATCTACACCGCTGGATTGTGCTGCGTGACTGCTTATTCGGGCGCCGCGCGACTCGTGCTGTGTCAGTCGCTGAGTCGGACAAGCTTGAGACAGCCACGTCGTCCTAGAACCTCATCGATGTCTTACGCTTCCCTGCTCTGGACACAGGCCGACAGACAGAGAGATGGAAAGATAGACATACAGACACATCAAACCAGCCAATTATGCAGGCACGGAGCTGCGTTCCATGGGAAGGTCGCACGCAGGATGTGTGCCGCGGCATGCGTTCGCTTCGGGTTGCGAAACGAAACGAGAGCGAGACGAGACGAGACGATACGTCCCGATCTTGTCCCAGTCCCGTCATCCACGCGCGAGAGCGAGCCCGTGTGGGAACGAAACCGGCGAGACGGGTAGTGCAGCAGCACCACCACCACCGAAGCTGGCGGGTTGACGTCTCAGTAAGGGCACGTACATATGATAATTGTTCGTCAGCGAACGCCCATCCATCATCGCTGCACCGCTAGATTACCCTACCACCCCCTTCACCCGGCCCAGATCCGCGGGCCAACCGTTGATGGAAACCCAAAGGGTCCTCGCAGAGCGCAGAAGGCCACCGCATACCCATGCCCATGCCCCGAGGCCCGGCTGATATAATCAAGTGTGCGGGTGTGCAGTCGAAAGGGTAGTTACGTCGTCGCTGTTACCTTAAACCTAGCAAAAGGCCCTGCTTCTTTTAGCCGGCGACTTTACCCAGGGCCCTACGAAGCCCACTCCCCTGGCAGCAAGCAACAGCACGCTTCTCCGAAGAACAAGGGTAAGGGTACGGGGGCGTCCAGTCCGCTTCGTTCGAACCCTGGAACCGATCCCTCGGGGCTTTTGGGACGCATTTCCGCCCGGCGTCGGGTGGGTGAGTGATGGATGGGGTGCGAGGATGGTAGTATCCCGCTTACTAGGAGGCACCACGGTATTCGGTGCGTTCGGCTCTGCAAGGTCTTTCTTTGGTTGGAGAGTTTGCGCGTTCAGCTGGGCGATGATGGGGGATGCTACGTGAAAACGCTGCCTCGCCGGTGCTTTATGGGATTATTGTGGTTGAGTCGCGTTGTATCTCGGTTAACTGACATATAACGCGGTTTCCTCCCATTGGAATGGTAGACATACATGTGCATACGTAGACGGGCTTCCCCGGACTGCTGCCATAGCTGGCTCTGGGGTACATATTGCGGACAGCTTGCTGCTGCGCGACGGTTCCATGATCGACCCTGCTGTTATTACTGCCGTGTGAACATATTACCACTCAATGGTGCTCTTTTGTTACAAGTACTTGCATATTATATGACATAGGGATATACATACACTCGTAGACTCAGGCACGAACCTGTTGCATCGGATTCGGAAGCGCTGATCCAGAGTTTCCAGCTCCCTTCCCTGACCGAGCCTGTCCACATGATCTTGAAGATGACTCGAGGATCAGTAAGCTTATCGCTCACTCATCCACCAGTCACGATCATGCTACGAGGCGGCGTATGGGCCAGCAGATGTCCCGCGTAACAACAGCCTCCACTGCTGCGATTCGTCCACGCCGTCGTCGTGACTCTGACACACGCCCTCCACGGAGGGATTTTCCACACCACACATGGTCTGTTACTCCGCGAGCCTTGCGCAGTCCTAAACTACTGAGCCTGTGCAGACGACGCAGGTAGTATCGGGCTCGATAGGATCATGTCTGCACTGGCAGACTAGTAGTTGTCCTTCAGTCTCCCTGCTTTGTCATCATCTCACAGCAGCATGGCAAGGCTTGTTGGAGGCCTTAATGGAGGCCGTTGGACGACACTGCTCTTGTGGGCATGTGTATGCGGCGCTTGAACACCGAGTAATCTCCGCAACCAGACTCACACTCGCTGGAAACCGCATTCCGGGGTTGGCGGGCACGTCACGTCGTTGGCGTCGTACCAAGTACAGCGTGACGGTGGGTTGGATGGCCCTGACGGGATTGCAACCATGGCTCGTTCGCAAGATACTATAGAAGACAGACACGGCTGAGGATTGAAGAACGCGCACGTAATTGTCAGCCGGTGAGTGAGCAGGCTACGGCACAAATGCTTGACGATAATACTTATAGACAGACCGCGATAAGGCCGAAGCCATGAGCTGATTCCCCAGCCCCAGACAGGCCCCTCGGAACCGACGATGACAAGTTATTGCTGACGTGATGACCCGTGCCTGGATCGCGGACCATCCGTTAGGACCTATCCGGGGCGCGTTGTAAATAATTGGGAATCCTTCAGAGGCGGCGAATCCATCCCGTGAATCATGATATCCATTCATCCCACGACTCAAGTCTGGCCTTACCGCACCGTCGGGTGTTCTTTTGCAGCATGCGCGCTCCCTGCCGACATGTGCTTGTTTCAGAATGCGGCCGTGAGGCCAGGGGACCTGGTCACCGATAACGTTATGCGCATCACCAGACCTCAATCTTGCTTCCCCGCTCGGTCATTCTTTTACTGCCGCCAGCCTTATGCGCATAGGCTCAGGCCTGTAACGCGAGTACGGTGCGCTGACGCGTGCGGCGTAAGAAACGCTGGTGATTTCTCCGAATCTCGTCCATATCTTCACCGTGCCCCCCTTAAAAGTGCTCGTAAGCAGGTGATGAACCGAAAATGCTCTTTGTACCTTCAACGTCGACTAGACCGGTCTGTGTCGGGCATTGGAAGACGAGCGGGATATAAACAAGCAAGCAAGCATATGCGATCATCTCCAATGGCGCTCGCAGAAAGCACCGCATTTTGGTGATATCGTCTGTCGCAACTGTGACAAGTCCGCCAAGTTGGGGGTGCCGTAGACCTGTCACTCCCCCCACGAATAGCGAGAGAGGTAGTATCTGCAGCTCAGCTTACCTTGCAATGACCTCGCTGGTGGCTGGCCGATTCTGACATGCGTCGTGGGGTTTCAGCGGGGGGTGATGCGTCTCCGGGAAAACGTGCCAACCGGAGCGCAGCCTGGGGCCTGCGGCTGACCACTCATTAGTGAATACCCAAGCAGCTTAGCAGCCGAGGTAGATAGACAGATGATACTCGAACATTGCCAGCGGCGTTTTGGGCTTGGCAACGAGAAGTCTGTTCTGCCATTCGTCAAAGGGACGGCCCGAGTAAGCTGGAACCACGACTGCGCCGCTCGCCGGTGAGCAGGGAATGGCTTCCCCGGTGGTGAGATCGCGTAATCTTGTTGGAGCGTCGGTTGCTCATCCGCCCTACTGAGAGGGCTGAGGGCTGTGAGCGTATTACGCTCAGGGGGGTCATGAGGACGGTTTTCGCGGCAGGGCTGACGGGCGCCCATTATCCCATACCGCCTGTCTGCGGCCGACGCATCCAATGCCACGACACCAGACAAGTTCGTGCTGGAGCCAACTTGTATGAAGGAGGGCGATGGGGCCGTCAGCGAGACAGCCAGGTCAGCATGGCGAGAAGCGCGAACCCCACGGCACACTCTGATGCACTGCCAATTGGGGAGGCTGATGTAATCACGGGGTTTGGAGCCCAAGCACGTCGTCAGGCGCGTGATGGACCCCGTCTGGGGGATCCTTGGCTGCCACGCCGTTCTGGGGACTTCTGGAATAACCCAAGGCGCCAGCGCGCCGAATTTCAACACGTCTAAAAGATGTGATTGGGCACATATCGTACGCCACAGCCGCGTGAAGGTGTCAACATTTGGAGTTGACCGCCAGCCTCTGTAACCTCCTTGCCCAGTCTGGAAGGTCGGAGGTCGGATATCAAAGCTGCCACGCGTAGGACCCTTGACGCCTCGCCCGCCTCTGAAGTCATCGGCTGGCCCGCCACCCGCCTCGTATAATTTTGCCCTCTAGGGAACGAACGGATGGCGGCGCGTGTAAGACGCGGAGCTACGGTACGTGACACGAAGATGACTCTCGGCCCTGTGGCATGTTGGCGGTGGTCATATGAGGGGACGCCAGTGGACTAGACCTCCAAAGTCTAGGCATCTGACAAGCAGACCGCCGGAGGTGTCCTTTGCCTTCTCACCCCGATACACTAGTTCTTACAGTGAGCACGGCAAGTCTAGCCAGTTCGTCTGTAGAGACTGACTAGCATCAAGTTATTGACAAGGAGTTAAACTGTAGACGAGTCCGAGACCTGCAGTTCAATACATTTATTGCAAGGCGACGGAGTCCGAGATCAATGTACAGAAACCGACGGAAGTGGCCCGACAGCAGTCCCGACCAAATCCTCTAATCTCGCAAGCCAGCCTGCATTGAGCTATCAGTGTTCGAGTAGCTCCTAGATCACGAACAAAAGGGGCTGACGGTGCTCTTCGACGAGTACAGGATTCATAGATCCTGATTTCATGGCGCAAGAGTTGGCTGATATTGGAGGAGGTTGTGGCCGTCAAGGACCATCTCGAACACTCCAAGAAAAAGGGGTCTCGGTCCCCCGGGGTGGCCCTCGGGTATCTGCAGGAGGATTGCGTATGTAATGCTGAACAATGCTCGTCAGCCGCTGCTCGGTACTCGAGGGGGGGCCAATGGCCGTCGTCATCACAGGCGGTCAGGTCGTCCAGCATGCAGGTACTTCCTTCCCAGCGACCGCATCTCGGACCGTCGCCCAGGCCGGGGTTCTTCATCTCATCTGCCACCTGTAATGCTCTGGAGATCGTATTTTCTCCTTGGCGGGTAGGTAGTACCTCCGAGAGAGGCGGGTCCGGGGTGGGAGGCGTTGGGGATATGCAGCAGCAGCAGCTGAGTACAGTCAGTCTCGCACAGATTGCGTATGTACGGCCAATGCGCGGGCAATGACTTGCAGAAGTCCCAAGATGACGGTGTAAGCCCCCGACTCCCAGCTGGGTGGTTAAGGTAGCACTCGATGCTCGGCTGTCTTTCCAGCCGCAGCAGGCCCTCGAGTAGATCGCCCCAGTCTGTATGCTGTCCGCCATCGTATGGCCACCACCGGTCTGGCTCGCAAGATAGACCGATCTTCACGATGATGCTGAGTATGACTAGATACCCGACTGCCTCCTTTATGTAGGTCTCGGCCGTCGGTACGTCGTTCGGGCCTCTTTTGTGAGGGCCGAGAGAAATAATCAGAAGATAATCCTTCCACATTTATTGTGATAATTCAGATAAATGTCGAGTTGGATTTAATCGAGTCTGAACTTCAACCTTGCCCCCACGTGTGTCAGGGACTCGCTTCCCACAGTCCCGAATGGGCTTCTAAGGTTACTGAGGAGGATCGGTACCAGGCCGCAGGCACATATGCGAGTGTCCCAAGCTGGTGGTTTGACCGTCCGAATCCCCACAGCTGTGACGATGATACTCCTGCCTTTGGGGATAGGCGTATGCTGCTGGTGGGAACGAACTTGATAATATGCCAACGTAATGTAGTCGCAACAAAGCGCGGTGGTAACAGACGCAGGCGTGTGACCGAACCCGTGACGCCAGGCCAACTGCCCATCGTCCCCCCTATCTGCCTTATTTACTACTCACCCATACGAGAGCGAACAGGCGATCGGCTGGTATTTGAGTGGTCGTCTTGGCATGTTCGGACTGATCTAGCCTCGACATCACAGAGCCCGCATGCCTAACTCAATCTTGTTTCCACGATTCAGGCTGTCAGGGCGAAGGATTCCGACAACCCGGCAGGGTTGCAGTCTTGCAAATCGACAGCACCAGGTGACCGCACATCTGACGCGATCCATCCCGAATCCGGACCCCAAACATTCCCCATTCCCCCAGGCAAGGTCAGCAAGCTATTAATAAACAGAGGCATGCATGTGCACATCTGCCGTTCTCTCGGCCTCACCATCTCGATGCGCGAGTCGTCGGATCCGTATCTCACGTCCCCCCATGTGGAATACTGCAAGTCCCGAAACATCGAAACAAAGTACGGCGGGTGCATTCGTATACCCAGGTGCCCGGAACGGAATTCGGTGTGGGGGATCAACATAGCAATGCCATACATCCGCACTGCCCTGTACTATGTATGTAGGTAATCACTGCGATATGCCGTTCGAGACACGGAAAGAAAACCACCAGCCTGTCGGGGACGACAGACACTCGACAGCGTTCACGTTACCTGCCAGAACCCGTACCGCACAATCGCACAAGTGCTCGATCCGCTCCTCGCCTCGCACCGCAGTTCTACCTAGCCGTCCTGACCCCCATCATGGTGAAACCTCTGCTCAGGGCCCTAACAACAAGTCCACCTCGCGCTGGAGCAGAAACACGTCGAGTGACGGACGATGCGTTGTCACCCCGTGTCTCGGCGCTATCCTCGATGGTAGCCCACGGCATCGAGATGGGATGGAGATGGGGGGTCTTCCTGTACCAGTACCTGGAGGCGTCTGATGCGATGCGCACAAACAGAAGTGCCCGTTGGCAGTTGTTTCCTCGCTCGCGGTGGAATGCCAGTACCCTTCCGGTTGTCCGCTGTCTGCTGCCGAGGAGGCCACGCGCAGCGGGTGGCAGACCGTTGTGATGGGATAGGCTATCTACATCTACTGACCAACATCATATCTGAGGTACAACGCGTTGCCGTCTGGACTGTTGGCCGTCGTTGTTAACGGGAACCGTTTGATATTTCAGCATGGCTCACGAATGAGAAGCAACGCCCTCGTTGCATGTCTGCCTGGCCATCCGTCCGTCACATGAGATGCGCCGCAGTAGGCAGCCTCGCCCCCGACGCCATAGGCCACATTCCGGGACGGGCCAACAAGCCCGTTGTGTAAGCCCACGGAGGCATGTGATTGACTATAGGTGCGTCCAGGCTGGTTGTAAGCCTAAGCCCACATAGGTACCTCAACTACTTCATCTGCTGTGAGACGGCATGTATCACCGCCTTGCGATGGCTCGTTGTAATATCAAGTCAGGTAACTAACTACGAGGCGTGACGCAGAAGTGTCATTCACTCACTCGCTCGCTCACTCAGACGGTAATCTATTTACCCGCGACAGTTCGTGGTGTGGGGGTTTTATGACCGCGAGTCTTCCCGCGATATATCAATCACATCTTGGCATTGGAACTGCCCATCATCACACGCCCACCCGCGGGCCAAGCCGCTGACGTTGCGGGGAGGGCGCGGGAAGGACGAGTCACAAGAGCAGCAGAAAAAAGGCTCGTTTGCACGAGACAGTCAGGTAGGAACATGTAAGCCGCCGCCCACCCCCTGATTCCTCCCCTCTCTCGCCCCTCACCCCTCGACCCCTCCGTGGCTTCGGATCCCCCGCAGTCCAATAGGGCAGACAGGGGGGAGGGTCTTGGATGTCGAAATCTGAGATGCCACATGACCATATTCGCCCATTCCTACGGCCGCCCCCCTCCGCCGCGCCGCTACCTACCTAGTAGCTATCACGTATGTAGGGAACCGAAGAAAAGGCTTAGGTAGAGAAACGACTGATTACGATATTCATTGGTACTCTAGTCATCTGATGCGCAGTATTGTATACGGAGGCAGGAAAGAACCATGCATGTTCATATGTACAGGTATGTCACCTTGTTTCGAATTCATAAGGTCGCTAAGCGATGCCCTCAGTCCCAGTGGGTGGCCGCGTAGTAGAGGAACACCCATTTCGGGCCGCAAGGGAGCATGGGGGGTGCGCAGAAAACGAAGGATCAGGTCACATTGCCGTCCGTACCTGAATCATTCCAAGGGGATCGTCATCGTGGGCGCCAGGATCTAATAAAGTGTGGTGTGGTGTGGTGTATGTGTTGCGCTGCGTGCTGAACAATGAATCACGTACAGAGGGTTGCAATCTTGCTCCTTCTTTTCTCTGGCAATCCATCGTTCTGTGTCTTGTGTGGCACACCTGTTCCCGACAATGTGAAGACGGGCAGCCAAAGAGGAATCTGGAACCGAAACCCGCTCGCAAGTCCACGAGGGCAGAGGGGCCGAGGATCGTAGCTATCGTGCCGAGGAATGCAGGACTGGTCGTCGCCCAAGAATCTCTGCAAACGAGGGCCTGTCGTTGGCCACGTTGGCGCGTGCTGATGCCGTAGAATCACAGGTTGCGCACACCGATACGCGCGTAGTATGGATGGTATGAATGATAGACCGGTAAGGTGGCCACCCTTTCACTTGGGATTGGTATGAAGACCTCCCAACCAACAACCACAAGGCTCATCCGGCCGTATACAGTAGACGCGATATATGCAATGGAACGCTGCGTCGTCGCCAATCGCCAATGATAAGCTCTGGTGATGGGCAGACGGGCACGCGGATGACCAGCTGAGATATTTGGGATTCGCAACCTGCCTGCCAGTCGGCCACTGGTTTGAACTGCCGGCCACAGGGCTGACCGAGCCAGCAATCTTTATAACCCTCTCTATCTCTGTCTCTGGCATACGTAATTCGTACATGCCAGCCCAAGAGAACTCCCGCTGGAACGGCATTTGCCTATCAACGTACAGACACGTAAGCTGACGATGAGGCACACGGCTGACCGGTCTGCAACTCAGCCCCCACGACTATATTAAAGCTGCACTTCAACGGAGCTTGACTGTCCTGTGATGGATTCTTTCTCACGCTTTGATTCATCGAGCCACACTCGTACGATTGAACGTAAACGTGTCTGAGGATTCCAGTCAGACCTCGGATCGGCACCCACGGCACCCAATTGCCGAGGGGGTGGGTGGTCAGGTTTGGCGTCAGGAGGAAGGAGTTTGCCAAAAAGATTACTGACGAGGAAAATGCGAATTAATCACCAATAGAAGAATTCCATTCTGGGATACGTCTTCTGTCCTCGAGACGGTCCCATCTCAAAGTACCTGTCACTGTCGTGCCCCGTAGGGCTGGCCGTCGGACACGCCCACATGATGCGGAGGAGCAAAACAGTCAGCCATGTCTCCGCGCTCTCATACTGGGGTTCAGTCAAGCAATGGAGACCCCGGGTTTCCGCGCTGATACCCGTATTCGACATCATGGCGCATCGTGATCACCGCAGCGCATTATCTTTTCCAAGGACGAGCGACAAGGTTCAAGAGCCGGCGGTAACGATGTCCCACGGGGTTTTCACCGACGGCATCTCGGTGGAGAGTGAGTGAGGATCTATTTCACTCGTGATGATGGAAGCCATGCCTCGTAGCCTCACCGGGCTGTGGAGCTGCCCGCAGCGTGGAGCGACCGCTGATGTGCGGAGTAACAGCTATAGCTCTGGGGCAACTCCGCAGTAAAATACTAGCACAGGCGTCACATCAACAGTGTGATTGGCGAGAGAGCGCTCCAAATTCTCGCGATACTCCAGAGAGCCGCATGCTATGATATCAGAAGCCTGGGTATCTTGCTCTTTCGCAGCCTGTTGGTCGGGAATGTCAAGGTACTACCTCAATCCTAGTGGAGATATGAACTTCATATGAGATCATCTCGCTGTATCGACAGAGGAATATGGAAATGATTGACTTGTTGCACCGATATGCAGGGTCCAGCTGTTCTGTTCAGGAGGTCTGCTGTGTAGATCGGGGCTCCCCACGCAAGGACCCCCTCGAGTGCGGGGAAACCGGAGCATTGTGCCTGGAATCGTGAGATGTTTAAAACTTTGTGCGCATGAGCAGCGGGAGACTGGTGCCTTGGTCGTCGCCGGTCATCAACGGCTTCTTCACCAGTGAGCCTAGGCTGTCGGCATTGGCGTGGTGGCGCTCTCGTGATCGAGAAGCGGGCAGGCTGATACGTGGTGGAGTAATCGTCGAAGGCTCGAGCCTCGACCAGAGCCCATTCGTATTGGATAGATCGTGTACGGGGTATGCACGGGGTAGTTGGGGCCAACGTCTGGTCTGTCCTGGTGGCTTGGATTCGATGGATTCGCGATAATCCACACGCGGAGACCTAAACTCGAAATAAGTCCGCGGTCATGCCGACACCCTAGATGCTATTCGTAAATTCGTAATAACTTGTAGAAGGCATTCGCAATAGGTCACGCAGCTGAGCCGCAAGGCCAGAAACAAACCGTCTCGTGGTCGTACTTCGGCCGCTACTGCGTATTAAAAACGATAGGACGAACTCGGCAAGACCGGACCGGCTGCCTTGCTAATTACCGAGCTCTAGAACAATCACCCGCGGCTCTCGTCTCCGAGCTAGCCTCCACGCGCGGCAGGTACATTGATCATTGATCATGCGCGCTGGCGCGTCAGTGCGTATTGCTTGAAGCTTCCAGTCGTTCGGCGTTTCGATGGTCAGTCAGGTGCTCCCCAACGAACATCGGACGGGTCACGGAGAGCCAAGCGGCCCAAGACCCTTCTTGCAGTCTCGGTATCGTATCATGCTACTCCGCGTGGTAACCACGTGGGCGACGCCTTTGACAGGCGGACGCTTGTGCCTCTAAGTTGAAGCTAGATTCTGATTTGGAGAGGCCCAACTTCCAAGGCAATGACTCGTAGATACAAGCGTATCTGACTTCATATTGTCAAAGGGGTACCTGCGACTGTTGGAAAAGGGGTTTGCCATATCGCTGTCGTGCAACCCTTTGAGTGGCTTGAAGCGTCCCCCTCGCTGGAGCTGGAAAATCAATTATCGCAGGGCTGCATGCAGGCGGCAGGGTTGACTTGGCATTTGATGTCACCATAAGGGCACGTTGCAGCGCATGTGTCCGAGGCTTATCAGGCGTATCTTGGGCAATTCTCATCCCGCCCGCCTAGGTTTGGGCTCCCACGAGGCGCGGGGAGTGCGGATTTGGCATATGTTGCGAGCTAAAGCAATAATGTCAAGGGATGGTGATTGTTTGTTTGTTCGAGAGTTCAGGAGAGAATTGCTTGTCATGGAAAAGTGACAGAATGATAGGTGACGAGTCGCTCGTCCCCGGGCTCAGAAAAGACAAAAGTTCAAACCCCGGTCGTGCATCGTGAACGTTTGACACGCGCGCCCATCGTGCTGTGAGTTTGGAGTTTGGAGTTTGTCGGTAAGTTGAGAATGAGGAATGGGGAATGGGGTAGCATGGCGCTACTGCAATCCCCGGATATTCGTGCGACGGAATAGAAGTTAAAAGTTAAAACAAGAAAACGAAAGTAAAAATTAATAGAATAAAATTCCAGTCTCGGTTGACCTTGCAAGTTGAGACAGCCCGCGTTGGGTGGGAAGTATCCTGCGAGAGGAAAAGCAAAACGCCGTGTTCAGAGAGGCGAGACGAGACATGGCTGCAGCGGGAGCGTTCCCGTGCCCGATCATCCTGCAAACGTGTCTAATCGCGTTTCCAGGTCCGGGTTTCGTGGTTGGAGAAGACGTCAACGGCTTCTTACGAGGCGCCCGCCAGAAAAGAAAGCTTATTGACTACTGCATGTGGTGCGGTGAGGTGAGACTGCAGCAGGCAGTGCATGTAGATGCTATGGCCATCGATAAAAAAGAAAGAAAAAAAGAGTCTCGGGAGTGGCCCATTGCGATGAGCCATCACGGGCCGCAGTTTCGGCAGCAGCCAACACACATCATTCCGTTCTCTCGGCCCCGATCTGTAGAAGCTGCCTCCTAAGAAATCGAGCCGTGCTGCTGGTAAGTGTCTGAGGCGAAAAGCCTCTCCGCAAAGCTGGCGTATCCCTCCCGCCTCCAGGGTGACTCGTCACAAAAGGCTGAGACCTGTAGCTCTTGCGAGGCGTCCGGGCATGGTGTTGATGGCATTGCTAACCGGGTTCCTGCGAGGGAGCAGCACACGTGTCTTGCGGTCAGGAGAATCATAGCGGACGAACCCCTCCGCCTTGTCTCAAATCTGCGCAGAAGCCAGAAGCCAGAAGCCAGAGCGTAAACTCCCGTGCACCGCAATTGCGCCAATGTCACGATACTTGCCTTACTCTAGTCGGACACATCGTGATAGAGTCCAATGTTGCGGTATGTGCCACTGCCGGCAGTCTGGAGAGGAGCGGCAGGGGTGGTGATAGCTAAATGCTCGAATTGACCATGTACCGGTACTTTAAGACGGCAGAATCATGCCGTGCAACATGTTGCCCGTTGCAACTTCAATGCAAACGACGGGGTGGAGCCTTTGATACCATACTATTCCCCTTGCGACGGACAGCCCATTCTGGTAATCCCTTCATCGCAGACTGAGAGGCTTCACTAAAGCTCGCAACAATAGCCTTCCGTATAAACCTATCGTCGTGTCAGCTGGTAGCAGGTGCTCGAGGCCGACAAGGTCGGCTGCGGCTTGCTCGCGTCGCTAGCCACAATCCTCAAGCCACAGTGGCTTAAAGTGCAATGCAAAACTAAGCCTATTTGGGAACAAAAGTTCGGGTAAAACTGAAACCCAGACCCAACAGACACCTTTCCTATACGGAAGGCATGGACCGTTTCGCGTCTCTTCTCGGTGCAGAGCGCTCAACTGACCTGCGACGGCCCCGACTGGACGGTAACGAAGCTCAGGGGTTGTGATGCTGATACCCACTCACCACATGCACCCACTGTGACAATCTCAATTATCTGTAGTCTCGGCCGTGTCGTCCCATTGCCCTGGGATTGGTATGGATTGGGTAGCAACGTAAGGAGATTACCGTACCCTGGTGGAAGTCCAAAGGACGAGGCGACGTCGCAGGAGAGCTTGGGAGAGATGTAAAGCTTGGGGGAGATGCAAACATAGAAGTGCGAGTATTACTCCATTACCACAGTTACCTGACGGTCATAGAAAGTAAAAATGCATGAAACCGACGGCGGGCAAGGCCCAGTCAATGTCTGACCTCCACGGGTTCCCCAATGTGGCATACACAAGCTTGAGTTTCCCCAGCCCCCCCGGTCTTACACCGCCCCCCGGTCCCCAGTTCCGGGGAAGTCGCCCGGCAGCGTGGGTGATGGATCACAAAAAGACAGATTTGATGGAGGGGTGCGCCGAAACCTGGTCAATCACTAACAAGGGAGACAGGTGACAGGTCAGTAAGGGGCAAACTCTGAATCTCTGATTACCGATTGTGATCAATCACATTTTGTTGGAGACCCATTGCTTCCTTCCGCCGACGACGACGTAATTGCACACGACCAACCCAGGTTTCGCGGGACCGTCTTCCGCCAGGTCTTCTTCTTCCTCTTCTCCCTCTTCTTCTCCTTTCTTGTATCACATCTTCTGTCATTCGTACTAGTAGCTCCCTCCCCGTGGCACCCGTGGGACTCTGCAAGAAGCCGTCGGTAGTTGGTCAAGGCGCGTTCATAGGACATCTGGCGTGAACCCGTGCACTGAGGGTAGAATACTTGTTCTGTCGCGTAGGGGGGCACGGGGGTATGAGGAAGGCGTACGTACGGGATCGGGTTGTGTGTGATGCGCGAGAGGAAGGAAGCGCGGGTCGGACATTATATTTCATTTGCATTTGCCTTTCGGTTTCGTTCTTGCTCTCTTCTGGCAATGTTCTAGAAGAAACGCGTCGGACTGCCAAACCCGGGAGTGTGCATGGCCCCACCGCGGGAAATTGGCGTGGATGGTGATAAGGATTACACAGTAAGGAGGAGGAGGAGGAGACGAGGGGACCTATGTCATTGCGCGCTCTCGGCTGAGGTTCGCGCGTCGATACCACCGTGCTGACCGCGCTGCCGAGATATATAGCATCATACATGTCTGCAGCGGACGAGCTTCTAGACCAGAACAGGATAATATGATCTGCGCTCTGTCACCTGTGCTTGACGCGGGATGGATGCCTTCCTTCGCGCAGTGTCGTACCCGACCATCAAACATTAAACGTGCGTCGTGGGGGTTTCGAATCATCCCGCGCCCCCTTCTGTTATTTATCTCTCTACCTCATCCTTCACGCCGGCGCAGAGCGGGTGACATATCCCACGATGTCTCAATTCAGCCTCTACAAGCAGTTGTCCTTTTGCGGAAACCCCCATGCACGCACGTGTCACCCGCTGCTCCATCATCTGAGTCGCTGCTTCCGCATATGGATCTTCGTGGAGGAATAGATGTAATCGTAGGGCGTATTCATAGTCCATGTTCCATCATGTAGTGCAGCGATGGTGTTTGGCTTGGCGTTATGATGTCAGGGACCGACCCCCTTAGCAAACCTCCAATCTGATGATGGTGGTGGCGGCGGTGATGTTGCGACGGCGGACAGTCTCACCCTGCGGCTCCCGACGCGACGGCTCGTCCCCGGCTTTTTACCTGGTTATTTTCCCACACTTGCAAACAAAGCTTTCCTGTGTGGCATTATCACACCCTCTTCCGCGACCTGGTCTTCTGCCCCGGAAGAATCTGGAAAAGCCCATGGGAGATGCGACACGTCAAAACCACGAGGTCGGATACAGGGACCTGATGAGGGGGTGTTGCAGTGTTCCCAACAGTTTGAACCCCCAACTTGCAGATGATAGATCCTTCGGTCGTCTCCCCTGGTCCAGAAGCTGGTACTGCAAGTGGGCCAGGTTGAGCTGTCCAGCGCAAGTCGAGATATCGCTGAAGAAGAAAACGTGGTGGTGGCCACCCGCCTGCCCTATCGAGACAGCTCGGCGTTATCGTCGAAGGGTCAAGAAGCTTGACGGGCTGACACATTACCGATTTGGTACTGGAGAAGTGCGATCGGTAAATTGTCCTTCTCCGGATCCTACCGCTGTCCTCGTGCTTCCAATACGCTTGCGGGACATGCGCCCCCAACGTGGAAGGCCAGCCATTAGATAGAAAAGCCCCCCACTCGCGATGCGAGAGGTATCGCGGGCAGCAAGGCTCGGGAGAGTAGGTGAGATGAAGCGCTGACAATATTTGAAGATGAGAACCAGCAAAGGCAATCTTATCTTTACTAAAGCCAATATCGCGTGGCTGCGTTGGGTTTTAGAACAGCCAAGGTCAACACTCCATCTGTGACTTGAACAGCTTTCTTTTCGTGACTTTGGGCATGAATGACAGGGGCTTCAGGGTTGTGGCAATTTGATCCGACATGCTATCACCTCATCCCGAGAACAGGTTATCATCCACGCGTCGCGCTTCTTTTCCTATATGTCGCAAGCCTCTAAACTTTGGTTAATGTTGGCGCTTCGTATGGCGCGCAAGTGTGATAGCAACGTGTGCTGGCTAGGCGCTGGCGGTTGTGGGCACTTAGAGGCACAGCCTTGCGAGATGAGTAGATAGGTAGGGTGCATCCCGACTGCCCGACAAAGCTCACCATTTCCCGGTCGTTTATTGGTGGACAATATCCTGAGTTGGCGCTGTCGCTGGCGAAGCAGATCACTTGGAATGCGTCACAGGTTGTGATAGTGACTGAACTGTCATGGTCCGACCAGGTCAGCTACAGTAATAATTCATTCCCGTCCAAGACAACAGCCCAATAGTGCTCGGCTGTGTTCTAACTTGTCGTCTGCAACTACCTTACTTAGTAAGTAAGTATGGACATCAGACTAGAGGAGTAGCAACTCATGTGACCGCTTGACAGACAGCCTGACAGCTGAGAGGATTGAAGGAACGGTGAAATATGGAACCATAGAACCGACCGTTTCCACTGTTCAGATGGGATCGCATGATTGTAGAGTTCTGGCTCGGCCTGTGGGGATGGAGTTCTATGGAGTTGGCTGATCCCCCGTGAAATTTAACCGACACCAGTGACCACTTGTGGCACCGAGGCTGAGTTGAAGGTCTGAGAACATTGATGAAGGGCTCAGCTGACCGCCGTGGTTGACCCCGTTCAGATGCGGAGAGTCGGGTGCTAGACTGCTAGTAGACCACACAATACTGCAGTGCAAAAGGTACCTCTTCGGAACAGCTCACGAGAACTGAAAACGGACAACGCATAGACACCCAGCCTGCCAGCGAGCGCGATCACAGGTCACACCCATTGAGGCCGGGCCAAGCCTGCCTGATCAAGCAACGGCCCAAAAGAGGTGGTTATTGCACCTCGGTCAATTGTAGAATGGTAGAGTGGTAGATTGCTAGATTGGTATCAGAGAAGGGCGAGACATTTGTACGGTATATTTCGGCACATTGGCTTTGGTGATGCACCTCATTTCCCGTTGCGAAAGAAGGCTGGTGGAGGGGTCATGTCAAGTGTGCTGTGCGCTGGCAGGAATCCAGTAGTGGTAGTAGAGCATAGTAGTAGAATGTGAACAAGGAGAGACGGTGTCACGAGACCTCCTGTGAGGCAGGCAAGCAAGTAACCACTCCCAGCGATCGTAGAGCATTCTTTGGTTCTTTGGTCGGCCCCAGAGCAGCCAATGCCCGATCAACAATGAGAGTGAATGCTGTTTTGTACTATGTTGGCGTAACATCTAGGCAGGTATGTGCCCAGTATGACTCCGTAATCCATTGAATAGCATTCACAGTGTCTTGACTTCATTGACTACAAGTGCCGCACCCATCTTAATCTGGGGTTTGTGATGTGTGAGTGAGGAGTGATGAGTCCTTTGTGGTGCGTGTTGGTCCATCGACGGAAACGAAAGCAGCTTCATTCATTCCCGTCCGTAGCCCCAACCAATGGGACCTGGAGGCGTGACCGATGGATTGATGGTTTTGGATGAAGAGAGATACTCCCGCACGTAACACTTATCACATAATAAAACCGTTGGATACGATAACGTGGGCTATACTTCAAGCCACTGAAGTTTGTCCAGTTTGGTCCCCTAAAATTCACTGCAATTGTGGCCCGTATTTTGCCAGCCTAGTCACATAAACCTGAAAGGATGGCTTTCTGGCTTGCTTGAAGACTGTGACACCGATGCCAGCGAACTCTATGGTGTGAGATTGTATGCCTTTGCGGCATCATGTGTCATTGGTTCCCTATTTGCTTCTGACGGCCAGAGACACGCACAGAGGAGTCATAGAGAGGCAGACTTGATACTTCCCAACTGGTGAATCGACTGGTAAATCCAAAATTGTATTGCTATGAAGAGGGTGAAGAGGAGCAGGCCTGAAATGAGCGAGCGACGAGCGTAACATGTGCCCAACTATCACGATCCCAAAACGACCGCTTGCGGATCCCAAAAGGGTCTGCTGGTCAAGCTGTCGGCAGCAAAGGGAAGACTCGGGACATTGGGCCCTTTCGCCGGGCGGCGTACCGGGTGATCCTGGACAGCTCCTAAGTGCCTCATCAGGAGAGTGATGCCCCATTGGGTCTAGATAATACGCTAAAAAGGAGTCCAGACTTGATCGGGCAGTACGCTAGAGGCGCCAGAAGGGATATCATGACAGAGTCTGGCCGCAGGTTAGACCGCTGTCCAGAGGGAGGGGAGGAAACATGGAGCAGGAAAGCACAGGGAGGGGAAAGCGAGGTACGTACCGTTGAGGGTACATGAATGAGGTATCTGGGCTATGTACTCCAATGTTCCCACCAGGGTGCGCTTGTCCCTGCCCCCTGGCCCAGTGCTGCCGTCACCCCCCCTGCCAGCACTCACCCACCCACCCACCAAAGCCTGGAGATACTTCGCAGAGATACATGCCGGTACGTGCAGCGGGCAGGTACCCTCGTACCCTCAATCCGAGTGACTTCCACACCGCGCCTTTCTGCGGGCTATCCTCCACCTTCAGGTTATTACCCAACTACCAGGCCTGCCACTTGCCTACCCACCTCTGCTCCCTCATATCAAATACATATTATGTACACAACTATCCACTCCCTCTGCCCGTCTTCCACGACCACACCCACAACTACAACTGCACATCACGAATCCACGAGTTCGACATAACGAACTCCAAGTGCAGACACCGCCCTACTGCTGCAAAAGAATCATTGATCCTCGCCAGCATCCATTCGCGTCTACTACTCCTGCCAACAAGTATTCCCCTCGAGACCAAATCGGCATACGATACATCGTCACCAACTGTCGCCCATCTCAGCGCGGCAGGTTCACCTTACCACTACCACGACGGCATTTCTACAACTGTAGGACAGCAGAGCAATCACACCAGAACCAAGCAGACTTCTGGCGCCGAGTAGTTCTACTACCGACCTCCAAAGCACAAAGCATTTTGTCCCTCTCCTCGACGTTCGCGATCGCGCTCGCGAAACCAACCCCACGATACTATCACCCACCACCCATAGCCTGCTTCACAGCAGCCAAGCTTGACAGGATGCCTTCTAAAGCCGAAGGACTGGTCCTCACGGTGGACCCGAATGTCATTCACAAGGTCGACACAAACAACCACCAGAACCTGTTCAGCCTGTGGAATGGTACGTTGAGATGGTATTTGGCGGAGCGAACCGAATTAACCCAATGCACAGTCTTTTCCAGATGCGCCGAGTCGGTTGAACAGGGCCGAAGGTTGGAGAACCTGAGCTGGCGATTGTGGAACAGAGAAACCTTCTGCACAAAGCCAATGCCCGCCACTGCTGCCACTGCACTTCCCAAAGACATCCCCGAACCTCAACAACAGCACATACCAGAAGTCCCTCAGCTATCTGGAAGTGTCGACTCCATTGCTGATGAGGAGGCCATCGAGTTCACATCCGAGACCGACCCGAGGGAGATCGACCGGCCCCGAATCGTTCGACAAGATTCATGCGCCAGCAGTCGGAGTAGAGGTCGTGAACTTCACATCACTTCAGACCACCTCGAAAAGATGGTTGTCACCATCATCAAAGAGAAGGAGCCGAACCTATCACCTCTGCCACAGATCAGCTCCCCTTCCATCGAACCACAAAGCGATCACTCAGACTCCCCATGCTCAGAGGTAGAACACCAGACGACGCTCGCTACTGAGTCTGCGTTCTGTGGATCTTCAGCCGTTGCATCACATGCATCCGCCAAGTCTGATTCAAGCGAAGCGTCTCCTGCTAGCATTGTCGTTCGTGGCTTCTCGCCATCGCAGATCCCAACTCTACGGGTGCCCCGCGAGTCCAAGTCCTTGGCCCCTGACGCCATCCCCGAGCCTCAGTCGTCTCCTGCCCCCAAGCCAGTGCAGCCTAAGAAGCAGCCTGCGAAGTTTGCGCTGGGCGGGTCTTCCGATGAGTCGTCTCCCCAGAGCTTAGAGATCCGTCAGCCAGTGCCTCCACCTAAGAAGAAGATGTTTGCGCTTGGCGGCTCATCAGGTTCTGGCGAAGATAATAGCCCGTCGTTGAAGAGTGCCATGCACTCGTCACGACCGAGCTCCTTGCTCAAAGCGCAGAAGAAACAGACGTCCTTCAGCAACCAGGTCACAATGCGAACCATCCCGACTAGCGATCAATCAGACAGCTACATGGACGAGAGTGCGATCGACGACGACGAGGATGACTCGGAGTGGGAGGACTCGATCGAGGAGAGCGGCAAGTCGAGCGTGGATGATCCGATGACATTCAAGCGGGTACCTTCAAAGACCAACCTCACCTCTCGAAGGTCTCTCATCAGCCTCATGTTCGCCGGACAAGAGGAGCGATCTAAAGGTCTCAGCAACTACGCCTCACAATCTACGCCAGCCATCCAGCAGCGTGCGCGTCACTTGCAGAACTCACCCAAGGCGGCTTCTCCGAGCGACTCAGACGACAATGGGCTGGAGATGCGAAGGGGTCTACGTCCCACGCCATTGAAGCCCATCAATGAGATCCCTCGCTCCGGGGCTCAGCCCATCGTGACGAACGCGCAGACCCACCACCACCAGCAAACTGCTCTGTCTCCTCGCACGACCAGGCGGAATATGCTTTCCACCGAATTAACCGAGTCGCTCAGACGTCAACTCCTGTGGGAGCGCCAGCAAAAGACTTCGACCGCTAATGCCGTTCTGAAGAGGCGCCATACGTCCCACGACGTAGCCAACCTGAAGCAATACCCCGAGAAGGCTTATATGAACAAGGCCAAGGAAGAGGTCAATCCTAGCAGCTGGAACCAATATATACGAGAAGACGAAAACCGTGGATACCATGCTCAGGGCTGGTAGTCTCGGGAGCCAACACCCGAAACCGAACATATTCTACATTCGAGATGCCGGCACGCACTCGATGGCAATTCACAATTGCCCTGTATATTTCTCTGCATGCATTGCGAGGCGGTTGCTTTCTACAATGATTGCACGCATCGGGCCGGCGCTTTTTGGTGTTGCTTGATAATGAGGCATCCTAATCACGGCATTAATGATACATTGCATGGTTGGCCTTTTGGTCGACAAAGGTCGGTCCTCATACGACTCGGCTCTCACCAGCGGATGATGATGACCCATCATGTCGCGGTGAACACGATTATGCGTCTACTTTCATTTCGCATGGCACTGATCGGCGTTGCTTCCCAATGATACCACGGTCAGCATTTGATTTGCCCTTGCGATGGGCTGGATTTGATTTTACCCCCAAGGAAGGGGACGAAGATGGCATTGTGTATTATATTAAAAGAAGCAGCAAGGGTAACCTGACCTCAATGGCGAAGTCCAAAGAAGGAGGATGGAAAACTGAACGCGTTTGCTTGACATGGAAAGAGTAAAAAGCCTGCTGGCTTGGACCAAACCCACCTTGGCAGCAGATTGGGAAGAGACGACAAAAGCAAGCAATGCGTCCTGACAAAGAGAAGCAACGGAAAATCTTCTGGGGCTACAAAAACAAGAATAAACTTGTCACACCAGATCAGATGCATGTGCTTTCTTTGTTGACTCGAGTGGTATACATCAAGTGACTCTTCCTTAAGACATGACCGATTACTCGGTAGGACACACATTAGACAGCCCGGGGTTACCTGTGACCCAGCTACATCATTCTTTTCAAACCTCTCTGCTGGAAGCATGTGAAGATGACGACGATGGCAAGGACGCTGACATACATGCACCGCGTAAAGAGTAAGGTCCCGATGCGGGCGAACTTCCGGGTCAATCTATTTTAGACAAAGGTTTCCAGGAACGGCCTTTTGACATCTGCCGATGTGGCGACGGGTAGAGTCCGAAGTAGACGGGATTATTACGGCCGGTTACCTGAGTAATCGATCCGTGGCTTTTTGCCGACGGGTGCTCGATGCGAGTATCCTGTCTTTTTGCCTTGTGTTATTCCGGGCTGGAGTCGTGTATAGGCTTCTCTCGGTTCAAGCTCGTTGTTGATTCTTTTCCCATTGGAATTTAGAGCTTTGGGCATGCTGTGACTGTGATAAATGTGTTACGGTGGCACAACTTGCACCCTCCACATCCATCTCCAAACTCTGATTACATGTACCCGATTCACCGTTTATATCATTGCTACTACCCCAGACGCCACCAATTATATTTAGATAGCCTTTGCAAGCAAAAGGAGAAGTCGGGACGATATCTGGGTAGTAGTAAGCCGCCACCTACATCACCTCCGCCGCGTAAGTGTTAATCAGATAAGATAACGCGCATACATGGTAGGCAGACAGATACAGGAAACGCCACGCAGGACGCAAGACGCAGGCCGCGCAATGCAAATGCAAATGCAGTGTGTAACAAGGTCAGTAACAAGCGAGCTATGCACGTCCCCCCTCTTTGTGTGACCGTTGACGAACAGCTCGCTTGCTCGCTTGCTCGCTTGCTTGGCTGCTTGCTTTGGGCCATGCGTGTGCTACCAGATCGATATACCTTCCTACACGATGCCGTTGTGGCACCAACTACGGAATAATTCCAGCTCCTGGACCGGGAGATGGGTATTGGTAGTCCATAGTAACAATGCGCTGCGTACGTAACGTACCTGTATGTAAGCAAGAGATGGGTATGCGGCCGTCCCACAGCCCGTCTAATCTATCTGCATAGTGCAAGGTATCTCTACCTATTGCGTACAGCTTTACCTTGGTCCTTGGGTATGTTACACAACCTGCAGAAAGGACCCTTGATCGACCATCCGGCGGCACAGCTATATTGCGTTGCCGGTCGATCACGAGAGCTTCTTGTGCTTGGGACAGGCACGGGCTGGACGGTCGGTTCGTCTGTCGGCTCGCCGCCGTCTAGAATCTTCGGGGGCGTTGACAGATGATCGCGGCGTCTGCTAGTCTGGTCAGACAGCCTTTGGACTTGGTCAGGATGCATACTGCCCGAGTCACAAGATCTGTGCGCTGGCTGGCGTTTGGCGTTCCCCTCCCCACGTCCACGTGGAATGCGCACGAATTCCCCGGTTGCCAGACTTGGGAGGTGTCGCCCTTCCGTCCGTCCGTCCGTCTGTACGTCAACCGCCAGAATGCAAGAAGACTTCGTGGTCGTATCAAGTTGAACGCATAAATGCACTTGCAGTAACCCGCGAGTCTAACGAGGTAGTACAGTCAACTAGCAGTCCGCCGCGCGCACGTCACGAGATTGTCTGGCTATAGATCTCCCGAGCCGGTGGCGCCGTCCCCGCGCCGTCCCCGGATCGCCTCCCCGTGCTCCCTGTCTGCTTGGGAGCTACCTGCGCATCGTCCTGACCGCCAGATGTCTTCCGTCCTTCTTTGTTTCCTGGCAGCCGCTGGTTGGCGGGGGAATATGGAATATGGCACGAGATGGTACTGGCGTTTGTGTTGTCTGTCTGATGATGGCATGCTGCTGCGGCAGGAGGATGGCGGTGAGGCGCCAACTTCGCCTGGGAGGACCGGTTTCATTATCTGATACCAGGGTACCGGCATGCAATAAGCAGTGATGATCGCAGTAGCGTACTATAGCATATGCCCCGGGTTTCATGGAAGAGCTTCCGGAACGGCTTCAATCGTTCCTGATGCTCACTTCCGTTCGAGCGGTCTAGCTGACTGCGTATGCATGCTGTGAGAACCCCAAGGTAGACTAGACCAGAGTGACAGAGAGGGTTCATAGAGAGGGATGAGTGGTGAGTGGTGAGTCTCTGGGTTGTTGACTGCCCCCACTATGTATACGCAACGGCATCGTGAGTTCACAACCCCGCGCCTGTCGGTGGGCGGTCAAGTATGTGCGATTATAAACATAATACTAATATACTAATAATACAATTACCTACCGTGTTCAGTCTGCTTTGTCCGGACCGCCTCGAGCAGGCCGGGAATGGTTGGCTCTGAGTTGCCATGTCCTCTCTGCATGTCTTGCTTGCAGATGGTCTTAGACAAAACAACAAACCCGCCAAGGCTCATCCCCCCTCGTCAACAGCCCACTGCCATGCATGAAGGTACATCGCTGGCAGGTAGGGCTTATCAGTACTTGTAATCATAAAGGTGGTACTGGCGGTCAAGTGAGTGGGTGGTGGTGCGCCTGTCGCTGTCAAGTGGGTTTCGACAGAAGCACGATGAGTTGTCCTACACCACCTACCTACCTCTACGAGACACACCTCTCTGACCTCCTCCTCTGGCAGGTGTCTATGCCTGCTCCCTGACAGACGGCAAGCCGTTCGCGCGCAAATCAGACACCAGCGCGGTCCGAGACAACCTTCAGCCTGCCGTCTGGGCCCTGGCTATACCACTGCGACATACTCACCGACTTTTGACTGCGACTGAATGACTGAATGACCCCGATTGACGTGCATTAGATGCTGCACTTTCAGGCCACGGGCCCCGCGCCTTGCGTATCAACATGGAGATACTCCTTATTAATTACAGGTGGATATACTTTGGCATATGAGACGCGAGGGGTGATCGTGACCTGCAAACCCGCAAATGGCTCTGCATGGCGTGCCCCGCGTGATGGGCAAGTTCTACGCGCTGCTGGCATCAGGCATCAGCCAGCAGAGCAGAGCAGAGCAGGCCAGATGTCGTCGTGATGGAGCCTGAAGCATTGGCATTGACTTGACTGGAATATAGTGTTGACCCTCTGCATGGGTTGCTTCAAAGCTGATTATTATCCTGTTCGGTTGTTGCGCGTGGGCACGGGCATTGGGACAGACAGGCAGACACGACCTGCGATGCATGCATGGAACCCCGCGTCCGTGGGCGCCAGCCACGACGTCATTTCAGCAGCACGTCTGATAAGCTGGATTCCGATGCATTCCATCCATGTGATAGAGAGTGGCGCCTTTTTCTCTCTAGCATTGGCTTTGTTACATGCCCGTCATCGTGGGGGCCGTCGTGAGGCTTTGTGAGGCATCCAGAGACTGCAGCCCTGGAGGTTACTGTGGCGAGTTTGCTGGTAGCTGTCGAATTGCATGAACCGCCATTGGGCGCAGTAAGCCAAATGGATTTATTTTTAACAACTGTTAGGTATCGGATCGTATTGAACTGATACAAGCTAGGAAAGTACTTTGTTACTATTTAAAACGAACGGACCGTGAATTTTAATTAAAGGTAAGAAATACAGTATATTTATACGTTAAAATATATAGAGCTATATATAACTTTATTTTTTAACGTTTTTGAAAAAACCTAAGAAAGGTTTTTATTAAGCCGTTAACTAGCTTATTAATACCTGGTTAAGCTGTTAAAGCCTTAATAATTTTTGCTAGTTATTGTGATGGTTCCAACATCTATCAGGTCTAACGATGGTTCTTATGGTCCCCGGGTCACGTGACTGAGCACGTGACTGATCGGACGATAGGTTGATCTATACCCTGGTGGGTCTGGTGGGGGACGACTGCCCACATCTAGCTTCCCACCAATTTGGGTGCATCTCCAGATCTTTTTTTTCCTTTAACCAGAGTTTATTATACGTCAATAGTTAATAACGGTCCCTGTTGTTGAATACACGGATCTTGATTGATGCTATTGATTGTTCTGCTCTGTGTGCAGAGATTGATTATCTGTCTTCTTGGTGGGTCAGATGCCTTGTGCGTCTCTGTCCCACTGGAGATCTTCCGGTGTCTATATCCAGCTCTCATTCAACACCTGTATCCTTGCAATACATTTACGGAAGCGTGACAGTTATGTTATTATTATTAAACTTATTAAGTTAATAAAACGAATAAAGAAACTATTTTTTCCCTTTAATTAACGCTATTAAATTATTTAAGCTATTCGATTTTTGTCACGGCGAACATACTGGTGAGCTGGGACATGGCCTGCAGCAAGCAGCTATTACTCTATTAACAAGAATATCAAGACTAGAGAGGAAAAGAAGAGAGAGAAAGATAGGTATAGTGGGAGGTTGTCCCTTTAAGGGGATCCCCTAGTCAGATCCTTCTCTTATTGGGAGGTATCGGCTTGTCATGTGGGAAGGTCTGTGCAGGCCGTCACAGTGCAGATCGTCACAATTTTAATAGCTATTAAACTAGCTACTTTATTAAATGAGTTACTTTATTAAATAAAGTGCGTTTAAATAATACTTATTAACTACTTTATATCGTAAACAATCTCGTAATTTATAAATCTTTATAACTCATAGCTAATGTAATATATATTACCGTAACTACTTATAATATATAAATAAACTGGTAACCGCTTAAATATTAAAAACCTCATTTTTAACTAACTTATAAATAATAGGTTCGATTCTTATATAAACTTAATTATTTTTCATTTTTCATTTTTAATAACTAGTTAATAAGTATTATAACTAGTAGCTAACTAGCTTAATGTATTATTAAACCTCAATAATGTTGTTAATAAATTAACTAATTATAGTTACCTTATTTATATGGTACCTTTAACTAGCTTTAATCTTCATATAAATTTGATTAAATAAATAGCAGCTATATATATATTTAAACGGTTCGTTTAACTAGGTTTAAACATTATAAAAATCTAGTAGTATAAAAAGCAGTTAGTTAATTATTTAAAGTAACTAGCAACTAGTAGCGGTAGTATTATATTATAATAAAACTTTTAATAAGCTGTTAAACAGCTAACAAGTTAGCTAACAGCCTATTAAAAACCCCTCTTAATTTTTTAAAGTTATTAGCATCTACTGTATTTACCTCTTTGCTAACCATCCGCTTCTCAAATAATAGCTCTGTAAACTACAGTAACGAGATATATCGACTGCTGCCACTCAATTAATCGGTCCATTTTCTAGGTCTATGACTAAAGGGCTCGGGTTATTACTAACAAGCCTTTAACCTAACCGTTAGAGATACCCGCTTCATTTGACCAACCACATGCGGAGACGGGTGACTTTGGGCTCTTTCTAGAGGCGATCCAGGGGCAGATTGCTTGATTAGATTAGGAAGCGTCCCCTCATCCTTCTAGCCGCCTTTCCAGATTCCAGAAGGATTCCCGTTTCGTGGTTGCTGTACCACGTGGGAACCGTTACAGCGGGTCAGAACGGACAGCGACCAATCCCCATTGAGGGACTGGAGGTACAAGCGGTCGGTACATGCGATACTAGCCAAACCACGCTAGGAAGCCAAGTACCAGATGTACCCAGCCCAGGCCAATGAAGGGCTCCAGAAAAAGGCCGAGCGTGCACTGCCTTCAGGCTCATGATTTCGGCGAGGAGTCCCGACTCTCACCTTGGGCGCCCGAAGCTGCGCCGAACGGGCACATGTTCCGATGTTCTAGCCTTTCGTCCGCGCCGCAGCCAGACGCGTCGCCGAGATATGATACGTGTGAAGGGCAGGATGCCGAATCCTACTAATGTCGCGGCGGTCATGCGGCTCCGCAAGCCCAGCTAGCCACTCCTTTCGAAGGACCATGTTTCGTTTCAACCCCGTCGTCATAAGACAAAGGGGCTATTGGGCTGCCTCGCTAAACTGAAGCCGGTGTCGGTCAGGGCCATGGGTATACTTCGCAGGGCAGCGAGCTCCACTGAATGCGATGCAGGCTCGGCAGATGCAGCCTGCGCTGGTGAAGCCATCACCACTGCTGACTGTTAGTACATGCCGCTTTCTAACTGCTGGCTTCCCGGAAGAAGATACAGCCTACATGTACGCGGGACCTACCACATGCTCGAAGACTCGCGACTTCCACGAGACGCACTATGACATTGGACCCTTGGCCAGGAGAAACTCTGCTGTGTCGACTATGCAGCCTGGCAGCACACATCGAGTCATCTCCAGTGCTCTGGATACGACAGGGTTTGATAACTTTGTTCTTTGCCATCAACTCCCGTCCCTCCCACATGTGGCAAGTGGAGCATTTCCCCGCCTGGTACAGATAAAGGGGGGCCATCAGCCTCGCAAGCGGAGACGCCAGACAATTTCACGGAAGCACCTGTTGCCCCTCATACCATAGCCTCGTCACAGATCCAGATGGTGGTAGCAGGCAGATCCTAGAACCCATCTCACCGGCGCGGGGACCATATGAAAGAACGCGCTTCACGGCCTCGGTCTCGGCCTCGGCCCCATTCCCCGTATTTGCGGTGCGTCCTTGATGCGCCGCAGTGGGGGATTGGCCTCGCCGTCGCCCTGCTCAGCTGCGCGTCGCAGGAGGAAAGTTCGTGTGCGGCTCAAGGGGTCGCCGAGAGGGAGGCTGGCGCGGCGGCGGTCGGTCGGATCTTGGAGTCGGTAGTTGTTTGGTGGTCTCATTGCTGACTATGACCCAGGATCTGGATGTCTTATGTGCAAACTATTACGTTGCTATGCCTCACTCCCGAACTGGAGAGGCAGGTGTCGGGCGTCAATGAGGAGGGCTGACGCGTCAGATCACCGCAACGGTCTTGCAACATTAGTTGAGATGATGCCACACTCTTTATGTGCAGCAAGAATCATCAATCACCGACTACAGACGCACCGCGAGAAGAATCCGGAGCAACGAGGTGTACGTTCACGGTTGCATCAAGATTATGCCTTCGTTTCACTTTGGGTTCCTGGTTGTTGTCGGGATGCCCTAGTTACAGTCCCGTCGTGCGGCTCGTCACACGCTTTAATAACATGGATCAGGTTCGAAACATTATTTCCAGTTTCCTGTAAATTGATTCTGATTTTATCTGAATTTACCTTCAGGCCTAGGATCAGTAGTCCCAAGACGGGCTTTACATTCCACGTGCGCCGACTACAGATTGAGTCTGCCGGGTGCATAAGCCGGCGCGCTAACACCCGTACCAGAGCTCTGGGATGAGCTTCCAAAGAGACTTGCGAATGATGAGCCATTGCTAGCCACGAGTTGTTAGTGCTTGACTACGACGGCTTACACACCTCCTCAGTGGTAGCTCGCATGCGAAATGGTTACCCCTGCATGTGGCATACGAGTGTGTCAGTGCTGCATGAGGCGAACCCTACCGCGAGTCTGCTCCCGACTGGTAGAGACGATGACGGTGTATCGTGGACCTCGAGACGATGACGGTGTATCGTGGACCTCGAGACGGGTCACCGTTCTCCCGGTGATGGTGGCGTCTTGACTCCTTTCGCGCTCGTATCCTCCAAGCGGCGAACAGCCTGCACGACATGCCCAAAGTCCCTCGTCGGCCATCAGATATTCGTTCGGTAAGATTGCCCCCTATCCGACAAGGAGCAACCTTCTGATGATCTCGACTGTCTGTCACCAAAACATTAAATTCATCCCGTGACGGCAATCAGTCCTATGGGGGGCGTCCGAGGGTCGTTGGAAGAGCCCCGTTCGCCACGGAAGCCGCTCCGGTGCTGTGTGACTATATACGCGTCAGGGACAGCATTCGCCACCTCCGGGGTTTCCGCAGCAGACTCATTACCCCAGACTTCGCCGGCTGGGGAGGGGCGTGGCGTCGGAAGGCGCACATCGGGTGTCCGCTTTTAACCGGGCAAGGTTTATCTGACGTGTAGTTCTGTCGCAGTGCGGGTAACATGCGCCTGGTATGAGGGTTCAACTTTCGAGGGAGCTCAATTCCATGTGCTTGGGGTGATGGTTGGGTGGCAGCGAATAGGAGCGCTTCCGAACCCTCCTTACCGGACGGGCGGGTAGGTTGGGAGGGCGGGAAGCGGCTCGTCTGAGCTTATTCACTCTTGTTGGTACTGGATGTACCGACCGTACTCCTGTCAATGATGAACTTTCTGTGAATTTATGGATATTCGAGCACGGTCTTGTATGTCGTTTCCATGAAGTGGATGGCCTCGAGGAGCAGCTGCTCCAGGTGATGTTAAAATAGATACAGGGCCAGAATGGCGATGGGATGAAGAATAGGACAGGTCTGTGCCTGAATGTGAGTAGGTGCTTTCAATTATTTCAATTTATTTTTAGTGCGATTTATGACTATATTAAGTTCTAAACCAGCACTGGCCTTAATAGGCTTGTCCATCCGTCGTAGCAGGCGATGATAGGAAGGTGCAGAGGGAAAAGGGAAAAGGGAAAGTCAAGTATGAAACATGCGGCTGGCCGATAGGCGGCAGGACCTTCCAGCATCTGTGACGAAGCGAATAATGCGGTTACCGGCAAGCACGGCGCCCTGGACTCGAAATGGCTCTCGATAACGCAGTCTATAAAGGGGGGACTAATCCTCCTCCTTCGACTGACTCCTTCGACTCCTCCGACTCCGACCGGGATTTCCTGACGGGGTTCTGCTTGCGCCAGAACTCGCCCGTCGGCGCCGCGCGACGCTCGACGTCGACCACCCGCTTGACGGTATAGAGTTGTGTGTCCGTCCAAAACTCGCGCTCCTCATACCCAGGCCGGGCCCACTCGTCGTCCTTGCCGATCACGCCGGCGATGCCGCAGTACACAAAGGAATCATTCTTGCCGAGCGGTGTCGTCCCGCCGGCGGCCGCGCGCAGGAACCCGCGGTAGTCGACGAAGCCCCAGGCGTCGCGCTCCAACGTCGCCACAGCCGCCGGCGCGGGGCACGAAGACGACCCCAGCGAGGCCTCGGTCGGCTCTGCGGGGAACACGATGTACACCTCGCGCAGCGCCGGCATGCACCGTAGACAGCACTGGAGCTGGCGGCTGAACATCGCGTCGCCGCCTGGATCCGTGGGGAGCCCCCGTAGGTAGGCGGCGTCTTCGGGGACGGTGATGGCGAGGCGTTGCACCTTCTTGCGCCAGCCCGCCTGCCGCAGGTGTCGCGGGAGGTCGCGGGTCGCCGCCATGTAGATGAGGTCGCGGTCCCAGTCCACCGTGGCCTTCGGCCGAAGAGCTCCGTCGACAGCAGCTTGTGCGTCGGGTCGGTGGTCTGGTAGACGGTGGGGTGGTTGAGGTAGCCCTTGGGGCCGTCTCATTTGCCGCCGGCCAGCAGCTCGAGCTCGGCGTCGTCCCGGACAGCTTCTTCAAGAAGAAGCTGGGCGTACGGTTGCAGTGCCATTTTCTTGGCTTCGGCGCGCGCCTCGGAATTGGCTTGGGCGGCGCCGGCGGTGTGGCCCGGCATGTTTGTCGCTGCGTAGAGGGGTGTGTACTTGAGCGCGGGTAGTGGTTTGCTTGGATCGTTCTCGTTGTGCTGGATTTGTCCCTTGTGCTTGCTGTCCGTGTCGGGCTGCTGACCAGGCGCCGCGTCGTGGAAGACGTTGATGCGAGGCTCGGGTTTGGCGTTGAAGTTCTCCTTCCAGATCCGAACGCGCAGCTCGGCGGCCAGCTTGCTGAACTGCGGGAAGTCGGTCGCTGCTGGTGATGTCCCGGTGCTGGCGTTGTGTTGTTCGACGCAGGCCGAGAGGGGTCCCTTGTGCAGGGCGCACGTCCGTTGGGAGATGCTTGACGATGACATTGTTACTAGAGTTGTAGTCGATGCAGTTGTAACAGATGGAGTTATAGTCAATAGAGTTATGGTCGATAGAGTTGTAGTCGATAGACTTGTGGTTCATAGATTTGTGGTTCATAGAATTGTGGTTCATAGAATTGTAGTTGATGGAGTGGTATGTATTGGCTCTGTAACTGAAGTCTGGCCTCACAAAGAGGAAGAGGAAGACGAGAAGTGACGGACTGTTCCATTTGATGGAAATGCCGGGGTCTGCTGGGTATTTATTACCTTCAGCCATGGTATCGGAAACAGGTGGGTAAGGGTATTTTCAGAATACATGCTCAGTGGCGTTGTCTAGCCTCGTATGTCCATGCGTTATTGGACATACGTTGAGGCCATTATTTCAGTTTTTCGAACTCTAAACTCTATCTTCGCTTCGTTTCTTTCGCTGGTGGTGGTCTCCCACGTGTCTTTCTCCGAGATAATAGGCGCTCAGCCACCACACCCAGCTCCAAGGAATCCCAGAAACACAACGAAACTCCGATGCGTGCCCATGCTCCTCTTCCAAGACCTTAAGCGCTATCTAGATCACATCTACGGGACTACCTTCCACGCTGACATGCCGAAAGGGGCTCTGCTCTTTGTTGTCTTTTGGGGTATTTGGGTTTGGCTCCTCCCTTCTGGTCGAAGAGCTTAATAATAAAATAAATCGTAAATCGCTACCTATGAGAGGCCGAGTTGCTTGACTCGCTTTAACTTATCATGCCCGAAGCGATAATCTTCGGCAGTGATTGCGGCACTGGGGTCTTTTTGGGTAGAAATGATGTGGTTCGGCGCCTCCAGGTTGACTTTGCAACCTTGGGAGATATCAGAATGGTCTATATTGAAAGGGACCAAAGTTAGCTGAAGGGGGTACCTTTACACTTAAATAGCCAGGAAAGTGACCTTCGACAGCTATTAAGTGATCACATTGGATGACCAATAGACTGCTCATGATAGCTCATAATAAGCGCTGAGCACATATTCTGACAAGACTGCTACAACTCCTTGCACTGCTTTCGCATGGTCGAATTTGTCATCGGCAAGCTCTCCAAACCGTGGAACAGGCAGGCCCCGTAGAAAAGAATGATAGAGAAATACTAACGAAAGGCTTGTCTCGCAAGCTTGTGCAGGTTACCTTCATCGAAGATGGTGGCAAGGAAATGCGTGAACGGTATGGGAACGCCTTGCACGATGGACGCATGCCCTTGATGGTCACACCAGGCCCATGGCAATGAACACGTGGCGGACGGTATATCGAGAGACAGACTTAGAGTTTGCAAACGAACGGGGAGTGACAGACAGCATTGAACCATTTCTTTTCGTACACGCCAGCTCGCTGCTTTTGCTGCTGCAGGCTAATCCATTCTGCTTCAACTTGACCGAAACCCAGACAGCCCAACAATATCCAATAGATGCTTCCCATGTTGTGCGTGAAGAAATAACAGAATCCTACAATGAACCAATACCCAACACTGCTACCGCTGCTTCCGTATATGCTTCTCCCATGATGTGCGTGACGAAATGCCAGAATCGTACAGCGAATCAATACTCAATACCCAACCCTCATACCAGTACCCATGCTCCCGTCCTATGCCTTTCCCAGTTATTCCCGATGAGTGCATGAGCCCCCTCACCCCTCCGCAATGCGCTGCGCCTCCTCCTCGGCCTCCTTATCGATCTCGTCCACATCGTCCTTGGTGAAAGCCTCGGTAAACTTGACCCAGGGCCCGTGGACCAGGCCCGTGCCGGCGCCGATGACGATGCCCAGTCCCGTGGTGGGGATGGCGACGAGGCCCGTGACGAGGGAGCCGACGGTCATGCCCAGGCCGGCGGCGATGCCGGTGCCGAGCCCCGCGCCGGCGGCCCCGCCCTGCAGCCAGCCCTTCTCGAGGCGCTTCGCCGTCTTGAGCAGTTTGGTGGCCGTCTTGTCGAGCTGCTTGGCCTTGAAGTCGAGGTCCTCCTTGATCTTGGGGTCGACGGCCTCCTCGGCCTGCCTGTGCAGGTCCATGGATTCGGCCTGCATGCTCTTGGACTCCTCGATCTTCTTGCTGATCTCGGACATCAGCTTCTCCTTTGTCGACGCGAACCCCTTGGCCCCTTCTCCCTCCCCGGCCTTGCCCTCCTCCTCTGGCTTGTCGGCCATGGCTGGGTGGGGGTGGAGGACGGAAGTGACGACCCCTAGCGACGGCGGAAGTGAGTGAGTGGCGGTGGTAAAGATGGTTTGTGGTAGCATTCAGGGGGATGAAGAGAGAGTTTTCGGGTGCTTCGTTATCAGCCTCATCCCACTCAGAGTGTGTTCCTCTTTGCGTAGTATCGTCCTCGTTGCAACCTGAAAAGTGGCTTGTGAAGACAGGGAGGGGGATTTCGCCGCCGCAAAACAGGGTTCTGGCGGGGTTGGCCGGCATACCCCCTATGACGTCGCGCACGAGTCGCACGACTCACTCAGGTTGAGCTTGAGGGCGCCAATTGATTCATGAATGAATTAAATATCTTACCTAGGTAACACCGATCACCCACATGATGGCTGTGTTACCTCGTCACGGTCCGTTCACCTCCTTTCGCAAAGTTGCAGAGAGATAGATCAAAGGTGAGTACCTAAATGGAGGATATGTATGCGCTATACAACCTCCGGCTAGCTGACGATGACTTAGACAACTACTAGTCGGTCCGTTGTCACATCGTCAGGCAATTGTTCCGACGAATAATCATCTATATATGTCCGTCGCTTGCTCTTCAGTGTAACTTGATAGGCAAGGCACGCAACGCCCAAGTGGCCGTCGCACATCTGGCTTCGCTCTGATCTCACAAACGGCACAGCTCTTCAAGTCGTGCCACTTACCGATTAGTGTTTACCCTGAGGATGGCGCAGCCAAACGGAAACGGGACAGCTAACTGCAGACACAGTGACCAGCACCGGCATCGGCATCGGCATCGGCATCGGCAGCCGGCTTCTTTCTCCTGCTGCTCAGTAGTATCCGGCATGTCCATGCCACCAATCAGCAGCGAGTGCGGCTCATGTACCTGTGGCAGGTCCTGCTACATGTACATATGATAACGGACAAGTGTTTCGAAACAAATCTGATGCGACGACAAAGCACCACACGAGCGCAGCTCCCGATGAGCCGATGAGCCGATGAGCCCTGTGCGCCGCATCGACATGTCATCACGGGGCAGCAGTCCCGCCGCGGCGCGCCCCTCGCGGATCCGGGGACTGGGGCTTTGTTATCTTCCACTGTCAGAGTTGGGACATCATTCCCGCGATTGGCTTGTGTCACCGAGGCTGATGGTTGACAGGTCTCACCGACCGGCGAAGAGTTTTGCCTGGCTAGGCGAGCGGGAGCCATGGTACGGTACGCCTTTTGTCCGGGTGTCATATCCCTCCCTGGTCATTTGGAACAATGCTGAGAGACGGGGTCCCTTTGTGATTTTATTGTTTATTTTATCCTCTCGTTGATTTTGCGTTATCAGGATATAGTACCGCTGTTCTCCGGCTGGAGATACCGGTCGGAAATTACATTTCTCCAGACTTCATCTGGTCCCGCCTTGACTGCTATCCTCGTCCAGCGGGTCTGGCATTGGAATGCCAGATTGGGACATCCGCCGAGGTCTTCGGGAAACCCAAGCTCAAGGACGTAAAGACGCCTTGAGAACGAGGATTTGGACAGAGTCTTGTGGGTTATTCAAGGCTTGAACAGGTGATGCTCCAAGGTAAGTACGTCGTACCTATCGAGAAGAACAAGTGCAGAAGTCCTTCACTCACTCGTCGTCCCTGCTGCGATTGGCAGGTTGGAATCCATCGGAACATTATCCTAGGGAAGAAGCCTCTTCACGGGTGCGGTATCTGCCCAGCAGAATATTCAACGAGATAAATTCGAAACGCATATTATCTGCTTGGAATATTCACCCACGACAACCAGGGTTCAGAGGTGGGTTCTGTCGTGTCGCTGTGTCAGACCAAGGGCCACCGGGTATGCCTTCCGGAGGTCATGGGTTGGGTGGTGTGCTTTGCCGGCCATGGGCCCATGGCGCATATTCCAAGCTCACCTGACCGCGAGCGCACGCCCACGAAACGTGGCGGGCGGGGCTGACTTTCCCGCCGGGCCGGTACTTCTAGAAGGTCTGAGAGCAGGGTTTGATTACCATCGCCATTTCCATCCGTTGCCAGCTGCCCGTATACGTCTTGCACTTACACCAGTCGTCACTCGCACACAGCAGAGTTGAGCCCGTTGTCTCCTCGGCGGCTTTTCCTCGAGATACCTACCTATGCCACGTCCGATTGTCGCAGCCGGGATTCGCACTGCCCTCGAGGTTGACCTAGGAATTTCATGACGAGCGAGGAGAGCTGTATTGCCCAACGACGCCAGGCAACGCAAGGATTACTTACGGCGGGTGGCAAACGGTACTCGGGCTCAGAGCTACCAATCTCTCCCGTAGCCGCCTCCCTCTACTTGACCAATCGCACATAGTTCCTATGTACGATCGGGTGACACGCAGCACTGCATCTCATGCCCACAAAGAGGCCCAAGAAAGTCAGGCCCAGCTGCGAGAGGACAACCCATAGTTACCCGTGAATACGACGCCAAAGGCCCCGAAGACCGGGTAGACGATGCGGAGCAGGAGTGCGGAAAGTATGCAGAGGTTCAGGCACATGGGCTCGAAGACCAGGAGCTCAAAGGGCCTCCTCATCGCCGTGACGATGTCCGCAAGATCGACTTGTCCATGTTCTCGATGGGCGCAGTCCACTTTCCTTCCCCCGTGTCCTTGTGCTGCTTCCGGGCTTAGTTCCGCAGCAGCACGGGGTGGTACGTCTCCGGGACCAGCAGGCGCGATCAGGACCAGGTCGATGGCGAACCAGATGATCAAGACGTAGAAGGTCCATCGCCACCAGGTGTACTGGTTGATGAACCCGCCGACCACGGGACCAACCGAGGGGCCGACGAACCCCGTGGCGGTGAACATGACCATGGGAGCCTGTAGCTGTTCCCGGTTGAACAGGTCTCGACGGTGCCGCCCGCGACGGCCATGAAGGCGCTTCCGGACAATCCGCACAGGAATCTTCCGACCAGCATGGTGGCAATGTTCTTGCCTGCTGCTTCGGACGCCAGCCAGATCAGGAATAAGGTGATGGACACCAAGTATATCGGCCGGCGCAGGTCAAAGCTAATTGAATAGCTTGGTGGGCATAAAAGCCCTCCACTGCACGATCCGTCGGAAACGTCGACGCAACAGTCTTACAACATCTCCTGGCTTAAGCGGCTGCGGGAATGCTTGACTCGAGCATCATGGCAAAGTCAGGTTGGCTCGCCAGCCTTATTCGCGCCGAGAGGATCATGCAGCTTCGGGCGTATGATTGGTTGGGTGTTTGGTTGGTTGGCTTGCTCCTATTCAGCCCGCATACGCGGTCCATTGTAACCTCAAGTCTGGGTAGAGTCTGGTCTCGTAACTCCAGTAAGTCCGCCGTTCAGTCAAAGGGCTGATTGTTCAGCATTCTGGTCTCGCGGCCTCACCTCAGGTCGCGAAGCCCGAGGGAACATACGAACTTCCATGTTCCACAAGCCTAAGCCTCACCTTCCAGGTTCAGGTGAATCAAGTCATATTTACGTGAAACAAACATAAATGCTTGGTCAGCTCAGTTGGCGGCGGGCTTAGGCTCATGGCCGATACAGACTTAAAGAGGTTGAGCGCATATAACCAAAATCAACTTTGCTCTGCAATCCTCCTTTCCCCCTTTCTAACATATCCAACGTCCGTCCACTCATAGCCTACGACATTACATTATGGACGCTCTTCCAATCAAGCCCACGAGACACGATGTCTATGACTTCATTTCTCCCAATGCTGGCACCAAGGACGCCGCTGTAGGAAAGAGTGTCCTCGTTACGGGAGCCGGATCTGGCTTTGGAGAGGTACAGTTTTATATCCGAATCGCTTCTCATCATCCACATCCCCCTTACATCTGACTAAACTGTGGGCATATCTCAGCATTTCGCCATCCATTTCGCCCGGCAGGGGCGGATTCCATCGTCCTCGCCGGTAGAAACGCTAAAGACCTTGAGAAGTCCAAAGCCAGCATCGAAGCCGAATCGCCCAAATGCCGCGTGCTCTGCGTCCCAACCGACATCACCGACCCCGAAGCCGTCGCAAACCTTTTCCAGAGGGCTGGCAAAATTGACATTCTCGTCAACAACGCTGGGTTCACGGGAGATATCAACCTACTGGCGAAGACCGACTTCCAGAAGTGGTGGATGGCTTTCGTACGTTACTCCTTGGGAACACGTCACGCATCTTGCAGGAGATTAACAAGTGCAAGAAATCAACGTTCGCGGCACATACATGGTTACTTGCGAGTTCCTGAAGTTACTTAAAGGCGGCCCCGGTTTCGTTCTCAACGTCTCCTCGCGCTCTTCATATGTCACTGCTGAGGGCATGAGCGCATACCGGGTCTCCAAACCGGCTATGAACAGGTCAGCGCTCTGAATTTATCTACACCCTCTTGTATACTAATACGTTTAACCTCCAGACTCGCCGAGTTCATTGACAAAGGTATACATCTAATCCGACTTTCCTTGTTTCCTTTCCCTCTCTCCCACCCCAACCCCGGAATAAATACCACGCGACCAAATCCCCACACCTCGCAGCGCCTGACAATACAACAGACTACGCTTCCCAAGGCGTCGTTGCAATTGCTTTTTATCCCGGCGGAGTCCCAGGGACCAAAGTCGCCGATGCCGCACCGGAGTGGCTTCGCAAGAACTTCAAAGATACACGTGAGTACCTCACCACACCCATCAATGACCACCGTGCTGCCCACTTGCCAAAACTAACCCGTTGCTTCCAGCTGCTCTCCCTGCCGCCACGGCCCTCTACCTCACCCTCCCCCGCGCTAAATACCTCAGCGGCCGCTTCATCAACGCGCAGTGGGACATGGAAGAGCTCGAGAGCCACCGCGAGCGCATCGTCTCAGAGGACCTGCTGAAAATGCGGGTCTTGGGGATTGACGACCACTTGTGAAGTCAACAATATCCGGGGGCACCTAGTTGTTTGGTGTATTGGGCCACTGAGGAAGCTGGATGAGACGGAACTGTCTGGCCTCAACACCTATAGTTACTCGACTGCCTCTTGAGCGGAAGGAAAGCTCTTTTTCAAGCTAGTTCTATACAACGATAAAATGGATTTGGTAAAATTGCCTTGAACCCCTGAACCCCTGAATCTCAACATGGTCCGTGCACATGCCTCTGTCTTTGACGAATGTGCTTGCAGGTACTAGGTACAGTATCTTGATGAGTTACTTTTGCTGAATCACGCCCTGGTGAATGAAATGCTCATAATTATGATGCTTGGGATGCAGAGATTGCCATCGGTGTGAATGCCCTCGGATGTCACCCCTAACGTGCCAAATGTCAGGACAAGAGCCCCCCACCAGGCAATGGTTTGATAGCTGTCACTGTCAGACCAAGGGCCGCTGGGTATGCCTTCCGGATGGCATGGGTGTTTGTTGATTTGCCGGCCATGGCGCATATGCCCACGAAACGTGGGTGGGCGGGGCTGACTTCCGCCGGGACTTCCAGAAGGTCTGAGAGGCGCTTGGCGTGCCACCCTTCTCCACCCGCCCACCCGCCATGGCCAGCCGTTGATTTGTCTCATTACAATTTACCGAGTCAGGAACAGGACCCTCACGAGGAAACGTCCGAAGTGACTTCGGACGGACAGCCCTGGCAGCTTCAGGTATTTGGCCGAAGGTGTGTTTCGCGATAACGTTACAGTTTCGGAGACCCACTGTCATGTACCTGAATGCAGCATGCATGCCCTGGAGGCTGATGCAACCTCCCTTCCAGTCCAGGTCTGTACCTTGCACGGACAATGTTACCCCGAAGCGTGGAGCCATGGAATGCGTGGAACGCCGCTTCGTTGGCAGACATAGATGCTGACCGCTTATGGCCCAAACGCCGGGAGCGATGTCACTGTCAGAGACGGATAAGCAGACCTTCCTTGAGGACCGAGGTGCAAGACTCGACATGTGATTCAACCTAATGTTTCCAGCCGCATTCTCCGAGCATATCTCTATCCATTGAGATCGTTATCTGGCTGTCCGAACACTCCAACATCATAACGGACGCGAGTTGCGTGATGCCATTGATCACCGAGAGAAAAATTGGTCTATTGTTGCATGATTCTCATTCGAAGAGTCCCGCCATTACCCAAATACCGGGAAACCTTAAACGAAACCGATCAGTAGATTCGCCCAGGAGGAATGCCATGACCTTGCGTCCCGGTGCATGTCGTGCCGGCCAAGATGTGGGACTCGGACCGTCAAACCATGCTGCATTCACTGGCAGAATTCTACCATCAATAAAAATGATTAAATGTATTTTAACAGTGGTTAAATAAAAGAAGCCATAGTATCCGTAGGTATCTAATCCCAGGTGCTGAATCCTTCGTCATGACGCATACCCTGCGTTATAGCTTTAGCTACTATACCCCTAACTTATCAACCCCCAGCTGCACGAAGAGATCGACCCGGTACCATGTCACGATACAAGTCCTCCCGGAACATCTGCTTCGCCACCTTGCTTACTCTGCATATGTCGCAAGTGCTATTGATCTCGGTCTAATCAAAGCCGCCTGGTCCCTAAGCGTAAATATAATAATAATATACGCACAGGTGACGAAGACATGGGCCATGAACTATCGTCAGTCACTAGGACACCAGGAGATGCTCTTCTTCAGAGAGTGGCTGTCATTACACCGTAGTCCTCACGTTGCTTGTTACTCCACACGTGGTCCACAACCCATGTAGGGATAAGGACATCATGCAGTACCGTAATTACTGGTACCATTCATCTTGAGTCCCCCCTGCTAGCGCGAGTGGCTTGCGTGCGGAAAAGAGCCTCACCAGCCTTAAGTGGCTTCTTATCGATATTATCTCTTATAAAGCGATGCGGCTGGTGGTCTGATTTTTGCACGCAAGCCACTCGCGCTAGCAGGGAGGACTCGGAATGAATGGTACCAGTAAATACGGTAATGACTTGATCTGATGTAGTGTACGAAGCATAGCAGCAGTATTATACCAACACCAGACGTACACCCCAGAAGTGGATGGAAGCCTCGAGGCCCAAAAAGGGGACTCGGTCAGTGAGAGAGCCTATCACAGGCCCATCCGACGCAAAGGAGCGTGAGGTATAATAGCGAAGGCTCGCACGCGCAGCAAGGCCTGACCTTGACCTGATCACCACCTGGCGCAAAACGGAAGCTGCATAAAGCATTTCTCGTGGGGGTGAACAGCTTCGGTCCCGTCATCTTCTGCAACAGCCTTCACCGCCGCCGGCGCCGCTAGCCTCCACGTTCAGGCCAGCCTGGGAAACACGTTGCCTGTCAGAAGTCAAAGCAACGGGCCGAATCAGGGGCCCCCCAGCCGCTGCGTGCAGTGGTGGCACGGTGGGATCCCAAAACCCCCAGGGATCGTGACCCCCATCATCTTCCCAGGTTTGTGAGTAATGCGTTTTTGTGATAACATTTTCCGGTGGGAGGGACGGGATCGTGCATGGAGGAAGGAAGCCTTGGTGTCAGCGCATGGGTTCATCCCGCGTAGGATTCTGCAGGAACGAATGAACAATCGAAAGAGGTGACTTATAGGTATACGATGAAGTCGTCAAGAAATAATAACTACAAGATTGCAAAAGAGGCCGATATAACTCCTGCTTGAGGGAGGACCGTTGGCGGCGTGGAAGGATGCAGAACGTTGCTCGGTGTCCTATATGTCACAATTAGTGCACTGGATGAATACCATGCCGGCATCGACACCTTCAAAGGTCTGCAATATTGACACTGGGGGTCATCCTACACCGGCAAGCCGATACCAGTTCGTCGACTCCCCCATGCCTCTAAGACGAAATCCCTTGAGCGTTGGATACTTGGCATTCGTTGACGGATCGACGGTCCCGACGACACGTTCCTCCCCGGATCGACAAGGATTCAATAGAGATTACAGACCACCACGTTGATCATAAAGTCTACCGTGCACCTGTGACCTAATAATTTAATAAAGCGAATCCGCCCAAAGACGGTTATTACCGAGCCAGGATGACGGGCCGCACCAGGGTGCATCAGTGTCTACTTCCATCCTAGCTAGTGAGAGTACCCAGTGAGCACTGAGGCTGGTCAACTCCCCAAAGCAGCAGCTTACAATGAACAAGGCAGGGATGGGGTCGCAGGGCATCAGAAAGCTACGACTGGTGGTCAGGTTACTGGGCATTCTTTCATCTCCGCGACTCTCGTACCAAGGGAGAGGTTCACACCGATAGGGTGGTGGGTTTCGATGGGGCCATGCAAGGCGTTGCGTGGGGGGAGAAACAGCAGGCTGGGAACGACTCCACCATTGCCATCGTCAGCTTTCGCGGCCTTGGGACGTCGTTTCATTGTCGAACGTTCTGCTATTAAATCCTTTCTAGGGAGAAGCGTCCCCGACGACCCGTGGACGTGGTACGATTGACACCCGCAGCGCAATTTCACCAGGACCACGTCCCTGGGCTGCCTGGGTTCAGGTTTGCCGGTGACGTGCTTTGGTCAGTTTGTTAATTCCAATCTCCCAGCCTCTTCCCTCCTCGTCTCTGGGCTCCGGAATTTCGTGCGGGACATGTACGTCCTAGGTAGCCAGAGCCAGGTATCGTTGATCGTTGAGCGAATGGGTTCACCGTTGTTCCAGAAATCCGAACCGCTTGGAAGTTGGAAGCGGACAGGGCCCCTAATTAGATTCTCAGAATGCCGGTGTGGTTCCAGTATCCATGCCTTGCAAGAAGAATGCGTGTCTGTTGCGTAGGGACATACGTTCGCCCATGTTCCCGTGACGCCGCGGGCCATGCAGGCCTTCTACGCAGCCGTCGCAATGCAGGGGTTGCGCGACTCCAGCGCTGTGGACCAGGAAGTATTTCACCCCGTGAACCACCCAGGCGGGAGGGACCACAGTCCTTCCGCGGACCGGACCGGGGGCCTGGCCCCTGGAGCTGGTGGAGTTGTCGACTGATCGTCGCAGAGAAGAAAGGAACATTCGAGTTTAACTGATGGTTTCAAGTATCGAAGTACCTGTACTGCAGCGAAAAGGGAGCGATTTCGCGAAGGCGACGGGGTTTCTCTGAGATCGCCAGCAGGCTCGTAGATACATGCCCTTCCCAAGGCAGGGTTTACCGCATCAAGTACAGGCTTCAAAGTTCAGGTTCGTTACCCTGGTCAAACGACGAAAGGTTCGGTGACGGATTAGGCAAGGACCCAAGGGTGTCCAACGAGAAATATTGTGTGCTATTTCTCTCTGGAAAATAAAATAATGAATAAATAAAATATTGAATATTATCTTTGACTTTTATCTTCGGCCGAGTTCACGGCCGAGTATCCCGTAACCTCGACGGGCATCCTCGGCGCCCAGCCACTGGCCGAGACTCCCACATCCGAATAACGTTGGAAGGCATAATATGTGACGGCGATACTGTCCAATGGCGCTGATTGGGCTCCCGTGATGATTATGACTGGACTATTTGTGCAATGGTCAAGCGCCTATGTCCTGCCCGTGATTCAGCGTCAGGCGCCTGGGCAACTGCCGGCGTTTGCGATGCTTCAGGTTGCCCAGAGCCGCTGCCTGGCATTACTGGGTCGTCGGTTGCGGTTGTAAGTGAATCGGTGAGATGTGGCAGCTGTGTGGTTGAGGTTATCTGCTATCTAATGCACACCTTGCCGAGGTGTGCTAGAGCGAGAGACGACCACCACGAGTAACAATCTGTCAATGCGATCGATAAGTTCCACCACTCAGTCCTTCTTCCTCGCCGCACCACCACCAACACGTCTGAACTTTCGCTTGTCTTTCCGACTCATGCGCGACTTATCCCGCGTTCCCTTGCCACCCTCCCAAAAACCTTTGCCCTTCTTGCCAATCACGCTTCGGCCACAGAAGCCACAAGCTTCGACCGCGTAGTTCTGCTCCCTGCTGCACCAGCCGCAGATCATGCGGTTTGCCCACTCCTGCGGGTGGTCCTCGGCGTCGTCATGGCACTTGTCGCACGGGTGCACCTTGCTGCAGCACGAGAACCGGAACCAGCGGTACGATTTCCGGTAATGCGGACACGCGCCGCGGCCGGGCAGCGGCTCCCCCGCGTACAGGCCCAGCTTTTCCTGGCGTCGCCTCGGCCCGGTCGTGGGCGGCGGAGCGGCGCCGTGCGTGATGGCCATGAATCTGACCTCGGGGATCTTGAAGGTGAAGCGGCCGTGGCACTCGCGGCACACGTTGGTCACAACCTCGCCGCGGACCGACACGAGCCCGTCGCTTGGCGTCGAGCACTTCGCACAGGTGGGGACGAAGGTGCTGGGGAGCATGTCTGCCACGGTGCAGCCAGACACGTCGATGAACCCCCCGCGGACGGAGCCCTGGTGCACCATCTCCTGGCGGAACTTGGCTGTGAAGGCTGTAGCGCACTTCTTGCAGCTGCTTGCCTTCTCCAGCTCTGGCTTGAGCCCCGTGATGTCGTTGATGGTCTTGCACCGCTCACATTTGGCACTGATGTTTAGAATCGACACCTGCAACAGCTCGATGCTGTGGAGCTCAACGGACGGGAAGGAGATGGCGGTACCGTGTTCGACTTGCTGAGCAGCTCCTGAGACCTTGATCTGGCCTACCGGAACACCACCGTCGTCCGACTCGTCGTCTGAGTCATATGAATCCGATTCCGAGCCCTCTGACTCTTCTGCCGATTCGTGCCCATAGCCCCATTCAGGTGGCCTGGGAATGAAGTGGATATGGCTTCTCCCATCTTCACTTGCAGGGACAGGCTTCTCCGCAGGGGCATCCGTTGTCGTATCACCGGTAGGTTTTGTGGATACCACCTGCTCTTGCCTTGATGTCTTGGCTTGCTTCGCCAATGTGTGCATGTTGAGGGACAGATAGTTAAGGTGGCTCATCAACGTCATCTGGCTTTGCTGGCTAGCTTTCGTCGTGAACAGCTCTTCCAAGGCCTCGGCATCCTCCGAATCGACATCGTTAAGGAGTACCCTCAGAGACTGGAGAGGGTAGAGTAAGGGGATGATTAGCTGTACGGAGTGAACCGACCTTAACTCTGGTAGGTCGGACCGCCGTTTCGGCTCTAGAGGCACATTGTAGACTATGCCATCAGCGGACTTCTGAAAGAGGGACATGCGCCCCATTCTGGCTTCCAGCTGTCTGATCTCCTGGGCTCGCCGTGCTTTGGCGGCTGCGATCTGTTCGTTCGTGAAAGATTCTTCAGGAACATACGGTCTTCTCGGGTTAGGAGCTGGCTTTGACGCCTCTGTCTGTGGTGATTGAACAGTCGATGGTGGCGTCCCGCTCAATGCAGTTCCAAGACTACTGAGATGTCTTGTGTCCCTGAAAGACAACAAGGTCACAGTTTCGGCCTTCTGCTCGGACAAGAACACCTCGAGGTTCTTGTCCAAGGCATTGGTCAAGGCTAAGAGGGTCGTGCCCTGCTTCTCCCTGACGAGCCTCTCCCATCCTCGCTCTATGTTGAGAGCAAATCCACGGGGGATATCTCCGTTCTTGACTCGGAGGGCAGCAGGCTTCTCCGGGTACGATGCAGGGACCTGTAGTTCGCAGTCCAAGTAATCCAGCTCGAAGGGGAAGTCGGGATCCGAGGGTTTAAGTTGAAAAGCCAGGTTTTTTGTTCCATCCTGCAGAGTGCTCTGTTTCGCTCTGAATCTTTTCGTTATCTGTTCCAGCTGGTATTTTCGCGGGTCCTGGGCCTGGGAGCCTGGGACCGGCTTCGGCACGACACGGCTCGATGAAGCTTCGGCCACTGCTTGACGGCCATCGATAGATCCATCAGCAAGCGGCTTAGTTGAAATCATGACGGGCCGAGAGTCGAATGGTCAATCGGCCTTTCGCTTTCTCAAAAAGGCTGCTTGCGAGTCGCTGATGATTAAGGTCACGCCGGGCGAGAATGCGGGCAGGGACAGCAGATGAACGTAGGTCTTGCGGTTGGCAGTAAAAGGTAGCTCGCGGATCTCGTAGAGGGGGACCACCAAAGGCTCTCTTTAGAGTTAATTTCAATCTTTGTTCATTTGCCTTAGCATCACTGCGTCCCTGGTGAGTCAAGCCGAATGTCTTTGTCGAGACTCGAGAGACGTGATGGAGCCACTGTTGCCTCGCAGTGCATCATCAGTGTCAGATCAGTGCAGTCGCTTAGCTTTCACCTGCCCGCCAGCTGCGTGGCACGTGCATCTGCCTAGAGCTTTAGGTGGCGAACACATCTTCCCAGCTGCTCGCGTCTTTTCTCATCATTATGATTCATATTCGCTTCAGCTTGTTCCCGTCAATTTTGCATACAGCGACGATTTTCAGAGCCTTTCCTTGCTCTAGTGAGTCAAGAAACAGCAGGCGGACTCGTCTATCCAGCCGGTGTTGGTTCACCATCCCCTGGGCAGACTAGTGAGTGACATTGCGACCGCTGCAAAACACGATGCCTTGCCGCTGCATTCGCGCGTACCGGAACCTCTGAGACTCGAGAGATACCCGGCACCCGACTGAGAATGGAGTTTTACAAGGAGCTGACAAGGAGCTTTCCTTAGGTTTGCCCACGTGCGCTGGAAGCGGTCTCATTTACCCATATTATTAGCCAGATCCAACACCCAGAGCTCAGCATGCATCGATGCGTCAAGACCATGCCAACTCCAGTGAGGCGGAACGGTCCTGCGTTGCGGATGTTGTACATCTGGTCCGATCAACCAGAGTCACACCTCATCTCCCCTGGTCTCTCCTGGCTGAGCATTCTCTAGATGGCGATATCTCCCCTACATCCGGAGGTAGCCGCGTAAACGAACTCCGCGATACCTACATCCGACTCGTGGTCTACCTGCTGCAGTGATCACGGGAACGATCCGTAAAGGGAGCATACGAGATTATTGGCTATCTAGAAGCGAAAATTCCAGCGCGCAACAGCGCGGTTCGTGTTGATCTCTAAGGAGCTCACCTGCGTTCAAATGTCTATCCGGACGCTGAAGAAATCACGAGTACTACGGCGGGATGCGACAACCTGTAAGAGAGGCTCGACCCCGATCACGGGTCGCTGCCAATGCACAGCGATGCGCCATGCAGCTTCAATTGATTGAACCGCGGGACTTGTGCCAATCACCACGTATGACTCCCACTACAGTACAATGGGCTTTGGCTACCTGCCCACGGTACCTTCGCAGATGCCTATTGAGAATGCAGCTAGATTCCAGATCTAGACAGTATCCAATGTCCAGTATTGGCAATCAAATGGCTTTATCATGGCCGGTTGTCGATCAATCATTACTTGGTACGTTCTTCTAATATTATCCATTTAATTGTATTTGATCGCCTCGTTGTCCTTTATTTCTCAGACAGCTGATGGACAGGGTAGCCTGCCAGCTCATCAAGTGTGCAGCAGATGACCGCGGACTTCATGCAAGCTACAAGGCGGTGAAAGCGCAGTGAGTACGGCGCTCGGAGTATTCCAAGATGGGGGCACGATAGGCGAGCCAACGACATGGAGCTCCCGATTGTCAATTGAGACAATCCCCAGGATGGAGGGACGGAGACGGTGGGGGAACGGGACGTACCTCCTAAGTAAGGCAAGTTACAGCCCTTGGAACCACCGAGCATGTGACGAATGTCGACATCAAGTTGATGAGTTGTTAATCATTCAACGGCCATGACCAACGACAACTGGTATTCTTAGCAGGTCATTGACATCCAGGTGAGTCACGGTACTCCAGCGGCAAGTGACTCTCCATTCGTCCAGGTCGTCGTAGATTACCCGCGCAACGCCTCACTCTACACTCTAGCTTGTATCAACAACGGTGTCGCCCGGCTGCTTATAGGCTTGGCCTCAGGAAAAAATGTGGAATGGTTGTCCTTCTGATGTCGAGTTCCGGCCCGTCGGTACAGGTACATATCCGGAATGGAGGGCACACTGACAGATACAGACATTGAGAATAAAACCGATAAAAGTGGTAAAACATTTATTGATTTCCTGCTTTATCTTCGAGCTGAATATCCAAGATGAAGCTGGAAACAGGCCTCGTCCACCCGTAGGAACCGTCTTGGGCCCGACAGGCTTCAACCGATTCCCAATCCAGTGATGGATGATACGACACAGCACTCGTTCCTGACTCAGCCGGCTGTGCTGCTGTAACATTATTACGACGAGGCAACTAGTCCAGCTTACCACATCGCTTGAATGATGACTTAACAGAGAGGACTGGGTAGATCTCCCCAGCTTGCCTGGGGGGAAGTTGGGGTCGGGACTTTTGGCGGTGCAGTGGCTTCAGTAGGTATGTTGCTCAGCCCAAGTGCATGTGTACTATGCTGAAGAAACCCAGGAGTTAAACAATAATGACCAAACAAACGATGAAATGAAGTAAAATGTCCATCACACCGCCAGAAGGTTGTCACCACCTAGGTACATGTAGGTACTCGCCAGTCCTGCCTGTCATTCTGCAACATGGAATACCCACCACACGGTTGGGCTGTCTTGGATTTGACGTGGCAAGTCACCCACCAGGTCTCATATCAAACTTCCAAGCCTGGAGCGAGACAGCATGACGAACGCAGACTGTTCATGTTCCCGACGGCCTGGTTCCTTATCTTGGCTATCTAGTATCGACACACTCGGTCGTGTCCGATACGTCGTGTACCTCCAGATCGCGTACGCCACTGATGAGATGCAGGGCGTCAAGATGTCTGCCAGCATGCCTTGCGCGTGAGGCTGGCACGCACCCCTGCTGGAGTAATCACGAGCACGCTGTCACGACTGCGTATCGAGATATGCTCTACTCGGGCTCTTCGATCTCGTCGACTCGTGAGTTTCTGTGTGTATCCTGGTACTTACGCTTGGTGCCTTAATACACTGACTACGGAGCTGAGAGACTCAGGTATAGGAGTTCTTGACCGGGCCTCACATCCTGGGTCACGGCTCATGTATCGCCCGGAAGGTTATCAGAACGCAAAACTTGCTTAAAATTTCGCTGATGCTAACTGCCGTACCGTATCTACCGCTCATATACCCTGTACATCAGGCACGCCATTCATAGGCTTAGTTAGACGGTATCGTATTCCATCCCGTCTACTGTATCATACAGCCCGCATCATATCCCGCCTGTATCATACTCAACCCAAGCACCGATCAGTCACCCCCGCCTGGACGCTATACAACGTCTTGGAAACCCACTGCGTGGCGAACGCGATGACGTCGAACTCGAACGCCGAGTGCCACATCAGCCCGCAGTCCGCCGTGGGCGTACCGGGCCCGATCGGCCGCCACGGCAGCGTAGGCGCGCGGTCGTCCGTACCCGCCGCGGGCGCAGCCAGCTCGTTGACGTACTTGGGCTCGACGGAGACGCCGGTGCTGAGGTCGAGCCGGCCGTCGAGCACGTCGAGTGCGAGCTCGACGCCGAAGTCGACGTAGGGCGAGGCGTGGATCGTCGTGGTCTCGTCCGACGTGTCGATCGACACGTTGTGCGCCGCGCTCGTCCAGCCCGACGCCGTCGAGCGCGTCGGGTCCACGACGTCGATGTGCACGTGGCCGTCTGGGACCGCGGCTTGCACGCACAAGCTGAGCGTGGCCGCCGCCGCCGCGCCCATGTCGACGCCGATGTCCCACTTCAGGGACGGCCCCAGCCGCACGAGCTTCGGGATGTTGACCATCGAGTACTCCAGCGCGTCTGGCGCCCACGTGAAGTTGCGCGAGTAGGGGGCCGTGAAGTGGAAGATCAGGCTCAGGTCCGCTTCGAACGACGCCGCGATGTCAAAGTACAGGCTCTCGAGCCGGTGCGATAGTATGTCGTACTTCAAATACCCCGATATGGTGACGTTGTCGCGTAGCACTAGCTCGTGCGCCGAGGCGTAGAAGGCGTCACCCTCGGAGAAGATCTGCAGATCGTGGTCCAGCGAGAAGTTTCCGAGGAAGTTGTAGCCTGATCTGTTGAACTGGACGTCGTGCTGGCTCAGGTTGTGAGGGTACTGCGGCGTCCTGAGGTGCGTGAACTCCATCTCGAGTGTGGCTTGGGGGTATGGTTAGTCCTGGGTCAACTCACACTGACCCCCTTCCAGGTAAAGTCAGATACCGGCAATGAAACAACTCACTGGCTGTGTTCAACACGTCCTTCTTGTCCCCACTCGCGACCACCGTCATGTCGTCCTCGTGCCAGGCCAGGCTGCGCGCCAGGAATATGCCCCGCTCGTTCGCGACATCGCAGTTGCCCTGATGGTTGGTGACCAGGACGAGATCGCCCTGGTCCGACCATTCGGCCCTGCTGCGCTCGTAGGCGGCCGGGTCGTCGAACGTGATGTTGACGGTGGTGTTGGTGCACACGACGGTCGAGGCGGCCTTCACGTGTTCCAGCAGGATGGTGGGGTAGTCCATGTCCAGGGTGACGTTGGCGGGCTTCGAGTCGTTGAGACCGTAGGCCAGGTCGATTCGGGTTGAGGGCACGAGGTTTTGGAGGTCTGAGGTGTCTTTGTCGGCTGCGAGGACGGGGCCCCATTCTCGTTCGAGGCTCGGCGTCGTGGAGGCGGTGCTGGCGAGGAGGGCCAGGAGGGTGAGGAAAAGTGTGAGACTCATGGTGATCTGCTTGATATCGCACTTGGGACTGAAAGGCTTGGTTGTGTTTAGGTCTGGTTGTACTTGAGTATGAGTGTGGGAATCGAGGAGAGATAAGAGTGTTTGTATGAGTTTGTAAGAGAGAGGAAGAGATATGTTCGCAAGCAGACTTCGTGGGCCAACTGGTGTTTATATAGAAAGACCACGAGCGAGACTCACGATGGTGTTCTATACGCGACGATAACGTGCTGTTACATATTGGAGGCCTGCCGTTGCCACGTGCTCAACGTGAAATACCCTCATCTGGGCTATAACTTACCGCCATTGTGGTTCTTCATCTCATGTGACAAGCTATACACAGCTCAGCCAGGGCCGTGTACGCGTGACCGAGATGGAATACCCAATCGTGGCTTCATCCCAGACACCAGAGGCCCATAAATGACTGCTCGCAGTATACCGCCATTCATGTTTATCACGATAAACTGTTTCCCATTGTTCTCAGCCTCGTTTGATAAGGGAGCCCCCCTGTTATTAGCCAATTCTGGCGTATCACATCGAGCGAGGCTTTGGATAACCAGGTTAGTCGGTGAGTCACGGGAGCTAATACGTGCTTGGACCCCTGGATGAGATGGGACGAGAAGTCGGAACCTCAAGAATACCGCACGTGGAACTTCATCTTTCATGCTTCTTGGTGGTGTTTCAATCTTGCTGTATCTGTTCATATCCGAACTTGGGACATCAGATGTGTCGGGTTTTATGTTGAAGTTGCCAACACCCGCTCGGGTTGCTTCTCGTTGTAGGCTGGTGAGAGTTGAAGGCTACTCGGGGGCTTCGCTCCATCTTCCAAGGGAACATTGTCGGAAAGAGTCTAATGAATATAGGATAATAAAACAGTCTCACCCGCGCTTGTGACGAGCGTGGTACCTACAGCTGGCATGCTGGGAAAGGGGTGGAGCAAGAGGAACAGTACGCAGACATGGTGTATACAACCCTGCTCCCGATTCAGCTGAGATGACCTCCCCATGCTCACACGACCTACTCTTGGGGCAAAGGGATGTGATGACATTGCTGGCCATGGAGTCAATGCCAGGGGCATGCTGGAGCGCCATGCCTTGGGATATATGTGATGAGTATTGTGTGTCCTACGACATTGCTATTTCTATAGTGCCGCGGAGGGCTCACCTCACCGGGAATGAATGAGCTGGAGATTCATGAGAAGTTAAGCGGCAGCTCCTACTTTCGTGGAGTCTTGCGGAGGGAAGTGGACTCCGAAAGAGCCAATACTTAATCGCACTTCTTGTCAAATTAAACTGAATCGAGTGAAAGCAACTGAATCAGGAAAGAGAAAGATAAAAGATATAGAAGCAAACACCAAGTCCAATCCGCTTACCCAGCCCTCAACCCCCTACCGCGACCCCTATTCATGAGTACCCCTATTCATGTTGTCATCCCCTCCTTCATCCCTGGATTCCCATCGCATCAGTCTGCAATCCCTCAAGATCTCATACCTATAACGAATGACCTCTGCCGTCTTGAAACCACACTTGGAGTAAAAACCAACAGCCTCGTAGTCGGCGATAACGAAGACAGGGACCTTGTCTTTTGTTGCTTGGGCTTTCACTTCCTCTATCATCTTCCGTGCGACGTTTCTCCTGTGGAATTCGGGCAATACACCCATAACGCGCACCACTACACAATCCGGTCAGCAGTTCGAAGGACACCAGAAGATTTGATGACCTTACTCCAAAAAGGCGCTTCATGCGCAAGTTCGCTCAAAGCCTTCTCTTCCGCCCTCGACATCTCGGCCGCGATGTCCCATCGGACTCCCCACATCAACAATCTATACTCATATTGCTCCGGTGTCGCCTCTGGTGCCCTGTCTGTAGGTACGTTCTTTACTTCTGTCTCCACCATGCGCTGATCTGTGCTGGCATCAACTCCCTTAAGCCTTGCTGCCTCCCTCATTTCCCCGACCAACACCTCTGTGTTGAGCTTCGCGATTTCGCTTCGCTCCATCCTGTGTGCCAGCAAGGCGCCCACGACTTTGTTATTCCAAAGCCCCGTGATCACCAGGGATCTCTTCTCGTCGTTTCCGTAGTGTTCTGTCACGTGGGGCTTTAGCCACCCCGATACGATTCTCAGAAAGTCTTTGCCGAGCGTCGATCCCTTCTGTCCCATAAGTTCGTTGGCCTCGTCTGTGAACATTTGGTGCGAGGACTTCAGTGTCCAGGTGGACTCGTCGAGGACGCGCGCGACCTCGTCTCGTTTCTTGATGGCGATTTTTCCGGCTCGGAGGAAGGCTGCGAGGTCGTAGCGCAGGGTCTTGCCCGTAGCCGGCTTAGATGTGGGTGGGCGTGTGAGAGCCTTCGCGGCGGCAAGCATGTCCTCGACCTCGCTGCGTGCGGCTTTGTTGCGTGATGCCATCTCAATCTGAGGGCTCCTCATTGGTCTGCAGATTAAAACTGATCCCCAGAGTGCTGGTAGCTTTTCATGGCCCCGAGTCGCAAGATATGCTTCGGATTCGGACAAAGAGATGGTCGTGTTGGTTGGTGTTGCAAGACGTGCCATGACCTTGGACTTCCTACAACGAGGCAGTTGCGGCATCACCTTCTAATCAGCCTTCACTGCGGCAGTCGCACTACAGGTGAGTACCTAGGTAAATTATTGTGCAAGGGGAAGACTGCTACTGCCTCACATTGCCCAGGTTCACCTACTTTAAGTCAGCAGATGTTAGCAAATCATCGATTTGCGAAAGTCTATCCTCGAATCCCAGAGGTCTAGTCTAGTTGGTATCCCCGCCCCCGTCTATCGAGCCATCGACTCCAGTTTTCATGCCGTTGCGCGTCAAAGCCAGAGGATTTCATCTAGATAAATCCCACCCGAACTTGATCCCAGCGCATCTAGTTCCCTTCAGGAACCATCCACCCTCTTCGCTCCGTTTTGCGGCGCAGCGTTCTGAGCAGCAGCTGCAGCAGCGTGTGCAGCTTCATCGGCCTCTTTTTGGAGCATCATCTTAAGCGAAGCCACCCAAGCAGTCTTCACCTCCATCTTCACGGTCTCGGTCATGGGAATGGCGTGCCGGCGGCGCTGACTCTCCTCCGTTTCCTTCATGGTCGCGTTGGTGTCCTGCTTGCTCTCGTCGACGAAGTGGTAAGACCGGTACTCAGCGTTGGCCCAGCCAGTACGAGCTGCGTAGGAGTAGTTAGTCCGACTGCAACGTGATCGAGCACGATATATGGCTTTGTGAGAGGTCGTTCATGCCCACAAGGCAGCTGGATATTCAGAAGAAAGGAGAGGAAGGGAGGCAGTTACACACCGTTTTCCCCCTTATTGGGAGCATCAAAGACTTCGGTGATGAAGTGGAGGATACCGCCGTGGGTGACCAGGACCAGGTGTCCGTCGTCGCCGGCCTCAGTGGCAAGCTCTCTCAGCCAACGCCGGGTCTTCTTCGCTCGAGCCTCGAGATTTGCCAGGTTCGGGTGGTACGTGCTGCCGGGTGTCTTGACGTTCCAGGCGTCGTCGCAGAGAGCAAGCTCCACCAGGGGCTCGAACTCCGCCATGAGCTTATCACGGTCGGAGCCTGTGTCGCACGGCAGCGCAGAGACCTCTGAATGATAAATGTCAGTAGTCAGTTCTGTAGATGAGACGGCGGAAGTAAAGAAGTCATGAATTCACATACCCTGTGCGGAGGGCAGTGCGAGAACCTTGATGCCCTTTCTAACGGCAGGCTCGAAGGCGTGCAAGCACGTCCACAGGGTGCGGCGGATGGGCGAGGCCGTAAGGTGGGTGACCTTGTCGTGAAAGGGAAACACAGTACGCAGGTCGTCGCATTGCTGCTCGCCCAGAGGTGTCAGGTCGGGATCCCGAAGCTGTTGGTTTTCCTTGCAGAGGTTGTGGTAGCCCTCGGCGTGGCGCACGAGGTGAACCGTCGGTGCCATGTTGGTGGTAGCAATCGCGGGAGTCGTGTGAGAGGTTGAAAGGAGAGAAGTATTGGCGGTGAGGCGCAGAGAGAGTGCGCCGAAGTATGCACTGGGAAAGTTTTGTGAGATCAGACCGCGAGTCCTGAGGTACCGTATCGTATCTCGTCGTCTCTCGTCAGCCGTTGGACAGCAGCAAGGTCGGTGGCGGGGCAGAATTCGCTGATATGGCAGTTTTCTTGCCCCTGACGATGGATGCAAACACAATTTGTCTGATTCCGAGGCAAACACAGCACCGTTTCGTTTCTACAGTGGAAGGCCTGCTTCCAATTGAGTTTTTATGTGTCTGACCTCTAAGCTCTGACTGCATCGTGGGCCGGTCTCTTCGGACGACTGTCGCCCGAGCATTTCGGACCGCCGGGACCGCAGACGATGACTGTTCGCGAACCCGGTCTCGGTACGGCGCAGCTGCGGGCTCGTACCAAACACCTCAAGCTGATTGGGCCCATTGCTCGACATCGTCAGATCAGAAGTTTCTACCAAAAGCCGACATCTTGGTGATACCTACGACGTGGGCTCGTTGTTGCCTCTGAGCCATCGTACTCCCCGTACGCCACTATTGATCGTACCGGGGAATTTCTCGTGGAAACATGGAGTACGATGGTCCGGCTTGTCACCTGTGTCTCCGGACACCGCTTGACAAGCTACATACATGTATGCTACATATGTAGCATATGTAGCGTAATTGTGGCGGACCCGACACGATGAAAAGTTGCACCCGTTGCTAGTGCCTAGGAAGAGATGGGAAGACGTGTCAGTCAGCATTTCACAGACACACCACACCCAGCTGACGGGCTTATCGAGGGACATGAAGTAGCGATGGAGGCAAAGTGAAGTGCATCCCTCCCAGCCGTCCAGTCTCTGACTTTCAAGGGGCGGGGCAGCCGTGGTAATATAACACTCGGCTTGTCTGACACAGACAGACAAGATTGGCGGTGTCGTAAAGTTCCAATGGTGACTCGCTAGAGGGCAGCTAGAGAGTCGATTAGTTATCATTGATAGGGTTGGTGATCATGCACGCCATTATCTATCTAGTATCGTTTGCGTTGATGCAGCAACCCCTGCTCGCACGCCACGAAACGTGCCAACATTGCTGACGCCTCACGGATAAAAGGGCATAGGCTGACGTCGTCCTGCATTACGACCGAAATTGGCACATTGCGTACCGTAATCCGAGTCCTCCATGATGATGATGAGAGTATCATTGGTACAGCATGAATTCCAGACAGACGGCCATGTTCGTAGCGATCTTTGCGTCGACGGACTGAGAGAGAATGAATGGTGTTGATAAAGCTATTGCCGGCCGAGTGTCGCCGGCTTTGAAACTTGAAAGGACACAAGGCCCGAGCTCCCTGCACTAGTAGCCGGGCGCTAAGAAATTAGTATGTCAGGGATGCTGTCAGGGGTGCTTTAGCGGGCGCCCTGCCGTTGGTCCATTTTCTGGAGATATCAATTCCCCAATTTCCTCTCTCCCGTGAGTCCTCCTCACGAACCGCCCTCCAACTTTCCGGCTGACAGACCAAGACTCGTCTTGTCATCCTCGAACATCGTCACATCTGCGTCTTACATCTCCTCCAGCTTCTCTACCCAAGCACAGCTCTTTACCCATCTTCGCCCACTCACTACCACAACCATGCCCGGCATCCGTAAGTAGACCTCTTTTCTGCTCTATCCCCTACATCTTCCTATGAAGTGGCCTCCGTGGCAGTGACGATACCAGTGGTCATTGCAACTGTCAGGCCGAAGATGCTCCCTCGAGAGATCAAGGGAGGATGAGGCTTGGCCTGCGCCGCCCCCGTTGTTCTCACTCAAGGGACACCATGCTGACACCATCATCAAACCACAGCACTAGGAGCTCTTGACAACTTGAAGGGCAAGCTAAAGGCTGTCTTCGGCAAGAAGAAGGCGAAGAAGGAGGATGAGCCTGCCGACGCAAAGGCCGAAGCTTCCACCACCGCCGCTGCTGCGGCACCTGCTACTGCTGCAGCTGCTGATGCCCCGAAGACCGATCCGGCTGCGCCAGGTGAGTCACCCCACCAAGCTCCCAATACAATCAGTTGATTGTGTCATGATTGGAACTCGCAAGGGCAGAATACTGATTCGTGAATAGCTGCGCCGGCTGCCACCGCCGAGGCTCCTGCCGCAGTAGCGCCCCCGAAGATCGAAGAGACCGTCAAGCCAGCCGATCCCGTTCCGGCTCGTAAGTTCCTGCCTGAACCCCTTCAACCTTGTTTACATGTTGGTGCGAACGGAAAGGAGTCTGCTCAAAATCACTTGGTCATGGTAGCACCTTCGCACTCGAGACTTCGATATCCGTTGCACTCGCTAACATCAAGTGATATAGCTGGCCTCACCACCGAGCCCGCGAAGGCTGAGCCTGCTCCTGCAGCCGCTCCCGCTCCGGCCACCGAGACGAAGCCCGTAGAGGAGGTCAAGCCTACTCCCGCCCCGGCCGCCGAGACGAAGCCTGTGGAGGAGATCAAGCCTGCTCCCGCTGCGGCCGCCTAAAAACAGCCACGATGCGACGACACCCTGCTCTCGAGATCGCGCAACCAGCATGATGGAACCCGATTTGGCGCAGGATCGTTGGATTCGGTTGGACAGACGGACGGAGGCGTAGGAGACGCGCGTTGGGAATACATCGACGACATCTTCCGTCTTTCGCTGGGTAATTTTTGCGGTTTACTGGCGTGCTGGAGGATATTCCCATAAAGTTTGTGGTTTGAGAAGATACCCGTCTCGAGGAATAGAATTGAATTGTTCCCCGACCTACTAATAAAGGTTAATGGTCCCGCCTCTTATGGCGCTAGTCCGAGTCGTTCCTTCTTGGAGCAGGCCAGTGGCCCGAGCGTTGGTCCGTCTGGTTGGTGAGCCCGACAACTTGCTTCGAACATGTCTGGTACGACTGAGGGGGAGAGAGAGAAGTCACAGCCTTGGGGGACTATCTGGCATATGAGATCCATGGACTGAGATTCACGGCGTTGTCCGTCAATGCCCAACTCTCAGCAGCCTTTAATGGCTGATGAGTAACAAGCTTGCATTGACTGAATCGAATCTCGCAACACCCCCAAACCACCAAGGACAGTCTTCACTAAGAAAGGGACGGAATTGGACTCTCTTGCCTTGTCATGCACGCGCAGAAATATGATGCTGCTGTACTAGTAGGATTCGTCTCTTTCCAGGCCCATAGAGACGACCACGGCTTCAACCTGATATTGGAATTCGTATTTGTACTCGACCTCACATTAACTTGGAAATGTACTCCTTTTCACCTCGGTTGACCTTAGGTATAAGTAGGCTTAGCTAACTTGACTAGAGCTACGTATCTACTGTCGCGTGACTATCTGGCGGTGAGTTGGCGAAGTTGCCGCAGGGGCTGATAACCAGAGACGAGTAATAGAAGGAAGCACAGATCCTATTTGCATAATCCCCAGCTACTCGAGCACAATATCTCTTCATCCGGTGTACTCCCCGCGTGCATTCCTGCTGGGCGATAATACTGATCGGATGGAGCAAGAGTACCCGTATGGCATCTGTGCTGGAACATCGTACTTAGACAGCCATTATGGACTGTCTACTCCTCTCGTATTATGCTCTCCAGCATAACGAAGTTCATTGCACCCCTCACGAGGCATTGGTTGTCGATCCCAATGTTAGCCGAACTCGCAGGGCACGCCCTTCCCAACCTGTTCGTCCTATACTCTCAGGGAAACGCGATGGGCGTGAGTTCGTCAGCTGCTTATATCATCATCATCATCCACGCGGCCTATCACTCGACCGAGCCCAAGGCGCCTGCGTGAGTCCAGAAGCACTACCCGCCGTGCCAGGCTGCGGTTACGACGGTCTAGGAACAGGGTGGTTCGGACCCCAGGGTGCTCGTGAGGATGGAACACCCGCACCAGGCGCAGGCATACCCGTCGCCTTGGCCCACGGAGCATAAGTCCCGGCGACACCTCCGGTTGGTGGTGGCGGCGGCATAGACGAGGCGCCCATGGGTGGCTGGTTCGCCATGTGCACGGATTGCTGAGGAGGGGCGGCGTCCGGGTCCTGGTCCCAGGAGAACAGGGAGCCGAAGGGGAAGTGCTGCACCACGGGGAATTTAGAGAGAACCTCGGCGTTGAACATCTTGATCATGCCCTGATGAAGCAGTTAGCCAGACAAATTTCTGATACACATTTTACGCGGAAAAAGTTGTGAGAAAATTACCTTGTTGATCTTGCCCCAGCCGTCCCTGATCCCAGATATGTCGAAGAGTATCGGACTGTGCTCCCAAAAGGGGCCCTTCTTGACATCGTTGATGAAGCCGACAGCCGAGAAGTACATATTCCGCTTGCGCTCCTCGTCGACATACTCAGCCTTGACGATAGTCGCGGGCTTCGGGGCGCGGAACAGCGAGCCCTCGAGCGGCATCGGCTCCTCGTCCGCGATGGCGCGCGTGAGCTGCGCAGACCCATAGATGTACGGCTGGAACGAGTGGTCGTCCAGCCCCCAGACGCCGTGGGACCCGGCCGGCTCGAGCGTGTACGTCAGGATCAGCCGCCGCACGACGCGCAGGTAGGGCTCGAAGACCCCCAGCACGATGTTGCGCTCGATGTCGCCGTGTGGCTTGCCGTCCTTGAAGGCGCCCAGCTTCCACAGACAACCCAGGAACGCCAGGAAGCTCAGCTCGTGCCCTGTCCCGTAGTCCAGTCTCTGTGCACTGCCGAACGCGCCGAGCAGATAGGCCGTGAGCTCATCCTCGGCAGAGACGCCGCCCGCGCTACCATGCGCACCGAAATCCAACACGGAGGCGGGCAGGAACTCGCGCAGCAGCCCCGCAACCCTCTGCTCCAGCAGCTGATGCCACGTGCGGAAGCTGACGTTCCCGAAGCGCCTGGGCCCCGTGTCCGGCGGCGCCTCGTCGATGTATGACGCGATCCGCGCCAGCATGTCCTGGAGGCGGCGCGCCGACTCGGCCGGCCGGGTCTCGTACTCGGAGCCGAGCTGGAAGGTCTGGAACTTGTCCTTCTTGTCGTCACCCTTGGACTTGCGCGGGCACATGGCCCGGTTCAGCTGCATGGCGAAGGTGCCGATGTCCCGGTACGCCCTCGACGTGAGGAACTGGGACACGTCCGGCCCGTCGTTGATCTGTTTGCTGGGCTTGATGAAGGTGTGGGATGTTGCCGGGTCCAGCGTCTCCAGGACGGGAAACGAACTCCCGGGGGTTGGAGTAGCCATCTTGAGACAAGTTGCACTGGTGTCGGTGGTTCCAGTCAAGTCGCCTGGGATAGAATCACGAAAGAGCTCGGGGCGAAAACAGATGCAAAGGTTGATGTTGTGTGAGTAACGGTACCTTATGATGGAATATGATACGCCGGTCAGTACCTGCAGTAGCTCATTAGGGTGTCATAGCGCGGCCTTCAGTGGGCAGCTGGCGCAGGGGTACAAGATGGACTTGATTGACAGTACTTGATTGACAGTTGCTGTGACCTTTTCATGTAAGCTGGCATTTGGGCACATCAATCATAATTCTCCTTTTTGGACAACACCGTTATTGTACTTGTTCTATGTTGTTCACAATGCATCTCTTCATTGCTTCTCACCAAATACCACCATTGACTACAATGCTCCAGGCAAGCAAGGGTGGGTATTATCTTCAATCATGTCAAAGGTATGACTGGTAACAGGTCACACGCTTCCTACACTCCTATCATTTAATCATTCGGCCGTATAACTAGACAAGCCCACGAATCACGCCGCCTCGCTGGGCTCGGGTTTCGTCCGGTCAGATATAGGCTGATCCTTACTTCCAGGGTAGCCAGTGCCTTTATTCTTCACCTTCTTTTCCTTCTTCGGCTTCTCAACAGGTGGGTAAGCCTTCAGGGTGATCTCCTGCCACTCCTTGGATTCCTGGTACTTGGTCTGGATCGGAGCCAGTAGCTTGTTGAGGGCCTGCGATACTGCAGGTTTCAGTAGTTGGGGAGTCAACTAAATGTCTGTCAATATCTCCTAAGAAGCCTTTCAATAGGAATATGCAAACATACGACATCGTTCTTGTAATCCTCATGTATTTTGTCGATACTGGAGTACACTAATGGCTCCAGTTCATCTCGGGTACGGCCAACCACAAACTCTCGACGGCCGTTCAGCGCCGCGGCAGGGAGTAGCACGAATTCGACGAATGAGAGAAGACCGTTGTCTTCCGTGACCTTGGGGACAGCGACGGCTTTACGTATCTTCTTGGTGACAGATTCGGGCGGATCAAGAAGGTCAATCTTGCTGTCTGTTCGTGGTCAGTGAGTTCATGAGGAAATCGTGCGCAGAGCCTCATACCTAGATCGCTCGAACTCATCTTGCCTCCATTGAGACCTGGAACCATACCATTGATCAGGTGGGCGCGCTAAAGGGGTCAGCTACGGTGCTCTACCAGCGGGCAGACCCACGAGCGGATGGTACAGTCACCCCTCATAAGTCTTTATTTGTGCACTCAAGACTTCTCTCCCGCCGGGATACAGATAGTGGAATAAACATCCTGGAATGGGCAGTTCTGTTTCCATGAGCGATGCTTGATCACTTATTCCAGAGTGCTTATTCCACAGATCAAGAATACCCCCGAACATTCAAAGACCTTGATAACGGGGTGTACGGAGACTTCTGAGTGTTCAGTGTACATACCTCTTTGTATCCAATCTTGGGGAGCCATTCTTTCGCAGCAATGAATAGCTTTCTCTGATCCACACCTACTCGAAATTAGCCAAGTTTTGTTCAGAAAAGACAGACGAGATCTGCTAACCTCCGAGTTGAGCATCGACGTCCAAGTACTGTTCATCCAGCACTTGAAGAATTGGGTAGAGGAGACCACTCAAGGGGGCATTGTCCGACTGCTTAACAATCTCGGCGCCGGCCCTCTTCGCATCGTGTTCGGAGATCAGCGAAGTCAGTTTGTAGATATCCATGATATATTCAGGGCTTTTTTGGTACGAGCTGCCGGTAACAAACTTGAGTTTGTCCAGTGACACGCCCACTGCTTCGAGGATAGAGCGTATGATGAAGCGGTAGTATGCGACTCGCTGTTCGACGAGCTCGATCGGGGCCTTCAGGTTATCGAGGAAGGCATGGATATCGGCAAGTAATATGGTAACCTCGCAACCAGCGGCAAGCAATTGCGCGATCTTGATAGCGGCAGGGAAGTATCCAGTGTGAGGCCGGCCAGTCGTGGCGGTTCCTGAGGAAGGCAGCGCAGTTAGCATTCTGTGGGCGGCTCGTGGCACTGACGGGATGGGTCAGAGTGACGCGGAAGCTGCTGACCCCAGTAGACCTTTGGATTCCGTCCTTCGTCCAAGGCTTTTTGTACTATCTCCGGGTTGATGAACTCGGCGAGGTTCACCTGGATCAGGGCAAGCCTCTCCGGCGCAGTCATGTTCGCCATGTCGCAGTCTGTCGTCGTGCGTCAATTGGTGGTCGGCCGGAGGAAGTCAGAAAGAAAAGATGGGAGTATAATGATTGACCAGACCTGAGGCGCCGCGAAGTCTCGAGGTTCTACTTGACTGCACATACAACTCCTTCAACGGAAAGTTGACAATGCTGGTGAGTCACGGCAAGAAGGAAAATACAGAGACCAGCAAATGCCCCGCGATCAGAAAGTGTAGGTACCAAGTACCTACATGGATGTGGAGGGGTAGATTGACGAGGGACACGTGCACGAGCCAGTAGCTTGCACCTTCCTTCGGGGTTTCATCCAAAAGTCTCTAGCGTGGAGTCGGACCCCTGCAGCTGCCCTTGCTAGATAAGGCTGATAAGGTAGACACGATGATCCCGTTAGGGAGTAGCTATGAGCTTGATGAAATGGAAGGGTTCATCAATCCCGCTATTCTCGAGTCCTAGCGAGTCGTGTCTTTGGTGTTGACTCAACCGAGAATCACCTCGGTCTCTGTGTCTTGACTGATACCTGCAATCCCGCTGCATTCCTCCCCTCCCTCAATTGGTGTTGCCCCGATCTCCAACTGCCAGCTTCCAAAGATTAGAGATCCGTCATGGCGCACACTCGAAGTGGGCCTCGAGGTCCAGGCAACGAGCTCACCCATCTCCACGACAACCAGTCCGATTCCGAGAGTTCCAGCGAGGATGAAGAGGGTATTCCCGCCAAAGCCGCGAGCAGGTCGCCATCGAAACGCCCGTCCGCTCAATTCTTGCCGCCAGTGGATACAACCAGCTATCAATCAAGCTTGAAGCGACCTTCCGCAACTCCCGACCTCATTTTCTATCCCGGCCCTCTTAAGAAGCGAAAGGTTCGGGATAGTTGGGGAAACCCACGAGGAGCGCGCCCTTACCCGACACCGGTCTCTACAGTCTCTACTCACGCCGCCCTGGTTGCCACGGACACAACCTCTGGTGGCGGGAGCGCATCAGGCTCGACTACCGGAGATGAAGTACCTGCAGGCCTGATTAACAGACTGAACGCTGCACTACATCAACCACTTGACGACAAGACCCGCTGGAAAGACGAAACGCCTGAAACTCCAACCCATCAACTGCTGGGCGAGCTGAACCCGGAAGACGAGGATGAGGCAGAGGCTAGGATCCAGCCCGAGAACCAAGACGAGATACCACAACAGGGCGATCGTGGTACAGTCGCCGAAACACCGATCCCAGACCTAGCGAACGGCGTGGGACAGTTCGATTGGCAGCAAAACAATGCATTGCTCAGTGGTTTGGCCGAAGAAGCTGCTCATGAACGCGAACCACCTATTTCCCCCGAGTCATCCCTTTTCGTAAAGGATATGGTGGACGAGGAGGACGATGTCCAATCAGAGTCAGGAAGCGATCGAGTACAGTTAACCTTTGACCAACAGTCACACAATCACACAATCCTAGGGCCGAAAACAGGTAGCGGCTATGATCAGGATGGAGTAGATGTGTGGGACATACCACAACCGCCAGAACAACCACAGCGGCCAGAGGAACATGCCGTTACTGACTCTTTGGAGGGTACGCGGTCACGAACGCGCCAAAACGAGAAGCGGCGGGCGCCAGGAGAAAGCCCAGGGCCACAACTGGCCACTGTATCAGGTGTCGAGGCCGGAGCAAGCGTGGATGAGGAGGATGTCCTCCATACGACGGACAACCAGCAAGATCGCAGCCAACATGGAGATGATCAAGAGGACGCAGAGGATCATTTGAACCGAAATTCAGACCAAGGCTCGAATCAAGGCTCAAACCAAAATGTGGAAAGGAACGCCGATGATGAGGGGAGCCAGTTTGATGATACTGGCGTGGAGGAAATGGATGATATCGAGACGGGCGACGAAAGTTACGCCGATATTGAGCTGTCCGCCGAGGAAAGCTTTGGGGCGGATGTTCAGCGTTTCAGAACCATGCATCGTCCCAACAACAAAGAAGCTGAGATCTTCACAGGCCCGGCTGCTGACGACCTCATCGCCATACACCTCGATCAGGAACCACTTAGGGAGATGTGTAAGCTGATGAGAAATACCGCCTGGACTGGGTTCAAAGGTGGATGGCAATGGCGACCTCTCAGTTTCGACGACGACGCAAAGACCAAACCGGCTAAAACTATACTCCAACTCCTATCAAAGCTCGAGAGACTGTACTCGGCTGCCCCCAAAGCTCCTCATATTGCAGAACAGAACGAATTTCTGCATGACCACGCCGATCTACTGTCTCACTATTTTTCAGAGATTAAGCTCGCAGTGGATAACATTCGTGAGCAACGGCTTGCAAGCATGGTTCAGAACAAGTCGCCGCTGAATTGTGACGCTGAGAAGCGCAAGTCAATGGCTACAGAGCTTGTGCAACTCGTCATACCAATGATGATTCACATTCTCGTACAAGCTTGGAGCCTGGGTGGTCGCAACTGGTTTGATATGTCGTTTACAGCCGCCACCACCGAGTGTCTTAGAAGGGCTGTTGGCTGGATTAGGAACCTGTATCGGCCATTGCTGGTTGAGTTGAAGCGACGTCCACTCAAAAAGAGACCCAAGAACAAGTCCAAGCAGAACTCGTGGCGCGAAACAAACGAAGCACGCGAAGAGCTCGAACCACTTATCGAAGATCTGCGAAAGGTTATATCCAATGCGCCCGATGAGCTCTGGAGGGAGGAACGCCGCATCACTAGAGAAAGGGAAGATCGCTGTTGGAGCTTGAAGAGGCAAGAAGAAATCAAGCTTGAACGGAAGCTCGAGGCGGAAGCTCGAAGAAGGGACATCGAAGAACGAAAAACGAGATCACTAATGTCCATGCGGGGCATCCATTATCCGCTTGGGTCATTGCAAGACTCAACCCCACGCGTCTTACCAGCATCTCCTAGCCCACGCCCTTCGCCCGGGCTGTCTGAATGGTCATTTGAACAGAAGTTGTACCTCTTCAGGCAAATACAGAGGTCATGCCCCAACTTGCCAGATATGGACAATATTTGCTGGCAGCTCGACAAGACTGCAAAAGACGTAGAGGACATGGCAGCGCAGCAACTGGGAATGATGCTCGAAGCCGTAGAGCCGGACACGTCTGCTGAGAGTAGAGGTGCGGAGGTGCGTAGGATAATGCACAGCCACAGGATTTCCCGTCGCCGTTGAGATGGAATTCGGCAAAGGTTATGATTCTACGTTTCACGGAGCGCTGCTTTAGATACCCATCAGTACTTGTACTATCAGTTTGGAGTTTAGGGAGTTGGGTTCTTTACCCCAATGAATATATGCTACACTCAGCCCTCATAAGTTTGCGTGCGCGACATGTTAATGATATTTTCCAGATCACCCTTTGAAATTTCGAAATACCTTTGGAATAAGCATACAGGAATAAGCAGCTCTGGTTTGATACGCCATTCTTAATGCTTATTCCATGGTACTTATTCCGGTTCGATACATATACCGTTGTTTGCTGGACGGGTGGTGTAGGGAGACTTATGTGGGTTCAGTGTACCAGCTTTCCACTTTCACCTCACATCTCGCCCTCGATGATCTTGTTGAACTACTGGTGAAGTGGTCCTTGCAACTGCACATCTGAACGATTGAGATGACACATGACGTTGCTGGATTCTAGATGTCTAATCTAATCTGCCAAGTCATGTGGTTTACACCTGCAACCCGACCTCCAAGTGTTGCCTCCAACGGCACGCTGCCACATCAGCCAGTCCCGTACCTCACTCACCGTCTATGCGGCATATGGCAGTCTCTCCCCAAATGACCCGTTTTCTCTGGCTTTCTCTGGGCAGCGGTCCGTTGGCAGAGCTGGGCTCCAATGCATGTCTGGGGTTAGTTACGTCGATATGTATGGGACTTGCGGGAGGTGACATTGCTGCTGTTGCAAACGCTTACGTAGGCAGGTAAGACAGCTCAACATACTTCACATGTCGGTGCGAGTTAGGAATGATTAGAGCGCAGCATGCAGCAGCCCGAGTGGGTTCTTCGGTGCCTGCAGGCCAAGCGGCTTGTTGCAGAGAGGTTCTTGGTGAGTTTGAATTTCGGATGGGCTGGCTCTTTATGTACGGTGGCAGTTCTTACCGGGCCTGATAACTTCTTGACTCTTTTGCTTACTTGGGAATTATGAGTTGGTACAATGGAAGAATTACCACGGGGAACCTACAGCTTCGTTCACATGTGGTTCTGATGGCTGGGAAATCGATGCTTCGTGTAAGCGCTGTCGGTAAAGATGTAGCTGGCTGTTCTGCCCGTAATACTTTACGCGCTTAAAACCTACCTAGGTAAACAGGATACATGTAAGACCTCGGACATCGAAATCGTTCGCAAACGCCACCTGCAGCTTGACGTTTGATACACCGGGATGCTGACCGGGACTGCAGGGCGTCATCATGAAGATGACTACGGGCAGCAACCTAGTCGATACCACAGGCTTCACGAATCCTTCGATACTGATACTTATGTGACTGTATACTGTCAATGAACACACGAGAATGAGAATCACCATCACACTACTGTACAGCCTCTTTAAAAGCACGCACCTAATTAAATGAAGTACCGTCCGATCATGGACGTCCGATGTCCAATAGTCCGCCGGACCTCCAGCTACTAGACAGACACACGGACCAACGACAGGAGTAGAGGCCAAGCTATCACTGATTCAGTGATCCGTGCTACCCAGGCCCCTGTCGAGGACCCTGTGATAGCTGATCCCCACCGAGGAGCTTCCCTGTAATTCCAGACACGGCCTAGCCCGAGTGCTTTAAGTGGCACCGCTTCACCGTTTCAGTCTATCCCTACAATTTTCCATTTCCCTCCCGGAGAGCTATCTTGACTCTTGACCCTCGGTGTTTCCTCCCTCAACTCCACAACCGAGGATCGGATATTGAGAGGATCGCGTCGTGGAAAGCCGACTGACGATTTTTGTTCTTTCATCTGGTTCAATTGGGCTCTGAGAAGCCTCGCGACGACTGTCTTGCCAAGTGCGAGTTGTATCTGCTGTACCCGGCAAAGCGGCGCTCATTAGCAGCTTGATTTCAGGGAAATAACGGAAAGAAAAGGGGAGACACGTTTTGACAGGTCAGTCTACCGACGCTCAATTCGAGCCCATCACCCCCCTTCGTGACGTGTCGCAGGGTTAGACCATAGCTGTTCGTGCTATCACTTTCTTGGTCAATGCGACTTGCCCACACGCTTCAATTTGTTCTTACCTTTGGGCCCTCCCGCAATCAACAATCAACTGCGATTTCGGCCGTCTGAGGAAGCGCCTGATGCTAACAGCAGAGGGAGTACAGCATCGTCGAGCTCTCTGATTACAGTACAGCGATCGATATACCGACGCGACACCATTGAAATAGATCATCTGCACAGACCGTGACAAGATGTCTGACGCCGAAGGATTCGAGGTCGTCCAACACGACGAGTCCGTCCTCTCGGGCGAGGAGACTGCCGACACCACGGGCACTGGTGAAGCAGTCGACTCCCCCAAGTCCCCCCAGTCCTCCGCCAAGTCGCCTCCGAACGGGACCAAGCCCGCAGCTACTACCGCCGCGAGGCGACCGGGTACCACGACATCTACAGTCCGTCGCACTGGTACGACTCCCGGCACCGCGCCGAGAACCACTGCTACGAGCTCTACCGCGCGCGCCAGCGGCCTGACGAAGCCACCCACTCGCCCTCCCGCCGGGAGCACTGTCAAGCGGCCTGCTGCCACGAGCTCGACCATTGGCCATCGGTCACAGCCGTCCATCTCCGAAGATGAAAAGAAGAAGTCGACCATGACCGGCGCGGCCCGCCGATCCTCGGTTGTGCCCAGCAGCCTGACTACATCTCCTGGGAAGACTGGCACAAGACTGACGCCGTCCACCACCACCAGCGCCAGAAAACCTGCTACATCGACCACCACCGCGTCGCCAAGAACAAGCACCACGGCTAGAACTACGTCTTCTACAAGTGTCCCGAGTGCTCGCCCTACCACCATCACACGACCTAGTGCTACCGGAACTACGGCTGATGCGAGGAAGCCGCGTCTATCCACCGTTGCAGGCTCGCCAGCGACCTCCACCGCACGCCACGCGACTCGCCCGTCAACTTCTTCGACTGCTTCCGTCGCGGCTGCTAAGGACGTGGAAGATCTAAGGGCAAAGCTTGCCGAGAAAGAGATGGAGGTCGAGTCACTGAAAGAACAAGTTGCTTCTTCGCAAGAGCGGGTCACCGAGTTGGAAGACAAGATCAAGTCAGAGACGAACGGAGTCAATGGCGCCGAAGATACTGTGCACGAGGCCCACGAAGGGCTGCTGGAAGCTTTGAAGGCCGCCCACGCAACAGAGCAAGAAGCGTTAGGTGCTCAGGTTGCGGAAGCCCTCGAAAAGCTGAAGATTGCCGAGGAGCAGCTCGAAGCCCATAAGACAGAGCTGTCCGGTCTGACTAGTTCGCAAGAGGCGAAGGACACCGAAATTACCGATCTACAGGGCAAGCTCGAGTCCCTCCAGCTCGACAAAGATACCGGCGCGACAGACAGTGAAGCCGCACAGGCCAAGGCTGCTGAAGAGCACGCCGCGAAACTCCAAGAGCTGCAGAAAACTCTGGACGAGCAACATCAGGCCGCGATTGAGGCTCTGAAGACGGCGCACGCGACAGAACTTGATCAGGGCAAGTTGGCCTCAAGCGAACACGAAAAAGCACTTGAGGAGCTTAAGAGCGCCAATGAGACACTGCAAAGTAAGGTTGACGAACTGGCCTCCTCGACGGAGAGTGCAGGTGCCACCAGTGCTTCCAAGATAGCTGCGCTGGAATCCGAGCTTGAAGAGCTGAAGTCTGCAGCTGAGCAGGACAAAGCCGCGCTTGCTGCTTCGCAGTCGGAATTGGAAGACCTCAGGACAAAACTTGCTGAGTCTTTAGCTCTCGTGGAAGCCACCAAGGAAGAATTGGCCAAGTTTCAATCAGATTTCGCCGCCATGCAGAAGGAACTGAGCGACGCAAAGGCGGATATGTCGTCCAGCTCCGGCCTCACCGATCAACTAAAGGAGATGGAGGACAGATATGAGAAGTTGAAGGTGGATCACAAGTCTTCGATGGACACTCACACGGCCCAGTTGAGGCAGATCTCCAAGGACTATGAGGATGAGATCGAGAGCCTCAAGGGAGATGCCTTCTTCAAGCGCAAGTTCCATGTACTTGAAGAGGAACACACAGAACTCAAGACCCAGTTTGGTGAGCTGAGTGGAAAGCACGCGAAATCCGCCGATGCCCATGCGCAAGAGCTAGAGGCTGCAAAGACCGAACATGCAGCTGCAGTCCAGGCACTGTCGGCCAAGGAAGACGAGCACCAAAAGGCTCTCGATGCTCTGCAGGCCAGCCATGCTATGGATTTGGAAACTGCCAAGAGCGGCGCCTCTGCCGACAAGGATGGACACCTAGCGGAACTCGAGTCTCTGAAAGCTAGCCATGCGAAGCAAATTGAAATTGCCAAAGAAGAGAGCGAGGCGAGCTTGGCAAAGGAACTGGAAGCGCTGAGAGCTGCCCATGCCGAGGCACTCGACACCCAGAAGCAGGACTTCGACGCGATGATTGCCGACTTGAAGGCCAGTCACGCACAGGAACTTTCCAGCAAGGATGCAGACGATAGTGCGCATGCTACCGAGTTGCAAGTACTAAAGGCATCGGTGGAGGAGGCGCAAGCAGAACTGGAGAATGCTAGATCAAGCAAGGCGACCATTGAGGCTGCCCACGCCGCTCAACTGGAGATGCTAGATGCGGCTCTGAAAGAAGCACAGGCAGAGCTTGAGCAAGCTAGATCTAGTAAGGGGGCCGACGTAGCCGCACACACTGCTCAGCTAGAGGCACTGAACGCGGCCGTCGCAGATGCCCAGGCGGAGGTTGAAAAGGCCAGGTCAAGCAAGGACGCCGACGAAAGCGCCCATGCCGCTCAGCTGGAAGCAGTGAAGACATCCTTGGCAGAGGCTCAAGCAGAACTGGAAGCCACCAAGTCGAGCAATGAGACAGATAGCAGTGCTCATACCGCTCAGCTCGAAGCATTGAAGACGTCAGTGGAGGAAGCCCAGGCAGAACTCGAGAAGGCGAAGGCTAGCCACGCTACGGCTCTCGAAGCTGCCAGGAAGGAGAATGACGACGCTCATGCCGCCGAATTTGAAAAGTTTATTGCCATGCAGTCCGAGGCTGTTGAAGCGGCCAAGAACTCCGCTGCAGACTCCCACAAGGCGGCAATCGCTGCGCTTGAGGCCAACCACGCACAAGTCCTCGAGGAACTTTCGACAGAGCACGAGAACAAGCTCTCCGCCGAAACCGTGAGACTGCTTGAATTGCACTCCGAGTCTATCGAGGCAGCCAAGAATGAGGCCTCGGGTTCCCAAAAGGGGGTTATCGACGCGCTCGAGGCTAAACATGCTCAAACTATTGAGGAGCTCACAAAGAACCACGAGGAGAAGCTGGCTGCCGCAACATCGGACTTGACCTATCATCAAGCTGCTGCCTCCAAATATGAGACTGCATTGGCAGCTACGGAGGAGGCGCTGGCCAAGGCACAGGCCCAGATTCAAATCGTCGAAGGGGAAATAGCTGAAGCAAAGGCCAAGAGCGACTCTCTTGTCAAGGTCCAGGACGATGCGGATCAACTGCACCAACAGCTTGCGGAGGCCAAGATGGCCAATGTGGAGCTGATGGCCGAGCTCGACGCTCTCAAGAACCAAAAGCCGGACACGTCAGCTATGGACTCATTGAAGTTGGAGATGGAGGAGTTGAGGAAGTCGCCGGCCAAGTCGGTTGGTGACCTGGAGGATTTACAGAAAGATGTTGACGCTAAGAAAGCAGATCTCAACGCCCTCGAGGAGCAGCTGCAGGCAGCTCGGGAGGATGCCCTCATTGCGCAGAAAGATCTCGAGGCACACAGACGTGACACGGACGCGAAATTCAAGAATCAGGAAGCCGACTACAAAGACATGTACGAGAGCTTCACCAACATGGTCGAGGAAGAGCACAAGAAGAGTGCGGCGTTTGAGAAGGTAGCCAACGACGTGAAATCAAGATTTGCTGAGATGGAGGCTCAGTTGAAGGTCAAGGACGCCGAGATCGCCGAAGCTCAGGTTCGTATAGTCTACCCTACTCTACAGAAGGCCACCCAGCGTGGTATATGGGTTTGCCCGTAAATGAATAGTACTAATGTTCTTCTAGGCAAAGGCTGCCACGCCGACACCGAAGAAGGGTCTTTCGGCAAGCCGGTTCGCGGATGACGGCGGTGAAGCTGGAAGCAAAGATGGCGAAGACGCTGCCGAGGCAGAGGCTCCCGCGGGTGCAGGTGAGGAGCCAGATCATTCTTCGGCAGCGATGAGTGCGGTGCGCAGATCCCTTACACAATCATTGCTTGCTAGTTGCAGACACACCGGCTCATCTCCCATCTCCACGTCTATTCACCCCCATACGTTGGTTTTCCTGTTTCTGTGGGGATTGCTTGCTAATTCAACGTCTCGACAGCTGGCTCAAGTTAATTTATCCCTCAAGGGCTTACAGTCCATCGACAACGAGATGAGGGATCGAAACCTTCGGTACGTAGACCCGGCGTTCCGCACTGGGTGGTGAAGTCACCTATTTGCGCAGTCTTTGTGGTTGTCCTTGGGTCCATATGGACTGACATGATACGCAGCATGCTCAAGTCAATGACTGTGTCACGAGATTCATGAGTTGAGTTCTTGTGATGAATTCTTTGCACCGGCGATTCTTTGACCTTTCTGGACGTTGCCCACACTTCTGAATTGCTTCGTATCATTGGTGCTTTGCAGCAATGCCTCTTCCATTCTACTTTTCGACCACGCAGAGGCCAGACCTATTGGGCAAAACGAACTTGTCTTGCATTTGTCGCGCAGCCCGTTCGCATTTGCATACCCCAGTTGCTATTTCTGGCTACTTGGGTGGCACCTGTCGTTACATCAGCGGGCGAAACCACACGGAGATGCTTATGGTCGTTGCATATGCAGACGACATAGATATTAGGATTTGTAATGGTGGTGGCTCCCTTCTTTTGACTTGAGCGGTACATACCTGAACATCTAGACGGCGCCATGACGGGTCGTCAAGATACTTGTATGTACGATTGTATGAAGATGGATGGATCGACAGGCGGTTTGATTGTTTATATTCTCGGCCTGGGGATGTGTGGATTGATAGCAGAGACCTTGACTGTCTACCAATACGTTACGTAGCAGTCGGTCGGAATGGACGATACCCCTTTTCTCTCGCTGCCATTACTCTCTGCTTCTGCTTCTGCTCGCGAACTCCGTTAAGCCGTGCTAGATTGACCTGGACATCATCATCTATGATCTGTCTTATCATGAGCTTTGAAGCCTGACCTGTGCTAATGACAACAGACAGATGCAGCAGTTCCAACTCGATCACATAAGATCTGTGTCCTTAGAAGGGGAGAGATAGAGCTGTGTGTATGAATGTATGCATGATAAGCTCTATGACCGTTGTGAAATCGTATGTACGTCTGTGCCTTCTGGCAGGGGCCCAGAATACCATGTTACGATGACTATTATTCTGGATGTTCTGCTTGCTGTCTAGAAGGATGGGAGCGTGTCCCATCCGAAAGGTCACTTAAGTACTAGATACAGTGCAAACGGTACCTTGTCCCTTGGGCAACAATCCGGCCCAACCGACAAGACACCTGACAGCTGGAATCAGCTGGATCCACACGTCGTCAACCCATGTACCCGGCGAGTACTATACTGGCTCTCGTGTCCGGCGCCCAGATTACTATCCACGGACCGTTGACATACTTGCGCAGTCTTCCAACCCTCCCTGCCACCTGCTCGCTGGCTCCAATGTGATTTGAGTGAACTCCATCTAGACTACTCTGATCACCCACCAGCCCATCTTGCACCGCAGCCTCACTCAGTTCAATCTCACCCTGATATGCAGACGTTCAGCTGTACATGTGTTGTATATACATACATGCCAACATGGACACAACCCCTACGCTAAGCAGCAGCAACCTCCTTCTCGTTCTCGTTCCCGTTCTCAGGCCGCACCAGGTCGCGCATCTCGAACATGGCCTGGAAGTTGGACTGCTTGACGAACCAAGCATTAACGAGCTTCCACTCCTGGCTGGGGTCCTTGAAGCGGATCTGCGACAACATAAGAATCCAGTCAGCAATTTATTCTATCTGGTGATACTTTTTCTGGTGACTGCCACGCCACAGGACTGCTTCGAATGGAAACGGAGACGTTAAAAGAATGGGATGAAGAAAGGGACCGGGACGGTACTCACATCGAACCGCCGCAGCAGACTCGGCACAAGCTTATAGATCTCAAGCAGACTGATATTCTTGCCAATGCACGTGCGGCTGCCCATGCCAAATTGGAACATCATGCCATTCATCTCGCGCACGCGCGTCTCCTCCCGCCTCAAAGCCTCCCCAGCCTCGCTCCCGGAGGCTTTCACACTCTCGTCCACGAGCCACCGCTCCGGGCGATACACATCCACGTCCTCGCCCCAGATCTCGGGCCTGCGGTGGATGATCCAGGCCGAGCACCCGACGATGCTGCCGCCTTTGACAAAGTGCCCCGCGATCTCCGCCCCGGGCTCCGGCACGACGCGCTCGAGCGGCAGCCCGGCCGCCGGGTGCAGCCGGAAGGCCTCCTTGATGCAGGCGTCGAGGTACGGCAGGCGCTGGCTCTCGGTCCAGGTGACGAGGCCCTCGTCGTAGTCGCCGAACGCGCCGGCGCGAGCCGCGTCGTCGAGCTCTGTGCGCAGCCGGGCGAGAGCCGACGGGTTGCGAAGAAGGTAGTAGAAGACGCTCGCGAGCGAGATGGCCGTCGTCTCGGAGCCGGCGAAGGCCATCGACACGGCCATGGTCTGCACCAGCGTGTCGGTCATGAAGTCCGGGCGCGCGTCTCGTGCCGCCAGGAACTTGGACAGCAGGTCCGGCGACTTGTTCTGCATGGCTGCCTTGTCGCCGTCGGCCGAGAGCGGCAACAGCGGCTTCGAAGGGTCCACGTCGTCGCCCTTCAGGTTGGGACCCAGGCGCTCGGCCATGCGGTCGCGCGCGAACTTGGCCACCGGCATCGTGGCGTCCGTGTATCCCCATTTCGCGAGCTTGAGGTAGATGGGGTTCTTGAGGAACAGGAGGTCGAGCCAGGGGATCTGACCGATCTAACGAGGGTTCAAGTGTCAGTCTCCAGACTCCCATACAGCGCTTCCGTTTTGGGTGAAATGGCAGTGGGGGTCTTACCGGCGCAACGTATAGAAACAGGTTCCCGAGGTAGCTGACAATGCCGTCAATGTCCTCATTCTTCTCGATGAAGCCGTGGCGCTTGCTGTATGTGATCTCACCAATCACGTCGAAAGCGTAAAACTGCAACCACTCTGTGAAGTTACATCCGTCCGGGCTGGCGGCGAAAAGGCGCTGTGTCTGTTTGAGAAACAGTTTCGTGGTATTGTCGACGAACGGCTCATATTGCACCAGGGCGGACATGGCGAAGGCCGAGTTTACACATCGTCGGAATTGTGCGTGGAAGCCCTCGTCTGTGGTGCTGAAGAGAGATGCTAGGCTATGGCCCTTCACCGTAGATTGCTGAACCACATAGAAGTCGGACTTTAGGTAATGTTAGCGCTCAGGTCTCGGAGGTCTAATGGGAAGAATCCATACCTTGACGAATCCCTTGTTGAGCCCGTATATCGCTTTCAAAGCCTTTGGATCTGCGAAGGATAGAGTGTTGGGCCCTAACCGCACCACGTCGCCGTACTTTATGTGCAGCTTCTGATGTGTTATTTCGGGTCGTTGACCATACACATCCCACATGCGCCAGAAGTCTGTCAACGAGGCTAGGAATGGTCCTGGGTAGTTGTTCAGGCCGTTGTGGTATCGGTTTATCACCAGCCGTGCCACAACAGCTGAGATGGCTATCGGAAGCCAATATTGAGCGAGGAAGCTCACCACGAAGGAATCGCCAAAAGCCCCCATCATGCTCTGTTTTGCTTCTGATAACAGAGAACGAATCATTTTGGTTAGAGATATAAGTGCTGATCTGACAGACCCGTGACAGTATTGATATGAGGAGGTTAAGGGTTGTTGAAACCCTTAGGTAGTTGTTCAGTCGTGGATTTCGAAGACTACCATAGGACTGATGGAAATACCAAACTCGTTAATGGATAGGCGAGGATGAAGTGGTGCTTCCAAAGAACAACCAGAGCATGACCTGCCGTGTATGCGGCTAACTGTGCGATTAGAGGACAAAAGAGTAGAACAATTGAAGATAGAGGGTATACTTGTACTTGTATCGGGGCACCCATCTTGATATGAGATCGGACAACAAGGCGCTTGCCATGGCAGACTCGGTAGCGCGAGCCACCGAGTGAGTCCATCTCGCCTATCCAGTCGTGACTTGCACCCTTGTCGAGCCTGTCCGGACACAAGCCGTCGCTTGCGCTTCCAGTCATGCCGAACCCAGAATCCGGGGTCCCCACTGTAGAGGGGGCGGCGCTCATGATGATCACCAGCATAGTAGACTTCCTACTAGCCGATGAGGGGGTGGGGACGTAGTGGGATTCCCCAGAATCCAGGAGGAGATATGGGTCTTCGGGTTTAGACTAGAGATCGAGCTGAGATAGCCATAAAATCGGCAGTTGTGTAGCCCAATGGTTGGGCGCTTAGTCGGACAGAAATACGGGGTCTCCGGCAATATGTCACGGGGTTGTCAACAGCTCCACGTACTAGAGGTCGAGGGATAGTGGCTGAGTGGTTCCTACGGGAGTTCTTCGCGGAACGGTTGACTGCTCGGGATATCGTTAGGAGCGGCAAGGGGTATATTTTGCCCTATATTGTTCGCCAGACTATATGCCCGACCGCTCGGGTTGAAACCCCAGGATCGAGCCTTGGACCTTCACGCAAGAGTGAGAGCATCCGGGAAACTGGTAGTTTTGCATGCCAAGACGAAGATGTACAGAAATGTCCTCGGCAAATATGAGTAATGGTCACCGACGGGGACGAGGGCGGTGATCATTATCGTTGGATCACCGGTAGGGCATCTGCAGCCTCGATACTGCATGATTCGACGTTGTAAGGCCGGTCGAGTGGCACCTTGACGTGGGTTGACGGAATCGACATGCTCGGCAGGCAAACACTACGTCTTGGTTGCTCCCCGTGTGAGGCCTTTCGTAATAGTGAGTTGCTGTTGTCTCTGGCGTCTAGGTTGGGACGTTGCAGAAGTGCCGAGAGCAGGTGACGACACGCAGCCATGTGGCTTTCTAGCCTGCAGATGACCCCGACTTTCCGACTTTCCGACATGAGGTGGTCTCGACGCCGGGCACCTCGGCAGATCATCCACTGTCGCACAAGGCCACCATCATCGCCACACACACAACCTTGGGAACCACAGGCACGGAGATATTCTTGCCACGTGTGATGCACCATATCGCCGGCCGGTGTCGCTGTTACTCGTCTACCAACGAGCAAATCCCCGGTACTGCTAGAGATGGTGCGAGACATCCAGACTGTCGGACATTTGGGCGCTCTGTCGCAGAAGGATCGTACCTATGATGGATATTCGTCAATTAGGGAAGTCGGTCGGCGCTGAGATATGTTGTTGCTGTCGGACAAGATGCTGCATGGAACTGGAAAAGGTTGATCTGAGGTTTCAACCGGCAAGCTGCAGCATCTTTATTCCCTCGCCCGTCTCACAGTTTAAACAAGTGAAGGCAGGTGCGATTCAAGTGAACGATAAGGTAACACAGGTGTGTACCTCCTTCCTCGCTGCTTCGTCGCTCCATCGTGTGCAACGTCTTTACAGGTTGAACTTGCCGTACAGAATCCACCATCCCTTGCATGTGCTCTTACCCTCACCGATCTGGCATTTCCCATTCAAACTCATTCTTCAGCCCGTCCACACCACTCTTGTCCTCAGCATCCAGGTATCCGCAGATCCTTCCCTCAGGATCCCATCTTTTCCTGATCTCCATCAACCGCTGGCCGCTCTCTTTGCTCCAGAATCTGGTTGTGCGATGCTGGAAGTCCGCATCGCCCAAGTAACTGCCAACGCTCTCGCGCTCCACTTTGCGCATCATGTCGTGCACCCACGCCGTGCAGCGCTCGTCGTCTGCCGCATCGTCCCAGACCGTGTACAGGGCAAAGTAGTGGTCCGACTGCATGCTCAGCGCCATGTCCGGCAATGGCCGACGCGACGTCGGGTTCATGGCGAAGTAGAGCGCGAATGCCTTCTGTGTCGGCAGCGTCGTGAATGCCGCCTCGAGCACCGATGGTACGTCTGCGTCGTTGGCGATGTACGCGTTCTCGCTGCAGAAGCGGAAGCCGCGGGGCTGGGCGTCAATCTGCCCACGGTATTCGACATCCAGGGTCGTTGGGTCGCAGAAAATCTCTACGATGGCGTTCGGTGGTTTGCTGTCATGCACAGCTTGTAGAGCTTCCTCTGCGTGCTTCTTGCTCGGCTTGAAGGTCGTGTAGCCGGCGATGATCTGGATCTCCTTCTCATCTGGAGACCGCCTAGAGACGCATACCATCTCTGTGTCTGTATCCGCTGTTGGACTTGTCTAGTGGACGCCATCAGAAAACGTTATCGTATTTCAGCTGACTCAACTCACATCAATCACCCATTGTAGGACGGTCCGGTACATGGACTGAGGATATACGTATATGCAGTTATACATCTCCAGCAATGGCCTTGTCAGGAGATGAAACTTGGTAACCACGGCGGGAAAACCTGGGCAAGTCAATGAGTCTACTGAACAGGCATGTCTTGCTTCTCAACGCTCACCTGGACCGGCGCCTCGTGCAGCCCAGAACAGGTCTGCGTTCTCGACAGCGCTGCAGTAAAGCTCCCTAGCATCCGCTGTTACAACATTGATTCCGACGATAGACTCACAGGCCCAACCCCAGCCCTATGCTCAAGTCAGCAATGCCATCTGGCGTTCACTCCCAGGACTGCGCACTTTGCAATTCCAACCCATCCCTCCTTGCAGCAAAAAGCCTCCCAGTCCAACATCAGGACAGTGTCCACCAGCGAACATCCTGCCCCAGCTCGCTAGGTGGTGGTTTAGTTCCTCACCGGTAGTGCTCGGTGAACACGAAGCAATCTTCGTACTGTCATCATAGGTTATCTCCTGGAGGCCACCCAGGTCCAGCAGCACCGCATCATGGCGAACACTCCACCCAGCCCAGCTGTGACCACCGCTTCGTACCGACACACGACAGCCTTCTCGGTTGGCCAATTCGACTGCTTCTCGTGCATGGGTGATGCTTGATGCCCGAATGACTGCTCGAGGGACTCGGCTGGTGTCGCGGCGGGCATTGTATACTCGGCCCCACACGGCTTCGTCGAAACCGGCTGCCTTCCGTCTTACAATGGGGAGAGTGCCATGGTCGACAGCGCCAACGTTATTGTCGCTTGATTTGAGCGGCTTCTCCATCGCTGATTCAGATGCCATCGCGGTACTTCTCTGGCGTCAATGCGCTATCGTCACCCGTCCGTCGCCTAGTAGCGGAATATATGGCTGCTCTCAAGTCTCGGTTGGTGCTATAGTAATAGAGGCTATTGGAAAGGACGGCAGCAAACGTTTGAGCACACGGAGAAATGTGGTTGTACGCGTCGGAGTGCAACCGCAACGTGTGCAGCCAACAACTTTGGAAGATTCCCCCACCGCGGACGGGTGGTGCCGGAAGCGGCACCCCACACGGGAAGCTATTTCGATGCATCTGAGGCATCCGAGAGATTCATGAACACGTGATGGATAACCAACGGTGAAGCGTCTTGGTGCAACACAGTCATCCCAAATCACAAACATCGGTAAGAATGTTTGGGCTGTACAGATCGGGTCTAACAGGGCACATGTGGTGGAATGAGCATACCGCCTTTTCCTGGTAAACCTTCATTAATATCCCACACGAACCACCTGCTCATACCCCTAAGCATCATTGGCTTAAGAATCCGGGAAACCTTGTCGTACGTAGATCTATCATCAACACGATAATGAATTTAGGTGTAAACTGTTTGGCTGGCAAATATGTGGTCCGCGTGGGATACTAAAAGTTTGCCTGGAAAAGGCGGTATTCGATTGGTGGCATCAATGATCCAAGCAATGCTCATCATATTGTGTGGTACCGGCTGGAAAACTCCTGAGGTGACTTTGAAACATTGCTTCCGACGTAGGAGGACAAGAAAGCGGCGGCTCCTCCATTATCGCCCGCATACGCGAATGGCTTGGCTACACGGTTTCGATCCTGCTTGGGTCAGTGCTCGAGCTGGTCGGATATGCTTTGCGTGTCGTGGGCTCAGCAACCCATGGAACAAGAGCAGCTGGACGATCCAATACGCCATCATCGCCATCGCTCCCGTGTTCATGACTGCCGCGTTAGTCAACTCTTCCATTCATTATGCCCGAGTCAGAGCAGCGTCTAACGCACTTGATCCGCAGTATATACCTGTCGATCGGGCGGACAGTCAGCGTCCTCGGCAGAGGATTCTTCAACTTCAGCCCCAAGCTGTCTGTGCCCACGCATCTTCGTTCTAGGCGATGTCGTGGCCCTGTTAGTCCAATCGATCCGGGGTGGTATCGCAACTTTCGAGACTACAGGGCACAGCCGCGCGGTCCTCCTGGTCGCTGGATTGGTCCTCCAAGCCATCTCACTCACCATCTTCCTCATTCTGTTCGTGGCCATCGTCTGGCCCAGTAACGTCCTTCGATCCAGTCCGCTGCCGGCCAGGCGATGTTGGTCAACCCAGGAACAACCCAAGCGCGACACAGGCGCCTGAGTGTCTTCGTCATCACATGCTTGTCGCGGTAGTACTGGTCATCACGCGATCGGCCTTCCGAGACGCGGAGTTGTCGGGAGGGACGCAGAGTCGATTTGATTCGGAACCTGCCTTTGTTCATCGTCTTTGGCAGTTTCCGCTCGGCATCGCCGCATCATTCATGATTATATTCCACCCGGTCATCATGATTCCCTCAGGGCAAGCTGATAAACCAGCTTTTGTATGATTTTGGATTACTGCCGTTGATGCTATCCTGACTAGCTAAGGTATCCACAGTGAGCCAGCAGATGGTGCGAGGTAGGCAGGCGTCTTCATCCACGAATGGATGGATGAGTGAATGCGCAGCGCCGGTCTCAGTCGTCTGTCACTCTGGTCCAGGTCCCCTTCTTGGGTCCCTTGATCCACATAATAACGCCATTTTTGTACTCGATGCCCAAGCTCTTGCCGTCCTTGGTCTGGACCTTGGCGACCGGCCTGTACTTCCGCAACCGCCTGTGCCCTGTGGCCTTTTCTGCCTTTTCCACCTCCGAGTTGGCCTTTTCCACGTCTGGGTCCGAGGAATCGGGGTTCTTTTCCGTCTCTACTGGCTTGTCGTCGTCCTTTTCCTCCGTGTCCTCTGGCTTGTCGTCGTCCTTCTTGTCGTCGTCCTTCTTGTCGTCGTCCTTCTTCTCGTCGTCCTTCTTGTCGTCGTCGTCTCCCCTGGCGACGAACGCAAGAGCTGCGGAGTTGGGCGCCAGCCATTCCCGGTTGACTAGGGCGCTGTTTGATGTTGTCGTTAGCTGAGGGTTCACGAATGTCCAATTTGGTGTGTGATGGCACCCTACCTAGGCTGTCTAGCTTCATGGTCTGGGGTGGCCGATGCTACGCTGTAGCCGCTGGCCAGGAGCAGAGCAAAGCCGAGGGATTGGAGGAGCTGCATTGGTGCGTGTTGTGGCCGAGTGAAATGGCTTGGTAGAAGAGCTGGGTAGGTGTGGTTGTCAAGTCATCTTGTACATCGGATGTGAGAGTTATTAGTTGTTTGGTCAAAGGCCAGATGAATATATCGGGGGCCATCGCCCTGCTTTATTAACAGAACATATCGCCACATTATAATTAAAACGGCAGCTCCTTCGGCATTACCTACCGGTCCACAACAATGGTTAATTCGTTATACCTTCCGATTTCAATACCGAACAGAAGTTTCACAGCACAACTAAACTATAAATCTATTTATAGCGACAGCTTCTTCGACATGCCCACCGATGCTTCCTTGCAAGAGTTTATTGTTCCATACATAGGTAGACTTGTCTTATGTGGAACGATTTCCTCCAGAAGAAGTATTAAACGCGTATACATCTTTAGCTATCCGATAGAGGGTCTGTCCCCCTACGATAGAAGCATATTCAAGTGGAACCACCCACATGGTTAACATTCCTTTCGGCTCTTGATACTGCTGCCGACCGGGAGGATGATCAAGGTGAACACGAACTCCGGTCAAGTTCTCAACGCACCAGTCGATCTGAAAATTGCCATGGGATGATTAATAATAAAAGTAGTTGATCGTGATTCTATCCAAGCCATCTATGTGGAGTAGCCCCTGCACACAGACCCCAGACGCCCTATCCATGCATCCATACCTATTTACAACCAGACCGTGTCTCCTAATCAATGGGCCTGCCTATCCGCCTTTATATACACAACCCCATCCACCCTTTCTAATATTCCCAAGCCATGTCCAGTCCAGCAACCCCATTACGTAACATTCATCACCACAGCCTCGCCCACCAGTGCTTCGTCTTCGCCTCGGCGTGGTAGCCCTCCTCCTTGACGTTGTGCTGCCCCACGATAGTTAAAAAGACCTGGTCGAGCGTCGTCGGCGTGCACGAGAAGTGCTCGATGCCCAGCGCCTCCCGCTGCTCCTCGAGCCTAACGATGAGCCGGCCGATGGCGCTTCCGCTTCCGCTTCCGCCCACCACAGCGCTGCCCGGGATCGAGAAGCGCATCTGGCCATGGTACGTCTTGTGCTCAACCACAGCACCGGGAAAGGCCTCGACGACCCATGTCCTCATGCGCTCCATCTCCTCGTCCGTCGAGTGCGGCGCGGTCTTGCTGACGAGGTGCACATGTATAGCGTCGCCAAACCTTTGGCGCAAATTCTCGATCGTACCCATGGCCAACATGCGCTTGGCGAGGATGCCGGCGCGGTTGGCGAGCGCGTCGGCCTCTTCCATGCTGTGCGTTGTGAGGAGGATGGATCGGCCGGGGACGATAGTCCCGAGCGTCCTCCACATGATCCGCTTAGCAGCTGCGTCGAGCCCAGACGACGGCTCGTCGAGGAGCACCACGCTCGGGTTTCCCATCAGCGCAATGCCCAGGGACAATTTCCGCTTGTTTCCACCGGAGAGAGCGCTCGCCATGCGCGTGGAGAAGGCCTCGAGTCCGACGGCGCGGAGAACCGCTCGCACGTTGTGTTCGATGTCGGGGATACCGCGGATGCGGGCGTAGAACCGCAGATGTTCGAGCACGGTCATTGCATCGATAGCATCGAATTGCGGACAGACACCCAGGTGCGCTCGAGCCGCAGCCCGGTGACGGCTGACAGATGTGTTCTCGACGAGGACATCACCGCCATTCAGGCTGGGTTGAATGTCACCGCGTATCAACGAAATAGTCGTCGATTTACCAGCACCATTGGGCCCGAGAAGGGCGAACACCTCGCCGTGTCGGACGCCAAAAGTAACGTTGTCGACGGCCGTATTCTTGCGGAATGTCTTGGTCAGGTGCAGTACTCGCAGCCCGTCACTTTCTTGCGGACTGCTTGTGACGCGGTCAAGTTCACTCGCAACCTCTTCATCTTCAGGGGCGGAATCATCCTGCTTGATGGCTTTTTGAGTGACGCGATTGATCAAGGTCCGACCTGCACCACTGTCGTACCACAGCAGGATGCCGAACAGAAAGGCAGACTGCACGACAAGGTAGAGTATAGGTCCACCATAAGCTAGTATATGCGCAGGGTAGCCCCGGACCTGATCACCATCGCAAGTAGCCGAGAAGAGGTTGAGGGCAACAAACAGGGTGCGGACAACCGAGCCAATGGGCACAAAGGCCGATATGACGAAGTGAACAACAAGGAGGGACTGGTCTATGGTTGTGACCGGCGCGTAGGTGAGGGTGGACAGGTAGGCGATCAAGTAGACCAGAAACCCCACAGCTTGCCCAGCTGCCGAGAAGGCATAGGTGGACAGCTGATTCGCACAGAAAAGGGAGATGACATACGATAGCAGGGTTGATGCTAAACCGTATAGCATGAAGACGACGAATAGATACCCTACATGGTACCATACGTTCGAGGCTGCTGCGAATATGGCGGTGACAATAGCTGAGGAGACGAGCACAATCACAAAGTCGAACGTGGTGTAAGCTACCCATAGGGGAAGCGAGCGTACACCATTCGAGTACTGAAGACCTCGGACGTTCCGACGCCTCTCCACGTTTGGGTAAAGACCAAAGAACGCCGGATATGCAGAAAGGCAAAGTGCCAGATAGACCATAAGCTGCAGGGAGTCGCCAGTCGATGGGATCCATGGGGTATCGAACGGTGCAAAAGACGTCGCGATGCTGGTGTTGGCCAGCATGATATCAAGTGCGTTTTGGCCAAATACAGTAGAGTAGACATCTGCGTAATCTGCCTTGTAAGCCACAGTCGGTGGGGAGGTTGCATCCCCCAACCACCAGCCAGCGGGAGTAACGTTCTTGCGATTCTGCACAACAAATTTGTTGAAGTCCGACAGAGAGTCGACAGGGTGTAGACTTTTAACGAAAAGGGTGAACGTATCCTCGTCACCACTTCCACTGTCGCTTCCACTGCTTCCACTATTGTCAGAAGGGGTGCTCCTCATTCCTGCGAAGACAGGAGCATATAGACTTAAGACTCTTGCCTCGCTGAACTCCGACGACGGGCCAGCGACCAAGAACAAACTGTTGTAAAGATCCGTAAAGTCATCCGAGGAGCCACCCGAGTCCTGTTCAGTTGGGGTACATCCCGGGGGCTGCTGGCCAACGACAAACAGAGAGACCAAGGCTGCAGCTATTATCGGAATCAGAAGGGCAGCCACGTAGGGAAACCAATTTGTTTTGAAGACGATGCATCGCTTCAGTAGGAGTACTCCAGTTTGCTTGAAGAAGCCGATCGGCCGTCCTGAAAGCAACTCAAGGTCATTATCCTTGTCAGACTCGCTGACAGCAACAATCTCCTCCGAGCTTGCTTGCTTATCATCCTTGACTGCAGGTGTTGGCATAACGACATCCTCGCCGTTGACTTCCTCGGCTACCTGCAGGAATACGTCTTCGATAGTTGGACTTGAAAACTTGTAGTCGTGTATTCCTGCGCTTTCCAATGCTCGGATGACTTGGGCGGCGAGGCTCGAAGTTGGTGCTAGGTAGCTTATGACATCGTATGAGATCTTGCGCTTGACGCCTTCGATCTCGGGAGACTCCTTGATGTCCCTGGCGTTGAAAACGTGGATTCTATATCCGGCACCGAGTCTGTCTTTGAGTTCGACAGATGAGCCTTGAGCTCGGAGAGTGCCTTTCGAGAGGATGGCTATATGGTCTGCGAGGAGGTCCGCCTCATCGAGGAAATGTGTCGTCAATATTATCGTCCGTCGCCCACGCTCTGCCAAAAGAATGTCCCAGATCTTCCGTCGGGAAAGGGGATCAATACCCGAAGAGACCTCGTCAACGCAGCACACCGCAGATCCACCCGTCAACATCATTCCCAGTTGTAGCTTTCGTTTTTGGCCACCTGACAGTGTCTTGGACTTAGCCTTGACCTTCGGACCGAGGTCCACTGACGTGACAAGATCGCGTATCTCCTGCTTCGACGCGGTATTCAGGGGCGATTTCAGCCGGTTGAAGATCCCAATATGCTCCTCGACAGTCAACTCGTCCCAGAGGACATTCTTCTGCGGAGCAATGCCCAAACCTCCAGTACCGTCGATGGTGATATTTCCACTGGTCAACTTGCTGATGCCAGCAATCGAGTCCAGCGTCGTACTCTTTCCACTGCCATTTGCTCCGAGCAAAGCCAGAATCTGTCCTCTTCGAGCGTTGAAAGTGAGCGTATCAACTGCAACCACGGGCTCTTTCGGCTTTGAGATGAAGGAGAACAATCGACGGAAGGGGCTCGGGCTGTAGATCTTCGTAAACCCCTCGAGACGAACAGCGTCATCCGGTGCACTCTCAACTGCTTGACCTTGCAGGATCGTGCGACCTTTGGTGGTTGTGCTATGGAAAATTCGCTCCAGGTACACGCCGATTACGGGATAGACGATGATCTGGATGCCGAGGAACACCCAAAAAACAATTCCAGGTAGGTCCCACGGATTGTTGGGTGGTGTACGTAACAAGTCAGACGGAATTGCCTTCTGCTCCCAGCGCGCTATCCAGGTCATGAACCAGACGATATTGCATGGCGCGAAAAGCAAGCTCAGGACGGCAACGGTAGCGGTGTTCGGCGAAGTCAAAGTCTGGGCTAGAATGGCTAGCAGCAGATATACTATGGTGGAAACGACACCAGAGAGCTGCGACCTCTTGAAGAAGGCCGCCCCGAGGATGGACAGTGATGTCAGCGCAAGGCCGGCAAGTATGAAGTAGATGAGCACAATTGCCACACTGGTGTTAGCCCAGACCCCACGCGCAATGATTATGGAGCCGATGACCCAGCCCGGGAGATAAATCATGGTAAAGGCGATGTGGTATGACCAGAGCCGTGCAACTTGCGGTTGCCAGCGGTGCTTCATCGGCATCATGGCATCGAGCAGTTGCGACATACCAATCTCTCTTTCAGTCGCCATATGACCCGTCATATGATAACATACGCCAATGACGACAAGGATGAAGGCAACAGCGAGGAAGTTGGTCAGTGAAGATTGATACATGCGGCGAATCCTCTGCGCGCGCTCTTCTTGCGTCAAGGTCGTGAACGGGTATTCTTCCGTGGTAGCCGGAAACGACGACGCTCCATTGGCACCAGTAGCAAGACTTGCGATGGCGGAATCGACCGCTCGCTGCAGCGGCAGCGTATATACCTCGCCGTCATTGTGGTCCTCGGTCACGTCAATCTTGGTACCCAATGCGCCGTCGGCGCGCAGCGTGTAATTCCACAACCCACCGGGCCCCTCGTTCGGCGACGAGTGGAAGACCACTGCGCCGTAGCAGGACGAGACGCCGCGCAAACTGCTTCGGCACGCATAATTCAGCTCAGGTGTTTGCGACAGCCGCGTGGCGTTCTTCCCAGCGCCCGTCACCGTGTCCGAGAGCGAGTCGATGACGCGGTCGATGTCGCCGCCGGCCAGTCCGTTGTTCACAAACGCCACCGTGCCGCGGTTCGTGCTGCTCGCGGCCTCGAGCCCGGCTTGTAGGGACCGGACGGCGTGCGGTTCGCCTATGCCGTATGTCGCGGGTACGACGAAGAGGTTTCGGGCGAAGCTGAGGAAGGCGGCCAGCAGGATGGGGAGGAGGAAGGCTCGTATGAAGGTCGCGAAGGCATGGCGGACGACGACGATCTTGAGGTTCTTGGCCGTCAGTGTCCAGGTCTGCCGCAGGAACGCCATAGTAGGCGACTGTCAGGTGTTGAACACGGTCCGCGGGGCATGCGCTCAGAATTGTCGGTCGAATCGTAGGTCTCCGGGTGGTCCGGATCGGCACCGTTGCAAGAGTCGACGCATTCACCACTCCATATGATGGTTACAATATATTACACGAACGGAAGGAATTCGTACAAGAGAGAGACAGAGAAACTGAGTATTGGAAACATTAGAATAATGACTAATAAGAGAAAGAAAGAAGTGTTTGCAGTAGAGGCAACAAGGCCGGCTGTGTCAAACCCGAGGACCTCTAGGCACTCACCTGACAACCTCGAAGCCTCGCCTCCAGTCCTTTAGCACTCCTAGGCGAGTGGTGTGATTGGCGAAGCAAGAAATCGGTGATGCATCGACTTGCGGCCCATCTCAAAAGGTTGAAGGGGCAATCCCTGCTCGGAGATCGAATCGTCCCGCGGCTCCCGGCCCCTCGGGCGCCTCCTGACACCTGTAAAGGGTCGTGCCAGGGGACAAGGGAAGGGGCTCCAGCGGGCCTCAGCGCTGAAACCATTCTACGACGCGCAACGCCTTTCAAGTTTCGACTGATGAACAGGCTTTAAAACTCCTGGGAAGAAAACCATGGTTCCCAATTGCTTCGCCCTGCCAAAATGAAGAAGCAAGGTGTGCCCACGAGTACAGCGTGCTGCGGTCGTGTAAGCCCAGAACTCCCACCCAAGGCTCTTGGTAAGACTTGGCCCTTACATGTATTTGTCACACCGCGACACATTTCGTCCCGTCCTGTACGCCTCGAACACAGTCCGTACTAGGTTCCAATTGTCCGGGACGCCGTTAAACCACGCAACCGTAAAGCCTAAATAATTCCAACATGGAAGGTAATACGAAGCCTATGCAGGATACCGTAAGTTAATTATTGGACTGCAGCAGCGCAGCGGCTCAGTCAACCATGAACCCCCCTGCGTACTCGTCATCTACCACGAAGCCTCCTCCGGCCTCTTTGCTGTCGTCGCTCAGCTGCGGCTCATCCTCTGGCTCACCGTCCGAACTCACGGACGGTGCGACAGCTTTGCCCTTGTCAACCTCCATCGCTTCCTCGTCCACGGCTTCATCGTCCGAATCCACATCAGCCCATATCCGTTGCCTGACTCTCAAGTTCATCAACATCCGCCTCCAGGCCCGCAGCACCTCGCGCGTCCTCCTCTCCCTCTCCAGCTCAGCTTCCTGGTCTTTGATCCCAGCAATCAACGCATAGACGGCCTCCTCGTTCTCTGCGGCCACTATCACACCGCGCAGGACTGCCGTGCCTTGCCTGCCCCTGAACTCGAAGCCGGTGAGCGCAGGCGCGTAGTCGATCCCCAACGTGAAGGCTGCCTGCGCCCCAAGATCATCAGTGATATGTACACCGCCTTCGGGTACCATGCTAGGCACATAGATATCGAGGTTGCCGAACCGATTCTTCGGTATTCGTCCATTGATGACCGGTGGCGCCTTATACAGTTCCGTCTGTTCCATTGTATAGATTGGTGTGCCAATCGTCCCACCAGCTTCGAGTTCGTCATTATCAGCGCCGAACAGATCCGCGTTCGGGTTGACCCGTTTCGTTAGGACCTTAACTGGTACCTCATCTGCCCGGACTTCTCTGCCCAGCCGAAACCATTTCTCCCTACTGCGGGCGATCCGCACATCCTTGCGTCTGTATATTTTTTCCAACGGGCCTTTGCTACCGGCTCCGATTGTGCCAGAAGCTGACGCATCAGGCACCAAAACTTCATGCCGTCGAAGCTGCCGTTCTAATGCATAGATCGGGTGGTCTTTGAAGTCGGCGATATTGCGCGGCATTGGCTCGTGTGACTCGGCTGCTGTCAACTCATTGGCCTCGATTTGATCTAGGTCAGTCGTAACACCATGCGAGTATGCTCGCAGAGCCTTGCGCCACCATTTCTCGCCATTGCTGGCGACACTTTCTATTCGCATTCTGCGTGTCTTTGCATTGTATGCTTTGGCATAACGACGCGTGATGTCCTTGGCTGATCCGTCCTCCGCAAATCCAACCACATATGTCATGCAGTTCTCTCGATCAGATGCAGGAGGTTCCAGCTTCTGTGGCTTCCAAAATGAGTCTGTCACTAAAGGGTCCGTGGGCTGCCATTTCTGATGAGCCTCGTCGAGAATCTCTACCCAATAGACTGGAAAGGGAGATTCGCGGATCTTCTTTGGCGTCACTGGCACCTGGCGAGATGGGCTTTGGGTGGTCGCAGTAGGAACCTGAAAAGCTGTCGCATTCGGGTGGCCCAGTCGCCTGCGAGCGGGCAGCGTTGAAGGTAGTGCAGGCGAGTCAAAGGAGCTGTCATACTTCGGCATCCGAGCAAACTGCTCTTCGAGGGATAACCTCCCCCGCGCCTTGGGTGGCTTCCCCATGGTAGGTCCTCCAGAGGCAAAGGAGAGGGGTTGAAGAGAACAAACTAGCCTTGCCTCTACACCAGCACTGCGCAGCAGCGCGCAATAGAGCTGAGCTCCTACGTCTCGTGAACCCTGGAGTGAATTTGCTGCTTCGCGGAAATCCGACTTCTCCATAGGCGTTTCGGCGTCATCCGGGAGTTTATACTGTGCCCAAATCAGCCTCGGTTTGCAATGGGTAATTGGACGGTGATTACATTTTGTAGATGCTCTTCGTTCTCTGCCCACAGTGCTCTACGAGACCCTCGTTCTGTAATCTGAAATTTTGTCTTGAACTTGGCATTGACCATCTGCAACCCCTCCTTGAGTGAGTTGGCGCGCCCAAACTGAGTAAGGTGTGTACCTGGGTTCAGGTACGTGATAGTCTTCTTAGTCAGGATTGGCCGTAGCCTATCTTGAACAACAGCGTCGTTGCACCAGCGATTCCTGCGAGCAACATGAGACAACAAGCAGAGGAGATGCGTCTTGTGTATCTCAACCCGACGATCTTTCTCCGCCTTGTTGATGGGTTTGCGCCTCTCTACTACCTGACGAGGAGTGGCATTTGCCCGCGATGAGAAATTGAGTTCGAGGTCTTTTGGGGCGTCCGCCGCAGGATCAGAGTTCAAGTTAGGAAAAGAGAAGTCGACTTCCTCGAACCCTAGCTCGTCACCATCATCATCTTCTTCTTCGTCCTCCTCATCTGAATCTTTAGTCATGGTCTGTATTGTCGCAGTCAGGAGGGACACATCCTCGAACTGTATATCCTTGTCATCTTCGTCATCTTCGTCATCCTCCTCTTTGTCGACTTCGACTTCGACCTCGACGCGACGCTTTGGCTTCTTCGGCGGAGGACCGACCTCGTGTGGTGGCTTCTCGGCTCGCTGCCCGGGCCGTTTTTTCTTGATCGGTTTCTCGGGAGAGGTCACGGTTGGTCGAACGTCGGCTTCGACGAGCATATCACGGTAAATATCGGGGACGTCATTGCGCACGGCGGCAGATCTCGTAGTGCGCGAGGATCCCGCATTGTTGGCAGGTGCTTTGCGCTTCTTCCCAGCCATTGGAAATGATGGAAAGGACTCGAAGTTGACGATGGAGTTGGTGTGTCATGGCGCTATGACGGCATTGATCGCGACCGTCGTGGTTAGCCAGGATGCCAGGGTACCAGGCAGTGCGGAGGAGGGGCTCGACTGATCATGGCCGCGACGGCATCTCGAAAGCACGTGACCGCTTTATCTTGCATCCCAAGCAATTAAACCATTTCTCTGGTCCCGCTAAAAATAACTGTCGCGTTAATTCTCAACCCTCCGTATGCCTCACAGAGTGAGCAGTGATGCAAATGTCCGACGACCTTATCTGCAACGAAAGCCTCTGTCAACGCTAAGTCACGACGCCGATATATGCTTCAATATTCATAAGGTCATTCCGCTATATAGGTAAAAAAAGACCTCACAGGCTCTGATGTCTTCCACCAAATGCGATGGCGACTCTCGAACGCGACCTGAATATATGTAGCTACCGACGAGCCCGGTGCCAATTATGAATCGGTAGCTGGTTTCCATCATTATACCTTCCCACCAAGCTGTAGCAATAACATTCTCTTGCGCCTGCAGAGAAAGAGCGACCTACAGTACTCCATGCTAGTCATGAAACTCACAGACCGCACTGTCTTCTCCGCCGACACATTCGCTCTCGCACATCGCTCGGCAGTCAACTCTGAGAATCCTCAACTACCAGTCGAGTGGCTGCTAGACGAGGCCGGGGCGGCTGCTGTCTCCTTAGCATCATTCATCTCCCTCGCCTCCAGCATCAGCCGATCCCAACACTGATCACACATGCCATCATTCCACTTGATAACCTTCTTGTCGATGTCGCCCCGGGGCCCCATGCACTTCTTGAACAGCTCATCGCACCTCTCCGGCTCGACGAATCCCCAGCACGTACAGCCCTCCCAGCGTTCGAATAGCTCTTTGCACATGGTCGAAGCGAGCGACGGTGACCGGTGATGAATTCTTTTGGTGCGGTAAATGGACTGAGGATGCCGAGGGATAGCTCTTGGTAGTCGACTGTGTGTTGTTGGTATGATCACGGCCTCTAAAGGAAAGTTGAGTTCGAGAGGTAGGTAGGTTTGGGATCTTGAGGTTCTGAACGGGTGTCGACAGTTCCTTCCAATTTCGTTGATGCCTCCTTCCCCGTCCCAATTCTTCGCCCTTTGCAGTATGTCGTATATCTTTGGGGTGATCGAGAGATTTCTCCTTCCTCTCCTCTTCCTCTCTGACTGTCTAGTAACAGCAATGACCACCCAAGATGATTTCTCGGTGCTCAGTCGTTCAACATCGAGGTGTCGTGTACTGCGTCTAGTTGCTTTTCGTGGGCTTGTCTGTGAATCAACTCCGGAGTGGTGGTTCCTGGCTGTCTAGTAACAGCATCACCGTGCCTCCAAGGGGTGAAGTCTGTCCTGTGCTCTTCGGCTCTTCTGCGAGGGGCCGGGGTAGCGACATATTTCAACAGGTCGTTTGGTCCAGGGACTTTCTGCAATGGGCGAAACGAGGAGTGCGAATGCATACATATGCATGCAGCCGCGGCGAGACAGGGGACTTGAGCTGTCAAAGTTGCTGATCAGGGGTCTTGAGGGTTGCCCGGCCCCACTGTCCCGATCCTGGTATAATACGCCAGAAGCTGTCAGATGTCAGAATTGAGCCTTCTCCGCTCCCCAGGCGCTGCTTATGAACGTCATCTTGTATGGTATCGAGATCTTCCTCTCTTCTGCGTGCTCACTGGCGGTGCATTCGGTCTTGGGCCAGTCACCATGCTTCGTGGTCTTCTTGGCCAACCCTAGGGCTCCTCCCAGGTCGCCTGGGGGTCGTAGAAGCCGGCGCACGCAGCATTAAGTGTCTCGGAAACTCGAAATTAATAGGATTTATATCTCTATATGACGAGCTCATAGAGTTCTTCGCCCGGTACTGCATATCGTACAGGTCTCCAGTAGACTGGTCTTCCAACCGACCTGTCAGAGGATAGGCCAATAGTTGGCTGTATCACGGGCCATAGTAGGTGGGCATGGACGTACAGCCGGGATCCGGGGTTCGGGATCCGCGATCCGCGATCGTCTGACTCGCAAAGGGCGGGCGGCGCCTGGCGCATCGGCCGTAGCCGCGTGGTTTCGGCAACCATATTGAGGAATTACTTACTAGATGGCAGACCCGTGATCCCCATTCCCTTTGGTTCCACCAACCGGCGCAACAGCAGGTGTTGCCGAGAAGTCGATCGGCATCGTGACCACTGGATAGCCAGCCAGTGCGCCTGGTCTGCGATGCGAAACCGATCATCTAGCTCTGATGTAGGCTGGACTGTCGACTTACGAGTCGGACGGGCGAGGTACGCATCGAAGGGGCATTTGAAACGGTACTGTTGAAAACCAAGGCTGGTAAGTTGTTCCTTCTTTAATTGGTCTCGTAAAGGCTGATTCGGACTGAAAATGGACCGCCAAGTCTTCGCCGCATGCGCAGTTCACTGCAGATCCGAGTATGGGTTCCACACTCGACGAGACTGACATTCGCGCACCACAACACGGGAGGTCTATTGTGGCAAAAGGAGACAGCGCATAGTGGTTCAGATTGTCAGCAATACACAGCGAACCTATGTGTTCAACAGACCTCATCAACTCGAGAGCAAGCCACCGTAAGCCCGATGATCGACAACATAGCCAGCGCATATGGTGTACAAGACCACCACATTCCGTGCGACAATATCCGACATCATACTGACAACGCCTCATCCACTACTCAGCATAATCTTGCCAGATCGAAGATCTTCGTCGGAAAATTGCGCAAGAGGATCCTTTTTGCTGAACGCATGATCGGCGCGCTCCTTGCGAGACATCTTGAGGATGTTGAATTTCTCTCCACCGGTGGCGCCATATTCCTTCTTGAACTGTGTGAACTGCAGGTAGGCGTCAATTGCAGGCTCGAGGGCAGTGGGTAGAGACGACGTGACTTACGTTCTTCTTCCAGCTCCATCTATCGGCTTTGGCTTTGCCGGAGAGGGGGCCAATGATGCAGTACTCCTCTTCCAAGGAGCTGAGGTTCTTGTCGGTACCATGGCATCCTGCCGTCTCAAGGTCGATGCCGGCTTTCTTCGCATATATGCAACAACCTCCTTGCGCCACTCCAGCTCCTTCTCGTCGAACCCTTGGTCTTGGACGACGCTAACCCACTGAAGATAGCAACTCATGACCAGACCTAGGTCCTTGATCTCGGAATCAGCCGTCATTTTCTGGGCAAGGTCAAGCTCGTTGAGCACTGTGGCCAAAGCACGGCCGACGAAACCGACGGTGGCCGATACCCTCTCGCCATCATCAGTCACTATTTACTGTCAGTTTGCCAATTTCTTGGTGCCAGTGGGTGAGGACTCACTTAGCCACGGGCCAATTTCGGCGTCCAGGAGCCAGTGTATCATCGCCGCTGTGGTCGCCCACATCTGCTTCAGATTCTCATCGTCCCGCTTCTTTCTGAGTTCCTTGTCGAAAGCGACAAGCTTGAGTTTGGTCAGTAAGACCACTTCACAAGGGCCCAAGCCGAGAGACGACCGCTGCATTCCACCAAGAACTTACCATGGACTCGATCAGCTCCTGCAGCCCATACCCGTGGAAGTCGTTGTAGATATACATGCCGAACGAGTCCGGGTCAGTGTATGTAGCGCGGCGCTTATAATCCGCGTACTGCTTCCACGTCTCCCACATGCAGACCCATCGATTGTCGGGGAAATCAGCGGCGGGCTTCATGGCAGGGCCGTCATCTGAGCGCATCTCCTCATTGTACGCCTCAATGATCTCGTCCTCGTCGAGCTGGTCGTCCTCGTCCTTGTCTTCGTTCTCGTTCTCCACGTCAAAGAAGGGCTGGGGCATGCCGTAGTACTTGTGTGGAGGCCGGTTCTCGAGGTCCTTGTCCCCATCCTACACATAGCCAGTTGGTGAGCTTATTGGTCTGCTGCGGGTGAGATGGGATGGCGGCGCGTACCTGCTCTTCGTGTTCTTCGCTGGATGCATCGTTGGTGACATCGGCCCCGGCTGCTTTCTTGCTGTTCTTGTTGCCCCTTGCAGGACCAGACTGGGCGCTTGGGCCCGCCTCCGAGGCCGTACGCTTCTTCGGAGGCATGGTGAATGATTTTGGAGTTTTCGGCGTTCAGTGGCAGCTCAATTGGTGTCTTAACAGTACTTTCTGGTCACAATTGGGATGGAGTCTAGACAAGGCAAGAACGACGCGTGAAGACGCGACAAAGCTTCATAGTCCAGATACCTCATATTAAGTGGTGCTGCTACGATCGCTTGAGCTATGACCACCGCATTTAAGTTTTAACCACGTTGATAGCTCTTTCCAAAAATCTTCTTGACGAGAAGAACACTTCCAGGTGGCGCGTCAATCGATCACATGCAATCAATCATCTTCCCCCTTGGAAACCTGCAGATGAAACGCTCAGTGGCTCCATCTTAAGGTACCTTCTCGCATGGGCCACACCGCCGTGAGCTTCTTCCGGCTCTTTCACTACTCCAACACTGACCGCCTCATCGCTTGCTTGTCTCTCAGATGTCAGAAGTAATCCCGGATTCGACAGAGACAAGTCTCTAAGCGATGTCGTGAAGCGGCAGCGTCCAAGCTGGTGTGTCCATGTTCATGGCCATCTAGACCGCAAAACACTTGCCAATTCGGAAGCCTGCCCGAACCAGATTCCATGGTCAGGGTCCCCTATGGCTGAAGTGTAGACGGGTGGTTTCGCTCGTTCGTCATGACTCATGAGGAGTTGCTTGTCGTCTAGAGGGCTCTGGCTGAAAGTCTTCCTTCATGGACGCGATGTCGCAGATCACGAAATTGGTCGGACTGGAAATTCGCCGCCCTGTCGGACCCATTGGCACGTGGCCAGCTCGTCGAGGGCAGAGATCTAATAATAGGGGAAATAAGTCTGAATGCTCCGGGCTTCGGACAGCAATATTGCACACGAACCCCGAGAACCACCGCTTCGTGTTGGTAAGCTAAAAAGTTCCACGAGTCCACGACAACGTCTTGGGATCCATCATCCTGGCGCTGTAGGTCGCCCCAGTTCTGATACGGAACCTGCATATGCCTTGGTACTCCAGTGGAGATATAGACGGAATCAACACCACGTCGTTAGGTATGTATGTAGGCTAAAGGGGTGCTGACAAACCCTACACGCCAGGCTGCTAGACCGTTTATTAACCTCGACCCATGAAACAGCATTACTGACTGATCCTATATGCAAACCATCTTATGTGGGGCCTGTTCGGTCTTGTATAGGTATCGTGATGGGTTAGAAAGCGCTGGATTGCTAGTGCTTATTTCACTCAGGGATACCGAAGAGGGTCCGCCCCGTCGAGGATCCTCTAGTATCACATATAATAACATAGGATAGGAGCCCAAGTGCTGTGGACTGACCAGCGTCTACGTTCTCAACTTCTCATTAAGCACTTCACACTTGATCTCGACAGCTTTGCGACATGGCAACAACCACTCCCCTTTCCGGCCACGTCACCGCCTCGGATGGCACCAAGCTTCGTTACACCCAGGAAGGACCTCCAGGAGCACCCGATCTCGTATTCCTCCCAGGGTAGGTGCATACACATCCCAATTCGAGGCTTCAGGCCTAGTCTCATCGAATGGACCATGTCGTCCTTCGTCGTTCTGCTTCCAGAATCTGCGTATTGACTGAGCCGCAGTTGGGCACAATCTGCGACGATATTCCGCAAACAAGTGGACTACTTCAAGGCCAATTTCCGCGTGACGACCTACGACCACCGCGGCCATGGCGAATCAGACAAGCCGGCATTCGGGTACCACATCGCCCGACTGGCCGCAGACCTGGAGACACTGCTGTCGCAGCTGGACCTGCACGAGGTGACGCTCATCGGCCACTCGATGGGCGCCACCGTGGTCTGGTCGCACTGGGAGCTTTACGCGCACGATCGCATCGCGAGGATGGTGGTGGTCGACATGGTCCCGGTCGTGACTTCCAACCCCGGATGGTCGGAGGAGGAGAAAGCGACGTTCGTGACCTTGGTCGCACCGGGTGGAAGCCACGGCATCGCAAACGCCCTCACCGGACTGGGAGGCGAGGCGACGGTCGGGGGAATGATCAAAAACCTCTTCACGCCGGACGTCGATCAAGCCGACATGGACTGGGTGCTTTCGGAGAACCTCAAGCTGCCGCTGGAACATGCCGCGGCTTTGTTCATCGACCATGCTGCAGCGGACTGGCGGCCCATGATGTCTACCATCAATGTCCCTACATTGCTGGTGCTGTCGCGGGGTGAAGCTCTCGATCCGTTTCCGTCCGTGCAATGGATGGCCTCCCAGATACCTGAGTCCAAACTCGTGGTTTTCGAAAAGGGGGAGAAAGGCAGCAGCCACTTCATGTTCTGGGAGAGCCCTGAGCGATTCAACAGGGAGCTTGGCAAGTTTCTAGCTAGCTCATAGGACGAAAGCACGAATTCCTTAGGGTTAGGGAGTTAGGGTGAAGGGTGAAGAGCCTTTAAAGATGCACACGGATGAGGTCGGGCACGAACGATCGAAACGGGTTTTGGGCCTGCGACCAGTATAGTTAGAGTTCATGCTAAACCTCGAAATTGATGAGCAAGTACCAAGGAGCCGGTATACGCAAGTGATAGTAAGATCATTGAGCAAATCATTGCACGGACTGTCTTGTCCAAAGACCAAAACATGAATCCAAACCCAACGGCCAACAACAGACTCCAGGCGCCCACACCCAACCCTCACCCAAGCACAAACCCCCCCACATCACGACCGCGCACGTGGCCGACGTCGCCACCACCGCCCACCCGTATTCCGATCCGTCCTCCCCTCTCCCTTCCCCTTGTACTGCGCAAAGACGCCAGCAAGCACGCTCTGGTTGCTGTACCGCGGGAGCTCAGACTCGGCGCCCGGCGGTGTGACGTCCTCGGCCACAACATCGAGCTTCAGGCTCGGGATGCTGCTGGGGTCAATCATCGTACCCTTACCGTCACCCTGTAAGTTGGGAGGTATTAGCGGGAGTGTCAGCGAGCGGCTAACTAGAGGCCATGTTTTTGGGCGGGAGCGGGAGTGGGAGCGGGAGGCTGCAGGTCGTACGCGCGCATGGCATGCAGCTCAGGCGGGAGCCACGACCCACGGGAGCACGAGGACTCGGTACGGCCGAGTGCAGATGTGTGTGGTTCTGCTGCGACGATGCCATGTCACAGACCTTGGGGGAGTGAGGCGGGGTGGAGACGACATACCTTCGAGACCTCGACGCGAAGCTGCTTCTCGAGCGCCTGCTCCACCGCAGCAGGATCCTGACCGCTGATATCAAGGGCGCCGATGGCGCGCTGCAGTGAGATCTGATCATAAGCCAAACCCCGGTCGGGCATGCCGAGCAGCACCGTCCGGCCCGCGAGGTGGGCGCCCAGGTAGATGTCGATGCTGCACGGGAGGTCCAGTTCAGAGCGCTCTACTTGGACGGCGATGACCCATTGGCGCCCCGGGTTTGTGTCTCGCTTCACTCTTGCTGCTGCTGTGGCAGTGGTGGTGCCGGGGCTGTAGAGTCGGTTGATCTGCACGATGCTGTTCTTCCTGCTCTCGTCTTGGTCTACCGGTAGGTGTCCGCTGCGCATCTCGGGGTATGTGTAGCCGAGGGAGTCTGTCGAGATCACGGTCATGCCTGTGTGGAACGTCTTGCCGTCTGCTTGGTAAAAGGGCTTCAGTGGGCTGTCGGCCGTGATGGTCTCGCCTTTGGCTGTCGAGTAGAGGCCGTCGCTCGAGTAGGGTTGCGTTTGGTGCGTCTCGTTGGGGTGGACTGATGTCCACAGAGCGGCGAGGCGGTCGAGGTTGCAGTGGTGGAGCATACTGTGTAAGAAAACTTCATCAGCAGTTGAGTTTAAGACGGGATCAGGGGTGGCATACAACAGCGAGTCGAAACTGGTTATGGCCAGGTTTGGGAACGAGCCGCCGACAAGGTTATGTATATCGTTGTGCGCCGCCTCGAAACTCGACCCGTAGTTTGCCATGGACGCCATCTGGTCGTACGTAGTCGTCGACGCGAAGGTACGGTACTAGACCACCATGTCAGCACCTCACGACCTGCGGGCTGCGGGCTCGCCACTGCTCACAACCGAGTCCTTGATGCGGTCGGTAGCATTCTGGAGATCCGAGTTGACATAGTCTGGGTCAAAGCCGCCACTCCCGTCTCGCGTCGTCACGGGTCCGAAACTTCCATACCCGGGGAACTGGGACTGATTCAGGGGGTAGGTCTGCCAGCGGTAATTGTAAAGGGGGTTGTGAAGCTCCAACGGGCCCTTTGGTCCGTTTACAGTGATGTTCTCTAGCGTACTGGACGATGGTAACGTGGGATCTGTCGCCCAGTCCCAGTACGGTAGACGTAATATCTGGGCTGCGGCGAGATATGCCGGCGCGGCATCATCGGTGTACTCTGAAGCTATTCGCTGTACTTCAAGTCCAAGTGCTTGCTGTCTACGGTCAACGGGTTGTCCCCATGACGCATGGTCGGAGACCTACCTCGTAAAGTGCGAGATATGGACGATGCCATGCTATGAATTGTGTTTCCTTTTTTTCCATTGTCAGGATCTATCTCTGGTGTGAAATGGGCCTGAAGGTGTTGCTCTGTTACCATATGTGGGCAATATCCCATACCACTCCCATTGGTCACGGCGTCGACAGAGTTATATGGCCTAAAGGGCATCCCGTGGATCCCTTTGAAGTGTAAGACGAGCACCACGAGTAGGTTGGTTTTCTGCTAGGCTCGTATCTTACCACCGACGGCAAAGTGCGATCTCACATCGTCCTCCAGCTTATTCTGCATGGCATCGAGACCGCGGATGAACAGATCCCTATTTTTGGTCAGAGGAACTCAGGACTGCACCTGGTGGCCACGTACCATGTAGGGCCTCCTTTGGCTTCGAGCAAGTTGATGTTGAGGCGAGCAGGTCGCTCGCCGGTCTGCGCGTTGATACCTGTGGTCAAGCCTGTAACCGGCACGGGTGCATCTTGGCCGTGCACCGGGGTTTTCCAGGTCGCGACGGCCGCATAGAAAACCAGCTTGCCAGCTAGAACCATCATAAGTACCCAAGAAGCTGAACCGGGAGCAATGAGGAATGGGAGGAGTATTCGAGAACGGAGTTTCTAGTAGTGCCAGGTAGAAGTCGACCTGGGGTGTTTGATGTTGTAAATCTGTACGTTTGCGGTACGTTCTCCGGAGCATTCTCCTAAGAAGAAAAGGAAGAAATAGGTTCATGGAATATGATCAGAATTCGACGTTAATATAAGCAACAATCATCGGCTCTCGTATTCTTCGTCGAGCTCGGCCCATCAGAGTGACCCGCGATGACACATGCCACGATGTTTCAAATGCAGAGAAACCCAAGCAGCGATGCTATCCTGCGTGTTCTGTGAGAGGTACAACAAGCTCCGAGGAGCTGAGGAAAAGGAATGTGGCGGAGAAGATGCCGTGCCAATCAGGCGGCACACAATAGTCGCCGTCTGAAAGCTTCTCGCCTCATACCCGTACTCAGAGCCTTGACGTGTAGAAGGTTTGAGCCATCAGGGTTCAACGAATCATAGGCGAAGCCGTGACGAGCGTGGCCAAACCGAACCCTGAGAATACCATGATGAGAAGCAAACCCAACGCCGTGTTCCACGGGGCAGCCCATCCATGCTCTTTTTTCGCATGGTCGCCCGGGAACCTACAGCAGCACTGCTCGGCACGCACGGGAAAACCAAGCATTTTCCCACATGGGAGCCAACGGGGGCTACCCGGGAGGGTCGCCATCCGCTTCGGTTTGTGTGCGTCAGAGCGAGAGGGAGAGCTCCAGAAGTGAGTGCGTGGTGTGGTCACGACAATAAATAGCGTTGTTGAACCGCGAGGCACGACCCCTGTCCGTGTCGCACAGCATGTTGTACGCTGGAGAATGCTGTGCGAGGACGAGGTGGGATCTTCAGGAACGGCGTGAAAGTTCGCCAGTGGGCGGGTTTATCCAGTCAGCCGCTCTTGGAATGATGGTCTCGTACAGTTGATAGGTAAGGTAGGCAAGAATCTGTCTCCCGCTTGCCAAGCTCACCGCCTCCCATATGAGTGTCGCTATAGGCCTGAGTCACGGTGGTGTTGGCAATGACACCCACAGGTGACCAATCGGCCAGCTTGGTATGTCAAGCTCGGCGATTATCCAGTGGGAAATGGCCACTATCTTGTGGCTTGACAAGATATATGTTCGTAATATTGCGGCTGCTCCCGCTCGCGACCCATGTCTGACTGCCTTACCGTGTAAGCTGGAAAAGGGTTGTCGCTTCTACACTTACCTTTTCGGGATCAGCCTCCAGGGTTATGTTCAGTTCATATTCGCCAGAGACATTGCCTCGTAAAGACTCTCGATAGTTTTTCTTATTTTTAGACGGGAAGGAGACAAACTCATTCCATTCGTCTATTTGTCCTAGATAGGGAGATCGAGGCCAGACACTGGCAGGCACAGGCTCCCCTAGCATCCATATTCCCTCGCTCTCTCTATGATCGGAATGACAGCCAGAGCGCACCAATAACGATAAGGCCTTGAAGGTCTCAGATCTCCCGGATGGACCGGCGATGCCTCGGAACTTTCTTACCTGTCATCGCAGAGCCAGCCAGCCGAGACATGGAGCGGTCTGTTCAGCTGATCCAGCTCGGCTCATGGCCGAGCATGTTTCCCATGGCGTTTTCGAGGATGCGCATTCAATCAAAGGGATAACTTCAGCTTTGCGCACATTTGATTGCTGAGCAGTGATGGGTAGAAGGACGTATTGAGGGTACGAATAAGGTATATACTATAAGTAAGTGAACATGCCTGCTTCCCCAGTCAAAGCAGAGAACCCAGAGCGATACCGTCGACGTGGACGGCAACTAAATGCTGGGTAATGTCAAAGAAGTGACACAAGACAGAAGGACAACTTTTGGTATCTCGTCGCACGGAAACCTCATTGCTCCCAGAACGAAGACCTGTAAAACAGCAGCGCAAACCATGAAAACCTCTTATAACGCCCCTATCGCTCTAGCCATCACTGCTTGGATGTCGGCGATGGGCCAAGCTGCTTTGAGTAGACTTATTTTTGTTCGCCAGGTCTCTTTCAACGCCCGGTTCGGATACCCCAGATTGGCGTGCCATAGACTCGACGATGGGTCGCTACATGTGCGCTATGGTCACAGCAATGGCGGATGCGGTGGCCGGTCGTGCTTCCCCCTCTGCCGGTACCTCGGGTGACAACAGCCTCTCACAACAACTTCTCCAGCGAAACCAGCTCCCTGAAGCCCTCCTTCCACGATTTTGTTTGCTCGGCAGTTGGCCTGGGTAGCGGGCTCCTCGCGTAGCCGCCGTAGCCCAGCCACGACTGAATTCCGGCTTTGACACCAACCACGCCACCCTGTATCGCGGTCCAGTCGCCCTGTGAGACCGTCTCCTGCATCTGCTGGGCCTCGTCGTACTTTCCCGCCTTGTACAGCTCGATGGTACTGATACATGCCTTGGGCGCGATGTTTGCGAGACCCGCCAGTATGCCATGGCCTCCAGCGACCAGCGATTGTATCGAAAAGTCGGCCGAGCCCGCAAGGACCAGGAACTCGGGGTTGTCATGGTCGTAGTTCTTGGACAGCTTTCGCGTGGCAGCGACGACACGGTTCAGCTTGCCCGTGTTACCACAGGTCAGCTTGACGCCCACAATCTTGGGGTGCTGCGCCAGCTCGAGAATGATGTCAGAGGAAAGGTCCATGCCATTCACGGCGCCTGGGTAGTTGTAGATTATGAGCGGTATTGGCGACGCACTGGCTACGGTTGTGAAGTACTGGATGGTTGTTTCGGAGGAGGGCGCAAACAAGGGCGCGTAGTACGATGGGGGTAAAACCAGAGCATAATCTCCACCAACCTCCCACGCCTCACGACAGAACTGTATCGTCTCACGGCAACTTTGAGCGCCGCAGCCGACGATGACCGGCATGTGAGAGAAGCCGGCTCCGTTCAGCGCCGTACGTGTGGTAGACGTGACTAGTTGGCGCTCAGCGTGCGTCAAGTGAACGGCTTCGCCATTGGACCCTTGTGTGGCGAGGCCTGTTACACCGGCCTGGGCTAGGCGAACTGAGTGTCGGGCGATGGCATCGGTATCAACGTCCTCCGTCTCAGTGTCGAAGAAGCACATGGTTGGCACGTAGACTCCGGGCACCAAAGGTCGAGTCATCTGAAAGTCGCCTTCCAAGGACGCACTCTCGAGAGAACTGCTCAATGAGGAGTGTGACTCGGCTGGTGTAAAGTTGCCCAATTTCATTGCCGAAGAGATATTAGGACACAATGGGATTTTGTTGAAGCCCGTCGTGTAGCTGCCCGCTGGAGACGGTACGTCCAAATGTGGCGCCATGACAAGATAGTCCGTGGGTATTTGTTCCAGGTTTTCCTACTACAGAAGGGTAAGTTCCCCGAAAACGGATAGCCACAGGTAGGCAAAAGATAGGGGCACGAGTGAGAAATGTGCGGCAGCGACACTTGATAGCCCGAAGTAGTTTTAATACAATGCGCAAGAACGTAAGACTTGGCCCGAAAAGTGCACTAGGATGATTTGAGTAAAGACGAAGTGATACGGAGAAAGATGGGTGTCCTGATTTGTATTGAATGGGAAGACATAGGGAATGGTCTAGGGGCATATATATATATACGCCTGACCCTTCCCTCCTGGCCATGTCTGACCCCCGGGTTGGTGGCGCTCGTGGAGCCCAGGACCAGCTATGCACGAGACATGCCAGCTGAAGATGGACAGATTGGGCAGGGGAAGATTTGTGGCGGCCACATGGTTCCCGACGCAGCAACATGGGTGTTTAGGGGTTATTGGACGGACGCTGTACAGAGTAGCTAGGATGCTGCCATGTGTCGTATTGTCATGGAATCATCTAGAAGACCCTGAGACTGGACCTGCTGAGACGAGGTTGGATCGCTCACCAGTGACAACCCAGGACGCAGAAGGAATTGTGGACAAGAGAGGGTGGGGGTCTGATTTGGCATCCAAGCCAATATATCCAAGGCGACCTATGATATGCGGCTGCGGAAGCTATCAAGTGCGTAGGCAGTGAAAGCGGGCGATCGCATAGCTGACGGCTGACATGGTCGCAGAGGCAAGGAGGACAGTCATTGGATGGTGACCCCTGACGAGGCCGGAACGAGGAATAGGGAAGAGATACAAAAGTGCAAAGCAATAGTGTCAAGAATGTAGCAAGACAAGCAGAAGATCGTCACTCATCGAGGTGCTGTAAGCTGTCTACATTGCCTTTTTAGTATGGTCACATCAACGTCGATGTACGCAGGTGACTTGAAAATTAACCTGGGTAGCCACCAACACTCGTTGGAGCTATCGATCTGTACTTCGGAACCGGGCCGCTGCAGCATCAGGCAGAGTGTTCTTCTCAACTGGGTATTGTCCTTGCGAAGAGCCGCCTAGCTGTGATAGTAAGGCTTCATGCATCCGCAGTATCATAACACGTCTGCGTTGTGAGTTTGGAATTAAACCGAGAGAGTCCATGTACACACCAGAAGAAGAGGGGTGAGACAGAGAAAGCGGACTTACTCACAGGCGAAGACGCAGAGAGTGTTACATGCTTGAGGCGGCTGATCCGTAAGCTTCTGGCCAGTCGTGGCAATGCGACGTGTGAGTATTTCATTGTTAGATGGACGGCGCAACTCTCGTGGAGGCAGGCTACTCGCCAGTCTGAGAGCAATGCTCACGGCTGGCAAAGTCAGCATCTGCGGTGTCACTTGCGGCAATATGTCAGAAAGTGCGAATGACCTCCTATGCAGCTCCCTGGTGGGCTGTGATGCCATCTGTGACAGAAGCGGTGTGTATCGTGCCGCACAGTCGTTCGTGCCTCACACTTACTGGTCAGCAACCAGGGAGCATCGAAGGCAGGCAGCCAACATGATGGACTGCCGCCCGCCTGACAAGCCTGTGGACTTGTTGACACACGTGGCTTGACCTTGCCCGTCATATCTGTGAGTGGGATGTTAGTTGATTTGTCGTTGTGCCAGGACGGAAGATTTCCACCAATCTCGACAGAAATGCACTTTGTATATGAGTGGTGCCGTTGGCGAGAACGAAGCCGTGCCTTTGGGCTGAGAGGTAAGAGGGGCCCGGCCAGTAATCAGCAATCAGCAAGCACCGAATCTGGAAGGCCACTCGCAGACTCGCCAGTTTTACATAATCAGACTTCGGATGGTGCAGGTGCGGAGGTCGTTGCTGCCATGGCTCGTCGATTCGGATTACTGTTTCAAGATGGTGAAGCATCGTACCATCTTCTCGTGATATCAGCCTCAACAAGCGTCGTTATCGAATGTTGGCCGTAAGCACTTACTCTCGCGCGAACTATACGGATGGAACTGTCGTAGCTGGTACCTCGCTGGCATACCACCTGCAGGGTCCGGCTTCCGGCTCCGGCACCGGCAGAGCACCAGCAGCCCTGACTACGGACCTGCCATCGTATTACTTCGACCATGTGGATCCACCAAGGAAGGCAGCTGCCGTTTTGGCTGTTGTTTGGTCTTTGCGAATACCACGGTGAGACCGGTTGGTCTCTCATGCGCGAAGGTCGTAAGCGGACGCATAACATTGAAGACCTACCTGCAAGCAAGCTTCCGAAGCTGAGAACCTGGCACCACGACGTGAATTAGGAGGCAGGGGACGTACTGACCGGCCCAGAACCACCATGGAGAATCTACGAGCAGCATTTGTGACAAGAGCCCCGGAACCGGAGATAGTAAGTGCTGTCGATCGCACTGACCTGTTCCGACAGACTGGTTCGAACCCCTGCGAGCCACTTAGGGGCCTTCGTGGCCTATGATCTGCCTGCAGCTGACCTTGTTGCAGCCAACTACATGTCTACACCTCTCAACCCTCTTCTCAATTCGGGACCATCAACGCTCATACGGGTGCACGAACAGAATGCCCTTCGCGTCCCTGGCATCAACTTCCCTCTGAGTCGTCGATAGATGATCGCCGAGTCAGGCCATTGTCACACGGGACTAGGTACGAGGGCGTGTCGACAGGGGTAAGTCATTGGGTTGTCCCTTCAACTGGACGAGTCGTCCAAGAGGCCATCAACGATCCGCCGACCCCATGTTCGACTTACAAGGCTGTCAGCGTGACACAGACTGCACAGTTTCCTGTGATGAAATGACTATGGCATGGACGAGCATCCTTAGGAAGGAAGTCTCTTACCGCCACCTTCCCCAACACGACACCACCACGGCACCAGAAACGGTTAAGCCTCATGTCATTTCACCTGAACCCCTTCCATTGGAGCGCCAAAATCACTTCACGAATCGCTTTCCATATCCTCGACACGGTAATCATGAGAGAGTCGTATCTGGTAGACGGTGACGTTGACCCACGGTACTGTGGCACGTCCGTCGTCCTGTCATCCAGCTGGAGCAAGCGCTTACTGCTGCGTACCTCGAGAGATCGTCACGCGATGGTCGTTGATGCGGCTTATCCTCACTTTCAAGTCATTCCTACCGTCACCGGGAGATCTCACTGGCGGGATTATAGCTTCTACTACCGCCATGTTGATGTCAAGCAGTCTACGACTATCGCTCGCATAATCCATCCTCAGCCTGCAGCTTTCTGATCACCTGGACAGCCGAACCGACCAACCAGACCGGGTACACAATGCTGTCGTACCGGCGAAGGGACTGTCACGTTATGCCACGTGGCTGCGTGGCCATACCAGTGGATTCGATATTCGTGGCATGAGGCAAACCTGCAGATGCCGCTACGTTCTCGTTCTTTCCCAGGCAAACGTCCATGCAACCCATGTCATCCTCGAGAACGCTCTTTGTCAGGTATACTTGCCCCGCTATCCAATAGACACTTCGTCATGGTGCAGCCTCGCTGTTTTCCAATTCGACCAACGAGCTTCATCTTTGGCAAAACCGTCTGGCTGGTGAGGGTGTCGGTGATCCGCACTTGGTGTTGGGTCAAGTAGATTCTTCAACGCTCATGAGTCCTCGCTGACCTTGGTGCATCGAAGCCGCTACCTCTCTTTTTCCCTCTCCTTCTTTTTTCCCTTTGCGAAGATATAACACGTAAACCAGGCCCATTTTGAGGGTATGGAAGTATGCTGCCAACTCCTGGGTACTGACTCTCACTCCAGGAGGCCGGCCGTTCTGCAACGTCTCTGAAAGGTCTCACAACATATGCCCTTGGCTTGCCACGTTGTGGGACACGGGTAAGCCGCGTCTATCCCGTCTGGTATCCCAGTCATTCAGTATTGTAGACCCTGCCCGAACGATGTCTTCCATCTTGGCAACCTGGCCGTCTAGTTGCTGCACCTCCCACGACTGATACCAGACGCAACACCCGGTGGGTAGGACACCCTCCTCAGCGCCAAGTGCCCACCCCGGATTCTCGACTGCCGCACCGATGACAAAATCTGGGGTAGCAGCTGGGTAACTGCATCCAGTGGTATTGGAGGGTATCAACCGAGGGCCCTTCATGGCGAATCCTCTCAAACAACGGCCATCTGCAAATAAGACAACGGAGGGAGCGACATGAGGCAAAGGGACCTCGAACGTTGTTGGTACGATCGTGGGCCATGACGGTAGCATGGCTAATCGATGCGACACCAGGAACAGTCCGTTAGTCCGAGATACGTTGTCACGCCTTGAGAGGCTGGTGCTGACGATGGTTGCTCACGCGCCGCGGAGGTAAGTTTCCTCATCGGTACCGTGTTCCTCTGATTGAAGCGCCTGAGTCAGGGGCAACTTGGACTTGTTATCTTGAGTCGATGCTACTTAGAACACAGATCAGACATGAGACCGTCAGATCACCGTGGCGAGCAGTCTCAATGACGTGGCATGATATGAACAATCGAAATCGACATACGAAAGCGAGACCCATGTTCGGACTGAGTCACCCTCCAACTGCTCGAGGTCCTCTTCGGAGCTGGCCACAAGCCTCCCACCAGCGAAGGAGTATCGTTGACACCGTTACTCGAGTCTTGAAATGGCTGTTCTCTTGCCATCTACTCTGTGCAAGCTTAGGTACCCAGGAAACACCTGAGAACCGCGCGTTGATCTGTTGAGTCACCACTCTTCTAGCGTGCAATATTAACCAAGAAGTCCCAGGGAAAAGCCGCGAATCCGGTCTCCTGCTTCGGAGTAAAGCTTGCGTAGAAAATTTCCTGCGAGGTATGTCTTCCAACTTGTCCAAGCTTGGATTCTCTCGCCCTCATGGGCGAGATCAGTACAGCAGAACTCTGCAATACATTAAGGAGTTGTTTCGATAACCCAACCCCGGCCAGTCCGTCGAGGCCGGGATTGCCAATGGTACCGACTTTGGGGTCGAGTCAACTGGAGCAGTAATTGTACGAAAGGGATCACATTCCTGGGACAATGTATTTGAGCAATCGGTTGCGTTCTTGATATTGACATGTTGACCTCGTGACTCGATCTCAGCAGACATCCACCAGCATCCGAGCAAGGCTGCAGGTGTATGGCGTTGCTCCAGAAAGCTCCCACAATTAGGATCATCACCCGTAGACTTGCACCGAAAGCAACCCGCCGATTAAAGTTTGAACTCATCAAAACTCCGAAGAAGGTCGATTGGGTCATCTCCAAGGTTAAATCAAAACCGAGTGAATCATCGACGAGCCCACCACCCACTCCTCGTCGGACTTCAGATACGTAGGTAGCCCCCAGCTCAATCAAGCGCCGCCCTCGCGCTTCGCATACTCGTCCTCAATGCGCTCCTCGTACAGCCGATCCGCCTCCAACTCGGCCTCGGTCTTCTCGCGCGTGCTCCCTGCGCCGGTGTCAACGCCGGCGCCCGTCGCTCTCTGCGGTTGCGACTCCGAATGTGTCGTCGACGAGTTGCTCTGTGCCGTCTCGGTGGTTGAGCCCGGACGCTCGGTAGTGGTGTCTGGGACTAGGAGAGGCATTGTGGTTGGTGTCGGGTGGAAGTGGCTTTGTGGGGTTTTGGCTGGGCAGGTAGGTATAATTTGTGCAGTATTAGGTTTGTCTATCTGTCTGTTTGGTTGTTGATAAGTGGTGAAGATCGAGGAGTGAGGTGGTCTGTGATGGTGGGTTATGTATCGGCGGCGGCTCGGTGGCGAGCGGGCTGACGAAGTTCGCCACTGCCAGCAATTGCCTCGGAACAGTGGGCGGCCTCAGCAAAACAAACATTGAAGCTGTGATGGTCAGATGACCCGTTCATGACTCCCCAAGAAAGTGAATCAGGCTCAGACTCGAAGATGATCTCACAAGTTAAGCAAATCGCAATCGGTTGACGAACCTGCAATCGGCTTAACTGCAACGTGCACTGAGTAAACACCCCGCCAGCAAAGCAAGTCTTCTCAGTACCAGACACCAAATTTGGAAGTCATCTAGTGGTGTGATACCCCCAGGCTGGCATACACTCAGCTCAGAATTGGCTACAATGTGGTGAAAATACCTAGGTAAGATCAATCAGTCAACCACAAGACGAGCAATCCCGCCCCGAACAACCCACAGCCCAGCAGCAGCAGTCCACTCCAACCTGCTCCCAAGCTATGAGTACGCACGAGTGCACCCCCCGAGACCACCACCGGCACCGTCCCGTCATTTATCACTAGGAGTTGGTTGTGATTCCTGTGGTGAGGTGTGTGACATGGACTTGTGGATTAGTCTTATGAACTACCTAATGGTGCGCATAGATCAGGGCCAGTTCGAGTCCATGGCCGGTCGACTCATGCAACTCACGTGTCATTCCAGACCGACACTGTGATACAACCCCATCGTAGGTTCAAAAGTTTTACATTGTTCGAAGTCGTATTCGTTGCTGGCTGAACCAGACACAGACCACTCTGCCTTCGCTCACTCACCCACTCGCTAACATACCTCCCCTTGCCACAGCCTCCTTACGGTGACAAGTACTTATACCCATACTTCTCCTTAGCCTCCTCCAGGAACTTCCGCGCCTCCTCCGTCTTCTTCTTCTGTTCGGGATCGCTCTCGATCACCTCCGCAATCTTCTCATTGCTCAACCCGCTAACATTAGGCACTGCGAACCCCTTCCGCACGCCGGGCCGCTCCATGCAGCGGTCGAGCCACTTCTGCACGTGGGGGAACATGCCCATGTCGAGCCCGCTGAAGGTGGCGATGTTGACCCAGCCCAGCAGGCTCATGTCGGCGATGCTGAACTTGCCGCGGCCGGGACCGGCCACGAAGTCGCGCTCCGCCAGCCGCGCATCCAAAATACCGTAGAGGCGCTCGCTCTCCCCCACATATCGCTGCGTCGGGTACGCGATGCGCTCCTTCGCGAAGCGATGAAAATGGTTGGCCTGGCCCTGCATGGGGCCCAAACCACCGTGCTGCCATGCCATCCACTCCTCGCACACCGTATAATCATCACTGTCCACGGGAAAGCTGAAGCGGTGCTCCGGGTCGTACCGCCGCGTCAAATACCCCAAAATCGCCAGGCCCTCGAAGACGGCGAAGCCGTTGTTGTCGTGGTCCACGATGGCCGGGATGCGCCCGTTGGGGCATAGCGCCGTGAACCACGGCTCCTTCTGCGTGTTCTTCATGATGTTGATCGACTGCCACGTGTAGTCGCGGCCGTAGGCCTCCTTGAGCTCCTCGAGCAGGATGCTGACCTTGAAGCCGTTGGGCGTGCCTGCGGGTGTGCGTTAGTCATAATACCAAACTATTTTGGCAGACAAACTTGCATGCACGTAGCTTATATGATGAGGTCACTGAGACCCAAAAAGGGAGCGCAACTTACCGAAGGTCAGGAGCTCGATGCCACTCTTGGCGATGAGACCAGTAGGCTCGGCCATCTCGTCGTCCTGTGCTGGTGGTGGGGAGTGCTGGGAGGTTCTGTATGTAGAATACGAAGCTCTGGACAACGGAGCTACCGGACGGCGTATGAATGGATTAAGAGGATTGGAAAGAAGCTGCTTGGGGAGAACAGAGGAGGTGCAGAGGTTGCGGACTGGAGGGCGGACAGACACGCTTCTTATATGCCGGGGCAGGATGATGCGCGTGTGATGGAGCATGATGTGAGTGCTCTACAACGGGCAATAATTACTACTCTACAAGTTTGGTGAGCGGGGTTACCTTCACAGGGAGCAGCCACATACGCAGTGCTAACATGACATGAATCATCGGAGCTTCAGGATTGTCTTAGAAATCAAGGGAGCTACTCATCTTCAAAGTGGGGTGTGCTCGGGTGTTTTGGAATCGCCATTATTAAGCAGATATATACAATCCTCCACCATCCGGGGTCGTCCCCCTATTATTCAGCAGCCAGTCCGAGCTGCGACTCAACACGAATACCTGTCCCCGACTAGTCCGGAGTCTGAAAGGCATTCTCCCTCAGCAGCAGTACGGCGGCCCAGTTCGCATCCGCATCTATTATCAAGGGCAAGAGTATATCACGGTTCATCTACAAGAGCTTCAAAATTAGATGGGGTGAGATACCGTATTCACTCGTTGTACAAGACGTCCACTCGTACGAGAAAGAAAAGGCTATCCGAAAACATTGTACATGGCGAATTGCAAAGCGTAGCCAACCGAACTTTTTGCATCCTGTTCCTGCTTCATTCCGAAACCGTCGCGAGCGTAGCCTAACGAGATCCACAAACTAAAACCGAAGGCTGTCCCTCGACCTTATTTCCCGACCACATTCATCAGTCTCGCCTTCGTCCATGTCATGCTTGCCCTTATCATCCCGTAATACGGCGGGGGGTCTAGGTAACGTAAGGGGGACGTTCAAAAGGGAGGAGAATGAAGTAGTTTACCGATACTGGAAGTTCCTCGGGCCAGGTGAATGCTGGCGTTCAGAGGGAGCACCTGGTCCGAGCATCCGCTAGTACCCGGCCCGGCGGTAGTCGTCACGAGGGTAGCCGCCGCCCTCGCGAGGTCCATATCCACCTTCACGGGGAGGAAAATCTCTGGGCGGTCGATCGTACGGGCGGCCGGCGGCATACGGGTCGGGAGGAGGGCCATAGTCACGTCGGTAAGGCTCCTCGTATCGTCCACGGGGCGGAGGGTAGTCTTCAGGAGGTCCGCGGCGGGGCGGCGATCGGTATCGGTGTTCATCGTAGTAATCACGGCGGGGGCTTCTGTCGCGGTAGTCCTCGCGATATCCGCGCGGGCTGTAACCACGAGGGGGGCCGCGTCGTTCGTAGGCGTCACCCGGAGGACCACCATAGGGCCGACGTCCTCCTCTAGGGGAACGTGAGCGTCCACGGTCACGGGGTGGAAAGTCCGGTTGGGTCTGTGAGTCGGGGTTAGTAGGAGTGGAGGCGCGTGGCGATACACCAGAAAACCTACATCAGCAATGCAGGTGACCCGTTGGCCCTTGAATTCGCGAGTGTCAAGCTTCTCAACCGCAATTTTCAAGTCTGCGGCTGTCTCATATTCGACGAAGCTGTCACGTGTCAGCACGAGTCGCAAGTCTGGTGGAATAGCGTCACGAACCCTCGACCATTGCCGTCGCGGCCGGTTTCCGAGTAGACAACATCGAGCCCGGCCTGGCGAGCGAAGTCTTTCAGGTCCTAAAGCCAGAATCCGTGTAAGTGGAAATCCTAGGTGCGGCATGAGAGTTGCAGAGAAGGCCAAGATGCTATATCCGGAAGTAGAGCCAGCAAAAGAACTCGGTCAATCCAATCCAGCCAGATGGTAATCGTCCAACAGGAAAGTCCTCCAGGCACCTTGGCCGGCTTTCCCGAATGTGACTACCAGTAATGGACAGAGCATATGGATGATGGTCAAGACGGTCAAGGAGTAAAGGTTTCGGAATCGGCAATCACACCTGGCATGGCGAAGCACGTGGAGTGCAATCCCACAATACCGAGGAAAGGAAAGGACGACATCAAAGCCAGAATCCAAGGCGACAACGGAAAACGGGAGTTTAAACAGACCTGCCAGCTCGTATCACCCGGGAGTCCAGTTATCTGCATGCGATACGGGGTGCGACGGGGCCGTGGAGCAGTGCGCTCGTGGCCGCCGGGAGGGGCGCCAGCGAAGCCTTCGCGGTGTCGAGAGCCTCGTGCGAATTGCACGGTCAGGCGTTCGCCCATCAGGTCGGATCCATCTTATCGCCATATTAGCCAGGAGCAACGGGCGGTGGATTCAGAAGAGGCGACGGCCAGGAGAGGTCCAGGACGTACGGAAGGCTAGTTAGCGCATGGGATGTTAGCTATTGCTTTGCTGAAACACTGAAGGCACTTGGAGGGTGCTGAGGGTGCTGTCATACCAGGAACGACGTCGCGCGCATCCAGCGCATCCTTGTATTCGATAAAGCCGAATCCGTTCATCAGCTTGATCTCGGTGATTTCGCCAGTACCGTGGGTTGCAAAGTGGGCCTCAATGTCGGCCTTGGTGACTGGATGGAAGGCGTCAGTAGAGGCAAGACGGGAGTAGCAAGGCTGACTGGAGCTGTGCGCGGTACAACGCAACGAGCTTCAATGTTCAGCGAGCATTGGGGACATGTCGTCACATACCGCCCTTTGGCAGGTTGCCCAGGTACAATCGGGTGGCGCTAACCTCGGTTGCGGCCATGGTTGCTGCTGTCGACGGACCAGGAAGCGGTGCAGGTGATCTCAAGATGTGATCGTGGTCGTGTGCGTGGCGAGCGAAGAGTGCAGCCTCGTCGCAGTGTCGCACGGATAAAAGGTAGCTCGCGCGACAATGTGGATATTGAGAGGGTCCTGGGGAGAGAAGGACCCAGCTGCCGAAGAGCGGTCAATTGAACCGAGAGGCGCAATTGAAGGTATCCGGCAGTAAGGAAGATGTTGAGGGTAAAGATGAGGGGGAGAGAAGAGTTTTGTCGCAATGCGACGCAGATGGAAGTGATTAAACAGCAGGTGCAAGTGTGCAGTCACCCGACAGTCATTAGAACTTGGAAGGCAGACGTGCAGCGGAAAAAAGAAGAGGGCACCGGCAGACCAAAGAGGTGCTGGAGGTGGCGGAGGTGGCGGGGGTGCTCTTGGTGCTCCGAGCTCCTGCTCTACAGCTGGAGGACATCTGGAGGGGCCGATGCCACCTACCCGCCCATCTGCCCCGAGCCACCTCGAACTTCCCGTTGAGATCCAAGAACGGGGAGCATCGAGGTATCCCGAGTCCGAGGCTGTTCAACCGAAACGCTGAAAGCCACCCTGAGAAGTTAGGTGCCACCAGCTCAGAACCGCGGAGTTGAAACAGGCTGGCTGATTGACCTGAAAATTGCATCTTCTATTTATTGAGCTATTTACGGTGTTTTATACCTCTTCACTCGGCGATAGCCTTGCTCTACCTAGGTACTAATTTGATGGCCTCAAGCAGACCAACTGTGTTGGTATCGTAAACAAGGTATATAAGAATCAGTACAGTAACGCCGCCTCTGCAACCAGCTAGGTGCTTACAATACGCCATACAGGTCCAAACGCCAGTGCTATGCAATGGACTATCAACAATGGAAGTCTCAGGGCCTCTACTCTCTTGCTACACTGAAGCTGCTTCATATTTCAAGCTTGTCTCCCTCCTTGACTGAAGTGCTGCTTCATTCTTCGAGGAACAAAACGTCGACTAGTTCGTCCATAATCGTAAAGACCAAATGGGAACTTCCGTGTGTTAGCACTCGTCTCCCTAAAATTTCCAGTCTTCACACAAGGCAGTCACTCACTTTAGTCTCGGGTTGTTGAGCGTGGCAAAGATCCTGCGGCTGGCAGCCTGCGCGTTCAGCCGCCCGACCACATTGCCGGCAAGGTCTGGCACCAATGTGGCCAGCATCAGACTGGCCTCCCTGCGGGTCTTTGCCTTCTCCGACGTTGTCCGAGGCACTTTATTCCTGTTGATGTGCCCGGCGGGCCACATACTGTCCCTCAAAAGTCCAATGTATTTGAGCATGGCGTCTTCCTGTACCAATACTTTGAAGTTGTCTCGCACCTTCCGTTCGATGGTGCCGCCCAGCATCTGATGCAACACCACCACCACCGCCCGCCCGCGAAGCCAGTTGTTACCGCGGTTGAGGCCAAACACCTCGAGGAAGATGTCGCAGATTGGTTTGATAAAGGGCTCTAATTCCTTGTTTTCGAAAGCGTTCAGCTCAGCCTCGGCTTCCGCTGCCGTCATGGCGTCTTCGGCCACGTTGAGCGGCATCGTGTTGATCTGGCTCGTCGCAGCCGCGATTAAGTTCTGCCCTGCCACCGATAATTGGTCCAACACGGGGATGTTCCCTAGGATATCTTCCATACCGTCCGTCACTGAGTCATAGAGCCGGGTGATCATGTCTTTCTTGTCTTCGCGACTCAACAGATCTTCGCCGTGCGTGATCACGCTCTGCGAAAGGAAGGCTCGCAAGTCCCTGCTGCGGCATACGTCAGGCAGCAGAAGAAGCGACTGTAAATAGGCTTCTAGAGCCTCGCGGCGTTTTCGAAGAAAGTCGCTTTGCAGCTTCATAACCAACTTTCGCCGCGGGAAGTCAAGATTCCGTACTGAGGGATATCTATGCCGCAATCTCTGGTGAAGATCATGGAACTCGCTGTACCGCCGCGTCACGATCCACGTAGCTGCCGGCATCTTCTCCCCGGCATTCCTCTGCACCTCGACGACGTACACCGCAAACTCCTTGCCATCGTCCTCTCGACCAACTTGTATAGACTTGATTCTGATTGAAGCACGTCCATATAGACTGTTGTCGCTTTCCTGAATCACGTATTGCTGTCTCTGCAGCTCTTTACGTCGAAGCTCTCTGTGCAAGCTAGCCTTCGACTTTCGCAAGATGCGCAGTTCCGCAGTGTTGTTGGTCAACTCTGCTTTCTTCGTCAAAGACTCGATGACTGCCTCTTGTGCCGCGAGTCGATCGATATCGTTTGTCAGCGCGGTGATAGCCTCCGCAAGGCCCAAGTCGCCGGGTGCAGCTTCATGGACTTCATCCTCAATTGAAACCTGCTGGTCCTCATCGTTGTCTTCCTGCTCATCCGAGAGGAACCTTTCCTCGTCTCCGAAGAGATCGTCGTCCATGAAGACACCGATTCGGGAAGCCGCACTCACGAGTCCCAGAGACGAAAGACTGGGCTTTTCGATTTCTTTACCGGTTGGGGCGGGGCGCTGGAGGTCTATGGAGGAGCCCCTAGCAGAGTCGTTGTCTTGAGCTGAGAAGAGGCTCGCAGTACCGTCATCGTTTCCAAACAACGACTCTCGAAGATCTTCAGCAGTTTGTGGACGCTCATCTTCCATAATATCATTCAGCACTGCCTCCATTGCTTGGACGACTTGAGTGTCCGGCTGGTCCCTTGAAGGTTCCTGATCAAGACTCTGTACCGAGTCTCCCATTGGATCATGGTCCAAATCGTCGTCGTCGAACAAGGGGGAGCTATTAGAGTCGTCAATTGATCGCCGATGGCCTGCACGAGGTTCAGGGCTATGACTACCATTAGTAGACGCAGCCCTTACATCATTGGCAGAGAGTCCCCGCCGAACTTGAGTGTTGGTTGAGTTAAGTCTCGGATTAAGCCGTGCCACCGGCGTAGGCTTCAGCGAGTACGAAGTTGACGCTCTCTGCATGTGTGTGCTCGTTGATGGGCCTGCCTGAGGTGGTTGAGGCGGTGGGATTGTTTTCGAGGCTTCCTCGGATGCGAGGGCTTTGTAGAATAGGTCCGACTTCTTGAAAGCTTGCAGGTACCTGGATTGCATATCCTCGAGTACATTGCTTTGGACTTTCAGCACAGCCCGGCGTGCCACATGGTATTGCGCCGGACTTGCTTGCCTTCCAGCACTGAGAAACTCGCGAATCGCTTGCCGTGCAGCAACGGGCACGCGTAGCTCGGGTCGGGACAGGTACGCCTGGTCAATCTGAGCAAGGTCGGCGCGATCAGAATCTGTCCAGGGGCTCAATGTAGTCGGCAGTTGGTCGTCATCGGCTGTGGCGTCTTCCAGTGGATTCCGGAAACCATCCACCACTAGCCAGAACTGAACGAGAGGCATCAGACGTTGTCTGTCCATATACTCCATGAAATACGAAAGACCCAAGGTGTCGCGCAAGATCTCCTCTAGCGATGCATGCTCCAACCGCGAGGAGGTAGGGCCCTGCGATGGATTGCTGACGATAGGCGCATTCCTTCTATCGCCCCCAGCAGCTAGCTGTTGAACTCTTTGGTCCAAAAGTCTTTTAGCCATCTCCAGTCGCCGCAGGTACACCGGGTCTTGTCCTTCTTTCTGTGAGTCTTTCTTGAGTTGGCTTGCCACTTCGCTCCTGAACCGCCGTGCGTCGGACAGATTATTCAGTTTTCGAATGGTACGAATGAACTTCTCAAATCTGCGCTCGCCATCACCCTGCGACAGTCGTGGGAACGCAACGGCTTTGGAACTCCTAGGCGTTGGTGATGCATGCGCATCCAAAGCAGCCCGCAGCTTGCGGACGGTAGAACGGTCTTGCAACATGCTGCGTCCTATGTTTTCCATGATCTGGTTCCATGTATCTGGTTCCGACAGGAGCTGCATAACCGGAAACATAACAGCGCATGAGACGATCTCGCGGACGATACTGGATACGGCTCGGCTATCCATCAGGTTACTTGGGAGAACCTGGGGCAAGATGCCAGCTATCATGTGCCGCAAGTGCTCTTGCTGTACTGTCTTTGTGTCCGAGTAGGCCAGAGATGCAGCAGGGTGTAGCTTTCCATCTTTGTACTTCGCGGCGATAGCTAGGTCCAACTCCTCGGACTCGGTGACGTCGCGGTTCAACTTGCGACCACGTACAGCCCTTTCGGCATCGTAAAAGTCTCGAAAGTGAGCCGTCAATATCGGGACGATCCTGCCAATGACGACCTCAACTAGGTCGGTTTCGAACAAACGGTCTCGTATTCTGGCCAGCGCATGGCGCGTAGTCTTGTCGACCTCGTTCGCGAACACAGGGTTCTTGCTGATGTTCGAATACCATGACTTGACGAAGTCTCGCACGACCAGCTCGAGCAGATGGTCCAGCGCGTGTGATATTCTCGGGGAGTCGGGGTAGAGCGGTGCTTTCACGTAGGTTTGTCGGGCTCGTAGAGCGGTAATTCCTTTGTGCCACGCCTCCGCTCCTGTAAAGTGAGCTGCGTTTGGCCGTGACGATCTGTTCCTTTGGGGATACGCTGAGCCTCGGGATGTCAGGAGTATAAGGCACAGACAGACCAGGAGGGTGGCCGCGACGCCCAAGACGAAGGCATGGGCGGCCCATCGTATAGTAGGAAACCAGCTCACGGCATAGCCCCAGGCAATGAAGCAGGCGATGCCAGCGACAGCGACATCTCTCCCCTTAAGGGCCATAATCCGGATCTTGTCGCCGTATGTGTCGCGTCATGTTCTGTTGGCAAGGCGGGAGAGCCTTCGAAATGACGACGGATGGGAGCAGTTGAAGCCAAGACAGTTAGCTTATCGATTGAACCCGCCCGACTGAGAGATCTAGAGATGCAGGGGCGCACAGACCGGCCCCTCTTTATTAGGTGCTGACAGTCACCCGTCACCATTGTTTCAACTTAGTCCTTGTGATTACTAATAGGGAAGTCATTCTACAGTTGTATGAAGTATGTCATTATTTATTAACGTGCTTCTATATCGACAAGTGTAAATTAATGCTTATCAGACACGGCACTCTCAAGTACAATAAGATAGTACGTCAGGTAGGGATGAGACTCCTTCCCATGCTCGTAATGAGTCAAGTGGTATTTACGAAGGCAATGTTCAGGATAGCATCTGGATTTGGATTTAGAAGTTTTGTTCTTGGTATTGGTAGATGTCGCGACTGGAGTACCTTGTCATACGTACCTATAGGCGCGATTGCTATTGTATCATGCACAGTAGCCAGTGTCATTTGAGTCACACTCGCGCAACTCGGCTGAGTACGAGCCCTTCCAAAGAGGCCGAAAAATTGGCTGAAGCTCATGGCCGTTGAGCTGTCGTGGAAGGTAATTATCTCAGCGACTGAGGCACTGAGCTGCAGGACTCCTGAATGCCTACCTGGTCATCTGCGAGATGAGCTGGACTGAGACACTCTCCCATATTCCTGAGCTACCATTTTCGTCACCACGGAGGATCCTCCAGCCGCCGGAATATCGCAACAAACTTCTGGCCCTTGTTCCTCTCCACCTTCTTGCCTTCTTCAGTCTCGGTCCGCATGATCTTGACACAAGTATCTGCTTCCTGCTCTTCTTCCGGGACCCTCTCAAACGAGAGATGCGCCTCGAAATGCTGTACCATCCAGTCATGGAGATCCTCGACATCCGTGATTGTATACACAATACCGCCTGGTTTCAACACGTACGCGTATTCGGAGTTGAGAGTAGTCGACACAATTCTGGCCTTGTGCTTGCGGTGCTTGAAGTGGGGATCGGGAAAACAGATGAAGATCTTGGATAGTTGCCCTTTGCGAAAGAAATTGGGGGAGAATTTCATCGTATTCGCTCGCAGACAGCCGATGTTCTGGTAGAGGTTCGTGTCGGCGTTTTGAATCCTCAGTGCTCGAATCCTGTCTTGCACGTATTCGGTGACTTGCGTTCGTATTTCCATACCCAGGAGGAGCGTATCGGGCAGCGCGGGTGCCAATGCCACAAGTAGCCCTCCAAATCCACAGCCGATGTCCACAACCTCGACATCCTTGGTCAGTTTCGTAGGCGACGGCTTCGACACAGCCTCGGTGGCTTCGGCGGGCTCGGACACGATGTTCGGCTGTTGATCGGCAACAAAAGCAGGGAAGTAGGAGGACCAGTCCATGTCCTGAGGTGTGGTCGGGCTACCAAGACGGGTCAGCACATGTGCGCAACATATTTTGGAGACCCGTCAAGCGTACTAGACTAGGTGGTGATCCGAGAATGGATTCGCATGGGCTCTTTGGCGATAGAACCTCTTTTGGGGCAATTCCGACGTGCCAGTTTCTCTCTGCGCACGGCGGTAGTCCTCCCGCTTCTGCCTTTTGTTCGGTGGTCCGGTCATCGTGGCTTTCTCGACGGACTGAAAGTAGCCTGTCTTGTTCGACTGCGGCTTCGTCGGGTCGTTGAGGTAGGTCGCCAAAGTTGAGCGATAGGTCTCGGTCAGAAGGTTCACGATCAAGCTCAGGAAAAAAGCACAGCTTCAGCTGCCAATGCGAGAGAGGCTGAGAGGGCAATTGATGATGGTTGGACAGCTGATTGAGCTAACGGCGGGGGTACCTTAGCGCTGATCTTCAGATCTTTTATGGGTCTGCTGGGCTCCAGCTGGTTTCTGGGGCAACTGCAACTGTTGATCGGAGCTCTCGGGAGTCGCCCGCTACGCTGGCAAACGACCCTGTTTCGTCCACTCGATTCGTGGAGCACAAAGAGAGGACTGTCGACTTTCAATGGCCGCTTTTCTTACGCATTGAGACATACATCTATTCCACCAGTTTTACGACGCGGTATCTCCTCGTTCTTCACTTCTGATTCTGTCACGCGAGTCTTTTCGACGTCGGCCTCCCTGGGTACCATTGGTCATGTCCTAACGACGGTTTCATGACCCATTTGGCAGCATTCGGCATACAATCCATTGATAGATCTGGCATCCTTGTTTCACCTCCATTTGCTGCATTCACATTCCTAGCATCTGGCAATCATATTCTTTCTGCAATATGGCTTCCGTCGAAAACAATGCTTACGGCGCGGCCAGGCCTGCCCAGCAACAGCAACATCAGCATCAGCGGTCGAAGTCCAGTGTTTTGAAGTCTTTCATGCACCGCCGGAACAATTCCGACGGATCAGCTCTGCCGTCTGCTGGGTTGTCGAATACATCCCAACCGAAGGTCCAGGCTACGACTCAACAAGATATGGGCTTTCCGAACTTCTCACGCCCCGCTGCCCTGGGCGAGATCCAGCAGAACCAGGTTGGCGGAGCCCCTCGGTCGCCCAGCAAGCAAGACGAAAGACCATCCGCCTCCCGATCTCCGAGTAAAGACACCTTCGCCACCGTCCACGTCAAGCCAATAGCAGCCAAGGAGAAACAAGACACTGCTCGGGTGAAGCCGAAGAAGACCAAGTCGACTACCAACCTGGCCGGGCTGTTGAGTAGGCCGAAGAGCTTAAAGAACTTGCATAAGCTGGCTAGTCAGGACGATGTACTTTCCAGGAAGGACAAGGAGAACCGGTCGCCCCCTTGCTCAGTGACACCACTGGAATTGCCTCGGCCACCCATCTACGCCCAATTCTCTAGCGGAGCTTTGGAGAAGCAGAGCGGGCAGGTCGATCAGAACGTCTTTGGTCACGGGTACACCCAGAATGTGTCCTCGACCGACGTATCAGGCCGTTTGGCAAAGCCGAGACCGAAATCCTACCATGCACAGTATACCGCGAGCTCAACCGACTCGAAACAAAGCTCAATTAGTGCGAAGAGCTCCCCTTCAAAGATACAACGAGGCCTCAAAATATTCACGAATGGGTCGGGATTTAAGAACAACCAGCCCTCAGTTGAAGACTCGGGGCAAGTTCTCGACCCCAAAGATGTCGACAAGCATCTGGAGGCAATGCTGGACCGACGGAACATTCCTGAGCACCAGAGATACAAGATGCGTAATCTTGCCGACACCATCAAGATGGAATTCATACGACAGGACTGGGCCGAGAGTCGGGGGATCAACAACGCCCGGCCAGAAAGTCACGACAGTGACTCGAGTATGACTGGTACCCAGCCCAATGATGAAAGCAAGGCGAAGCAGTCGAGAGGGCGGACCTTTACCCTGTCGAGGAACAACGGCAAGAAATCCGAACCCAGCTCACCAACGAAGAAGCAGAAGGGTGAAGGCACCATAGGCCGCCATTTCCGGAGCCGGTCTACCGACAGCGTCGCTAGTGAGCGGCCTTCTTCGGCTGGATCAAAGGAGGGCTCAGGGACCGGCATCTTGTCCAAAATCAAGTTGCAGCAAGGGCCTTCCGATTATGTGAACTACCTGCGCAAGGTCCAGAAACCACAGGCGGTGGAAGTAGGCAAGCTGCACAAACTGCGTTTGCTGCTGCGCAATGAGACTGTGGTGTGGACAGAGGAGTTCATTCGCCAAGGAGGGATGCAAGAGATTGTAGCGCTCTTGCATCGGATCATGGAGGTCGAGTGGAGGTAAGTAGAGGTCGAAGAGTCGGCGGTACTGATCAATTCGTTGACGACGTCGCTAATACCTGCACAGAGAAGAGCACGAGGATGCCTTGTTGCATGAAAACCTCCTGTGTCTGAAGGCTCTCTGCACTACGGCCCTCGCATTGCAGTATCTTCACTCGATCCAAGCGACACTCTTCCCAGCCCTGCTGCACATGCTTTTTGACCCGGAGAAGAAAGGCCCAAGCGAGTTTACCACTCGCAACATCATCACATCGGTCTTGTTCACCTATATCCAGTCCGCGTCACCCCAAGACAGGCCCATCCGCGCCAAGACTGTCCTCGGGCAAATACGCGATCCTGAACCGAAGGAGGACGAACGGCCAGTGGGCTTCGTCATGGAAATGCGACGCGACCGTCCGTACCGTGTCTGGTGCAAGGAATCCACCAATGTCACCAAGGAAGTATTCTGGATCTTCCTACATCATCTGAACATCGTCTACCTGCCACGGGACAAGGAGGCCAAGGCAGGCACTGGCCCGTCCGGGGTGGACAGCCTCACGTATATGCAGAGTCATTTCCCCCAGGAGCGGCCGCCGGTCCCGGCAGCTCCCTACGTCGGCGGTGTTGAGTGGGATGCCACAAACTATCTCGCTTCCCATCTCGACCTCCTCAACGCCATCATTGCCTGCACCGGAACGGCGGAAGAGCGCAACAACCTTCGCGGCCTCCTCCGCATATCGGGATGGGAGCGCTGCATGGGAGGCAGCCTGCGGCTCTGTAAGGAGAAGTTCTACCCCGGCGTGCACGACGCCATGCGGACCTGGGTGGCGGCCGCGGCGGACGACGGCTGGAATGTCCACGATGTGCGATACGGGCCGCCGGCGGAGCCCAGGAGCCCCACGAAGAAGTACCCCGGGGCCAGCAGTCCCAAGAAGAAGGAGGACATCGCGCCGCCCAAGATCGAGATGCCGAAGCTCGACTTCGGCCGCGACGCGGCCAACGGCCCCGTGGTGAGCCCAATGGTGAAGGCGAGCGATGACTGGCTCTCGTAGCGAGAAGAACTGTTGCGCCGCTGGGCAAGAGTTGGGGGAGGCAGCCCGGCGGGGGATTTGAGGAGGCTGTAATCGAAATTGTGTAGTTCACATGCGTCGGCTCGGGCATATTCACGATCGCTGTCTGTCTGTCGCCGCCGTTGTTGTTGAACTGGATGTCAACATTTCTTGTCTGTGTATCTGGATGACGCTCTATCGGCGTTTTGTTTGGGATTTTCCGGGGTCTCTGCGCGTGTGTTTTTTTGTCGTCATGCCCCTTTACGAACACGGGAGGGGGTTGGTCCTCCCCCCTTTTTCCTTCTCAGCCGCTTTTGGCGGTGGTACTACAACATGATGGACAGGCGGAAGGAACGGGCAGGGCTAGAGTCGATCATGGAAGCTTTTATGATAATGGCATGGCTTAATGAATTCAATGACTCTGAGAGAGGCTATTTACTAGACAAACTTGGTACACGCTCTTTCCTGGATGGGTGACTTTCTTGTTTTTCTCTTGGTGGTGATTCTTGTGACTACCTATGCTCAAAAAGCCTGGCGGTGGTGAGGTGTCAAGACAGAGCGATGGGCAATATTCCATACGGTCAGCTGGCCATGCCGACTGTATAGCCGGTAGTGTTGCACTCGGAATGGAACCAGGACCAACGCATCGGGCCTCTCGCCAGAGTAACGAGGCTGTCACAAGCATCTCCGACGGACAGGGAGGCGGTCTGGAACAGGCGCTTATGCCGGTATATCGTACCCTTGGCCGAACTCGCATGGGCTTGCATGGACTCTATCAACTTCAATGGTTTTGCCTTAGCTCGGTGGATCTCGACGATGTCGGTGATGAGTCTTAATCAAAAGAAGTGAGAGAGGCACACTGTCGAGTATCTTAAAATATTACAGGCTAGACCTGCTTGGCCTGTCTATCATGAGCCTTTGGGTCCAGCCATTCGGCCCTGTTTGGTCATCTGCAGGGCGTACAAACGCCTTAGGCCCTGTTCAGTTGTGGTTGCTGTTCTGTGGCCGTCGGATGTGAGTGAGAAGACTAACTAGTAGGAGAAGCTCTGACGCGTCAGTCGATTATGGATACAGTTCAGCGAGGCGATAGGATGAGTGGCTATGTCTTCTGGTATCGTGGCGAGCATGCAGAGTCAGTGAACCGGACGTCCGATCAGGGCTGGCCAAGCTTCAATGTGGACGACTTGTCGAGATCAGTTCGAAAGCGTTCAGCTTCAAAGCGTTTGGGTTGCGAGCAGCACATATGCAAGTCGTCTTCCAAACCCTGCTCGTACGAAATCAACTCGACGCTTTTGTACCACACCAGTCAACCCGAGCCTCAGTTTCCGCTCCCCCGAACCATGAGGGCGATCGTCACTTTGACGTCTGTCCGGGAAAGCCACAGCGGCGGCGAGTGCCAGTCACAGGAACTTCCGGCTGGCCGACTCCGCAGCATGACAAGGGCGGGCCTGAAACCGGCGAGACAGGCGCATTGTACTAACAAGATCAGCGGAAGATGACACGGTCCCGGACGAGGGCGCCCAGTGGCCGGTCTGCGGAGTGGCAACCGAGGGCATATGGGTTCCATGCAAGAGACAGCGCCTTGTATCCATCCAGGGCCTGTGAATGGTTGCTGCTGGGTCGGGACACGATATGCAGCATGCATGTGCAGGCTCAGTTCGAGGCCCTTAATCCCACAGACGAATATCTTGGACGTCGCTTGCGGCGCACATGGAGGTGAACCACACGTGGGTGACACTACTAAAAGGGCCTCGAGGTATACCGCCGGAGGGTTGCCCGCAACTTCCTGGTGACAGATCAGAGCTATAAGCTCGGGGAGGATATTGTCGATCATGACAACACTGAAATGACTTTGAAACGTCTGGAGGAGCTTCAGAGACACATCACAACTGGACGTCAGTCTGCAGTTCTGTGGGTGAAGGTTAAAAGTTGAAGTTTAGATAAGAAGTCGACTCCGGAGCTCACCAGATGGACAAGGTCATAACCCTGCTAACGCTCTTCCCCTGTAGAAAGTCGACAGATGTTGGTCTAGATTGGGTAGAGTGCAGCTGCAAGCAAGCGTTGGCTGTTCCAACTGATAAAGCTTCAAGCTGCAGTACATAGGTATTGATGATGGTGATGTTGATAAATCCACCACAGAAGCAGTCGGGGGCACATGTCTTGGCATTCGCCCCCCGGACCTGGTCCAGGCCCGCCTTCATGTACGAGTCGAGTCGCCTCCCAACTCCCCTCCATTCACATGCCACACAACTAGAACCCGTCCACAACTGCCACAGTGCATTTGCCTTCGTCACATTCGTGTCGTCAGTCCAGTCTCTTGATAATTCCTCGTCCTTCAACTGCATACGCCCGCTGGGTGAGCTTATAGCCCTAAAGCCAACCACATTATTACTGGCAGCCTGGTCCCAACTCTCCCCGGTCCCCTACAAAGACCCCGCCCACGTGTATACCAGTGGGGTGGCCCAACCTCCATCTCGCCATCATCCACCAGGCTGCCTCCCAAGGCTCTCTCATCAGCTTCTCACCCTACAGCTCGTCTACAACTACTACCTCCTATAGAGCACCTAGACAGTACTTTCATCACCGAGGCCGAGCTCCTACCCAGTTACAGACAGTAAACGAGCTACCGTAGCTAACGGCTCTCGTCTTGCCTCCGACCTTGGAACGTTGCTGCTTCGACAGTGAGGCACATCCACACATCCACGTCTGCAACGTCGTGCAGCTGCTTGCCATTTGGCCATTCCACTACTGCGAGTTGAGCAGCTACAGCTCTAGTGGCCCACATTATCTGCCCATTATCTGCCCAATATCTCTCCGTTCTCCATTGAAGCCGTGCCGTTCCGAATACCTACTAGGCCACCACCATCCAACTAGGCCACCACCATCCACCCAGCCCATCTGAACCCTGCCTGTTTTTGTCTTGCCGAACCAATCCGCCCGGCATGTCAATCAAGTACGTGAAACCTCTTCTCTTTCTCCTATCCCTTACGTCAGCTCGCAAGCCCAGGTGTCTTCCTTTCCTCCTTCCCCCGGCATTGACAATGCAGCACGTGGTGTTCCTCTGTTTCCCTTCGAGCACCCTGCTCCTGATTCAATATCCCAGTGCAAAGTATCCGGGCAAGGCTTGGTGTTGCGCCGTCGCCATGGATTACGGCCTCCATGACCAACACGCGTCATATATCCTTAGTCAGAGCACTCGGGATGAGGAAGACGAGACTGATCTGGATGCTAGCTGGGTTATGCTGTCTCGCTCTGGCAACATCGAGCCCCTGCCACACGAGAGTATACTACACAAGACAAAGGGGCGGATAGGGCTGAGCTTGACGGCTCCGAACCAACCAGCCGGCATCCCTCCTCTCTCCATCAAGAGTGATAGTGGCACTGCCTACATAACGAACCAAAGGGTGAGCAACCACGTCTGCTGTCGCGTGAAATATGCTAATGTTGCTGTCAGTTGATATACCTGCCTGCCAGTCCAGCAGAATCATTCAAGTCATTCTCGTCTAAGATACTGGGATGTCAAGATGGACGGATGTGCTCATCATGGATTGGCCCATGGTACTGGGAGGCCAGTGTGCGACCTGTTCCCGACGGCAACATCCCGCCCGAGTTCCCCAGAGTGAATCTGAAATTGACATTCAAGGATGGCGGGTCAAGCGAGTTTGAGTCAAAATTCGTGGAACTAAAGGCACGACTCCACCATGCCGCACAGATTGCGGAAGAGTCGGGTCAGCGAAATTGGGTGCAGACTGTTCACGACGAACAGCTTCCCGAGTACACCGCACCCTCGGGCGCTGGAGGCTCGATTCCGGCGGCAGCAGCACCTCCGGCCGCTGATGTGACAGCACGCGCCGACGAAGCAGCTCGGCAACAGTCAATAAGCCAATCTACCCCTGATGAACCTCCGCCAGACTACGATGAGGCGCAAGCCCAGGCAATCACCATGCAGTTCGATGAGCGTCTGCGAGAGGAGGCAGAACGACAGTGAAAGGGGCTGCGAATGAGTAGTTTCTCGTTGGTGGACGGCAGAGAGACCATTGACACCCACTTAGGTAGGTAGCAGATATGAAAACATGATACCCATCCGACTTGACTGAGGCCGGTGCTCATGACATATGGGCCTTTGAGTGTACGAATGCAGACGGTCACATGTTGACAGCTCAGGTAGGCCATGTTGTAGGGTCCTGGAGGTTCAAGGTAATACCCTTTAACAAAACAAGAGCAGAAATTTCCATGGCGCAAGGAAGTCGTAGTCTCGTGGGATCAAAGTCTCCATTCGTAGGATATCATGATGACCAAGGTGATTTCGTAGAGTACTATCACAACAACTCCGTGTGCGGCTACCGAATCATAGTCGCTGGCTTTGCGATATTAAATCGAACCTGCCTTGGAGAAGATGCGACTGAGACTGAGATGCGAGACCAACATGGCTTCAAGTTTGCACCGGCCTTCGTCTCTGTGGAGCCATGAATCTATGAAGATGGATGCAACTCCTGAGATGCATGTGGGTCCGGCTTCTGGCTTCACGTGATTCGAGCTATTGGTCTGTGGCCAATCAAACAGCCCCAATTGCTGATGCTCTTAAATTTCTCAAAGAGTCCAAGCCAAACTGGCCCCGACGACAACACCTCGGGACACCTCATCAATCAACACCCGCCCACCCGACCATCACAAGCCATTGGACCCGTGCAGTGCTCGAGCTGACCACAATGGGTATCTGGGACGCCTTCACCGACCTCGTCGAGGCCGCTACGCCATGGAGCACCGCCGAAGCCGAAGCTCCTCCGCCTGAAGAGAAGGTACAACCCCCTTCATTCGCCCAGCTCCGACGACCCATCTCGATGCTGTCATGACCCGATGAGCTGCTCGTATGGGGGCCACGTTCAGCTTCATTGCAGCAATGAAGCTGAACAACCCCCGGCCAGTTACAATCAATTCGCGACCAAGCCGCGACTAACCACGTTCTTTAGGAATCCGAAAGCCAAGACAAGGGATCCGAAGAATCCAAGGACGGTGACGAATCCAAGGACGGCGGAGAATCCAAGGACTCTGAGGAAGGCGTTGAGGAGGAGGCCGAGGAAGATGCCGGAGAGGAAGAGGAGGAAGAAGACGATGAGGAACTTGAGGACCCTAAGGACAAGCTCGAGGAAGGTCAGTCCGGTCCGGCTCCTACAACATCCCACGGCACCCCTTTCCGTTTCGCAACCCCTTCCGCAGTGGTACTACGCGATACCATTGAAGATGTCAACATTTCTGTTATCCTGGACGCTTGCTAAGACCACCTATACAGCATGCAAGAACTCTAAGACTTGCGCCCCTGCCAAGCACCACTACGATGAGTGCGTCGAGCGTGTCACGAACCAATCCGATGACGGCGACAGCGAGGCCAAGGAGGACTGCGTTGAAGAGTGTAAGTGCTACATGCTGGCAGGCAGCCTACGCTATCCTATGTTTGGAGGAGGCCTGCGACCTTTCTACAAAGAAAAACAGCATCTAACGTGTACGCCCTTGACAGTCTTCCATCTCGCCCACTGCGCCACCCAGTGCGCAGCTCCCAAGCTCTGGTCCGTCCTGAAATAATCGACACGCGCGCAAGCCTCGAGAGTCGCCGGCATCTGGCATGACATACCTACCCATAGACCTAGAACGAACCAGCGGGCAAAGCGTGCCGGGAGGACTCGATGAGCAAGCCCTGTTACCTCCTGGTTTTGGTAGTGGTTGTATAACACGATTCGCGGCTCGGCGGGCAGCGGGCATCGCAGGTGCGCATCCTCGGCGCCTGGCTGTCCTCTTGTACCATACATACACTGCATTCGACCTCTAAATAGATCTCTCTCTCTGTTCCTCAGCCATCTAGTGATTCTGCTTCTCGAGCCCCTTTTTTATCACTGAACTCAGCCATGGTTTTTGAAGAACATATGCATGGATTTCAGGAAAGCGTGTTCTCCCCTGGAAGTAATTTACCAAGTGGCTGGCTATCATATAAGGCTGGAGAACTTGCAAGATATGTCCCAGCGATGTACACAGTACGAGTACTTTATTAGCTGAAAGAATTCAGAGTCCTGCAGAGTCCTGCGAGCAAAAGCTCAGTGTTCTTCTCCGACACCCCACCGGTACAAGCTCGACTCCAACCTCAGCTGGTCTTCCACATCAAGCACCTATGTATGTAGACCTCGGCCCATCCGCGAACGAGCAGACGCCAAGGGCTGTACCATTTAACATGTAGACTGCTTATTAGATCAGCTCCAGCTTCCGTGTCGACCAAACATGAAGCCAGCCAGTCAGCCAGTCAGCCAGCCAGCCACTTATTTGAAAAGGTTGCGCACATGCAATTGATAAGGTCGGAAAGACCAGGTATGCTCCCTTGCATATTTGTGATGGCGGCGTTAGATAGGCACGCCCTACAGCAGGGTATCCCCCACCTGCTCGTGTGTGACAATAAGTCCAGCTCGCATGCCGTGTGTTACCAGCGGCACGGTCTTGCTCCCAGCGGCGCAGTCTCAACAGCTCGGGGGAAATGAAAGCAAATCCTTTCCTTCTATCGCAGGGCGCTGCGTTCCCCAAGATTGTCTGGCTCGGTCTCGATACTGATTGCTGGTTCATGCGGTCTCTTGTCGTTCATACCGACCACGATACGACGCTGAAGACCGCCATTGCCGACCGTGATGCGACGCTGAAGAGACCACCATCGTCGGCCGATCTCTGTGGGGGTCACTATCTGTTTGAAATCCTGGCAGTACCGCCGACGATCGTTGGAAGGTGCACATACGCTACAAGCAGCATTGCCTCTTTATATCGACGAACGAGCGGTTGAAGGGTGAAGTCCCGCCACCACAGGCTGCCTTGGCGACGCTAGATACGCCGACCTAATAAGACCAAGCCGAACTCTACTCCCCCGCGTGCGCGCAGCGCCGCAAAGCAATGGCTCGCAGCAACAGCCCGCACTCCAACGACAGCTCCGGCGGCACCGTCCACTCTATCAACGCAGACGACAAGGGCGGCGGCGGCGAGAATCTGTACCCGCTGAACACCATGACCAGCAGCAACTCCTCCGACTCGCCCAAGGGGTCCTCGCGCAAGGACGCGCAGCACCGGCGACTGCCGTCGTCAGGTTCGAATGACGACTTCGGGGCGGGGACAGCGGCTGTTCATGCGGAGTCGCAGGAGGTGGTGGAGGATGGGAGTGCGGGTGGAGGTGTGGACGGCGTCGTGTATAAGGTCTACAAGAGGCGCTGGTTCGGGCTGGCGCAGTTGACGCTTATGAATATCATCGTGAGCTGGGATGTGAGTTGGCTTGCTTCATTACTCAAGTTCGTTCGGCTTTCAGTTATGCGGTATTGGAAACAGTTGGATGGGAGTTGCACGCCCGCGTGTTTCCCATCGTCTCCATGGTACACAGGTGTACTTGCGCCGCAGCTGACTTCATTCCCTCTCTTGGTTGGAGACTGGAGTTGCAACGGGATGGATGTGAACGTCTGACAGCGCGATGCTGGAGCCAACCCCTGACATATCCAATATGCACGTACATACAATGCTGACACCATCCGCACATCTAGTGGCTCACCTTCTCGCCGGTCTCACAAAACGCCGCCATCTACTACAGGAAATCCGAGTCGGCCATCAACTGGTACTCGACAGGCTTCCTCTTCGCCTTCGTGGCGACCTCGCCCCTGGCAATCTACATGTTGCACCTCGGGCCGAAACCGAGCATTATAACGGCCGCCGTGCTGATCCTCGTCGGCAACTGGATCCGGTACGCGGGCTCACACTTTCACTCGCCCGACGGCGGCAGCTACGGCGTCGTCCTGTTCGGCCAGATCCTGACGGGGCTGGCGCAGCCGTTCGTCCTCAGCGCGCCGACGCGCTACTCCGACATGTGGTTCACCAACCGTGGCCGCGTGGCCGCGACGGCCCTGACGAGCCTGGCGAACCCCTTCGGCGCGGCCCTGGGCCAGCTCGTCATGCCGTTTATAGTCGCGGAGCCGGCTGATGTGTCGAATGGGGTGCTCTACGTGGCTATCATCGTATGTTTTTATCCCTATCCGAATGACCCCTTTCCAAACAGACCCCTATCCAAACACCCCTTTCCAGACCCCCCTTCCCAGACCCCCCTTTCCAGACCCCACTATCCATATACCCCTATTTAAACAGACCCCTATGAACACCCACTGAATTCTAACACGCAAACCTCACAGTCCTCCATCTGCGCCCTCCCCTCCTTCCTAATCCCCGCCTCCCCACCCAGCCCTCCCGAGCCCTCGGCTCAGACCCCCAAGTCCACCCTCCAGTGGTCCTCGCTCCGCCCCCTCGCCTCCTCCCCCGAGCTCTGGCTGATCCTAATCCCCTTCGCCATCTACGTCGGCTTCTTCAACAGCATATCCTCGCTCCTCAATCAAATCATGACCCCCTACAACTTCACCCCCGACGACGCCGGCATCGCCGGCGCCCTGCTCATAGTAGTCGGCCTAGTCGCCGCCGCCATAACCTCCCCAATCCTCGACCGCACCAAGCAATTCCTCCTCCTAATCCGCATCGCCGTCCCCCTCGTCGCGCTCTCATACCTAGTGTTCATCTGGATGCCTTCCACGCGGTCGCTCGCGGGCCCCTACGTCGTGCTGTCCGTCCTCGGCGCGTCGAGCTTCGCCCTCGTGCCCGTCGCGCTCGAGTTCATGGCCGAGCTCGCGCACCCCGTCGGGCCCGAGGTCACGTCCGTCGTCGCCTGGGGCGCCGGCCAACTGCTCGGCGGGCTTTTTATCGTTATTAGTGATGCGCTCAAGGCCGGACCTACGGCGGACCCGCCGAACAACATGATGGATGCGCTTATTTTTACTGCTGTCGTGAGCCTGGCGGCCGCGCCGCTGGCACTGGCGCTGGGCCTGTTTGGGAGGGGCAACAGGGTGGTCATGCAGCGGCTGCGCAGTGATGAGGCGCAGCCTGGGAGGAGGGTTGATGGTGGTGGGTTGGATGACCCTGAGGGTTGATGGGTCTGTTTGACGGGTTAATGGTAGATGTCCCTTATCGTTGTTTCATCTATGAGCCTCGGAAATGTGTCTCAGATTCCTTGGACAGCAACCGAGCGTATAGAGGGTATGTCGGTTGGGAAAGGTGTTCATAGGATGGGACGGAGCGATATCAGAATCACATCATGGCGTTGTATGTTTATATTACTATTATATAATTAGACGGTGGGTGCTGCCGGTCGTCATATGGCTTGTCTGCTGGAGAGAGTATCATATACCCACGTTGAGACATATCCGCAGATACATGTATTTTGCAACGCGCACACGCTCTCAGCCTATCTGGCAAGCCTATGAATATGTAGAGCGAAATCTACAATAACACCGTTTATACCTTGGCATTGCCTCGACCACCCTTACCGAGCGCAGTCTCCCACGCGCCCCGCAGCCTCTCAAGCTCCTCCCAGCACCGGCGGCCATCCTCCTCAAACGCAATTCTCTGCTCCTGCGTCAGCGTAGCAGCACCCAACTTGCGGCCCCTCGTCTTCCGCAAGAACGCATCTGTATCAGGCACGGCCTCGTCCTCGCGCCTCAGCGCCTCTGGATCCTCGATGCGGCCTTCCCACGCCCAGCCCTCGACCTCGGTCTTCTTGGGCGCGGATCTGTGGCCCGATCGTGTGCAGCTCGAGCCCCATTTGACATGTTGCGCGCCGGCGGCGTCAAGGTCGTCCTGCTCCGCGAGCGCGAGCCAAGTCATCGCGCAGGCGCCCATGTAGGATTCGACGACGTGCCAGGGCGAGCCACACCAGCGCGACAGGCACATGGCACACCAGTAGGCGAAGAAGAGGAACCAGTTAAGCGGGAAGATGGGCGTGCAGACGATGCCCGGGTGCGCAAGATAGAAGCGCGGCTTCACGGGTTTGTCTGATGTAGTGGGCGACGAGAAGTAGGGCGCGGATGTCTGGCGAACGTGTGGCAGGTCCACTGTCAGCGAAAGTAGGTCCGTGATACGCTTGCTGCTCTCGTAGGGTGGCTGGTACCGTCGGGCTTGGAAGTCGTCGAAATCGAGGTGCTCGTCGCCAGCGTCTATGCTGCTATGCCACACCACGCGACCTGGAGCTTCGCTGGTATTCGAACGGCTTAGCAGCGGCAGTAGCTCGTGTGACAGGATATAATGTCCAAAGACGTTGGCACAAAACACCTCTGCTATCTCAGGAGGCTCTGATTCCGATTTCCCATTCTTGACCCCAAGCAGCTTTTGGTTGTCCAGCACGACCGCAGACGGCAGCGGCCTCTTGAAAATAGGGAACGTCGTGGTTTGGAGCAGCCCCTGGCTGAAGAACTGTTTTGCGACCAATACCCAGTTTAACCCTTCCCATCCCCCAATGCCTGCGTTTAGAAGGGCGGCGTCTATCCGAGGTATTCTCACATCGTCGATCAGGCCCGTCGGGTCGGTAAGCTTGCCATTGACCAACTGATCTGCGGCAGCATATATGGAATTGAGGTCACAGAGGTCGACCTGTAGGCTCAGAATGTGGACTCGCAAGATTGCTGTCTGCGGATCGTAGTTAGGCCCAGCCCGAGCTTGGAGCTGCTTCGAGCTACGTGCCGACGTCTCTAGGTGCGCGCGCAGGGACAGGATGGTCTCGCGGGACTTCCTGGCTGAACGGGTCGTCGGTATGAGGATCAGGTGTGCGGACAGAGGACGAGAAGCGAGGAATTGGTCGATGGTTCGCTGGCCGATGCCGAGTCCGACACCACTAGGTTGGATCTGTTAGTTGAACGAGGCCTCTCGTAAGAAGACATGTAGACTGATGTACTACTGCAATGGCATCAAAGCAGAGTATCATTGCCTACCTGTTGGCGCCTGTCAGGAGAACAAAGTACTGTTCATCGCTTGATGCTCCGGCCCATGGGGGTGACACCATCATATAGAAGCGCAGATTGCAGCAGGCAAGTTTCACAGGAGGGTTCTCGTTCAAACGGTTATGTTCGTCCAACTGGGTCTCAACGCCCCACCAGGAGAGTGACGATGGGAATCAATGGGCTTCAAATGCTCGTACATACTACACGGCGAAGATCGCTCCTGTAACCTGTTACTTTATCGTGAAGCTTGGTAGGGCGGTGAGCTATGGCGGAAAGTTCGATTGGGCGGGAGCGGCAACGGTGATGCAAGATTGCGATCAGTCGATCCGGCCCGGATCTCAGCTTTCCCAAGATTCGGGGATTCCCCAATTCCCGTTCTCCCGGTCAGCACTCCAAAGGCCTGTCCCTGATGATCAACAACATTCCATTGCAAGGAAGGTCGTCAACGGAGATAGCTTATCTCGACTTTACTGCAGGCGTGAGCGTTGAGATTGTGGCATTGGACTTCGTAGGTGCCGTGTGCTGTAAGACGTCGACGGGATAGGCGCATCTCAGGTTCAGCACGGAAGTGGGAAGTGGATGATTGCAGTCGGTGCGACTTCGATGCGCGCATCCCGTCTTTATCGCCAGCCAAGCAGGAAGCAGGAAGGGACAGGCAAGAAGGATCGGGCGTACTTGCTATACCTGACAGCTTGATAATGCACACTGCACACTGCACAGGCGTCCTTTCCTTATCTCGCATGTCGTGATGCATGGCTGACGACGGCAGTGACGGGATGGCATGAGCCTGCACCGGAAGCACCTGTTAGATGCCAGGGTTGAGACACACCTCAGCACGGGGCTGGACCTTGCTTGCTCCTGAAATTGTATGACATAAAATGGCTCGGCCTCAACGTCCGTCACCTTGCCGGGACGCAGCCTTCCCTTTTCACTCGCAAACATATTACCTCTTCTTCGACTCGTCCAATTCTTTCTGCCCGTGAATAACCTTGCCTTGACTGGCTTCGAGCCGTGACGCTGTTGTGTCAATCCCTCAATCACTGGACTCCTTGCATTCGCTCGTCCTGTTTCACCCTTTCCTTACCTTATCGCCAAATTAAACTGATAAGGACGCGGGTCGCGTAATAAAGGAGGGCAGCCACCCACCTCGGACATTCTCTCGAACAAGTTACACGACACACCAACCATGAACAAAATGCCCGTCGAAGAGACCTTGAGCCGGATTGCGCAGGTGTTCCATTCAGGGGACGCACTCGCCATCATCTGGAACATCATCCGCTGGGTCGCATTCTTCTTCGTAAGCCCCTCCCTCTTACTGGCGCATTGACCATGATGTATTGTTGGACTGACAACCCGCTTCTATGTAGAAACTGGCCAGCCTCGCTTGCGCCATTCCACTCATCGGCCTCGTCGTCTTCGACTTCTTCCTCTGGATCTGGAGAATCAACCGACCGCCACCTCGAGACACACCCCAACCGAGTAGAAACCCGAGTAGAAGCCCGAGTGGACGCTTTAAGCAGCCATTGCATCACCCAGCGAACGGTTCAGGCTCCAGTTCTGCAACAACATCGACCACCGACAACTCCACCAGCCAAAGACGGACGATATTCTCGACGGAGACGGACAATTCATGAACACCAACTCAAGCATAACGAGGACGAATAGCACAGCAATGATACCCAGTTCAGCACAGCAATAGATTTAGATTTTGGGTTTTAGGCTTCCGCCTTACGAGATTTGGGACACAACTTTGATAAAGTCGCTAGTCACGCCCATGGCCGTCACCTCTCCGCCAGCGCCAGCGCCCTGGATGATAAGCGGGTTGCTTCCATATCGCTTGGTGTAGAAGCTAATGACGTTGTCGCTGCCCTTGAGCGCTGCGATCGGGTGTGACTTGTCAAACATCTCCAGTCCGACCTTTACCGCCTTGGAAGCCACATCGATACTACCCACGAATCGTACCACCTTGCCTTGCTTTTGCGCCGCGGACTTAGTCTCTTCCATCTGGGAATCGAACTCGGGTAGTCTTTGGAGGAACTCATCACCACTCGAGACCGACTCCAGCTCCTTCGGGATCAAGCTCTGGACCGGGAAGGACGTAGGGGACTCGACAGGGAGACCAGCCAAACGCGCGAGTATAGTCAGTTTTCTCGCGACATCAAGACCGTTCAGATCATCTCGAGGGTCAGGTTCCGTGTATCCCAGCTCTTTCGCCTTCTTGACTTCCGCAGACCACTGGCCACCGGAACCCTCGACCGGTGCGAATGAGTTGAACAGGAAGGACATGGTACCGCTGAACACACCCTCGATCTTGATCACCTCATCTCCAGTATCCACCAAATCCTTCAGTGTTGAGATGACGGGTAGACCAGCTCCAACTGAGGACTCGTGGTACACCTTGGCTCCCGAGGTGGAAGCAGCACTGAAGATGTCTTGCCACAGCTTGTACGAGCCTGAAAAGGCCTTTTTGTTGGGAGTGACAATGCTCACACCGCGGCTCAAGAAGAGCGGGTAGGCATCGGCCACATCCTGCGAGCTGGTGTTGTCGACGAGTATGGCTTTGGAGGGCGCCGCAGCGAGGTAGTCGGCGACCTGGGGTAGACTCATAGGAGCTTTGGTCGAGGCTGCGAGGTCCTGGAGGGCATTGTCGCCAATCGAGTAGTCGGCATTGTAGACGGCTTTCTTGCTTGTCGATATGTAGCAGAGACTCAGCTTCGGAGATGGTCGGCGTGTACTCAGGTCCGCAAGCTGAGAGAGGAAGCATTTGCCTACCCCTCCAGCGCCTAATCAACAAGACATAATTAGTCAATTGAAAGGCCAATAAAACCCATTTACATCCAATGACATACCAATAATCGCAATGAATACCTGGTTCGTTTGAGCCATGTTCGCGACTGATTCTATCTCCTGTTTTGAGTGAAATTGTAAAGTTCGATTCCGGAAGACTGACGAATGTTTGCTGGACGTGGGGTAAATTCAAATTGTGGTGACACGGCTCTTGATGAATGTTGAGGCCGATCGCGGTTTTGCGCGGGGCATTTTCAGGGATCGACAGTGCAGTCAGTGGAGGTGGGTCTTCAGGGCCCAGGCGGCTGCATGCTCTAGCTCACCAGCTCACTTCCACTCTGTGCAGCATCAGAAGACATTCACATCGCAAAACAGCACTCTCAAGGTCAACAATATCGGTCTTATAGAGACTCTTTTCAGATTTACCTCCGGCTACCACAACACACCATGCCACAAGACCCAGACCTCTACGGGCAGCGGCCCGCCAAGAAGCAAAAGAAAGAGATTCCACTATCGAGCTCCCTCGCTTTCGCATCGCACCTGACCTCGCTGCTCTCCGCGCCCACCTCCTCGTCCTCCTCCCCCGGCGCCAGCGCCTCTTCCGGGCGCGCGCGGCCCTCAAAGACGAAAGACGACATTTTCTCCGTGAAGGCGAAGAAGAAGCGGAAACATACCAGCAAGGATGACGACGACAAGGAGGCATCGAACGACAAGAGTGGTAGTAGTAAGATCCGCATCAGGGACGTGCGCGGCACCGAGGACGAGAAGCAGGACTTTGCGCGCGCCCGCCGCCGCATGGAGGAGAAGGCCCGGCTGTACGCCGCCATGAAGCGCGGCGACTACATCGCCAAGAACAACGAGGCGGCGCCGCTCGTTGATTTCGACCGCAAGTGGGCGGAGAAGAACCCGGAGGAGGGGGACGGTGGTGGTGATGGTGATCCTACGCAGCGGCACTCCAGCTCAGGCAACGATAACGAGTCGTCTGACGGCGGCGGCGGCGGTGGTGGTGGTGGTGGTGCGGGAGCAGCGGGAGCAGAGATGATCGAATACAAAGACGAATACGGACGCACGCGGCAGGGCACACGAGCCGAAGTATCGCGCCTGCAGCGGCGCGACGCACGCATCGCCCTGGGAGCCGCGGAGCTGGAGCGCATGGCCGCGCGCCCACACGCGGCGCCGCAAAACCTGATCTACGGCGACGCGATCCAGGCCGCGGCCTTCAACCCAGAATCAACAACATGGGACCAGATGGCAACACTAGCAGCAAAACGCGACAAGTCGCCGACACCGCCCGCGGACACGCACTTTGACGGCGGTGCCGAGATCCGGACCAAGGGAGTAGGGTTTTACCAGTTTTCTAGGGATAAGGACGACCGCAAAGCCCAGATGGAGGAGCTGGAGCGCGAGAGAGGGAACACGGAGCACGTGCGGCTGGACCGGGAGGCTGAGAGGGAAAAGCGGAAGAGGGAGATCGAGGAGAGGAGGCGCACGATCGGGCGGAAGAGGGCGGAGAAGATGGCGGATACCTTCTTGGATGGGCTGGCGGGGGAGATGCGGACGCCTGGGGCGACGGGGGAGAAGGAGGGGCTGGAGGAGGGTGAGAAGAAGGCTTCTTCTTCTTCGTGAGGACTTTTGGCCCGTCGAGCTATAGCCACGTTTTACGGAAAACGAGGCTCTTACACCAGCTCGTCGTAATTAGCCGGCATGACTGAGCGGTCTGGGACTTATTAATACAAGATACCCCTTTTGATCTTCTTACATGGTGTCTGGCCCCTGGGGAATGCGACTTGACAATTTTACATCGTGGAGTAATTTGGGAGATACGTATAGATGATATCCGCTGCCGGTTTCAGTCCCCCTTTGCTTAGACAATCGACGTCGTAAAAGTTCATTCGTGGGAAACAGGGCACTAACAGGCTATGTGCATACAGCTCAACTCAACCCATCGTACCCAGATCTCTTGAGTCTCAACCCTGCATGAGACCCCGAGTCATCGCTTCACAGAGAAAGAGCAGAAAACATATATCCTTAATCACGTACAGACAACCTCCAACCCCTCACTACGAGGGTACAACTCTGGCCGTCAACAGTGAGCGACAGTCGGTCCTCCCTATCCACGATTACGAAACCAGAGAAACTAGGAGCAATGCAGAGGGACGAAGAAAAGTGGCACGTCTTCGTGTCGGATTAGGCAATTATTCGTCACAGCGATTTTCACGACCCGTGCCAAGACCAAGAATCACTGCATGTAAAGCTGCTTTTATTGCAACAGTTACGGAGAGGCTATCTAACTAGATCGATCGAAATCCACAGTAAGATGCTAAATTCGCATACATGGCGCGAGTTATAGGTACAGGATGTGCAAGTTGACGTTTATGTCAAGGTATTGCAGATACTATATACCGCGGATATATGTAATGGACACACATGCGACCCAAAGCAACTAACAGTAATAGTAGGCTGTCAGCAAGCGTACCCAGTTGCAAAAATTAGCAACATGATTTCAGAACGCCGTTACCAACCTGCCGCCAGGCCCAAGTCCAGTCCGTTCGGATCAATGGATCGATAGTCGGTTCGAAAATAGGGGGTTTCTTTGCGCCATTCTCTGGAAAGAACCCTGGAGCGGGGCAACGCCGCAACTGCCAAATATGTGTGAGCGCTCTCCTGAACGCCGGAATATGCTGTACGATCGCCGTGTCCCGGCCATGCTATGTACAATCTCCTCCAGACATTGCTATAAATAATTCAGTACATGCATGCAGATAAGAGAAGGCTCGTTTCGAACAACAAGAAACATGGTCTTCCAGCGTTCAGGTGAGCCACCACATGCAGCCGCAGTCAGTCATGTCGTTGCCCGAATTATCGCTGTCGCGGTTTGTTAAAAACGGGTCGGCGACAGCTCGTTTCGAGGTCGGAGTCTCGTACTTCGAATCTTCTTCGACGATTTCAACGTCGATGAAATTGCCACTCGCATCGAGAACCGGCCGTGCCTCAACGCCGTCGGCTATCACTTCAAATTGGCGACACCACGGCATAGTTGTCGCATAGCCAGGAATACGGCGCTCCTCCATTTTGACGACTCTCGGGTAAGGTGGGTCCTTGTTAGGCGGCATGGGGTTGTTACTGAAGTAGTCCGTGGCGGAGGACGACGGAGCTGCCGTGGTTGTTACCGTTACGGATTCCACATACGTCGTTGGGGAAGACGTAGTTCCGAAACTTGAAAGGTATTGGTTACCGTATTCCACGTCGCTATCTGAGAATAATGGGGAATGCTCCCCAAACTCCTCCCGCTGTGCATCCCGTCGTTCGACACTCGTCGTCTCTGCCGCACTTGTGGGTGAAGCAGCCGAAGCGGCCGGTACGCTGGCCGCGTTATCACTTGACGGGGTGGCTGTTGCTGAGGCACTATCCGACCCGTCAAGCCCGACAGGACGGCTGTAGCTGCTGTTTTGGCTCGCGTAGATGAAGGTCTCTAGCACCGTGCTATTCCAGTGGCAGATCCATGGTTTGTCTCCCACCTGCGCGATGCCCTTCCGCTTGAAATCGCCGCTAAAATCGCCGCTGAAATCCATGCGTCGGAGCTTCTTATTCGTTGAGCTGGCGGGTGTCAAAAACTCTTCGGGAAGGATGATCGTCTTGTTGTAAGGGATTTCGAACGCCCACGCCGGTCCTCGCGTAGCGGACTCGTAGCTGTCATTGACTAGTTTGAGTTGCAGATCGGTCAGGTCCGGTGGCTGCACGCCATAGCTGTAGATGTATCTTTGGATTGTGTACGTATCATTGTATGTGAAGTTCATTGAGTAGGCCAGTGTGTCTGGGACGTTCCGAAGCTTCTCGACTACCATGGACAGCTGAGAGAAGACAAAGTTGCAGTTCCACGCTTGCGCTTGTGTGGTGTCATTAAAGCACGTGTTCGACATGCGGGTATTCATGAGAGGCATGGCGTAAGTACCCTCTGCCAAGTCCGGCAAGCCTGGCGGTACGGTAGAAAGGGGCGTGGCATCGTAGGTAATCGTTGTTACTGCTGGTTGAGGCGGCCTGTGTATGAAGTCAGTATTTGGATACTAAGTGAGGTTGAACGGACGATGTGGTTACCTGTCTGCATGTGGCCCCTTATGGTCCGAGTGATGGCCCAAGAGCGTTCCTATGACCGTCCCGAGGACCACACCCATCATGATGAGAACGAATACCGCTAAAGTCAGGGCCCAGCATGGAACGATGCCCCATACTTTCCGCTTCGCGGCTACTTGCCAGTTCTTTAGAGGCTTCTTCTCGTCTGTGATTACTGCCGCTGCCGCCATGTTGATCCCTTCGTGGCTGGTAGCATCAGAAGTAAAGCTGCGGACTGATCGACGGGACTCAGGCGAGTTGGCACCGTGAAGATCCTCCGTCGAGGCAAATTCGGGGTCTCTGGTCGCGAGCCCAATACCTCCCGCACCTGGAATCGCCAACGTCGGTTGTACTGGCGTCAGTTGTACTGGTGCCGCTTGAGGTGTGTCTATGCCCAACGCCTTCCTATTGTACGCCTCATCTGGGTATCTCGTATAGGGAGGCAGCTGTTCCGTATGTCCGTCAGGCCCAATCAGATCGGCAGCGTCCTCGCCATCCGGTCCTATCCTCCTTTGGTAATTATCATTTGCACCGGGAAATCCCACATGGATTTCTCTCTGCGCTGGTCGACTTGTCCCGGCTTCGGACTCGGGCACCGTGTTCTGCGGGTACATGCCGTAGGGATGAGTTGGGCCTCGAGGTCCATTATACGATCGCTCCGAAACGGGTGCTGTCGAAGTAGTGGCTAGACTGGCAGTTCTTGCCAGTCGGACATCCTGCGGATACATCTGGTATGGGTGTGAAGGGCCTGAAGGACCTTCGTAAGGTATTTCCGAGTTAACGAACGGTGAGGTTGTAGAGACGCTGGATGCTCTGGTCGGCACTGTTTCGTCGACGGGGTCCATTGGCGGGCCCTCGTTTCGCAGGGACAGAGACTCGTGCGGGCGGTGAGGCTTAGAGATACTCGACGGGCGCGGTGGCGCGAAGAGTGCTGCCGGGGGCTCGAGGGAAGACACAGACGGCCTCGGAATGTGAGACGAATTGTGATTCTGTGCGACTTCGACCGGTCGAAAGCCGTCGGAGATTCCCATTGCTGCCAGGTCATAGTCGTCATCATCGCCCTGGACGTTGGACTGGACGTGGGACAACCTCAAGGACGTCCTGAGCGATGCACTGCGGTCCAATTCGGACGACTTGTCGTTGGAGCCGCTCATGGCTGCGGATTGTTGGCGGTCGGCGGTCGGGTTCGGATGCCGTCACAGCATCAGCGACTTGTCGGGCGATGACCTTGGCGCCAAAAGGTCATCGAAAGCGCTTCCTCTCTATCACTCGAGCGTGTCCAGCCTCGGTAGCGATAGTATGGCGACTCGTGCCGCGTCGTTGGAGCCGGTCAGCGATGATCTTAATTGCGAGTTGTCGTTGTGTATGGCAGAGATCAGTTGGACAAGTAGGAAGCAAGAGTCTCAGACTCTGAGTGGCTGTACGGGCACTGGGCACAGAGCAGGGCCCGCATTGCAACTTGCAAGTACGATCAGCGATCAGGGGATAGACAGACAGGCAGACAGGCAGACAGGATGGACTGCGCATGGCCCACGACTAACGGCCCACGGCCCACGGCCAATCAGTGTGCCAATCATTGAATGGAACTGGGTTTCGGACTTTGGGATGGGGCAAGTGCTAGCAACTGCAGGTGGCACCGTGGCAGCGTTTAGGGGTGACTTGAGGGGGAGCGAGCCCTAGACACAGTGGACACTACCTAGGTGTAACGGCAACTCTCTCCAAGGGCCAAGTCCCATTGGCCACGTGAATCCTCTATCTAGTATGGACTTCCATTTGCAGGATTAAAACTGCCCTGCTGCTGCAGTGCTGCTACAGTGCTACCTGCCCGCACTGGCTGCTTCTCGTTTGCTTTTTAGGCCATCCTTGGACCTGCGCTGCTGGGTGGGATCCATTCACTCTCTCGCTCTCGCATCAACGGACATATCGTAGCACGATCGGGAGCATTTCAAGGTTTGTTACGGTGTCGATGTGCACCTTGCAAGCCAGCAAGCCGGAATGTCTCATGACCGATCAGCGTCCATGATAGTCCCATACCAACGCCATGTCTGTTAGGTACTGCCAGACACTGACTGACATCGGTAAATCAACAGCGACGGAGGTGTCTCCTGTCCACTGCCCTGTTTTGTGTCGTACTACTCGACGATGGAACATTGGTGGAAGCACTCATTACTACACGCAGCCCATACGCGGTATGCACGAGAATGGCCGCACCGAAAGGGTAATATGTACCGCTGCACTCATTTGAGCCTATTCTACATGGACGACGTCCTCCCGGCGGCTCCCGGTCAACCGCAAACAAGAAAAGAGGGGGAAAAGAGTAAAGAGCGGTACCCAGGGGTCCCAGACTGGCAATACAGCCGGCGACCAGGGACTTCCAACGTTCCAGGCGAAGTGGAGCTGGTGGTGGTGGTGGTGTTCAACTTGCTGGTGGTTCTCACAGACAGACAGACTGATCACTGATCAGTGATGACAGACTCTCAGGTCTGGAGGCGTCTGGAGGAGTCACTGACCTCTGGTGTTCATCAGTTGGAGGGACCAAGGTTCCATTAACTTTGTTAGGGTTCGTTCGTCTCCCCAGCTCTTGCCCCGTGTTCTCTCGGACATATTGGATTCGTTGAGTGGCCCCAGGCTATCCATAATCTGGAACTTCTTCAGGATCACTACCCTGAAAGGACAAAGGATTCGGGGTCCTGGAAGTGATGGATGCAGGAACACATATTGCGTACTAGATCGATGAATATGAGACGTGAAGCCATTGCGATCACATAAACAGTCTAAGTACCGCATCTCGAGTGCTGCAGACGGGTAGACAGAAAAGTATATTCCTAGATGATGGTTTCAGCAACGGGGTGTTGGAACTTCCACCTGATTTGGGTCAAAACCACCCGGCCGGTCTGAGCGGAAACAGTCTTCACGACTCAGGTGTCGCATCCCTACGATGGAGCTGCTGCACCGTCCGATCGCGTTGGGCACTCTCACCTACCTACTCGTGAGTGAAGGACAACGACAACGAAACGTGTAGGGATGGGCATATTGGCTCTGGTGATACACGCTCACATGGCGGCTTCCACGACGGCTATGAGCGTCCATGGAGTAGAGTAGCTTCCAGTTTGGGAGCAAGTCCGGGCGGCTGAAATCGGGAGTTTGGCTATTCTCAGCCGAAGATACCCTACGGCATAGTTGTCTACCTTAATATGGATGACTGTGTTGAAGACATCGTCACTCTAGTCAGCACCTTGTGGATGTGACCATTATTAGCAAGACTCTAAACATGAGGTCCGTTTAAGTTCTGGCTTTCCAGCCTCGTATTGCAAGCTCAAGCCGGCGAACTTATTAGTATTCGCGGTGTGGTAGGATGGATATGATGTAACACTGAGCCGGCAGTCCGTTCTCGACTATCACCGGACGCTGTGAGCGCCAAGCTGCGGACCAACGCCATCATCCATATCCATCCTCTGGTCTGGCAACGCCTCCTGAGATCCAAAGCCATGGTTGTTGATTCAAAGACGTCTGGATTATAGCGATATAGACTCACGATATATCCAGGGCGGCACAGTCAGGCCACTCGGACCATGGGATAAAAAGCACATGTGATGTCCTGTTCTCGTCGACTCCGGCAGGCCTAAAGTTGGCTTGAGAGCACACCACAAGGAACCGGCTTCTGTGGTCCGTTTCACCGGACTGGTCACTGGTTAGATGTTGGAATCCACAGACGCACGATGGTGGCCGCAGGGCCGCAGCAGATCTCGGCACCACGACCAAGCTTCTTTTTATTTTCCCGATCGACCCACCCGCGGATGACCTTCCTGATATTCTTTGCGCATCTACCCGCTGCTGTGTAATGATAATAAAGAACGGGGATACGTACGGAGTAATCATAATGGTTGTCTAATATACATCCTTTTGGCGGCCCAGTCGATGTTCACTCCGTCCATCCAGAGAGACCACAATTAGCACAGATGCTTGTGCAAATCACGACTCCCACCACGTTAGGGTAGAGTTTATGAAGAATATGGCGCTTTGATGGATGTCCGAACGTGATGTCTGTCATTCACCGTTGCTAGACGGGCCAGAGTGGGGTATTTATCCCATCTTTGGTGTGATGATAATGATTACCAAGTTCAGCCTGTTTCTTCGCTCTTTGAGGTACACACTCCAACCATTCCAGAGTCAACATTCATCAGGTTTGGTTAAGCCGAAGCCCAAGATTGGTTGCGGAAGAAAATCCGAACTCCAAATCCACGCCTTCAGAGTTGCATTGTAGCCAACCAACAGGCGATGAGGTGCTTGATTGATGAGTTTCATCAAAGAGTCAGTCCTTAGCGGTTGTCAATTCTTGAGAGAGTCCCGAGGCTTCAACCACTACCACTGAATGAAAGCCATCCAGAACAAGCCAAGCCTCCGGCACCAGGCACCAGCAATCAACAGCAAACATGGCATCCTTCGGGAAGGCGATGCGCGATGCCCACTTCGACTTTGCTCCTTCTTACACACCACTAAACCATGGCTCTTTCGGAGCCTATCCTACGACTGTTCGAGACTATCAGCAGAGCCTGCAGCGTGAGACCGAGGCACGGCCAGATACGTTCATCCGGTTCAGATATCCCGAACTGCTGCGAGAGGCGAGGCAGGCCGTCGCACCGTTGCTGGGAGCAGACACAGACGAGGTCGTCTTCGTGCCCAATGCCCTCACCGGCATCAATTCCGTGCTGCGAAACTTGACATACGAAAAGGGCGATGTCATCCTGTACTTCAGCACCATATATGGCGCATGCCTGAATACGATAAAGTCGCTGGAAGACACGACACCCGTGAAGGGTGTGTCCATCAGCCTCACCTATCCCATCGAGGATAAGGCTATACGCGACAGGTTCATCGAGACAAACTTCATACTCCAGATGCAGGGCGCGAGAGTGAGGCTGGCCCTGTTTGACACCGTACTCACCTTTCCCGGCGTGCGCTTCCCTTGGGAGTCGCTGGTCCGTCTCTGCAAACAGCTTAATGTTCTCAGCTGCGTAGATGGCGCACATGGAATAGGGCACATCGATCTGGCTCACTGTGCTCGAGTTGGGCCAGACTTCTTCATCAGCAACTGCTACAAGTGAGCTTGCCTTTATCCCGTCCTTGTACGTGTCCTCGCCGCTGAACATCAGATGGCCAGGTGGCTTATGGTGCCCCGTGGATGCGCTGTGCTGTGCGTGCCCCGACGGAACCACCACTTGATCAAAACCACGTATCCAACCTCTGAAGGATACCTGCCGCAGGCTCAGCGAGAGGCAGTCTCGCCCACTGAGTATTTCGTCAGGCTGTTTGAGAAAGTGTCCACGGTAGATGCAACGCCGTACATCTCCGTACTAGAAGCCCTGAAATTCAGGGAGCAGATCTGTGGAGGGGAGAAGCAGATCCGTGATTACTGCACGAGACTCGCAAGAGAGGGGGGTGAGTTGATGGCAGCACTGATGGGGACGGCGGTTCTCGAGAACGAGACAGGCACGCTTCGAGACTGCTGCTTCACCAACGTGAGACTGCCCCTGGATATCGGACAGCCTCGTAGAGACCCGATTCTGCTGTATGAGAACAGACAAGGCGAGACATTCTCGCCAGAAGAGGTCCAGGCTATGGCTGATTGGATCACGGAAAGAAGTGTCAATGAGTTCGACTCCTTCTTGGCCACGAGGTTCTATGCCGGAGCCTTCTGGACGAGGCTTTCCAGTCAGATATACCTCGATCGTGCCGATTTCGAGTGGGCTGCCAAAGTCCTGCTTGATCTTTGCGATCGAGCGAGAAAAGGCGAATGGAGATCTGTCTCTACGAGTGCCAATATCCAGGGCAGACTTGACATATGACATATCATGTAGTCGCATTGCGTCAGCAAGCCTCGTGTTCATGCAACACAGCGACTGCGCCGTTGCTTCTTTCAGGGCTAAAGAAAGTCAGTCAGCAGTGCGGAGGCGTGGGGTATGGGGGACAGCTTCAGGTTTGTCCTCAAGACGAGGCTGCATACCCTCCATTACGATGATGCTGATTGCACCTCCAACACATCTTCCAGCGCATCGGTTGTGTTGTTGCTGTTGTGCTGCCCGAATAGCATTTGGGATCTCATCCGACGGCATGCTGCATGCACGTCGAGATTACTATCAGCTGTGCAACGAGAACAGTATACGAAGTCAATGCGGAGGCAATGAAACTCATCCAACCATCCACCCGACACCATGGGCAGATCCCAGACACGACATCCCAGATTTGTATCATGTCAATTATCCGGATCCCCGTTGCCCTTGTCCTTGCCCATGCCCTTGCCCATGACACCATGGACATCGAGTCGAGCCGAGTATCCTCGAGATGCCGGGTACAAGCAGGTCAGCAGCATCGATGCCCAAACAGTCATAATGTGGAATCCCCAAACTGCAAAATCCGCCCTAACCGCCTAACGATCCGGGCGAACGACGCCAATCGATGAGGCTCTAGTAAGACGACCTGACCTCGGTGAGCCAAACGACGTGCGCTGGCCAACAGAAATGTCGCGGCGTTTCAGCATCGCCAGACCACCCACCCACTGCTGCCTCCGGTGCCCTGCTGGCTGGCTTCACGAATGTGCGAAACAGGGCGACGACGGTGGCTTCTTTCCAGGCTGCCCCATTGGCTGCTGCGGTGTCGTGGCACGAACATGGGGCCAGAAAACGGGGCAATCTCGACCTGACTGGTCGACCGAGGGAGCGCCCATCGTGAGGCTGCATCGCCCGGGAACTTCCCCAAAGCGCCCATTGTCCAATGACGCACCACCCTCCAGCTGCCCACCCCATGCATGAACAGCCACCAGTCTGGCATTGTGCATATCTTATGGTGAACTCTTCGGATACCTGCGTCGAAAAGCAAAAAGCAAGCAGTGACCCTGACTGTTCCAGGGTTTTTGCTGGCCCCCAAGCCTATATGTATGGATCTCTATAGGTGAGCGTTGGAGTGCATGATGAGGTGCAGGGCAAGCAGGGGCAGTTGCCTAGGTACGCAAGCAAGCAAGCACACGGGCGTGCTGATTCGATTCCGCCTGCCTGGAAGCCTCCTCTCGATGGGGCTTCTGGCCTGTCTGCACACCTATCGCTCACCTACATATGTAGGTATATAATAACTGTGTCTCTCTCGTGTCGCCTGGTTGACCTTGCAAACAGGCCTCCCTCCCCCTCTCAATTTCTTCCGCCTTGTTTGTCTTCGACTCGAGTAGCAGTAAAACCCACTGACCCTGTCTCGTCGCCATTGAGGCTTGACCACAAGGTCCATCATCCATGTCATAGCACGTCGTGAAGTGAGTCGACACGCCACTCGAGGGTGCTTGCAGATCACATCACCGACACACCGCCTCGAAACTCACTTGCACGGTTTACGTTCAAGTCCACGCCGTGTACTTCCGTTTGTACATCGGCGGTACATATTCTATAAGAAGCCACCCAACCCATCTCACCCTATCCCCACAAACCCGGCAGGATGAGCCACCACGGTCCCTTCTCGGACACCTCGTCCTTCTACTCGGGGCACTCGGGCTCCTCGCGCTCCTCCTCGGCGGGCTCGGGCTCGTACGCCAGCTCGGGCGGCTCCGTGTGGTCGGCGACTCCGTCGCGGTCGTTCGTCTACACGGAGGGGAGCGGCGGCTACGACGGCGTGCGCGGCGCCGTGACACGCAAGCGCGACAAGCACGACGACCGCCGCACGCGGTTCGCGGCGCACTTCCTCAGCGGGCCCTTCGCCCAGTCCAAGCCCAAGAAGCACAGCCACGGGCATTCCGACTCGCGGTCTGTCTTTAGCTCGGGCTCGAGCTCGAGCCGGAAGAGCCACCGGCAGCACGGCGGAGGCGGGCCTAGACCGCCACCCATGATGGGCCCGCGCTTCCGGGAGGGCCCGCCGCCGCAGTTTCATCCTGATTTCCGGGGCGGGCCGCCGCTGATGGGGGGACATCCGCAAATGCCGCCACCGCCGCCGCAGCACTTCCATGATGGGCACCATCAGGGTGAAGGTGGAGGTGGTGGTGGAGGCGGTGGATTCGATGCCGGTTTCATTCAGCTTGGTGGTGGTGGGGGTCCGCAGCAGGGCCCGCCTCAGCCGAGGCCGGATCCCGTCTGGGGCCACGATGCGCAGTGGGAGGAAGGGCCTGAGGTGTACGACTGAGAGGCAGAGACCGAGTCTGTTGGAGTCCAACGACTATGTCTTGCTCTTTATGATAATGTTCTGTTTTCCGGCGTAAGGGTTTGGGCGGCAGCGATGGATGGAATTGGAGTCTGGCGTCTGATGCTGATCTACTTTACCTGTCTTCTGTCTGTCTGGGCAACTGGGAGGTCACGGATGGATGGATGGTTGATGGTTGATGGCTTGGGCGGAATAGTCGATCATTTCAGATACCCCCAAGTGTACAGTACCAACAGTGTATGATACGCCAACATGGATAATACATATCTTGCTGCTTCGATTGCAGCCTTTCCAAGTCTACCTGATACGACTGTGATCGCAGACAGTCTGAAGACATCATGAGACAACATGGTTGGGCTGCCTGACCTCGCCATGGCTGTCGAGCGTCAACGAATGACATGGCATTTGCTGACCGTAATCCGCAAACTAGGTAAGGATGAAGCCGCGACCCATCATCCCGGGGGCCCTCCTCAACCACGGGATGCCGCCAGGCACCAGACCAGGCGTTCGCAAGGCGTTCAGTCCACGTGTGGTTTTTTTTGCGTTAGCGTTACGTGAGTGAGGCCTTCCATTGCAGGAGGCGAGCCATTTATTATCCACGATAACTTATGCAAGCCAAGCCACGCCGCGCCTGAGCCCTACCGGAATCTTCTGCCAATTAATCCATCGACTGGACACGGCGGCCAGTCGATGTGAGTGAGTCACCGCAGTCTGGAGCCAGATACTGGCCAGTGAGTCTTAGTCAAACTCATTGGACTCTACCTTTCCAGACGGCGTGCATTGAGATGTTGTGCCGGTCAGCCCGCATGAGTAACCCTGGCGGGCTGGGAGTGATGAGGGGGAACGTTTGTGGCTGATGCAAAAATAAAAGTGAGACGTGATGCTCGGCTCACTCCGCGCTCCGCACTCTGTTTCCACGGAAGATATCGACAAACTACCTATTATAGCTGGGAGTTGGCTCGGTTGGCTCCCTCCACTCAAGCTGACCGATCAGAAGCTTCGCTGCTGTGTGACTCTACTTGCCGATGGCATTATTGTCTTCACAATCTGGGCCGCCATTGGACGCCATTACGGTGGAAGCTCTCAGCCTGCAGAGTGCTGCCTCCGCCTGACACAACGACAACGCGCACGCAGCCTTACTTGCTGATCGCCTCCAGTCCCATCAGTCTGGCGACCTGCCGCGGAGAGGGATGATGCCTGATTTTCAGTCACAAGTTGACAGCATAGGCAATCCGACACTTTGGGCCTGAGAAAAGAACCGGGAGTCCGGGACAACTGAGAACTCAAATGACGCCTCTTTGTTCTGTGGCCTGTGAGGGAGGGCTCTGCAAACCGCCGTAACGGTGCGTCCGTACAGTCATGCCGCCGCAACCAGAAAAGGCTGCACTTACACAGCCGGGCACTGCATAGCCTGCAGATATTCGTTGGCCGATCGTGGAACTCGGCCAATCGCACCGCCCGTGCAGCTGTAGCTCCCCTGCCGCTGCCCTATAGGGATGCGGGCAGGTCTGCCTATGGTCAGCTGGAGGCCGCGGCGAGACATGATGGCCCATGGGATGTTGGTAGCTACGGTATGATGCGTCATTCTAGAGCCTACCTACAAATCGCAAATATCTCTCTCTGCCTGACGGTTGCCTCTCAGTCATCATGGTGTGCCAGTAGGAATTATATAAACCTCGTCTTTGCAGCTGACTGCTCTCTTCTTGTCCTGGACTGTTCAGCACAACCTCTCCACGGAGTAAAGCATCAAAATACACCACGGTTAGTAGCACCAACAACTACGACCTTCTTTCTTCTCTGAATGCCTTCAATGCATTTATTATCCCACCTTCTCCTCGCCATGGCAAGTCCTCTAGCCTCGTCCGCCGAGACGAACGAGACAGTCTCCCCTGAAGATGCTCCCACTTCGACACCACTTCCACAACTCGCCCTGCTGGATCTCTTCTTCCCGGGCTTCTCCATGTACGCTGGCGCCGTCCAGAAGTACCTGCACATCGATCTCAATCTGTACATCCCGCTAGTACTGCTCGCCGGCGCCCTGATGGTCGTCTGGAACTACGCGAGCTCGTACTTCTGGGAGCAGCTCGAGGGCCACTTCATGTCCGTCGTCGACATCCGCACCGACGACGAGATCTACAACATCCTGATGGCCTGGGTGGCCGCGCAGCGCTTCTCCCAGGGCGCGCGGCGGTTCGTTGTCAACACTAACCTGAACTCGAGGAGCTGGTACCTCTGGAGCTGGGACGACGATACCGAGGAAGACGACGGGGTCGACGACAGCCAGTCGGGTGGACGAAACAAGAAGAGGAAGAAGGCTCTCTCGTACACCCCTTCTTTCGGTAGCCACTACTTCTGGTACCGAGGACGGCTGCTCCTCTTTCGTCGGACCAACCGAGAGTCGAATTCCTACATGCTGGTCAGTGAGCGGGAAGAGATCTCCCTCTCCTGCTTAGGACGCGACCCGTGGATCCTGAAGGAGCTGCTGCTAGAGGCTCGACAGCAGTACATCGAGAAGGACGAACAGAAGACGCTGATCTACCGCGGAACAACAAAGTCGCAGTCAGCCGAGCCAACCTGGCAACGCTGCATGGCACGAGCCAGTCGCCCCTTTTCCACTGTGATCCTAAACGAGAAGACTAAGAACGACCTCATCGAAGATGTCACCGACTACCTGTGTCCGGCAACCCAGCGCTGGTACGCGAACCGTGGTATCCCCTACCGACGTGGCTACCTGCTTCACGGTCCCCCTGGCACTGGCAAATCTTCCCTGAGCCTGGCCCTGGCTGGGTTCTATAAGATGAGAATATACATCGTCAGTCTAAGCTCTATCACCGCTAGCGAGGAAATACTAGGTGGCCTATTCGCCGAGCTTCCGCGCCGCTGTGTCGTTCTCCTGGAGGACATCGACACGGCCGGCCTGACTCATACGCGGGCCGAGAACGAAAACACCAGCACCCAGAGCCAACCTGCAGATGATTCGAAGGACATGGTCCCAGGCCAACTCACGACCGGCAACGGCAACACCATAAACAACAACAACAATAACAACAACAGCAACAACCGCCTCTCCCTATCCGGGCTCCTCAACATCCTCGACGGCGTAGCTTCGCAAGAGGGCCGCGTGCTGATCATGACGACGAACCACGTCGAGAAGCTCGACAAGGCGCTGATCCGGCCCGGCCGCGTCGACATGATCGTCGAGTTCGGGCTCGCGGACTCCGGGATGACAGCCGCCATCTTCCGCGCCATCTTCGCGCACCTCGAGGGCGACGACACTCCCACGGATACCGCGCGGTATGTCTCGCTCACCCCGGACGAGCGCAAGGCGCTCGACGACGAGAAGGCCGGGAAGCGCGCGGCGCACGACGCTGCGATCGACCGCCTAGCAGAAGAATTCGCGGCAAGCATCCCGGCCCATGAATTCAGCCCCGCAGAACTACAGGGCCACCTCATGCGGCATAAGCGCAACCCCGAGGCCGCGGTGTCCGGCGCCGAGGCCTTCGTCGAGCAGACGAGGAGAGACCGCAAGGAGAAGGAGCTCAAGGAGGCCGAGGAGAAGCGCAAGGCGGAGGAGAAGAAGTTCGAGGAGGCGAAGAATAAGAAGGCGGAGGAGGCGGCTAAGAAGGCTGGTGAGAGCAAGAGGGATGTGCCGGCCGCGACTACAGAGACAGCTAAGCCGTCGACTGCGACTCCTGAACAGCCCTCCAACCCAGATTCGCCTCGCGTTGAGCAACCCGCCACAACGGTCCCAGTGCCCTGTATCGACATCTCAGCAGCAGCAGCAACAGCAGTCGCGAAGCCCCAACTCGACACGACAAATATCGAGGCTCCAACCACTACCAAGGAGAAGCCAGCGGGCGGATTGGGACACGCGCGGAACGACTCGGGCTACGTGACGCCAGTCAGTGGCGAGCCGTGATTTGCGGTTGCGGCACGTCTGTGGCGATGGATGATGGAGGATCGTGATGATGAAGATCTTGATGTAGAACTACACATACCCTGCTCCTTCGACTTACTGTTTGCATGGGCGGCGTACCGGATTGGATTGGACTGGGCTGGATGGGATTGGAATAGGCTTACACAGGGAGTACTGGGACAGGCTTACACAGGGAGTCTATACATACCTACCTACATATGGTTATCCATGCAGGCAGACAGAGAGAATCTGTTCTGGCTGGAACATGCATTGGATACATGCACGACTTGGATATAGACACAGGGGAGGCAGTTATACACACAGTTATGAATATACTGCTCGTGCTTGTGGTCCTGCCTAAGCATAGTTTAATGAACGAGGAGCTGGAAAGAACTGCGCTGGATAACTCCCCATCGGTATGTGCGTACAACACACCTGTGAACCTCCTACATCGTGTACAGTTTCAGACTGCTCTGCCATGTATATTGGCAAGGAAGCAAGCAGTCAAGTAGCAGTCACGAGCCAGGGGAGCCTGGGTTCTCCGAAGTATACCCAAGATAGAGCGGAAGGAGAGGACAGCCCTCCATCATGGCCACCGGTGAAAGAGATAACCCGGTGCCCCTATTCATACCAGACGGCCCATCGATTATTAACCAGCTTCATGTTGGTGAAAGCCGGAGGGCTGGCTTGCTTGCCTGTCTGCTTCCCTGGCTGCTGCAGTCGAATAACCAGGCTGAAGCTGAAGACTGGAGTACCGGCGGCCTTCACACCAATATATTTCCGCTCGGTCAAAACACACACCGTTCCTCAGGAGCAAAGGCCCAAAGAAAGGCCTGAGGTCGGGTCAGGCGATCTTATGTCGGGGTCTTGGGCCCGGCCGACGGGAGAATATTCTCGCGGTTGGCTTGAGATTCGGCTTATCCCGATATCACCTCGATCGGCAGCCAAGGGATGTCGGTTTCTGGCACAGCTCGCCTAGGGACTTGGGAATCATGTTTCCTGACTCCAGCTTGGCCGGGTTCAGCCATCATCACACTGGGCCTTCCTCGTTGCCTCTCTTCTCGGGTATACTGAGCCTTTAGAGTCAGTCACCCCTTACTGTGTGACCCGTGGTCAAAGGCAGTGAGACTCGATATCAGGAAAGTTGAACCAGAAACTTCTTCTTCAGTTGATACGTGTCGAGAGCTCTATGTTTCGAGTAATTCGATCATTGGAGTTGGGTCGTTCCCAGCCATGCCTAGAGTAGATGAGCTTGCTGCATTGCTGCGGCGAGGAGGTGGCTAAGCTCATGCCATCATACGAGCTGACCTCCGCAGCGAGATAGGGGTATATCGCACCCAGTCCAAATTCAGCTGTATACGAATGAAGGTTTCTTGCCTACCCAACCCCAGGAGATAGAACGATGGGCGGTTCTGATGTATCAGGGGGGTTTGACGGCGCAGTTGAGAACGAGTATACCTAGATCGCTTGTTGGGCTTGTCAAGGCAGAATGAAAGGAATGGCGCGATTACGCGCGGCTCAGGCTATGCAAAGTTAACTGTGAGAGCAGAAAGATAACAAGACTTCAAGTGCTGTTCACCCCTATGGTCACACTCTAGCACTCCGGAACTCCGTAGTCCCAGCAGTACAGGAAACTTGTCCGACTTCGACGTCGACAATAGCCTCCAAGGCTTTGACCTCAAAGTGATGTGAACCCGGACCTGATCTTGATAGTACTCCAGTAGGTAGCCCATACTTGGTACGGATACCGTACCAAGTATGGGCGTACGTTGTCGATACCTCAGTCTTGCAGGTTGTTCCCGTCTACGAATGCAGAAGTGCCCGACTGCCCTGAAGCGGTCTGTCCAGTCGGTTAGGTAGTCCCAGGAGTCTCCAGCTCAACTTCATCCAGAAAAGAAAGACCGGTGGCGGCGCTGCGGCGGCAAGTCAACGCAATGAGAAGTGGCTTAGCAGTTCGGTAAGAGCACGACGCGTGGATGTGTGTGTGTGAAGGTTCCGAAATTGTCCTGCAGGTCCCGCGGGCACTGACGGAAAATGCCCGCCGGTGAGTTGCCCGGAGTGGGTATTGGCCGAGTTCGGCTATTCGGGTAGCCTCGTTGACACCACCGCCGCAGATGTCAGGCCAAAACCAGGGCCCACGACTTACGTGGGCACTACTGTAGAGTGTTTCTAGGCTGGCATCCATATCAGGGACGGTGAAAGTGGAATATGTACACAACTGCACAGCATTGTACGGCGGCAACATGCTCAAGAGAACATCCCTCTGGTGTGGTGTCTCTGATCTGCTCTGATCTTCTCTGGCTGTCTACTTACCTCCCAGTCTGTTATCTCCTGTCCTTTCCTGATGTGCCGAAACGAGATTGACTCCAGACAGTCGGGATTCCAATCGGACGGGACTAGACGAGGGCACAGACTATGAGAGCGCTTACATCGGCTACCAGCTATGCAGCTACTCATGCCCGTTTGTACTGCATAAGCATATGCAGTGAGCATAGAAATCAAGCAGCCATATCAGAAATTTGCAGTGATGGCTCTGAAAGTCTGAATGTGCGAGTGAGATCTTGAGAGATGGAGATGTGATATGGAGACGAGATTGCAGATGGAGGGGCGGGCGCTATCTTTGATTATCTATTCAGAAGTGGTGCGATAAAGGAGGGGCAGGGCAGGCAGACTTCAATGTTGGAACGGTGAGGGGTCAATGGGGATCTACATTGTGAATTATTATTATTCGTATGTTACTGTTGAATTTATTTTATTGACCAATTTGACTTTTATTAATGGGAGACTAGCGGCGCGAGGGACCAACAAGACTCATTTATTAGCTTAGGTTTCTGCCTCTGCTGATCTAATTAGTCTGAATATCCTCGTCCCGCTGTCCCTCCCTCTTCTCGGTCTGCTTCAGTACAGTCCCTGGCGCATACATAGGTACATACATACATAACCTCCGCAATTGGTCCCTTTACTACACAAGACTTGTCTTCCTCGGTCTTGACTCTTCAGGCAAAGTTCCGGGCTGTCATCCGAAGGCAAGCTGCTTACCTGGAGACGGGATCTTGCCGAGAGTTAGAGAGTGATCCATTTTAGGTACGTATGGCTATCGATCCCCACTTCCATTTCACCAACATATCATGCAGGGCCAGCGAAAGCAGCGCCTCTCCTCTGCAGTCCGTCCAAGCCCCTCCCGTCCGCCCCTGATACATACATCCTACATTGGTACAGTCAGTACCTGACACCCCTGGAGCCCTGCCGCATTCGCTGTTGGATGCCAATTGGCGGTGAATCTACTTGAAAAGGCCCCTTCCCTCGTCCTGCCAACCCAACTTGTGCGCCGCCCAGCTTCTGTCCTCCGATCTCGACTTCTCCTTCCCCTTCCGAAAAGCACTGCACTTGCCACGGCTCATAGTCTGATCCAGCCCTCGAGACCATGGCCTCCCGTCCTCAGAACATTGGTATCAAGGCCATCGAGCTCTACTCGCCCAGCCAGGTATGTTGTCGCCACGGCCATCAAGGTCGAGGACCCTGATGAGACCCCTACTGACCGTTGCCTGCCCCGCAGTATGTCGAGCAAGCCGAACTCGAGAAGTTCGACGGTGTTAGCACCGGCAAGTACACCATTGGTCTGGGTCAGACCAAGATGACCTTTTGCGATGACCGCGAAGGTGAGTTGATCGTTCCTTGGTGGCATCGTCGAGTCCTCGCTGACGGGCAACAAATCTCTGCAGACATCTACTCCTTTGCTCTGACAGCGACCTCGAAGCTGCTCAAGAACTACAACATCGACCCCAACTCCATCGGTCGCCTCGAGGTCGGTACCGAGACCATTCTCGACAAGTCCAAGTCGGTCAAGACCGTCTTGATGCAACTGTTCGGCGAGAACACCAACATCGAGGGTGTCGACACCCTCAACGCCTGCTACGGCGGCACCAACGCCCTATTCAACACCCTCAACTGGGTCGAGTCCTCGGCCTGGGACGGACGCGACGCCATTGTCGTGGCCGGAGACATTGCCCTTTACGCCAAGGGCAATGCCAGACCTACTGGTGGTGCTGGCGCCGTCGCCATGCTCATTGGCCCCAACGCCCCTGTCGCTTTCGAGCCTGGTCTACGAGGAACCTACATGTCCCACGTCTACGACTTTTACAAGCCCGACCTGACCAGCGAATACCCCTACGTCGACGGTCACTACTCGGTCAACTGCTACATGGAGGCTCTGGACGCTGCCTACCGCGACTACTGCAAGCGTGAGGCCAAGCAGCTGAACGGCCACGCAAACGGTGCTTCCACCGATGGCAAGACTCCCTTCGACCGCTTCGACTACATGGCTTTCCACTCTCCGACTTGCAAGGTTGTCCAGAAGTCCTATGCTCGTCTGTTGTACCATGACTACCTCTCGGACCCGGACAGCTCTGCTTTCTCCGAGGTCCCTGGGGATATTCGGGACATGGACTACACGAAGTCCCTGTCAGACAAGGTTGTCGAGAAGACCTTCATTAACCTGACCAAGAAGCGTTTCAATGAGCGCGTCACACCATCCATCCAAGTTGCTACCAATGTCGGAAACATGTACTGCGCCAGTGTATGGGGTGGTCTGGCTAGCATCCTCTCGCACGTTGACAGCGCCACCTTGCAAGGCAAGCGGATCGCACTCTTCAGCTACGGTTCCGGTCTAGCGGCAAGTTTCATGTCACTACGTATCAATGGCAGCACCGAGCAGATGTCCAAAGTCTTGGACATTCCCAACAAGTTGGCTTCCCGACGTGCGGTCCCTCCTGAGACGTACGAAGCTGTAAGCCAAATTGTCCAGCCCTTGATTCAGACCTGTAGACTGACCTTCTCTAGTTCTGTGAGTTACGCCACAAGGCTCACCTGCAGAAGGACTTCAAGCCCCAGGGCGACGTGTTGACGCTCGCCAGCGGCACCTACTACTTGGAGAAAGTCGACGACATGTTCAAGCGGGAATATGCTATAAAGGAATAGAGGGGGAAGGATAACAGGCGTTGCCTTTATCTCTGATCTGCGTTCACCGATAGACCGGCACTGCTCGGGTCACTGTGTCACCGATATAAGTGTGTGGCCCTTTTGTCATTATATGTTCAGAACTCATCAGCGCAGCGATGAAAGGAGGATATGTAGAGCCGAGGAGCACGGGCGTGGGATATAATGTCCATCAATGACGTTGGGTGGTAAAGCCGAACCCGACTTGTATATACCAGAGGCTGCTCAAGTCACGGTTGCATGAAAGGCATAATGAAGAATAGATCGACCACACTCTGCGACTTCGATGCAGGTGACCGGCCGTTGCGTTGCAAAGCTGATCGCGCTACATAGAGGCTTCTTTCACATATGAGTTGGATTCGTGAAGAAGTTTCAACATCAAGCAAAAATTCAAGCAACCAGGGTTAGATCACATGTACCCAGGTATTTTCCTTTTCATGTCAACATATGTGGTCAGTATCTGAAGCTGATCATACATATACTTCTATCCAGGGCAAGGTAGTCATCAACCACATATACCTCCTATGCAATGTAAGTGGGCACCCTCGCCCCTTTTTGCCGCCCTCAGATCATTCTCCTGTCACCCACCCGTCGCCTTGGTTCCCAACCACGCCCCAGGCAACCAAATTTCATACCTTGGGTTGAACGATCTCCCTCTCGACCCAGTCTAAGTTTTCTATTTCAGTTACAATACACCCAGCTAATCAGGTCCTTCCCTCCTCCCTTCCTTCTTTCCAGACATCCATTTCCTTCGTCCACCATAATCCTGAATCCCTTTAGCGACAACCGCCTTGGTCCCGAAAGCCAACCATCAGATCATACTGCAGGCTGTTGTCACACCGCTGAGTTTCCTATCGCCTTGGACGTCGAGTATACGCAGGTGACTGGACGTTAACCCCCATCAGGGTCTTCTCCTTGCCACTAGCCACCACCAGGAGGAGGTTCGCGAGGCACGACGGACATCTGTAAGGCTACATTGGATTCGTCTAGGTTCCGTCCAGGTCAACCTCATCTTCATCGGATAACGAACAAGGCACTAACATCATGCAGGTACCAACCAATTGACCTTCTTGAGCAAGCTCATCCGTTCAGCACACTCTACATGAGAGCATCACGATTAAGTCAAGAACTAGCCCGCCAAACCTGGCTTTGTCCGCATCGCCTTCATTCCATCCCCGGGTCCTCCTTGAGCACCAAAAGTGAGCTCCCACTCGGTCCTCCAGGCACCCCAGCAACGAAATCCGTTGCTCTGGTGAACAGACCGCTCAACTTTCTCAATCTTTCGCTCCCCTCCTACTGCCACAGAAGTCGTAAGTTTCTAGCGCACTGCAGTTCTTTCCCAGCTCATCCACTACACCAACGCACTCTCTGCCCTAGGCTTCCCGCGCTTCTAGCACCGTTGACAAAGTCGTCCGCAGTTTGCAAGCTCGGCAGGAGATCACCGATTGTTCGTCCCTCAAGCTACCGTCCCGACCTGACCCCTGACTCAGCAGCGAGACAGAGACACAGGCTCTTCATCGGGCTGCCAGAGGAGGCCGTTTCATATTACTGCGAGGTGCTCCCGAAGGTTGGCGCTACGGTATTTCGACGCAGAGAACATCGCCGGCAAGAACGCGATTGAGAAGGAACACGCGGCCGATACTCGATTGCTGGCTCTAGCTGCGTTACCTCACGTCACATTCGCCGACTATGGTGAACAGATATCTTCTCTGAGTCCCGCACACCGAAAAGACCATACTTGTGAGCTTCTGTGTACGAGATATCGATATCTGCGAGAGTACACAAAACGAGAGACGCCAGGCTTCGAGTTTCGGTGCCTTCGACGTCATCATCGCGTATCAATCCCCTGGTCGATGAGAAGATCCCAACCCACCATAAGGTCTACTATACACAGCCGCGAAGACCCCGAGGTAGGCCGTCGCAACCCAGGCCCAGTTTCTGCGTTCCTGGTATAATCCGTCACAGCAGAGCCCCCATCTACATTGCCCAAGATGCCGATCAACGACGACGGAGAGATCACGGGCAAATGCCTGACGGCGCACTGCGTGGCGCCTGCTGCTTCGAGCGGTCGACGTCACTGCGGCCACTGCCATACCAACCTCCCCCTCGCGGACTTCAGATACCGCATCGCCGGTTCTCCCACGAACCCCGAGCGCGACAATTTCAGAGTATGTCGGGGATGTCACATGGCCTCCCTCGCGCGCGCGCCTGCTGTCAGACGAAGTTTCCAAGAGAGTTTCCGCCCCTCGCAGGCCGCCGCCACCGCGAGCCCAGAACCCCGGGCGGTTGTACACCCTATCAGAGAACCAGAAGATGCCTATCCCGACTATCGTAAGTAGCTGATGCATATGCATGTGCCCTGCTACTAAGAGAATGACCGGCTGAAACTGCGACAGGCGACCACCTGGATCCGTATCACGGCTTGCGAAGGCCCATATATGGGCCCGAGCCCTACGACGGCTTGAATCATGATTGCGATGATGATGAGCACACTCTTGAGGGTGGCGGCGGCTGGGAGGCGACCCATGATGGCGAAGAGGGCGATGGGCCAGACGACTATGACGGGGATCCCTTCAGCTTTCTGATTAGTCGTAACCAGAGTGGACGGATTGAAAGCGGCTCTGAGGATGATGATGATGATGATGAAGCCCTCTGGGAGGTTTACCGGCGTATCAATATTCCTGAGCCTTATTCCGATGACGACGCGGAGGCGACCAATGATGCGGAAGAGGGCGATGGCCCGGACGAAGATGATGAGGACGACGACGACAATGCAGCTCTCATAGCAGACGTCTTCGATTTTCCGCCTAATAGTGGCAGTGGACAGGTTGAAAGCGGCCCTGATGCTGAATCAGATGAGTCCAGCTCCAGCGTTGGCCATGTCACAACCTCCCCACCTGTCGTCGACTACGTCGAGCTCGCACAGTATCGCTTGATGCATATGGTACGTATCCTTATCCCCAACCTCCTGAAGCAAGCGTATACACCTGTTCTGGGGGTATACCATCCTATGGCCCAGTGTCCAATCAAGCTGACGCCACTTATTAATGAAGAGACCGTGAGTGTTTACGGCAGCGAGTTGGCCAACGATAGGCAAAGAAGAAGAGCAAGCAGAAGCCAATTGTTACGCTGCGCGAGGCTCTACCGGATATCCCAACTGAGCATTGTCCGGATCTTGTTGCATTCCAGTCCAAGATAAAACCACAAGACCGCGGGTTGCCGGTGGTTGTTGTGTACTCCTCCCGTCGATCGGAGGCTCGTCAGAGACAGCGGGTGGCACACGCAATCCCAAATTTCATATACAATGGTTGTATTAACACCTCCCTCCAGACATCTCTACAGCATCCCCAAGAAGAAAAATCTTCCTTACGACTACTACGACTACGCTATCGTAATGGATCCCGCACACAACAACACAGCCGACTGCAAATGTGCCTCGTCAAAAGCTGTTGTGCTTAAGGTCGTGTGGTAGGACAAGAAACTGATTGCGATAGTCGGAGGACAAGTAGGGCTTTGCAACTTGACACGCACGATACCTAGCTAGTTGCGGGTTACTCCCGGAGTAAGATGTGTGTATTGTATGACATGAATCGGAGAAAAATGTTTAATGAACCAGGCAGACCATCCTAACGTGAATAAAGATCTGCGAGTATCATCGTCCACTTTGGAATCGGGTTGTAGCCCTCAATGCTTGCGATGCCTTCAGGCGGCCAGCTCGCAAACTTGGCAACCTTGACAAAGGATCGCTTAGGTAGGGTAGGTTTGAAGTCTTCGGCTAGAAACCCCGTTGATCTGCTTTCTGTGTTGACGACTTAACTTGGCGGGAAAAGTCGAGAAAGTCCGAACAGCTGTCCTCAGGTTCTTTCCCCCTTTCTCCTTTCTCTTCTCAGCTTCCACCGCCACCATGCTGACCTAGAATTGACGATTTTACTAGGTATTGGGATAAGCTGCCGTCACAATCGCGAGTACAACCTCATGGGTTGGTTCTTGCTCAACCACGGCATGTGATGGGTTGTGAGATTTCAAAGTGTTCTATTAAGGAGATTAATTCCAGCTACTCTGGAGCGGCCAGAGTGGCCTTATATATATCCAAGATACTAAAGGAAAGGATACGTGGCCTTATATTGGCCACGTATGTGACAGAGTCACAAATGGGAATGGTGATCCTGAAGGATGACTATGGATGGGCTAACATAGCCCAGAATCCAACATGGGTTAGTCAGACGCTTCATGGCATTCCCATTTTCTATACTTGTAGCTGCCTGCACTAGTAACTCATCCACCGCATGAACTCCAGCCTCGGTATTGCATTGCCACTGTCACTGGCAACACCAAGTCCGTTAGTTGTGAGTGCTATGGCGGCAGGTGATCATGACAACCGCTTTTCGAGCAAGAAATCGGAACTATGCCAAGGCACGTGTAAGCTTCGAAGTGGTCAGGTAGGAAAGCAGTCAAATAAGTATGACAGGCCGTGATGGACCACCGCGGATCTCGCTACCCCTATCCGTCTAATTAAAAGGTGCCCTTGCTCTACCTTATCGCTCTCATAGTTTGCATCGTCGCCGTTATCGCTGATCGTACAAGCCACACTGCAAACCTTATAGCCCAGCTCCCTTTTCCACCTGCAACGGGACAGGATATATATACGAGTTTAGTAGGTTTGCTTGGTAGCCGGGTTGGTACGGCCTAGCGAAATACTGTTACAAAATATTCTTACAAGGTATTCTTAGGCACAGCGGTTCGATTCCCCTAGCGGCTGAAATGTCTTTTCTTTTTTTGGGCCTCGTACCGCTCCCCTTTTTGCATTTCGTTCCTGGCTTGGGGACCGGTACAACTAGCATACCAGTGAGCAATCCGCAGTTTCATGCAGTTGGATTGACTATCCAATTTATAAGTCTATACCCCCAGCGAGACACAAACGGTACACTATAATACACAGCCCACAACTCACCAACCCATCTACCCCCTTCATACTACTTACAAAGTCTTCTCCTTCACCTTCTCACCCCCACCCGTCCACTTCCACGTAGCCCCCCGATGCAAAAGGTAATCCCGACTCCGTATCCCCTTCCAAATGCCATACAACCCGCCCACAGGCCAACAAGCCTTCAACCACGGCTTCCACCCGCTCTCCGGCGGGCCCGTCTTCACCTTGACCTTGTCGTACACGCTCGGCAGCGCCGTGGCCTTGTATTTGTTTCGAAGCGCCTCGTACCACGACCGGTTGCCGTACGCCCTCCAGAACTCGTCCTCCTCGTAATATGTGTGCGCGTACAGCCACTTCATGCCGCCCAGCTCGTCGACCTTGGCCTCGAGCGCGCGGTTGACGCGCACGAACTCCTCGCGGTCCTTGGGGCCCCAGCCCCAGACGCCGATATTAAGCATCTCACCGGCGGGCGCGCCTTTCTGGGCCCGGAGATGCGGGTGGAAGCTGGGGCCTGCGGGCGTCTTGAGGGGGCACAGCCACAGCGGCCAGATGTCCAGCGTGTCGGTCGTGTAGTCGACAAAGGCCTCGGCTGTGTCGTAGGGGATGCCGAGGTCTTGCACGAAGAAGCGCGCGCTCTCGCCGCTGCCGTGCAGAGCGCGGTACAGCATGCGTGTGTGCAAGAAGTCGTCGAGGAACCAGCGGAAGAAGCGCGTGAAAGGCACGGGGCGGAAGTAGTCGAAGGCCGCCTGCCCGACCCAGAACCCGCCCCTGTCGTAGCGGAAGAGATACTCGGCGAGCGGGATGTACTCAGTGAGGGAGCCCTCGGCCTGCTGTTGCGTCTCCGATTCAGCGGCCGAGGACGAGATATCAGTAGCAGTAGTAGCTGTTGCAGACGCACACGACGGAAGCGCCTTCGTGGTCTCCCGCACATGCATGTAATACCACGGATCCCACGCCCGACTAAACGTGCGCACCTTGGCGCCCTGCGGCAGCTCGTCCGTCATCTGCCCCGTGACGACGACGCCATGGCCCTTGGAGAACAGGATGCCATCCACGTAGTCGTTGCCCTCCCTCTTCGTCTCCTCCCTCACGACCCGCACCGCCTCGGCCACGCTGCTCGTCCGTCGATACGTAGTCCGCACGAAGCGCTTCGCCTCGATAAGCCGCAGCTCCAGCAACGTCGTCACGCCCAGCGTGCCCACCGCGCCCGCCGCGCCGCGGAACAGATCGGCGTACTCCCCGGCACCCCCTTCTTTGGACGGCCGCTTCGCGAACACGACGTCGCCATTCGGAAGCACCATCTCCACCCCCTCCACATTCTCATCAAAATACCCATGACGGAACGACGAGCTCTCGCCCGCGGTGCCGGCGAAGCCGCCGCCGGCCGTGATTCCCGGGAACTCCATGACGACGGGGGGCACAAGACCATAAGGCAGGGTGTGCTCGACGAGGCGGTCCATGGGCACGTTGGGCTCGACCAGGGCGGTGCGGCTGGCGGTGTTGACCTCGAGTACGTGCGACAACGCACTGATGTCGACGAGTCGCGTCTGCGCCTTGAGGTGCGCGGGACGCGTACTGTTGGTGCTGCCGTGAAAGATGCGGTAGGGCTCCGCGCGCTCGAAGAAGGACCGCACCGTCGAGGCGATGAGCCGCACTGCCTGCCGGTGGCGCTCCATCTTGGGCTATGGTTGGTGTTGTTGTGCTCCTTGAGACGGAACTGACTGTCTGAGATGAGAGGACCCGAAATACCGCCTCAATTGACCTCCTACGCCCCTGGCGGGCCGATGGCTGTTTGTCGACGAGGTGAGACGATGAGATGATGGACTGGGATGAGGTGTGAAAATTAAGTCGTGAGATCAGATCTAGCTAAAGCCCGGGCGTTGGGACGCTAATTCCGCCCCTTGTAGCCCCTGTAAGCCGCTGGGTTAGACCAGGGGGCTCATAGTTCAGACGCGTTCGCGAATCGCCTCGTATTATGAAGGATATCTACGTAGTCTCTGGTCTCGTTTAAGATCTGTATTATTGCCTGTGTACGTTGGGGTATCATTGTTTGCTGCGGACCCCATCCTTATTTTCCGCCATTATTGATTACCTCATCCTCCTATAAATGCGTGTACGTGCTAGCCGATTCGTTTGGCTGAGCAAACAATGCTATGCTGATCTCTCGAACGGACTAGTATATACCAAAAGTCTGTGAACTCTTTATAGTACCCTGTGCGTCGGAGGAATTAAGTGAAAATCACGCTGAACCAAATGCTGGAAAGCCAAACAACCTCACAGCATCGGTGCCGCTTCAGGCAGAGGCGCCTTTCGCCCTATCCGCTCGTACGCCATGGTCGATACATCCTCCTCACTGAACGGCGTAAGTTTCTTGATATCGATCTCGACCTCTTCCAGTGTCTTGGCCTTGATCGAGGTGAAGGTCGACTTGATGCTCTCCGGATCCTTGCACGCTGCCGTGATGAACTGTGTCCAGCCGTCAAGGTTCCGTCTCGACTCCGGCAGCTTCGTCAGTATCGAGGCGAAGACGTGCGGCATGGCCTCGTACTCCTCGAATACCACCGTGACGCCGTCTTTCGTCAGCTTCGAGGCTAGGTACTTGTCCTCGTCGGCCAGACACTCCCACCCGCAGCAGATGTAGATCGGCGGAGCTCCCTCCCAGCTCTTGCTCAGGTGGAGGCTTGCCAGGGGGTGCAGCATGTATGCGTCGTCGATATAGATGTGTTTCCGCGGTGGCTTTGCTGGCCAAGCCTCATCCGCTGGCGGCTGCTTCGAGGAGAGTAGTTTTGCCGGAGGTAGGTAATCCCATTTCTGGTTCGTCGTCCACGAGGGCATGCTCTGCACAAGGTCCAGCCACGGAGAGTTGGCAGTTACCGCTGCCGGGAGAGGGACTTCTCTCTCCTCGCCAAACCACGGGATCTTGACGTGGTGCCGTCGGAAATGTAGCAGAGTCTGGAGAAGAGATAATGTGAGATTGCCTCCAGCGCTGTAGAGCAGGAATTAGTAAGTTTCCCCGTGCTTAGAATGTCGTGATCTTACCTGTCGCCGCCGAAGACAATATCTCCCGGCGCTACGGCTTCGTGGACAGACCCCGGAGGCGGGTAAAGAAGCGTAAAATAGGAGACCAGGGCGTCCAATACCGCTGATGGGAACGGGTGTTGAGGTGCCAATCGGTACCGTACCGAATAAACCCGTCCCCCCGTGAGCTTGGCCAGTTTCTTGCATAAGGGCCTATGCGTCGACGGATCGCATAGGTAATAAGCTCCCCCATGGAAGTATAGCACGGTCGTCGAGTTCTTGCATTCCTTCATCATCTCATGGTACTTCTGCTCCTCTGTCATCGGTGGAGGTGTCGACTCAGGAGTTGCCGCGGCTCGGTAACCCGTCCATTCCGCTTCGATGGGCACGATATCCGGTATCCTGAAGCTTGTGCTCTTGGTGCCAGCATCGCCCATGTCACTGATGGCGGCCAGCAGTGCGTCTCTTAGTCCCTGCTCGGGAGGCACTTTGGAAGCCACCGTGCTGATCCAGATCCTCCCCCTGACACCCGGATCCGACAAGGTCATAGCCTGAGTCTTGAGAATCCCCCGAGGCTTTGAGCGATCCAGCAGTGACCGCAGGACCGAGATGGTCACATCGCTCCTTAGGTCCAAGTAGTGTGCCGCATCCGACATCTTGAGGACGTGGAGTAGAGCGACACGAACGACCAAGGGTACCTTGGGTAATAACTCCCAATAGAGTCCAAGTTGGGCCTTGCTGATTAGACCAGACTTGCTTTTGCCGTCGGAGGGAGGCATGGAGATGCGGAGCCAGGTAGAAAAAGAAAGTAAAAGTGTCGACGAGTCCCGGTGTATCGGTAACGGTTTTATTTCCCTGGGAATAATGGCCCGTCGCTCGATACTACCTAACGTTGGGGTGGCCGTCCTCGCTTGCGATGTACCTCGGTTGCCGTTGAATGACAAAATGCTCAGCGATTCGACGTCCCGATCCAGGCGTCAGGCACAATGGAACAACTCAACACTCGCACTTCAACTCACTCGGATAGATAATGGTGTGACTAATAAGAAGATGAAAGAGCAAGAGACGGTGAAGACGAGTAATAATAAAGCTTGCACCTACCAAGTTGAAACTCCACTACAAATGTCGGTATCATCATGAACGTGGCAACGCTGCTCCGGGGATCCTGGCGCCCTGGAGAACGCTAATGGGTCGAATCTCGGGCGTATCTGAAGAAGTTCCAAAGCGAACCTCGGCATCTCTGATCAGCCATCCCAAGAGCCGGGCCACTGGGCCAACTGGAGTCGGGTGATGGGAAGTTCGGATGACATAACTTCCGATGCGCCACCTGTGCGACACCGAACGTTTTCCGCTCTCCATTTTCCAACGTTGATTCCGCCTCTTTCCCCCTCCAGTCGGCGATATTTCACCGTTCGCGTTTACAGGCCGGATCAAGTATCCCAAGAGAAATCAGGTATCCCCAGAGAAGCACGGAGCACAGGTGGGCTGCGATCACGTTCAGTCTTCAGATGACAGACATGTGCTTGTCTTTGTGCATGTGTGTGGCGTGCTCGGATGGCTTGCTGGCCGGTGCAGGTAGTACTATCCCCCTATTTGGGTTGCGGTGAGAAATGTCGCAAGTGGCTCTGGAATAGGAAGCCGTGGCGGTCGGGAGCCTTCTTAGCTCTTCGCGATGAACTAGAGATCTCAACATGATTCGCATAATCCACCTGATTAGGTATAGCCGGGAGATCCAGTCGATAGGATTCAGCCATGGCTCTGTACGGTACGAATAAACGCAAGAGAAGACATGAAGCAGCTTTGTACTTGCTACCATCTTAGCTAGTTTCGAGCTGTTGGCTTCTCTCACCATCCAAGGTCAGGACTATCCGAATCCGAGTATGGGCTCGGTTCTCAACTCACTAGGAGCAAGGTTCGTAGCTACAATCGCGAGCATCTCGAATACGCCGTTGATCATACAACCGGGTTTAATACACCAGACTCATCGTTGTTGGTTAGATTCGTCATTGCTGTTGACCCCATCCTTGCCCATGAGCTTCTCTCGAGATGCTCTAACTACACTTTAATAACCATCTGATTCCCGAACCCATGGCGTCTACTGAAACGCCCACCAAGACTGTCCCAAAAACCCGCTTCATACCAGTGTTCCATTCATGATTAAGTATTTTTTTTACAAAGGGCACGCGCCTGAAAGTCCCGTCCATGGAACGAACCAATGACCGACTTGTTATAAAGTTTAAGAGCTGCTTCCGGCACTCTGCTGTGAGCCCCCTGCGCCGTTGTCGGAAGACTTGCTCGCCGCCATCTGCCACGCCGGGATCGAAGCCTTACCGGCCGGCATGCCACTTGCGAAGGGGCTCGAACGGCCCCCTAGGGAAGATATATAGTCCTGCTTGTTGGGATTTGGTCCATTTTCCTCCTTCGCTGTCGCCCCCTTTGCATCACCGTTCTCCTTTGCTGCCGTATCGGGCTTCGGGCTCGTGGCCGGACTGGGAGAAGCGGCGGCGGCGTTGCCACTTGTAGGTCGGAGGTAGTTGTTTGCGCTGGACGGGGCCGGGGCCGGGGCCTGGGCAGCAGAGTTGACCCGCTGCATGATGAGCGCTTTCAGACTCTTCACTTCGTTGCTGACATCCTTCAGTTTGCCGTCGGTGAACTCCTTCTGCGTGGCCATGGACTTGGGTAGAAGTCCGCTCAGGGTCTTCATGTCGTCTCGTAGCCTCTCTGTCTCGTCTTCTTGTCGGCGACCGGCTGATTTGGTATCGCGCATGAATGTCTCCAGCTCCTCGAGGACCTTGTCCAGCTTCTCGTTCCGCTCCTTCTCTGACGCTTTTATAGCTTCCGTGTCTTTCACCAGCTGCTCGATCGCCGCGAATGTCTTTTCGAATTGCTCGTCGACTGTCAACTTGTCCTGGTCGAGTTTCTCCGGCGTCGGCGGCGAAACAAGGGGTGAAATATATCGCTGCTGTCGCGTTAGTCTCCAGGCGAGCAACTTGGAAGAAAGAGCGCTGATAGCCGTACCTTTGTGATAAAGTATAGACCGTATCCAACTCCCCCCATCACCGTAGCCATGATGAACCAGTCCCGCCAGTCCCTCTTAGGCGGCGCTGGGGGCGGAGCTTGCCATCCGTAGGGCGGCTGTTGGTATTGGCCATAATACGGTTGCTGTTGGACGGGTCCAGAAACAGCTTGTGACGGTACCGGGGGCGCAGGAACGGATCCTGGAGATGTGCCAGTGCGCGCGAAAGCCGCATCGATCTCTTCTTGCGTCAGGTTCTTCGATCGTAGGAACGAGAGTTTGTTTTCGAGGGGAGATGATACGATGTTCGGATCCTGGAGGACTGCATCGCATACTATTAGCACAGGCCGACCACTGGGGCGGGAAGTGTAGACGCAAGTAGACACTTACAGGAGACCGCAGAGGACACGACGTCCTCGCGAATAGCCATGATTGTAGCTTGAGCGTCTGGCAAGGTGTCAAGTCATGGCAGGATGAACCCTTTGGCGCTCAGACTATGCGAGTTGACAATGCGAAGCGCCAAAGTCGTTGCGTGCGGGCGAGACAGCACTACCCTGGACTGTAGATGACGAACTCGGGCCAAGAAAAGATGGAGGCCGGTCTGAGCCGAGGCTCGCAGCTGCTTCTGACTACACACACCAGCCGTGCCAGCCTCATCTGGCTTTGCACAGTCAGCCACTTCTGAATTCCTTCATCGATCAACACCTGCAGCTCCTCGTTCATACATGATACCGTGAAGGTACCTATTAATACTCAGTCGAATACCCTCCGTCTGGGTTTATGCGAATGATACGCCAAAGCTGTACCCAACAGCCGTTAGGCCAGTACCATAGTCGGTTAGTGAGGCCTGTAAAGTTAATACACGAGCTTCATTCTTGAATTCTCCCACTCATGAAACTACAGCACAGACATTCACGAAATCCTCAGTTCATCTCACCAACTCCAACGTGAAGTCTCAGACCACATCCAGTCTTCTCATCTATACCTCATCCCTATCACTCCATTTTTTAGCCAGCCATATAGCTAAAGCTCCCACCACTATAGAGAGCGGACATCATCGCAATGCCACCCGACGCGATGCAGCCATATCAGCCCCTTATAATAGATCAGAGAGACATACCCCATCTGTCTCTCCTCTCTAGAATGATATATACCGAGCAAGAGCAAAACCCCACCATCCCAATACGCCGGCCGTAATGACGAGTTTTTGAAAGCCATTGCATGAAAACGAAAAAGCAAACCCACCATCCCTCCATTGTGGTTATTGTGGCCATCTTTGCCGTCACCAACTCAACAACCCCTTGCCGCGATCAAACCCGCCCCGCAGCTGGCTGTCAGCTTTGACGACCTTGCCCTGCAGCACCGTGAACTTGACGATGTTCTCGCAGTCCTCGGGCCTGACGCGCGCGAGCCATATGCACTGCGCGGCGCCGACGTCTGCTTCTGCTTCTTCCGCCCCTTCTACCTTCTCCACCCCACTCTCCTTTTCTTGTGCACCCTCCCCAGCAGTCGCAACAACAGGCGCCTCCGTCGCCTTCTTCGCAACCGTCTTCTGCACAACCCGCACCTCTTCACCGGGCCCCAACCGGCCCCTCTCCACGCCGTCGACGCCGAACGCGTCCGGCCGGCGGTACACCATCATGTTGGCCGAGTACTTGTGCCCGCCGACGTGACTAATAAAATAAACGCCCACGCCGCCCGGCCGCTCGTCGTCGAGGTCGCGGAACAGGCCCAGGGGCCGCAGGTGGCGTTCCAGCTCCTTGCGCAGGATCGGCGCGCTCTGTCCGCAGCGCGCGTCGCGGGTCTTCTGCGAGCAGAGGAGGATCAGCGCCCGGTGCGGACTGGGGCGCGCGAGCAGCTCCCTCGCCTCGGGGTGCTGGAGCTTGACGTCGTCGGGTAGGGGTAAGGATTTCGGGAGTGAGACTGGGGATAGCGGGTCGGTGTTGGTGGGTGCGCGGTTGATGTATGCGGAGATGAGGGCGGGAACCGCGGCCGGCGTGACGTTTTCGATGATGGTGAAGGCGGGGAGGAGCACGATTGTCGTGGGCTCGGCGTAGTCGGCATGGTGCGAGGGCGTCGGGATGTTGGAGGCGGAGAGCATGAGGCGCTGTTGTTTTGCTTCTTGTCAGTTACTGATCGTGAATCTGAGTGCCCAGCAACAATGCGACGCACACCAGCGCATAGGTGGACGGGAAGAAAAAGTAAGTAATCGTAGTCCAACCTACCCCATTTTCCGGCTTCTCCGCGCGCCCAAAGGCCTGCATGACACTCCCCTTCTCGTCCTCAACGTCGCGCACCCAGTCGGTCTTGCCGGTGGCAACTAGCACGTGCGTGCTCCAGCCCTTGATGTGGCCGTACAGCAAATCCTCATCGTCGATCTTAAAGCCGCGCGGGTACGACACATGGCAGCTCTCGCAGTCGTGGTCGCAGTCCTCGCCGTCAACCGCCGGGTCCGTCGGCGGGAAGAGCTCCGCCATCTTCGCCGCCGTGGGCTGGGAGCCGCCGCCAGCGACCCCGAGCTTCCCAAAGAGCGACTTGAGGCCGAGCGCCATCTTCTGCTTGAGCGGTGGCTGCGGCTGCGATGGTTTTTGCTGTTGCTGGCGAGCTTGCGGTTTGGAGAGAGATGGGGAGGAGGAGGAGGAGGAGGAGGAGGGCGCAGAGGGAGGAGGCGGTTGTGGTGTCGAGGTGGAGGACGGGTGTGCCGCCATTGTGACGGCGGCCCGGGAATTAGTGATTGATAAGATGAAAGTGTTCACCCCGTATTATTCTCCGTGATCTGATCGCGCTAGTCAGTTCGTGCATCCACACCAATCCCAGCAGCTCAGCCGAGCACGGCAAGTGGGGCTTGAAGATTCCCCGTGAAGTCATGTAGGCATTACGTAGGCGGAGGACCGGACCGACGTATAGTGGTTTGTTTGACCATTTGGAATAGGAGCGGTTGGTGTGTTCTAGGGGTACATACAGGGTAGTATTTCTCCCGTATCGACGGCTTATACGGAGCGCCGAGCTCGAGTTTGCCAAAGGGGATGAACGAACAATCGTGTAAGATGCCAAGGCCGGGCCTGTTATAGATGGTCCCTTGTGTCACTACCTCGCAACGTCGCAAAGCAAACCATCAACTGGCAAACACGGAATAAACATAAACGAAATAACCATAAGGTGTTGAGGTTTGAGAGGTGAGATATTACAAAGCTCTGGATGCCAGTGAAAGGGATTGGCCTCAGGTCCTCAACATTCGGCAACGGGTTGATCGGTCGGCCGAACACCTGCTCCTTCGGTCATACGAAGGAAGTCCGCGCACGGAGAAGACGGTCGGCCTCGGAGCTAGCTGTGGAACAGAGCTGACAACAATATCGCCGAGGACAGCTGACGTCAAGTTTATCAGATCGAACCTAACGATTCTACTGGCCAAGACTCCTGACAAGGGTCTAAGTCTTTGAGACATTTCGACCTCAGAGCAGTGCAGGCGCGCTGTGAAGACTATGAGGGTAGATGTTTGGAGACTCAGCCTCAAAAGCAGCTCTAAATACACACCGAAGACCATGATCAATCAAACCATATCCAAAGGCCATAGTTGTTCAAGTAATACGCTCCATGAGTCTGGGTATGCCCCTAAACTATCTTCAAGGAAAACACCACATAATATCACTGCTCGAGGCCAATGAAGTCACACCAAGATGGATGACGACAAACAAGAAACCCGCCTTACTCGGTACTATAGCCACTCTTCTCGCCAGTCTCGCCGTCACTCGAGACAATAGAGACACCACTCTTTCTCCTCCGCAGCCCCCTTTGTCGCATTGCGGTCCTTATCTTGCTGTTAGCCTCGGCAAAGCCCTCCTGCGAGTCCAACTTCGTGAAGCCCGAGATCGGGAAGCCCCCAGACACGAAGCCCCCACTGCCAGCGCTGTTGCTTCGACTCCGGCTTCTGCTCCTACTTCTACTCCTATTTCGCGATGGGGGCCGGGTCGCGAATATGCCAACAGCACCAATGTTGCTGAACGACTCGTTCCGGGGAATCGCGCGGCTCGACTGCGTAGTGTTTCTCCGTGATACGCTTGGCGAGTCGGGAGGCGTAGATTCATTCGAGTCGGTGCCCCGGTGCATTCCAGCTTGCTCTGGCGAGCTGAGGAAGCCGTCCTCGCGGAAGGGGTCCGAGACGAGCCGAGTATGGTCGAAATCCTCGTACATGTCTGGACCAAGATCGTTGATCACCGAAACGACCTTCTCAGATAATTTGGCCCGCCTCTCACGCAGCTTGTGGACATTGTAGCTCGACGTCGGACTGATACACAGAACAAGCGGCCGAAGGGACTTGAGGATGTCCATTCCGACCTCGCCTATGCGAAAAGCGGCGTAGGTGATGGCAGGAAATATGATCCAAGCAATCATGTAAACGAGCCAGAACGGTACCCAGTCAGGTACATAACCCCAGAGATGATCTTGGTAAACCTTGACCGCAAGTGTTATGGAATAGAGGTTGTAAAGCGCAGGTGCAAATGACATGGCGACAAGAAGCTTCCACGTTGCCATCACATCCCGACCTTGGATCTTGACGGACGAGCCGGCAAGTGCTTCCTTCGCTTTCTTGTGGCTGATGTACTTCGTCGCGACGAAGACGGGGGCAAAGAGAACCAAGCCCGGGACTACACCGATAGAGAGTACCAGTATCTTAGCCACCCGATACAGAAGAGTGAAAATGACGGTCGGTAGAGTCATCTTGGCGTAGGAGACTTGGTGGTCCTTGATGTTCAGGTAGTGAAGCTGCTTATTGTAGTCCCTGAGATTATCCATCAGGTTGGCAATGCGCGGATCCTCCTTGTACTTTGAGAAACCCACGGCCAGCCGTCTGTTGAGTTCCACTACCATTGGCAGAGGCATCTTTCTTCCCGTGTTGTAGAGACGCCGCGCCGCCTGTATGCACATCAGAGTGTCGTAGTCCGGGGAGGACACCGTGACGGCACTGAGAGCCTGATGGACCATGTCGAGGGTCTGGCCTATTGCATCTCTCCGTTCGTTGTTCTTGTACTTGTCGACTATATCCCTCGGAATCTTGAACGGCGCACCGAACTCAACCACAGCCCGCGATCGGAACTTGTGGGCATGGAAGTAATTCATGCCAACAGGCACGATTTGCAGTCCACAGTCAGGGTCCTCAGCCAGAGTACCAAGTGCCATAATAGCCACACCTGCCTTCAGTGGTAGCAATTCCGTTCTGTCATGACTACCACCTTCGGGGAAGATTCCGATACAGCCGCCCGTCCTCAACCGGGTGAAGACGGCCTTGTAGACATCGGTTTGGTCAATGTGAGGGGCCAGCTTGTACTTGGTGCCCTCGTACCCATCCTTCGGTCCCTTAAATTGTCGGTCACCCAGGTTTCCCTGCCCATCGATGTCGTCTCGTCCAGTGAGCTGTCGCATGGGGAGCTTCCCCTTGAACGGCCGCTTGGTTCGCAGCTCTTCCGGCCCAATGATCTTAGAGATGTCGACGGAGCTTCCGGACTCGCCCTTGACGGAAGGCAAGAAGATCATACCGCCGATCTCGGCCTCCTTTTCAAAGTCGGTCCCAACGCCTCGTATAAGTGTAGGGTCGTTGATCGGGTCGGGAAGGTAGATGAAGCCTGTTGCCGCTTTCGCCTTATCCTGTGCTCGTCCGACCGGGACCGAGCCCGTCTGTCGCGAGCCCCATCCGATGAAGCCATGTACAGATTTCTCGGCGATAAGGAGGCCGACGCGTCGGTTGGCTTCGACCTTCAGGGTCCTCTGGAGAACGAGGCCGTCAACGAACTGGTTGGCATGCGGTGCTGCGACGAATAGGATGGGGCCGGATTTCGGGACTTTCCATGCTCCTCTCGGATGGACTTCGCGGAAGAACAGGTCAACCAGGACGGCGAAGACGTGCAGGAACGCATCGTACTTCCACGGCGTCATGGGGTACAGCTCCTTCTGCTTCGTAGGTTCCGAGGCGCCCGACGGAGGCGCCCCGTTGCTGGTGGTGATTTGATCTGCCATGGCCTAGGCCCTGCCGTCGAGGTTCCTTAGATATGTTGATAGAGGGACTCGGACGGAGGACAATGTCTCGCGATTGAGAGGTATCCCATCGACTAGGATTGGCTGTGGAATGTTGTTCGCATCGATGCCGACTGGTCACTGCGGGGTCGCTGTGGAAGAATGCGTCACGCCTGAAAAGCGTTTCTGTCGTTGAGCTGGCGAGGTCTCACAAGTATATGAGACAACGAGCGAGTAAGTAGCTGGGGCAGCTGAAGGAGGCAACTTTTCTAGAACAGGATCGCGAGCGTCAGGTTTCGGAGAAATGGGTTGGTCGCATGGGCGAAGGAGCCTGGAAGCCTGGCTACATAGGCGCAGGCGGCGTGGGCAGGACAGAAATAAGAGAAAATAATCCCTGTAAACGCTAACAAGTCCCGCCCTTTGACTTTAATACCTCCTGGATAAGGCGCCTATCTATCTAGATGAGGGGCACAACGCTGCTGTCTGGCTTTCAAGTGTCACCAAGTCTTGTCGTGAAATGTCCAGCAGGGCTGAAGAAACCGTATACGTATGTCCCTTTTTGAGTCCACAAGAGATATTAAGGTATCGTCTGCTTCTTTCGTTGGGGCTCGCCATTGATTTCCACGTCTGCAGCAATCAAGCTACGGGGCGTGTTCCGTACGAATCACAGGTTTGAGGCTTTAATACTCAATTACTTGGTTTAGAAGTCGTTCTCATTGTCAAGAGCTACGTAGTACACACGTATGAGCCAACATGACAGATGAATGCTCATGTCTAGTCGGACCGGTGAATAAGGGCCAGCGACCCCGGCAGCAGGACATCGCATGTGCATCGCCTTGGCTTTCCCGGTCTTCTGGCGCACGTCCGAGGATACCTTACTTTCTCGCTGTAGTGCTGCGTAAGGCACACCTCATATGCATGTGTTGAGCCGTGGCCCATGCTAGGGCGGACATTATAGTCTACGCCTTGGCCTTCCCCTTGCCCTTTCGGCGTTTCTTCTCCTCCGGTAGAGCCACACTGCCCTCCTGGATCTCGCCTTCCTCCACCTTCCCCTCAGCCTCGAGCTCCTTGAGCTTCTCCTGGCCCGAGATGAACATGGTCAGGTCGTGGTTCTGATCCTTTAGGTCCGCGTTTTCCAGCTTCATTTCGTTGACCTGTTCACTGAGGCTCTCCATCTCCTTGTTGACGTGCTCGATCCGCTTCATCAGACCTTCCGACACCTTCTTCTCTTCCTGAAAACTCTTGCCAAGGCTCCTTGCTAGGTCTGTCGACTTGCTTGCGCGCATGCGTTCGCGCTGCAGATCCTTCTCCAGCGAGGGGATGGTAGTTGTGCGCAGGTGATGTTTATCGTCCTTGAGCGCCCGTAGTTCCTTCAATGCCTCTGATGCCTGCGCTGCCGCCATCTCTGCAGCAGCCGACGCCTTCGTAGCCTTGTCAGCTGCTTTCGAAAGCATCTCCTCGAAGTAGACGCGCTGGCTCTCCAGCTGACTGGTAAGGAGGTGTGTGTACTCCATGCCGATGTTTTCAAGCTTCGCTCTTGGCACGACATCTGCATTTTCATGCCCCCCATGCCCGTTGGGTCCTCCCTGATGTCCAGGCAATTCGACCACTTTGCCATCGCCCTTATCCCTAATCAAACGATGAACCCACATGTCGCCAGCGTAGTCCCAAACGTGCTGGGTATCCAGCTCCAACGAGAACGTATGTGCCGTGTCCTTCCAATGCTCCTTTGCGTGACCTCCTTTGTATCTTCCACAGCCCACGTTGCCGCAGACTAGGCATATCCAAAGATCGTCAGGGGAGTCACACACGGAGCATAGGTTGGATACGTGGGAGCCGAAGGGTTGGGTGAAGGGATTGCCGGAATCGTACGGTGCCGTAGGAACAGAGGTGGAAGGGACATATTGGCTATTCGCGCTGATCGACGGATTCGTGTGTCGACAGACTGGACAGCCAGATCCTTTCCACTTCTGTAGGCACGAGCAATGGAACACGTGCTGGCAGGGAATCGTCAACAAGCCAGTAGTGTCATCCATGCGCTCTAGACAGACGGGACAGGTTGGCAGCTCAATCAGGTTCGGTGTCGGCGGCGGGAACGGCTTCAGCGACTTAGAGGTGGACGAGGAGGACGTCGGCGTGAAGGGGTCATGGCTGAGGTCTGGAAAGCTACCGTTCGAAATACTAGGCGTCTCGAAGGTAATAGATCTGATGAATGCGACAATACAAGTCTCTGGCTGCACGAGAATTAGAGACCGTTAATGTACATGTTACGCCATAAACACAGGGAGTACGTACCTCAATGTCGTTGAAGACTTTGCCATCAAAGTGCCGTCGGAATATGTGCGCCCGTTTGCTGTCACGAAACTTCATGAGCACAAGATATCTGTTCATGCGACCCGTCATAACCATTCGATAGTGGCTGACCTCGTCCCTCCACTTCTCACCCACGAAGCCCAGAAAGTCGCTCGGGGAAAGATAGCTCGGCACGGCCGGTATGCATACGGTGGTACAGTCAACCTGCTCGTCATCTTGCTCGTCCTCGGGTTCGCCATCCCGCGGAACAGCGAGCTCTGAGGTCTGGTCGCCTTCCCGGTATAAGTGCACGATACCCCAGCCCAGGTTCGTGTTCTTTGCCGTCGCGAGTGGGACGTATTTCGCTTTCGTGGCTTTGCCGGCGCTGCCCATAGATGGGCCCACGGCTGCCGCAGCCGCAGAACTCGTTGCACCCTGCATCTTATCCCGATCTTGGTAATTGTCCACGTCGATGCTCTCCACGTTGAGCGGCCCGAACCTCCAATCTCTCAGTGCGGTCTGCGGGTTGATGGCGGCGGAGGACTGTGGAGGCGGGAAGCTGAACGTCCGCTGCCGCTGCTGTCTCTCGCTTAGGATGACAATATTCCGTTCGTCTCGCGCTTCGGGTGGTCGCGGGGCACCGCAGTCGATTACACTATTGTCGACCTTGGACTGCGTGTTCGGCTCCGTCTCTTGGGAATGGTTCCGGCGTTTCGGCAGGCTGTGGATCGGGATCGTCGACTGTGTCCGAGGGTGCGACGGGAGGTTGTCGAATATGCTCGACTGTTTCTCTGGAAGCCAGATCTGAGTTTCCGGAACAATGGAGGTCTTCACTGCCTGTTCAGAGACAGAGGGAGACTTTGGGTAGAGCTCGAACTTGAGATGGTAGAAGTACGAAGGCATCGCCTACTGTGTTCTTCGCATGCAGTTCGGCAGACTGCATTACATCAAAGAAATATGAGGAAAGATTTGTACGTGGCAAGGCACCGGACCTAGCTTCTAAGGCGGGAGATAAACTTCGACGTCGCCTGGCTCTCGAGAAGCAGCATCTGGCATCATCTTCAGTTTCATGGGATGTTGCTGTGACAGTAGAGCTGAGAGGAAAAAAGATTCATTCCGGTGGATGATAAGCCGACAGGACGTGTCGCACTACTGTGCCCGCAGGGTTGACCTGGCAGCTTGTGATGGGGGTGGGTACAGTGCCCGCAGGTGCCACATTCAGTGGGCTCCGCTGATTACGTAGCCATGTTGGAACGATTGCCTCACAATACGGCATAACACAATTTACAAAGCAAGCAAGACGTTGGTTGAAGTAGCTGTCAATGAAACTGATAGTATTCATCGGAGCATCATTTGGCATGATGCATCAGCAGCCCTAGCGGCAAGTATTGGCGCTATGAATGTCATTACTCAAATGGCCATATCCCAGTCCCAACCATAACGCCAGATCGTGAAGGTATCGTCATCTCCAGTTCCGTGCACCTATTGACCACCACGAAGACGGAGGACCAGGTGAAGTGTGGATTCCTTCTGGATGTTGTAGTCGCTCAAAGTGCGACCATCCTCCAGCTGCTTACCAGCAAAGATAAGACGCTGTTGGTCCGGGGGGATACCCTCCTTGTCCTGAATCTTGCTCTTTACGTTGTCGATGGTGTCAGATGATTCCACCTCCAGCGTAATAGTCTTTCCGGTCAGGGTCTTGACGAAGATCTGCATACCACCACGCAGACGGAGGACCAAGTGCAAGGTTGACTCCTTCTGAATGTTGTAGTCGCTCAGCGTTCGGCCATCCTCCAACTGCTTACCAGCGAAGATAAGTCGCTGTTGGTCCGGAGGAATACCCTCCTTGTCCTGAATCTTGGACTTGACATTGTCGATGGTATCCGAAGACTCAACTTCGAGCGTGATGGTCTTTCCGGTGAGAGTCTTGACGAAGATCTGCATACCTCCACGGAGGCGCAGCACGAGGTGAAGGGTGGACTCCTTCTGGATGTTGTAGTCGGACAGGGTTCGGCCATCCTCGAGTTGCTTACCAGCGAAAATCAATCGCTGTTGGTCAGGGGGGATGCCCTCCTTGTCCTGGATCTTCGACTTGACATTGTCAATGGTGTCGGATGACTCGACCTCGAGGGTGATGGTCTTGCCAGTGAGGGTCTTGACAACTGCGGAACGATTAGTACAGTGCTCGCTTGGGGAAGGCTCTTGAGCGGCGAGGTTTCAACTTACAGATCTGCATGCCACCACGAAGACGGAGGACAAGGTGCAGGGTGCTCTCCTTCTGGATGTTGTAGTCAGAGAGGGTGCGACCGTCCTCGAGTTGCTTGCCAGCGAAGATCAATCGCTGTTGGTCCGGGGGAATGCCTTCCTTGTCCTGGATCTTGGACTTGACGTTGTCGATCGTGTCGGAGGACTCGACCTCAAGGGTGATGGTCTTGCCAGTGAGAGTCTTGACGAAGATCTGCATGATGGCGGTATTGACGATGTGTGAAGATTGGGTTGAGTAGTACGCTGATGGTGACGATGATTGTGGGTGCGATGCACGAAGTGGTGAGATGGATGGCGGATGGGTGGGTTGTGTGTGGTTGTGGATGTGGGAAGAAGAGGAGAGGAGAAGGGTTGCGAGTTGTAGGTGCAGGTCGGAGGGTTGAAATAGGTTGGGAGCGCAACCGGATAACCTGAGGGGAGCTGGGGAGGCGCAGTGGCAGTTGCTCTGGAAGCCTTGAGAAAGGGCATGCACGAGTGGGGGGATAAGGGTGCTTGGGCCAATTACGTGGCAGCAACCAGGAATGATTCATCGGGTTGGCAGGTTGGACAGGCCAGCAGCGCTGAGTGATAGCCTGATAGGACGATGGCGGGGGGAAGGAGCGAGAAGGGGCTGGACTCCACCGGGTGTTCGTGCAAGCAATGTACACTGAACCCTCATAAGTCGCGGTAAATCGGCATCAGCAAACCGGAATAAGCAGTTGGATCTTTATTAGCCATCCTTGACGCTTATTCCTGGGTGGTTGTTTCAGTATTTCCAACTATCCCACTGGTTTGCTGGAATCTTGATAACATGCGCGTACGGAGACTTATGAGGGCTGAGTGTAGCATGTACTTACTTTACTTACTTTAAAGTGAATTGACCCGGTAAACAAAGGTCGTGGCGACTTCTGCTGCTTTGCTGTAAAATACAAATCCACAGTGGCGTGGTGGTGCCCTCAAGGTGGCTCTAGTCCGGGTTGTTAATAATAAATCGACGCAAACTTACGGTACAGTGACGTGGAGGCCGTTTATGGTATTCTATGGATATCTACGCGGAGGTTCGATCGGCTCTGTTCTCAAGAGCAAAAGAAATGGAAGGAACGGGAGTGCTGTTGGTGGTAGGTAGGAGGACCTCGAGTAGATGCTCACCGAGCTCCTGTTATCTAAAACACGTCATGTGGTCTCTGGGGGAGGGGTCCGCGATAAGGCCGGGCACGCCGGGTCACGCATGAGACAGTCGAGACACGATCAAAACCACCAAATTCTATCATCTCTGGGTGACACTGGTGACTCAATCATGCACATATTGAATGCGGTACCAGTTTATGGTCTCTACAAATCCCACCAGAATAAGTCAACAATGCAGCGGCTCCCACTGGGCTGCTGGGGTTTGGAGGAGGCGGTGGCGAACAGATCCCCCCCGGATCTCGGGATCAGCTCTCTCGGGAGCCGCCGAGCGCACATGCAAGACAGCCGAGACAGCCAGCCAGAGCCTCAAACACGCCGATCTCTACCGTACCATCCCTTTACATGAATGTCTTCTCCTGAATACTTGTTCGCGGTTCTCATCTTTGTCGTGAGTGAGTCACTTCTACTCTTCGTGATGAAGCATCTCGGTCTCGTCGAGCCCACTCCCACTGGCATCCGACTGCGGGGTCTGACCACCTCGGAGCGGCCGGCGTCATATTCGTGAGGGGTGCTATCCCGCGAGAGCCGCGAATCCCGGCAGGTACAAGTAAATAATTTATGAATAGACAAATATGCAGATAACACGTCTCATATCGACGGCACGATTGCTCCAGCAGTGCGGATACCATGTTTGAATGAAGTGCTCACACTGATAGCATGCTCAATGAACCGCTACGTAGTCTCACAAGCGTGTAACTGATCTCCATCCATCGACGAAGGTAAGCTAGGTGAAATCGCTCAGAGATCTATCCAGCGAGCATGAACATGCCAAGCCGTTCATCGTCGAGCTGAAAGCAATGGCGGTAAATTGAAACATGGAGAAATGGTGGTCCTAGATATATGAGTGGGAAAAACAAGAGCCAAGGATACTCACTCATACGCTCATGCGCATCCTCACCGACACCTCTCGGCGATGGACAGTGGAATGCCAAACTGGAGGATAGGTATGTACAGGTGAGAGGAGCGGACGACCAACTGACTCTATGAGGATACTTCACTATCAAGAAGTACTATCACAGTGCACAAAGACTGACTTACATTGACGCAACGGCCTTTTGGGCTCGCCTGCTCCCCCGAATCGAACATCCAACATCCAACATATAAGAAGTCCATCCGGTGAAGGATTCCAAAATACAACACCAAGCGTAGCACCTCCACACTTGCATCCTCACACCCCTTGCGCGAACTACACAAGGCAGGCAATAGCGATCAAAAGACCACTACCACACGCCGAGACGACCAGTTCCCTGACTGGTCATCCTCCCCAACGTCGTACTCTGGCGGTGCGCGAGGTCGATAAGTGGCCTATCTTTTCGTGCCTGACGTCGCATCCAATTTCGCACGGCGCTTACGGAGGCATGCAGTAGGACTCGACTGCTACGCGACGTTTGTGAAGGTGGCTTACTTGCATGTAGTAGGTGAGACGAGGGTTACAACCGTTCTGGACACCCCGAAAGGATTTTTTTTTCGGACAACTTGAGTAAGAGGCGCAGTATCAAGCTCACGGAAGCGCGGTGGTATGGTTGAGATCGGTAATGTTCATTAGAATATGTCTGTCTCTCGTAGGCATATCGTGTCTGTCATACAAATCAACGTCAACCAGAGCGAACCTCCCTTCCGAGGGAAAGCTGAACCCTGCAAATGCCCATCCATTGATCCGTGAAAGCTATTGAGGCCGTTTCCACCCTGACAGACACCTAAGAAGCAATGTTTGTATTCTATGCTCTTGTACGTATCCGCCTGAGTGACTGTGTTCCCCTGCCATAGTATCCCCGTATCATAAAACATGATCCCATAAGACGCTTTTGGCGCTTGCGCGTGAAGTGGTGGTAATCATCCATAAATTCCGAAATCATACATTCATTGAATCAGCCGTAAAAGTGGTCGTAAATTCGGAGCAAACATGACGTGAATCTGCATGCAATCGTGATGACGTGGTGTAAACGTTGTGTGCGTCAAGTGGCGGTGACCAGCCGGGAAGTGAGAGTTAGAATGAGAGAGAAGGTGTGTTGGGTCGACATGGTGGTGATGGTTAGGTCATGATGAAGTGATCATACCCTCGGAAACGCCGTCGCTAAATGTCTGCAGCAATTTGGACAAATGAAACAAATATCAACGCGGACAAAAGGAAATGGGCCAGTCAAGCGCATGAACCCAGCGAGGGAGTGGCATCTTCATATGGACACCAACCCCCTCAGCTGTTGGCCTTGATGACCAACTTTGACAGAAACTTATTCGATAAGGAATCGAAATCATATCTGTCAAACTTCGCAGTATGTCTTGTACGGAGGTAGGATTCTGGGCACAAGTCAGCAAGCGGAGCCGTGTTCGAGATGCAGGGTCTTCTCTTACCATGCTTCAAGACATGCTGTCGTACTTCCGTCATGGCTTCGCAAACAGCAACATTGTTGTTCAGTAGGTGACCATGTCGCTGGCTATCCCAGTCTATCAAGGAGGGAAGCTTTTGGGAGATGGCATGGAAGAGACCAGTAATCACTCCAACCGGGGTGGATTCCATTTCATTGCAAAAGTGGTTGACAGCGACGGGGTCGGGTACCCGGTAGTGGCAATCAAACTGCATCTCCTCCCAGACGGCCAATAGAATGGAAGCCAACATGAAGATCGTGGGCCAGTTCTTGAGGCGGTCACCGCTGTATACACTAGAGTACAGCGACGAGAGCTCCTCAAGAATGTCCTTCTGCAGCTCACGCCACATGTCCGCCATCGCACACTTGATCTGGAAGTTGATCATGACAGGAGCGACGTACTTCCCGAAGTACTTGGAGTCCTCATCATCGATCTGGCCATCCAGAGTTTGCTCGGATCCTTGTTGCTCAACTAGGGTGATGTGCATTGTGAGGTTGTAGGCCAAGACAAGCTTGAGTGCCTTGCGGATGACGGGCAGTTTCTCCTTGGTGTAGAACCGGTAGGCAGTCTTGAGGATCTCGGTGATGAAAGGCGTTCCCTCGAAGTGATCATCAATGAAGTTTTCGAAGCCGCTCTCGATGTGCTTGTCCAGGTACTCGGCCAGGGCTTCCATGTTGATGCCTCCTTCTCCGACGTCGAGCTTCTCAGTCTTGAGTTCGAACTCGATTGGCTCTTGGTCAACCTGGTACGACTCGACCCAGTCGACTTGGAAACAGCTGTCGTCTGCAACGAACACCTCGCGAACCATGACGGGCAGGCAGAAACCATAGCCATGCGTGATCCACATCAAGTTTTCCTTCGGTGCGAAGCCCTTGACGTTGTAGACAGAGACACCGCGACCAAGGTGTCGCTCGTAGTCGGCCTTCCAATCCTTCATGAAATAGCCGATGTCCTTGATATCAATGCGCGTGCAAGGGACCTGCCAAAGTCGAGCATGTGATGGCTGGCAACCAGCACATGGCTCGCCCTTGTCGCAAGTCTTCTTGAGAAACTTGCATCGAAGACAGGCACGGAGTTTTCTAATCTCGCTGGCCTGCTTCCGCTGCTCGGGGCGAAGAGGACCCTTTCTGCGTCCGACCTTCTTCTCAGCCGCCCCCTCCTTCTTTCCATTGGAAGTACGTCTGATGACCGATTTGGTCGACTTGGCAATGGGGCTCTTCTTGGGACCCGAGTTCCTTCGAGCGGTGGTATGCGTTGGTGAGGCAACTCCAGATCCGCTGGCAGGGCTGGGGCGGGTAGCGATAGGCGAAGTCTTGATCGGCATCGGGGCGACGGCTGCAGCCGGGCTGATGTTCTCGTGAGAATGGTGGCTCTCGCCGTGGAAACAGTTGCGGTGACTCGAGGGATCCGAGTACGTATCAGACTCTGGTGAGAACGGTGAGTAATTGAACGACACATCTTCGTAACTGCTGCTGCTGAACTCGACAGGCTGGCCACTGCCATCCGAATGCGAAGCATCCGAGTTCGTCCTCAGATGTAACGTCTGGCTTGGGTTGAATATTGCCGTCGTATTCTGGGCGTGAGCGTGGGCCTGGTGGTGAGCGTGCTGATAAGTCTCGTAGTTCTGGTACATCTCGACCTGGGTCCAGCCATTCTCACTCGATCCCGGCAGCGACAGTACCTCTAGGAAAGTTCCAGTCGGAGACTGACTTCCCAGGCTTCCAAACCGCGGAAGGCCGTCGGCCGGGTACTGCAACGAGGTGCCGAAGTCTTGCCAATTTCCCATGCCCATTCCCATTCCCTCCCACTGCTGCTGCATAGTCCGAGCATCCTCGATAGGCGAGACGCTGTTGAAGCTCTGTTCCATTGGAATTCCTGATTCGAGCGCGGTCTGGGTAGTTGCTGGCAGATACTCGATGGCGTTGGTCTGGAAACCGGCGGTGAAAGGGTTGAAGGGTATCAAGCCGTTGAAATGGGAGAGTTCCTGCACAGGAGGATGTTGCTGCTGGTGTTGAAGTAGGGTCCAGTCAGTCAGAAGAGGGGGCGAAGGGCCGGCCTGGGAAACAGCAGTTGTTTGATAGGGCGAGTGTTGCAGAGGACTCGCATGCGGTTGGGCGGGCGAGTGCGACTGCGAATGCTGGGACTCGCCCGGGGACGACACATTGCTCGAGTTCCGGTTGTGTGCCATCTCCATCGGCATCGACCAGGCTCCTGGCGGCGGACAAGTGGGCGCCATTGTAGTAGCAGCCGATAAGACGGGATTGGTGCCCGGGGCAGCGGTGGTGTAGGGATAATGGTCCCGGTGGTGATCGAACGAAGTCAGGTCCAGCAGCGCGTCTCCCCCAGCGGCGTTGTAATCGAGGGTCATTGTGTCAGGAAGCAGGTAAAGGGACGAAGGTTCGACGTGAGGAGTGGACGACAGCGCCGCTAGTATTATTGACGAGCAGGACGGACACCGCTCTTTCGTGGTCGTGCCTCTGGTCGCTGACGGGCAGCTTCAGAGGGTGGGAAGGGGGAGGAGGAGATGTCAGAATGCGGAGGAGGTGAGATTTCGAGTGAGATCGAGGGCGCGGAGGGGGGGAGCGGCCCTTGGGAAAGCCTTGGGGCGGCGATGAAGAGGTGAAGGGGACGCACCGGATTGTGCGAGGCCAGACGGGCAACTGGCGGTGAGGAGAGCGACGTTGGCGTGGCCGTCCCACCTGCACGCTGCAGCCGGCGGGCGAATCAGCGACGCCGCGGCCGAGCCCACCCATGCAGGTATCATGGGCCGGCGAGACAGGGGTGATTCCATCTCCAAGAGGGGTACTGTCCACTACAGTACAGTACCGGTAGGTAGCACAGCCGTCAGCCGGTGCAGGTGGTTGGAGGTGCCCGAAGTTGGAACTTGGCCCAATGAATCACTCTGACCAGCCGCCTCGTTCGGCGTGTCTGGGTGTCTATCTGTGTGTCAGGTGTCTTGGTGTCAACTGCCACTAGCCACTTGGCCTGCGTGTTCCGGCCACGGCATTCTGAATCCTCATGTTGACAGTTGTGAGTTGGAGCAGAGCACGTCCCGCCTTATGATCAGTGGGTTGTGGGGGGAGGTCCGGAGAGTTCCAGAATCCAGCCAAGCTCCCCCTGCTTCGTGCAGCTTTTTGCGCGCGTCTCTCGTCTCGCTGGAGGCTCACCCGGCTCACAATCTGTCTATCTACAGCATGGCGGGGTTCACGATACCATCCTCAAGCCACTTCTGGGGTCTCCTTGCCAATCACCGGGCTCGTCTGTAACGGCTCTGGCCACTGACCGGGTCCGACAGCTGCCAGCCTCCAGGCTACTGTATGTACAAGTCAGGAGGAGTTCCAACTTTGCAACGTTGTTTGTGCTCCTTCATCTTGCTCCATTCATCGTCAATGTCCCATGTTGCGCAACAACTCATCAGCTGTGTAATGTGGATTTCGATGTCATGAGCAACACTAGACGAAACAAAACGTGTCAATGTTGACTCACAGTGTGGCTAGGCAGTCTTGAACTGCAAACAGCCGTCCGACAATTGAATGCGGTCATCTGTGGTTTTACCCGTTACTCAGGGGCCATCCAATTGACACGATCTGACCAAATAGGTACCTCCTGGTCGCAATAAGCGCACCCAAAATGGACAAGAGCACACCCGTTGAACCAAGTTGCAGAAGAGCCAACGCCAGGAAGACCGCCGCCGACCCATGGTCACGATAGCATGTAGTATAGCCCCGTGGGACCAATGAATTGCCTCGGTGCTATTCCCAGTCGGCCAATGCGTAAGATCTAACATCTAAAACGAGTCGCGGTCGGCGATATCAACAAGCAGGGTCCAACCGCCTCTAATAAGGAAGCCAGCCGAGCAAGCAAGCAAGCAGAAGCGATCAAGGCTCCTGTCAGTACCCTCGTCAGTCCTCGTACTGTGCATCACGACATGCAGGCTGCAGTCAGCAGCAGCAGCATGTCACACGAAGGGCGGCCACTTGACCTCCAGCGGATCTTCATGTTGCTCCCACCAAGCCCATCACCCTCATAAATCCCCTCAGATGCCCATCTCATCTCCGTACAAGGTGAGTCGTGACATGTCTTGTTTGTCGTCTTTCGAGCAAGAGACCTTTACTCTTCATCGATTCATCGTCTTGCAAAGGACGATGAAACGACACAAGGGTTACGTGGTTGGGAGCCACTAGCAACATAAAGCCCATGAGCCGCCGTAGCAGCCTCACAACTTCCTATCGCGCCGATGCATCAATCTGCGAGTCTATCTCACACAGCTCTCTCGTCAGGCTCTCTGCCAGAAGCGAGCAATGCGATGAGCTTCCCCCACTTTGTGTGACCACAAACCCCAGATAAAACCCGTGGCGGCCGCGCAAATTGTCACCTTGCAAACGGGATCGCTGCGCGCTTTGCATGCAGTAGGAATCTGGAAATGGCTGTCATACTGCTCATTGCTCCCGTCATCAATGAATCAAGCACAGGTCATACTCGATGATCTTCCCCAGACGCCTATCGCTTTCCCGTGCAGATTCGGGACCGGCTTCTTATCGATCGACCTTTCGGTGCCGTTGGCTTAAGATGGTGTGAACCCTCATCCTAGGCCTGATATCGAGCTGCCTTATTATTGCTGGACTGTTGGGGCAGGATATTGAACACGGTCTGGCGGGTTGCCCAATAGATGCAAAGAACCCCTCGTATTTCTGTCCCGACACATAATGACTTGCAGCAACTTCCGAGCTGTTCCGTATTGAGCTTCATCGATATGACCGGCCATTGAGCGGACCGGCTAGAATGCATGGCTGCCGGGCTGCCGGGCTGCCCGTCTAAACTCACAGCACCAAGCTCAACACCAGGCGTGGGGGCAGAGGGGTTGTTTTCAACGAACACAGAGGCTGGAGAGGACTCCACTGCTAGATGTATCGCCGGCGCTCCACCCGGCTGCCAGCCTTCAATGCCAACCTCTATCGTCGACTATAACTCGCGATGGATGACTTGCAATTGTGTGGTAAAGACATCCTGAGAGTATCCCAGCTCGGTGAGTCTGTTACAGCAGACCTCACACCAATGTTGCAATCGCATCGTGCCTTTCGAACGCGGCACGAAATCATGGCATCCTCGGCACCCCGGATCGACGAGAGACCGTCCATGTGCCCACTTGTCGGCTCAGCCCACACGCACACGGACGTTTCTCGTTACTACCTACAGTAGTGCACGAATAGCTTGGTGGCTCTGCCACTATCTACACACAAAAGAGTCCGTCAGTCCGTTCACCCCGAGGGATCCGTTCGTGGCGATCATCGCTGCCGCCAGGCCACGGCTCTTGCGGGTTTGCCGCGTAATATATCGAACTGCTTCGCGGTCGGCGCGGGCACTAAGAGAATTCATCGGGATTGCCCCGACCTCGCCTTCAGTGCCGCATGGCTGATGGGCTGACGATTCTCAAGTAGGGTACCACGATAGCTTCGTTGCAGTCTCTACTAGAAGTCTAGAAGGCCCGTCTTGAGGGCCTGACCATTCTCGCTGCGCTTGGCGATAGACGTGTGTTGCAGTCCTGGTCAACTCTAGAAGCAGACACAGCAACAGCTCACGATGAGCAGTCTCGCTTCCATAATGCACTTGCTTATTGGCCTAGTGTAGGTCATCACCGTGCACCATGGGGTATACCTCTACCTTGGTCTTTCGGGTGGAAGCTCTCACTGCTGGCGATGACTGTGCATGGCATACGGCCGATGTCCTCCTTTGCAACAAGGACAACCTTCTGCCGTACTTGTTTGAGGAGGCGGAGGTCTCGTTCAAATCGTCAATGGTGCACCCATCGCGTATGGCTAGAACATGTGTAGGGCGACCTGAAGCTCTGGTGATCGGCCGTGTCCGTAGCACGACTTGTTTGTGGCAAAGTTAGTGACTCCAAGTGAAGGAAGAAGCGATCCTAAAAGCCTTGTCCAGGCGAGAGACTGTCGAGTGGATGCTTTCGCGCATCTCGGAAGGACTGAGCAATGAAAGTCTACCACCATTGCACTCACGGCTTGCTGGTGCGAGTAAGATCCTGAAAACACCAGCGCCAACTCGTACGCTGAAATACGGCTGGGTATCTGGCATTGCATCTCGGTGTAGGTCGTTTTGTGACGACCATGCCAGTGCCATCGTACCGCAACAACAGCGATAGCACAGATCAATCTGTATCATCCCATCGTACCTTCCCTTATCAAAGGGCCAAAATACATCGGCCTTGAAACTCGTTCCCGTCAGTTCCAATGCGGGTGTTATTTGTTATTCGGTGCCAGCGTTAGATGTATCTGCTCTTACTTGACGAGCTTGGTGAGGATTAGGAAGTACCCATGGTTATCTCTCACTGCTCTGGAGCCACAAAGGACGGCTCCAGCAAGCCATCATCGAGACATCGTCCCAGCAGTGCTGGGCCAGCACTGACTACCTATGGAAGTGATGTCAGCCTGTTAGCATTGGTATTAGGGGTCCGATGATTGTGTCTCTTGGGATCAGGCCCTCCAGGCAGCTCAGGTGTCCATGTGTGCAGAGAGAACTCCCGTCAACTTGTTGTCTTGTGTGTTCAACAGGATCAATAGCTGCAACAACAGTGGTAAGTTTCGGCGCCAAACTGCTAAAGAACGTATCGTTAGATAGTAGCCAGAGCTCGTTTTGGTATGCATCGCGACGAGATGGCAACGCGCTGGCTGGTAATAAGGAGGAGAGACAAACACTGAACTGGAGGCAAGGCTCGGGAGCTGGCTGACTGATGTGGGTGGGGATGCCGGGCGGGGGCGGGCTTGCAACCCGAGGATCCGCCGGGCCGAATCACTGGCGTGAAGCAGGCGCGCGCAACGACTGGTCAATGACTTCCTGTAAGCCCTGCCTCGCCTCAGCCCGTCACACTGGACTTGCGAGGCTCAAAGGTTCCCGTCACATTTGAACACTTGACGACACCGAGCACCAGGAGACATCATCACAAAGGACCTAAACATCTCAGATTGACAGTGAATACGTTGCCACTGAAACCGTTACAGCTGGTTTTGGAGCATTCCCTGGGGCTGAAAGAAGATTTATCCGGCCACATAACGCAGGCGCATTTCGGGGTACGCCACCATTCCATACCTAGGTATTTAGGTACACACCCTTCCCCCTTCACCAGCCGCATCGCAACCGTCGCTGCAGCACCCAACCCAAGCCGTCATCCACCATCCTGATTTCTCATGCCAATCAAGACTAGCCTCGCTCGAGCGCGGCATCGCACACCTCACAACAAGAAAGCCATGACGACAAGTAGAGCCTCCATACCCGGTGGAAGACCCTCGAACAGCCATTCTCATCAAGTAGGGCAACACGAGTTCGTCCTGCCCATCGCTGGTGGTAATTCAGCTCACAGAGCTCCGATGATTCCCAATTTATTTCTTGACAGCCCGCCCATCAAGGACTCCTTGTCCACCGGCACTTCTGAGGAACAAGATGCCACTGCCCGCGAATGCGTGCAATCCGTGGCACCCGCGTCCGATGATGGAATCCCTCGCAACGAGTATGGAGTACCTCACCTGAACCGGGAACGTCACATCAGATTTCTCCGAAAGAGCCTAGGGACGCTTCCTGCCCCGTATGTCGCTGCCGATGCTAGCAGACCGTGGATCTTCTATTGGTGTTTGAACGGCATGGTCCTTTTAGGGGCCGATGTGTCAAGCTACCGGGAAGACCTCACCGAGACTGCACGTTCCATGCAGAACGAGACTGGTGGATTTGGAGGAGGCTTCGGCCAGCGATCCCACCTGGCAACTACGTATGCTCTGCTCTTGGCACTGGCCGTTGTGGGCGGAGAGTCTGCATATGAAGTTATTGACCGAAGAGCTATGTGGAAATGGATTTGCTCCCTGAAGCAGCGAGATGGAGGGTTTCAAATGTCAAGAGGAGGCGAGGTTGATGTTAGGTAGGTTGAAATTTTGTGTTGGTGTCCCAGGGCAGTACTTACTGTGTTCACAGGGGAGCCTATTGTGCGGCTGTCATTATTACGCTGCTGAATCTTCCGCTTGATCTCTCACCCGAATCACCAGCCTGGGTCGCTGACCCTGCCGAACGACCTGATTTATTCACAGGTCTGGCAGACTACGTACGCCGCTGTAAGGGATCTCGAACTTGCCCCTTTTCGTCAAGCCACATATTGACCATGCAGGCCAAACATTCGAAGGTGGCATTTCGGGGAAGCCGGACGCTGAAGCCCACGGTGCATACGCCTTCTGCGCTTTAGGTTGTCTTGCGATTCTTGATGCTCCGCAACGTATCTTCCCGAGGTCTGTTGCATCCAGCCTTCGCCCACTTGTGAAGTGACAGCAAGGAAGTCCGTTAATCCTAACGGTCAAAACTAGATATCTCAATATCCCACGGCTTATCTCCTGGCTTTCGTCACGCCAATATGCTCCAGACGGTGGATTTTGCGGTCGCACAAATAAGCTCGTCGATGGCTGTTATAGCCATTGGGTTGGGGGTTGCTGGCCGCTGATAGAGGCCAGCATTGATGGGCCATCGGACGGGAGCAGCTATGAAGCTTCATATGCCAGTTCTCGTGACTTGTATAGTCGCGAAGGTCTGATAAGGTACATTCTTTGCTGTGGACAAGACCAGAGTAGACGGGGTGGTATGAGGGACAAGCCGAGCCGGTACGTACACAATCGCTTCCAGACCATACCGCTGGAGTTTAGTTGATCTTATCTTTTCAGGCCTTCCGATGCATATCATACTTGCTACGTTCTCAGCGGGCTTTCTTCAGCGCAACACACCACCCGTATGGTTCCTCCAAGAGGCGACGGAATGCTAACGCATTCGACATATGACGTCTCGCCGCACGCTGAGGATCGCCAAGTATTCGATGAACGAGACAGAATCAACACAAGCGATCCTGTTTACGTGATTCCTGAGGGGAAACGAAAGGAAATCATGTCATACTTCATGGCAAAGCAGGGCTTTTGAAAGTATCGACCCGCTTGTGGCCGCATATTAGAGGCCTTATCCGACAGTGCAACGAGCCAATACTAGGAGGCCTGGCTCTGCTCTGTACGCCATCCCTCGACTGTCCATGCCTTCCAGTCTGGATGGGAACAGGGGACGAATTGATTTTCCACGTGCCTAGCACAGGGTGTCGAAGTCGTGCTCCTTCGACAGCCACATAGCAAACATGAACCCCCGTAGTGAGACGGACTGTTCCGAGTACCTACCTACCCAGATGGGCATACCGGGTGTGAACAACAAGAGGCATCAGCCAAAAGCCCCTGTATAGGCTGGACGAGATGCCTCCGCAGTCACACATCAGGACAGCGCATCAGAAGGTCGACAACACAGATTGGCTCGCTCAAAGTACGAAGGTGCCGGTATCCCTTGGCTATACTCTTTCCACAGTTGTATGCAGAAATTGAATATGCACCTCGCAATCGATATATCAAATTCCACCGGTGACACAAGGGCAGTCTGGCGAGAGGATTTCGCCCGATTGCAGTGAAACAAAACCAGACGGAGGGATTCCCACGCGCTCGTTAATCTTGGTCTCCAGCAGATGTCGGTCACTGTAGCACGACATGGCAGCCAGTCCTTCTTCAGCAGCTGGTACTGCGACTCAATGCATGCCTGCGGGGCTACGAGACACTCGAGGGGCAGTATATGACCCGGCCAGCCCAGACAGACTCCGGAGTGACGCCACTGCCTCATGACTGCGCGGTCCCAAAGCCCGTGGCGAGCGGCCAGGTGCAGCTCTGGTCGCCTCTGGTCGAGGCTAGAAGGCTTGTTCCATGATATGGCAGCGCCGATGGCTCAATAGGAGGGGTCCTCGCACCGCAGTTGTTGAGATGCCGTATGATATGAGACACCCTCTGCAGAGCTACTACATGTTGCGTGCTCTGCGCGGAGATCGTCCCAACAAGTATTGGCGAGTTGGCCACATGCTGTGGTCGTTTTGCATTGCACCCCTCCTACCCCGAGCCGATACCTATGGCCACAGCAAACCAGCAACAATCTTTGACGTGGCAGAGACCCCGTTTGTGGCCATATGGGCCGCTTCTTCTGCGGCCCACGCTCTCGCTCGACTTCAGATGACGGAGCCATGTATAACCAAGCTAAGGCGAGGGCGTGGAGGTAACATGACACTTATCTCGCCATCGCTGATCGCATGTGCTCGTCCGCGCGATTTGGTAAGACGACGCTGTATGCTGTACGCCGTTCGACGGAACCCTCCTCAGGCAGAGATTCGTGGTTGCCGGTTCTGCGATCACCGACACGCTGGGACACGCTGGGACGACGTTCGGGCGAGCCGACTCGAGGCCGTAATATCAAATCTGGGTGTGTGTCTCGATGCCACAGCATGTCTCCCCTGTTGACGGCATCGGCTGTCGTGAGCTGCCAACGCTCTCCCTCTCCCTCTCCCTCGGATAGGGGCGGGGTGCATTGTCAGACAAACCTAGGCCGACAGAGGTAAGACGAGGAAATACGGGGTCTCCGGTCTCGTTGTAAGTAGCTCGCTGCAACAGCCAACGAACACCTCGGTACTCGTGGGCAACGATAGTACCTAGGTAATCATAATAATATGTTACGCCTCCGACGACATGTGTGCCTGTACGTATTCGTGTGTCTCTCTACTAGCCAGAGGTAGTACATAGTATGGTATATATGGGTGCGTTTGTCTGTGCGGACAAGGCTTGCTGCACGACATCGCCTCGCGGGTGGGGAACGGCGCGCGCGCGGTACGGAAACTCGATACATCGTGTTGCATATGGGCCACCGCCTACTCAGGTATGTAGCCGTGAGATCCGCAGCCAGGGAGGTTCTCATCAGATGGACGGCCCATGGTGAAGATGATATCATGGTTCACATGGTTCATCTTTTCGGTCAGAGTCCCGGTGGTCTGGACGTGTGCTCCCATCCCTTTCCCTTTCCCTACCTCCCTCCAGCAAACACGTTGCATCTGACCTGACGATGCTGACCCTCGGTGCATGTATGTATGCATGTATGTCTCTCTCTGGCTCGTGAGCGATGCTGGGATGGTGGTGTATCTATAGAGCGTTTGCAATAGGCCAGGCCATCGTGAGACAAGTCCCTGAAAAGTAGTACATAAGCGCTTCTCTTAGTCTGCATAAGACCTTTTGCCTTTTGTGGACCTCGGGACGCGGTCCTCTCTCTGTAGCTCTCGTTCTGTGTATGTAAAGTATGTGCACTAGTGGTTTACAGCTTCTTACCCTTATTGGAAGTGGAAGGATCACGAGTACAAGTTTTGGTAGTATTATTCTCAATATCGTCGGCCATTGATTCCCGATTGGTGTTATCTGGTAGGACTAACACCGAGTAGATACCAAGATCGTTGTATGCAACGCTACCAGCCTACCAGCCTACCACTGCCCAGCCTAGGCATACAAGGGTATCCTTTTCCACTATTATCTTCTAAACGCCTTCCCATTTTCGTTTCTACATTTCTGGAATCCTTCCTCCTCCAGTTTGCCTGCCCAAATGCGGTGTCTGATAAGTGAAAATAAGCTAGGGTCCAAGCGCCCATGATAGTTTCTACTGGTATGTAGAAGTTTCAGAGTTCGCGCTGTCGCCGTCTCTTCCCACGTGCACGGCGTCTCGGTTTGCTTTGCTGGAAGCGCGGAACGGATTGTAGCGCTACAACCAACCAACTACATCTACCTCTGCCTACATTCATTCATTCACACATGTTCTCCGTCCCATCACGCCCGCGCCATCGCCATCGTCATCATGAACGGCGCCCACCTCGCCATATGCACCCACTCGTCGGGGTCTGTCGGGTCAGGTCGAGACCAGTACCAGTACCTCGCCCCAGGGCCGGCCGTGCTGCAGGCGGCTCGTACACGTACCCATCCTGACATGCACGGGACAACGTCTATCTTGATTTTAATGTCAAGCGGCAATGCCAACTCATCCTGCATGAGGTGTTAAGCGTCTCGACTGAGCACTCTGGCTAGTCGCCTCGCCTCTGTCCGGTCAATTGGCCAATGGCCCGTCGACCTCTCGATGGCTCCTGTCGGCCCTCGCAGCGTCTCCAATGGCTCTCCAATGGCTCTCCAATGGCTCTCCCACAGACCCAATAGCTTCTTAGGGCAGAGACCGGGTTCCCATCGAGACCAGGGTGGCCCGGCAGCCCAGTTAGTGTTCATGCATCTCATTTTTGTTCACCGACTTCACGGTTCCGGCTCTTGGGCCAGTCAACCAGTCAGTCGACTTGCTCACCAGCAACGTCTGGCTCCCTGCTCCATCCAGAGGGGGAAATGCCGGGAAATCGACGAGGAAAACCCAGACCTACTTCCGTACGGAGTACCTGGCCGCCGCCGACTGCACAAGTATTGCCACCGGCCCTTCTTCACGCTTCTCCAACCTCTTCACTGCATCGTTAGCCACCGCAGACGCCCCAGTCATATTTTGCCTCTATCTTAAGCAAGTTAGCTGAGTGTCCCTCGGCCACCGTCATCGGCTGGCCTGATTTGTCCGTGTGCTTCTGCCTACGCTGTTTATTTTGACTCGGGTGTGCGTATCGCTGACCCCCTCCCCTCGGCCCACTACGCGTGCGGTCTACCTCTGCAAGGCATCCCATCTGATCCATTGGATTGGTTTCCGGCTCTGATATTGTCGGAATTTGCAACTTCATCGTCACGTCTCGTCACGTCGGTCGAACCCCTCTCTCATCTCGCACTTCGATCCCCGAGTCCCTGTCGTGTACATGGGTCTGTACATACAGGATACATGCGCGTACATCCACAGACAGGCATCGTGGTAGCATGACAGATGGCCGTGCATGTACGTGGGGAGGTATCATTCTTCTTCTTCTTCGGCTTCTTCTGTCGGTTCCAAAACCACACTGTCGCTTCCTAGTACCAGCTATCATTCTCTGGCTCGATTGCTGCTGCATTAGTAGTGGCCGTCTGAGGGACCTTGCCATGACAGTCTGCTTCTCCTCTTCCTCTCTGTCGTTGTACCCCCCGTACACGAACCAGGCACATCCCTCTTCTCGGTTCGCCGAGACGTCTCAATGAGGAGACGTGACTGGTAGCCGGCCCCAGGGGACACGCCAGAGTGCCTTTGTTTTCTCTTTGTTCTCTTCTGAATTTTTGCAGTTCCGCCGAGGACGTGGACTGGCCGCAGATTCGGTTCCAGTTTCATTTTGCCACTTCACTATGCCTACCTCTGCATATTCAGCGTCTGTTTACCCAGCTGGTCCCCATTGTCGGACAGGGTATGGGACAGAACCCAGACGAAGACCGCGGTACCACATTCTGCCAGAAGGGATACGGCGATACTTATCAGAGATGATCGCCTTTGAGAATGCATACCCCATGTGTTGCGGTGGAGTTGCCTAGTCTCTTGAGGTTTTATCAACTGGCTTCGACTCGCGCCAACACATCAGGATGGGTCACACTCTTCAAGAGCCGCATCTCTACCTGCGTCTGTCGAACTCGTTCCCTTCCAACTCCGTTTCTCTTCGGCCTGGTCCCCTTGATTCCGAGTTTAGATATCCCTGCCCCGCACTGACAACTCATTTCTGCAATAAAGCACACATGTCTCGCTGTCGATGGCTCGTTCTTCTGCACCGCAGCCCTGAATACGTAGCATAACCTCCTTCTTCAACACCACCACAACCACACCTCCTCCACCCCGTAGTACAAACCCATCGTCTACAGTCACTGCTGCCTTACCGGTCTTGTCAATCTCGATACCTCATCACCCCTTCCCCTGGTTGGGCTCGACTGCATACTCGAAGGCGCCTGGACTTACTCTCCCGTGCTTGCCCTGACACATTGTCACTCACCACCCCGGGAATATACGGATCTGCTCGACATCTGGTGTGGGGGTTGTTTCTTATTTCGAGTTTTTGGTACAGCCGGGTCTTTACGGAAAGCCTTTGGAGACAAGTCGGCACCATGGGAGGCTTTTACATGCAGTATCTCGAGAGTAAGTTTGCCTACTTGAGCATCCCGGTGACTTCACCATTTCCAATCATCCACGGTGATGCTGTGCGGTGGGGCTGAAGGACGGGAGTTCCTCTTACACACGTGGGCGAGCCCCTGCATCGCGAGGACGTGCAGGTTGCCATCGTGTTCCTGCCGCTGCCACAACGACATGAACATGAATACATACATGCTGTCTGGCAGTCTGTCCAGAGAACCCCCGTCCCTGGGCTGCGTGTAAACGAGCTCCACGTTCCATCTGAGGCTTCTCGCCGTTGGGCTGTCATGCATACATATATTACCCTCGATCCCCAGCGCGTCATCAGGGCTGCATTCATGCACCCGGCATCATTGGTATCGAATGGGGGATCTTCCAGGATCAGCAGCTAACATGAGATCCGATAGGTCTGTGCCGGCGTCGTGGGTGGCAAGACCCTACGTACGAGTGTTACAGAGACCACAGTGGCTTTACATGCCTGGTTCTGGTCAACGGACGCGAGTACCAGACAGATCTTGCATACGAATCGGACAACCTGGCCCAGGAGAATGCAGCCATGAGAGCCTTCATGGTCTGCCGGAACTTTTCAGTCAATGGAGGCATGCTGGCCCGCAACGGCATCGTTCAGGGGCTTCCGGCCAATGATTCCGGCAGGCGCAAGAAGTCTCGTCATACTTCATCCAGCCACAGCCATGGACACAGGGACAGCCGCCACAGGTCTGGGCATCACTCGAGCAGCAGCTCGACCGCGTCCTTCGAGTGAGGGAGAGGGAATGGTTTGACATCCCGATTGGCCGAAACCGTACATGAAACCAGGATGAATCCTAGCCACTGGACACAAGCACACGAGAGAGGGACATACACAGAGGAGCGAGGCGTCCAGTATTGACATATACACTTGGTGAAGCTTCACAGCTTATCCCCCTTGGCATATTCCGCGGAATACCCACACCCAGCATACCCCCAATGAGAGAGACGGAGAGACAAAAATTGCATAAATCGACGATTTTACGACCCTAACGAATCAATGAACGACTTTGACGAAACGATCTTACCATGACAAATTTCCATACATAAGGCGGTCCTCTCCCTTCCGAAATGATTGCTTCGGTTTTCCACTTTCCCTTCTTCTAACAACGACTTACGATGATGACGTCCTTTCCATCTCCGGCTTTTGGGGAATCACAGAACCAGGCCGGTTCACGAGGGTTGGACTTCTGCTTTTGCAAGCGTGCTTTGTCACACGGAACCGACCTTTCTTTCCCGTGGACATCTGCGAGATCCGGTACGGCCCAATGGGAGGCTCCGGTGCGGCAACCTCTTGGCTTCGTGGACCTCGTTCTCATTCTTCTTATAAACTTCACCTGCTTCATTTTGGAAACACTCGAGGAAACCGATGGAACTCAGCTGGCGCGCCGTACCAGTCTGTCTGACGCATCTTCCGTCGGCCACTCTACCATCTCAACCTCGATCTTTGAAGGAAGTTGGACGCATGGCGCTGCCCGGATATTCAATCCAGGATGGAAGAGGCTTTTTGGCATCGCCGCCGCCGCCGCTGTGGTTCTTAGACCAGAGCACAGGCAACTCGGGAAAGGGGGGATATCTCACTAGGCTAGGCGTCATCCGCCATGGATGGATGAGAAATGGGGGGGGGGTGGGGGTGGGGGTGGGGAGGCTGGCTATCTGGGTTTTTTTTGGGGGGGACGTGGAAGCTCTTATAAAGCCTGCCCTCGAGGGCAGATGATGACTCATGACCACGAAAGCTATGACGAAAGCGTATGATGATGATGATGATGAGGAGAAGTAGTAGAAGAAGAAGAAGAAGAAGAAGAAGAAGAAGAATTTCAGACCGAGGACCATTGCGATGGATCAGGACAGACAGACATCCTCTGCTACCAGTTGACTGATGTACACATGAAATTTGACGGTGATAATGCTGCTGTTTGCTGCCGGGACAAAGGCATGTTGATCTGCTGCCAGTTGGCCTGTAGTGGTGATGACGGGATGCGGATATTAGAGATGCAGTTGGGGTGTCGTGTCAGTCAATAGTTGTGTCACGAGGTGTCACCGCATTAACACACAAATGTCACCCACTGCACACACTCATTAAGAGACACACATATGGGACCACCACACCACTCTCCTGATATTCTGTCTTTGATCGGGCGGGATCTAAAAAAAGATTGATGAGCCGCCTAGGTCCCGTCCCGAGGTCCCAGGGCATGGAGATAAATGGACCGGGAGCTTGTGTGTGCCCTGGATCAACACGATGTTCCCGCCGCCGCCACTTGCCGCTGCAGTGAACCCCGCATTTGACCGGGCTTTACAGTACTTGAAATCTCGTTCGGCCTGTGACTCTGTGGCTCCGTGACACGACATTTTGATTTCGGACGACTGGACTCACTGGAGTTCAATGTCCAATTACGGGGTACCGGTATCGTGCATGAAGCCGTGAGGCTGCAGATTGGCATGTTCACTGTTTGCAGCGGCTTTCAATTGATGCTACGTGATGCAGCAGTCCGTTCTCTGCTGTTACAGCAATGGCTTCAATCCCCAGAGATCGAGATGCTATTGTATCCATTGGGGACCACCCTCGTATTCTGCTGGGTGGAATGAGACAGATGCCGACATGCACTTGGACAATTGCTGACAGTCACAGGTCAGCTGAATAGGAGAAACAAGAAGACAACTCATCACTGTCTCTTGGGCATGCCTTTTTGCCACACTAGGTATTCAGATATGGGACGACAATTGACTCAAATGAACACCTCGTGACTGCCACTTCGGATCAGGAAATTAGACAAACCAATGCGTGCACACGTGAGGACTGGACGGGGAAATTGAGGCGACATGGAATTTCATCAACCTCATCTCGTGTAGAGGTTCACCAAGGACCAAGGCTTCGTACGCGTGGGGTCGTAGATCATCTGATTGGCCCGAGGGGGCTTGCCCATTTCCCCTTTTGTACCGACGTGGGCTTGTGCATTTGTGTGGCTAGCGCTTCCAGGGGTCTAGGCGGTACCATTTGGCGGCCATAGGGGTCTTCAGGTACCTCGTGCGGCGGCCCAGGGGTCAGCTGTGCCTGCCTGTAGGAGGCTAGGCAGCTACCACAATTTACGAGGCATAATGGGGCAAAGGGGTCACATTCGGCTTCAGCTTTAATATCACTCCAATCTATTGGTACATTGCTTGTAATTATGGTTGTAAAGAAAAAGAAAAAAAAGGAAGAAAAACGTCTCTTATTTCTCTTGTCCTCGCACATTGTAACATCAACAAACCCAAACACCTGCTACCTCGATAGTTCGTTATAATGAACAGACTTATAGCCCGGGACGGGTATAAAAAGATGCAATAGATTTATTTATAGCTTTATTTAAAAAATAATAAAAAGAAGCCCATGTATTAAGTAGCTATTCGATGCGCTAGCGTATAACTTATTAATTAATTACGTATAATAATTTTAATCTTTAAGCACGAAGCTATATAAGCGTACATCTTGTAAATCGAATTTTTTCTTACATTTATTAATAAGAATGAAAAGTAATAAAATAAAAACATGCTTTTTTATAGCTTGTTATAAAAGTATTAATAAACTTAATTAGTATAAAAGTATTACGGTTGTACAACTATTTTAACGGTTGCTTTTTTTTTACCTTAACTTTAAAACCGGTTAAGATCTTAACTTTGTTTACCTAGTATAAAAGTTAAAGATATTAAAACATAAATTTAAATATATTTCAAGTAATTTAAATGCTTATTACGTTTTATTATTAGACATTTCAAATTATAAGAAATTTAAATTCTGTACGAAAAACCCTCGTTAATTAGTATAAACTTTTATTTAAAATAAAGATATATAAGACAAGATAGTTATAATAACGTTGTTATTATAAAACGTAAACGCTATACGTAAAATACGTAAAGTAAATTTATTTGAAGAAATACTGAATACAATTATTAATTATTAAAAATCTTGTAATAAATAACGTTAAACAGATATAATTATAAACAAATGAAAAACTACGGTAAAAATAACGGGGGAAAAAAAGGCTTTAATACGATATTTTAACTTCCTGTTAGAAAATCAAACACTTTACGATAACCTTTATATATTAGTTAAATCGACTTTACGTTTCTTAATAGCTAAGAAAAAAAGATAAATGGTTATATTTTCTCTTAAGTTTTTTTAACGTTATAAAAGTATAGAATCTAAATAATTTGTTTCAAATACTTGTTAAAATATACGTACAAATAGTCAAAGCTTTTATAATTAAATTATCAGCGTTTATAATTCTTATTAATATAAACATTAACGTAAACGTTAAAGTAAAAGTTAAAATAAATATGAATATAAACATTAATAAAACCGGATATTGTATACTATATATACGTCGATAATAAAACCTAAAATCTTAACAAATACGCTATTTTCAATAAAACCGAGGCTGTAAAAAGATAGAAAAGCCCGAAAAGTAATATAGAAAATTAAAAACAATAATGGAGACAAGGTTATGTCGAACTTGTTTTATTTATACCGATTTGGATTAAGTATATACTTCGTAAAAAAATTGATTTTTTTTTAAAAATAAACAATATAAAAATGACGGAATTATAATTTTTTTAATATATAATATTATTATAAAGCTTAATTAAAGCTATATTTTTATAAGTTATAAAACAATAAAGTTTAAATAAGCAAGAATTTTAAAACAATACTAGAGTTAAAAAGATTGTAAGAACCTTTAAATTAATTTTTATTTAATTTAAAAACAACGTTATAGAAAACCACTTTATGTTTATTATAAAAGATGATAATAAAAACACTGCCGTTTAAAGACTCTTTTTTAATTGATATGTTAATAGATATTATATTTATTAATTTAGAAATATAGTATTCAATAAGGAATTATCATATATTTAAATTATCTCAACGAACGAAAAAAAACCCAAGATATAATAAAAATACCGCATTTATAAGATACTAAGAATAATAAAAGTGAAAGGTTTTACAGCGAGTATAAGGCGAAATAATTATAACTGTTAAAGTTTAAAAGCCCTTTATTATTAAGTACGGTATAACCGGAAGCGATCTCGTCGTTATCTTATAAAAAAACTTTATAACTTTTAATTTCAATTTTTATTTAAAAGAAGCTATAAAGAAGTATATTAATTAAAAGATTATTATTTTAAATGTTAAAACCTTTATTATCGTTTCGTTATATAATACGGTTAGTAAAAACGTATTGTATAGGCTTTATAAACTTTTTTAATTACTCTTTTTAAGGTAATAGTAAAACAAGATATAAATTAATTATATAAGCGGAAAAGATTTTGATTTTTAATATATTATAAGATAAGAAGATATAGTTTAGCTAGGTTAGATAAAATAGGTGTTTTAAAAGTCGCATAGTAATTTTTTTAACGAAGCCCTTAATTTATTTAAGCCTTTCTTATAAAGAAAAAGGTTTAATAATATAAAAAAGGAAAAAAGTTAAGTTATAAAGCTTAAGATCGGAGCTATTAATTAATTAATTAATAATAAGTATTAAACGTGCCGTAATAAAGCCTATATTATTAAAACCAATCTGTTAGTAAAGGCGGTGATATTAAACTTTTGTTACTTACGCTCATCATAAAATAAACCATTTTATGTAAGAAATATTAATTAAGATTATTTTTAAACATTAACTTAGTTTAAAATATAGCCCGTTTTAATATCTTATATGACGGTATTAAGGCGAGGGCTTTTAATATATTGGTAAT